GTGTCCGGATCTCGATTGTCCGGGGGGTTGGTTGGATTTTTATGTTTTGCCGGGGATGGGGAGGATTGATGAGACGTTGAAGGGGGGTTTGGGGTTTTCGAGTTGAGGTGGCGAGTCGCCGGTTCATTTGGGAGTGGGTGGTGGTCTACGATCTGGCTCCTTTCTCTTCGTCAACATTTGCAGCGCATCCCTTGCACGCACAACACCCAAGTGTTGATACTTCCTGCCCCACCCTCTAGGGTCCGCGTCAGGCATCGAGCCGCTTATTGCCTCGTCAACGCCGAATCGTGGCTCATGGCAGACAACGAACTTGCGAAACCTGCAGGCATGCACAAGACTCCAGCCAGCAAACCAGTCCACCGCCAAGTCCGTCGCCGCACTTTGGTCGCCGCTCTCTTTCAGGTCCTCCAATTCTGACAATAGCTCAGGCGAGAGCGAGATCAGAAACAACGGATCCTCTTCAAGCTCGGAATCATCGTCCAAGTCTTCATCTTTCACATCCAGCCGAGACAGCTTGCACATGGCGTTGTATAGCAACATCCACCGGTTATCCTGTCTCCCGCGCTCGGCAGTGTTTTCCATGGCCAGATCGAGCACCCATTCGAGTATTCCTGGCCGCGCTGCAATTCTGCTTGTTTCGCCCCCTTGGGGCTTCGTTCTATGGGCGTCGATGAACGCATTGATAACGCTGGTGGCTTGTTCCGGATCATTGATGAAGGCATCATCTGTTATGAACACCACCATGCCGTGAGGGAAGAGCCGATCACAGGTGAATTCGGCATCTCGCTCTTCTAGCATGGCCACCGTTGGATTGACGCCAATGGAGAACATTCGAACACCAGCCCCTGCAGAGGCAAGGAAGCCGTACAGTCCAGGAATTCGCCAGAGTTGTATATCTGGATGCACAATGAGCGCGCAAGAGCCGCTGAATCTTGTGCGAAAGTAGTCCCAAGATCCTGCTTGTCCCGAGTGATAGACTTTGCATTTCAGCGCGGCAAAGTATTCCTTCAGAACGACCAGCTCCGCGTGATGGTCCAGTGGTATCATGAGGAACACAGCTCGTACGGGGTGCTTCTTCAGCTCTTTCGTCGGGAAGAGTATCTCTGAATCCAATTTGACGACGTGCTCGCCAAGTATCTGAGCAGGCGGACGCTTGTCGACTTGCTCAGTCTCCGTCGTCGGTCCATCAAGTGGAGGGATCGGCAGCTCCTCGAACAACCTGAACCGTAGCACACACTCTGATGAATGCTCGCGCTCGCGGTCAAAGAACTTCCACTCCTCTGCGTTCCCGGGATAGATGAGCATCTTCGAGTCTCGACCATCTGGAGTAGCGATCAATCCAGCCACATGCGTTTTACACACATCGGTGATGTTCTCAACACTAGCAGCCTGTGCAGTATCCACAAAGAGGCCACCCGTCGAGCAGGGAGATTCGCGAAGGCCATCCTGCCACAGGACGTGCTCGAAGTCGGCCGCCGTGACCATTTGATCTATTCGCAGAATAGGATCAGACCCCGCAAGATTCTTGAAAGCCGGTAAGTCGTCGATGTCGAGCTTTACATTGATATTCTCTTCTTGAGCCTCTTCTTGTAATAACAAAACAAGAGTCGCCTTCATCGAGAACTTCGGGACGCTAGGACGTCGCTGCATGGCTGCACCTAAGATGTTCCCTTGAGGCGTCTGCTGAGTTTGGTCATGCGGACTTGCACCTCCCATATGCATAGGTGATGCAGTGAAATCCCCTGGCGACCCAGAGCCAGGCCTCGCTGTTTGTCCGGCTGTTTGCAGCTTCAATCCAGCATTTACCCGCTCCGATGCAGTCACATCGGGACTGCGGGCCGAATGTGGTGCGACGTTGTCTCTGATTGCAAGAGGCACAAAATTTGCATTGGTCGTTCTGTCCGAATACGTCAGGCCTCTCTTAAAAGTTCCCGGCGGTCCAGCATAGACCCCAGTGTCCAAGTGCGCGAATGCGCATACGTCGTCTGGCTTTGTGCAATAGCCTTTCTCACGCCAGTAATAACAAGTGGTGTCCTTTTTTGATATTTCCTTCGGCCGAGGTTCTATGGCCGCTCGATTAGCGATTCGTGGTGGTATGTCGCTCTGAACATGTGGTCTATCTGGCGCTCCATTGGTGTCGACAGGTGCATAGCTGTCCGGTGGCTTTGGCGCATAATGACCCGTATCGTAGTGAGCATGCAGACAGTCTTCGTCTCTTTTGTTGCAGCGCCCTCTGACCTTCCAATAGTAACAAGTGAGCTGCTTGTTTCCTCCATCAACCCCAGTGTGATAATGAGCCTTGCGGCATGTTTCGTCAGTATACTTGCAAATGCCTCTAGTCCAGTACCAACACGTCTCCCACTTCTCTGGATGGGTTGTACTGGCGTGACTTACAGGGGCGGGAGTAGGATCAGGCGGAGGTGCGGTACCGATCGTTTGAACAGGCTCCGGCGCGGGAGGTTCTGGCGGTTTCTCTGGCGGCGGCGTTCGCCTACTGTATGCGCTATGAACAGCACCAGTACTGCTTACCTCTACAGCACTAGCTGGAGGTATCTTCTTTCCAGTCTTGGGATCGATTATACTTAGCACATTCGGGTCAGGGGCTCGTTCGTTCTTGCTGTACTGTTGGAATCGGTGTTGGGTGGACAGGTTGCGGAACTGGGGGTTCGCTGAGTCCTTGGGGGTTGCTCCAGAGACTCTGGGCCGTTGTTTTCGCGATTTTTCAGCATCCCCATTACCAAAGACTTTGTCTGGTTGTCGCGTAGGTCTTGCTTTAGGCGCGGAGGGTGTCGCATTAGATGGGGCAGCTAGTGAACTCCTCCTAGGCGCGACTGATGGCTGCACTGGCTGTGGAGGCACAACTGACGACGGTTGTCTGGATGGAGCTTCAGACGGCGCTGGTCGAGGTGATGTTGCCTTTGCTGGAGCTTCAGCCGGTGCAGCTCGAGCAGATGTTGCCTTAGCCGGAGCATCCTGCTTCTTGCGCTGCACTCGCTTGGGCAGTGCAAGCTCATCTTCACTGTCTTCGCCACTCGCCACTTCTCCAGCTGCTGGTCTTGCTCGAGTCGACCTCCTGGTAGGAATCTCTTTCTGAGAGTGTTTGGCCTTAGATGTAATCTCATCGAACAGTGAATCGTCACCTGGGCTCTTAGCTGGTGACACCTCACCATCCGAGTTATCAGATGAAGCAGAATCGACGGTGCGCCGCCTCCGATCCACCTTTTGAGCCAGCCCTTTACGCCTCACCTCTGGCTGCGGTATGCGCTTTCTGGCCTTCACCGGGGCATCGTCCTCTGGGCTCCGTGTTCGTTTTTCCACAAAGATAGATTGGTCGGCGTTGTCGGTGTGTTCGTCATCCTCGTTTTTGTTGTTGCCATCACTGTCAGATGACACTGCGATACCACGCCTGCGCCGCTTCGCCTTCCGGCGTCGCCTGTGATCCTCCTTCGTGTGGTGGATCTCCTCAACAGCAGCACACCAGTCATCCTCATCAAAAGGCTCCTCATCCCCCTGCCGAACACGTCGCTGTTCCTGTTTCCAGGACTTGATAATGCTCTCATCGAAGATATTTCCAGCGGGCTCCCAAGTACTTCGTCCGAGCGGGTACCCCTCCCATTTGATGAGATACTGCTTGTCGCCTCCTTCGGTTCCCTTTTCGAGAAGGATGCGTTCTACGCCATATTCGTCGAGCGGTTCGCTCTCGGCAGTTGAGTCAGTCGCGATGCTATCCTCGTCTGAATCGTAAGCGAAGGGCGCTCGTGCTTTGCCTTTCCTCGACATGGCTGCTGATGAATGCCGTGTGCTTCACGAGCAAGCACGCGTGAGCTTGTGGCGGGCGCGTTATGAAAGCATCTCAGCAATCAAGCGACCGCACCTTATCGAACTGTCAGAATATTTGTTTGCAGAGGCTCGGGTGGCTGCAGCACGTAAAGTCGTATTTTAATTGTCCTGTTGGGCAATGCCACGTCGAGAGGTGAAGTCGGGATTCCGAGTTCGAGAAGTGGGGGCCACGGCTTTAAATATTAACGCCTGGGGAGCAAACGGCGTACAGCATGAAGCAGGCAGGTGCTTGACACTCTTCCTCATATTTTGGAAGGTGCGCGCGGGAATTGCCATGAGCGTGGGTTCACTTGCCGTGGGCACCCTTGAAACAGGACTTCATACTTCACGAGCAACCGCAGTTCTAGGTAGCATTGTGAGACCAAGACGATGGATGGCCTGCAAATTATGCAACAGAAAACAATCAATGGTATCTCGTATATCGCTATGCACACGTAAACTCGTAGGAGCTGGCATCGCCAGTCAAAAACACTCCTTGAATGTCCTTGTGGCGCGTGGGCCCATCAAGCACCATCTCGACCGCCACGAACAAACAGTCCTGTGAGGATTACTCCTAGGTGGTTTAATTATCCTTCGTTGCCCCCATCCATGCTCGCAAATTAATAACAGCAACAACAACCGCCACAAAACGCAATGCTAGGTATATGTACTTCCGCCAGGCGGTGGCATGGGCCAGTCGTCTTCGGTGATGCTTGACCAGAATACCCATATCATTATTACGCTCAGTAAGGTGAAGAGAGTTTCGAAAAGTCCGCCGTTAATCTTGCGATCGGTGCCATTGCATATGTGCACGCTGATGACGAACTGGAAGATCTGGCCGACAGCGAAGAGCAGTACAGCAGCGGCGAGGAAGACTAGAAGGATGTCAGCTCTGGGTCTACCTCATGGCTCTAGGTTGTGTACTCACGCATTGGCCGCACCTCACCAAGGACCTTCAGCACAAGGACCGTCTCCAGCACGAAGTATACGAAGAGGAACACCAGAGGCACCAGAAAGTAGAGCGTATATAGCGCATATGCTTGGTTTGGGGCCGTGAGTGTGGAGTCCCAGTACCCAGTCCAGCTGAAGCTAGTGTCCAGTGCAATGTAGCCGGTGCCGATGAATAGAGCCGCAGCCGAGCCGAATATCAGAGACAACGATAAAGGTGTTCCGTCGTCGATGAGCTGGTACCCAACCGCGCCGTTCATCATGAGGATCCATAGCGTAGCAACGACAGCCGCGATGTGGACAGCCGAGAAAGCTCTCCGGACGCCGCCATTGAGAGGGAAGCCGCCGACTGTGAAGATTTCACAAATCTCAATCACGATGTACCCTATCAAAAATATCTGCATTTCTCTGCGAACAGAGTCAGTGCTCAAGTCCTCAAGCTCAAACTCAAGGTCAGGCTCCTGTCCGTGACATACCTTCGGCCAACCGCTGCTTTTTTCCTGTCCGATCTCCAGAGCAGAAAGAGAGATATGAGTATCGCAAGACCAGCGATGAGTATAGACCCTATGTGACCGTCAACACACCATTCTCTTTCCCAATGGCAGTAAACCTACCCAAGTTTGCCAGGTATCGCCCATTGCTCAAGTGTATGCCCTCGAGATTGCAACCGTCGTCGAACCCAGAACCACCTCTTGCCTGAGACTCATCGAAGAGATTGCAGACGGGAATCGTAGCGAATCGTGAACCGGCATCGCGGCAAGCGTCGAAGAAATGCCCGTACTGCGACATGCTTCTAACGCTGTAGGTGCGGCCGATGGGTATGGGGGATATGCGCGATGCTCTGCGGCGAGCAGAAGCGCAGTTCCGCGATCCACTGGTATGCGCGCGGGTCTGGGGCTGCGCAGACGCAGGCGCGAACGTGTGGTCAGGTCGTCGAGGTCGAAGGCACGGCCGTCGCTATCGTCGTCGTCGTGGTCGAGGCAGGTTCAAGTTGGAATCGAAGTCGGGTAACGAACGACTGAGAGGGCGTTCGCAGACAGCCCAGGGCAGGTGCGACTCGATGCTCGGCGATTGTCAGTGAGTGAGAGGTGTGTGAGCGGCCAACGAGTGGTGAGGCCTCGCTGGCCTGTGAGAGGTGCCCAGTTTCTGAAACACTGGGCAGCGCGTGCTCTGAGCTGAAGCGCAGGCCTTGCTTTAAAATGAGACAACGGGCGCTAGCGATCCAACGTCAATTTGCGCGGAATACGGTGCGGCGAAGAGAACAAGTTGATGGAATCCGATGGTGAAGAACGCAACGAGTGGCATTTGCAAGGCTGCAACAATAACGACTGGGGGCGTGGGAGTGGGCAATGGCTGAACGGGCACGACAGCCCAGCCTGTCTGTCCATGGAGGTTGGCGCTGCAGTTGGAAACAAGGCACAGATGCAAAGATGCAGCTAGCCCGCACACGAGCCAATCAATGGCGGTAAAAGGCGGCCTGCAGCAAGGTCGTGCATAATGTGCATTTCATTACTCGAGCGCCGCGGCATAAACTCCTCCTAGCAACACATATTGCAGCATCTCTTACACGCCAGCAGCCACCTCACATCAACACTTCACGCAGTTTGCAGCGGGGAGGTGGTTCGTCGTTGCCCTCTCAATCGTTGCTCTTCCAATGCGGAGCTAAGAGCTCCAAACGAAAGCATGCATGAGCTATGAATAGCTCTCCCGACAAGGACTCTGTTCGTTTGCTGACTCTCCATGACATCTGAATGCAAGGTACATACGAGACGTCGGGCACCTGTCAATCTCCTCTGTGACATCACTCGAATGTCGATTTCTCGAAGGGATACGGGGATCGAGGCAGGAGGGTACGTATTGTGTTCGCCAAGTCGGGAGAGGAAGCAGCTCCGCGGCGACCTGCTGAGGGTCGCATAGCAACGTCTTGGGTTGGAAGGAGAAAGTTAATGTTGAAGACATGCTTTTCCTATTTAGTAGTACATGATATGTGTGAAGGTATCAGGTGTGTGGCATCGATCTCGCTCTGGAGATATTGCCTGTTCCGACTGTTCACCAGTTTCGCCTCGTTGCCCGGCCGTGGCCCTCGTGTTGTTTGTGACAGATGCTCCTACTGTAGTCGTCTCCCATGGAGGGCGACTCTTCTCGAGCACTGCCATATCCCTTGCACTCGTCGACAGCCCGCCGAATCGGGCCATCGAGCAACTCCCTCGCCTCCTCCAACTGGCCTTGGAGCTTCACGCGGAACTTCTCCTCTGCTTGCTTCTCGGAAGGATCCTTGATCTCTGCTCCTTGACACAACATGTTGAACCGGTTGTGGATACTGCCGAAGATCTCCCGCATACCTCTCTCGATGCTTCTCCTGTAGCTGGCCGCAGCGTTACCGAACGCCGCGTCGATGCCGTCGTGGACTTTCATCCACACGCCGCTCATGGTGGTGACTTTCTTTTCGAGCATTTCCATGCGTCTCACGGGCCCGCCTCTGCCTTTGATCTGGATGACTTCTTTGTAGATTGGCTCCATTGCCGCTACCAAGAACGCACTTGCAGATGGCATCATGGCGTCCTCTTGGATAGTCCTGCGCCACAGTCAGCAGTGACCTCTTGTTGGGCTCCAATAAACTTACGTCATGTCTTCACGCAGCTGTCTGATCGCAGCCCTGAGGCATCGATCCATGTTCGGTTTCTCCATCTGGAACGAGTCAAGAAACGGCTGAACGGCCATCACGTTGAACTGGGAATCACCTGTAGGTATACTTGTCAGCTTCCATCGGGGCGAGGGAACCAAATATCACTTACTTCTGACTTTAGCCCGCGTGGCATCAAGCATCTCCGTCAGCCGGTCGACGAGCTCCTGGTGAACGGGAAGCAAGCCAATCTGCAGATCGCGGAAGGCGTCCTCCATGTCTTCCTTGACCCGTGGGATCTGCAAGAGCTCTCTATTCCAAGAGACGTCGGCTCGCTTTTTGTTACCTTTCCTGCAGCCTTCCTTCCTCATTATAGGCAAGCCGTCCTTTCTGTACAGTTCGGCCCATCTACGACACAGCTTCCTAGCTTCCATGGCCCAAGTGGATTCAAACGTGTTCATTGGCCTCAAGAGAAGTTCGGTGACTGTGGATCTCAGCTCGTCCTTCGTTACTTCGAGCATGTCCCGAAGCATCTCCTTTGGCTGTAGAACGATAGCCTCGATCTCTTGCTTACGCTTCATGTGTGTCTTGGTGCAGTACAGACCAAGGTAGTTGATCAGGCTGGGAAGCTGGACATTGGCAAGGTGCAAGGCGTCATTGAGCTCGCCATCGGCTGGTATGTTGGAGATGTACGCACGAAGATCGGGGACACCAGTCTCTTTCACGGAGAGAACCGGTTTCTCTTCGATCGTGTGGCCGGCCTGATGCTTCTTGTACGCTTCGTTGCCTACAACAAACACAGCCAGTGGCAGTGGATCTCCTGTTAGATCCTTGTACTGCTCCGTGACCGCTTTCTTGACAGCATGGTTTCGCATACAAGCCCGAAGATGATCGTACTCGAAGAGTTTTGACTTCAGCGTTGACGAAGTCTCCTTCAGCTGCTCTTCGACGTCGAACTTGTCTTCCCTTGTACGGAGGGTCGAATGCTTCCGAGACAGCTTGGTTCTTGCGTCGCGCGTTTCCTTGATGTCTTTCTTCAATTCCAGCTCACGTTCTTTCTGTGCTCTATCTCCGATGAGGTCAGAATCGCCCTCAATATGGTCACCCTTAGTGAGTACCAGCAGCGTGCCTGCAGAGCCTCTTAAACGATAGCCTTGGGCCAGACTCTCTCTGAGGACTTTGTCGTTCTTAGCTCGGCTGACGTCCGCGACCGTGATCTTGTGTGTGCACCGGCGATGGTGAAGAATTGCATTTCTTGCCCGCGTGCTATCCGAGTCTGATAGACCCGGAGTATCAACAAGCACAATGCCTTTGTTGAGGAGAGGACTGTTGAGCCCAAAGTCTACAACGTTGACTAGTGGCCATGGCGAAAGCTGGCCTTCGCTCTCCTCACCACCAAGCTGAAAAGTATACGGTTGGAGCAGGTAGAGCAACTCGGAGGCCGTTGATGCTTCCACCGTAATGCAGTCCTTGCCTTCGAGTTGGTCGGCGGCGAGATCCATGGCCCAAGTGATCAGTTGTTCCTGGACGTCACTGTCCTCATCCAGAGCTGTGTTGAGGTATTCCTGGGCTGCATCGTCATCGGACAACTCTTCCTGGTCGGCGAAGAGGGCTTTGAATATGTCCAGCACAGTGCGTCGCTCCGTGAAGTTGTCCGAGGTCATCTCGTCAGATTCGCCCTCGTCAGCTTCTTGTTTGGTCTTCTCCATCGCATTGGTGTACTTTGTCACAAGGTATGCGATGATCTTGCGAATTTCCGGTGGGCTGAACAGAAAGACTTTCGCCGAGAAAGGTGATACCTGGCCCTCAAAGGGCTTCATGAATCGTTGCACGACCCACGTACAGCTGTCGCCGGAGGCTCCCTGCTCTTATCAGTATTACTACATAGTGACTCCACGGCGAGACTTACATTTCTCGCGACCGTGCCAATGCTCAAGAGAGAGTTGATGAGACTGCTCTTTCCTAGACTGCACGTGAGTAGCGTTACTACAAGTACAGGAGTAATGTCTTACCAAGACCCATGTCACCACAGATCGCGAACATTGTCTTGTCAGGAACGTCGATCTTCGCACGCTTGTGCAACTCGTCCAGCAGGGCTTGAGTCGCACCACTCTGGTATGTCGACGACACGATGGTATCACGAAGCAGGCTGATGGCACGGCTGGTCTGCGCTTGGAGGTTGGCAAACGTCGGATGATAGACCACATGATCGGGGCGAGGCTCGTTGCTGGGTTCGTCGCAATCGTATGGCTCGATATCGAACTCATCGAATGGGGTCTCTTCCGCCATGTTGTCGGATGCCATGATGGTTAGTGTGCCTCTTTGGGCCTGATTGGCATGCAGAGAAAGTCTGTCGAATGTTGTAGCGTCGAAGGAGGAATAGGGCGGTTGATTTGGTTGGTGATGATCGTCTTGTTCGAGGTGGAATTGAAGAGAAGTTGGAGGACAGCTGAAAGACTTAAGTAGTGGTTATGGCATGCGCAGACGGCGTCAATCGGCATGGGAAGCACATGACAGCGGCGACTGAAGACGGCAACCTCACAATGAGCGTCACTTGGGAGCTGTGAGGAAAGGGCTGTGAGAGTGTGAGGGGCAATAAACGTACTGATACCGCGCATGTAGTGATGGTGCATGCCTTCCGTTCGGCTCAAACTTAGCAGCACCCTCCTGCGATCCCCGCCTTCTTCGCCGCACCCTTGTCAGGTCTTCCCAGCGTCACCGACCGTCCAGCATTACCACCACCAGCTCCAGGCCCTTTAACCCCACTTCTCCGATCATTCAGATCATATTTCCCTGCCTCAATGTTCTGGTATATCCTCTCGGCCACCTCCAGAAACGCTCTCTCCACGTTGTCCCCTGATTTTGCACTCGTCTCCACATAGCCCATCACTTTGTTGTTCTGACACCACTCTTCCGCTTCCTCCCTCGTCACTTGTCGCTTGTTCGGCGCTGTGGAATCCCCAGACACCGTCGACGATGAAGCCAAGTCTGACTTGTTGCCCACCAGAACCACCACGATATCATCATCTGCTATTTGCCTCAAGTCGTTCAGCCATGACGTGACAGAAGCAAAGGTGTTCCGCCTCGAGATATCAAACACCAACAACGCACCAGAAGCTCCTCGAAAGTACGACCTCGTTATCGACTTATACGTCTCTTGTCCCGCAGTATCCCACAGACTCAGCTTCATGTGTTTCTGCTGCGGCTCTTTCGGCGTATTCTTCGAGGGCTTCGCATCGCTTGGGGACTTCGTGGGTGGCGTTGATGAAGCGGGGTTGTTGATGTTGTACTGTAGACTAGCCGGCGGTCCTACGGGCACAATCCGGGATCCAAACTCGACGCCGATCGTCACGTCATGGTGGGAGACAAAGCGACCTTCGCAGAGCCGGATTGTCAGCTACAGTCGAGACCATGCATCAGCGGAATGCTGAGACAGATGTGTGGGGAGCAGGCGTACACTTGATTTACCGCTGCCGCTGTCGCCTAAGCTCACGATTTTGGAGATGAAGTCGTAGGGTTGCGCCATCGGGAGGGTTCAGGTAATGTTGAATTGGTCGATTGTTCACAGGTTCGTGCCGGAAACGAGCATGGCGATGTGAGATGGACGAGGTGAGGTTGGATGTGCTCACGATTGTGCACGAGCTTCCCAGCTTAGCCCGGAGCAAGAACCACTCCCCGGACCTGGCTCCGTGCCCGAACTCCACCCCCTCATGGCAGTCTCCTTTTCGTTTGCAGTCCAACGCAAACACCACTGCATTATACCTTAACTCCGCGCAATCATGGAAAACAGATGGAATTGCGATGCAGCCAGGCATCGTCGTTCAACATGATTGTGATTGTTAAGGAGATGGCGGCAGGCAACAGACAATCAGGATCGCCGACTTCCATGTACGCGTAAGTCAAGTATCTGTGTATGATCTACTCACAGAACATTGCCCCCTGTTCGATGGCTTGCCTGTAACTCATATCTGAAAAAGAAGCTGTCGGTCTACGCAATATATATCTGGCCTTACCTTTCTCTCTCAATCCCGGCTGCCCTGAACGGAGAACATGGATCTGCTTACAACACCCGCATGGAAATGGCAAGAAGCCCTAAAGGCTGGCAAAACGACCAGTCGTGAGCTTGCGGAGGCATGTGTACGCCAAATCGAACGATTCAATCACGAGAACGCATGTCTCAACGCCATCATTTCCACCGCACCGCTCGACAGTCTCTTTGCCCAAGCACAAAAGCTCGATGACGAGCGTCCATCCGGTCTTCGAAGCCCTCTCCATGGCAGTCCCATTGTTATCAAAGACATCTTCATTACCGACGCTTCTCTTGGAATGCCGACAACTTGCGGCGCTGCAGCTTTGGCTTCGGCTGTAGGTCGCAAAAATTGTGCCTTGGTCGAGAAACTCCTATCTGCTGGCCTCATCATCGTCGGGAAGGGGAATCTGTCCGAATTTTGCGGACTGAGAGCAAAAGACATGCGTGTGGGCCTTTCCAGCCTCGGTGGACAGACGCATTCACCGTACATCAGCGGCGGTCTGAACGAGGCTGACCAGATGCTTGGGAATACACACCCAGGAGGGTCTTCCTCAGGCCCTGCCGTCTCAGTCGCAGCAGGATTCGCACCCATTGCCATTGGCTCGGATACCTCAGGCTCGCTGATTGTACCTGCGAACAGAGCTGGTCTTTACAGCTTGAGGATCACCAATGCGAAAGTGGCTCCAATGTGCACAGGAATGCAACGAATGAGCAGCTACTATGATAGCATTGGAGCGATGGCCAAATCCGCCAGAGACTTGGCTGACATTACACGTATTCTGCTCGGAGGTGTAAATGGCGATAGACTTGTTCGCCCCAATCCCGCAGCCTTCGAGGGTTTCAGCATCGGCTTTGTGAATCCAGAGCTATGGCGCTATTCCGATGATGTTTGCTATGTGGAAGCTCCTACTCGGAGCCAGCTTGTGAGTAGCTGAGGCCAGGGAGATGTTCTTGAGAAAGATTGTACTGACAATATCGGCATAGGTGCAGGAGTACAGGGGTGCTATAAGCCGGATCGAAAAGCAAGGTGGGCGTACTGTCACCAACGTTGAACTACCACCGATCTCTTCACTCGCGCACGACGAAAAGTCAATAATACATACCACCGCCTGTCGGTTTGTACAACCATCGTTGGCGAATATATGCTTACAAGCTATTCAGTCTCGGAGTGGTCCAAGCTCCTGGAAGAGTTTCTCTCTTCGTTGGGCCATTCACCCATTCGGAGCATCGACGAGCTCATCGCTTGGAACGAGGCACACCCCGAACTGGCCATGCCCGAGCGTAAGTGAAAATGCGGTTTAAAGTTGGAAGAACACCACTAAGACGGCATCCAACAGCATGCCCCAACCAGGATGATCTAATAAAGGCTCGAGACAGTGCATCATCACTGACCAGCTCCGAGAGACAGCAGCTCTTCGATCTGGGAGACCAGCGAGCCTACAAGCAAGGCATCGACAAGGCACTTCGTGAGAACAACGTGGAGCTGTTAGTTGGACCAGCAGACAGTATGCTATTCTACCTCGCAGCTACAGCCGGTAAGCGGACAGATGGACTCACCTCGTTCCAATCCAGCTGATTCGATCAAGGGTGCCCCATCGGAACCATGCCCCTTTCCATGGTCAATTTCGACGATCGCGGAAGACCTGCAAGCCGCCCAGATGGACTCTGCGTTATCCGAAGAAGGGATAGCGACGAGAGGGTTTTGGACTTTCTGATCGCATACGAGAGTGTATTCCCGTTTCGACCAGTTCCACCTGCCTTGGAAAAAGAGACTAAATAGTATCACATCCCACACCCAGCCATCGCCCAAATCCTCGCAACCCTCCCCCATGGATCCCAAACCACCTCCGCCGCATAACTCCTTCTCACACCCACGGGAGCACCAAACAAGTCATACTCCACCGAACTCCGCAGACCAAAGTCGATCTTCTCTGTCCGCAACCCCTTCACCTTGAAATAACACTCCGGGAACTCCTCCGCAGTCATGATCCACAGCTGGCGTAGATGCTGCTTGAGATTTACTTGTACAATGTCTTCCGACGACAGATCGAGGAGACCAGAGCCGGAAAAGGTGTACTGCGGTGAGAAATGGAGGTGCCAAAAGGGTTCAGTCAAGTCAAGCTGGCGGTTGTTGATCCGTGAGAACAGGGTTCGCAGAATCTTGGTGCATCTTACGAGTGGGTCAGATTCGAGGTTTTCTGATGATCCATGGGCTACGAGGTCTCGAGAGGGCTCTGGTACGCTGGACATCTTCTTGGGCGTCGGTTCATGACGTAGCAAAGCGAGTCGTACAGAGGAGATTTGAGTCGTAGGTTGTGGATGCGTCTTGATGAGTCTTGAGCATAAGTTCCGCTGACGTCACGGCAGGCTGATGTATGTACAGTACAACATCGGTCCGCTTATACAAAACTCGACAAGCATGCTCTGCTGAATGGGTCACGACACTTAAGCTGCCCAGGCTGAGCTTATTCAGGGACATTTTAACTTTTCAGGTGGAGCTTTATCACGGCAACGAGTTCTTCTTGGCCGGGACGAAGGCTACCCTTTCCCGCGATGCTGCGGCAGTAGCAACACTGCTCCTAGGGGCCCTAGGGGCAAGGCTGTGACAAGCATGCCAGGGTTCCTGCATTATTGGCATCAATGCAGAGATTCTGACCCACATTCCCCTTCCAAGTCTAGCTGACCGGCGTCGATATTGCAGAAGTTGATTCCTGATTGGGATGTTGCTTGCTATTGCGGCTGAGTTGCTGGATGCTTGAAAAAGGGTCATGTCGCGACGTACGCTTATGCCCTGCGTCACAGGCCTGAGGTCATCAAGATATATGGATGAGCAATGCCACTTTGGCCGACGTCGTCGCACTGTCAGCTCATGTGCCTTGAAAGAAGAGGACTCAAACGACGAGAAGGGATGTAGCAAAGTCCGACCCGGTCTCTGTCAGCTTCACGAACAACATGCCGTGCAGACTCCAGGTCCTCATCGCAGGTGGCGGGATAGGCGGACTCGCCTGCGCCATCGCCCTTCGTCGCGCTGGGCACTCAGTCACCGTCCTCGAGAAGTCGTCACTCAGTCACGAAATCGGCCAGGGCATCACTTGTGCTCCCAACGGCTCAAAAGTGCTGGATCGTCTCGGATTTGATATCTCCAAGCAACTGCCTCTTGCAGATTACATGGGGACGCATGTCGTGAAGGCTGACAACTTGGAAATTTTGAGCTGGCAAGACTACAGCAATCTGAATGAGCGGTTAGGATTCCGAGTGAAAACTGCATACCGACCGGATCTACACGCTGCATTGGTCGAGCTGGCTACTGGTGCGGGAGAAGGTGAAGCAGTCATCATCAAGACGAAGACAGGTGTGGCAGAGTGGAACGCCGAGGCAGGAAGTCTCGTTCTTGAAGACGGCGCTGTCTTGACGGCAGACCTCATCATCGCCGCCGACGGTGTGAAGTCTCAGGCAGCCAAGCACATCCTCGAACCACACCTTACATGTCCAAGCATCGACTCCAGCAGCACTATCGTCTATCGATTCACCCTGCCCACCGCCAAGATCAAGAATGACCCCGAAATGAGCCACCTCTTAGATGCAGGTGATGGAATTTGTACGTTCAACGTCTCGACTCCGAGAATGGATCGATGGCTTGTACGATACTACTGCCGCAACAACGAGATTTGTAACTTCGCACTCTATGCTCTTGAGAGTCGATCAGAGACAGACCTGCAGGAGAACGGACTGAGGTTCAAAACCGACCGAAGTAGCCTGGTGAAAGCCATGCAAGGGTTCCACCCAAGTCTGCTCAAAGTCGCGAGTCTAGCAGACGACGTCCTCCCTCTCTGGCGTTGTACGACCCGTGAACCCCTCGAACGATTGCATAGAGGGAGAATGGCAGTCATCGGCGACGCAGCACATCCACTACTACCGCATCAGGGCCTCGGAGCGGTCTCTGCAATCGAAGACGCCGGGGCGTTGGGCGCCTTATTTTCCAATCTCCCATTGCACTCCTCTCAAGATACCGGACGACTCGTGAGCGAACGACTGGAGCTTTTCAGCCAACTACGAGTTCCCCGCGTGGCAGCTTACAAGTTCTATTCTGATACGCCGTTCTTTCGCGATGCAGTGCAGGAACAAGGTCAGAAAGTCATGAAGTGGTATAAAGGGGAGGATTTACCCGCGAGAGCTGAGGACTTGAGGCCTTGGTCTATGGCTTACGATGTTGTCGAGGACGCAGAGCGGAAGATGGCGGAGGCTGGATTCTTGGAATGAGATACTAATGTATATAATTAGAATAGATATTGAGTCTTGGACCTCCTGTTTAGCTTCTGAAAATGCGAAGACAGCCAGATCCGCCGGGCCTGGCTCCGCTCCCAGCTCGACGTGCGTCAGCGGCTTCGACGATCCCATTTGATCGGACGATCAACTAAAATCCAACTAAATTGAAGACGCTCGAAGCCAGCTCTGCGAAGCAAAATCTGTATGGCATCAGTCCTGTCCACCAAGTGATGTTGCAGTCGACGCGCCTTCCTGCCAGCACCTCACCGTCCCGCGCCTTCCCTTCCTAGCCCCGGACCGAGTCAAGTCAGCAGGACGGCCAATGACGCCCGCCGAGTCAACCCACGAGTCCATGTGATTCGAACGCCAAACAACCATTTTGCTCTTAAGCCGACGCCAGACGCTTTTCTCACGGTCTTTTCGGTCTTGTTCAGTACATTCATTGCTTCCCTACTCTTCCACACGCTCCTTCGCGACCATGGCGTCCAACGGCAATGCGGAGAATGTCCAGCCAGCTGCTGGCGAGAAGAGACCTACCGTCTGCGTCTTGTGAGTGAATGACTCCTCCCATACTCCATACCACCCTCTGACAATGACACCCCAGCTGCGGTGCCTCCCCAGGAACCTCCCCCGCCCACCTCGAAGCCGCCCGCGCCCTCGCCCGCGCCTTCCACACCCACGGCATCAACCTCGTCTACGGCGGCGGCACCGTCGGCGTCATGGGCGAGCTCGCCAAAACCCTCGTCTCCCTCTCCGGCCCCAGCGCCGTGCACGGCGTGATCCCCGAAGCGCTCCTCGTCTACGAGCGCAACGGCCGCGAAAAGGGCAGCAAAGTCACCATCGACATCGACGAGAACGTCTACGGCCGCACGACCGTCGTCAAGGACATGCACTCGCGGAAGCAGCTCATGGCGCGGGAGGTGATCGATAGCGGACCCGGCGGTGGGTTTGTGGCGTTGAGTGGTGGGTATGGGACGATGGAGGAGTTGATGGAGGTGGTTACGTGGAATCAGCTGGGGATTCATGCGAGGGGCGTGGTGGTGTTCAATGTGGAGGGGTATTATGATGGGTTGTTGAATTGGGTGAAGACGGCGGTGAGTTCGGGGTTCGTGTCGGAGAATAATGCGCGGATTATGGTCGAGGCGAAGACCGGAGAGGAGGTGGTCGAGCAGTTGAAGGGGTATCAGAATGCGGAGGGGAGGTTCAAGTTGCAGTGGGGGGAGAAGTGAGGTCGGAATGGGGGAAGTGGTATCACCTTGCTGGTCTCGCCATGAATGCATGAATACATCGGAGTTGGGGCGGGGGCGTAACAAGACATGGGAATCTCGAAAAAGGAACGCGAGACGATTGACGGAGTTCAAGATGATACAAGACCTGAGAGTTTGACCTCAGCAGAGTCGCTCAATTGCTCAGTAGCCCTCAATGGGACCTTGCCATTGCTCTTCGGCAAGGCTTTGCTCTTCACCAAGATCCTCTTCATGCACATACTCCATCTTCTCGAGTTCGCGTGTGAAGTAATCCATTTCCTCGTCCAGCATCCCCTTGTCCACGCCCATCACATCGGGGTAGTTGCGGACATTCCACCAGTGTGTCAGCGCTCGTAAGCTCTGCTCCAGCGGCAAGGCGTCCTCGACAGTTCCATCGACGTCCCCGACACAAGCACCACCCATTCCACCGCCTCCTCCCGAAAGCCAGTCGTCTCGCAACTCAGCAGGCACCGACAACCACACAGCCGTGATGATCTTCATATTGCCCTGTCGCCACTTCCTCCCACAAAATGGAACCTGCGACTTGAACAGCTTCAGCGTGTAGTACCGCAGCGGTTGCACCGGGATCTTCAAAGTCTTCTTAAGATGGTTGGAGCTTTTATAGCTGACCAGCAACAATGCTCGATGAGTCTTCCGACGCGTAACTTTTTGCAGTACTCGGAGGTAATTGATGGCGCTGAAGATGTTGCGGTAGGAGTAGTTCTTGAGAGGTGTGGTTGGGAGGGGCGTCTGTGGGTATCCGAGTTCGTCGATCTCAGGTGGATGGGTGAAGTCTGTGGCTTCGGCGGAGGTTGGTGAGAGCGGGTTCTCGGGCACTTCGTCGCGCCTGAGCTTGATAGGCGGTGGCGCGGCTTCGTCTTCGGACTCTTCAGCTGGGAAGCCGTTTGCCTCGTGGAGTATCTGTGGCGGTCCATTCCGGGAGGTGGTCTGGCAGAAGTAGAAGAAGTTGCGATCGTCTCTGTCGAGTTTGTAGTGGCATGCTCGTCCGATCTCCTGGGTTTGCCAGAGCTTCAGTATGAGGGGAACGTAGTTTGAATCGAGCAGCAACTGCGTCGTGTACTCATATTGCAAGACGTGAGACGCTTTGAACCATTTCAGCAGCAGCAGCAAGATGGCACTCAATGCCTTGGCTGCGATGTCCTGGGATCGCAGCTTGTCAAGAGATTCTGCAGTGTTCTCAATGCCATCGCCATTGTGATTTACACCATTTTCGATCGGCTTTGTGCCATTGATGCCGTTGGCCTCGTTGAATTGAATGCCGGCCTGAAGACCATTCTGCCCGTTGCCCTTAGTAACTAGGTCAGTAACGTTCTGCAAGACCGCTTTCAAAAGGACTATCACTACACTCTGGAGGTGAGGTAGCGATTCTCGATAGTATGTGTCGACCTTGGCCAGTACTCGTTGCTCGTCAGTCATGGCAATAGGCTGGCCTTGTTCGGCTGTCTCGTCGGGATTCGTCTTCGGTACAAGCTCAAAGTCGTCCACATCAGGTAGTTTCTCGTCATCATCTGGATTTTTCCATCCGCGTTCTTGTTTCATAAAGTCAACTCGTGTCTCCCAAAGCTGCTTCATGGCCCTCGTCGCTCGCATCCGCTTCGCAAACAGCTCAGCTGCTTCGAGGATGCTAGTCGGAACGTCAGAGCCTTCCCACTTGCGTCCAACAAGCGCATCTTGAAGCTCGGTGCTTCCCTTTCCGCCAAGGTCGTTGCTACTGGCATCGAGTGGTGGATACAGGAATGGGAACATCTGGTTCGTCTGGTAATTCTGTTTCTTTCCTGCTTTGCCTGGACCACCAGGCGATGGCGGCGGAGAAGGCGCCGGTGTTGCGATGTGCACTGGTTGGTGCATGAGCGATTCTGTCCCCACGCTAGGGGCCCCAGTGAAAACAGGGTCAGGAACGTTGTAGCTCGGCCTGCGATGCTTGAGGGGCGGAAGTATACTGTTGTTCTCTGGTTCGAGTGGGAAGATAGGCGGTGGCGGTTGGTATGCAGGATATTTTGAGTTGATCTCTTGTCGAAAGAGATGGTAATCCAAAGGTGATGCGGTAATGATGGGTTGGCCACGAGCGTCCATCTCCTCGACGTCTTCTCGCAGAGATGATTTGACACGTTCGACGTCCTTGATGCCACCAAACGACACGAGTATCGTCTTCCAAGCTAGAAGCAGCATTTTCGTCAAGGGTATTGGAGCCTGCTCATCCCAACGTAGTCTTGCGACAATCTGGGTGAGATAGTTGAGGAAATTGGGCTCTAAAGCAAGAACATCGTCCTTGAGAGCTGAGCCGTTTCCGGTCGTGCGGGCCACCTCCACGAACAAGTACATCAGTGTCAAGCAGCACCAAAGCTCCAAACTTTCATCGCCGCGCCGTATCTGTGATTCGTTGCGCGACGGCATCTCTGGGGGAGAGTTTCGAAAGTCTTCGTCACAAACGCGACGAAGGGTATCGTAGATGGCTTTGAGCCCATTGCACGAATGCAATGTGTCGACCATCGCAACAATCCATTGTATCTGAAAGCTGGAAGAGCCAAAATCTTCGAGTCTTGAGCCTCCAAAGCTGCTGTCCGGAAAGAGGTCGTCGAGAGCGCATCCTTCTTGGCGGCCTGCCGTCTCTTCCCAAATACCAAGACCCAGATATGTGAGGACCATCAACGCTTTTGAGCTGTTGCCCTGCTCTTTAGGAGTGTCTCTGAGGGAACTTATCCAGCGTTCTGTAAAAGCTCGACGAGCATCCTCGGTCACATCCAGCCAGTCGAGCTTGCCATCTTCTGTAGACCTCCACTCTTCATTAAACACTGCCTTACATCTTCGCAGCTTCAACTCCTCTTCCTCGCTATAGCTGAACCACTCCTCCAATTCCACGGGGAACGACTGGGCATCTTGGTAATCAAAGTCGTAGACCTTCTCATCCTCGAGCAATTGCTGCTTCGGCGGCGCTTGTGCGTTCGGGAACGAATTCCGTATCCTCTTGAGGTCCGCGAGTGTCAGGCTATCGGGATTCTCTTGCGAGAAGTCCACGCTCTCTGCAGGTTGGCCTGGTGGAGCTGGAGGGGGTTGTGAGGACGGGGGTGCGGAATTGTCTCGTTTCAAGGCTGGTCGCGAGGGCAAAGCAGCTCGTGATGCTGGAAGTACCGGCTGCGCATCTGCTTCTCCATTCTGTACTAGCCCCTCGACTTCGGCGGTGTCGATACCAGGCTTGGGGACGGTGTCGAGGACAACATTGCTGGACTCCTCGTCCTCATCGACTGGGCGAATGGTCGGGCTCGTTTCTCCTGCCTGAGGCAAGTTTGGGTTCTCAACTTCGTCCATGGTCAGTCTCGCGACGCCGTAGCATCGTGAGTTGGCGGTAGGTGAAAGCAGATGGTCGCGGTCTGGGCGCTTGTTGAGGTGTGGTTGTGGGTGGACCCGAATTGTCGGCCCGCTTGCGAGGGATTTGGAAGGCGCGCCAGACACGAGACCGCTCTCACTTCGACATCATCTGTGATCTTCACCGACCTCTACTCTCCACAATGCAACACAGAATTTGACTCAAATGTTAGCTTGCGAAGATATAATGTCTTGTCATCGCTTGCATCAAAGACACGCTCCACCGGCCTCCATTTGGGCGACTTCTCCGATACCGTACAGCCTGCCATCCATCAGCAACAAACAAGTGAAAAACGTAATAGCAGGCAAGGCGACCAGACAAATTCTGCCTCATATCGTCAAACACCTTTCTGAAATGCGGCAACGGTACCGAGAACCTGGCCATTCGAAAGAGAGAAAGCGCACAACCCATCGCTAGCAAACATGAAACACCTGGCGCCGCATTCGTCTCTGCTATAGTGAGATTACTAGCAGACATCCTGGGCTCGCCACCACAATGCTCGCTCTCAACATTTCTCCTTGGTTGCAATCATGTTGCTTGACGTGTCCATGCACATCCACATGTTGTCTCGCCCATCGACCCACTGTCTCGAAGGCTTCATGTTAACAGCCTAGCCACCCACAGGCTACTCAGGTAGGATATAACAAGACTTTTGCTTTCAAATTGTTATCCCTCTCCAAGAATCTACGCTCTTTACAGTCCTTACTTACACTCATTCAAAATGCTTCCTTCTACCTTTCTTATGGCTCTGGTAGCCGTCTATGCCCCGTCGACCGTAGCACTCTCAGGAGAGGCGACCTTCTATGGAGGCAACACCCAAGGCGGCATGTGTAGCTTCTCAGACTACACCATTCCAGACGGAATCTACGGCACTGCCATCAGCGACTCGAATTGGGATGACAGCGAGGCCTGCGGAGGCTGTGTCAAAGTGACCGGCCCGAATGGCAACAGCATCACAGCTATGGTTTGTGGAGTGATCCAAATGCATGCAAAAGTCCTGACTGATCGATATAGGTCGTCGACCAATGCCCTGGCTGTGGTGAGAACCACCTCGATCTCTTTCAAGATGCCTTTGCTCAACTTGCAGACCCAAGTAAAGGCGTGATTGATGTTACCTGGGAGTACACTAAATGCCCTATCTCAAGCGCGCTGGAAGTTCAGATGAAAGAAGGCGTATCAGCGAACTGGTTCTCAGCTCATATCGTCAATGCCAACCAGGTAAGTTAGCACGGCTTCTGTCGAGATGCCCCCTAGTCTGACAAGTTTTCTAGCGTGTCTCCGACTTGCAAGTCAGTACCGACGGTGGCAGCACATGGCAGTCCGGTCTCACTCGACAAGACTACAATTACTTCGAGCAGTCGTCCGGGTTCGGCACGGATAATGTCGCTATCAAGGCCGTAAGCGTGGATGGTGGTTTTGTCGTGGTGAAGGGATGCTCTGTGACCGGAGGCGCAACCAAGGACGGATCTGGCAACTTTTAGACATTTGCTGCGGGTCAGCATGGTGTAGAGAGAACGTATCTTCGTCCGAGTGCAGTAGAAGATCTGTGACAGATCTCTCCGCTAGGCTATGAAATACTCTCGATCGTAAGAGCCTTGAGAGGGCATGGTCAGACTTCGTTTCTTGGGGATCTTGGGTGATGGAAATCTACCAGTTCTCCTTCAGCAGCCCGGCCGAAACTGTTCAGTGAAGTCATATCGTTATACCAAAGCTTGTGTATATTCCCTCTGAACACCTAGAGAAGAGCACCATACTGGACCTCACAGCGAAGAGCGCACGTTTTGTTGATGGCGTCGGCTGTTCCCGGGAACTCGTGCCAAGACGGTAGTGGTCAGTGCTCGCCGAGGGCAACTTTGCACTCCCTACCAGACCTCATCACGAAGCTCTATCCACCTCTCCCCTCCCACACACAACACATCTCCATCTCCGCAAAGATGCTGAAGAAGTACGTCCTATCACATGAAACACTTTGACACTGCCATTGGGCCCCAGAACTGACCGCCAACAGCGGCATCGCACGGGCGGCTCGCGCTGGCCTCCAGCAGTCTCGCAGACCTGCTTTCCGCGCCTTCCAGCCCAAGACTGCTGCCCCCATCATCTCGCAGCGATTTGCCTCCAGTGACTCGGCCAAGGATGGCAAGATTCACTCCGTCATTGGTGCCGTCGTGGACGTGAAGGTAAAGCCGCGCCAGAGCTGTGCATGCTTTTCGGAGCTTCGGACAGGGTGCTAACACATCGCAGTTCGGCTCAGAGCAGCTCCCTCCAATTCTCAACGCCCTCGAGACGACGAACGGGGGTCAAAAGCTGGTGCTTGAGGTCGCAGTATGTTGATATCATAGCAAGATGCGATACCCGAGGGGAGCTTGGCGCTAACGCGGGACTGCAGCAACATTTGGGCGAGAATGTCGTGCGAACAATTGCTATGGACGGTACCGAAGGTCTCGTTCGTGGCCAGAAGGCCACCGACACTGGCTCTCCCATCATGATTCCCGTCGGTCCAGGAACGCTTGGCCGTATCATGAACGTCACTGGTGACCCCATTGACGAGCGGGGCCCTATCAAGCACGACAAGAGACTGCCTATCCACCAGGAAGCCCCAGAGTTCATCGACCAGTCCACCAGCGCCGAAGTGCTTGTCACTGGTATCAAGGTCGTCGATCTTCTCGCCCCATACGCCCGTGGTGGTAAGATTGGTCTCTTCGGAGGTGCAGGCGTCGGCAAGACTGTGTTCATTCAGGAGCTCATCGTGAGTGTGAAATGCCAAAGACCCGTTGGGCAGACACTAATATGTGCGTAGAACAACATCGCCAAGGCTCACGGTGGTTTCTCCGTCTTCACCGGTGTCGGTGAGCGTACCCGTGAGGGTAACGATCTGTACCACGAAATGCAGGAGACTGGTGTCATCAACCTCGACGGCGAGTCCAAGGTCGCCCTTGTGTTCGGTCAGATGAACGAGCCTCCAGGTGCCCGTGCTCGTGTCGCTCTTACTGGTCTCACCGTCGCTGAGTAGTACGTATTTCGGCGAGGAGAAGCCATGATCTCAGACATTTACTGACTTTATGCCTTCTAGCTTCCGTGACGAGGAAGGCCAGGACGTCTTGCTCTTCATTGACAACATCTTTAGGCAAGCAAATTCGACTCCCGATCTCTAACAACATACTGACAATATTCAGATTCACCCAAGCTGGTGCTGAGGTGTCTGCTCTCCTCGGTCGTATCCCATCTGCCGTCGGTTACCAGCCAACTCTCGCCGTCGACATGGGTGGTATGCAAGAGCGTATCACCACCACCAAGAAGGGTTCCATTACCTCTGTGCAGGCCGTCTACGTGCCAGCTGACGATTTGACTGACCCTGCCCCGGCCACCACCTTCGCCCATTTGGACGCCACCACTGTGCTTTCCCGTGGTATCTCTGAGTTGGGTATCTACCCAGCTGTCGACCCTCTGGATTCCGCCTCCCGTATGCTTGACGCCCGTATCATCGGTGACGACCACTACCAGACTGCCACCCGCGTCCAGCAGATGCTCCAGGAGTACAAGTCGCTCCAGGACATCATCGCCATTCTGGGTATGGACGAACTTTCGGAACAGGACAAGCTTACCGTCGAGCGTGCCCGTAAGATCCAGCGTTTCCTGAGCCAGCCTTTCACTGTCGCCCAAGTCTTCACTGGTATCGAGGGCAAGCTCGTCGCCCTCAAGGACACCATCGAGTCTTTCAAGAAGATCATGGAGGGTGAGGGTGACGACCTCCCAGAAGGTGCTTTCTACATGGTCGGCGACTTCTCTGAGGCACAGGAGAAGGGCAAGAAGATCCTGGCTGATCTCGAGAAGTCCTCATAGACGTAATGGGGATGAGGGGAGATTAGGTGGTCGAGATTTCCAGCGCCGTGTGACTTGTACAGACTACAAGCGCCAGGGAAAAGCGAGATCATAAGTAGAGGATTGCTTGTAACCGTAGAACTCGAAAGCGTTTCCTTTGTCTGAGCAACACATCTCCAGTCCCTCGTCTCTCTGTGTGGTGCTCTGAGCTACGTCTTACCACGGACAGCTGGAAATCGTATACGAGAAGGGAGGGCAAAACATAGGCCAAAGAGCTGACCACTTCAACAAGGAAAAACGTCCAACAGCTCGAATTATCTCCAAAAAGCCAGCAACCACTGGTCTTCTCCGCAGATGGACAGTGGCTCAGACAGTGAGAAAAGCTGAGAGTCCATCAACAAAGTTCTTCGAAATGCATGGCTACGCAAGGCGCGCTTTATTCTCGGGTATATACGTATACACTTGAAGGTATTTGACCCTAACCCGTCGGCCAACTTCACGGGCGATCTGGATCCTGGCCGCAGACTCGAACTCGCGCTTCGGACGACCTTGACCATGAGGAGTCATGTCTACGCGGAGATTGACCATCAACCATTCGATTTCATCGCCTGAGCCAAAGGGATAGATTGCCTCGACGGTGTGTTGCCAGGATCCGCCTGCTGTAGCGATGGTTTGGCCTTGGAGGATGTCTTCATTCATGAGGGTCAGGAAGGACTGTAGTTGGAGAAGGTTGGTGGAAGGGTTTACCTTCTGTTCCTTGGAAGATCTTGCCTTGGACTTTCAGGACACCATCGTCGGTGAAGATGTCTGCGAATTCGTCGATTCGGGATGGGTCGTCGAGGCAGTCGTAGAGTCTGCGGATTAGGTCCGTGATGTCTTTTGGAATGCGTGTGGCATGGTGCGTTTTGCCGTCGTGGATGCCCATGGTGAATGTTTGTCTGGCAGTGGACGTTCAGGTGTTGTTAGTGATGTTTAGGTGTTCAGCTTTCTCCAGATGTGAAGTGCGAATTTCGCAGCATTCATTTGTGCTTGCTGGATTGGGTACCACTCATTCGAGCCAGTCGACAGCTTCATCTCGATATGCAAAAACCGATCGTCCATGACCTCGTCCTCGTACATTGATTGTTTGTCCTTGTATTTGCATTTCTTCGCTAAGAGCGATGTCTGGTTCGTCTCGCCAGATTTCAATCTTGCTCCATACTTTCTGAACAGATGCCATTGTTGCTACTCTCTTAGCTTGATCCATGTCGGCGACCTCGAACAGAAACATCTTCGCCTCGATCTGTTCCGCGATGTGAAGAAGTCTCGGATAAAAGAGATCGCCAATGGCCTCGTCGTCGCCACTTGGAGGACCTGGAGGGACGAGCGCAAGCCTAGGCTCGTACTGCCTGACAGATCTGCTGGTCGTTCGCTGGAAGCCGCTTGGTGATATGTATGGTGGGTTCGAGATGAGGATATCGAAGATCGGGCGATTGGACCCGTCTCGCAATCGATCAAGAGCTTGTGATAACGATAGAGGCTGGTCTTCCACATCCGCATCGTTGTTTAGTATATCCGCTTGAACGAAGCCAATGCTGTTGAGTGACTTATTTTGCTGAGGACTGGAGGATGGTGATTCTGTATGCTGAGCCATTTGGTGAATGAGGTTCTCCCTGGCCAGACTGAGTGCATCTGATGAAACATCGACTCCGACGAGCTCCAACGAAGTATCCGCGCCGGGACTGCGGGCGTAGAATTCGTGGTGGAAGAGGAGAGGTATACATCCGGATCCCGTGCAAAGATCCAAAACGCGGAGAGGCGAAGGCAGCACGTACTGCCGATCATTCTTCAATCTCTTGACAAAACATGAAACGGAAGCAGCTGTTTCTGGTCTTAAAGTAGATGTATGTCAGACGCAAGATTGTGGTAAGCATGTGTATGTCAATCACACCTTGGAATCAGCACACCAGGCCGGCATCGGATCTCAAGACCGCCAAAGTACTCTGAACCCAATATGTACTGCAACGGCTCTCCTTGTGCACGACGTGCAACATAGCTGTTCAACACATGATGGTGGTCCACGCGAGCACGCTGTGAGACCTTGATGGCGTGCTGCTGCATCCATCGTAATTCATTCTGCGCGGATCTGAGGTCTCTGCAGGCCGGAAGCAAAGAGACTAACGCATTGCTGATTGCTCTGGCTCGTAGAAAATCCTTTGGGCTGATGCGTGGCATGGGTGTAGTTTGTCTGCGTGAAAGCGGCAAGTGGTGTTGACAAGGCCCATATTGATGTCTGAGGCACCCATGCAGGAAGCGTGGACCCTGGAGAGCTCGTGCCCGCCATCAGTTACTGGCTACTGGTCCTTCACTGCGAGCAACAACCCGCCGCCGCACGTCACTTGTTGCCTTCAAGACAAAACCCTTGCAGCGCGGGCTCTTCTCTTCAAATACCGTCCACACTCTTCTCATTTCTCCCTCCATCACCAGCGACAAACACCGCTACACAGCATTAGCATCAGCACCCACCTACCCACCTCCCGCCACCCTCGAGCTGATCGCCCATCATGAAGCTCACTTTCAAGGACCTCAAGCAGCAGAAGTTCACCATCGACGCCGAACCGAGCGAGACCATCGGTCAGGTGAAGGAGAAGATCAGTGCAGAGAAGGGCTGGGAGACGTCGACGCAGAAGCTCATCTACTCGGGCAAGATCTTGCAGGATGACAACACCATCGAGTCCTACAAGATTGAGGAGAAGGGCTTCATTGTGTGCATGACATCCAAGGTATGACATGGAGATCCTGCAAGGTCACCAGCAGCAGCATGCTGACATGTGAACTCAGCCGAAAGCAGCACCATCCAAAGCATCAGAGCCCTCGACCCCAGCCAAGACTGCTGGCACTCCCGCGCCTCCAGCTGCCCCAGCACAGTCCGCACCTTCGACGACCTCGCAACCGCCGGCTACTCCATCTCCTGCTCCTGCTTCCACTGCTGCGACGACCGAAGGCAGCTCGTTCAACGACCCCTCTGCTCTCGCTATGGGCGAGCAGCGCGCCGCTGCAATCTCTGGCATGGAGGCCATGGGATTCCCCCGCGACCAGATCGACCGTGCGATGCGCGCCGCTTTCTTCAACCCAGACCGTGCGGTAGAGTACCTTCTCAACGGCATTCCAGCCAACGCGCAGCAAGAGGAGCGTCCAGCGGCGGCAACACCCCAGACAGGCGCAGGTCAAGGCGAAGGTCAGCAGGCGGCAGCTCCAGCCGCACCTACGACAGGAGGCAATGCTCCGGCCGGTGATGAGCCAGTGAATCTCTTCGAGCAGGCAGCTGCACAAGCAGGCGGTGCTCGTGGAGGCGCTGGTGCTGGTGCTGGTGCTGGTGCTGGTGCGGGCAATTTGGGCGCTGGACAAGGTGGAGGCGAGGGCGCTGGCCAAGGAGCCGCTAACCTCGAGTTCCTTCGCAACAACCCACAGTTCCAACAACTTCGCCAGGTCGTTCAGCAACAGCCGGCGATGCTCGAGCCTATTCTGCAACAGGTCGCCGCTGGTAACCCACAGCTCGCTGCCATCATCCAGCAAAACCCAGACCAGTTCATGCAGCTGCTCATGGAGGACGGCGACGATGACGCCCCGCTCCCGCCTGGTGCGCAGCAAATATCGGTCACTGAGGAGGAGCGGGAGGCAATTGAGCGCGTGAGTAACTTCACATTTGCCTTTGACCTCTACCATTGAATGCTAATTACGTTACAGCTCTGCCGTCTCGGGTTCGAGCGAGACATGGTGATCCAGGCCTACTTCGCGTGCGACAAGAACGAAGAGCTAGCCGCCAACTTCCTCTTCGACCAGCCCGATGAGCCTGACGAGCCAAACGCTTAAGAGAGCGCTAGAGGGAGGAGAGGCATACTTACTTCAGCGGAGGTATTCTGTTTTTCAGGCGCTAGAATGGCTCACGAACGATCGACGAAAGCGTTTGCATACCCCTTCACGCCCCTGATGTGAGCAGTCATGTAGCTCACCTAGGCTACGCTTCAGCATAACGAGGCGAGGAATACTCGCCTGGGATGTACATAGCGTTGCCACGAAGAGAATAAGAAAGTAACGATTATCCAAAAATGTGAACTAGAATATTGCTTCGTTTGACCTCACTTCCGTCACCTGTTTGTACAATCATCAAGTGAATGCACAACACTGGTAGCGGAGATATTGCGGCCGGATGGTGGCGTGGACGAGGTGGTCGCCGTAAATGTCGTTCACCAAGCCACTTCTACGCTAAGCCAAAAGGGGTGGTGCTCGCTATCCAAATAACGGAGCATCAACCTTCGCTTCAGTGTCTTTATTGCAACCCCTTCACCCCGGCCCCGACGACTGCCTCTGGTCGATGGCGGCAGCGAGCTTGTTGTTGTTCATTTGATTGCCGTGTGACGACGACACACCGCCGGTTTGACTTGTTTTTACTTCGATCCTTACGAGAGTAATCCCAGGAACCCGCCACGGGTCGGGGTTGCAGGCTTTGAGCCAACCTTCCGAATCTTGACGACAACTACACCCTCACGGCGCAGGTCAACAGGTGTGTTAGCCCCTTCTTATCTCATTCAATATTGCGAGTTGCCGTGGGCTCGGGTCTCCTGCACCTGACATCGATCCTACTTTGTGGCTTCGCCCTCGCCGCACCTCCGCGTGGACCAACAATTTGCAAAGTACGAGAGGCAATTCAATCCTTTTTGTTACCAGCAAACTTGGCGGCGGCACCAGAAGCATCGTGGCAGCACGGCGATCAAAGCATCTGCCAATTCATGTTTGATCTGACCGCACTGCGGGCCTTTGGCCTGTTACGTGGTTTCATCAGACTCCAGGCAATGTTTTTCTCGGCTGTCTGACCTGTTGCGTCGACGGCTATCCCACCTTGCCTCTCAACAACAAGCACTCAACCATCATTCATGCATCAAGCGTCGACTGACAGGTTCGATGATTCAGAGATGAGTCCCAGGACAGCCGCTGCAATCGCAGCCAGGACTCGCCGCACGCCTCATGGCAAAGGCCGCTTTGATCCATCAGAGCCGCTACACATGACAACTCGACATGCCGCTCGCAACGGCAAAACCAATGGCACGCCTTCGCCGAACGGATCCGTGGATGACGACGACAGTTTTCGTGGTTCTTTCGACGAGATAAATGTCATGTCTTCTCAGAGCCTTGGCAGTCCGAACTCCACCAAAGGCAGGCGTATGTCGCTCACTTCAGCCAACGGCGCTTCTGCTGCGAATTCATCTTTCGAGTCGAAGTCATTTATCGACCAGATTCGCGAATACAACCAACAGAAGCCACTGTCGCCGGTGCTTCAATCCCCCTCGCCATCTCGCAAACGCAAGAGATCAACACCAACCCCGCCGGAAAGCCTCAATGGCGTCGACAACTCGCTAGCTAACAGCGTCGCCGAGATGATGGAGCAAGATCCTCGAGACTTTGTCGAAGTTGTTCATCCCGATGATTTGTCCGACCGTGAAGAATCTGACGGCTCCGTGGAGTCCGAAGAACAATTCGCTGGAGACTTCTTGGGTGCCACACAGTCGACCGAAAATACTCCAGCGGCGACACCTCTTGGATCACAAGCTGTATCTCCTGTTTCAGAAGAGTCGAATCCAGATGCTTACTTCCTGACAAAACTTGTCAGTGTCGCCAAAGCCGAGGTAATGAAGCCTGTTGAACCGGACGATGTCGACGATGTGGAAGTTGAAGATGCCGAAGAATTGGTCGAAGCCGATGAGGTAGATGATGTCGAGGGCGCCGACGACGGGGATGATCAAGTGAGGGAAGTTATCGATGGTCAACCCAGAAGACGACTCGCCGGACGGCGCCGAGCTGAGCATCACGACCCGAAGGTCGAGGCAACGATGCGGAGGCAGCTTCAACTGAAATCTACTTTTCGTGCTATTGCTCGTGCACTGAAGCCGGTACTCGCAGAAATCGCACAGAAGACGGTCGAGAACCTGGAGGAAGAACCTCATCTTCATGAGCAGGTGGTAGAGTATCGAGGCACTGAAGAGGAGGAAGGCATCCAGCAGCTACTCGACGATGCCCTGGCACGCAGAAAAGCTCAACTGGAGGCCCAGTTCCGATGGAACAAGCTGAACCTACAGAAGACGTTACAGGGCGAGGACAAAGTACGGCGATCGCGTTGTGAGCTCCAGATTGCAGACCTTCGTGATCTGCAGTTTGACCGGTTAGAGCACGACCTGTTGACTGTCGCTCGGAATGCCCAAAAGACTAGTGGTGATATTGGGCACGAAACCGACGACGAAAGCGACGATGTTGTTCTGCGACCTCATGCAACCGACTATCGATACAAGAGAACAGGAACCTTGGATTCGAAATACGATTCTAGAAGTCGACTTACTTTGGAAAGCGAAAGGGCCATCGCCGATCTGCAAACTCGTTTTGACATGTTCAAGATGCTGAAGGCAGTTCGTCCAGAGGATAAACCTGGCGGCATGCGATTCTTCGCCACAATGGACAATACAGCCCGTGAGGCTGCAGAAGCTCGGCGAGAGTCCGTCATGAACATGAAGATGCTGGCCGAAGCAGCTGCTGAGAAAGAGCGGATCGATCAAACACCAGTCATGCCTGTGGTTCCCAACGAACAAGCCATTGGCTTGCAAGTTCTAGGTGATGTGGCAGGGCAATTTGGCAAAGCTGCTGGCCCCCCAGCGACACCACCACCGCCCCCAAGGATGACGCCGCCTCCTACTCAAATGCCACCACCGCCACAATCAAATCGGCTCCCAGTGTCATTCGAAGGCTTGGCTCACGATATGTCACCCCGAGCCACTACATTCTCGGACCGTCCAGGACCACCACCAGCATCGCCGCTGCACCCATCGCCGGCCAGAGAGCGAGCTCCTTCGCAGTCACCTCGTAAAGAGCCTATGATATTGTCACCAATGTTCCAAGCAGACCGTGGGAAGACGCTTCCGCCGTTCAATATGCAGCCGCGTGACGCGGAACACGAACTACGACATGAATCGCTGCCGCCACCACCTCCTCCTGTCCATCAAACGAGGGATGTCTTCGGCAGAGATAGGAGTCATCGAGACATTTTTGGAAGAGAGATCATGAACCCAGAAGGAGGAGAGTTGCCTCACCTGGGTGCTCAACTCAAAGACGAGCCTACCTGGAACCAGTATCACGGGTCTTTGAACGTCGACCGCTCGCCAAAGCCACCATCACAACCAGATCGCTCGATACACGAATTCTCACAGGGCGGCCCTTTGCGTATTGAGAGGGTTGAGACGACGGAACCGGAGCGGCAGCACCTTCGACATCTAAGCAACGACCGACCCTTTATGGTTGAGCCAGCATTGAGCGGGCCCTTTCATACCAAACAACGAAGTCTTGACCGTCCTGCCGACTTGGCATCCATGAGGCCGCGGCAGCAAGAGACACGAGGTGCTCCGAGCTACACATCTCCGCGAATGGCCCCGATGCTTGGCAGAGCACCCTTTCAAGAGACGCGAGGTCCGGTCCATCAAGGGTCGTTCTTGCTCGACCCTGCTTTGGGTGGACCACCTCCTCATGAGGGACGTGAGCCAACGCGTCGCCCATCTCCGCCTCTCGAAACAGCGCTTAACCAACCACGTTTTGTCGACGAGAGAATCCCATCATACTATGAGCCTTCCATGATTGATCCTGCGCTCAGTAGACCGCCCATCCGTGAAGAATCAGGGTCACGTCATCTGGAATCCTTGCTGATCGACCCAGCGCTCAGGAGAGCGCCTCAACCACTGTTGCGAGGCACCATCAACCAGGACTCTTCCATGATTGATCCGGCATTGACCAGACCACTCCTGCAAGAAGAGTATCGTCCGCTCAGCCATGCGTCTCCACCGCTTCAGCCAGCCCAAGCAAAGGCTCCGCATCCTTGGGAAGCGCCGAGCAGCCCAGGCGCAGCAGACTCTCGAGAGAGAAGTGAACCATCCCCGTTGCTCGCTCCGAGAGACATGGTCGTGGACGAACTTTCGAGAAAGCCGCGATCGCGAGCCTCGTCGACCATGAGTCAGTCCACAACTACCGAAGCTAGTCCCGACGTCAGCGTCGCGGGCGAGCCGACAAAGCGGCGCTCTTCAGGAAAGCCAGTGTACAGCATGAAGGCCAGTAAAGGCGATCGCAAAGGCAATACGAGGAGGATATGGAAGGAGCACCATCCAAGTTCTAGCCGTAAGAGTCAGAACAGTAAGCCTGAGATCCATCGCTTTCGTCTGAACTCGGTGGAAAGCACACCGACCGCGCCTTGGTCGAATCCTTCCAACAAAACGACGACACGGACGCCCAGCGATCCATTCACGACACAGCCGTCTTATGGAGGACCACCGAATATAGCTCATGCTCAGTCGGGACATCCTCTACCACCACCACCACCGGGGACCTATTCATATGCTCACCCCTACGATCACGCCCCTTCGATGCAACATCGCAACAGCTTTCCACAGCCTGAATCGCCGTGGCTTCCATCACAACAGCCTCCGCAAAGTCCTTTACATGCTGTACCTCCCAGCACGCAGCCACCACCTGCGCCACCGGCTCAATCTCAACCACAACCTCAACCTGGAGGTGGACCGCCGCCTGATCAATGGCCGTCACCAAGCGTCTTTGCACCGACTCTCTTCCGTCCGTCGCAGCAGACGCCTCGCAACAACTCGCAGCCGGCTCAGCCACCTCCACTCGCGCCTGCAACACCAGATGTACATCGTACTTTGGCGTCGGGAGGACCAACAACGAACCACTTGCCAGCATTTGCTCAGCAACAACGCAATCAGGAGGCGAATCCGAGACGGCGCGCGCATAGTGAGATTCAAGGGCACAGCTTCAAGCACTGGGCACCGCGAAATGTTAAGTGATCATGTCGGGTGTTTGGTGGTCGGATCGGGGTAAGGAGCATGTGTTGATATTGAGGAGTGTCACCGCAACAGCCAGGTGTTTTTTCTGGGACTTGTAATACTACTTGTATCTTGGTGTAGGAAACTACAAAGTTCTTAGTGTGGACCTATTCCACCTATCCATTGGACATTTAAAGCTATTTCAAGAGGAGTGTGATCACAGTGTCGATGTTAACTCACGCAGCCAAGCCAAGCCATGTATCTCGCGTAGACGGCAGGAGCAAGAGCTCGAATCGGGAATTGGAGGTTTGACTTTTGACGGCAGCACGCACCGAACCTTGAGTCTAAACCTTCTGCACATCGTGCTTTCACAACTTCACTCCAGTCCTTGGCACTCTCTCCTCCAAACTCCAAATCCCGATGCCACTCACTCCACGAAAATCTCCATTGTCTCTCTTCGCTCGACCCGAAGATGTCAATCGCATGCTTCATCTGCTCTGCATCAAGTCCTGGACCCGTCCAGCGGACATGTAATGGGAAGCTACCTCCCTCGTCTCGACCCCCATCTCCCGTCTTTTATATACATTTTTCACCATGGGCGCCGCAAGTTTGGAATCTTTGACCAACGAGCTCTTCGAGCACGTCGTGCAGCATCTCGACCTCAACGATATCCGCAACCTTCGTCTGGCCAGTCGCTCAACAGCCTTCAAGGCAGCTCAAGATACCTATCGAACATTTTTCCAGATGAAGCATGTCGAGCTCCGGAGGGAAAATCTGGAAAAGTTCGTTAGGATCACCGCGCAGGGTGGGATGGGCTGTCTCGTCGAACACTTGACTCTCATGGCTATCGTCTACCACCAAGACCCTCTCCGAAAATTCATCAGATCCGGCGGGGAGAAACCACCGCAAAGAAGATGAATCACTGCAGGAGGAGGGTGGCCATGTTGTCATGCTAAGACAGGCATTTTCCAGTATCGTGGCGAGTGGCAGGATCCCGCTTAAGCGTCTGACTCTTCGTGTCAAGATATATCACGGCGCCACATTACCAGCAGGTCGTCGGCCAACGTTATATACCTTGTCGAAGCCGGTCTTCCAACCCGCCACGAAAGCCTTTTGCCTCGCGATGGACGGTCTTCGCGACAGTCAGCTGAGCCTACAGGCTCTGGATATCTTTCACGCCTGGCATGAACAGGTGAAAGCCAGTTTGGCTTGTAATAATTTCGGCAACCTCGATCTTGCTCCCAGCAGACTAGGCACTTGCCTTTCTACTCTGAAGGTGCTTTCGGTGTCTATGACTGATCCGGTGATCGAAGAGCCTAAATACAATGTTCTTGTACCCGAGAATGAACGACAGTGGCCCGGGCCTACAATTTCCAGAGCCCAGATTGTAGACGGAGGAAGCTATACCGCCCTCCCAAAGATGCTGGAACTGTGTCGAGGCTTAGAGGAGCTCAAAGTTGTAGCCTTCGCGCTCGATTCCTCAGACGAAGAGCTACAAGAACTGCAAAAGACCATGCGTCGCAAACACATGCACCACCTTGCATGTGCAACACCTCTCCACAATCTACGCAAGCTGGATCTGTCCTGTATGCCAGTGCAAGACACCGATATACTCACCTTCTTCGCCAATCATAACGTATCTCTCCGCGAATTGGAATTGACAGAAATCAGGCTGGAAGGATGCTTCCCATCGGTCGTGTCATACATCACGGGAGACAGCATGGCACTGGAAGGGATTCGCCTAGAAAACATTCACGAGTCTCACCAATATGTCCTTTTCCAATGCGATTGGGAACATGAAGGGGTAGTTCCCGGTGACAGAGACGTCGTGAGGCGGTGGGGTCTGGAACGCAAGGCGGACATATCGTATTTCCGCTGGGAATTGGCGCTGCATCCATATCCGTTGGTATGGTATTGGACGCTTGAAGAGCCGCCTCCGGAGGACGAGGACCAGGAGATAGAAGATTGATTGTTAATACAGCCAGTTCCCACGTCCGATCGATAGCGTGGACATTCGACAAATGAGACGAGCGTCTTCAAGTAGATTTTGCAGCGATTATGGCGTGTCGTGAACTGGCTGTCAGGCGATAAACATGCTCTAGTCAGACATTCAACGACTCTTCGCACCTGGGATGCCTCGCCCAACGTCAGCGCCGATGCGATCTCTCTCCAGAAGTTGGTCCGTGCTGGGGCATTATGTACTCGACAACCTCTCCAGCGTGACGATCTTGTTTTTGTCTGCCAAATTCGAGGCATGCTCTTGTGCGACCTGTGCACATTTAGTCGAGATGAAGAAGCTCGGTTCGGCTGCCAGAATTTCGGGAGAAGACAGCCCATACGTCGGCCACACGACGCAAGTGTGAGGAAGTGCACGTCGTTCGAACGAGGCTACCGCATGGGAGAAGCAGGCGGTTTTATTCTTGTCATGTGCATCGCACTCTAATTACCAGGAACCGTTTCTTCAAGGCAAGATCGCCAGCGGTATAGCACTCGGCGGGCTGTGATTTGCTGCGCGCGGTGAACCTAGCGTATTTGGTCGGGCTGGGCCGAAATTGCTCTTTGGATGGAGACTCGAGCGAGGCAAAGCAAGATTGATGCCAACGCTGGCTGGCTGTCTCTTCCATCTCCTGTTCGACATCAACGTTCGTCGGTGTCGCCCGTTGTTCATTCTCCCTCTCTCTTTGCCCTGCTCCCTCGTGGGCGTCCTTTCCTTTTGCACCACCCTCACCGCGACGGCAGCTCACTCTTTTCGCTGCCGAAGCACCTGCCCTCGTTTGCGGATTGCGATTTGTGATTGTGTTGCTTCATCACAGGTATGTGGCATTTCTGGAGGGAAACGTGCGACAATTGAGAGTCGACTCTGTCACCAATGGCTCCGTCCGGTATTCGAAACACATGACTGATCGGTTCTGCGTACAGTCCTGTCAATCTTTACGACCGACAACGTTGCGATACCCCGTCGTGCAACCCGCGACACCGAACGAATTCAAATCACTACCACGATAGCATCTCATACGACATGTTCAGCCACATCTTGGCTGCCCGCGACGCCAATGGCCCCCCGGTCAACCACACCATGATCAACCTGCTCGTCGTCCTATTAGTCCTGTTCATTCTGGCCCTCTTCCTCGTCGGCGGACTGCTGTTCATGCGCGCACGGAGAAGAGCTCGCAAGGCAGCAGAGTTGCCAGTCTACGAAGAGAAGCGTCTTTCGACCTCGTCGTCTGTCTCTACACACCGCCGTGTCATGGTTCGACCTTCAGAGTCGGTCTACGTCTACCAAGAGAAGCAAAATCTCATCGACAACTCCAATAGCCCACCGCAGAGCCCGCAAGTACCCGAGATCCACATCACACTCCCAGAGGAGTACGATGCTGCTGGCAAGCGACAATCAGGCCGTGTGGTTGTGGTCCACGTTGGCGACAGCGGAGTTGGCATGGAACCAGCAGAGGGCCTGCCAGCGTACGAGAAGGAGGAGGGCGGACGCTTCCAATCGATAGACCTCGAGAGAGTCGGCGGTCTGGTCGAAAAGGCGAGGAATGCCCCCAGCAAGGAGTTCCAATAAGCTGCCGCTGAAAAGCTCACTTTATTGGAACGGAGTATGCGAAGTTGTTTACGACGATTACGACCACTTCTTCAGGCTCATGTCTAACAAAATCCTCCTACCTTCCAGCGGAAGCTCTTACGACAGCACGAGCTTCATTCAAATTTTGCATCTACCTTGTACCGGGAGACTCTTTGGCCTCCTCTTTTTGGTTTCGACAAACCCCGACCAAACAATCCAGCATTGCATTGCATGTCGACATCCCGGATCGATCGAACGATGAGCGCGAAAGCATTCTACTTAATGTGTTACCTGGCTGGGGAATCGAAAAACCAGACATGGCGCTTGACGCCAACAACTTCTCTTCTGCATGGACGAAGAAAAAGGGATCTGAATGAGCGAGATATCCTTGTTAGACTTTTTCTGGCTTGTTGTTGCGCAACGAAAAGCTTGCTTGGTGATTCAGTTCGCTTTTTGAAAGAATCAACTACTGTAGTCGTAGTGTGTATGTACTACTACCACTGGTTTCGTGGGCCGGCTTGGACAGAGAGGCTGCGAGCGGTGTGAATGGAAAGATTGATGCGCATGTTGGACTCGATTTCATTTTGTTCATGCATGTCGTTGGTGTGAATGTGGCTTGCTTGAATATGAAGCTGCTTTCTCCTTTTTTGCCCGGCGACGCGATGCCTCTTGTGCGATCTTGTAAATTTCTCCATGAACCCAATAGCAACTGTGCCATAGTTTCACTCTTGATAATGTACCCCTGTGAGAGCCACGTGCAGACAATGTGTTGCAGATCTCTGCAGCAAGATCGACCAGCCAGCACATGGCAATCCTGACTTTCTCGAAGCAGCAGCAGCGAACCTCACCTCACAGCAACCTCCCACACATACACACACACACTCCTTACCCCCTCCCTCTTTCTCTCTCTGTGTTTATAATGTCTTGGTAATACCTTTTCTTTTCTCTTGTCACGATCCCCAACATCGGCAATGGCGGACGCCGCACCCACGTCCAAAACCGACCTCAAAGCGCAGAACAAGCAGCGCTCGCTGCAGTTTCGCGCGCAGCATGGGCTTGTCGTGGCGTTTTTTCTTTTGATCCTGTAAGTACACAAGTTACATGTCTATCTGTATGGTATGGGGCCTGACGGATATACAGTGTCTTCCACGTCCTCTCCATCTACCTCTTCCTCAGCGGCTTCCTCCTCTCGCGCCTCGTCCTCCAAGACCGCTCCGAATGCGTCGTGCCTCCGATCGAGCTCGAGAATTACGTATCTGGATCGCAAGAGCGGGGATGTTGGCATCCCAAGTCGTTTGACAAGGCGGTGGTTATTCTTGTGGATGCGCTGCGGTATGATTTCACGGTGCCCTTTCAGCCGAGTCCTGGAGATGCAGAGCCGCATTACTTTCATGACAACTTGCCCGTGCTGTATGAGACGGCGATCAAGGAGCCGAAGAATGCGTTCTTGAGGCCGTTCATTGCGGATCCGCCGACTACGACGTTGCAGAGGTTGAAGGGGCTTACAACAGGGACGCTGCCGACGCTGATCGATGCGGGCTCGAATTTTGCGGGCACGGCGATTGATGAGGATAATTTGATCGAGCAGTTGTATAAAGCTGGCAAGAAGGTGGTGCATATTGGAGACGATACATGGCATTCGCTCTTTCCTGGATACTTTGAGCCGAACCTAACGAGGCCGTACGACTCGTTCAATGTGTGGGATTTGCATACGGTGGATAACGGCGTCAACGAGCATCTCTTCCCTTTGCTGGAGCCGGGGATGGCGGGACGCTGGGATGTGGCTATTGGACACTACTTGGGTGTGGATCATGCGGGACATCGGTATGGACCGGATCATCCTGCTATGGCGGAGAAGTTGAGGCAGATGGATGAGGTTTTTCGGAGGATCATTGAGAAGCTGGATGAGAGGACGTTGCTGGTGGTCATGGGGGATCATGGCATGGATGTCAAGGGCGATCATGGTGGGGAGTCGGATATGGAGGTGGAGGCTGCGTTGTGGATGTACTCCAAAAAAGGGAGTTTTGGGAGGGATGGCGAGGCTTCTCTCGCTCCTCCTGCGACTGCGAAGGAACGACCTGTTGCGCAGATCGATCTCGTTCCGACGTTGTCGTTGCTGCTGGGCATGCCGATTCCTTTCAACAATCTTGGGCGACCTATCGAGGAGGCATTCCATGGATCGAGTAAACTTTTGCAACCGAATTACAAGAATCTGGCGGAAGTTAGCCGCTTGACTTCGGCTCAGATCCATCGATATCAAGGGGAATATGCCAAAGTTCGGAAGCTGGACGAGGATGCTACGTCGGTCCCAGCAAAGCTTTGGCGAGCGGCGAACGAGAAGTGGAGTACTCTGTCAGGGAGCGAGAAGGCTCTCAAACAGGCGTACGAAGCTTTCACGCTGTATCAAGCAGAGAATTTGAGCATTTGCAAGGCTCTGTGGGCTCGCTTCGATCTCGTCAGCATGTCGATGGGTCTCATCGCGCTGGTCGGCACGTTCGCGGTCATTGTCATGTACGCGCAGGGGGTCAGTGGTGATCGAGCGGCACTTACTCCACCTCTACTCGGATGGGGATTGATGGGCACAGCGGCTGGAGGACTGACTGGAGCGGCCTTGGGAACACTTCCAATTGCCGCGATGTCGACACTTACTGCATTTGGAGCGGCTACAGGAGGCATCGTTGCCGTGTTGCTTGGGTTCTGGCCTGCACGACCGATTTTGACACTGCCCTTTCCGAGGACTTTCTGGGGCTGGTTGTGCTTCATTTCGACGGCACTCTTGTGTGTTGGCTTTGGCGCCAACTCGTGGATTATCTGGGAGGATGAGCAGCTCCTTTTCTTGCTGTCGACTTTTGCTGTCCTGATGCTTGGGGCGTCACTGGGCCAGCCTGACAGGCAAGATCAGATTTTGGGGGCTGTCAACGCTGTTTCGTTTCTGGTGGCGACGAGGCTCAGTTCGCTCTCGAGACTTTGTCGCGAGGAGCAGGCACGGAATTGTCGCTCGTCATACTACGCTTCGGCGACGTCGTCGACTTCGGCGGCGTGGCAGCTTGCGATACCATTTGCGGTTGCGCTCTTACTTCCGACAGCGGTCAAGTATTTCTTTGTCCGCACGAAGAACTATCATGGCTCTGCTGTCATCTGGATTGGCATTGCCCTGCGACTGGGACTAATTATGGTCGCCAGCTTCTGGGCGCTCGATTCTGCTGATGATGGCGATTGGTTTCCAGAAGTCTCGAAAGATACACTGAAGACTGCAAGAGTGATTCTAGCACAAGTTGTTCTTGCAGTGGCTTTTGCGGCTGGCTATGCAACATACGTATGGGCATCACCAATGCTTGCAGTCAAGACGGAAGAAGCAGCAGAGAAACCGCAATCAACCTCGAAACCGATCAACAACGAAGATCCCAACGCGCCCATCCTCACCACAATCAACGAGGCACCGCAGCCTCGTTCCAAACTCATCATCTACGGCTACGCCAATAGCCACGGCACCCGCTACTTCCTCCTCCCCTGCGCCTGGATCCTCGCGCTCATCCTAGTCCAAAAACCCATGGGCCAAGGCGCGCTCGCCCTCTGCTTCATCTCCATCCTCAACCTCCTCGAAATCCTCGACGCCAACAACCTCCGGCGCTCGCCCCTCAGCCCCATCGTCCTCGCCCTCCTCGGCATGTTCCACTTCTTCAAAACCGGCCACCAAGCCGCCCTCGTCACCATCCAGTGGGACGTCGCCTTCATCCCCCTCAAAACCCTGCAATACCCCTGGGCGCCCCTCATGGTCGTGCTCAACACGTACGGCCCCCAGATCCTCTGCGCCATCGCTGTGCCCACCATCACGTTGTGGAAAGTGCCCCCCAAACATCCGGGGTTACTCGGCCGGATCGCGGGGCAGATGGCGACGCATGTGTTGTTTTATGCGGCGGTTGCGGTGGCTACTGTCGCGGAGGCGGCGTGGTTGAGGAGGCATTTGATGTTGTATCGGGTGTTTATGCCGAGGATGTTGGTCGCGGTGAGTGTGCTTGTGTTGGTGGAGTTTGTGAGTGCTGTGGTGGCCATTGTCGGGGTGAGGTGGAGTATTGTTAGTGTGGGGGATGTTTTTGGGTGGCCGGAGTGAGTTTTGTGGATAGAGTGAGGAGGTTGTAGAGGGGTGTAGATATTTTGTACAGGTTCAACTGTGCTGGTGTTAGCTTGCATGTGCCATTGCATGAGGTGAAGTTGACATGAAGCCAATGCCCGTGCTTCGCAGCTCTAGCGCGTCGTCCCCAGAAAGAGCTCCCGCATCTCGAACTTCCACGTCAACTTCCACTCCCACAACTCACACGACGGGCAATCGCCAAAACCTCCAACTCGCACCGCCAACCATGGCGACCACCACAACCACACCCCCCACCCCGGCAACCCTCACAACCTGGGAAGAAGCCTTCACCCACCCGCTCCCCACAGTCCTCACGCTCGAAAAACAACTGCGCTCCCACATGACCGAGAACCGCACGAAACTGCGCACGCTCGTGGGATCCTCCTATAGAGATTTACTGGGGACGGCGGAGAAGATCATCGAGATGGATGGGCAGATTCGGAGTGTGGAGGGGATGTTGGGGGGCATGGGACGGAGGTGTAATAGTGGGGTTGTGGAGAGGGGGTGGGATGGTTTGAAGGGGAGGAAGGGGGTGGGGAAGGGAGATAAGGGGAGGGAGGGGTGGGTTGTTAATGTTAGGGTGTTGAGGGGGGTTGTGGGGTTTGTGGGGAGGGTTGTTAGGAATGGTGGAAGTGGGAGTGGGAGGGGGGATGCGTTGACTGCGGCGAAGGTTTTGGTGCTGGGACGGTTGGTGCTGAAGGGGTTGGGGGAGAAGGAGGAGGGGAAGGATGGGGTGTTGGTGGAGGAGATGAGGAGGAAGCTAGGGAGTGTGAGGAGGAGGTTGTTGGGGGATATTGCGAGGAGGTTGGTGAGGAGAGGGGGTGGTGAGGAAGAGGAAGAGGAAGAGGATAAGGAGAGGACCGTCAAGACGCTCTGCGCGTACTCATTGATTTCGAGTGCAGGGCCGAGGGACGTCTTGCGGTATTTCATGCAAGTGCGTTTCGAGCAGTTGGAGACGAAGGCGGAAGAGGGGGATTTGGTGAGCATGTTGGATCTCTACAGCCAGACGTTGCTGGATACGAAAGAGCTGTTCCCCCGGCGCTTCGCGGAGGCGTTGGCGGCGTTGGCGAAGGCGACGTTGGTCAAGGATAAAGACGTGAGGGCTGTGCAGGAGTTGAGTCTGGACGTGTATGAACAGTGGATTGAAGAGGATGTGCGAAACTTCCACCCATATGTGCGGCATGATCAGTTGTCGACGGGGGAGGTTGGGGATGCGTTGGCGGCGTGGACGAGGCAGGCGCAGGAGTGTCTGTTGCACGGCTTGAGGGATGCTCTGGAGAAACAGACGGATATGAAAGAGGTGCTGGAGGTGAGGCAGAAGGTTCTGTCGAAGTATTTGGCGCTAAGTGCGAGGGTGCGGAGTGATGCGCATGCGAAAGCGTTGGAGGATATTCGGGCTGCTTTTCTTAAGAGGCTGGAGGAACTTGCTGCTCAGGCGGCGAAGATCGCGGGTTTTGATGTTGCGGATCATGGATCTTCAGAGATGCCTGCGGCGAGTATGTGGGACCTGGCGACGGCGGATCTAGATCTGAACAATGGCGCTATACAGTTCCGCCAAGCGGTCATACATCGACAACATGGCCATTCACCCAGCATCGCAACTGTCACGACAGCGCTGGACAAGTGGATAGAACGACTGCAAGGCTTTACGGAGTTCATCTCGTCTATGCGAACGATCAAATGGGACGACGACCTCGACTTGGAACTGGACGACTTGACAGACGGCGAGTCACTCCAGGTGATCCTCAGCAAGAAAGATCCCCAACTATTGGAAACCCGACTACACGAGGAAACTACGACTGCTCTGGAAGAGACCTATCGACAGGTTGAAAAGTGTCTCGAGTCAGAACATAACCCGACGATCCTTATACGCGTGGTACGCGAAGTCGATCGACGGCGGAGAGGACTTGGGGATCGATTTGAGAAGCTGTCGACAGTCAAAGCGGACCCTACCTTCATTGCAGCCTTGCATCGCCAGGTCGCAGTGTCCATCGCCGAGGAATCCGTCAAGCAATTCTCCAAGAGCGTACAGAAACGCTCCCATACACCAGTGACTTTATGGGACGGCACACCTCCCCTCCCCGTCCAACCTTCACCAGCAACCTTCCGTTTCCTCAAAACATTGCACAAGCACATGTCCTCGGCCGGCACCGATCTCTGGAGTCCTGATGCCGTGCAAGCTCTGAAAGCCCACGTCGCTGAGCAGGTCGCTGCACAGCCAAACATTGAGAAGATCGCCGCCACCACTGCAACCGAGGAGGCGTCCTTGAGTAATGGGCATGCCGATCAAGACGACAAGACGAATGAGAAGATGAGCGCTTCGCGGGACCGACTCGTGCAGCTTCAGTTTGATGTGTTTTATCTGCAGCGGGTTTTCAGCAGCAGCACAGGAGGGAAACTTGGAGAGGTTGTAGGAGAGATTGGAAGGCGTGGAAAACTCGATGACATGGGGTCATTGGAGGTGGAGCGGTTACGGAAGAGTGCGATGGAGTATTGGCGGAGGACGTATTTGTTGTTTGGGTTGTTGGCTGTTGGGGTGAAGATGTCTTGATACTATATCCATTATCACGAACGGTAGTGTGGTCAAGACGTTCAATTTTCGATTCGTTCATCGCGTAGGGCTGAAGACGGTCGTTCAGGATCTAGGATTTGATCCCGCCCTAACAGGCCAAGACCGCGTGCGTGCGTTGCAGGGGTGAGGGAAACGTTCGTTCACCCAGATTTCATCACACCAAAGAAGCGCCTTGTTACTACAGAACGAGCGATGGAAGAAGTGTATGTACATAAGCGCTCGAGGAGACACATCCCCAATAATACATGTACGTGGTGTGTATGTATGTCTGCGTTCGAGCGCACAGTCTTCCAAGCCACGCCACGCCTCGTTTCCCGCGGCTAATTATTGGGTCGCGTGTGACGGTGACACGAACGCGCCCGTTTGTGTCTTGTCTTTGCCCGTTTTGGGGGGATGCAAAGTCGCACATGCTGGGGGGTTTCCAAATAGAAATAGAAGGGTGATTCCCGAATGCCGATGGATGTGAAGAGGGGAGGGGAGATGGTGGTGGTGCTTGGCGATGGTGATGGTGAAGGAGGAGGATGGGGATGGATGAGCTGGGATGGTACAGATGAAACGTGGATCAAACTCTGGGTGTTTCCTTTTGCGGAGGGGGCGTCGCTAGTAAAAGGCTGAAGTACTGGTGAGAGGTGTTGCTGTGAAGAAGAGTGAGAGATTCGAGAAGATGATCCTTGTGGGAGAAGACTGGACAGGGGGGTGCTCGAGACTAGCGAATCCTCAGACGCTAGTGCGCTGCAGCGGGCGGTTTCACACGCGCTGGGGGGCTGCTGCGTTTGGCGAGGACGTGGATGGATTGGGATTGGGTGGGTGGACTGAACTGAACTGGTTTGCGTGCAGCGGAGAGACGTGCAGCTTGCATATCCTGTATACATGTCCTGTGGGTGTTGCGTTCGTCCGAGAAGAGATGATCATCAGAGTATTGATGGATGGATGGATGGATGGATGGATGGCTGTCTTTGACTGAATAGTGTGCAAGGTTACGAGGAGTGGTGTCGGGCGGGAAATGATTGGACGACGGGGTGGGCAGGTCGTGAGGCAGCGGCGTGGTTTGAAACAGCGCCTGGGATTGTGAGCCACACGCCCGCACTCGACCGCTGCCGGTGGTGGGTTCGGTGCGCCCCTGGCGCTGCACGGCACGTCTCGCTTTTGGCACGAGTGTGAGAGAAAGTCCTATGCCGTGGACGTGAGTGAATAGTGAGAGCGAGAGCGCGGAACGAGCGTCGTGCGTGTGCGACTCCTCCTCGTCGACTCCTCTATCGCTGTTACGGTCACTGCCACCACCCTCGTTTCATTCTCGTCCGCCTTCTTCTGGTCGCTGCTTGCTTGCTCGCTGGCTGGCTTTGACGTGCGTGGTTGCTTGCTTGCTGGTCTCCGCGGCAGAGTCGAGCCCTTGCAGATCGCTGCTGCTGCTGCACCGTTTCCACAAACCATCGCATCCACCCCGACTCGCCGCCGTCGCCTGTGCGTGCAGCGTGCGTGCTGCGATACCATCCGCCCTCTCAACGCCCACCGCGCTACGACTCCCTCCCACCTCCCACTCTACACCTCCCACCACCACCATGTCGACTGCTGTCGCCGCCCCCGCGACCACCCTTCCCCCCTCCGTCGAACGCCAGATCTCGCCGCGACACTTTACCTCCATTGCGCCCTCTTCCACGCCAACCGCCGCCTCGGCACCGACCTCGTCCGCACCAGAACCCGCCCAAAAACGAGCTCGAAGTAATGGCTCTCCCGACGCTCGCCCTCCACTAGAGAGAAGCAACTCCAACGGCAACAGCAGCCCCAGCTCGTGCGTAACGTCGCCTCCCGAGCTATCCTATCCACGCACGCGCGCTAACACTTCACCTCGCAGACAACGCGCGCCCATGATCAAAGTCAAGAAGGAGCCCGGTTCGCCTGCTCTGACGTCGTCGCGGCCACGACCCAAGGCTCTCGACCTCTCCTCGAGCATGTCCAAGGGCCACGGCCCGCATACTGGTCGTCCTTCAGCTCCACTTACCTCGAGAGAGTCGGCTGGCTTGGTCATTCAAGACGTGGGTTTGGCTTGTCTGTCGCCGGGCTTTCAGACGAACGATCCGGCCATGCGGGAACAACTCCAGCGCAGTCTCGACGTGCGAGACCAGCAGCGCCAGATTATTGAAGCTAGGAATAAGGGGAAGCCGGGCAGCTCACACGACATGGGCGATGGGCCGCGAACACAGGATACTACACTTTTTGGCGTTCAGACCGGTGCGAGAACACCCAGCACGTCGAGGAGAAAGGGACCCCCTCCAGGATTGTCAATCGCTGCGCCCTCGGCGGCACAGTTTGCGAATGACAGAGTTATACAATCTGCGCCTATAAACCAGACGTTCACAGGACTTCGGCCAGGAGAATACCCACACTCGAGACACGCACAGCATGGTCCAAGCACACTCAGCCAGACAAGCCACATCCACGCCATGCCGGCGACGCAGACGAATAACCGCCTGCCCCCTATTGCGGACGTCTTTGCGAATGATAGACTGGACGCTCCACGATACCCCGCCAACAACTCCCCTGGTCACAACGCACATCCGCCAGCGCCATCACCGGGATACCCGCCACAATCAGGTCATATCATGCCCATGAGTGGACGTGCGAGAGAGTTCCGATCAGTGGAAGAGGCGGTTCAAGGCTTGTCTGGCGGGCGAGACGATCTCATGCCTAAAGTCGTTCACTACGGGGGTGTGCAGCCACCAACACCACCGTCTCCCATGCCAGGCCAGCAAACAAACGCGGGTGCTCAGGACCACCGACCACAGTACGCTACCGACACGAGACCTGATATCCTCGCACGAACGTCTTCGATGAACGGACGGAGACGCGGCCGAGATGAGTATGAACGAGATAATGGCAGCCCACCTTCCAGCTTCAACCGACCCGAACCGAAACGAGCGACGTTCGCCGTGCGTGGCGACGACCGTGATCGCGAAGAAGATTGGAGAGCAGGAATGAGCAGCGCCGAGAAGCGGGAAGAATTCCTACGACTATGCGAGCGTGCGTGGGATCTGTTTCATTCATAAAAAAACCAGAAAGCTGGATTCCTTTTTTCCAAGGACAAATCCTTTAAAGTTTTGAACATATTCCTAGCCACGAACACGCGACGAAATTTTTGAACGTTTGCAAGAAAGAAAGAAAGAACAACGGCGGCGGCGGGATCTGGAATTCTTTCTACTACTACATCGCATAGCTGGAGACTGGCATTCTTGAAGCACAAATCGCTTCAGGCGGGATGGAGATTTCTTCAATAAGGAGGAGGGAGGGGCGCAAGCGAGGCGTTTCGGATTTGATTGATTCATCACACACCCCTGGATTCGATGAACATCATCATCTTCACCTTTTTTTCGTATGGAGTTTTTGGTTTTTGGGTTGGTTGCGGATCAGATCAGTAGTCAGTCGAAAGGAGACTTTTGATCTTGTTGATGGGTTGGTTTTTTCGCTGGGGATGATTGAGGAGTAATGGCGAGAGATAGAAAGAGTGAAGAGATGGGGAGGGGAGGGAGAGCAGGTAGAAACCAGACTATCTGTTTCTGTATCTCTGTTTTTTGCGGGATGTGTTTTGTTGTGTTGTGTCTGGTAATGATGAGGTGGTGAAGAGGAAGAGGAAGGTAGATAGTGGTGGTAGAAGTGTGAGGAGATGGGGATGAGGATGGGGGGTAATGAGAATCATTCCATCGATGTGCATCTGCATCTTCGTTCCTACGTATGTGATCATCTCGGTCGCTTGCTTGCTTGCATGTGAGGAGGGGGAGGGGTAGACTGGTTTTGATGTTGAGGTAAGCACGTCGTGGTGGTTGACGCCCTAGGTTGTCAATGGTCTCTCTCCCCTTGGCTTCTCCTCCCGTACAGGGAAGGAGTATATGATGCGTTCTCCTGCGTGTTGTGCGTGTTGTGCGTGTTAATGAGGGGAAGTGTCAAGGCTCGATAGTATCACTACAGGTCGAGGTGGAGGAGCTGGAACCGCGACTAGAAAAGGAACTAGAAGTCTTCTCTTCTAATGACTTGGATCGAACAGAGGGAAGGCTAGAGGTCTTCTCCACGTGGGTGGGATGGGGTCCGATAAGATAGGACAAAAGAAAGAGAGACTTGAGGAGGGAATGATCTTGATACAGGAGGTGGGAGGCGGTCGTTGTGCGGCTTAGGGAAGGGAAGGGAGAGAGGCGGGGACAGCTTGGTCTTTCGTTTGTCGTTGTTGATTCGTATTCTCAGGTACATCACAGCCTGTGTGTAGAGTTTAGCTCGGGCCATTGGCAACCTCAGGCCTGGCTGTGGTTTCTTCTTCTATGACCGAGTCTCTCCGCGAGAGGTTTGTTTTCTCCTGCCTCAATGACTGGGACACTCAAAGTCGTCGTGGGGGTGATCGCGCTGTGGTGGATGTGCTGTTATGAGGGCCTTCAGCTGTTCGTCATCGGCGCAGTCAAGGTCGGCTTGGGTTTGCTTTTCGTTGTCGTGAAGTTTTGGGTCGCCTGAGAATGACACGGTCAGTTGGGAGACTCCTGGTGCTTAAGGGGTGAAAAAGGGATCGAACCATCAATGATCATATAGCCGTGATCGTTCAAAGCCCAGCCTCCTTGCTTATCTCCCCCGTCTTCGACGTCGCAGGTTTTCTTGATGAAGTCTTCCATCATGATCATACCTGTTGGAAAGGCTTCAGTGGTTATGTTGGTCTGAGGTGGGTGGAGCAGGACGTACATTGGGCGAATACCAGACAAAGTGGCTCGGAGCCCTCTTGCACTTGGAGAGTCAACCACTGCGAGAAGGTCAGTCACTGAGTGTCTGCAAACTTGCCACGTTGTGATCCAAGTGATCGTCGTAGCACATGTGGTAGGTCATGGTGAGGTACCAGCCTGGGTTGACGGTTTGAAAGTTGCTACGTTCGTAAGCATGTGCTGTTTGAGCAAGGAGAGAGGACGCTCTTACAAGTAGTTGCAGAAGCTTGTGGCTGCTTGCATTCTGGTGTCCCTGTTAGTCATGCTTCGTGGTTTGATCGTGATGAACAACTTACAAGTCGCTGGTGGTTCGCTGATAGCCTGAGTCGTAGCAACCGTCTTGGTCCCAGTCGCCCATGTACGACAGGTCTCTTGGATGCTTGAGTGAGATCTTGCTGCCTAGAGATCAGTCAGTACGGGACGACATTACCAGGTGAAGTGTTCCTTCGCGAACCTGGAACGCCCCAAGTAAAGTTTCCCAAGCCCTCGGCGCTGATGACGTTCGAGGAAGAGGTAGGGAGTGTTGTAGCCTTCGGATCCTTGCAGTCCTTCTTCGTCGTCGTAGCATTCGACAGATCCTGTCCACCCAAGACGTCCGGATCAATGAGCCACATGAGACCGCAGCGATCTTCCGTCACATTGCCGCCCTGATGCGTCGGGCAGTCATTGAATGGCTTTGGAAGCCAGCGCTTGCATGCGTTGTAGGTGATGTTGTAGTCGCAGTCGGGCACGACAGGGCCAGGACGAGAGACTTCCGCGCCGATGTGGTGACCGGTCGGGCTGATGTAGAAGTCTGATGATCATTAGCGATTAGGGCCACTTGATGGTATTGATGTTGTATGTACCCGGAGCTGCTTGGAGCCTCCCTCCTAGATCGAGACCATCGTACTTCTTGCACAAGTTGTCGACAGCTCCGTCGATGATTTTCTGAGTGGTGGTCTGGCCGGATTGGTAGCAGAAGAGCGTCTGCTCAACACAGTCGCTGTTGTCCACGGTGATTGGTGAGGCATCGAGGACTGCCGCTAGGTGCAAGCCCGCAAGGAGGAAGAAGATCGACCGAAACAGCATCGTGATGGAGCCGACGTTGAGGTGATTGAGGAATGGAGGCAAACCAGTCCGCGGTGTAGGACTCTTGGTGGTTGGGGTTGTATTGAGCGTGTTGATGAGAGAGTGTACTCGAGAGCGTGAAGTGCAAACCTAAGAAGTCGCTTTACCATCGCTCCTTCCTCATCAAATGCTCCCTTCTCAATGATGTCGTCACACGCGAATTATTACTGTACATGGCGACTTGATCTCATGTCGAGCATCCAAGACACTTCCTAACCAATAGCAAGTCACCTCAGAATATTCGAAAAAGAAGAAATGCATGAACAACCCAACTTACATTGCCGGCTAAACACCTTCCAATGATACTTCTTCCAGCACCAACACCAATGCAAAAGAAAACACCAAAAAGGAATTACAATCGAAGCCGTCGGCCTCAACACACCTTTTTGGTCCCACCGAGCCCGCCACACAAGAAGAACTAATCCCGAAAGATTAGAGAGAAGACAGTGAGGCTCAATCCATTCTGAGTTATTTTATTGTCTTTTCTTTTTTTTGTCGTTCCAGTCGAACACCCGTCTAATCTCGCGGTGTTAACCGCTCGACCACGCTGGTGTTCGACTGGTGGGGGTAGTTTTGGAAAAGTATATGTTACTTTGAGCGAGGTGATGTTTTGGGAGAATTCGCGGTGGATGATTGGTTGGCGGGAGTCGGAGACCGGTCCGGAGGCGCTAGATCGGATTGCAGACTCGACCACAGCCGTCAAGGACATGTGCCAACAATCTTTCATAGGGAACAGACGAATCCAAGACCGTGTCCCAGTACCTAGTTTGATGCATACGGGGCTCGAGCCGTCGTGATACGGTGGAAATGGTGGCCGGTGTCGCTGCGGTGAGGTATTCAGGCTATCGGCCGCGTACCTGATCTCCTAGAGATTGGGAGAGACATGACTGTCGGTTTGACATGTTACGCTTGCGGCCCCATGGATGATGAAGGAGAGCACAGTCGCGGGTACAGTCCAGAGGAAGGGTACTTGACCGACATGGCAAATGCCATAACCGGCACTTCAATGCAATACTTACTTAACCTACCATCCTCCTCGCATCCGGCATCCGCTTCTTCTCTTTCTGGCCCTCCTTCTTCCGCCGCTTGTCGATGATCTTCTCCCGCTCTTTGCTCTTCATGCCCTTGAACTTCTCTACCAACGCCTTCTCCTTGACGTCCTTCTTCTTGAGGTAGTACGGATTCTTGCCCTGCTCCATTCTCTCGCGCTCCTCCTTTCTGTGCCGTCTGATGATCTCCTGTTCTCGTTCCTTCGCTTCCTTCGCCTTGATTCTGTTCTCCATGCTGCCCATTGTCCTTCTGAGCAACTCCTTCTCTTCTTCGTTCTTCGTCTTCTTGATTGCAGCCTTCAATTCGCTGATTTCGGATTTCTGGTAGTCGCGAAGGAAACTGTATGCCTTCTCGCTATTGCCTGGATGCGAAGACTGCTGATGTAGAGCGTCGAATCTAGGATCTCTGACTATCCGCTTTGGGACGTCCACGACCACTCGTTTGCGGGAGACCTGGTATCTGGACGATTGTGCAGCAGGTGCATGCTTTGAAGTTCGTGATTTTGGCGCCTCTTCCTCTGATGGTGCTGAATCTGAGTCTTCTTCGTCCTCGTCATCCTCTTCAGATTCTTCTTGTCTTCCACGATCGGAAGCTTCAGCAGACTTTTTCGAAGCTTTTGAGGCCTTCCCGGCAGGCGCAGATTTTGATTCCTTGATTTCGCGAAGCCTCGCTCTTAACGCTTCCAGCTTGTCTTCTTGATCTGCCGTTGTATCTGAGCCACGCTTTCGCTTTCGAGATATGGTATCCTGTGCCTGTTTCAAAGCACCGAACGAGACATTGCTGATCTGCTGCTCGAAGTTTTCTCCATCGTTGTCGCTTCCCTGCTCATCGTCTTCGCTCATCGCATCTTCTTGCTCCACTTCACCGGCACCATCTGCTGATTCAACGTCCGATCGGTAATCCTCGGCATCATCGCTCGCGTCGTCGTAGGCCACGGGCCGGGGTCGTACATTTCTCTGCATTGTCATCGCATAATTATTGAAGCACTGGCTGACAAAAAGTGGTACAAGACGTTGCGAAAGCAAGCCCTAAGACCGGGGTCGAGTTGAAATCGGAGCAAGTAACGCCAAAGCGGTTAGATCTCCCGAGGGTTTTGCCAGGGTTCGAGAGCTTCGCTGGAGAGTTCGTTTTGCTTCTGACATAAAAATGCCGTCATCCGTGATCCAGCCGCCCAATTGCCGTCTGCACATATATCCAGCAATCGCCTCTATCAGACATTCGACTCTTCTTTTGCGCCAATTGACAACGAGTCACCTCTCACATCGTCAACCAACAACATGAAGATCCTAACCAAGGAAGAGGAGCAGGAGCACTACCGGTAGGCGCTCACGCGATCATTGCATTGGAAGCGAACTCTAATCATTTTCACAGGGCTACGGTCACGGGTGGTCTCATGGGTGGTGTTACTGGCACTGCCGCTGGAGCATTGGGTGTCTACGGAGCGACAGCAAGATACCCAACCTTCAGGGCATTGACCCTGCCATTCAAAGCGTTCTTGATCGCCTCGTCCGGAACATTCGCCGCCATTATCGCCGCCGATTCATACTCGCGAAGATTCGAAGCCTCAAAACATCCTGAAAAGAACTACCGAGATGAGCAAGAGACTATTCAGGAGCAGATCGCATCGCAGAGAACTACAAAGGAGAAGGCGATGCAATGGTGTGGCGACAACCGATACAGTCTCGTCTTTGGCTCGTGGGTGGCATCGATATCAGTGGCAATGGGCATCATCAACCGCAACCCGTACCAGACGACTCAGCAGAAGCTCGTACAAGCTCGTGTGTGGGCACAAGGTGCTACTCTCGCCGCCGTGATTATCAGTTTAGCATTCGAGGGGAGTGATCGTATGAGCAAGACTGGACGATGGGAGACGGTTAAGATACTGGATCCCAACGACCCTGAGCACAAGCACTACATTGAGAAGAAGATCCACCACGAAAGGTACGCAGGTGAGGACCAATGGATGGATATGGTCGAGGCAGAGGAGCAACGAATCAAGGAGAGGGAGCGTGCTGTTAAGGAACGCGAGGAGGCTGATAAGAAGGCTGGAAAGGTCTCGAAGGCCACCAAGCAGCATGCCAGCAACCTCGAGAAGGGCAAGCCTGAGGAGAGCAAGGATGAGAAGCTCAATGCTGCGTAGAGAAGAGTCGGGACTATGGCTTGCAGTGTGCCTTGCGATTCCCTTCTTCAGCGACATAGCGGCGTCTAATTTGGGCTAACTTGGGCATCAGTTTTGCCTGGGATGAATGTATGACTGCATCAGCTTAGGAGCAAGGCGTTTGGAGAGGGTGGCAAGATCATGTAGAAGTAGAATGTAAAAAAATTGACCTGGTCTCAGGAGATCTTGGTGTGATTCCTCTCGCGCCCCTTTTCCATTTGGCATATCAATTAGACATGCCCACTGTTCATGTTCACGGCCAAATCGTCTAGGGAACTCGATGTGTTTGTAAGATATCATTCCCTTATTCATACATACATACATACATACATGCTACATCGTTACATTATATTCTCAACCACGCAAACATCCCACCCATTTCAAGTCATACCATGCCTCCCCCAACCAACAACAAACAAAGCTTTCTATTCATACATGATATCATGCCATCTCAACACATTCATCCCCAAACGCTTCCTCAAATGTTGAAAAGTCCAAATCAAATCCCTTCCATCCGTCATGGCGGCGTTAGGTATCAGTACATTGTAAAAAAAGAGTATATTCGATAACATAGTTGTCGGGCAAAGCGAGCGTGGGCATATGTGTGTGTGGTGCTCATGTGATTAATGCGGCAGCGGACGGGTTCGTATGGTCGTTTCCTGGGCTCGCACAAAGGTAGGATGGTGGCGTACTGAAAAAAGGACATGTGTAAGGCCGTGAACAAACATAGTATGGGATGCGCATATGTCTCAATGCGGTTCTGATTCTGCGGTACCTTCAGCGGGTCGCTCGGGCGGAGCGGTGCGTGGTGCACTTGCAGCACCACCAGCTGTTGTTGTTGCTGCTGGGTCCTCTCGATGGCGGAGCACTGCCGTTCGTGCTGGGCTGTCTTCTGACCCGCGTCCCATTCTTGCGTAAGGTGACTCGTATCTTTGACCGGAGCGGGCGACGGGTGTCTCTTCGGCTTCGGATTTGGTTGATCGAGCGCGGCGTCGTTTGCCGGATGATGAGCTCGATTGGCTTGCGCTTTTGGGATCGCGTGCGGTTGGTGTCAACATTGCGGCGATGGGCATTCGTGTGGCGGGTGGTAGTGAGGATGGCTTTGGTTCTTCTAGTACGGGTGCGGCAAGCGTTGGAGCGGACGATGTCGTCGACGATGGGGTTTGTATTGGCGGTGGTAAGGGTCTGGCCATTGGTGCCGGCCCAGGTTCGCTTCGTCCTGCTGCTGCTGCAGCCTCTGCTTTGGCAAGCTTCTCAGCATTGGTAGGACGTCCTCGCTTCCTCTTCGGAGGAGGCTCTGTCGGTGATGGTTGAGCATATAGACTCGGGCCACTTTGTATAGGCTTTGGTCTTATCTCTCGACCGCCGCCGCCGCCACCAGGTGCTGGGTATTGTGATTCGAAGGGAAACGGTCTTTTGATGTTCTGTGATGCTGCCTGTGCAGATATAGGCGTGGGCGTAAGAGGAGCTATCGGCGCGGCCATTGGATGTATCGACAGGGATCTCCGCAAGTCTTCGAAGGCTCTTCGGCAAGAGTTTAGCGAGCGACCTAAAGCACACTCAGCAATTGAAATCGAATATTGGATCGACGTCGAAGGGGGCGGACCCAGCACGTCGGTCGGGTTGTTGGGGGCGCTCACCTTGAGGAAGGGGGATGTCTTCTAGTTGCGGCAAGATATTATATTGTCTGATTATGTTGTAGAAGACATCAGGAGGCAGGTTCGCGGACTTGATTATTTCGGCCAGTAGGTAGTTCTGCATCCATGTCAGAGGTGCAGTGACACAAGGATCGCCATCAGCCACGGTACCTTCTCATGATTAGACCATGGCTGCTCAGGAGGTGTTGCCATGCCGAGGGAGGAACGGAACAGAGGAAACACGTAGCTGATTCATAGAAGGCATACGTCGGACAGTCGTACAGTATTTCAGCAGTAAGCGGTGGGCGCGTAGGGGTCGTCAAGTCGTCCAAGTCGCAACAAAGGAAACCCAGCGTGGGACAGTACAGTGCGTCCCAAAGCTCCGGCAGAGACCGCTCAAACGAGTGTATGAAGAGGCGCGCTGAACGATTGTAAGAAAAGATGCATTACCACGCCTGCACCCGACCAGGTACGAAAATGAGCGTTCAGGTCCAAACGAGGGATTGCAACAGGAAAAAAGAGATGCTGGTGGTGGGAGATGAGACCTGAATTGAGGCTCTTGCAGTGCATATGCATTGCATTAGCCTAGGAGTGTGCATATGATGCTGGTGTCGGCTCGCTCAAACGCCCTTGGAGATGCAGCAAGGACATGGTGCGGCATCGCAGCCATGCAGTCCGCTGCGCTGGGCTGGTCACTGCCGGGCGGTGGCACCATGACACTGGGTCTTGTACATGTGTCAATGCCGTCAGGAAGGTCGACGTGCGTGGGAGAGTTTGCTCTGCCTGAAGCTGGCACGGGCAGGGCTGCGAAGCCAAAACGCACAAGCGCCGGGACCGTCCGCCCGCGTCCGGTTTTCTCGCGAGGCCAGCGCAGAAGAGGCACCACCGAGGAGTGGCAGCGTGCCGCATCGCCATCGAACAGAGCGCCGCCGGGGCACGACTTATTCTCCGCGAGATCGCAATGATATCCATTCGCTCTTGCGCAATCTCGCGCGCAACCCCTGCTGCCATCTGCTGCTGCCGCGGGAGCTTGTTGCCGCTCGGGCTCGTTCATGACAACGACTTTGCATCGCCGGCGTGTCGCCCGTCAGGAGCAGCAACAACCGGCAATGCCACCACGTCCGCTCTCATCAAATGAAAACGCCCGGCGCGCTGCGAGGCAGTTGTTAGTATGATGAGTCCCCTTTCCTCTCACGGGTGGGCATTGGCGTCCGCGACGAAAAGGACCGATGACGTGGCGGGGAAAGGGAAGCAGGGCAACCCATCTGTACCATCTTTCTGGACATTGTTCCCACGACCAGCAGCAACGATCGAAGTGTTTGGGCCTGCGTATCTGGATGGCCACGCGCAGCCTGCCGGCTCCTGGTGTTCGTCTCAGCCACGGTCGAAGCTCATCGTCTTCCCATGCCGCTTGCCGCCTTCAGGGATCCGGCCATTGCCAACCAGTGTAAGCGCCCAATGGCTCTGACTGCGAGATGTGCAGGTCGCCTGGCCTTCTCACCGAGACGAAGAATGCTGTGAAAGTCTGCGGTCGGCAGCGATTCTGTCTCATCGACGCGCTCCTCCACCGAATCCGACAGGCCGAGGGTACCCGGTGTGCAGGCTGCGAGACGTGCCCGACTGAGTATCCGCAGTCTCGTGACATGCGATCGGGAGCTGCGTTGAAGAAGACGAAGGCTGTATATCAAGAGGTAGGCTGCTGTGCCGCGCGGACGGAGAATGTAAGTGCAATATGGATGCCATCAGAGTTGGGATCCCGCTTTGGGGCGGCCGCACCCGAGACCGCTTTCAAGACCAAAGCGACGCTGGACTTTCCTTCACTCTCCTCTACCATCTTGCCTTCGCGAGCAGTCTCGCCGGCGTCGCCTCATTCCACTGTTCTCTTGCGTCTGGCGCTCCATCCCTATCTCCTCGGCGAAAGGCTCGACTACATTGGTGACGGATTTGAGCGGTTTTGGCGAGGGTATGGACCCGGTCACATGCGTCCTGTAATAGTGTAGCACGTACTCATACCAGAGAAGCAGTCTTCCAAACCCGCTGGGCTGTTGCGCCTTGCCATTCACTTGCCCGCCGCCTCGAGAAGCTCTTGCTCTTGTCACTGCTTGTCGAAACGCAACCCAAAGTCCTGCCGCCTGCACATGGTACTTCCGTCACCGCCGCGAAGCCATTCTCGATCGACGACGGCACTCGTGACCACTGCCTGACGGGGAGGAGAGATTTCGGGGTCGTGGGAGGTGGCATGTGCGTGAGAAGGGGCGCTGTCTTCCAAGTTCGCTCGTGACGCTGCCGCTGCCACTGCCACTGTCAACAACCTCCGCGTTGCAGCTCCGTGCCGGCTCCACCACCCACCCACCACAACCACGCCACGCCACGACACCAGAATGGCGAACGGCGGCACGAAACATGAGCGACTGGAGTCAGAGGTGCGGGACATGAAGCTCAAAGAGGAAGACTCGGACGTGGATATGGACACTGTCGCCCCAGCCGACTCGGAGGACGAGGCCTCAGCTTCTGCCAGTGGTGCGGCCACACCATCTGGCATCAAGCGACAATCACGGTCACCCACCAAGCGGCAGCGCTTCATGGACTCGCCGGCTACCAAGTCCGAGGAAGAGGAGACCATCGGCGGCGAAGTCACCCTCAAGCTGGAGCCAGGTAAGCCGCCCAAGCTGGCACGCTCAACTTCGCACAAGGTCGAAAAGCGCCCAGCACCACTATTCTTCGACTATGAAGACAAGACGCCGGAAGCCAGGAAGACCTTCGACATCCTCGAGCAGTGCACTTATGCCAACAAATACCTGGGCACCACCGAACATGCGCTCGAGTGCGACTGCGCTGAAGAGTGGGGTAAGTCCTTTTCTCGTATCCTGGTTGTTTCTGTGATTTTTAGCATTGTGCAGCTATCTAACCCCAAATACAGATACATCGACTCGTTCCAATCATGCCTGCGGCGAAGACTCTGACTGCATCAACCGCGCGACCAAAATGGAATGCGTCGGGGATTGCGGGTGCGGCACCAACTGCCAGAACCAGCGCTTCCAGCAGAAGCAGTACGCCAACGTCACGGTCATCAAAACCGAGAAGAAAGGCTACGGACTTCGAGCGAACACCGATCTTCGAGCGAACGACTTCATCTTCGAGTACATCGGCGAGGTCATTGGCGAAAATGTCTTCCGCCGCCGCATGCAACAATACGACGAAGAAGGTATCAAGCATTTCTACTTCATGTCCCTGACCAAGGGAGAATTCGTGGATGCAACGAAGAAAGGAAACCTGGGCCGATTCTGCAATCACTCTTGCAATCCAAACTGCTATGTTGACAAATGGGTTGTTGGTGACAAGCTGCGCATGGGCATCTTTGCTGAGCGCAAAATCCGTGCCGGGGAGGAACTCGTCTTTAACTACAACGTTGACCGATATGGAGCGGAGCCACAACCATGCTACTGCGGAGAACCCAATTGCACTGGATTCATTGGCGGCAAGACTCAGACGGAGCGCGGCACCAAACTGTCAAACACCATCATCGAGGCTCTTGGTATCGACGATGCGGACGCATGGGATACGGCTGTGGCGAAGCGGCCTCGCAAGAAGAAGGCCGGTGAAGACGACGAGGAGTATGTCAACAACGTCGAGCCTAGAGGTCTCGACGAAGAAGGCGTCAACAAAGTCATGTCTTCGCTCATGCAGTGCAAGGAGAAGTGGATTGCTGTCAAGCTGCTCACCCGCATTCAGCGTGCCGACGACGAGAAGGTGCGAAATCGTGTCGTGCGCTTCCACGGCTATCGAATACTCAAGACTACTCTGTCCAACTTCAGCGACGATGTCAACGTCTGCATGCAGATTCTGGACATTCTCGACAAGATGCCGCGACTTACTCGGAACAAGATCCAGGACTCGAAGATCGAGGACGCGGTGAAAGAGCTCATAGACCACGAAGACGAACGGGTGGCCTCTCATGCGAAAACGTTGCTGGATGCCTGGGCGAAGTTGGAAGTTGCGTACCGGATACCACGGATGAAGCGCGATCCAAACGCAGCGGCACCTGACCGAAAGGCTGAGCGCCTTGATCGTCGCGACGATGATAGACGACGCAGCAAATCAAGGTCAAAGTCCAAGTCTCCGGAGAGAATACAAGCCCCCAGTGGACCTCGAAGCAATGCTCCTCAACGGGCGCCCGGCTATCGACCTCCTCCTCGAGGCCGTCCACCACCTCCCAGTGGCCCCCTGCCCGCTGGCTGGTTTCAGGCCAACGCCGCGAATGGCAATACATACTACTACAACTCGAGTGGTGTCACCACGTGGCAGAGACCTACAATTCCCGCTGCCACAGCACCACCACCTCCACCACCGAAAGCTGTCTCTGACCAGCAAATGCTACAGGACCTCATCAAGAACATTGTCGCGACAAAGAAAGAGACAGTGAAGCAGCCCTCGGCGGCTGCGACACCAGTCGAAACTCCGAAGAAAGAACGCAAAGAGGACAAATGGCGGTCATTACCAGTGGAAAAGCAGAAGCGGTTATACGAGAGTGCTCTCCAACCGCATGTCATGCATGTGGTCGGCAAGTACAAACATAAGCTAGCCAAGGATGATCTCAAGCGTTGGGCCAAGGAGTTTGCCAAGCAGATGGTCGAATCCGACTTCAAGAAGGGCCGTGTTGAGGACGCGAATAAGATCAGCGACAAGAAGGCCAAGGATGTCAAGAAGCACGCTCAGACATTCTTCGAGAAGGCAGTCAAGAAGAAGGAGGCGGCTGATCAGAAGAAGTCTGACAAGAAAGCGAAGAAGGACGACGGCAGCCACACGCCAGAGGGGTCACCAGCGGCACCTGGCAGTCCCGTTCTTGTTGAGGACGACGACATGATCGAAGACGCAACTCCATTGGAGGCAAGCCAGAGTCCTGCTACACTCAAGCGACGATATGAAGAGTTGGCACAATCAGCAGATGATGATTCCATTCTCAAGAAGCAACGAACTGGCCCTATCGACGCGCCTCCTCCTCCGCCACCTCCGCCACCAGGGGACGAAGAGATGGATGATACCACACCAACAGGGAATGATGGATTGACTGCCGACTCTGACATGGGATTTTCTATCAAGGGCGCTGCCTCTTCGCAAAGCCGTCCCGTCTCGAGGAACGGAGAACATGCACTGGCCACGCCTCCAACCACTGGCTCACCGGACCGCGACGACACCGAGAAGACGCAGCAGCGCGCCAACTTCGCGGGTATGAATCCGGATAGAATGCGGCAGCTCGGCATCATAGATGGCGCGAATCGGTGATACCCTTCTTTGTTGTATTGATGGTCGGGATGGTGTTGCTTGGCTTCTTTTCTCAAACACCAGCCTTTCGAACAGTCGCTGCGATGGGCAGAATTTTGCAGTCCCCACGAGGTGCAGTCCCCACGAGGAGTAATGCTGTATACTAGGTAGTCGTAGTCGTCATCACACAGAGTTGGCAGAGCAGCCTGCTCCAGAGCCAAATGGAAAAATGGTATCTTGGCATCCTCTCGTTCGCTCGCAGTAGCTCTCTCAATCATCAAACAAATCCCCTCCCGCCGCATCCCTCCCCCCAGCCGCAGCATTCCAACAACTCCACCCCTTCACCTTCCACCCCTCCCTCGCTTTACTCACCCAACCCCCCGTCGCCGCGACCACCGCCGCGCGATCCTCGGCCTGCACCCGAATCCAGACATCTTGGCCCTCGAGTTTGAGAATGTCGAAGGTTATGGCTGAGCCGTGCAGGCCGAGGAAGGTGGAGAGCGCGCCGGTGAGGTGCATGTGGGCTGTCATGGTGTCGAGGTCTTGAGTGGGGTTGGGGGTTGGGGAGAGGTGTTGCAGGCGGATGTAGGACCAGGTTGGGTGGCGGATCGAGAATTGGGTTGTTGCGGGTTTGGTGGAGGGCTTTTTGCGTTTTTTGGTGGTGGGTGATGCGGATGTGGTTGCAAGTGTGTCTTGTTCGGGGGCGTCGGGGAGTTCTTCTGGATCTGTGGCCATATTTATTTTGCTTGGATGTTGATGTCTACGTTTTGACGTGAGAAAGAGAGGAAAGTGAAGTTCAAGTAGAAAGTGCCAAGATCGAGCTAGCTTGATCGGGTAATGCTGATGAGGTCCAGCAGTAGGCCTTTTTGCTAGAGCTAGAGCTAGAGTACAGTCTTTCGCATGGTCTATAGTGTTCAACCACCAACGCCGTGCTCGCTAAAACCAGTTGGAAGTAATCAATCATCCTTGCAATCACTCAGTCCTCATGCGGGCTCCACCCCCTGTCTTCGCAGTCTCAGCCTTTCTCTTTCTCAACAGCGAGTCTGGAGTGGCGCTCCTCTCCTTCTGACCTCCTCCAAAGCTCGCCAGTGCCGCCGCCAGCGAACCCCCGGCCCCTCCTGCTCCTGGACCGGGCTTGGTCATTTCGGCCAAGCAGGTCGCGTGCACGATTTTGTCATTGTGAACAGTCGCGTTGGCAAAGATCCAGTCTTGAAGGTCCTCCGAGTAGCTGCTCTTCATCTCTTCGAAGCAGATGTTGCATGTATTCTTCGTCATGCCCGCCGGTGCACGCACAAATTGATCTTGTGGGCCTTTCTTCGCCTTGGCCGTCGCCTCAGTGTCTGCGGCGGTTGCAGTGGTCGTGGATGGGTCGTATTCCTTGTGTCTAATCCAGTCCATTTCGTCGACGTACCAGTTGCGGTGATGGCCACGGTTCGTGTTCGGATCGGCGATGCGTTGATTCATGCGGAAATGCCAGTCGAGGTGACGGCTCTTCTTCTCGCGGCCTTCGTCAGTGGTAAGAAACCGCCGTCCACAGGTGCTGCACTGATTTGACTGCGCATCGTAGAGAGCATGCACCAGCTCGGGGCGGAAGGTCTTCAGAGAGGAGGCTGACAGTGGTACTGCCGCCGATCCTGGCTGCTGCAGCGGCATCTGAGCAGGCGTGCTGTTTTGCGGCGTTGGGATGATGCCTTGTAGTGATTTGAGTAGCGCTGCTGTGGGATCCACTGGTGGTGCTAGCGATGTAGGTGGAGCAGGGGGAGGCGCTGCATTGGGACCCAGGAGACCAGCCTTCGCAAGTGTAGCGAAAAGGTTGGCTGGGTCGTTCGCATTTGGTGTAGTCGTATTGTTCTGAACAGTGTTAAGCTGGGAGTGAGTCGCTTCTCGCAATCCTGGCACTGCAGCTCGCATCTGCGGCGTACTGGGCTTGGGTACGTTCGCTAGCAAGGCCTGTAGTCCATTGAGGGCATTCGGAGGTAGGCCAGGCGGCATGTTCGGTGGCATGCCCGGTGGAAATGGTAGGGGTGCCGGTGCTGTTTGCGCAGGTGGTTGTGGGGGTTGATAAGGTTGAGAGTACGGTGGCATGGGTGGCTGCTGCCATTGAGGTGTAGGTACTGGAAGAGGAGGCTGTGGAGTGGATTGCATGGCAGACGGAGGTGGTACTGATGCGGACAGTGCTGCGACTTGTTGCTTTGTTTGCTGCAGCTCGGTCGGGCTCATGGTCCTCGAGTCTAGCAGAGCGCGCAGTTGACGTAGAGCACCAAGCTGACTGCTGAGGCCCGCATTGTGTGGATTTGATGCAAGTGTCTGCTGGAGTCTCGAGACGAGAGAGTCGATCTCGCGTTTGAGACCGTCAACTTCGTTTGGTGGCTGATGTGGGGGTGTTGCGTATGGGTACTGCAGCTGCTGAGGGGTGGGCTACAGAACAATTAGTTGGCGTTGAATGACATGTTCAATGTACATACCTGCTGACTGCCATATCCTGGGTGTGCCTGTGCAATGTGTTGATTTGGAGGCGTGCCGAACTGGCCGTTGTGCTGAGGTGGCGTGGCTGTTCCTCTGAAAGGTACATGTGGTTGCCTCTGGTGTTGGATTGCCGCCGTCTTCGCTTTTATCAACGCATTCTCGATAGGTCTCACAGTATCGGCAGGGAAGACAGATCGAGGATCGATCGAGCCAGGAACAGGCTCTTTCCAGGTCTTCAGCATGCCCTCCATGTTGCGTCTCGTAGTGCCGTCGACCAGGGTGTAAGCTTCCATGAATGTACTGTAAAGGTTGCGGCCAAGGTAGACAGTGTATGGCGTTCCAACGTTCTTGACGATGCTGTCGAGGAGGAAGAGGGCTGGTAACTTGCGTGCTGGAGATGCCTATTGTTCTGTCAGTCAATTGACCTAAAAATAGTACATACTGAGTCACGTGATAGCCAAAGCTTACTGTCTTGATGTGCTTCTCGAGAGCTCGAGAGATAGCTTGCGCATGTTCGGTGTTCTCCTTGGCGATGATGGTGAGGTTGCTGATCTCATATCTGTTGTTGGTCTGCAGATCTTTCAATGACTCCTCGAAGTCGGCGGCCACTTCAGCAGAAGATGACACGCCAGAGATTGAACCTCTTGGCGATCTGGAAGACATTGTGACTTCACACGAAGAAGAAGGAACACTTCACAATGCAGACTAAGCTATCTAATGAGCTGCGGGTGACGTGAAGACGTCGACAAGCAGAGATGCAGCAAAGACGCCGTACAATATGGTGCACGTGCTGTTGGGAACCCTGAAGTGGGTGACACGCCAGCTGAGAGCGGCGTAAATGAGGTTCAGCCCTTCTGGAGGACAAGAAGTGGGCAACAAGTAGTGACTGGCTGCTAGCTACTGTTCAGTCCTTTGGTTGCGACACCGCCCCTGTTCTGATGATTTCCAGTCTCCGAAGCTCTTACTGCCCGCTGGGTTTCAGCTCACTCCACGCACCGCCGTGAACCTGAACATCCGAGGGTGAAGCTGAATGTGGTCTTGTACTTCTTGCTTGTCGAGGATACGTGGAGGTGGATTCTTTGTTTGGACTCGCGTGGTCAGCACCAAACAGGGCGGTCGGAGTCGAAGTGTCAGTTTGAAATATATGCTGTCGCTCGGTCCAGTCACAGCCTGTGCGCCGTGCGAGATGCCGAACGCCGGTGGTGATATTGGATGCTAGCGCTGAGAAGTGTTGTTGGAATGAAGCCGCCGGAAGCTTTGTGCAGAAAGAGATGTGGTCAGCAAAAGAGGCCCGTGCATGATGACAAAGGACGGCTCTAGCCGGCACTCGCAGCATGTATGTGACGTAACATATCAATACTTCATTGTCCAATGTTGGCGCCTGGCCTTGAACATTGACAACAACTCTTCTTCTTCTTCTCCCCTGAAGCACTACGAACTGAGCAATCGAACGCGCAACCAACATGAAGTTCATCATCAACACGCTACTGGTGCTCTGCCTGGCTCTTCTGGCCCTTGCCGCAAAGGAGCCGGAGAGACAAGTGATCATTAGCTACCCGAAGAATACCCCGTCTAGTGTCTTGGACGAAGCGAAGAAGGTCATCTTGGATGCGGTGAGTTTGTGAACTACTTCTCCTCCATAGGCAATGTGCTGACGTGCTCTCAAGGGCGGGTTCATCTCGTGAGTTTCAACATCCTCCCATGCCCTGCGTGTATCGTACTGACATTGCGACTCGCCAGCCACGAATACCACATAATCCAAGCATTCGCTGCCAAATGTCCTGCCAAGGTGATTGAGAGCGTGAAAGCATTGGGCGAGAAGCACAATGTCATCATTGAGGAAGACCAGAAGATGAGCATCAATTCGTAAAGATACTTTTTCAGCTGCGGCTGGTGTTTGCTGCGCATTGCTGCAATACACGGTCCTCATGTCATGATAGGCAATGACTTTGCGCCCTGCTGAGAGGGATTCTTTGCGGGAATTTTTGGAATCTTCAGCCGATAAGGCAGCAAATCACGGAGACAATCAACACTTTCTCAAAAGAACCGGTGAGGCCAGCCTTCTTGCAGATGAATCTTCAAGGTCTCAAGGTGATGACGTCCTTTCATTCCCCCAAGCTCACGCGACTTGCTACTGGACCATGGACTAAGCCTTCGCCTGGAACCGTTTCTTGGGCGAGGGATCTGGCTACAGAGAATGCTCACTGTAAATCCCCCGACGCTTCCATGCCATCGGGACACAGCGGTCTCGACAGGAATGTGAATACGCGAGCCAAGAAGGCTAGCCGTACGCCACGGATCGACGAGCTTCATACAGCCCCGCTTTTCACCTAGACCACCATCATGCAAGGAGAAAACATAAAAGGATTGAAATACTGCGAGACGACGCAGCCGATGAGAACTGAGTCTGAGTGGCTTGAGTTCTTCGCTTGTGATGGACGCATTCGCGATCGCCGTAGGAGCCGGCAGCGGTGCGGTGAGGGGCTGCGCAAAAGGCTGCGCTTACTACGCACTCGTGCATCTTTTGCTCACTCTGCTTGATGCCTCTAACTCAGCTCTGGCTTCTGCGCTTCGCCCCGCGACAAGCAGAGTGCTGGATTAGACCGCCACAATCCGTCAAGGCTGTTCTAGCGGGTCTCGGGTAACGACGTGTCGATGGCTGCATGATCGGGAAGCCGACAAGCCGTTTGACAGCCGACCAATAGCAGTATCGAGGGAAGAAAGCCACTCGTCTCAAAACGATCACGTATCAGAGTACCGGACGACTCCATGAACCAGGGCAACGGAGACCGGTCTAGCCCATGCGCCCATCCGACTCGCATGCACTTCGACTGTCACTGCTTTTGACTGGCTGTCGCCTCAATCTGATACCCGGAAATGTGGTAGTGATCTCTTTCGGAGCTATTTCAGAGCGTCTTGAGCCAGCCGTGGGCGGGGATGCTTTGCTGAGGCTTGCTGAGAAGACCGCCTTCAGCATGGCCTTGTGTACCCTCTGTATCCAGCCCACCGGTCTGTCCGGCCGCTTAGACCTCTCCGTTGTGTGGCTGCGCCTGCGGCCTTGCAGAGTGGTGTAACTTCGTGGTAGATGCTTCTGCCCTTGTACCTGGAGAATGCTAGCTGCAAATGCACCGGGGGGAGCTAATGGGGTATTAACAAAAGCATCGATACGCGCAGTTCTATCAATCGTTATAGATCAGAGTTGCACCCGGAATTTTCTCGAACAACACAACGTGAGGAGGGACGTCAGGAAGTTTTGAGCCGCACTTCAACCCTCTTGCAACAGCCATCCTTGCCTTTTGTGAAAGCCAATTCTGAGAATTCTGCTCCATGACCGCCGTTCTCTCAGGAGGTGTGCAGCTGTTTCTGCCGCTGCATAACAACGACCAGATGCCAGAAGGCGTGAACGACGTATGGCGCCGACAGCAGTACCATCAGATGTCCCTGCCAGCCATTAACAACTACTGGCCTGACGGCCACGCCACGGCGATGGGCGGCATGTCCGACATGGACCTCAGCAGATTCCATGCAGAGTCTGGCGATTATGAGAACACCTTTCATCACGATGCTGCGTCACTGATCTCTCAGCCGATGGGCTACGTGCCTGACGCCAATTGGGGATCGGACATGGACATCGGCACGCCCTCCACCACTGCCGGGTTCCCGAACGATGCCATGGACGGCTATCATCATATGCCGCATACCAGCAATCCCAACCATCACCTGAACCTCGCCCAACGACATGAACACAACTCCTCCGTGCAGAGCCCCCAGAGCTCGCATGACTCTGGCATCAGCCCGCATCTATCGTATGCCCAACCCCCAGACGCCGTGATCAAAGAAGAGAGACCGTGCCTTACCCGGTCCATCACCGCCCCCGCAGCACCAGAAGTCCGTCAACGAAGGGGCACCGTCATAGCCTGCTCAGGTACTTCCTCCGTCAAAAGATCCGGCAGCGAGAACGAAGACGACGAGTACATGCCCAGCGAGGAAGCCAAACCCCGCGGCCGAAAGCGCCAACGCATCCCCCACACGGCCGTCGAGCGACGATATCGCGAGAACTTGAACGCCCATTTGGACAAGCTGCGTCAGACCGTGCCCTCGCTGGCATCGAAGCGACCAGCGGGGAACTCGAAAATGGGAGACGGCATGGGAGAAGGCGTGAAGCCGAGCAAGTGCGAGATCTTGAACGGTGCCATCGAGCATATCGGCGCGTTGGGCAAGGAGAACGCGGCGCTGAAGACGGAGGTCAAGGCTTTGAGGTCGAGGTTGGAGGATCTGGAGAGGTGGTGCAGCGGGCCGACACATTTTGGGAAATAAAAGAAGAATGCCGTTCAACTTGGCCTTTCGGAGTGAGTGGATGGTTATGAGATGGAGGCGATGGGAATGACGGGTGTTGTATGAGATACTTTTGTCCCTGACTCAGGAGTCGTGGACATGACGATGCGGCTTGGGAGTTGATGGTTTTGTTTTGGGTTTGAGATGAGACGGCCGTGGACATTTTTCGTTTTGAGACGACGTCCTGTGTGAAAGAAAGATACCCTGATAAGTGTATGGACTGCCATGTTCGCAATATCCTCTGCAAAAGCTATAGTGTCGTACATGGTTTCGTGTCAACAAGTCGTTGTCGTCATGCTTCTACTCGTCTCTGAAGAGCCATCGTCCTCCTTCACGCATCGCTTCCCGCCATCGATCTTCGACCTGCCTCCTTTCCATCTCGTCGGCCTGTTTCCGATTCTCTTCTATCTGCTGTGTCGTGGGAAAATCTGTATCCCAAAAGCCTGGCGGAGTGCTCCGTCGTTCAAAAGCAGACTTGTGCTTTCCGTGTTGATTCGCGAGTACAAATACGTGCGCTTGCGTAGTGATTTCCTTCCTCTTCTCGGCACTGTATCCGCCCATATGATCTCGCCAGTCCTCTCCAAGGAATGCTTCAAGGGCCTGGGCGTCCGTCTTGCCAGTCAATTCAGTCCCGCCCATCGCAATGACTTTCTGAAGAGCTCCACCACAACAGTCAGGTCGTGTGCAAGCATGCAAGTTCCTTCGTGCGTCCCTTCCTCGGAGCGTGTCTGTGAATGCGTGCGTAGTTCCCATGTACTTCGGATTGATCTTGAAGTCGTCGAGCTTCAAATTGATCACATGTTTGCTCCGCAAAGACTCATCTTCAGGCCGGAGAGGCGGTGGAGAGTTCTGGTGCTGGCGAAGACGTTTTAGTGGGCTCCGTCTTAGTTTCTGGGGGGAGGGCCGCTTGATGACTGATTCAGGTGTGGGTATGCTGGCTATGGTGGGAGCTTGCCGAGTTTTGCGACTTATCGTAACAGGTTGCTGAGGACGACGGGCAAGCGTAGGCGTCCTCTCTGGAGGAGGCTCGTTCAGCAGGTTTTCGAGGCGATTGTCATCGGCCTCTCCAGCTTGGTCGTCAGGGGCGGCTTGACTAGACTCCTCGCCATCCTCCGACAGCAGCCGGATCTTATCCTTCGCTCCTGTGCGTCTTAATTTGGACTTGCCATTCGATGGACGACCCGATGTGCGAGATGCAGTTGGCACATTGACACTGATCGGCCTTAAAGGTGCATTGACAAGGTGTTGGTTGCCACTGTGGCTCTGCCGTCGTGTAACAGAGTTCAAGGGGCCTTTGTGGTGATCAGGCTTCGGATGATGCTCAGCTGTGAGAGCATCTTGGACAGGCTCATCACCTTCCGAGTATGACGACGCATTCCTGTTCAAGCTCGGTCGAGCTCTGGTTGCTTCTTCAGAAGATGCCCGCTCTCGAATTTCACTGATCCGTTGAGGTTTGCGTGGTGTGATCATCCGTGTTCCCACGGCATCTAAATCCGAAATTTGATGATGCACAGTACGCTCAGGTATCCTTTGTGGGCTGCTTGTGAGCTCGATCGGTCTTTCTTGCGATTTGGGCTCCTGTTTGATACGCTGCGCAGGCCGTTCGTCTTGTCCAGAGACGCCGCCTTTACGCTTCAGTGACCGAGCAGACACAAAGACAGGCTCGTTGTCGCTACTAGCATCTTCGCCATGTGGAGAAATAGTTGTCTCCTCTGCTGGTGTGTCATCCACGGTTGTCTGGCTTGAAGTAACTCGAGGAACCCCCAATCCCGATGACGGCCGCGGCGCGTCTTTGTGAGACAACGGAGGAGGGCTCGAGGGAAAGGCAGGAAAGTTAGTCTTAGCTCTGAAAGCAGCTCCTTGCTCAACGCCAGCCTCTGGAAGACTCACGGGTGTGAGTGGAGGTTCGAGAGCATCGTCGCTCCCTTGTTGAGGTCGGTCGAATCCTGCATGGTGCTTCTTGGTCAAGAGTATCTCGTGGCGCTGCGCAGGCGCTAAGTCCGCAAGATTCTTCTTGGCCATCTCTCTATCCTTCCACTCCTTCCAACCTTTGGCGTAGTCTTTGTACTCCTTGCATTTGTCCAGATACCTCTTCATAGTTTCTTCACATCCAGCATGTTTGGACTGGAGATCATCGAATCGAGATGAAAGGTCTTTGAGCTCCTTCATCATGGCTCCATATTGCTCTGAAGAATACATTCCTAGTGCTGCCGGATGGACTTGCTCGTCGCTCGGATCGGAGACTCCCACAGATGTACGAGCCACCCGATATTCTGCCAGCTGGTTGCGTAAGGAGGCATTCTCGTCCTCTAAGTGGGTGATTTGCAGGGCCTGCCTGGCGATGGTGCTCATTGTGTCTTCCAGAGTCGGCTCACGGCCGTCGACATGAGTTCTGGCCATTGTAGTGGTCTCCGTGGGAGGTCATAACGTCGTGTGGTAACTGCTGTCTGCCCACATGTGACCAGATGAGAGGATTCGTTCGTTGGCGAGGCGTCGTCCTGGGAATGTATGTCGAGGTGGGGTTGGGTCCTGTCAAGAAGTCAAGTCATACATGTAGTCGAGGTGCGCGTGCCTGCTGGGGAGACGCGCCTTGTCGCGGAGCTCGGGCCGGACGGGAGCTATGACCGGATCGCTGGTACTGCCAAGTGATTCGACGTTCCTGTCGCCATCACGGTACAAAGCATGTTCTGACCGCACTTCGTCTGACACCCTCACATCGAATATGACGAAGAGGCAAAGGGAGGACGATGATGGCGCCGTGGACGAGCAGAAATCTGCGAAGCGCACGAAGCCATCATCGCTAGACCGCCTGTCGAGTCTGAGCGATGAACTGCTCCTCAAAGTGCTCTCGTTCCTTCCTATTTCACAACTAGTAGCTTGCCAGAGGTAAGTAGATTCGTCTTCTATTCAAACTATTTTGAACATCATGGCTGAACTTCCAGACTCTCTCACAAATACCAGAAGCTGGCTGGCGACGGGCAGATATGGAAGTCACATTACTACAACCGCTTCATTCGCCCACGTGCGAGCAGATTACCGGGCCTAAAGGATCAAGGGACATCGACTGAGAGCTTACATTTCGCCTCGAGAGCATCCAGGTGGCTTGAGGAAGAGCATCTTGTCAAGAGCGGTGTAAGGACGAACTGGAAGAGGCAGTACAAACTCCGCCATAATTGGTCAAAAGGAAGCTGTGAAGTGAACGAGATACCTGTCGCCGAACAAGCAGCCATACCCCCGATACTGGTTCAGATGCATGATGGCATCATATACACTGCAGACCAGACAGACGGTCTTCGAGCATGGGCGGCCAAAGGCTCAAGGCAACGTGTGGCCCAGTTAGCTTTCCCATCTTCAAAGGTGCCCCGGCCACCAACAGCCCTGGCGATCGACGCACAATCACGAGCGGACCATGATGTTACAAGGGTGATTGTTGGTTTTGAAGACGGGTCGTTCAGCATCTATGTGTTGCACCGGGCCGATGCGATCTTCAGGCACCAATACACACATGAGCCGTCATCGAACGGAGTCATATCAGCGACCGCAGTGTCCTGGCCTTACGCAGTTACAATGACAGCAACCCAGATGCTTTCTCTGTATCAGTTTGGAGATGGCCCAAGAAATACGAGCGACCCTCCTCGACTCTTGCACTCGCTGAAGTCGCATACCGCATGGCCGCCGCTTTCGACTTCACTAAGAACCACAGCATCGGCGATAGTCATTTGCGTTGCATACGCGCTGCCCACGTATCTTTCGGGCTGGACCGTCGGTATGCAGGAGGTCAAGGTAAATCTGGCTGGTGACCTTCTGGATTCGCGCATTGCTTCCGCCATAGATCAACATTACCGGCCTCTCGCGTTCTCTACTCGACCGATGATGCACCACTTAGGGGCCTTCACACCTGGACCTGGTGCATCGGCGGCCTTGGAGCTCAGACACATTCATTCGAAACCGACATCTCTCTCATACACCCACCCATACCTGCTAGTATCGCATCCCGACAACACGCTCACCCTGTACCTGGTGACTTCAACAGCGGACACACTCTCAATCAGCGCCGGCAGCCGGCTCTGGGGACATACCTCGTCCATATCTGGTGCACATGTGGGTGGCCGTGGTAAGGCCGTGTCAGTTAGCAGACGAGGCGATGAGCTACGTGTTTGGGAGCTTGAAGGCGGATTCGCATCAACTGCTGCAAAAAGGCGACTCGCGAGTGGGGATTTGAGCGTTCAGATCAAGCCAACGTCACAGTCGGGCATGGATCTCATCAGTAAAGCTATACAGCATCGACAGTCCGGGACAGCATGCGGACATGAGTCCGCCCCTGACGACAGTTCAGAGTTGACTCTTACACGAGGGTGGATTGGATTCGACGATGAAGCAGTGGTGGTTCTGAAGGAGCGGAGCCAGGGCAGACAGAACCTCATGGTTTACGATTTCACGTGAGATATAGAAACGTCAGGCTTTGGTATCCATCCGCAGTCTTCAGATCTTGCTCCACAAGCACCCATCCCCTGAACAGCAGACCGTTGACCATTTTTGCGCATTGTTTGTCCCGCGTTTCCTCTTGTTTTCAGCATATCACAGTCATTCGAAACAGACCCTCATGGTACACGGCTTCAAGCGAAATACAGACATGTGCACAAGCCTGACCTCATGATACTCTTTTGTCTTCAGTCCAAACATGTGATGTTGTAGTGGTTGGAAGGAACGTGGCGCTCCTTCCTGTTTCAGATGGCCAAAGCTTGCGCCACGTGGAAACGCGCTAGGAACGGCTCGCTTAAGCGGCTATGTGGCCCTGGCTCAACTCACTTTTATCAGAGAAAACCACAGCAAGCAAACACACCCACATCCGGCGCCGGCGAGAACTGTGGAGCCGCAGCAAATTCCAGCTACACTTGCTCAGCTCATCTCTCTTCTTCGTCGCCACTACTTCCATCACACAACAACACACTCAAACAACTTCGCACCCCCGAAACGGTACGTACGTCCGTCCGACCTTGTGCGTGACCTCATGTCACATGTGGGGTCTGCAAAATTGGCGTGCACTTTCGCTGACCTCGCTTCTTCAGTTTGACTTCGACAAACAACACCACCACGACTCCAGGTTCCTCGTTCACACACCTCCATCACTCATCACTCGGACATCAACAACCAACGCGGCCATCATGTCTTTCGGCGGTGCTCCTCGCGCGTGCTACAACTGTTTGTCTCCCTTCATCCCCAATCGCGCCGTCAGCATTTCGATGGATCTGCCCACTCTTCACGTGCGGCCGGCATCACTCCTTCGCCTCTTGTTTGCTGGACTTCTTCGATAGTCCGATATTCGCTTATGACGACCCACACGCCAAGAACTTTGATTGTGCATGAAATTTTGGCTGACATCTTGACCAGGTGGCGACCCATCTCATCAGGCCAGAGAGTGCCCCCAGAAGGGTACTCCAGTAAGTGCTTTCGCATCCACCCGATCGGGTGTTCTATCTGCTGACTTCGACAGACTTGCTACAACTGCGGCGGCCAAGGCCACTTGTCGCGCGAATGCACCGAGGCTCCTAAGGACAAGGTGAGTTCCAGAGTTCCCACCAACCAAACACAGAACTGACGAGACACGACAGGCTTGCTACTCGTGCGGCGAGCCAGGCCACGTTTCCCGCGACTGCCCCTCCGGAGGTGCTGGCGCTGGTGCTGGCGGCTTCGGCGGAGGTCCTCGTGGTGGTGCAGGCGGACAAGAGTGCTACAAGGCAAGTCACGAAACATCAACCGTCAACAGAACTCGAAGGCTGACAACTTCTATCTACAGTGCGGCAAGACAGGCCACATTGCCAGAAACTGCAGTGAGGGCGGCTTCGGTGGCGGATTCGGCGGTCGTCAGGGCGGCTACGGCGGTGGTGGCTTCGGCGGCGGCAACCAAGGTGGAAACTGCTACACCTGCGGCGGCTACGGACACATGTCGCGAGACTGCACTCAGGGACAGAAGTAAGTCAAAGCGAAGGATTGCAGGCTCCAGCCCAATGTGAGACAGTCCATGCTATCAACAACTGGCTGCATGGGGATGGTGCCTGCTTTCCAAGAAGATTCTTCCAATTTTGAGACATGCTGACGTTCGCCCGTTCTTTCTAGGTGCTACAACTGCGGCGAGGTTGGCCATCTGAGCCGCGAGTGCCCAACGGAGTCGTCGAACGAGCGTGTGTGCTATAGGTGCAAGCAACCTGGCCACGTCCAGGCTCAGTGCGATGCTGCTTAAGCGGCTCACGACATCACGACCGATATACCCACGACGTACCGATCGTACCAAAACGACAGCATTGCCTTACTGGATTGACGACCTTGACCGGGAGCCGGACAACTGAAGTTGGTGCAAGGGTGGAAGCTTTGGGATGGGACGGTCTCTGTGGGTCACGAGGGTCATCCAAATCGGCATTCTACGAACATAAAATCCTGATGAGCAGCAATTGCTACCTCAGCAAGGCCTTTCTACCCAATCTTCGTTGCATTTGGAGTTTCACCATGGCTTGGTCAAGGAGATCTGCCGCATGTAGCGAAGATTGGTCTGCGGACATGGGCTGGGAGCCCGGCATAGCAAGCAACAGCATCAGTCGATATGAAGCATCGACGAATGATAACATGGATTTGAAAAGTTCTCATAAACGTTGCTCTCTGTATTTGAATGGTGCAGATGCTGATACCTGTCAATGCCTACTTGCTAATACCACGTTTTGACAGCCTTGCCCAACTTGACAGCATAGATCTTTTGAAACCCAAGAATGAACAGCTCATCCTTCGCCAGCGCGAAATTGGCACCCGTCGCGACATCTGGACCATCCGTGCCCACAATATCGACAACATTGAACACCCCCAACACCTTCCCCGTCTGGCTCCTCACCACCACACCTTCATACTCCGTCCCCCAGATGCGGCCAAAATCATCTATCTTGATACCATTCACGAAGCCCTGACGCGCAATACTCAGCAGACGCTTGTTCATCGGCGTACACCCGTCCACGCCCCCCAGATCAAAAACGTACAACCCCGGCGTTCCCGACGTGCTGTTATACGGCTGACCGAACACCGCCGAATCCGGGCCATCAGAGACGTACAGCAGGGTGTTATCCCTATTGACCGCGAGACCGTTCGGCGTCTGAACGTCGAGTGGCGAGATGGCCATCTGCAGACTCTCGTCCGCGGACGTGAAGCGGTAGACGGCGTTGGGAAGTTCTTGCGGGCCCGGCCAGGTTCCGGCGAGGCCTTCGACGGCGAAGAAGAAGTCGCTGTAGAAGAGGCATGGCTGGCCGGTGGTTCGTGAGCGGGCGATGGTGACATCGTCGGGGCCGTTGAGGGGCAGGCCGAAGAAGGAGTTGAGGACTTCGTGGGTGGCGTAGGTGTGTGGGTCGATGGAGACGATGGAGGGGGAGGTGGTGGGGTTGCCGAAGGAGGTGAGGTAGACCAGGCCGTTGAAGTAGTAGGCGCCGTTGGGGTTGATGGGGATGTTCGCGGCTGGGCCTGTGAGGTTCGGGCGGAAGGTGGTGGAGGTGCGGATGTCGAGGATGGTAATGTAGCCCGGGGGTGGGTTTAGGAAGGCGGTGAACCAGATTTGGTTGAGGGGAGGGATCCAGACGCCGCCTTCGAAGGCGAAGGGGTGTGGGCTTTCTGCTATAAGGCGGACTTGGGGATCGGGGCCGAGGATGGTGTCGAATTCGTCGCTGTAGGAGATGAAGCTGGAGGTTCGGGCTTGGGAGAGCTGGGTTGATGCGGTGGGGTCTGAGATGTTGGTGTCTACGAAGGGTTGGGTGAAGGTGTTGTTGAAGGGTCGCGGGAGGAGGTATGTATATTCGTTTGGGAGGTGGGCGGTGAGGTTGGATTGTGATGCTGCGAAGGGAAGGAGGAGCGTGAGGGTTGCTGGAATTGTACTGAGGGTCTTCATTATTATGGATTGTAGTGTCTGTTACGTATATGGATTGGGTTCTCTTCCTCTCTTTGATGTTGGCCTGGTGTGCTACCATCGACATGCTTCCTGTGGTGCTTCTCAACGGCTTCCCAGCCTCTCGGAGCTTCTTTGCGTGGAAAGCCGGTATGGTGTCATCAGGAGGTCGTGCATGATCCTTCTTCTCCTTTATGGATGCACTTACACTTGTATACCAACAACCATATCATCTTTCTGTAAGCCTTAAGCCGTCATTGTATTCTTGCAAGAGCTAGGTTTTGAGATAAAAACGATGTTGCTGGCTTGGAGACCCGGAAGCACCGGCTGACCATGCGACATTCGTCCTCTCGTTCCGGCAGGCTCTGCGCACTTATGAACAACGGGCTGAGGTACTGTAGTAGGCGGAAGACTCGCTGTTCAGATAACGCTTACCAACAGTGTTCACCCCTCCATCAACGAAGAAGTCGTCGATGCAAAGTCCACGCGGCAGACTGGCGATCTTGACTCTCTCCACGGCTGTTCATCCACAGGCTCGGCCAACAATGCTCCAACGCCACACACCGCATGGCCATCTAGCCAATATTTCGCGGCTATCAGTCGCACCTTTTACCCGGTTTCTGTGCCGTCTCTATGGTGTTTGGTAGGGAAATCGGCCACTGCTACTGCTGCATTCGCCTCCCCCGCCGCCTCCACTGCTGCAAGCCACGACGTCTACTCGCGTGACCTTATCGCCGTCCCAGGTTCGCACCTCTTGCCCAAGCGGTAGCCGTCTACGTTGAGAAGCGTGCGGTACAATGAAATCGCCCGAACAAGACCGGGATGCGTAAACGAGACAACTCCATGCTCTGCCAAGAATAGCGAAGCCTCACATGGCCAGTGAACGATGAAGATATTGCCGGAGCTCGGGTCCGTTGGTCGCCTTGCGATGAGCGCAATCTGAAGGATGCGCTTTCTTTTTTGCCAGGCTTAGGAAGGTAGGTACGTTGCGCGGAAGATGCAGGTCCTGCCTTGGAACAGCCCGCTCCCAGAGCGTACCTTCCAATGCCGTCGAGTGCATTACGCATCATGTCGTACTGTTTGGGCAGTTGCTGCTTTTCTTCTTGTTCGTCTCGTTCGTACGATGCCTTTGTGTTGAGACAAACAGCTTGCGACACATCGGTGACACTACAGCGTCAATCAGGGTGGCACTCTTTCGACGACCTGATTCTTGCGAAGATCGTCGTGTGAGTGGCGGCCGCGGTGAAGTTGGACATCTCGTTTGGAGATTGATCCGCTTTGTGATAACCTCACTCGATTCTTTACATATCGCTTTCCTTCAGACTCAAGCAAGCCCGGCGTATATCAACCGCCCAGCAAAGCAGGCAGCATGTGGTTGTTCCTCTACACAGCGGCGTGCGTTGCACTGTCACTCGTGCCAGGCGCATTCGGCGAGATCTTCCTGAACAATGCGACTGAGCCATTGTCCAGGTTCTTAACGGTATTTGAATATCCAACCACCATCTCAACCACCTGCTAATGAGACTCAGAGACCACAATCACTGGCTCCAGCACTCAACGTGACCATCAGCAAGCCCGGACAAGCTGACGGCTTGATCTTCATGGGGCCTTACGGCAATGGCTACATGGGAGCCGGTCCACGTATCTACGACAAGCAAGGCAAGCTGGTCTGGGACGGATATGGCGTACTACCGGGCAACGCCCACAACGTCCATGTCTGTACATATCAGGGCAGCCCTCACCTGTGCATGGTGCTTGCCTCGGATCAGACTGGATATGCAGCTGGCATGGGCGTGATCGTTGACAGCAACTACCGGATCGTCCAAACTGTTCAGACTGGACGTGGTGCGATGCCAGTATGTATAAGCCCATTGATAGTCGAACGCCCTCACTGACCGTCTTAGGTCGACGAACATGAGTTTCACCTTGTCGACAATGGTACCCACGCCCTCGTCTCCTTCTACCAGACTGTTCCTTACGACTTGTCTCCAATCAACATTACCACTGGAATGGGCTACTTGATGGAGGGAGGTTTCCAGGAGATCGATGTCGAGTCTGGAGATGTCTTGTTCGAGTGGTACTCTACCAACCATGTGGACATTCTGGACACCGTCATCAAGCCCAATACGTCTGATGTCTCCGGCACTGGGACGAGTAAGTACTGATACTGCCACCATAAGGAACTCCGCTGACCATGGCCACAGCTGGCACGTCCGGATTTGACTACTTCCATGTCAACAGTATAGACAAGTCTCTGACGACTGGCAACTATTTGGTCTCGTCACGGCATACAGGAACGCTGTATTGCGTCAATGCGTCGGTACGAACTTGTCCTTCTCACGCATCATTGTAGTGCTGACCTCTTGAACAGGACCAGAACGTGCTGTGGAGGCTGAGCTTTGTCGGCCCTTCAGACTACACCCTCCGGGGGTTCAACTTCAGCTTCCAGCACGATGCCAGATGGGTGAGCGACAACGACGAAATGAGCGTCATATCCTTTTTCGATAACGCCTTCAATGGCTTTGGCGACCCTGCAACCGGTGCTTCTGCTACCATGTCCCCTGGTCAGGTCATCGCCCTCAACCATACAGATAACACCGCCAAGCTCCTGTCTATCACGTACCCACCATACAACACGACATCGCTATCACAAGGCAACACCCAGCTCCTGGCCAACGGCAACGTCTTCCACGGATGGGGAGACGTTCCGCAAATCTCAGAGCACGACGGTGATGGCAACGTGATCCTCGCGGCCTCCTTCGCCAACAAGCAAGGCACCATCATGAACTACCGAGCCTTCACCTTCGACAACTGGAACAGCACACCCGCCAACACCGTCCCCGCGGTCTACTCCTACGCCCTGAACACCACCGCCCCAACCTCCATCTACACCTCCTGGAACGGCGCGACGGAAGTCGCAACATGGCGGTACTATGGCGCGCAAAACATCGGCGACAACTTCACCTCGATCGGCTCGACGCCCAAGAACGGCTTCGAGACGCTGTGGACGGCGCCGGAGTTCTACAGATGGGTCATGGCGGAGGCCGTGAGTGCGAGTGGGACGAGTCTGCGGAACTCGAGTTTCCAGCCCACGTTTACGCCTGGCGAGCTGCTCGTGGGGAGTTGTACGGAGACGGGGTGTAAGGCGTTGCCGACGGAGGGGTTTGTTAATGCGGATGTTAGTGTTTATCAAGGGACGAGTTGAGGATTTAGTGGGTAAGTGGGTGGATGAATGAACGCTTCGAGGGATGATGAGTGAATGAATGAGTGAATGAAATGTCGCTTGTTCCATACGTTCTCATTCTACCCTGATCAAGCATGTAGCACGACGGTCAATTTCTCCTCCGTCGGATCCCGAACGTTGGGTGTCGGCGTGCGTTTCTGTAATGGGAAGTCTTGTCAGAAGCTGATGTGCCGTAGAAGTGTCGAAGCTGGACAGGAATACAGATAATGAATGTCGGAATCGAGGCGATCGATGTGCGATACCCAGGATTGAGTGCAGAGGGTGTTGATGTAATGCCTCAATTTGTGAAAGGACGATCGCTAATGCTATGCCGTATGCAATGTGCAATACCCCCTATCCAAAGAATCAACGAAACCATTATGCACCACACCACACCACGCTATGCCAGCACCTCCCCATCTCCATCCCCATTTCGCACGCCTACCTCCACAACCACAGCAGCAATCCACGAGCAAACGACAAGACCAACTCTCTACTAAAAAGCCGCCTGACTCTCCGCCTCGCCATTAAGCTGCTTGAGCGCCTGCTCCGCCAACTCACTCCTCAACCCGGCCATCTCGGTCTCGCTCCTCAAACGATCCCACTCCCGCAGCGACTTGCGCTTCTTCGTCTCCTTCTCGTCGATCTGCCGTCTCAGCTTCTCCGCTTCGTCCTCCAGCTTATGGAGTTTCGACTGGTCGATGAGCGGGTCGGCGGGTTGGCCGCCGTCGATGAGTTTGGGGAGGTCCGCGAGGGCTGGGTGGGGCCGGTTGAGGGGTGGTAGGGCGATGGCGGGTTCGGTGGGGCGCCGTGCGGCTTTGGGGCCTGTTGGGGCGTCTGGCATGGTGGTGTCGCCGTTGCCGAAGCGCTGAGTGCGTGGGTAGGTTGTTGCGGTTGCGTTGCTGTTTTGGCGGAATGCTGGGGCTGGCGCTTGAGAGAAGGACCCGCGAGGTCCAGATGGAGGTGGGCGGTTGCCGAATGCTGGGTCAGGTTGGCTGAAGGTGGCTTCGTTGCGGGCGAAGGTTGCTTCGTTGCGGCCAAAGCTCGAATCACCTCGTCCAAAGCCTGAGTCACCTCGTCCAAAGCCAGGACCAGGACCACCTCCTCTGCCACCACGGAATGGGACTCCAAATCCTCGGCCTCTTGGTGCAAAGTCACCTCCAAAACCACCACGACCACGTCCGGCAAAGTCTCCTCGGGGGGCAGGTCCGCCACGAGGTCCAGCTGGTGGTGCTCCTGCGGCTCGAGGTCCTGACGGTGTACTTGCTGCTGGCCCAGTGGGTGGTGACATGGCTACGCCACGTTGTGCACTTGGGCCGGTTGGTGGAGCTCTGGGTGTAGGAATGGTATCGTCACCGTGGCGAGGTTCGCGTGGAGGGGGAACTGGCTCACAATCATGGGCGTACCTTCGATCGTCGTCGTATGCTGGGTCGCGAGATGGAGGAAGTCTTGAATCGACATCTGAAGCACGGTAAGGCTCGCGCTCGTCTCCGTACGGGTCCCGTGGCGACACTCTGCTGCTTCGTGGTCTGTCGTCGGCTGCGGGATGTAGAGAAACTCTGCTTGGGTGGACAGGGGGAGACGAGCGGCGAGAGGTGGTATTCGAGTTCACTCCAGAATCGTCACGACTCAAGTATTCCTGTCTTGGCTCGCGGACTGGGGAGCGTGGTCGTCGCCAATCGTCAATAGTCCTCGGATCGACCCTATCGTTCCTAGCCGGCGGTGATCTCGAGCGTGGTCGATACTCTCTGGTCGGCCCCCTCGGAGGCGATGGACGGCGGTCTCGAGGATCGGGCGAGTATCTGCGTCTGGGAGGGCTCACTCCACGGGAAGGTGGATAGTCATCGTACCGTCCTGCACCGCGTGGCGGACTGACCAGTCTCTCACGCTTTGCTGGCGGAGGAGATCTCCTACCCCTGCTGGAAACTGGCGACGGCTCTCTCGTTCTCTTCAGCGGGCCTGCACTACGGTCCCTAAACCGATGAAGCGGAGAGCGTCCAGCGGCACCAGCATATGCCCTGTCCCTATCATCTCTGAGATCTCTGATATCACGATAGTCCCTCTCATCACGGACGGGATCTCTCCTAAACAAATCATCTCTTGGCAGATCTTCCCTCCTCGGCGGCGATCGAGGCCTGCCTCTGTAACTATCTCCTCCTCTTGGTGGCTCGCGGTCTCGATAGCGGGGCGACGGAGAACGGCGGCGGTATTCGTCGCGTCGAGGGGGCGAGCGGCTTCGAGGTCGAGGTGGTGCGCGGTAGGAGTCGGCTTTGTACGAGTCCCCGTACTCTGGACGCCGCGTCGGCGTGCGCGCACGGTAGCTATCCATGCGCGGTGGACTGCGCTCGCGGACGGTGTTACCAGGGCGGTAGGACTGGCCTCTGCCGGTGCCGTACTGGTCTTCGGGTGGGATCTCGCGGTCGCGCCTTTTTGGGTTGAATCAGTCTCTGTTCTGGATGTCTCCTTCTTCTTGTAACCACGATGCACACTGCTTGCTCAAACCCCAATCTTACTCTTTCAAAGTGTCGTTGCAGTTGAGGGATGTCTGGCTGGGTTCAGACTTCAGGAGGTGGGTGTGTGCTGACGGCTCGTGTATTGATCGCGAACTTCCAATGTTTGACAGAGTATTGATGAATCCAACACTTACCGTCGGTCGCGGTCTCGATCCATGCTGGATTGCAACGGGGGTTGCTAATGGTACGGCGGCTGGTGTTGTTGATTGTTCGGTGGTGAAGCTTTCATCGAGTTGAAGTTCCGCCGCGTCGGAGGGGGCTTGGCGCTGCACGTGTTTCCAACCAGTCGTCTCTCCAGCATCGATACCGACTCGCCCGCCTGCAAATATCTCCGTGGTTCACTCACTCGAAAACTGCGGGAAACATCGTGACGGCGGCTTGGATTATCCAACTGTGGGCCTACGACCTGTTCTCCTCCCAACACAGCATGCTTCTGCCTCTTGAATAGAACTCTCGCATCCCATCAGCAATCCGGCTCGCCAATCCACCCTCGTAATTACATAGCAGGCCGTGAGCCCTTTTACTCGTTCTTCCATCTTCATCCCTGTCCACCGCTCTTGATCTCCCATCATCTCCGCCCTCCTCTGCCTGCAGCCCGCTCCCGATCTCTCTTCTGTCTCTTCGCCGTCTCCTCTGCCACCAATCCACTGAAATCTTCCGATGCACCGCCTTGCCATCCGCCACTGTTCTGCTGCACCCTCTCTGCTTCGTACCGCCTAGCCAACTCCTCCTTTGACATACGATCATCTCTCGCCAAGGCATCCGGATCCATGGAAACGTCCAGGTCTCCCGCCTTGCGCTTGCGGCCACGATCGTCGCGCTCCGATCCCAGCACAGGCATGTTCGAAGACCCAGATAAGTCGTATGCGCGCTCGCCACCAAAGAAACCCTCCGCTTGAATCGAGTGCTCTTTGAGCACCTGCCCAGCAGATCGGGGATGAGAGCTCGCCTCTGTCTCTGTGCCCACGCGCTGCTTTCGCAAGTTCATCTCGTCCGCCATGCCCCGTGATCCCATGAAGTCGGTCGGAACAGTGCTCGTGATGCCACCTGGTGTCTCGGTGCCGCCAAAAGGAGTCTCCAAGCCCGTCTTCCTGCCACTCTCGTCATCCTCCTCCTCGTCTTCTTCCTCATCATCTTCCTCTTCCTCCTCTTCCTCCTCTTGCGGTGCTTGAAGCTCTCCCCACAGACTCTTGTCCACGGGCTCTACTCTCTGCTCCTCCTTGTCTTTCGACTCTTCCTTGCCATCTGACAGACCAAACACATCACCACCGTAGAGCGGCCGATTCGCGTCATCTACTGGCGGTTTGCCATAGCCGCCTGGGTGGAAACCCCACTGTCCGCCAGGGGGAGGAGGTGCATTGAGGCCGGGGATCTTGAGGGCTGGATAAGAGGGGGGAGGACCTACTTTCTGCTGGTTGATGAGCCATGGCGGTGGTGCGCCAGGTGGCATATTGAGTGCCTCTTTCAACTCCTCACCGAGCTCGCCAGGACGTAGATGCTTGAGGTTCGTCTCGAACTCCTTGCCCTCGTAGTATACTTCACCGTAGCGCGTCAAGCTCGGCTTCGTCTGACGGCGGAAGAACGCCTCGTAGAGTTTCTGATAGTCGATGTCCAGCTTTCCGGTCTTGCCCTGTACGCGCTCGCGTTGCTTTTGCTTGAGAGTTGCCTCTGCCTGCTTCTCAAGAGCAGCATCTCTCATGTCCTGAATGCCGGTTTCTGCGATGAATTTGGGCAAGGCGAAGCCGGGCTTCTCGATACCGCGCTTGCTGCTCAGGTACTCTCGCTTCAGACTCCAATGTGCAGGTACTGGGACCACATTTCGGGCACCCTTGATGTTGACGAGTAGCTTGGGATCTTGTGCTGAGACATCGGTCCAGTCGACAATCTCAGGCTTGCGGACGATGGCTTTCAACTCGGCAATGCTGAGTTTGTTGATCGCTTTCCTCTGCTTTTTCGACAGCTTCTGCTGGGTCTCCTCTTCTTCGTCCTCACCTTGTATGTTGTCGTCATCGTCATAGAAGACTTCTGGTTTCTCAGGCTCTTTCAACGCGGGGTCCTCCTTGTCATCCTCGTTGAACTTGGCGAACACATCTGCAAACTGCGAGAAAAGAGGATCGTCCGGAGGGAGTTCGTCGGTTGCATCGTCGACTGCGACGACATCTTGAACGAGGTCATCTTGAGGCGGAGGCACCGGCTGGCTTGCGTCGGACTGCTCTGAAGGTGCGACAGAGGACTGTAGTTCGGTCAGCGCAAACTGGGGGATTGGTTGAAGTAGTATCCTGAGCCCTCCTACCTCTCGCTTTCGCTCTTTCTTCTTCGCCCGTCGCTGCTCGTTCTTGGTTGGCTTGCGCGCCCTTGCAGGTTGGCTCTCGGCGATCACGACAGGCATGGTGTCTACCTACCGAGACCTCTTTCGCAGTCAATGGTAGCTATCCCAATGTCGCCGAATTTGCTGATGTCTCGATCTCGTCAGATGTGCTGGTGTGCTCGGCGCGAGAACGCGGTATCGAGGGCTGAGTGTTGGATGTGAAGTTGGAGTTGAAGTTCGAGGTTGCGCGAAGACTTGAAGAAGCTTCGGCCAAAAGTCGCTGAGCACGTGACACATAGGGTTTGAAGGTGGACGTCCTTTCTTTTGCTATCTAGTACTACAAGTAACTCGTTTCAGTTGACAACTGGATCCACCGGACTCCTCTCGCTAATTCAACCGTCGCTATGCTTTTAATGATCCATTAAACGCAATCATGCCTCCCTTGGGTATTCGTCCTCTAGCTTCAGAGCAGCCTTGATGCCCATGCTCGTTAACTCCTGAATCAGCAACTTCGCAGCGTACGGCATTGTCATGCGCACGACTGTTCGACTGCTTGTGCAGGTTTGGCACCAGTTCTTGTATCCCATCATGCCGCATTGCTGGCACACGTCCACTTCATGAGCGTCCGAGCTGAGCATGAGACGTTCCAGGAGAAGCTGGCTTGCACCGTAGGCAATCAAGCAGTCACGCTCCATCTCTCCCAATCTCAGACCACCTTGTCGCGAACGACCTTCTGTTGGCTGTCGCGTCAGGATGGCTCGAGGTCCAGTGGAACGCGAGTGCATTTTGTCTTGGACCATGTGCTTAAGCTTCTGGTAGTAGATGGGTCCGAAGAAGACGTACAACGGCAAGGGCTCACCGGTGATGCCGGAGGTGAGGTAGTCTTTGCCGGAGTAGCTGAAGCCGTGCTTGACGAGGATAGCACCCATGTCTTCGACTTTGCTACCGCCAAATGCCGTGCCATACTCTTGGTTGCCAGCAAGAACACCGGCTTTGCCAGAGACAAGCTCAAGCATCTTTCCAACAGTCATACGAGATGGGAAACCATGCGGGTTCATGATGATGTCTGGAACCACGCCTGAATCGGAGAATGGCATGTCCGCCTGTTCAGCCAGAAGGCCAACGACACCCTTTTGGCCGTGGCGAGAGGAGAACTTGTCGCCAATTTCTGGTCGCCGTGTCTGCCGCGTTTGGATCTTGATGATGGTTGTGTTGGACTCGTTCGCGGTGATCATGACTTTGTCGGCAAAGCATGGATCTGGTAGTTTGTATAACATGTGCATTGCAGACCACTTCTGATCTCTTGCACCGATCGACGAAGCTTGGTTCATCGGCTGCTCCTTCAGCATGTAGGCGTCTGTGTTTTCGAGCTCTGATCCCACCTCTACAAGACCGTCTCTCCCTATCTTGCGATGCTTTGTGTTGTTCGGGTCTCGGTCTCCCAGTCTGTCAGCGAAGCCATTGCCGTATGCCTTCAGAGGCATGCTGATCTTTTTGAAGACTTGGCAACGCCCAAATCCTCTATCACAGGAGGCCTTGTTCAGGACGAGGGCATCCTCGATATCGTAGCCTGAGTAAGACATGACTGCGACGACAGCATTCTGTCCGGCCGGCAGTTTGTCATACTTAACAAGCTCGATTGTCCGTGTGGTGACCATTGGCTTCTGCGGATAAACCATGAGGTAGAGTAGCGTGTCGATGCGTGTGAACTGGTTGTAGGCAATTGCGCCAATTGCTTGCTTACCCATAGCGCATTGCTAAAAGTGAAAGACGAAAGGTCAGCTAATGTCTCAACACGAAATGGAGTACCTTTTGAAGTATACTTACATACGTGTTACGCGGCGACTGGTTATGGTGAGGGTAAGGGATCAAGCCGGCGACAGCGCCAAGGATCGTGAAGGGCTCGATCTCGAGATGAGTAGTATGTTCATCGATGTCCTTTTCGTAGACAGCGATGTTCGAGTCGTTCTCCTCGTTGACATCCAAGTACTCGACGATTCCTCGAGAGAGGGCATCGTCAAAGTCCATTGTGCCCTTGCGGAGAGACTCCAAGAAGCGTGAGGTGACCTTCGACTTGCTTTTCTCCACAACAATCAACGGCCGACATACTCGCCCTTCATCCGTGGCGATGTGCACACCATTATGATGGTGGTTGATGAAGATGCTGACGAACTCCGAGATTCGACCCATCCGTCTGAACTTTCGGAACCCATTGAGGAATTGCTTGGGTTGTCTTGTGAGTGCCGCTGGCGTACCGTTGATGAAAATCATGTATGCACCATTGGTGTATATTTCAGTTCCAGAAGCTGATGTCACATCTTCAGCACCAAGAACGTATACCATCTTCCTCACCGGTGCTTCGTCATCCGCTGTTGTGATATGTGTCATGAGGGCCAAGTTCTTTACCAGACCGCAGGCCTCGCCTTCAGGGGTGTCTGATGTGCACAACATGCCAAACTGTGATGGCTGCAAGGCACGTGGCCCAGAAACTTTGCGCGTCTTCTCAAACTGGCTGGTAATTCTGGTCATCATGCCAAGGGCGCTGATGTAACTGAGCCTGCTCAGAACATGGGTGACACCAGCTCTGTCCATACGGAAACGTTTGAGTGTCCAGTTGCCAGTAGAGATCGCTCGCTCCATGCCACTGGTGATGCGAGTATCGCATTGCTCGACAAATCTGACGGGATCGAATTCTTGGGTTGGATTCGGCTTTTTTAGCACTTTATCCATGTTGATTTTGATCATCCTCGTGCAGTCCTTGAATAGGTCTTCGAAGAGCAAAGCAAGCATCTGACCAGCAAGTTCCAGGCGCTTGTTACCAACGTAGTCTCTGTCATCGACAAGTTTGGAGTCGTTGATCGCCATCAGAACCCTCCTCGTCATGAAAGCAACGTAGAGTGCCTTTGGTCGGAAGTTCATACCCTCGACCTCTACGTGGGGGATGATGGTGCCAGCGAGCTTCTCCAGAGCCTTCTGTTTTGGTGTTCGAACATCGCCCCTTGGACCACCAAACCGTTCTGGCTTCAGACGGCTTGAAATGTAGTCGAGAGCCTGCTCTTGTGTGAAAACCCCTTCGAGTGCCGCAAACTCGAGGTTCTGCGCGAACTCGTCCTGATACTGAGCATCATTTCCTGCCGCCAACAAGAGAATCTCATGATCTGATTGCACACCCATTGCGCGCAACATGATCGCGACAGGGATGTCCTCGCTGAGCGAGTTGTGCTTGACGTACAGAAGGTTCTTCTTCACGAGGACATAGGTTTTAGTCTTGACGTTGGCCGTGTGGCTAGTGACGGATGCCTGGATAACGCCTTTGAAAGACTCCACAATGATTCTGTTCTTGCTCAACTGTTCCTGTACGAGGATGACTTTTTCCTGCCCTCGCACGACGAAGTAGCCTCCAGGGTCGACAGCACATTCGTTGAGCCATGCCAATTCAGACTCAGAGCGGCCGTTAAGAACACACTTGGAGCTCCTCAGCATCATAGGCATTCGTCCGATGAGAACGTCCGTCTTTCTCACGTTGCCAGATTGCCTTGGATACACGAAGTCGACATAGATTGGCGCGGCGTAGGTCATGTCTCTCAGCCGACATTCGTTGGGTGTCACTTCGGTTTGGACCCATCCACCTCGGGTGTCTTCCGTACGGCAGGGCTTGCCCACTCGAATATCGGTGAAGCGGATCCATTTCTTCTCATCTGCTTCTGAAACGATCATTTCATTTGCCTTGAGGATCTTCTTGAGTTCCACATCCGTAAAGTAATCGAAAGAATCCGTGTGCTGTTTGATCAGGCCCTTCACTCGCAGAAATGCCGGAAGCAGGTTCCATTTGTCTTTGGCGGTGTTGATCGGGTCCGTGAGCCGCTTGGTGTAGTAGAACGGCCGGAGCAGAGCATCGAGGTCATCTCCAGCCACGACCGACTTCTGCTTGGGGGCCGCTTTTGAAGTTGTAGAATGTGTCTTACCCTCAGATGCCTTTGGCTGATTTGGATTGCCATCTTGTGGCGCTTCGTTCTCTTTGGATTTGGCTGATGCAGTTCGCTTCTTTGGCGCTGCTTTGGGGGCGGCGACCTGATCACGACGATCACATGGTAAGAGATTGAATCTTTGTCGAGTGAAATTTTGACCTACCTTTGCGGCGCTGCTGCCAACCTCAACGGGGCCGGACTTTTTCGGCTTTGGAGGCATCGCGCTCAGTGTCAATCATGAAGGCGACTATGGAGTTTGGCGTTGTTTCGAGTGCAGGAGTGTGTGTCGTGCCAATATTTGATCGAGAAGGTGACTGTGAGTGGCACAAGCTAGCTCTCACGACGCGACCTTTTGACCAATCTCACAGCATCTGAACCTAACTTCCCTCAACTTTTACTTGCGAGGAGCTCATAATCAAATACTTGATTGGAAGTCTAATGGTCGGCTCAACTGCCTCTTGCGCAATCACCAGCGGATGCGCCTCGCCGGCCCTCCGTGGGCTAGCCTCTTGCTTCTTAACACGGACGCACAAGGTTTACAACTATGCCAGGCCCTGCAGCTAGTGTTTCAGGCACACAAGACAGCCAACCTGGATGCGCCTAAGTGTCCTTTCTCCCCCCGGAGGCTGGCCGGTGCTTGGATCTGTGGGCAAGCAGCAAGACGGTCGAAGCAGGAGATTTTCGGCTCCACCATGACTCGACACACCGCCTTGCACGAAGCTGGTGATCGAGCTTCGGCTCAGGACCCAGCATGGCGGCAGCGGCTACCAATTCGTCTGGAGCTACAGGCAGAGCTAGGGAAACGATTGATGGAGACGCAAGCCTAGGCACAGAGCCAGCGGTGTTGAGATGGCCGGTGGATTTGCTTGGGCATGAATGGTGCTATGCCACGGCCAAGCACCCTCCAGCTTATGCATGGGATCTTTGCTGTATAAGTTGATTGTATCGAAGCACAGGCGCTCATGCGGGCTGTGAGGCTTGTCTCAAGCGCCTGCGGCTCACCAGTGTCCAAGTTGCGCACGTCTTTGTTGTTGTAGATAGAGCCAATTGCTGCGCGATCGGCCGGCGGGGATGGCGTCGAGGTGTAGTCGCCAGCTACTCGTCGACGACCCCTGCAAGGAGCATCATGTGGGAGAATAGCCGCGCCCGCCAGCCATTAATTGTGCTTCCAGGGTCATCCTCCAAAAGAGCCTCTGGGCTGCTGTGCGTTCTTCCGCTGTCTGAGACGCTTTGCACTGGCTTGATTCTGCCTCCGTAGGCCACGAATTCTCACCTCTAATTCCGCTTGAGGTGGCCAAGCCAGCGAAGCTGGCCTCCCAACGACCGGACGTCCATCCATCGATCGTCCTCCACCCCACCTCCCACCTCACCTCTTACTGCTACTCTTCTCGCCGCACCTCTTGTCTGTCATTAACGAAGATTGTTGGAGAAAACATACGTTCCTTCGCCTGTACAATTGACCTGCGTGCCGACTTGTAATACCACAATTGCGTGACGAGCTCGCCCGAGACTTGCGATTCGTCTGGTCGTCCAGGTATGGCTGTGCGATCCCACGCCGCTCTCTCAGAGCGTGCGCGGCCTTCCCAACGTTCACAACAGGCTGTGCAGGATAGACTAACATTTTGAGACAGATCATGGCGTTCTATCGCGGACCGCAATCGCCCAGGGACGAGCAGTACACGTCGAATCCCCTCTCACCGCCGCAGAGGAACCCGAACAGATGGAGCGCAAGCATGGCAGGCACGAACGATGTGAGGGGCGCTCTCCACCGACGATTCACCACCAACACCGTTCCCCAACTGTCGCCAATTGGTCAGCAGCGGAGACAGGCTGCAGGGGGAGATGTGCAACAGGTGGTAAGTACAGTATTTCTTGAGTGCGGGCGGATAGGTGGGCGGCACAGCAGGCAGAGCGAGCCAGACAAGCAAACCACTCCCTGCCCAATCTTTGCAAAAGAGCCGGGAATGGGGTTATACTCGATTGAAGATACACATGCAACTGGCCTATGGTAGCACTACTGGCTGCACGTATGCGTCGCCTCGCGTAGGCCAAAAGGACCTCGCGGGAGGATAGATGCTGTGTTAAGAAGAGTTGGAACACTTCGAAGAAATGGGAGATGCGATACCCTTAGGAATCTGTGCTGACTGGACATTAGCCAAATGGGCAAAACCGAATCACTCCTGTAAGTTGCTTTTGATAATATCTGAGCTTGAAGTGCGCTCGACCGGTTGCGATGAAGGACTTCTGCCCCGTCTGATGCCTGGCAGCCACGTGCTCCAAAATATCGTTTCTGCCATTGCAGCCTAGCAGTGACGGAGCCAAGAACTGCTTCTGTCAGATGTCCGCGAACTGAGAGATCTTTGACTGACCCTCATCCCAGTCTGAGCGTGCAGCTCGCCACTACGAAAGCCTTCTTCAAGCACAGCGGAAGATCCAAGAGGAGCTTGAGAAGGTCGATGCTGAGACCCGGCGCGAAGTTGACGAGAACATCCGCCACGAACAATCGGTCACTCAGCTCTTCGCCCAGAGCGAGCCGACTACGCCTCCAGAATACTCGAACACCTTCACCAACTTCTCCCGTCCAAACCGCTACTCCACGGCGAGTTTGACGTCACCTCCAGGCATTGTCACGAGACCAAACCGTGCGAGCACTCATCTCACTTCACCGACAATCGGTCTCGCTGGCACGTACAACAACACGAACACTTCCAATCTACCATCACAATCTGTGCCTGGCTCTCGACGCCAGTCCGACGACGAAGAGGACGACGAGGACTTCATTTACGGCTACGAGAACAACTTCCGCCGTGCGGCGAAGTGAGTACACCCCTTTTCTTGTCTGTCTGTTCTCTACATCGTTTTTCGTTCACATGCAACAAAAGTCTTGGCATGAGCACGTGCCGGCTTTCCGGCACCGCTCACTTGCTATTGTGGACTCACTATTGTCGATGCACCGGCAAAATCTTATTCAAGTGACAATACTATCTTCACAATATCGATAATAACTATTGTGTGATTGAAGTCTCGACCACAATGACAACAGCACCTTTATAAACTCGACTCGCCCCCCCGGAGAGCACAACTGACACATCTATCCTCCAGTCCAAGCCGCAACTCTATGCCAATCACCTCCTACGATCGCAAGCGAAACACCACCGATCTCGTACTTGGTCCAGTCAACACCACCGGCTTCCTCTTTGACGACGCTGAGAAGGTCTCTACCCTCCCAACCAAGTCCAACCAGGCCTCACCACCTGATATCAAGACATATCTTCAAGTGCAGCACACTGCCGACGGCTTCCCCAAGCTCATCCGTCGTGAAGAGAACGGTGATATCTCATTGTCATCTGCAGCAGCCCTTGACCTGGCCTCTTCATCCGCAGACGAGCCGCAGCAGCTATCCGACCGCGCAACGGCTAGCCGTCACCGCATTTCCTTGCCACCAAGCGCTCTCAGCGGCAACATGAGCATCGCTCCACTCAACAGCATCCTGGCCAACGCCAACGACGCCCGCAGCACTGCAAACAACCGCCGCTCGATGGAGGTCCATTTCTCTGCAGAGACCAAGCGTCCTGGTCTCCTCTCCTCACCGCCTCGTGGCCTCGCAAACGGCTCTCAAGTCCCTCAGTCGTCTTACTCTACCAACGACATCCCTACCCTCAAGAGCATCAACGGTGAAGGCCCAGACGGCGGCGTTTCTCTCGCCTCACCGCCCCCTCAGCCAAGCGTCATCTCCAACACCACTTCACCACAGCAGAACACCGGCGTTCCAACCCAGTTCTCCCCACCCTCCAACCGGCAGAGTCAAGACTTCACCTCACCAATCAAGCCAAACGAGGGTCAAGACATCTTCAACCAAGCTCAGTCAGGTCTTCAAGCCAACGCTGCTCCATTCGGTCCAAACGGTCAAGAGAACGGCCATACCCAAGGCTTCGGCAGTCCCAACATGTCTCCATATGCTCAGCAACCTGCCTACTACGGTGGCTACGGTGTGCAGATGATGACCAACGGCTATGCCAACATGAACCTCGGCGGTGGCAATGGCTACGGTCCACAGGGCCAGTGGCCAAGCCAAGCCAACACCCCATACTCTCACGGCGGCGGTTACGGCAACTACCAGCAGCAGTTCCCACCAGCCGCTCAAGCTGTCCCCGGTGCTAGTCGCTTCGAGGGTCAGCGTGGCAACGTCCAGCAGCGTCGTCAAGCGGCTGAAGAAGCGCAGGCCAAGTTCAACTCCATCAAGGTCGAGCAGGTCCGTGGCGAGATCTACACCCTCTGCAAAGACCAGCATGGCTGTCGATTCCTGCAGAGAAAGCTCGAGGAGCGTGGCGAAAACACGGTTCAGATCATCTTCGATGAGGTCAAAGAGCACATGATTGATCTGATGGTTGATCCATTCGGCAACTACCTCTGCCAGAAGTTGTTGGAGAGCGCCAACGACGACCAGCGCACCGTCCTCATCCAGAACGCCAAGCCCGCGATGAAGACGATCGCTCTCAACCAGCACGGCACCCGTGCTCTGCAGAAGATGATTGAGTACATCACCACTCCCGAGCAGACGGCGCTCATCATCGAGGCACTCCGCAACGATGTCGTTGTGCTTATCCAAGACCTGAACGGCAACCACGTCATCCAGAAGTGCCTCAACCACCTCTCTTCTCCCGATGCCTCCTTCATCTTTGACGCTGTGGGTGACAACTGTGTCACTGTCGGCACTCACCGTCATGGCTGCTGTGTTCTCCAGCGCTGCATCGACCACGCCGACGGTCTTCAGAAGGGCAAGATGGTTGACCACGTCATCCGCAACGCATTCTCTCTCGTGCAAGATCCATTCGGCAACTACGTCGTCCAGTACATCCTCGACCTCGCTGAGCCCTGCTTCACCGAGCCACTCTGCCGTGCCTTCTACGGCGAGATTGCGAGCATGTCGCGCCAGAAGTTCAGCTCCAACGTCATCGAGAAGTGCATCCGCTGCTCCAAGCCGGACACACGCCGCCACATCGTCGCCGAGATTGCAGTTCCACAGACGCTTGAGAAGCTTCTCCGTGACGGCTTCGCCAACTACGTCGTGCAGACGGCTATGGATTTTGCTGATGACGAGGTGAAGCCCATGATCATGGAGAATGTGCGCTTGATCCTACCAGGCATCCGCAACACTCCTCACGGCCGGCGCATCCAGAGCAAGCTCGCTGACTACGACAACCGCAACTCCAACCCAAACCCTCCCAGCACCATTCTGTCTCCTCTCGAGTCGTCCAACCCGACTTCGATGGCTTTCGCTGGCGCTGCCACTCAGCAGACTCCTCCTGCTCCATCTCGCGCCAACCGTCACGGCATCGTCGGTGCCCCACCGCAGTGGTCTGCGAACGGTAGCAACTTCACAGGTGGATTCGACAGCACCAACTACAGCGCCGGCTACGCCAATGGCAACGGCGAGTCTGTTACCTCTCCTACTCCACAGCGTGGTGGTCCGAACTACGCCACATTCAACGGTGGTGGCCAGAACTTCCAGAACGGCTTTCCCGCCCAAGGCTATGCCGCCCGTGGTCAGCCATACGGCCACTTCTGAAGCCCGCAGCACCATAGGGCAATGCTTGAGAAGGGCGCTTTTTGTATCAGTACAGCGGCAACCAGCCGATCTCTTTCGGTCACGGCGCCTGGCAAGGTCTCCACAGGCGCAGCATCTTACGACTTCAACGGCAAACCTTCTCAGCATGAGCTATGATTTCATTGACACGGCCGACATCGTGACACGACAGACGACGGCTCTTTACTTCGACAGCTTCGGTTCGGCAGAGTCAGCACTTCACCAAGATCTTGCATGCAAACGGCGTACCATGGACATCTCCAGCTTGATGATCCTGTATCACCACCTTGCGATTGCATCTTCGACGGCGCATTCATCGGTTCTGCGGCTACTTTCACTTTGATTTTACCTTTCCTTTTTGCGATCTTTCAAACCATCACGACTACAGAAGCGACATCCATGGGACGATACGAGACGACTCCACGAGAAGCTTGTATTAAAAAAGAAGAAGAGAAAAAGTTAGTTGCATAGCCGGTCAGGGCAGTTCTTTGGTTATTCGATGGGCGTTGGTTCCAAGAGAGATGAGTTTTGCACTGGATGCTTTTAGACACTAGATGGATCTTCAGACTTCGACCACAACGATTCGACGACACTTTGGGCATGCTTGTATGATAGTGGCTCGTGAATCCGAAGCTGTTGACTTAGAATACCTTCTCATCATTTTCTTCATCTTCCTCCTCCAGTGACAGATCTTTGAATCCCGATCCCTGACGTGTGAACTCTCATCAAGACAGCTATGAAGTCAACTATATCGCGAAAATAGGGGTATGCATCATCGCCTGTCGAGGAAATTGATTCACGATGTCAACCACTACCAGCAATAGTCTAATGCAATCCATATCAGTACTGCTGTTGATGCCTCGGTGAAGTGGCAATGTGTGACTGGGCGTACGGTAGCGCCAAAACGATGGCTGTGAATCTCGACTTCACCTGGGTGCCCGCTCCTTCCTTAAATCTTTCTCAACTTCACCAGAACAGCTACTTTGCCTTTCGCGCAGCGAACGATGTCGCCGCTCATGCACAGGTACCCCACTCCATCCTCGTCGCCAAATATGAGCGACTCAGGACAGGCAGCTAACAAGCACAAGATGGTCGACGGCCTGCGCGACCTTTCTAATACCGCACCGCTGACTACCCTTCAACCGTCGAGCGACAAACACACCCTCGCAACACTCCCTCAACACCTGCCCCCGTCACCCCCGACGACCACGTATTCAAATGAGCTCGAAGGGCAACAAATCTTTGGCGGATCAGCTGGCCAAGTTGACGTTGGCGCAAGAGGCGCAACAGAGTTCTACGACGGAGGAGAACAGCACGGATATCAACAGCACTGCTACAACCAGTACTCCTGGAGCAGACCGGCGTGCGGCAGCTGGCTACCTTCCACCACACCGCCGCCAGAGACAACCGCAGGCCAGTTCTACGCAGGCAATTTGTATGGTCTTCAGCCCCAATATGCTGCTCCTCAGCAAAGCTGGTGGAACCATGAATATCAACAGCCGCTGACACAGTCCTACTATTCAGCTGCACCGTCGCAGCAGTATCAGCAAGCAACAAACTACCCGCTGAACGCTAACTCGCTCTCGTTCACGCCTGCATTTCAGCAGAACTCTGAGTCAGTCCATCAGGCCCTACATCCCAGGCTTGGAATTGACAAGACAGCTAGATACTCACAGACTAGCTCTGTACCCACGCCAACCGCCCCGTCGCACGAGAAGAAGAAGAGGGAGAAGAAGTCTCGTAGACAGAAACGCCTTGAGAAGCTCTCTGCCGCTGGGGGACCTGATCTTCTCAGCAACCTCGATCTTTGGGCACGAGCTCCTCTCCCCGAACGCAGCGAGGTAGGAGCACCAGTAGAGAAGCAGGAGGCTGCACAACTGTCCTCCACCGCATCTACCCCAGCACCACAAGCGAAGAAGAAGTTCAATCCCCGCGAGACGAAGCGACTTTACATCATGCAGCGTCCAACCCCGACGTCCACGTACCTTCACTATGCGACGCAGCCGCCACAAACTATGGATTTCTCGCGGCCACTGCTCGTCATCTTGGACCTGAACGGTACATTGCTGTATCGCAAGACTTTCGGCGGAAGCAACGCATTCACCCCACGGCCGCACGTGTACGACTTCCTCGACTACTTGTTCAACAACCACACCGTCATGGTCTGGTCCTCATCGAAACCCGAGAACGTCGCCAGGATGTGCTCTGACCTCTTCACCTCTGAGCAGCGATCGAAACTGGCTGCCGTCTGGGCCCGCGACAAGCTGCGAATTCCCGCCAATGCCTACAATCAGAAAGTCCAGGTCTACAAGCAGCTGTCGTGGGTCTGGAACGATGCGGAGATTCAAGCAAGCAATCCGGTCTCGGGTGGTGTGTGGACGCAAGCCAATACGGTGCTCATCGACGATAGCATTGAGAAGTCGGTCAGCGAGCCGCACAACCTCATTGAGCTGGAGGAGTTTGAGGCGAAGCCGACGCAGATGGAGACGAATGTGTTGGATTCCGTGGCGCGTTATCTGGATGATTTGCGGTCTCAGCGTGATGTCAGCGCGTACATGAGGTTGTGTCCTTTCGTGTACGACCCGAGTCAGCCGGGTAAGGTCATTGGGCAGGAGAAGAAGAATTCGCGGAAGGATGATATTGATGAACTCATCAAGCGAGTCACGGGAGGAGCTTGAGGGAGGTATGCATGAGTTGATTGAGAGACGATGAGGATGTGACTGCTTGGCTAAACTACTTGAGCCTGCCAGCGCGGTCACTGTATTCTGTGATACCCTGTGAGAAGAAGAAGCTCACTTCTTGCAATTCCAAAAAACCTGTTCAAAAAGCCAACCATCTGGTATCTCTGTCCATTTTCGCTTTCTGAAGCCCCATGGTCTTTTCCTTGCGGCTAAATCTATTGGTACAAATCCCCAACTCATCATCATTCATCATCAAACAGAGCATATATATCCATATCAAGCATCAAACAACCCCTCCACCTCCCTCCCACTCAACAACCTACAAACACCGCCCTCGCAAACCTGCACCATACTCCTGTTCGCCCCATCAAGCCCCTGCAGCAAGTCATTCCTCTCCCGCAACCACTTACTATCCACCCCACCCCCGACCCTCAAAACCGTATAATTCGGCCTGACAGTCTCCCTCGCCTTCCTAACCGCCCTCTCGACATCCTCGCCCTCGCCAACGAGCATAACGCCCTTGACGCCCATCTTCGACGCGACGACACTCGACAAAATCCCGCTGAACAGCCCGGGGTGCTGGCTGATCTCGACCTCGAACGCCGCGACGGTGCGCTTCGCCATGGCCGTGTACGTCTCGTCGTTGAGCAGACTGCCGAGGCGGAAGAGGTTGGACGCAGACACGCCGTTGACGCTCGGCTCCGCGTTGTCCATGGCGTCCTTGGTGCGGATGAGGATGTCCGGTTGGTGGGCCGGGGTGGAGAAGAAGCCGAATTTTTCTTCGTCCCAGAAGAGCGTCGTTTGGGTTTTTTGGAGGGTTTCCGCGAGGGAGAGCCAGGTGGAGGTGAAGGTGGATTCGTAGAGGTCGAGTAGGCCGGAGATGAGGAAGGCGTAGTCGTCGGCGAAGCCTTGGGTGGTGGAGGGGCCTTCGCGGTAGACGCGTTTGAGGGTCGCGGTGCTGGGGTCGAAGAGGTTGTTGCGGATGCAGGTTACGGCTTTTTCGGCGGCGGCGAGGTAGGCGGGTTCGCTGAGGGCGGCGCCTGCGCGGGCGAGGCCGCCGATGGCGAGGCCGTTCCAGGCGGTGACGATTTTGTCGTCGAGGGCTGGGCGGGGACGGTTCTTTTCTCGGTGGGAGAGGAGCTTTTGGCGGCCGTCGGAGAGGATGCGGGTGGTGTCCTCTTCGGACTTGTCGAGTTCTTTGGCGAGCTCGCTGATTTCGTATTGGACGCAGAGGGTGTTTTGGGCTACGAGCTCGCCTTGAGCGTCGAAGCGTTGGTCGATGTTTCCTTCGGGGTTGACGCCCCAGTAGGTCGAGCACACTTTGAGCTCTTCGTTGTTGAGGATGCTTTTGAATCCGTCGTGCGTCCAGACGTAGTAGGCGCCTTCTCTCTTGTGCTTGTCTTGAGCGGTTGGTAATGAATCAGCATCTTCAGCCGAGTTGATACCGCCAAGTGACGATGCCATGGGAGGGCTCGTCAGGTATTTCGCAATGTCGTGGGTCGTCTCCAGAAACAGGGGTGACTTGGTCAACAAGTAAGCATCCAGATACACCGGCAGAAGCTGAGCATTGTCGTAAAGCATCTTCTCAAAATGCGGCAGACTCCAATCCCTCGTCACCGAGTACCTCGCGAAACCATTGCCAATCTGATCCTTGATACCACCCTTCGCCATATTTTCCAACGTCTTCACCGCCATTGCCCTCGCCTCGATACACTCATCCTCCCCAACAATCTCCCTCACATCCTTCGGGTACGAAGCAACGCGCAGCAGTGGCCGGATATGCACCGGAGTCGGAAACTTAGGCGCAGCCCCAAACCCGCCAAACTTGGAATCATACCGCTGCTTGTAATGCTGAAACGCATCGTCCAGCAAATCCAGCTCCAACCCGTCATTCTCATCCCCTTTCCCATCCCTCCCTCCCAAACTCCCCTCCTGCGCAAAATCCCGCAACTGTCTCGTGATATCCGCCGCGCTCTCCCTGCACTTCGCCTCCTGCTCTTTCCACGCCGTTGCCACCTTCAGCAGAATCTGCTCAAACGACGTCCCCGCCATCTTCGCCCTCTCGCTCTTCGGGCCCGGCCAATACGTGCCCCCAAAGATGGGCATCAAATCCGGCGTGACGAAGACATTCAACGGCCACCCTCCCCCGCCATTCGTCGCCTGCAAGAAATCCATATACTGTCTGTCGATATCCGGCCGCTCCTCGCGATCGATCTTGATCGGGATGAAGTGCTCGTTCAGTAACTGCGCGATCCGAGGGTCGTCGAAGGACTCGTGCGCCATGACATGGCACCAATGGCAGGCTGAGTAGCCGATGCTCACGAAGAGCAGGCGATTCGTCTGTCGTGCCAGTTCCAATGTCTCCGGGGTCCAGAGCTGCCACGCGGTGGGGTTGTCGATGTGCGAGCGGACATATGGGCTTTTACTCTCGCCACAGCGATTCGCGAGCGAGACTGCTCGATCCGGTCCTCGGGGGGTGTCCATGGTTGCGTACGGCTGTGAATTCCTAGGGAGATGACGGGACGGGATGCTGCTGGTCACATTGAAGCCTTGGGGTGCAGCAGAGAGGAAAGTTCTGTTACGGCTGCTGCGGCTTACGTATCGAAGAGATACTGCTGAGCAGCAAGCTCTGCGCTGGGCTGCTTGAGCCGGTAAGAACCGCCGAGATAGCAGCAGCAGCAATGAGGAGCTTTGCATCAACAACGGGGCTGTGAGGAGGAAGAAGAAAACTCTGAACAAAGACGCAGGCAAGAGAAGTGGTTGATCTTTTTTCGCGAAACAGAAACTTAGCTGTAGTGCAAGGGCCTGATGAAAGTTTTTTTCTTGCTTCGTGCAACCACAACTGCGGTCGCCTTCGAAGAAAAAGACGAGATGGTGTCATAGCAAGGCCATGTGAGGGGAAAGCAATGCAGCGCTGAGCGATAAGATAAACCCACAAAATGGCGCAAGGCACGTGCAGCAGCAGCAAGTCACTGTCAGCTTGGACCTCACCTCACCCCATCCCCTCCATCATGAGATATTTCATAATCAAATACACGAACCAGGCCCAACCCCGTCTGTACAAAATTGCAACACCACCCAATCCAGCGCAAGCGTCGTCGTCGTCGACTGATAACCGGCCACCAACAACTGGGATCACACGAGATCCCAAGCAAATTAGCAGCAACGTCACCAGCTCTAATTAGAGTCGTTATAGGGATGCGCAGACGCCATGAACCTTAGCGTGCGAACACGAACAGCCCGTCGCGTCGATCATTGGCTGCGCACGCAGACGGACAAGCATCACTGAAATGAGGAAGTGCACAGCAGGTTCATCGTATAAAAGCCCGTCGGTGTATTTTCATGGAGGACATGGTACTCGTTGCAGAATCGAAGGTTTGATCTCCACAAGCCGTGCTCCCATATCCCATCCCACCCCCTAAAGGAGCCTCTGCTCTCTCGAAAAGTATGCACAAACGAAGTAGAAGTGTAAAAACACAAGAGCCACGTGCGTCCCGCCCGGCGCCCGTCTAGAAGATGCAAATGATCTGCCCGGCAGACCATGCAGCCAAGAGAACGGATCCAGGATGCGACAGTGTTTTGTGAGGTGAAAAAACGCAGCCGCACTGCTGGACAGGGTTGATAAAAGGCTGATGTACTCAGTTGGACTCGTTAAAACGAGCGTGAATGCCAGTTTCCACTCAATGAAACGCCCCCGATGCACATTTTCCTAGAAGACCGTTGTCCGACTCAGTCATAAGTTGTCTGTTATCAGCAAATGGCGGCGCTAAAGCAGACCCGCATCGAAAGAATCCGCGAAGAATGCTGCTTCTAATTGCTGAGACCGGTGTTCCAGTTGGCTGTCGCCTCCTGCTTTGGTGCCAAAACGTTGGCGGCGTACTCGCCAGCGTAGTTGCCTGAGATTGGAAAGTTAGCCTTGTACGTGATCAATGAATTCGGCGATGCTTACCTGGACCCTTGTAGTTGCAGACGGTGAAGTAGGGCGAGACGCCAGTGCCGACGTTGGAAAGACCGTTCGGGCAGTACTGAGTGTAGCATCCGACGTGCGTAGTCTCCTTCCAGACGATCTGGGTGAAGTGTCCCCACTTCTCGAACTCGGTCATATCAGGGTCTTCCTTGCCGTAGTTGGGGGCGAAGTATGGCTCCTCGCCGTTGTAGAACAGGTCGGTGATGATGGCAGAGATGTTGGTCGCCTCAACACCAGCAGCGATGTTCTGGCCGTAGCCACCGCCAGCGACATCACTATTTGGCAGTTAGTACATGGCTCTTCTTATAGTCAGGATATTGTTCCATGCATACGTGTTGTGAGCGTAGACGCAGCTCTCAGCGATCTGCTGGGCAGACGAAGCGAGCTCGTCAGACCAAGCAATGTCATCGACAGTGTGGTTTCGGCGATGGATGTTGTGGTGCTCGACACAGATGTCCTGGTACGAGGTTGGGGCTGCCGAGGCGGCGGACGAGCTGTACGCTGGTGTAGAAGACGAGGGCGCAACGTAGGTGGAAGATGGGGCCTCCGTCGTCGATGGCTGAGGTGCAACGTAGACGGAGGTGCTTGTCGATGGCTCTGGGGTGGAGGATGGTGGTGGAGCCTGGTAGGTGGACTTGGCCTCAGTAGAAACCTGCTCGATAACAGTCGTGGAGTGCGAGTTGCCGCCGTGGCCGTAGTGGAACTTGGACACAACCTGGGTTGGAAGCTGGCCGGCGGTCACGGTGACGACGTCGGTAACGTAGACGACGTCGTAGTTGGTGAGAACATCGCGCTTGTAAGGAACGGCGAAAGCGCCAGCGGCGAAGGCCGCAATGGTCAAGGCGGTGCGCATTTTCGACTGGTGCTTCTCGTGGGCTGCGGACGGATTTTGATATTGTCGTTGCGGGGATCACAGATCCGGTTGACTGGTTATGCTTGAATGACTGACTTGAGGGTTAGCACGTGTCTTGCCAGAAGACGTGAAAGAATTGTGATGGTGGTGGTGGTGGTGAGGTGCAGAAGCGAGGTCAAAGAGGCCGCGAACGGCCGCGTCTCTTATAAAGGCCGGATCATTGATGCATGTGATGGAGCATTGGGGAATGGTGGTTCTGGACGCAGCCAACATGCAATAGGCAATCATGGGGCAAGACGTACTCGGGCGGGTCCTCGCAGAGGATGATGGCTCGGAGCGACAGTGATGTGCGACTGGCGGCGCGTGTGAAGATGCTCGTAATGAGTGTGGTGCAGAACTGGCTGCAGGAAAGAGTGACTGAAGGCGAGAAACCTCGGTGGGTGTGGTGGTGGAGTCCGGTCGGTGCAAGGTGGAGGATGTTGGAAAGGAAGGCGTAGGTAGGTTTTGGTTTTTGATGTGACGGCGCAGCAGCCAGGAGATGGATTTAGAGTTGACGCTAGTCCAGGGCGCGCGGATGGCTGAAACAGAGAGTTTAGCACAGCCTGGGCGCTCCGTAGACGAGGCCCAAGAGCACGCCGTGTGGGGAACGGGAGCAGTAGTGCACACAGCGTTCTACCGCCCAGAAGCGCCCTTCATCAGTGGTTTGCTGGCCGATTATTCAATAATGCTGGTGTCGATTTGTTGGCGATTGGTTTGTTCCGTGGTGAATAGGGCGGGAAGAAGGAGAGCAGGCCGTCAAGTGACTATCGACTTTGATGAAGCCGAGAATGCATTCAGCACTGTCGGGGAAACATTTTCACGTCATTGGAATGTGGTTGGAGCCGCTCTATCTCAACCTCACGTCCTCATATCCAGTACCATCTGTTACTACCTTTTTCACTATTAACGTGCCTGCCTTCGCGGTCGTCGTTGTTGTTGTCGTCGTCGTCGCTGCCGTTTTCCGCTTCGTCTAACGGCCATGCTGCCGCTTACCACGCCCGGACGCCTCACTTCTGAAACGCAAATCCATCAGGAACTGCCCTCCCATTGGCCGGCGCGGGTCCTAGGAAAGTGCCAGGGACGATCGCATTAACAGCGCTCCTGCCCCGGCGCTCATCCACGCACGCATTCATCATGCGCGCCGAATCCACGGTCGGGTCGGATGGCAGTTCGCAGACGACACTACCGCCTCTCCTGCAGCTCTTCTCGTCTCGCGTGCCGACGAAGAGCTTTTCACCTCCGGACTTTGCTTGCTGCTGCACTCGATCGTGACGTGGATGGACCACTACGCGCCTCCGCGCCCGCCTTGATTTGCGGCGAAAACACCTCCTGCGCATCGCCGCCAATGATCCCCTCCGGCCCAGTCAAACCGCCCTCTGCGTGCGCTGTAGCAGGCAAGCACAAGCGCCCGGTCCTGCGTCACACGTGCTCATCTCGCTCCAAGAAACCACCACCTCCCACGACGCCTGCGCCAAGCCGAGGGCGCTCCCATCCGACATCAATCTGAGGCACCCGACTACCGTGTCGCCTGCCATCATCCCGGCAGAGATCTGGAGACAATCGCGGTCCAGAGTGAAAAAGTCTGCCATGCAGCGACACCTTGCTCTCGGCGCAAAGGGTCTAGAGTCGTCTGGACATGCTGGAGCAGAGGCGCCGCTGTCTGAAGTAACCGCTAAAGTCTCACATGCGCCTGGTGGAACCGAACTTCCACGTCAAAAAATCGCGAATCCTCCACCTACTGCCGCGGTCGTTTGACTCGTTCTGACACTCACGAATCCGATCGGTACCTCGACGAACGGGCGAACAAGCAACGTTGCTCTTTTGACAAAGCACCATGCACTCCACCGCCGCAGAACGACCCAAACAGACGTCTCTTCCATGGCGTTCGCTGGTCTGTGATGAACCTGCATTTGCATCTCACCTTCCTCAACAACACCGGCACGTGGAGCGCCATGGCGAACGACGAAGAATGTGTGTCGCAACGACACCGCAATCGTTCTCGCCGAGCTTGCCACTGACGCCTCGCTCCAAAGCAAACCCACCAACTCTCTGATGCTTGTCCGTCTCCGATTGCCGCATCGTCGGACGACGTGATCAACACGTTCATCAGACACCGATTGTGTCTCGCGGAGCCGCCGCGGTGAGTTGTGAGGGAACAATCTGAGGCAAGCAAAGCCGGTTTCTCTGTGACGGGCACGATTGTCCAGACCCTCTGCTGCCCCATCTAGTCATTGACGATGCAATGCGTTTCAGACACGTACGCCAATGCGTGATTGATTTGTTGTGAGTCTCTTGACCTCCCTCCATTGCACACTTCCCAAGATGTCGTCGTTTTCTTTGCAGTTTCAGTGTGTCTGCTAATGATCGACCCTCCCTCTAATTTTCAGCCAAGCCACTGCAAGATCATCGACACACATCGGAAGGCAAGATCGACCCCTTTTCACCCCCAAATCTACACATCCCTCCAACATGTCGCAGAAGACGACTTGGGCATCTCTTTTTCTTAACGATCTCCTTTCAGCAGCCGAAAGACATACATCCTGAATAGTCGTCGAGCAAACCTCGTTCATCATCCCTTGACTCCCCAATTTACACATACGTCGCAGAAGATGGCTTGGACATCTCATGCTCCTTCCAATAGCAGAAAGACATACTCATCAAAAACACCCTCTTCCATCATCCCTTACATCTCCCCCCAAATCTCCACACCCACCCATCTCTGTCTCCGTCTTTGTCTCACCAGCTGGAGTACATCCTGCATCAAGCAAATGCCGTACTCAACAATGATGCATGCGTTTCCAACGGGTCCTCACATACATTTAATCAACCACACTCCCACCAAAATGCGGAGAGCATACACCAATTTGCGGAGAAAAGGTGTCACAGCCAGCCGCTCGGTGTCGTCGACCAAACTTGCTCCTCTCCTGTGCGACCGCAAACGCTGCTGCTGTGCACACAGAGTGTGTGTCGGACGGTCAGGACAGGGGTAAAAAGCCACATGCGCATTGCATGCTGCAAGCTGCAGGTTGGCGCCCTCGTGAAGAGAATGATAGAGACAGGGGTGAAAGTTTGGGTGTGTGGAGGGCGTGTGGAGGGCTGCATGAAAAAGAAGATGCGGGTTGGTTTGTGATTCTTTCTTGTTTGTAGATGTATGTTGGTGTTTTTGGATGTGTGTAAGCGTTCACGAACCAGTTTTGATGATGGGTTGTTTGTTGGCCGGCTCTGCATGTATAATGCACAATGTACATGCTACGGAGTGTTCAAGCTGCCGTGAATGCAGACAGGCAGACAGACCAACGCTGTAGAATGTCGATGATCGTTTGGTTGAGCAAACATTAATGCCTTTCGCTGGCTTACATGTTTGGCTGCGGAGTACGTAGTAAGAATTGCTCATAGCACTCTGCTGCAGGAGACGTTCATGTCGCTTTCCGGACTATGTTACATTTTCTTCATTCGGGGAGTACTACCTACAGTTGAGTGCCTGCCTAAATGGCCTATCTACTCAGCCTCCCCTTCGCTTCTCTGGCGCTTAATCCATGGTATCAAGTTGCTTTTCCTGTCCGCCCCATCATCATCCATCCATCCATCCGTGAACGTCGTCCTTCCTGCAACGCCAAACGCACACCTCACGCTTTCTCTACTATCCCTGCATGACGCTCTGCAGCGCCGCCTTGCCCTGGTCATCCAGCTTCTCGTTCACGAAACGTCCAATCCGACCGGAGTGTCTCTGGTCAGCGTCTCGCAGAGTAGCACCGACCCAAGCCTTTACATCAGTAACCTCTGGCCATGGGTCGGGGGTTGGTCGCTTGCAGGTGTTGAGCTGGGTGAAGGCGGCGCCGAAGCCGAGCTCGTCCACGTCTCGGTCTTCGATGGTGTCGTCGGCGGCTGGTGGGAGGGGTGGGTTGATGAGGAGTTTGAGAAGGGCTTCGCAGGTGATGGTCCAGCCGCGCTTTTGATACCGCTCGACGAACGCTTGGCTGTCGGCGAGAGTTCGTGTGAGGGAGATGCAAGCCGTCTTGCGGTCCACGGGCCTGCTCAGCTTCTGGGTGTCGGGGAGGATGATGGTCATATAGACTGGCGTGAAGACGTTCTCTTGCACCTTGTCTGCGACGGCGATGAAGAAGTCGGCACCCAGACCCTTGTCTTGCAGTGCGGATACCAGATGATAGAATCGCACAAAGCGGAGCGTGAAGTTCTCCGTCTTCGAGTTCGAGAGTCGGTGGAACATCAGCTGCAGGATGGTAGTCCAGTAGCCCTCGAGTGCGGTTGGGGCGAAGCTTTGGACGACGGTCTCCATAAGATCCATTGCATAACCTTCGTAGGCCTTGCTGCTCACCAACTTCTGGAACACGACGAGGATGGCCTCTGTCTGGTTTGAAGCTGCAATCTGCTCGGCACCTCGTGGGATCAGGTTCACCAGCAGTCGCGTCAGCGCCGGTACGTTGCCTTTGTTCTCCCATATGGCCGGCACCAGCACGGGAGCGACCAGCTGCTGGAAGTTTGAAGAGAGCTGACCGGATGGATTCGTGGCGACCATGAGCGCGTACAGCTGGAAAATGTACGGGGTGAACTCGTCGACGGCGCTTTGCAACACCTCCATGAATGCTGGGAAGAGGCTTGATTCGATCTTTTCCGGCTGTTGAGGCCCAGCATATCGTATCAGGGCGCCAAGTGATTCGAAATGGTAGTAGCAAAAGCTAGGGTTTGATGGGTTGTGTCGGATGACTTTTGTGATGTTGACGAGGTTGGTGATGACCAGATCCATGATCGGGACCACACCCTCGCGGACGACGATCAGGACTCTCATGACACACTTCATCAAGAATTCGTTCTCTTGAACCTTCTCTGGTTTGGTGTTCTTGGTGACGAGCGTGAAGAGGTGTTGAAGAAGATCCTTGGCCAGTGGCACAATGTTGACACGGGGTATGATCGGCTGGTGCTGGTCGTCCGTGAGGTATAGCGCGCGGTCAACGGCAATCGCTGCATAAGTATAGACAACGTAGTTGGAGTTGTTCAGGTGCTGGACCAGTAGCGGGAACGCCGCTTGCCATTGCTGTGCTGAGAGAATGCTGCGGAATAGATACAGATACTTGATCGCATCCACCTTCAGCAGTAGCTGGGCGTTGGCGTCTGTGAGATCTTCCGCAATGTTGTTCTGGAAGAAGTCGATGACACTGACGTTTGAGTTGACGCTCAAGATACCCTTGGCGGCAGTTGCAGTGCCCTTGGCTGCGATCGAGGTGAACAGATGGACTGCAGTGTCCTTTGCCTTCCAATTCCCGCTCCGATCCTTTGCATATTCGGCGAGGAAGTGGTCGACATAGCGCATAACAACGTCTGTCACCAGCTTCTCGAATTGCTCCATGAGCTTGCGCAGGAAGTTGGTTGCAGAGCGCCGCCTCGTGTCTTCGTCTGAACCTTCTAGATCTCTTCGAATGTATTCGATGGGTTCGTCTTCGAAGGTCTCAATGTCTGACTCTCGCAATGACAAGTTTGGTATCACCACTCGCTCAGTGACTTGGCCCAGAACATCTGCGTTGTTGAAATTCTCGGCATGCTCCCGGATGCTGGCAATCGTGGTCAGGAACTCCAGAGCCCGACTTACCACCATGTCGTATTTTTGTTCAGGCCCAATGGTGGTGAGCAAATTCCACGAGGTACCAATGAACTGCGTCAGATACTGCTTGAACTCTTCGTCGTACTTGCGGGTGTAGAGGTTCAGCACCCCGAAGACGTCTGATCGCACATCCTCCAGTGGGCCGGCTTCCGTGTCATCGTCGGTGTTGAGCGCAGCGTTCTGATATGTCAAGTACTTGTGCAGCAAGGTAGAAATGTGACCCAAGGATTCCTCAAACTGTGGCGGCATGTCGTGTGTTGAGAGATCGTACATCAACTTAATGATGAGATCGAGTGTTCCGTAATGCGCCTTGAGCACTTCTGGGTTGCCCTCATTCTGCGTGATCATCTTGTCGGTATTCTCCCACACCTGCAAGAAAGGGACCGCGAACTTTGACAGCACGTGGTTGATCTCGGTGTATAGCTCATCCGTTCTGTACAGAGGCTCCCATCTCTTGAAGATCGAATGTGCGACTCGAAGCACACCATTGTTGACGATAGCATCATTAGCGGTCAGGCGTGACACTAGATCATCGACGAGGGTGTCCCACTTTTCGTAGAAATCGCTCTCTGCAATGACGCTGATTGCATCACCGAGTTGCGCTTGGAGGGAGGGAGGGACTTTGACCATGAGGCCGATGAGTTCGTGCTTGATGGTCGTAACTTCGTTTGCCGGGAGTAGGTGTTCGCCATCTTGGTTCTGTCCGCATATTAGCTATCCACATCTTGCATTTCGTCCATCTTCCACTCCACCTACCGTCCAGTTTCGCCGCACGAAGTTTTTGAAGAACAGAGAGCTCGCTAGTCTCGTCTGAAGAGGGTGTGATTCGGTGGCGGTGATTTGTAGGAGAGCGAGGGAGAAGCCTGGCTTGGTCTCTTCGGCCTTTAACGACTGCTCGGCTGCACCAAAAGTTAGCCAACGCTGTTTGAATAGAAGCACATGAGCACTCACCCTGCTTGTTCTGGCGGGGATCCAAGCTCGCGGAGAGCAATTCCGCCACCGACTGTATGTTCACAGCCATCGCCTTGAGTCTTGAAGAATTAAAGAGAAGAAAGAAAAGGTCAGGTTGGAAGATGCAGAAGAGTTGACCAGAGCACCAGCGCGGGTAAACAGAGTGACGAGAAGAGCAACGAGAAGGTTGCGGGCCGACGCGCCGAACCAAGTCATGCAGGGATATCCTTGGCGGCGGGCAACGCGTGCATCGATGACATGTGAAGGCGTGGCTGCTCGCGAGTGAGTGAATCGTGTTTCTATCTCCCTCCACGCGCGTGACTTGTGCGAGATCGATCCAGGCGATCTGGTATCTGCGGCGGCGTGAGCCTTGAAAGGCGCCCTTTCCTTTGAATGCCCAGAAGCTTCTGTCTCTTCGCGGACTTAACAGAATCACCTCCTTAGGCTGCGACGTCTACGCCACCTGCTGTCCGCACACTCACGCTCGTTCAGCGTCCCACTTCAGCCCGTCGCCTCGACCTGGAAATCCTAATCGACCTTCTCCCCTCGACCGAGCTACAAAATGTGTTGAGCGTCCACCTATTACTGCGACCTAATATTTGAGTAGAGGATATTTACAAGATGGCGGCGTCTAAGAACCTCGCCCGCATGCGGGAGCAGACGATGGGCAGTCTGGAGGATGAAGAGGCTGTGACTGTCAACACTCGTGCCTTGATCGACAAAGTGCTTGCTCGATACTCCGGAGAGTGGACGACGTTGCGAGAACTGATCCAGAACGCTGCCGATGCGCAGGCCTCCAAAGTGACGATACGATTCGAGACCTTACCTTCAGCAACAGTACCGCTACCACAGACCCAGGATCCATCCGAGCATATCAAGCATACCCTTCTTCACCATACCTTGAAAACGTTGATAGTGTCCAACGATGGCGAGCTGTTCAAAGAGACGGATTGGCAGCGGTTGAAGCGGATAGCAGAGGGCAATCCAGACGAGACAAAGATTGGGGCTTTTGGTGTGGGTTTCTACTCCGTCTTTGCAGACTGCGAATCCCCATTCGTGACCTCAGGAGATCAGACCATGGCGTTCTATTGGAAGAAGGACAGCCTGTTCACACGGCGAGGAAAGCTGTCAGAAGCAAGCCCAGGTACTACCTTCTTGCTGGATTACAGAAGTCAGACTACACCAGTGCCACAGCTCCTGAGCCTCTGTCAGTTTCTGGCGACGAGTTTGACCTTCGTCGGCCTTCAGAACATCGACCTCTGGCTTGACGATTGGAACATCTTGAGTCTCACCAAGAAGATGTCCCCGGGCGCAAGTGTTAAGATCCCAAGCGACGTCAATCCTAGGACGAGAGACGGCCTCATGAAGATTGTCGATGTGGAGTATCAGAACGCGCAGATCGATGCTCGTTGGATGAACGTCGTTGGATGGAACCGAAGAGCTGTATCGGCAATGCAAAACGCTGCCGCAGCTCAATCACAAAGCGATCTTGGTGTTACCAGTCTTCGTAACTGGTTCGGCAAGTTCACTGGAAGTGCGACTGGAATCGCAAGCACAAGGAAGGCTCAGCGGGAGGAAGAAATACTCCAACAAGCCATCGCCGAGGATCTCGCTGGTTTCAGCTCTTCAACTGTATTCATACGTATTAGCACGGTTAATGTGCAGACGTATGTGAGCAAGCAACTGGCCGCTGAGCTAGAGCGCGCAACCAAGAAACCACCTCCTAAGCACACACGAATCTCCATCCTCACTTCTTCTTTCGACGAGACCACCGCATCCACAAGCTCGTCTGCAGGTAGCTCTTCTCAGAAAGCGAGTGAGATCTTTGCGTCAGTCCTCCCTACGAAGAACGGCAAGATCTTCATTGGCTTCCCAACTGCGCAAACCACTGGATTGTTAGCGCACATATCTGCCCCTTCTGTCATCCCTACCGTCGAGCGTGAGAGCATAGACTTGAATGCTCGATACGTGAGAGACTGGAACATTGAGATGTTGCGGGTAGCAGGTATCGCCTGTCGCATAGCGTACACAGGAGATATGGGAGAGCTGAAGCTGAGGCTTGAGCGGACTGCTGCTGCAGATGGACGGAAGAAGATCACGAGCGACGATGTCGCAGCGGTCATGCCCGCCGCTGTGCATACCTACCAGCAATACAACTATGCAGAATCAACGCCAGCAGCGAGAGTAGGCCAATACATCGAGGAGGCGTTCTGGATGTGCAATCAGAAGGCAAGCATCGATATTCTTTCGACGAGAGGTGTTCTGCCCAGCCAACAAGTCCGCGTGGCTTCAGAAGACTTGAGCTTCGTAGATGGCATTCCTGTCGTTCCTGACGAGCTCATGGAGAAAGCCAATGAGTTCTTGACAAAGCTACGGGATTATGGCCTACTTTCTGACATCACAAATGGGGATATCAAGAAGGAACTGGAAGCGCAGGCGCTGTCGGAGAAGCAAGTCACTGAACTCGTCAAATGGGCTTGTACAAAGGTCTCTCGTCAAGAGATGGACGCGGGCGTTGTGCAGACGCTTTTCGATGGCACCGTCGCCAGCATCAGCGAAGAATTCGTCAGTACAGCTTCAAGCCCTGTGCTCCAGCTTGGTCAGATTCGAACATTCGTCAACAGCGCCAAGATCCCAGTAGACTTGCCGACACCTCCTGAAACGATTCCGTTCAGACTGACAAAGGGCTTGTCACCCGGACAGCTGGCATCGATCGGCTGGGATGAGCTGCAGATTGTGCCATGGCTAAGGTGGATTGTTGAGAACGATGGGCGAGGATTCGGCCAAGGCCAGACTTTGACTACTACGCCTGCCGTAGCATCTCAGGTCCTACCCGTCGTGTCAAAGTCATGGGAGGGCCTGTCTCAATCGTCGAAGCAGACCATTCAGGACTTGCTCGTGCCGCGAACAGTCATTCCCACAAAGCTGGGCATGCGAAAGCCACCACAGGCATACTTTGGCAGCGTGAAGCTCTTCGATGACTTACCTACGATCACCGGCCTTCAAGGTGTCAAAGAGAAGTTCCTCTCAGCTTTGGGTGTGCGAAAGACAGTGGAGCTCAATGTCGTATTCGACAGACTCATGACAAAGTCAGCCAGCGCAGAGGCTGGGGAAGGTAAATGGAGTCACGTCGATTTGATCAAGTACCTGGTCAGCGTGAAGGACGACATCCCAACCGAAGATGTTAAGCGCCTTCGTCAGACCCCGATGTGCCCAGCAGAGACACAATCTGGAGATCAGATAAACAAGGGCAAGCTCTATCGTCTCTCGGATTTGTATGAGCCCGACGATGCCATAAGACGGCTCGGGCTCCCTGTGCTTCAGTGGCCAGGCCAATACCGCGGGCAGACTCCAGAAGGTCGATTCTTGAGATTGCTGGGCCTTCAGCCATACCCAGCTGTTCCAGACTTGGTTGAAATCTTGTCGAAGGCGCCAGCAGGCAGCGAGCTCCAACAGAGCGCGATCACTTACTGGATCGTGAATGCCTACCAGAACGGCTATCACAAGTACCCCGTGGCCGAGATTACTACAGCTTTCCTGCCTGTGCAACCCTTCGCGGGGGAGAAGAATAACCTCGTGGCGAAGCCATCGCAGTGCTACGCAAATCCGAGAGCTGCTGTGCTAATGTTCCGGACATTGAGAGAGGACTTGCAGCCACATCACGCGATGTTTGGTGTTGCACTCGACCCACCCATCGAGACGTGTGCTGAGCGTCTGATCAAGAGCGCACCTGCCAACATGGCCACAGCTAAAATCTTGTTCGGGTATTTTGCAGGTCGTTTGGGCGAGATTGGTCCAAATGGCAACCTCTCTGAGCGTCTTGGCAATGCAACGATCGTGCCCATCTTCTCTAGGAAGCCTGATACTAAGGGATCGGGCGTCCGTTTCGCTGCTCCCAGAACTTGCTTCTTGGGAGACAGCCAGACCTATGGCGACATCTTCGATTTCGTCGACTTTGGACATGAAGCGAATACCTTTCTACTTCGTGTCGGGTCCAAGCATGAGCCCAATGCTTCTGAGATTGCGAGTATGCTGGTGCAGCAGCCAGCGCGACTTCTTGATAGTCTAGGCTCCGACAAGTATCTGCAACTCCTGCGAAAGATCGCCGAAAACGTAGCGAATCTGAAGAAGGACAAAGGTTTGTGGATGAAGCTTAAGAGCTCGCCTTGTCTTCTGGCCGAGAAGTTGGTGAGGGCAAATATCGACAACGAGAAGCGAGAGTATGACGACGAGGAACTCGTGATCAAGGAGTACTCGCTTGCTAAAGCCTCTGAGATGGTTCTCATCGATGACTTCGTGACGTATCGACTTTTCCAGGCCAGTCTTCTTACGGCTCCACAAGAAGAAGCGTTGGAAACGCTATACGCCTCTCTCGACACGCCATGGCTCTCCAAGCTGGTAGAAGACGACCAACGCATGGGTGCCCTGTTGAACGATCAATCAGCCGGCGAGAAACTGAGAAAACTCCTCGTCGAGCGTTGTCGTCTCTTCCTTCACGACCACGCACCAGACGCGATCAGGCATGATGCGAGGTGGCTCGAGCAGAATATGACGGTCAAGGTGACAGAGTTTCTCCAGGTCACGCACAAGCTGAAGGGATATCGACAGCAACTGCTTGAGAAGAAGACGGCTGCTCTGCATAGGGAGACGAAGCGAGATGCCACGCTCTTCATCACCGCGCGTTACGATCTTTACGAGGTCAGTCGTGCTGTGATGGGTGTTCTGCTCAAGCGACCCCGGCAGCAGGACTTTCTTGCGCTGGAGACGATTCTGGAAAGTGATCTTCGTAGATTGAAGACCAAGGGATACAACGTAGATCGTATCTTGAGGCAGAAGGCAGCCGAATCGCGAATTGCTGAGAGTGAGAGAGCCAAGAGGGAAGAAGAGCAGAGGAAGTTGGCTGAAGCTGAAGCGGCAACTCGGCCTCAGCAACAGCAAGCAGCGATCACAAACGGGACAACGAACACGCAATCCGCGACGCAGGCCTCTCCAGAGACACCCGAGAAGGCGTTGGCAATGCCGGGCTCGTTCGATACGCCGGAGGGACGACCAGGCTCGTCAGGACGTGGCAAGAAAGCCACAGGCAACTTCTTCAGCAACATCAGCAAGCATCTCGGCATTAATGGCAACAACCAAGCGGCTCAGCAGATGCAGAGCATGCTCACCAATGGGCAAGGGCAAGACTCAGCGCCTCCTCCCTATACTCCTCAAGACCCGAATGTCCGCAACATTACTCCTGGCACGGAGCGGGTCACTTCCCCACGAGACCTCCAAGCCAACCTTCAGTCCGCCATCAAAGCGACGAGAGAGTACAACGCCTCGTCATTGTTCTCACCACCTGAGACTAAGGATATCAAGGAATCACCTTCCTACTGCGACAGCAAGCCAGGACACGACATTAAGTTTGTCGCCGAACTGAGCAACGGCATCAGACTCTACCTCCCACGAAGCCACCCCGATCCCACCGCCTTCCTGCAGACCTACCGAGATTCCCTGGCAACCTTCGTCCTGGTCCTCTCCGAGGTCGCCAACGTCTTCGAACTCTCCCCTCAAATGATCAACATCTTCCACGACGAGCAAGGCGCGGCGATCGCGTTCAACAGCAACGGCAGTCTGTTCTGCAATCTGAGATACTTCCTGCAACTGCACATGTCGCAGATGGCGTCGCCGGAGGGTAAAGTGGAGGCTATGGCGTACTGGTGGATCACACTGTGTCATGAGCTGGCACACAATTTGGTGAAACAGCACGACTCGCAGCATTCGTTCTATACGGAGAGCTTTGTGGCACATTATTTCCGGAGAATGGTATGGTTGGCGTCGAGGATCACGGGATAGGAAGAGGAAGAGCCACGCGAGATGGAGAGATGATGGGTCTTGATCTTCCACATGGCGATGGCGTTCTTGGATCTTTGGGAGAGCACACTCTCGGCTTTGGTCATGCATGGTGTGCACGCGATGTATGCGTGTACATGTACCTACAGATACCCTGGATACTATGTGTAGACTAGAATAGGCAGATGGGGTGTACATTGGTACCTTGGACACTTGGAGACCCTCTTCTTGCTGAAGCTGAACCTCGCAAAATTGTCATCTCTCTGCAATTCCTTCAAATCGACCACGCTTTCGATGACAGCTCAAGTCCGACAGACAGTCTACTTTTTACGGGGATTCATCAACACAACAAGACTTTACGTACGTGCAAGTCATGAGTCTCGTCGTGGTCAGCGCCATGTGACATTGACGAACAAGGATGTTGAGAGATGTACCGATCAGCCGGTATGCAGCTTGACGAGGCCGCTCCATGCGCCGGTTCGGATGAAGTCTGGAGTGTGTGGAGGAGGATGGGGTACGGGGGAAGGACAACTGTTGATGTTGTACATGTATTTGTTGATAGTAGACAGCATGAGAAGGACGGCGGCATACGAATACGGGCCAATCAAGGAGTGTCGCTCTGGGGGCTGAGAGAGGAAGAAGAAGCGCAGCACTTCCTTCTCCTGCCTGCCTGTCTGCCGTCCATCATCATTAGTAGAATACTTGGCGTGTCTGATCACAGTCTCATCTACGTACTTTTCCACTGCCAAAAAACATCGCCCACCACCCCCAAATCGCCGACTCCACATCCGTCTCACCGCTGCCGACGGCTTGTCCAACTCAATTGCTATCACGTGCACCGTCTGCACACCAGACCCACTGGGCCTGACCTCACCCTGCTTCTGCTGTTCTCGAACTAAACTGCAGCACCCGACGCATTCCACGCTTCTGCTTTTAACCTTTCCATAGCCCTCTGTCTTTTTCTTCTCGGCTGCGGAGGGGCTGCTCGGAGCCAGCCCTTTAACGATAAACATTCCGCTCCCATTCGGCGCCGGCAGCAACGCACCTCGCAAGCCTGCCAACATCCCATTGCACTCCCTAAGCTCCACCTCTGGCCGCCGGAAGAGCAGCAGCGAGTCCTACGACGAGAAGGCCGACCGTGCACGTCTCCGCCGCGAATCGGGCTCCTTCGACGACGACGACGAAGAAGAGGGTTCGGACTTCTCCCTCTGGAGCGATACGGGCGACCTCGTCGACCAGCTTGCCGACCAAGAGGATCCCCTCGCTGCACGGCTACGCCAGAGCCTCGAAGAGGAGCTCTCCTCGCACCACCCCCGCAGAGGCCGCAATCGCCAGCCGAAACGGGTCCGATACGCCGCTGGCGAGCACGAGAACGGCGAGAAGGAGAGCCGTCATCCTGGCGGTTTTAAGAGGAAGGAAGATATAAGAATCCCTAGTCCGCCGCCCAGGGAACTTGGGTGGGGACAGAAGTGGTTGGCGAGAGTCATGGCTCCTGGCGATGGACCCTCGCGCATGCATGGCCTGCATGGCAAGAAGCTGATTTACTTCTTGTCCATCTTCGTGTCGTTGGGCGTGTTTTTGTTTGGGTATGATCAGGGTGTCATGTCGGGTGAGAATGGCGAGGCTTGAGATGGTACAACGGTGTTGGCTGACATGTCTCGACACAGGCATAATAACGGGTCCTTACTTCAAGGACTACTTCAACCATCCCTCCGCTGCCGAGATCGGAACCATGGTCGCCATTCTGGAAGTCGGCGCGTTCATAGCCTCGTTATCAGTAGGACGCATTGGAGATGTGCTGGGCCGGAGAAAGACCATTCTATACGGTGCCGTCGTCTTTGTCGTAGGCGGTGCCATTCAGACATTTGCAACGGGCATGCCGATGATGCTACTGGGACGTATCATTGCCGGCCTGGGGGTTGGTGCTCTCAGCACGATTGTGCCAGTCTACCAGAGCGAGATCAGCCCTCCGCACAACCGTGGCAAGTTGGCTTGTATTGAGTTCTCGGGGAATATCTTTGGATACATGTGCAGTGTGTGGGTCGACTACTTCTGCAGTTACATCAAGAACGACTGGGCCTGGCGGGTGCCTTTGCTGATGCAAGTGGTCATGGGAGGCTTGCTCGCTGTGGGAAGCTTCCTGATTGTTGAGTCCCCACGATGGCTCCTGGACAATGACCATGACGAGGAGGGCATTGTCGTCATTGCCAACCTCTACGGGAAAGGCGACATCCACAACCCCAAGGCACGGGACGAGTATCGCGAGATCAAGATGAATGTCCTGCTTCAACGACAGGAGGGCGAGCGATCCTACAGGGATATGTTCAAGCGATACTACAAGCGTGTGTTCATTGCCATGTCTGCTCAGGCTTTGGCGCAGCTCAATGGCATCAATGTCATTTCATACTACGCCCCGCTGGTGTTCGAACAAGCTGGATGGGTTGGCCGAGATGCCATTCTCATGACTGGAATCAATGGACTCACATATCTGGCTTCAACAATCCCTCCCTGGTATGTCGTCGACCGACTCGGCCGCCGATTCATCCTCTTATCCGGAGCCGTGATGATGGTCATCTCGCTATCAGCGATTTCCTATTTCATTTACATTGACGTTCACATCACGCCTACGATGGTCGTCGTCTTCGTGATGATTTATAACGCAGCGTTTGGCTATTCTTGGGGTCCGATTCCTTGGTTGTATCCGCCAGAGATTCTGCCTCTCAGCATCAGAGCAAAGGGTGCAAGTTTGTCGACCGCTTCGAACTGGGCATTCAACTGGCTTGTGGGAGAGATGACGCCTATATTGCAGGAAGCAATCAAGTGGCGGCTGTACTTGCTGCATGCGTTCTTTTGCGCGCTCAGTTTTGTTGTCGGTGAGTATTGGATGAGCAGAAGTGTGATAAGAACAAGGCTGACTTTCATCAGTATGGTTCATCTACCCGGAGACGGCCAATGTGCGGTTAGAGGACATGAATTCCCTGTTCGGAGACGCAACCACGATAGCGCCCACGCCAGAGACCCTCGCAGAAGCCGAATCGCTATTCAGCGGCAACCGTTCGCCAGTGGGATCTTTCCGTCTCGGCGACCAAGGCGATCCTCCAATCCCAGACATGGACCTCCAACCCCCAGATGTCGAAATCCAAGACGGCAAACCCCAGCTCAGCAAAGACGAAAGCCAAGGCGAAGGCGTGGGAGGTTGGATCACCAACGTCGTCAAGCGCGCAAGAGGCGACGACGCGAATGGCAGTGGCAGCGGCAAGTACAAGCGGGTAGGCCAGGACGACGAGCCATAATTGTGCAATTCGTGCGATTTGAGTCGAGCGTTGAGAGCGTGTGTCGGCGAGAATAGAGGCGTTTTTTCGAACGGTGATACCCGTCTTGGATTGGATAGAGTGGTGGAACTTACAACAACTGTGATGGGTGTATTACATAGTGGATGGGCTCGTGAACACATAAATGTACGGAAAAGAGTGAAAAGTTCTATCTCGATATCATTGAAGCGTAGTGAACTCACTATCATTCTCCCATCTTCACGTGTCCTGCCAAGCGCTGGACCCTTGAGCGTTCATTGGGCAGCGGCAGAGCCGGAGAGCAGCTGGCTGAAGTGGCTATGGTGTGGTTGATTACGCTGGACGCCGCCTCGTCTTCGCTCTGCACTGATTGTACTCTGCGCGCCCATTGCAATCATGTCGCAGACGGAGGTCCAGCACAACGATTCCAGCAGCAGCAACAATGACCCAGAGGAGAAGACGCAGAAGAGCCGGCGACCCCCAAGTACGCCCATGCCCGCCCCGTCTGATGCGGCAAGGTGTGGCAGCAAACTAATGCCGATGAAACAGACAACGCCTTCCGCCAGCAGCGATTAAAGGCCTGGCAGCCCATCCTCACCCCCAAGACCGTCCTGCCGCTCTTCTTCGCCGTCGGCATCATCTTCGCCCCCATCGGCGGCGTCCTGCTGTGGGCCAGCTCCACCGTCCAGGAACTCATCATCGACTACTCCGACTGCAACTCGACCGCGCCCATATGCAACGATTACAGCCCCATCCCCAGCGACAAGGTCACCGCCAACTTCAAGAACACCACCGATAATGCCGACCAGCCGACGTGGTGTAAAGAGTACAGGAGAGTGGGATACCCTGATGCGGATAATGGACCAGCTTTCGTGAATACCACCGCTTGTCGCGTGCAGTTCTACATCCCGGATAACATTGGTCCGCCGGTGCTGTTGTACTACCAGCTCACCAACTTCTACCAGAACCACAGACGATATGTGCAGTCTTTCGACCAGGACCAGCTCAAGGGCGACTACCGCGATAACAGTTCCATCTCCGGAAGCGACTGCGATCCCCTTAGGCAGGAGACGTTGGGCAAGGACGCTCAAGGGAACGATATCAAGAAGCCGTACTATCCCTGCGGTATCATCGCAAACTCGATGTTCAACGACACCTACTTCAACCCGGTGCTGTTGAATGCTCAGGGGGAGAGCGCCAGCAATGTCACGTACAACATGACCAACAGCGGTATCGCGTGGAGCTCGGATCGCGATCTTTACGACCCGTCGCCTTACAACTACAGCGACGTTGTGCCCCCGCCAAACTGGCGTGAGAGGTATCCCGTCTACAACGACACCTTCCAATTTCCAGATCTGAAGAACTGGGAGGAGTTCCAAGTGTGGATGAGAACCGCCGGTCTGCCTACCTTCAGCAAGCTCGCGCTGCGCAACGACAATGAAAGCATGCAGATTGGCAGGTACGAGATGTTGGTATATGATTGTGAGTTTGTCTTGGCGAAATTCCCAGCAGCCAGGTTGACGACTAACGCCACGTTCTTTCTCCTAGACTTCCCTGTCTCGCTCTACGATGGTACAAAGTCGATTCTAATTTCGACTCGGACCGTCATGGGCGGGAGAAATCCTTTCTTAGGGATTACGTATATTGTTGTTGGTGGTATCTGTATCGTTCTGGGAGGACTTTTCACTGTTACGCAGTTGATCAGGCCAAGGTGAGACCATATTGACGAACGACTTCACGGTGACGGAAATGGCTGACGTGACGTGCCTACAGGAAACTTGGCGACCACTCCTATCTCACATGGAACACCGATCAGCCGAGCACTGCAACCACCACCGGCAGAGCACCACGCCCTAACGAAGCTGCATGATCTCATCCACCCATTGTTCGATTATCTGCGTTCAGTCAAGGAGTTCAGGCGTCAGGTGCTCCGCATCGGAGTTAGAGAAGGATATCAGGGAAGGGTTCGCGGAGTCTACAAATTCTTACCATATGCCATGTATGTGCCTCATGAACTCTTGCTCGCTATGTTCCAGGTCTCTTGCCACCCCACAATTCCCAAGGCAGAGAAGACATTGCATTGTATTGACGAACAGGTTGGATCTTCTTTCATCTCATCCCATTGCAGACTCCCCGAGCATGTCCTAACCTTTAGGCACCGCCGCCCCGAAACATTTCTATCCGACCAGCCGTGCAAAGTCATTGAGATGTTTCCTGGATCCAGCATAGCTCTGTCTTTGCCACTCGCACGCGTTCTAGACGTCTCTCTTGGACTTGCGGAGTGGAGCAAGAGTGGGTGTCGCGCGACCTTTGTTGGCATGCGGCTCTCTTGTTTGCCAGGGAAGAATAGCCGCAAACGTCGACGACCTCGAGTGTGGCTTCCCCCGGGTGAGAGATCCAGGCCACGAATGCAAGACGGTTAAATATGAGAAGATGGGTCGACAGAGAAACTCCATCTTCATCGAAAGCTCATAACTTGTACATACCGGAGCTCTCGACATCTTCTTGTATATATCGTTTTATTCTTGGACCTTGTACATACCCTTTAACATTCCACGGCGAAACCGGCCAACGCTCACGTGTGGCTACATTCCTCGGAGCCCCCGACCATCTCAGATCCCCTATCTCGCCTCGCTCCCACTTCGACGAACGCGGAAAGTGCACTCTCTGGGACACGATGAAGAGTCTCACGGTCGCCGCCTTGGCGGCCCTCGTGGCAGTGGCGTCAGCACTGAACGGCGGCAACATTTCGACCTTTGTTGATCCCGCCACGGGCCACGAGATCCGGCATTTCGACTGCAGCGTCAACCGCGGCAAGGCTTCGTCCCACTTCAACGAGACGATCAAGTTCCTGCACCGCAACTCCCGCCGTCCCAATCAAGTCGGCACGCGCGCGGCCTCGCTCGTCAGGAAACAGACCGTCTCCCCGGCCCTCACGATCAAGACGTACATCCACCTCATCACCACCACCGCCAAAGAAGGCACCCTCACGCAAGCCACCGCGCAGGCCCAACTCGACGCCCTCAACAAAGCCTACAACCCCATCGGCATCACCTTCGTCCTCGCCGACGTCTCCATTGACGCCAACGACGCCTGGTCCGCCGCCGACGGCTCCGCCATGGACGAGCTCAAGCAAGCCCGCCGCCAGGGCACCTACGCCGACCTGAACCTCTACTTCCACTCGGACCTCTCCGGCGGCGTCCTGGGGACCTGCACGCTCCCCTCAAAGGTCACCGCGCAAACCCAACCCTCGCAGTACTTCACCGACGGCTGCAACATCAACGCCGCCACCATGCCCGGCGGCGCGCTGACGGGCTACAACCAGGGCATGACGGCCGTGCACGAGACGGGCCACTGGCTGGGTCTCCTGCACACCTTCGAGGGCTACTCGTGCGACGGCGACGGCGACTCGATCGCGGATACCCCCATGCAGAGCACCAGCACCGATGGGTGTCCGATGAAGCCTGCGAAAGATTCCTGTCCGACGCAGAGCGGTGTGGATCCTGTCCATAATTATATGGATTATTCGAGTGATGCTTGCTATGAGAGTTTTACGCCCGGGCAGGTTAGTCGGATTCAGAATATGTGGGCGGAGTATCGGAAGGGGTTTTAGGGAGGGGGGAGGGGGTGGAGGAGAGTGGATGGATGAAGAGGAGGAGGATTGGATGTTTGAACGGATGGGTTGGTGCATGTGATTGATGTTGATTTTGGGATACTTATGATTGATACTAATGTTTTGGTGGTTTTTAATGACGGCCTGGAGCTTGTTCGATCTTTCTGGATGGAGTCAATTTGGTTGTACATATAATATACTTTATTGTATCTCTTCTTCACGATAAAGGAAGAGAGTTGTTGTATATAATTACTGCATACTTTGTACATACTATACTTTCAACTCAGCCTGCATCGCTTCCATCCTTCGCCACATATCTGCTTCTATCATCCAAATTCCTCCATCGACGTAGTCTCAGGTACTGTATGTTCCTCCCACGCCAAGCACACGAGGCGTTCCCATCTGCAGCCAGGTGACGTTCCCTTTCCCACCTGCAGCACCTCCACTTTCGGCAATCGACCACATGCAACGCTGGTGCGTGGACCTTCTGCAAACCGCAATCTCGCCGACGTATGTCATTCCGGCTACAAATTTCACTGTTCTGACACCACTGATAGACAAGCTGTGCCGGACTGCAGCCGCAGAACGCGTTGGTCGCGCGAGATAGATACGGCTGGCCCTGTCGATGACTGATACGGTGGTTTGAGGATTGAGATACAGCATTTGTTGACGATAAGGATTGGTTTTGTCGACTTCTTGAGAAGATCTGTTTGGCTTTAGAGTCTCGCATACCCCAACGAAAGACCGTCCGGTCAGAAAGAATTAGAGTCATCCAAGATGGACACCATCAAACGACGCCTCTCCGCCGGAGGAGGAGGAGGCAGCCAACGAGCAGCATCGACATCCGCAACGGCCGCCGATGCGGATCTGGCGAAGATGGGCTACAAGAGCGAACTGCCTCGAAGTCTGAGCATGTTGTCCGTGTTGGGCCTCTCCTTCGCGATCATGGCGGTTCCATTCGGCCTCTCGACCACGATGTTGACGGGCCTTACGGATGGTCAGAGTGTCACGATCTTGTGGGGATGGGTGTTGGTTAGTCTGATCAGTTTGAGCATCGCGGCGAGTTTAGCGGAGATTTGTGCTGGTATGTTCTACTCTTCTCGTCGATGGGGAGGAGTGTGAAAGCTGATGATAGTGGTTTCTAGTCTACCCGACTGCTGGAGGCGTGTATTATTGGTCGGCAATGATGAGTACACCTAAATATGCTCCTATAGCCTCTTGGATCACGGGCTGGCTTAATCTCGTTGGAAACTGGACCGTCACCCTCAGTATCAACTTCTCCGGGGCCCAGCTCATCCTTTCGGCCATCTCCCTCTGGCGCGAAGACTGGGCGGCCAATGCCTGGCAGACGGTCCTAATGTTCTGGGCCGTAATGCTCATCTGCTTCTTCGTCAACGCCTTCGGAGCGAAATACCTGGACCTCATCAACAAGATCTGCATCTACTGGACCGCGGCCAGCGTCATCATCATCCTCGTCACCCTCCTCTCCATGAAAGACAACCTCCGCTCAGGCGAATTCGTCTTCGCCCACTACGACGCCAGCGCCTCCGGCTGGCCCTCCGGCTGGGCCTTCTTCGTCGGCCTCCTCCAAGCAGCCTACACTTTGACAGGCTACGGCCTCGTCGCAGCCATGTGCGAAGAAGTCCAGAACCCCGCCCGCGAAGTCCCCAAAGCCATGGTCCTCTCCGTCGCCGCCGCCGGCATCACAGGCGTAATCTACCTCATCCCCGTCCTCTTCGCCATGCCAGACATCCAAACCCTCCTCCAAGTCGCCAGCGGCCAGCCCATCGGCGAGATCTTCAAACAAGCCACCGGCTCCGCGGGCGGCGGCTTCGGCCTGCTCTTCCTCCTGCTCGGAATCCTCTTCTTCGCCGGCACCGGTGCCCTCACGGCCTCCAGCCGCTGCACGTACGCGTTCGCGCGCGACGGAGCCATCCCGGGGAGTCGCTGGCTGGGCACCACGAACAAGAAACTGGATATTCCCCTCTGGGGTCTCGTCCTCTCCACCGTCGTCGACTGTCTCCTCGGGTTGATCTACTTCGGCTCCACGGCCGCGTTCAACTCCTTCACGGGCGTGGCGACGATTTGTTTGTCGACGGGCTATGGCTTGCCGATCCTCGTGTCGTTGCTGAGGGGCAGGAAGTTGGTGAAACATTCGACATTCTCCCTGGGGAAATTCGGATTCGCGATTAATATTATCTGTATCTGTTGGATTTGTCTTGCGATTGTGTTGTTCTGTATGCCTGTTAGCTTGCCTGTAAGTCACTCCCTTCACCCCTTCCCCCTTGTTCTCACTAACACGCTTGCTCTAGGTCTCCGCCTCAAGCATGAACTACGCCTCCGTAGTCTGGATGGGCTTCGCAGCCATAAGTCTCCTCTGGTACTTGATCCGCGGAAGACATCATTTCACGGGCCCACCAGTCGTGCAAGGCGCGGATCCTACTTTAGAGGGCAAAGCACATCCTGCGGATTTGGACGGGGAGTTGGGTTTGGAGACAGCGGACACGACAGTTAAAGAGCCTTTGAAAGTATGATTGAGCTAAGACGGCTCTCTCAAGTAGCTCGCTTTTGTACAAGACATCTATCGATTTTCTTCAATATCCCATTATGTCGTATGCGTATGCGTCTGTGTCCTGCCACAGGGATGCGTAATGCTCTCGCTCGAGCGTGCCAAAGTCGCCGTATTGTTCCATTTCTTGCGTCTGTTGGACGCGTGCGTGCTGGGGACGCCGCTCAGGGGCTGCGGTCACAAGCTCGTAGCCAAGAACTCCAATAGTCCAAGTCAGGTTGCAAGCAGAGCAACTAATGGTATTCGTTTCGTCGTTAAGAGTCACTGTTCGCGTGCATCTAAAACATGTGAAAGAGCAACGCTCACAGAGCGTCTCCTTGCTGGTGTCTGTTTGTAATCGTGCTGGGCCGGCGCAGCGGGAGCAGGAGACTATCAGTCCAGCCTTCTTGAGTTTGCATGCGACGCAGAAAGAAGGCTTCCCCTTTCGCTTGAGTGCCTGCAGTGGAAAGCACGAAGCACAAGCTGCAACCGACTCTTCGTCGCCAATAGAGGCCACAGCCGCATTCTGCTCGATCGATCGGAGCATCTGAGGGATTCGCAGTACTGAGCGACCCGAGTCTTCAACGCCATCGCCTGCTGTCGGAAGTACGCCACACGGCAAGGTGCACGCCTCTACAGGCTCCGTCAGTTGCGACAATAGTTCCGCTCGATCATGCTCGGCTTGGAAGAGAGCGCGCTGGAACTCTGCTGCCTTCGGCTGTGCGAAGTGAAAGTGCTCGAGACGCTGATTGAGCTCGTCCAGAGTGCGCTGCGCGGCCACGGCGTTGCTGTCGGCTCGCGCAGTTTCGGCATCATCGTCTGGGTCCAGCTGTGCCTGCCGCAAGTGAGCATCACTTTGCGCAATCATTGCCTCGGTGCATTTCTCTTCAGCTTTGTTGATCTCTTCGCTCGACGGCGCCATGAAGGGCCCTTCATAGTTGGGTCCTTGGACAGCTTGCCTGAAGGGCAATGCACCACAAGGGCGAATTTCGATCTTGCCTGAGTCTATCATCGAGCGTGCTAGAGCCAACGAATCTTCTTGCTCGTCCTCTGCTGGCGCAGGTGCAGTCTCGAGCTTGAATTGCTGCGCCTTGTAGACCGGATTTGCCTCAATGCTAAACAAGTTAATACGTCCATTCTCGGTTCCCACCAACAACTCCCTGTGATCTTGATTGAATGTACCGGACATCACAGCAGATCTCTCGTGCCTCGGAGGCGCAATGTCATCCACGTGAGCGTTGTTCGGTGATCGATAAGGGTTCCATACTTTGACAATTCCATCGTGAGAGCCAGAGTATAGTCTTGTCTTAGTTGCGCCCCACGACAGGAATCGAACTCCTGTATCGGCTGTCTCTGGATCTCTGTCGTGGGCGAGGATGTTCTCCGTCGCGCCATGATGCAATATATGCAAAGGATTCTGTGACCTGTCCGCGGAGCGTTGATCCCAGATGTATACAGTTCCATTGGTAGCTCCAGCAGCGATCAAGTTGTCATCGTAGGGACAGAACACAACATCGTTTATGTCGGGCGCCGGACATTCCCAAGTGAGCACTTTACGCGCTTCCTGTTGGTTGGGCGCGAAACATTGAATAACACTCCGCGTGCTCCTAGCAACAGAAAGGGAACTTGGTTTGGACGCAACGGCAAAAGATGTAGAAGCCGAACTGGGGTTTGGGTTCCAAGCAACGTCGAAGACATTCCTCGTTGCACCTCGAATGGGGATCGCAGTACCAGTATTGATGTCCCACAAACACGTTTCGCCTGCATGCTCCTTCTCCTCGTCGCCGCAGAATCCTGCGAGGAGCAGCGCGCAGTGCCGATACGCGATTCCCCATTTCAGTGTGGATGGATAGATAGGCACTGACGATTGCAATTCTCTTCGACCAGGGGAGAACACAGAGCCTCTCTCATAGTCTTTCTCATGGCATCGATAGAGCTGAACGCTCTTGATATCCGTGTGGCAGCCGGTTGCTACAATGCCGTGTGGTGAACTGACTGCTAAAAGATCGACTCGAGCAGGGTGTTGTATCTCATAGCGACACTTGACGGCATTAACATCTGTGCCGACAGCATACCGCCTTAGCATCATGTCTTCGCCAGTTGTGTATAGCTTTCTCGGCGAGGAGGGTGAGAAAGCGGTCGCTGTCACAGTCTTGAACAGCCTGGAGTCTTGTGACGCTCGCATGGCGTGCAGTCCGTTGACATTGTCAGTCGTATCAACCAGCGGACGTGGAATGTGATGTTCAGTCATCTCTCGCAGTTTGCTTTGACTGCCGCTGCCAACGACGAGATTTCTCTGCATGTTGTATTGCATGCTTCTGTCGTCGGATATGGCAATCGAGCCTGCAGCAAACCGGTCGCCATCAGGTGCCCACGACAAAGCTACCACGTCTCCGGATGTGCCGTGGTACTGCTTTTGCAGGGCGTATGTTTTGTAGACGTGGTTCTTCACATCGTCTCGCACTGCACGCGGCGAGGCACCCCAGAATCGTCGGCCATTCAAGCCAAGCTCTCGATATCGCAGAACTTGTGATATTGACGCTGGGAAAGTTCCGTCCTGACGCGTTGAAGCATCCGGTAGAACGGGCTCAGGCGAATCAGCCAGATTCTCTTCTTCAGGATTTGCGAGCGCAGCAGATTCTCTTCTTGAAGCCTTCACAGATGCCCAGCTAACGAAGCCGTCCACAGCAGATGGCGCAGCATTTCTCGCACGCTTAGCTCGGCCAGTGGTAACATTGTCCGAAGAGTCAGCTCGTTCCAACGTTGGAATAGGTAAGGTGGACTTCTTGCGTCCAGGCCTAGCAACCGCAGCAGTCTCCTTACGATGAGCAAATTTGGTTGAGTATCGAACCTGGAGAGACCCTTTTGTACGCCCGTTAAAATGAGGTACTATCTCATCCCAACTGAGCCCATCGGCTTTGAGCTGGCACAGAAGTTCATCTTCTTCAGGATGATACGGCTCACGCGTGCCAGGTCCCTTCCAAGGATTTGCCTCCTTTTGCGTCGCACCTGTGCTAACAGGCTTGCTATTCGTGGTCGTAGAAGTCGAAGATTTCATTCGAATTGAATCTTCAATTTCCGGCTCATCAGAATAGGACACACGCTCTGTATCAGGATTTGTCACATCGATTAAGATGGCTGGAGGCCGACTGCTTCGCAGGCTCTCCGACTGTGGAACGAAACTTTCCTCGGCTCTTGGTCTCTTCAGGATTCGACTGTCTGCACTATCGACCAGCAGCGACGCTTGACGCTTGATGCCATTCTCGAGCTTGCCAAGTACGTCCTTCGGACCGTTTTCTTCCCGCATTCGCACGACTTCAAGCCCTGCTCCAGAAAGGATCGAAGTCTTCGCAGGCTGTGTGATCTGGAGGCGGTTTTGATTTGTCGAAGCACCATCGCCAGATTCCACGTTGTTGCCTTCTGGTGACCCTGACAGGAATTTGTTGAGCAGGCTTGATTCGGGCGGGCTGGACAACGAGGAACTGGACTGTGCTGTAAGAGGCCGTTCGCGAACACGATCCTGAACAGAGCTGTGACCATATCTCTTTGACTTGTCAATGCGGAAGGATCGCTCGCTCGGGTAGTCGGTCTGATTGCCCGTCCTAGTGCTCGTTGCCCGTGCTTCGAAGCTGGTGTTTGCATCATTCGCTGATCGCGTTGTCCATGTATGCTCACCCATTGGGTTACCTGATGCCATAATATCATCCCCGCTTCCACCATTGCTATACTCCCAGTGCCCATTTGACTTAGCTTCCTCTAGCGATTGCTGGCCATTCGAGCGCTCGACGTTGTCGATGCGCACCAAGTCTGGGACCGCATTGCTGTGTGACCTGTTATGCTCTTCAAAGTTCTCTGCACGAGCGTCGTGATAGCTCTCGTATGGTTTGAAATCGGTATTCGGTCCACCATTCAAAGGAGAGGAAGAGTCCGCATTTCCCCATGAGCGATCGTCGTTGAAGTCGAAGTCATACTGCTGGGCTGCGGTGCCATTCGTACTGACGAGTTTCGTGATCTTATTTTTCCGTGGCTTGAAACCAGCAAGCGCACCTTCTGCTGCCTTCCGAGGGGATTCCTCATCGCTTGAGCAGAGGTCAACGATCTCGACCGCCATGATCGTGGGCGGGTTGGAGGGCTCGAAAGTTGACTTTGTGTCCGACCATCCTTTCAGACCTCGACAAGGATTCAAGTTGATTCCATGGTGTCTGTCAGGTCCTTGTCTTCATCGGCTTGTTCGCCAGGACAACGTAGCCGAAGTGAAGTGGTAGTTGCTGAAGTGGTCGATCACGTTCGAGTCGCGAGTGACGCGAAGTCGCGAGGAGCGGAGCTGGTTCCGCACCCTGAAGCATTCACTTGAGCGATTGCAAGTGCTCTGCTTCAACAACTCCATGTGAAAGACTTCACTTCAAGTACCCATCATGCCGGCCGCCTACCTCATATCCAGGTACGTGATCCGTTATACTGCAAAACAAGCATCGACTGACTCAGAATAGGACAATCGATCCCATCTTCGCCGTGAGCGTCGGCATCGTGGCAGCTGCTGTCCGGATCAACAGGGAGGAAAAGGAGAGAGGAAAGACAACTCAAGAAACAATCGATAGCCTAAATCGCCGGACCGCAATGCTTTTTGGCAATGACACACCTGCGACAAAGGCGGTCGAGAAGTGAGGATGAGATAGCCCTGCCATGGCTTCGGCACAGCCAACGTTCGACTGGACAACCCCTTGCAGTACGACCATGCCGTTGAAGATGAGCACTTGAGAGTTGAATTGAAGCGCTTCGGAGTATGGACGACAGAACAAGGAGAGAAGATGGCAATTGCTAGCCAAAGCATGTTGCCAATGAGTCACATCCCGCCCGAGCCCTCAGACTCTGGGCGGACGAGGGGGATCGAAGCAGCTGGTTCAACAGGCAATTCTGGAGGATGGTTCAAGAAGAATATGACTAGGATACAGGAGAAGGCAAGCTGGAAATATGCGAGAAGCAGGGCTCGTACTGCACTGCGCAATTGTACATTATGTGACATTGATTGACTTCACCTCCCCACCTCAAGCAGCATTAGGAAACATCTGCAACGGGCCCAAACCCTGCGGTGTCCCCAAGACCTCTTCATACGTAGTCTTCCAAAACTCCACATTCGCCCGGTTCAACTCCCACGACCGAAATCCCGTCACCTGCGTGTTATTCTGCTGATACGGCGTCAACCCATTCTTTCGATTCACACTATCCAACACGCTGGCAAACCCAAAGTAATTCGGCTCGCTCTGCCTCTCGACACTCGTCAACCACGCTACTAAGAGCTTCGCCGACTCGAGCATCTTTGTCCCTTTGATAATGGCGATGTCCTGCACCCAGGAGATCTTCTGCTCGGGGGCTTCGATGTCTTTCGATAGGAGGAAAGGAACTCCTAGATTGTAGGCTGTGAACGAGAGCGAGCGTTTGGAGGTGGTGTTGTGTCCCTGAGTAAGAAGTGCAGCTGGAGTATAAGTGCCACGAACCCATTGGACGTCGTTCTTCGCGAGAGCGTAGAGCCATTCATGGCCGTAACGGCCAATGATTAGGCTGAAGAGGTAGGCGATTGCATCATCGTCGTTGGGGTAAGTGAGGATGAGTTTGCCCTTGAATTTCGGGTCGGTGATGGAAGCGTATGAGGTTGGCACTTCAGAGGCGTTGATCTTGGAGCTGTCGTAGACCATCTGGCCGAAACCAACTGCATATCCAAGTCAGTATCGATTATACACAGTTCTGAAGCGGAAAGAGGACTGACAAAGTGAAGCAGCCATCCAAGCCCCATCGAAGTCCTTTTCGCCATTCAAGATATCGTTGAACGTAGGAGGCTTATAATTCACCAGCTTGCCCTCCTGCTTCCATCGAGGATAGTTGTGCGTCGTCTGCAACCACGCAACGTCCGCAACATGCTTGCCCTCATACCACCCTCGATCGATCTGGTTATCGTGATACTTGGACAGCTCTACGGTCAGATTGATCTTGTCGTCTGGGAATCGCTTCGCGAAGGACGTTCGGACTTCGTCGCCCGCTGCTCCGGCTATCCCTGATCGTCAGGTTTGGATCTTCGACAGCGGTGTACTTCGACGTACCATCCCCTCCCCAGAAGACTTGCAGAGTTCCATTCTCCTTCTTGGCCGCAGTGTAGATATCGTTTAAAGACCGTGTATCGACATCGACGAGAGGAGAAAATGTTGCATTCGCGCAGGCAACCAGTGCAACGAAAGACAGCGAGAGCTTCATCTTGCAGTTGTGCGGCAGTCAGCAGAGGAAGAGGAGAGGACCCAACCTACTTGTTATACGACTCTACTATGAGACAAGTACAATCCTCTACAGGCCGCATTGTGAAAGCCTTGCGAAGATGACTGATAGACTTCACGACACAAGTTCACTCCGACCAGCACCCTCGGCCCAAAGAAGACATTTCTCAGGAACGTAGGATCGTTTGCAGACGTTGCGCTTTCGATTGATTTGATTCTTGTGGTATTGACTTTTTCGCGTTCGCTGGGTCTCAGCTGAAAGGGGAGGAAGGTCTTGAAGGAGGATGAAGGGCTTGAAGGAGGAGAGCTTGCGAAAGGCTGTCGATATTGTTGTGCCTCTCGACACGAGGACTGGAGGAGTAGATTTTATCTGTGCGACGCTGTTTCTACGATGATTGTTTTCTTGTTCCGATGCATCGTCACTGCGAAAGTAAGACAGCTGCATATCTACCTGTCCGAGATAGTTGATTTGAACTTCAACAACCCGGCTACGAATGCGTCAGTCGATTGTTGGGCTGTTGAGAACCATCTTATGGACGATCGAGGTGCTGAAAACGTACTGGCTCAACTCTCCTTACCGAATACTGAAGTGAAGTGAAGGAAAGGGAAGAGACGGGAAGAGAGTTCAATCACATGAGCGCTGCGGCGGCAAGCGTGATCGATTACGCGAGCTGTTGCCCCACTCAAGCTGGAGCAGGCGGTCAGCGGTTAGATACGCAAGGCAGGCCGGTGAGGCTGGGAGAGAAGGGCAGATGATATTGATGAGGCATCGAGGCAGAGAGTCGTGTGTTGTACATACCTCGTGCCTACTCATCTCACAGGCAAGGGATGACCACGGCACAAGTGGCCATCACATGACAGCGCGCTACTGAGACGGACGTCATAGCACAGGACGAAGTGCTGGGGGTATGCGAGTTGTTTGTGTGCAGAGAAGGCTGTTTGGCAGCTAGATACTCCTGGGTATTGCAATATCAGGTACAGCCAGTGTCCTCGCCTTGCCACATCGCCATGACGGGCGGTGCTTGTCCAGACCGCTGGCTTAATGATCCATGCTGCTTGCCATCCTCTGCGATTTGTCATTCTCTCATGATGTTCCTATCGTTCCTAGTTTGTCCGCCAAAAGCACACGTATCTCATTCCAAACGCCCAGATTCCAAAGGAGACGTTTCTTGTCGTGGGCCATGTCGGACTTCTTCGTGGTTCGTGTCGTAGAGTGCAGGGAAGGGGAGGTCGAACGGCAGCTTATGCGGCCTCACCGAAGGTGTTCTCGCCAGAGTAGCTGCAGACTTGTCAGTATGTGTCATGAATGTCGTTGTAGTCTGGTAAGCACATACGTGATGTAGAGGAAGCCGTCCTCGTCCTTGTGCTCCTCGTAGATTGAGCTCATGAGGGCAGCAGTTGGTGGCAGGACCTCGTCGACGAAGATGAAGATGGCCTTCTCTGGGCTGAGCTTGATGCGCTTGCGGATGACGTAGACGAACTGGCCGACGGTGAGGTCGGCTGGCACCAAGTACTTCTTCTTGTCGATGGTCGCGATGTCCGACTTCTCAACCTTCTCGCAGATAACCTACAGCAGGCAGTCAGTATTGCTCGGAATACATCACATGGTTCGTAGCTGTCTTTTTGAGCGTCTGTGGTAGTTACAGACGCCTTGTGGCGGTATTGCGACGTACCGGAATTCTATCAGCGTACTTCTGGCGGATCCTCTCTGCTTCGGCCTTGCGCTTCTCGAACGGGTGCTCGTCCTTAAATCGAGATCTCATGCTTGCGGTGTTGTTGGTTGTGGTTTTGTGTGTGGTGGATAGAGGTTTGAGTGGATGTCGTGGTGGTGGTAGGTTGTTGTCGAGGTGACGGAGCGACTGAAGGCAGCAGCTGGAGTGAGTGTTGCGCACGGCTTAGCGGGGCAGGTGACCTCGAGGTAGATCCGACTATTATATATCACAAGCTAGATGAACAAACGACGCAACGGTGAGTCAGCCGGACAAGTTGGCGCTGACCTGATGTATTCAGATTGCGATATAGCGGTATCGACTCAAACAATGAAGATGGCTCAATCGGCCAAACAAAGACACGCTTCCCTTAGATTTCCCCTTCGATCAACCCAACGCTCGTTCAGATTGTATGCCCCACACACCGCCTTCCGCCTATGTACGCCACCGTACTCCGGGTATCGCTCGCTAAGGCAGACATCAAACTGAACAAATGGAAAGCAATCAAAGAGTCGCAGTCGGGAAGTAGAACTCGCTCCAGAGATACTCGTAATCCTCCACAAAGTTCCCAATCATGTCGAGGATAGGCTTGTTCTTCAGCTTCGATGCGAAGCCATCGACCATCCCCCTCGTAATGTTCTCGTAGAAAGCACCGCGCAGAGTCCACCACGCAAGCGACCAGCTGCGCTTCTTCATCTCTTCCCGCTCGAGTTGAGTGAGGCCACGCGCTCCGCCCGGTCTTCGTCTTTCGAGGTCATGCTTCGCGAGTTGTCGTGCGCCGTATTCGATGCTCACACCCAGCAGCCACGGTCTCCAGTCTGTCTTGCCTTTGCCGTCCTCCCTTTGACTCCAGTATGACATCGCAACAGCATATATGACTGGTCGTAGAATGAACATGACTTCTGCAATCTCGCCGAATCCAGATGTCCGGTGCAGCAGAGCTTTGGGTGGCTTTATGTCGTCGGCAGTCAAGACCTTCGACAGCAGGTAAGAGGATATGTCGTCCGAACTTGGCAGAGGCGGTAGGGTCAATGAGGTTCGGGGCATTGTCCACTGCTCGCTGCCTGCCTCTGATCTCTCAGACGGCGGGCTTGCTAACGCTTCGTCCTCTTGAGCCTCTTTCTCCTCAACAACTTCTCGCTCTGGCAAAGGTGGCGTTAGAAGCGGCCGGGAGTTGGTCAGCCGCATCAGTATTAATCGACACACAGCCTTGATAGCCTCCAAGAATACCACCAGCCGCCACCGCGCCTTCTCGCCCTTCTTCTTCGCCATCATCTCCAGCAACAGCTCGGTATATTGTACGATGTGCAGCGTCGTTGCGGTCCGTCGGTAGGTAGAACTCTTCTGACAGTAGAATCGCGTATATCTGTTATGAGGTGTCTGATGCCGTGGTGTTCGTAGGTGTTGCGCCAGCGCTCGTGAGAGAAGAGAATCGTGGTAGAGGGCGATGAGTTGGACACCGGAATTGAGTGACTCGGTCGAAATGTCAGACATCTTCAAGCCTCCTATTTCACGATCAGTTTCCAGCGATAACGCGATGATATGGAGGCATTTTACCGGGAACCAAGTATGTCAACGATCGCAATGCGCCCTCGACCTGGCCAACCGCGCCGGCATTCTTTGTGATGAAGTCGCCGTACATGTTGATCCATTTGGTCGGCAACTTGACGACGACCTTGGTCTGCTCCGCCGCCTGCTTGATATGCTCCATCATGTGCGTCGTTGCCGCTCGCGCGGTCAATGGAAAGAGGGTGGAGGACAGGAGAAACGGCCAGACGGAGCATGCGACACAAGGATGATGATGCGGTTCGCGCTGGCTGGCAATGCGCTCGGAACGCGCTCAGCCGAGGCTCATCCTTCTCATCAATATTTAGTTAAAGCTTCGACAGAGACATCTGACAGGACAGTAGAATGAGAGCTGTTTTTAATTGCTATCCCCAACAATCCTGCATAGCCTTCGTTGTTTGGATGGCGTAGCTAATTCCGCGTGGCATTTGATACCCAGGAAAGACTCATGAGCACCTACTTCACCGAAATCTGCCCCAAACCCAAGTTCGCCTCATCTCAGGAGTGACGTTGTTTAAGGGTTGAACGACATCGACAATCAGAAGGCTGACAGTGAGAGAGAGAGGCTGTCATTTGGCTACGTCCACGAGTGGACAGAACAACATCATGTTTGACCAAGGCGTCGGTTAGGCTCTTAGGCGATGGATCCAAGATCCCCCAGGAGTGAGATTCGTATGTGGCCCCTGCCGTATTATCGTGCTCAGGACACCCAGGGGCTGACGAGTTCTTCTCGCATAGCCTCGCCTCAGTGCTTGGTGGTTGCTGAATGATAGCTGACCGACCAAACACATGAGAAAGGCCGGCTTCCCCCGAGCTTGCAAGATCAGGCCTATGATCATGGTTGCCGTCCCTTAGGTAAAGATTTCATTCTCTTCTTGCCACCATTGACGAAAGTCTCTCAGCCTTTGCGTCCTCTCCTGTGCGAGCAATCTTCCGGTCTCAGTCTTCATCATACCCTCGAGCTTTTCCAGCTTCTCAGCAAAGTGGTCGATACTGCCTTGCATTCCACGGCCGGACTCCTTCGCAGCACCGTACGCAAACACCCTCCCGATTCCAATCGCTCCAATAGCATCAAGACGATCGGCATCCTGGACCACAGCCAATTCAGGGTGGGAGGCAACGATGGCCTTCACAAGCTGAGGTCGTTTGACTTCGTTCGAGTAGGACACGTTCTCAACAATGATTGAAACCTTGGCAACCAGCCGATGAGTACATCCATTCTTCGTGAGAACGTCCGAGACCAGTTGAGCGGCGTTCTCGCCGGGCTCGACATATTTCCTGTCGCCCACGTCGTGCAGCAGAGCACCAAGAACAACCGCCTGACTATCCAGTGTCTTCTCAGGATAGTCCTTTAGTTCGGCAGCCAGTATGTGCTTTGAAAGGGCGAGTACACGGCGGATGTGGTTGAAGTCGTGGGACATGTCGTAGCGGCCCATGTATTCCTCGACATATTTGTAGACGTTCACGTAAAGGCTTGAATCCTCGAAGTCCTGCTTCTCAGGAACGTTGATGCTCTCGGCGAGCTTGACGGCGCTGTCTTCCCTGCCCATCTTTTGTTTCAGGTTGGCATGTGGCTTCGGGGTTGGAAGCTGAAATCTGTTCACTGTCCATCACTCCTCATAGCTCTCTTACAGCCATCTTGAAGGAGACAGTCGTTCTCAGCTTGTGAGAATATATCCAGGCAGACGCGACTGTCAAATTGAGAGGCCTGATGTTTGGAGCATAGAGCGGCCAAAGGTCTGTGCACCAAGCTTTCAAGCATCAGTAGGCGGCTCTGCTGGCGCGGCGATCTCTCGAACTTCAACAACACATACACCTCACACGACACCTCCCCGACGCCATCTCCGACCGCATCCACCTCCGCCGAACCATCTTGATCAGATCCGCAACTACTCAAGATGCCGGCCACCACAGCCGAAACGCTGAGCATCGTCAACCGCACCGTCTCCGTTGCGCCTCTCGTCCTCCTCTCAGCAGCAGACCACTACGGTCGATCCGCCAAAGGCACTCGAAAGCGTGTTGTTGGCGTTCTACTGGGTCAGAATGATGGCAAGAGCGTGCGAGTATCCAACAGCTTCGCGGGTATGCGCAAATTGATGGACTATAAACTGGACAGCTGAGCTGATCACATGCAAACAGTGCCTTTCGAGGAAGATGAGAAGGACCCCTCGGTGTGGTTCCTGGATCACAACTACGTCGAGTCGATGAATGATATGTTCAAGAAGGTCAACGCGAGGGAGAAGCTGATCGGTTGGTACCATTCGGGACCTAAGCTGCGGGCTAGTGATCTCGAGATCAACGAGCTCTTCAAGAGATACACCCCAAACCCGCTTCTAGTCATCATCGACGTACAACCGAAGGAGGTCGGCGTGCCCACAGATGCGTACTTTGCTGTGGAAGAAATCAAAGATGACGGAACGACTACATCGAAGACCTTTGTACATACACCCAGCACCATCGAGGCAGAGGAGGCAGAGGAGATTGGTGTTGAGCACCTTCTGAGAGATATCCGGGATGTCGCAGTCGGCACCCTCAGCACACGGATAACCAGCCAACTCGAATCCCTCCAAGGCCTGCACCTACGGTTACAGGACATCGGCAGATACCTACAGAAAGTCCTCGACGGAGATCTTCCAGTCAACCACGCAATTCTCGGCAACCTTCAAGACGTGTTCAACCTCCTACCTAATCTCTCCACACCCAAGACCGCTGCCAAGGACCTACCCACTATTAATGGCATAGTGAATGGTGCAGTTGGTGTCACCGGCGGCAGCACAGAGAACTCCGAACTCGCCCGTGCCATGAGCATCAAGACCAACGATCAGCTCATGTCGATCTACCTCTCCAGCTTAATACGAGCCATCACAGCGTTCCACGATCTCATTGAGAACAAGATCCAGAACAAGCGGCAGCAGGAAGACGCGGACGCGAAGAAGGAGGAAGACAAGAAAGACGAGGAGATCAAGAAAGAGGAGAAGCTCATGTTGAATGGAACATCAGAGAAAGCAGAAAAGGAAGGTGCAGATGATCCGAAGAAGGATGAGAAGGGCAAGAAGAAGGGATAGACGAATGTTCACGAATGAGACTGGGAAACGGCGTGCATTGGCATGGACGGCGTCTGGAGCATGAGCAGCGCGGCGTCACGCGCAGCCAGCGAAAGTAGACTGGCTCATTGGAGTATGTACATTATCAGCAGACACCCACACGAGAAAGCGTCACGTGTGCAGCCGCCGATTTTGGCGCGCTAGCCGCGACTTGGATGCTACGATGCAAACCAGCATGTGTAGCATGATAGCCAAACATGTAACGATTTGCCTTTTCTACCATTTCTGATACATTCCACGGTACTGATCACATCCCACGCCCGGCATTGAACTTTTGCCACACAAAAGGATCGGCCACCTCCGTGCATCAGCTGGCAAGCTGCATTCGAGACTTCATGCGTGCTGGAGACAGACTCGCAGATGACCGTGGAGGTGCAATCGAGCCAAACGTCATCCTCACAGCTGATTCAATCACCCCAGCCAGCAGCCCATCCAGCAATCTCCTCAGCCGATACATCGCGCTCGTCCACAAGGTGGGCAAACATCTGGCCATGCTCGACCAGTGCACATGCCAGTAGATGCTTGCAGATGGGCAGATCAGTACCACGGCTAAGCCCTCCAAAGAGGCAATCCTTCCCATTGGCAGCACTGTCGCTTTTTGCGCTCGGCTCGTCCGAGTGCTGTCTGGCAGCCGGAAAGGCTGAGAATGTGAAGGCTGGGCATGAACAGCTCCATGCGTCTAGGCGGACTCCATAGTAGTTGACGTGTTCATACGCAGAGTTGCGCGTGTTGTGCTGTTGGGCGGATCGTACGAGGAGTAGCCTCAGGTTGGCATTGGAAACTTTGAGGCGCGTTACAAGCCCTCTGTCAAGTAGGTCCAATGCTGGAAGCAGCTCCTTCTCGTACAGGGCGTAGAGCGTGAGGAAGAGGTTTCTGACTTCCGGTGAAGCATCCCTCAAAGGATTCGCTGACTGCGATCCAATGGGTGCAGCGGCTATTGCTGAAACCAACGCGGAGACGGCCTGGCGCGTGTTATAGTCTGAGGCTGCATTGGGGCCATTGAGGCCTGACTGAGTCTCCATATAGCTGCATCGTATTATGCATTAGCGCTGCATCGCCACAAAACCTGAGGCAGAAGGCTTGAAAAGAGAGAATGCCCAATGGCTTGATTCTGAGGCCGCTATGGTCGATAGCAGATGCAAGATCGCCTTACGCTTCGGTCATGTCCATCCAATTGAGGCTGGGTGTCACAGAAACTGCATGCCAGGCAAACGCAGAGTGCTTTGTTGTCGGCGACGTGTACCAGTACGCCGTTGCGCGATGATCCGCCGCAGCCTCGGGCACAAACAGTAGCAGTGTTCGATGACCGCAGATTAGGTTGTGGGCAGTCGTCGGTTGTCGATATCCATTTTTGAAAGATACATGTTGCAAGTCTTCGAGTGACGTTGAAATACGCGCTGCGCGCTGTGGCTCGAGCGTCCCGGTGACGACGCGACTTCCTTTCTCGATTCGCCTTCGGGGCCACCCACACCAAACACCCACTCCGAGTCTCGACCTACCATATGGAAACCTAATACGGCACAACACACCCCCTGGCCAGGCCACGGCGGCGCACCTGATCCAACCGTCTCAGCACCCGAGCATCTGCTACTGAGACAATGCATGTGAAGGTGTATCAGCCTCGGGCAGCTGAGCACTCAATGGCGGCCTCCAGCAGCAGCAGCACTCCAGAGTCCAATGTGCCCACGCGGGACACCTTGCGGTCACGAGTGACGCGATCACCATGCACAAGTCATCCACGGTCGCTCGTCAATGCTCACACCCGCGTTGGTTCTTCGGGAGGTGGTAAGCCCGCCAGCTCCGAATGACAATCAATGTGCACTGGGAACGGAATAATGCTGTGGTGAGATGTAATCACTACCGCGCGTAGCCAGAGCCAACCCCCACGGAACCTCTTGCAGCAACAGATGGCGAGCATTGACGAGCGCGTCGCTTAGGCTCGGGCTTGCGAGGGCTGCACGACTCTTTGTTCTGCCTACAGCCGCCGGTGAGAGGTGTGCCTCGCCATTTGGGGCGGCCCTGTGGAGGAGCGAGCCATTGGCACAGGCAAACAGATGACCGCTGCGGGTGACCTATCAGATCCATGTCGAGGTGTGGCGCAGGCTCGGACATCTTGATCGCAATGGCACGCCAAGCAGCAGCGTGTGCTGTCGTCACACGGACGGTACGCGGACAGCAGGCACTCCCAGCAGGACGCGACCGGATGCCCTTTCGAGCCCATGGAGCGAGCAGTGCGAGAGCGCGACGAGGGACCGCTGGAGTTAAGAGGATTATTTCTGATCAATGTTCGGCGTATTAATTGGAAATCCATAAGCAGGGGATCGGAGGCTGGCGCTGCCGATGGTCCGCCACATCTGCCATGCTCGCTGAGCGCGATGACTCAATGCGACGTGACCCCAATTCATCCAACAAGAATGCGCACCAAGGTTAGCGGTTGGTGACCGGAGAGCGATTGGAGCCTTGACCCCGAGCAATTGACGAATCGCATTGGGCATGACACGCTGGGCGCGTGGGTTCGCCCAACTTCTGGGACATTCGGGATCTCAATTGTCAGCGACTCTCTGTTGTCGCAGCGCACCGGCAGCCTGACTCTGCTGTCAGGTGCGCCCATGCCCTTCAAATGCAGGTCTTAGTGCTGCTTGCCTGGGCCTGCTTGTTCGCGCGTAAGTCATATTCAGTCATCGTCCGCTGCCGCCTGCGCTGTCTCATCGCAAGCTTTCGCTGTCTTCAATCCCAGCGCCGTGGCTCAGCTGCCTGGCGCATCCAGTATATTGCTAACAACGTGCGCCCACGTACCATTCGAATCATTTTTGTCACCGCACCGCCGCCCACATTTAAAAGTCACCGACCCTTCAGTCACAGTTCCGGCCGAAAGTCAGACGCTGCGAATACACTCACCCGCCCGAAGCCTACAAGAGACGGACTTAGTGCGGACTTCACATCCAGTCAAGGCATACATCTACGAGACGCTTCCAGGCTTCGCCACGCACGACGCGATCGATATAAGCCTGGTTCTTGCCACCGTCTACAACAATTGACGACTTTTCGACTCGAATGCAGACACAACCCAACCCCAACATCACCATGGCGTCGCAGCCGCAACAGCAAGAGCAGAAGAAGGCAATGAGCATGGCCATGGCCGCCGTCCCACAACTGTTGACACCAGATCAGCCGATGGCAGACAGTTTCGTCGTGAGCGGCCCTGAGCCACGCATGCCATCACCACCGGCGTCGCCAGAGTTCAACGCAGAGTTGTCATTTCAGCACAAGGACGACGTCCTCTACCCGGACCACAACATCACAGATTCGACACACGATCAGAAGCCACTATTCGACACGAGCCATAACTGGACGACTCCAGAACGAGAACAACGATCGCCAACCGCCACGTCGCTGTCGATAACGACCCCACGATCAAGCGTCTCCAGCCCCGATCAGCACCACGATCTCCAGTCGCAGACCCTTCTCCCCAAGATCCAGAGCCAGAAGTCGTCTAGCCCCGTCGGTCCAGTCGAGCACTTCAACACGTATGGCATGGAGTATTGGAAATTCATGATGAGTCAAAATGAGGCTTTTCGAGAGCGCCAAAGGGCCGCCCGCCAGTTGCCACAGCCATCCCGCCGCGCCAACGCGACTCCGCGCGACCCTTTCACCGTCGACATGGTTTCGTCACTCGGTGGTATTCGGATTTCGAAGCCAAGCAGGGCGAATGCTGTGGCGAAAGTGAAGACTCCAAAAGCTGTGCCAGCGAAGCCAGCTGCAAGGAGCCAGGCAACAGTGGCCACGTCAAGAGTTGACTCACCACCCAAGCGCAGCCGGAGAAAGACAGCGACGCCTGACCCATCGCTTGGTATTCTCCCGCACGCGGCACAGCCCAAGCCACGCACGCGAGCAGCGCCCACGAAGAAGATCGACGATAAGTCAAATGCGGAATGGGCCCAGCTTCCGGACTACTGCCCGCCAACGAGCTCTCTCGACTCAATGAGCAAGAAGATGACTGCGTCGTGGACCAACGGCAACCCTCTCAACCTTGACACCGACCCAGACCGAGGGCACCTTCACCCACAAGAGCTCGTCGTCGCATCTGTGCTCAGACTTCACTGCAACTCATACCTGGCCAACAAGCGACGAATCTTCGCAGCAAGATACCAGGCGCTCTTGGACGGCAAGGACTTCAACAAGACGTCTGCTCAAGTCTCAGCCAAGATCGACGTGAACAAGTCCAGCAAACTCTGGGAGTCCTTTGACTCGGTCGGTTGGTTCGACAAGACCTGGTTCGAGAAATACCTTTGAACGGTATCACTACCAGCAGCATCCATAGCACGGTGGACCCCATGAATGAGAATGAACGACACCGCATCATGCAGAACTTTTGATTTACAGCACGCGACATTGGATTTTGATTTACAGCGTGCGACATTGGATTTTGGTCTACAGCAAGGCGTTCAGGATTTGGTTAAGTCACGCACTCAGGCAGTGTGCACGACATTTCACGACGTTACGAACATTGGATGAACATGGAGGTATCGCGCATTGGGGCGTTGGGGAATACGGCATAGCAAGGAAGTTATTGCATCTCGGCTCACAGACTATCGCTGATGATATGATGGGTGCACTCGGTCAGTCCGCCATGTCGGATGACCTGAGCAGGAAGCATTATGATACCCCAACTCGACTACTACTTAGACAGCTCGCTTACAGAATGATGATGTTCATATATTGAGACAGGCATTCTTCTTTCTTCCCTTTCGCTCTCCCTATCGTTGTTGCTTGCCACCTTCGTGTCTCTCGCCTACCGACCCTAGGGCATTCACATGCATTGATGTCATATGTAGACCTATTAATAGACACACGGAGAGAATGTCCGGTGGCCAGGGTGATCACTGAACGTTCAACCTCATGTCATCCACGTGCTGTAGAGAATCCTCCATCGAATAATCTACCAAACAGTAGATGACGACCGTGGTCCGTAGAAGTCCGTCCACGTTCTGCCCACGTGTAGGTGACAGGACCTCGATCACAATGGATATAGGATCTCAATGCTACATCCACGGGCCCGTTGGCCCGCTAGATCCGAAACCGACCGAATGGCAACAGTTCGAAGGAGCGGAAAGCCCTTTGGACGAGTTTGCTGGCTGCTATGGGTGGCCATTCAGCTCTTGTACTGTCATGTTGGGAGGCACTGACTAAAGATACTTAATAACGACGCCTCCTCCTGGTCATGGGTTTGGATGGAGCTATGGAGGTGGTGGAATGTTCTTCATGAGTCATTTTACTTTGAGAGACATCGGGAGCGTAGCATACCATTCGAGACTCGAGCGAGGGCATGCACTCAATTGCATGTCGGCTAGTTGGAAATGTCGAAGCCAAGTCCCTCGCGATGGCGGAAAGCAGCGAACTTCTGGACCAGCAAGACGGGCATCGATTGGCAAAACTACAAGCTCATCTTCAAAGACACTCTACCACCAGTCATCACGCTCGCGGCCAACCAAGCACCTGCATGGGCGAGCGTCTTCGGCTCTCTTGGATACCTCGTCCCCTTGGTCTCGATCATCTCCCATCCCTCCCCACCGCGCGCTGAGTTCCTATGGATATGGGTGACCAACATCCTCGGATCTTGCGTCTCGGCGGCCGTCACGGCGCTGGCGATGTTCTGTGTGATCAAAGGACGAGAGCAGTCAGGAGGAGGCCGCCCGGACGATACGGATGTACCGTATAATGCGGTAGCAAGCACTGTGGCTGCGATTTGGCTGATTGTCCAGGTCTACATCACCAGTGCGATTCGTTATAGGTATCCTTGGACGATCTGGATGACTTCGGCTTGCCTGATCTTCTCGAACTACGGCATGGTCTATGTGACTCAGTTTCCGAATATGGCTGCGGCTTTTGGGTTCCTTCGACAGCTGCTGTTCGCCCATCTGGTGGCTTTTGGAGTCAGCGCAGGTGTGTCGCTGTGTGTGTTTCCGAGTAATAGTGGAGAACCGTTCTACAAGACTGCTTTGGCATGTGCAGAGGAGATGCGAGAAGCCTTGAACAGCAATCTCGCGTTGATGGAGCACACTGCTCGGAGTACTGGCACAGAAGTACCGCCGGAGCTCGACTCTGCCAGGAAGCAGCACAAGGGGAAGCTGGACTCCTTACAGACGAAGCTACTCGCACAGTTGAGACATGCCCAGAACGAGGTGGCATGGGGGAGGCTTGGTACTGCGGATCTGCGCACGTTGAGGCGCCTGCTGGAAGACATCATGATCCCGTTGATCGGGCTGTGCCAAGTTCCGGACGTCATGGAACGGACGCTGGACGACGAGAACGGCGAGAGAGATAGCCAACGCAGTTCAGATCAGTATCGAGAGCTTTTGGGCTCTGTCATTGAGCCCTTTTCCAAGGCCTCTGCGGCGGCTGATGCGGGTCTGGAGTGTAGCAAGGCGACCATCGGCGTGGACCTTCGAAATCACGTTCCCAAGGATCCCAACGCAGACCAGGGGACTGCGGTCCAGTTGCTACAGCGGGCGATGGACCTTCTTGTGGAGAGCAAGAGCAATTTGCTTGACGCCTGGAGGGCCCAACATGGCAGCATCAGCAGCGACTCGACCATCGATGTCTCTGAAGATCCGTGCTCCAAAGTCGAAGACTACGGTCAAAGCCGTAGCAACCTTCACATGCTGCTCTATACCCAGCTTCTTCTGTGGTCGATATGCCATAGGGTGCAGCAGCTACTCTTCTGGATTGAGCAGCTCAAAGCTTCGCAGACGTTGGAGAAGAGGCGGCTAATCAAGCCTGAGTGGGCCAATTTCAAGGCTCTTACAACCTTATTGCAGCCGTGGAAGAGACGAGTGTCTGACGATCAGGGCAACCGGTATAGCAAGGACAAACCGCCGAAAGCTGGCTCAGATAGTATGCTCAGAAGGGTGCTGGCAGTCGGACTTCACCTCTACCAGAAGTCCACTCGTTTCTTCGCCTCCCCGGCCTCAGGATTCGGCCTTCGCGTGACCTGCGCGACCATGACCATCGCCATCGTTGCCTTTCTGCCCTCCTCGCAAGATTTCTACATCAAGCAGCACCTCGTATGGGCGCAGTACACGATTTCATTCGCGATGCAGGGCTCAGCCGGCCAAGGGGTCAGGGCACTCTGTTTTCGTGTTGCTGGCACCGTCGTGGCTGCCTGTCTCGCATGGGTCTCGTATTATATCGTGGTAGGGATACCTGCTGGAGTATTGGTATTCTACTGGTTGAGTGTACATTTTCCGATGTACATCATGGCCCTGAAGCCGAGATACTACACGGTTGGAACAGTCAGTGCCTTTGCTCTGACAACAATTTTGGGGAACGCGCTGCAGCCTCATGGCAGTGGACAAACTACCATTGTTCTTGGCGCTATCAGATTACTCGCGATTGTCGGTGGATGCTTTCTGGCTTCATTATGGACCGTCTTTCCATTCCCAGTCAGTGAGCTCGATGGAGCGAGAAAGAGCTTGGGAGATTGTTTCGCCTCGTTGGCGGAGTATCACACAGGTTTCCATGAGATCGTCCGGGCACGGCTCAAAGAAGGCTTCGACCAGGAGAAGAGGAGCCCGAACCCTCGTTCGCAGGACCTGGAAGACATGCACTCCCGACTCTTCGTGAAGTGCACTTCTCATCTCCAGACCCTTCGCACCCAGCTCCGCCTCGCAAAATGGAATATCCACATGGACGGCGTGTCGTTCTCGAGGGCACATTACGAAGCCGCGAGCAAGAAAGTCGATGATCTCGCAAGGAATCTCCAACTCATGACCTTTGCATCAGGAGTCTTCATCGACTTCGTCAACACCTGTCCTCCCACACCCACCCACCGAACCTCCCACTGGGTCCTCGACTTCCGCAACCTCTTCGACGCAGCACAGCACGAAGGCTTCGGCGTCGCCGCCCTCTTGAGCCTACTATCATACGCTGTTCGCAACGAGACATCCCTCCCACCGAAGCTCGTCCCGCCGAACCCGGAGAGACTTTGGAAGATTCTGGATGAGCCGGAGAGGGTTGCTCAGCAGATCACGCAGGTCGATGATCCTGGGGCGGCGACTTTTGCGTTGATGAGGATTGGGACGAAGGGGCCTGTATAGGGATTTGGGGGAGTTGTTTGGGCTTGTGAGGGATATGGTGGGGGAGTTTGAGGGGGTTAGTGGTTTTGCTTTTGATGAGGAGGAGCTGTGAGGTTTTGAAATGTTGTTGGTCATGAGATATACAGCTGCCGCTCGAGAAGTCATATGCTGATCGATGACGGAGCCATGTCTACCCTCGTCGTCCCTCTGATCTCTCCTGAGAATGAGCTATTTATCGTGCTCTCGAATGCTTAGTTAGCTTGAGGGGATTGGGGATAGATGAGTACGAGGGTGTATGGTGAAATCACATGGTCTCCGGTGGCACTGGGCTTCTGAATATTTGTGCATAGCACTGAGTGCATGTGAATGGATTGCATTCTCGTATCCGTGATGGAGAAACATGCCGCCGCGAAGATTCACGCAAGACACGTGGACCTAGCGCCCAAGGAGGCATAGCTGGAATCTAAATCTGGCCCGGATTCACAAGTTCACAGCTGCTGCGAGAGGGAGAAGTCTTGGGCTACACAACGTCCAAGGACAACTTGCCTCCCAATCGACCCTTTCCTTCCAGTAATGACGCGACTTTTCTTCTGATACACCATCACAAGCTTTCTTCGCCCTTCTCCGCGCTCTTTAAGTTCCGCTTCTGTGCACGCCGATTTTCAGGGATCAGGGAAACGCCAGCTGGACTCGAATCACGACCAGGTTGACCTCTGACTGGCCAACTCAAACCATAATAACGACATCACCCTCCTTGGCTGCCCATCATGGCGGCGCAAGATGCAACGACCACGGGCGCCGACGCGCAGCATGGCCTGAGACAGCGCAATGTCGGCCAGAACCAGCCGAATGGCAGCTACGTCCCCAAACAGGTCGGCGACAAGCTGGACGAGAAGACGAAGCAAAAGGTGGGCAGACCCAGGCGATAGCATCGAATTGGATATCCTAGCAACCTGGTATCGCATCTTGAGATCGAGCTGACCGGTACTCTTCGCAGACCAACTCCTTTCTCCAAACGCTCGACGATTACGAGTTCCTGATCGCACCCATCATCTTCACCGCCCTCGCCTTCTTCACGCGCATGTGGAAGATTGGCATCTCCAACATCGTCACATGGGACGAGGCGCATTTCGGAAAGTTCGGTTCCCACTACCTCAAACGCGAGTTCTACTTCGATGTCCACCCTCCTCTGGGAAAGATGCTGGTGGGTCTATCAGGATACCTCGCGGGATACAATGGGTCATTCGAGTTTAAGAGCGGCGAGGTATACCCCGAGGAGCTCAACTACACCTTTATGCGATTGTTCAACTCGGCTTTTGGCGCACTGTGCATTCCCCTGGCTTACTTCACGGCGAAGGAACTCCACTTCAAGAGACCGACGGTGTGGCTGGTGACTATGATGGTGCTGTTTGAGAATTCATACACCACCATCAGCAGATTCATCCTGCTGGACAGCATGCTTCTGTTCTTCACCTTCACCACGGTTTTCTGCTGGGCCAAGTTCCACAACCAGAGACACGACCCCTTTTCGCCCTTGTGGGGCTTCTGGCTGTTCATGACTGGTATTTCGATTGGCTGTGTGTGCAGTGTCAAGTGGGTTGGCATGTTTGGAACTGCGTTGGTCGGTCTCTACACCATCGAGGATCTCTGGAACAAGTTTGGAGACCTCAAAATGCCAAAGGTGGAGCTGGTAGCACATGTTGGATTCAGGGTTGTCGGTCTGATCATCATTCCTGTCCTGGTCTACATGTTCTCCTTCTACCTCCATTTCTTGATTCTCGAGAACAGCGGCCCTGGCGATGCCCAGATGTCTTCGCTGTTCCAGGCCAATCTTAGAGGTACCGAAGTTGGAAAGGACAGCCCTCTGGAGATCGCCTTCGGCTCGCGCGCGACGTTGAAGAACATGGGCTACGGTGGTGGTCTTCTCCACTCTCACGTTCAGACCTACCCTGAGGGCTCCCAGCAGCAGCAAATTACCTGCTACCACCACAAGGATGCCAACAACGACTGGTTCTTCTACCCAAACCGCCATCAGCCCGAGTTCAACCCAGAAGACGACATCAAGTTCGTCGGCAACGGCGACGTTATTCGACTCATCCACGCCCAGACTGGCCGCAACTTGCACTCCCACCAGGTCGCTGCTCCAGTCACTAAGGCTGACTGGGAAGTCTCCTGCTACGGCAACACCACCATCGGCGACACCAAGGACCACTGGATCGTGGAAGTTGTGGATGATGCTGCTTCTAGTGATTACTCGAAGCTCCGAACCCTGACCACTGCATTCCGTTTGAAGCACGCAGACCTTGGCTGTTATCTCAGAGCTGGCAATGTCAACCTGCCACAGTGGGGTTTTAAGCAGATTGAGACGACCTGTGTGAAAGAGAACAAGCCACGTGATCCATACACTCACTGGAATGTTGAGTCTCACACCAACGAGAAACGTAAGTTTGATATGAACAATTTCATGAGGTTCATGCTAATTGTGTCGCAGTCCCACCTGGCGACCCCGGCTCATACAAGTCTCCTTTCCTCCGCGATTTCGTGCACTTGAACGTGGCCATGATGACCTCAAACAACGCGCTCGTGCCAGATCCCGATAAGCAGGACGATCTTGCCTCGAAGCCATGGCAGTGGCCTCTCCTCCATGTCGGTCTCCGCATGTGCGGTTGGGACGATAACATCATCAAGTACTTCCTCCTCGGTAACCCAGCAGTTTACTGGGGCTCGACCTTCTCCCTCGTCTTCTTCTTGGGTATGGTGGCCTGGTATGCCATTCGCTGGCAACGCGGCTTCGACGAGCTCACCTGGAAGCAAATCGACCACTTCCAGTACTCTGGCATCTATCCGGTCATTGGATGGTTCTTGCACTACCTGCCCTTCATCGCCATGGCCCGTGTTACCTACGTCCACCACTACTACCCGGCTCTTTACTTCGCCATCCTATGTTGTGGCTTCTGCGTGGATTGGTACACTCGCAGCTTGCACAAGGGCGTGCAGTGGGGTATTTTCACGGTGCTATATGCCGTTGTCATCTTCATGTTCTGGCTGTTCCGAGCCTTCTGCTTCGGTATGGAAGGCTCAAACCAGCAGTGGAAGCACTTGAAGTGGCTGTCCACGTGGAGAATGTCGGATTAGAGGATCGAGAAATCGAACGCTTTCTTATGATGGAGGAGTGAGGGTGGAACAGGAAGCAGGTATTGGGGTTCGGTGGGTACGATATGGATTGGGAGGCATTTGGCATTGCGAGGCGTCCAGGTCCTGCGGCAATCGAAAAACAGTATCATGTATTATGTACGGCTCAGAGTTTCAGCGTCTCATCTTCTCGATCTGTTCCCATCGCGATCACTTTGCTTTTGTCCCTTGTCCGTAGGCGTTCGCCGCGTTACCTGTTCCTAGCTCCCGATTTTACATCGCCGAGGTCGTGGGTCAATGCTGGTGTCATCCAATCGACCACGCCATCGCGCCGAAACATTTCTGCTGACACCAACGACCTTAAATACCCGCCAATGTTGCACCCAATCCGCTCAATTCGGCAGAGATAACGATGAACCCTGTGCGACCGCCCGTCTTGGAGGCGGCGCTGCGGTCTTGCACGAGATCGCAGCGCTCTCCCGCATTCCGCAATGCTCTACAACAGAGGATCAGAAGCTCTCAAACGAGATGTATATCTGGCGGAACGAGACCCTCAGCGCCTGCTGGGGGTTTGCAAAAGACGGAAGTATGGGCGCCGAAGACGAGGATCGCTGTGGGATTTGTGTTTATTGGGTCATTGATTTACTCCATGGTGAGTGAACTGAGCTATATCGTGTCGGAGAATTGAGCTGATGGGAAGGTCTCTTTAGGTTAATGGCGACAACGAACTCCCGCCTGACGAGCCGAGACCTCGCTCTGGACAGCAGCTCGATGCGCCTTCGATTGCGGAAAGAGATAGTTTGAGTAAACGCGAGTCAGGCGTCAGTGTCAATTCGCCGATGCGTTTACGGATGGAGCAGTTCATCAAGCAGAAGCAGGAGGAGATTGTACGGGCTTTGGAGGCGGTGGATGGGAAGAAGTTTCACGCGGATCAGTGGGATCGACCGAATGGTGGAGGTGGGATCTCGTGCGTGTTGCAGGATGGGAATGTGTTTGAGAAGGCCGGAGTCAATATTTCGGTGGTGTATGGAACGCTACCGCGAGCGGCGATATCGAAGATGAGGGTGAATCATAAGGCGCTGGACCCGGATGTGGAGAGTCTGGAGTTCTTTGCTGCTGGACTGAGTCTGGTGTTGCATCCTCACAACCCAATGGCCCCAACGGTCCACCTCAACTATCGATACTTCGAAACTGCCAACTCAGACGGTTCCACGAACGCATGGTGGTTCGGCGGCGGCACCGACCTGACACCCTCCTATCTCTTCGACGAAGACGCCATCGCCTTCCACCGCAGCATCAAAGAAGCCTGCGACGCCCACGACAAGGAATACTACTCGCGCTTCAAGAAATGGTGCGACGAATACTTCTGGGTCAAGCACCGCAACGAATCCCGCGGCGTCGGCGGCATATTCTTCGACGACCTCGACGAGACGGAGAAAGACCAAGAAAGCCTCTTCGCCTTCATCCAGACCTGTTTGGGTGCCTTCCTACCCTCGTACCTCCCCATCATCCAGAAGCGCAAGGATATGCCGTACACGGAGAAGGAGAAGGAGTGGCAGCAGATTCGACGGGGCAGGTATGTGGAGTTCAATCTGGTGCATGATCGCGGCACGGCGTTTGGGCTGAATACCCCTGGGGCGCGGGTGGAGAGCATTTTGATGAGTTTGCCCAAGACGGCCGCGTGGAGGTATCAGCATGAGCCTGAGAGGGGCAGTCGGGAGGAGAGGTTGGTGGGGGTTTTGAAGAATCCGGTGGATTGGGTGTAGCTTGCTTGCTATGCTATGTACAGATGTAAGGAGAAGAAAAGAAAGATGTTGATCCTCCCCAGGGCCTTGTGCCTCGATGTTTCTCCGTTGCTTGGACTATTTGTCGACTGATGGACGCGCTCTGGGTGCCCTGTTTTACTGCTGAGGTCGCCTGACGTTGTGATATTCACTTTCGACTGGGGGGATCTCTCGCTGGGGGCCTTGTGCCTCGACGGTTCTCCTCTGCTCGAGCCATTTGTCGACCGCTGCACGCGCTCTGGATGCCTTGGTGCCATGCATTACTACTGGGATCGCCTGCCGCTGTGATAATCACTCTCGATTGATGGGCGCTCTCTCGCTGTCCTGGTACCCTATACAATTCTCACCATCCACCGCTGTATTGTTTGAGATGCGCTCCTCAGTCGCCGCCTGGACAACGGTTGCTCGGTAGAAGATGACGGGCTCGCGATCGCGCTTCCGCTGGAGAATGGACGGCAACACAGGGTAAAGAACCCGATTCGCACCTGTGAGAATGCCTCTTGAGGCATGTCGTTCGAGGTCGATCGCAACGCCAGCTCGAGGCCACTCATACTCGAACGGCCCAAGCTCGCTGAACTGGAGCGTCTGCTTGAGTACGATGGCTTCTTTGAACGCCTTCTCGAGGTGCTTTACCCAGTCGCGACGGGCTGACTCGCCAGGACGTTGAGCCGTCTTCGCGAGGCTGGTGAGATGAGGTTGCAGGAGTTTGATGGTATGGCCGGCATAGTCTCTCGCGAGAGGCACGACGAAATCGTCCCGGAATTTGGAGTCCGCGATTTGCTTCGTACCCACAAACCCGTACCAGGTGCCCGGCTTGTAGCCCGTGTCTTTCATGACGTACTCGAAGTACTTTCTGTGTTTGTCTGGAATGTCCTTCGACGAGTCCCAGGGCAGCTCCGTCTGGAACACCTTCTGTAAGACGCAAGCGCCAAACAGCGCATACAGCGTCCAGTCCTGCCGAAAGCCCTTCGCGCCCTGCTCGCTGGACTCCCAGTGCTGCCAGCGGTCATTGCTGATGAGCACGCGGTACAGAGCCTGGAGGTCTGGCGGTGGGCTTACTGGGAATGTCAACGGCGCCTCACCCTCGACGCTGTGTCCTTCGAGATACGAATCCATTGCGGTGAAAAGGGCGTCGTTCGTTGATCCCATCAGCTTGCTGATCTCGTTAAGGTCTGCTGTGTGTACGATGTGGCTTCGGCCGGCGGGTTCTTGGGTTGGCGGCAGCGCTGGGGTCTTTGGCAGGCCGGCTTTTTTGATCCATCTCTGTTCGTTCTTTGAAAGGATGGGTTTCTCCGACGCTGACGATGGAGCTGTGCCATCGAGCTTCTGTCTCTTCTCCTTGTGCGTACTGGACTGCGGGAGAGCCTCTTGCTTTCTCTTGCCTTCCTGGCTAGTGCGATCGTCGGATGGAGTCGTTTGTGGTGATACTGGCAGCTTCACCAGGGAGCCTACCGCTAAGGCGCTGCTTGTGGCACCCACACTTCCAGGCTGTTGACTCGAGCGAACAACTTCTGGTGCTGTGATCTCCGTCGGGGAGGTGCCGCTATCTGGTTTTGGATTTGGACGAGCGGCTTCTGGTGCGACAGCTCGTGCTGTTGAAGTGAGCGCAGACTGCTCAGGCTCGACATCACTTGATGCCGGCTCATTTCCGGCTTTCTTGACCTTCTGGGTCTCAGTCTCGATGGTATCCTCCGACGGCCGACTTCGACCCTCAGAGCTAGGCCCCTCACCCTTCTCCTCGGCCTCCTCACTGCCATTAGTGGCTCCTACGTAGAACCCACAGCGCCTCAAGCACTCATCCGTCAGAACTTCTCGTGGCCCAAGCTTGAATAGGCCCTTGATATCCGGCTTTTCGAGAAAGTCTGAGCTCAGATGTTTAGGAAGCCATTTTCGAAAAACGTGGGCCTGTTCCGCTGCATACACATTGGCATTGCCCTTGTTCATGTGCCCGCACTCCGCCAAGAGGATTCCCTGGATGAGATATTCCTGTTCAGGAATGTTGAGATGCTCTCCATGCTCCTGATCTATCCGTCGGAGTATTTTAGGCACCAAGCGTTTGCCGATAACGAGTTTCGGGACTGTTGACGTTGCGGCGCCTTGTGCTTTTGCCATGTTGAGGTTGTCAGATAGAGGGGATGTAGTCGTGATGGTGGTGGTGGTAGTTGTAAGAGCTTGGAAGTTGAACGATTCTGCGACAGTTCGGTGAGTTTTATGTGCTTGTGATCCGTGCGCAACGACTTCACATGCAAAACTGGCGCCAGTGAGGAACGTGCGCGTCGGTGGCTAATGCCATCACTTATGCCCTCAGCGCTTACATCTCACCTCACTTCGAAAATGTTGCTCTCTATCACAAGCTGGAGCTAAGGATAAAAGCCAGCACATCGACCTCGAACTTCCAACTTCCTCCACCCTTCAACCAACAACAACCACTTCCAATCGACATCAACCACTTCCAATCGACATCAATCACTTCCAATCGACATCAACCACCTCCAATCATAGCAACAGCAACCTCCAGTCAACACTAACTACCTTCATTCGACTGCAACCACCCCCGATCGGCAGCCCTTTCAATCGACAACCGGCCTCCAAATAATGGCACTAACCAAAGCTCAACGCAATAGCAAGGTCAAGAAACGATCATCGGCCCCGTCAACCCGTCGCAGTACGAGTCGTTTCGCTCATGCATCTCCGCTGCCGCAACCGCAACCAAGGCAAGAGGAGCCACCCCCCGCAACTAGTGAAGAGGTCACCATGGGGGATGACGCGACAAAGAGCGAGATGAGCATCAATGTCTGCATCGATTATGGGACCTATGAGACTACAGTCTCGTACGTCGTGTGCGAGAACGGCAGACCAGGCGGCGAACCCGTGGTGCTTCGCATCCACAATTCAGAAACCACAAGAACAATGGCCACCTACGTTGATGACAGACTGATCTATGGGCAAGAGTGTGAAAACGCAGCTACTAGAGATCCTCAGCTCGGAGACAAGGTGATGCACCATTTCAAGCTCTGTTTGTACGACTCTGCCGAATTTGCCGATCACAAGAAGACGATCGAAGGCATTCTTGCAAGCTTTCCTCAACCCAAGACATTCGAGACCTTTATTGCGGATCATATACGAGCGCTCAACGAAGATATCAAGGCTGCGCTCCGTGACATTCCCGAGAAGACGAACTTTTACGACCAAGAAGAGCTAGAAGCGGCGTTAGCTCGTCTGAAAGTTCGTTTGACCGTTCCCCAGATGTGGAAGGACGATTGCCGGAAGAAGATGCAAGAAGCTGCTAAGAAGGCGGGACTACCGGTGGTCGTACTTGCTTACGAGCCAAGGTGCGCGCTTGCGCACATTGTCTACCGTCAGGCAAAGCGACAATTCTCTCGAGGCCGGAAATTGAAGAAGGGTGACCTTATCCTTGTTATCGACATCGGCTCTGGTACAGCAGACTTTGCCTTGTACGAGCTAGAGGACGACCTTAGCGCTACGAGCCACTTTAAGGACATAGCATACGGCACTGGCTCCCTTTGCGGAGCGTTCAGCTGTCACAAGAGTCTCCTCAAGCTCCTAGTACGGCGCATGAACGGGGAGGTTGGAGGCGACTGGGTTAGGCTCGTTGCCGCCAAATTGAAAATCAGCGAGCGGGAGTTTGAACGCCGCGCGCTCGAGGCCATTGAGGTGTCTTTGAAAAACTTTTACAGTGGCTGTGAAAGCTTAAAGTAGGCGTCCACGGCGTCGAGCTCAACTACGAAAGCTTCTATCTTTACGAGGGAGAGTTCGAGCAAGCTCTGGATGAGGTCTTTAAATCGATGACCGCGAAAGTTGAGGAAATCGTGGCGACGAAGGGGCTGAAGACGAGCGACGTCAACATGATGTGCATGTCCGGTGGCATGTCAAACAACGACTACCTGTACAACAAGCTTCGCAACAAGTACGAAGTAGTTGGCCAGATTATCGTTGTCCGAGACCTGTCCGACAGCCACCACGCAGTCGCTTGTGGAGGCCTCTTGCGCTACCAGAACATCACGAAACAAAGCTTTCCATTAAAGTACGGGTATGCGATGTTACAGCGAGAGGAGTTCGATGAAGGGAAGCACGTAGACGGCTTTACGGTCTGGCGGGATGATGATGACAAGGTGGTGTCGAAAACACACAAGCCATGGGTCAAGGATAGCCCATACGACACTCAGGTGCGCATCGTCGAAGACAGGATCCACAAGATTATCGACAGTGGTAAGGTCATTACGAAGGGAGATGAGTGGAGCATTGGACACGTATTCTACGCGCCTGTCGATGATCCACGCATCAGCGCTGAGTTCGTGTATCTCAGCAAGCATTTCAAATGTAAGAACTCCGATCCTGCTCGCCGCCACAGGGTGAAACGCGCAAAGAGCGCAAAGCAAGTGAAGGGCGATGAAGAGGAAGAGGACGAAGAGGCGAAGGATCCGTTCAAAGATGGCGTTCATCCATGGACCAAGATTTGCCTTCCTCTGGACAAGGCGTTGTTACAGAACCACGAGATTGTGACAACTGCCGACGGTGAGAAGCACTATCGGCTGGAAGCCGACGTGGTCATTCGGGCTCTCGAAGACGATCTGAAGATCTGCGTCGATATTATGAAGCCCAAGCCGAACGAAGCCTCCGTAGCTTTCCGGGTGGAGGACGAGATTTGGAGCGGCGATCACTCGGAGTTCGCGCAGTTGTAAGATGGGCGAGCTAGGATGATGAATGATGTGGATGGTTGTAGAATAAGTACATGAAATCAGAGAGTCGAGTCCATCCGTCACGATGCCTGTGCTGTGTATTCTCCTCGTTCCGGTCAAAATGGAACGAATGACAGCCATCTCCCCGTCTTTTCGCAAGCGACTACGCTGCTGATTGCACTCCAAGCTGCTTGGACGGCCTGGAAGTTATGGGGACGAATATTCCACTTTGAGCGGAACACCGGGGGGAAGCTGAAGAGCTGAGGTCAGATTTGGCTCCTTTGAGACGCCAAGACCCACTCAGGGGCTGCGTGACTCTCGCGTATTCGCCATAACCCTTCGTTCTCGTTTGGCAGACCTGTTCTGGTCGGCTTATTGAATCTTGTGACTATATAGATTGGGCTCCTCGCTCGAGAGGACACAAGCTGCCTTCTCGACGACGACGACGACTGAAAGGTGGCCTGGTATTACTTGGCTAATAAAACACAATGACCAGTCAAGGAGTGAAGGTGTTGGACCCCGAGGCACTGGGACCCAAGCCGCCGATATACAGTGCAATGACAGCCGTTCCTCTCTCACCACACACGACCCAGTACTACATATCCGGCCAGACCGGCGTGGACCCGACTACCAACGAGTTGCCCCCGGACTTGGAAAGTCAACTCGACAACGTCCTCAAGCGACTATCCATCTGTCTCGACTACATCGGCGCCAAGAAGACGGATCTAGCCACCTTTCACTACTATTTCCGGCAGCCGGCGGTTGAAGACTTGGATGGACGAGAACTTGAAGGTGCACGCAAGGTTGTTCACTCGAAGGTCAGCCCGTGGTTGGAAGGCCATCGGCCCGCGAGCTGCTACAGTCGCACTTTTGGCATGTCTCATCCGAAGTTTCTCTGCGAGATATCCGCTACGGCGGTGGTGTACAAGCCCTAGAGGAAGGAAGGGGAGAACGGGTAGAGAGAGCCGGGATCAGCAAGACTTCTCTCTCTCTTCAGATTGGAAGTGTTCATCAAGCCGGGGCTTGGGAGTCTCCCCTCAGTATCTCTGCAAAATCTCGAGTGTCCGCGGTATTGCATACGACAGTCAGAGTATTGTGAAGGGTTCAAGGCTGCAGAGAAATGATACGACCAGCTGTTTACCAACTGTCCGTGAGGTCGCTCGCAACGTTCACGTTCAACAGCTGCTCGCCCGTCTGAAAGGACACTTTTGCTATCTGAGCTCTCAACGACCCCTATTCTCCATGATTCTGAGACGTCCACGGCACTGAGCCCAGCACGCAAGTCTTTCTATCGAGCGGAGAGGGCGGGGAAAGGGCGGGGAAAGGGCGGGGAAAGGGTGCAGAACCGTCGAAGCCTTTTGCTTACGAAACTGCAGTGATAATGCAGTTCGGTGCCCGCGGGCCAATCCTTGACTTCTTATAACCACCTTGGAGTCTACAGACGACCTGTGAATTTGGGTTTCTCTGAGAGATGAGAAGCATCTACGTTGCTGATATCGGCAACTACGTCTATGTACTGGCTCAAACCACGGAGACAGGATGCACCAGCAGCGAGCTCCTTCTCAACAAGAGCTCCTGCTATGGAGGAGGTGGAGAGCAGTTTCGCCGCTCTCTTTTTTGCCGCCCCAACTCCAGACTTTTCTACCACAAACCGATCTGGAGACATCAGTGTCGGCCCTCCCTCCCTCCCTCCTGGGCTTTGCCCGACTGCTTTGACATGATAGGCCCGAGTCTTCCAATGGCCTTCGGTCTCATCCTGACTCCTTCTCCTGCAAACTCCATGGGAACACCTCCGCCTTTGAGAAGGTCACTATCTTGTCCGGCATAACTCGTTGCACTGCGGGAAGAAAAGTGTGCAGTGTATGGGTGCTTCCTGGCATTTCGAACCAGGGTTTGTGGTCATCCAGATCGATCAGAACGCCTGCTTCTGGCCACTGGAAGTCGAACGGACCTAGTTTAGAGGCCTGAAGGATGTGCTTGACTTGGATAGCCTGCGTCAAAGCATCCTCGAGGAATTTGACGTACTTCGGAAACTTCATCGCTTTTGGGTTGGGCGACCTGGTCAGTCGTTGCAGATGAGGCTGTAACGTCAAGAGGAGCGCGTTGGCTTGTTGCTTGGCGTGTTTAGCCACGCTTCCCTTCTGGAACTCCTGGTCCTCGTACTGCTTTGCGGCCACATTGCGTAGGAAGTTCTTGGAATCATGACCAATGTCACGCATTGCGGCTTCGAAGTACTTCATGTCGTCGCCAATTCGGCTCGGCAAGTCTTTCTGCGCGTCCCACGGCAGATCTTCCCGAAACACGCTCTTGAAGACGAAGGCTCCAAATAGACCCGCAATAGTGCAATCCTGCGTTAGGCAGACAACGCCCTTCATCTTCTGGTCCACGAGCCAGGCTTCCCACTGGCCTTCTCCCCTAACTAGGATCTTATACAACTCGCGAAGCTCCGGGCTAGGGTTGCTCACAAACGCCGAAGGTGCCTTGTCATCAATGCTATGCTCATTGAAAAAAGACCACATGGCGTACCAGAGGTTCCTCTTCATAGGCTCCCAGAGAGCTGATAGCCACCCCTGGTCGCCATACGGGAAAATCTCGGGCTCGTCTCTGTGCGGCTTTGAGGTGGGAGGAAAGATGGGGTCCTTGTTGAGGACGTTCGACCGCACCTTCCAGTCTCGAATCTGATCTGGTGCTGCTGGAGCGCCGCTCGGTCCGAGGTGATCAGCTATCGAGTGCTCGTCGGTAGCGGCTGTTGGTGCTGCAGGAGGTTCAGCCGTCTCTGTCCGAGACTGCGGTTTCTGGGTGTCAGGAGCAGCGGACGTCGCTCCAGATCTTGAAGTGGCGGAGATGCGTAGCTCTTGACTCGAAGCATCGGACGAGGTAGTCTCTGGAATTGGGGCAGCAGATGAAGTCTCCGGATTTGGAAGACCGACCGCGCTTCTCTGTCGGTTTGGACTGGTAGAGGCGCTTGGGTTCTTGAGCCGAAGAGGTGGTATAGGTCGCACGGCGGAAGGCGGTGGCTCCGAGGAGGTCTCCATCACTCTCTGCGAGCCTAAGCCAGTGTTCTGTCGTTTGCCCAACTTAGGCTCTTCGAGTACTGCAGTAGCCGCCTTTCTCTTCTTCTTCTTCTTCTTCTCAACAAGAGCTGGCGATCTTATGTCGATGCTCAACGCCGTGGTCGTTGGAGCAGTAGTTGGAGATAAGCTCGATGGTCTTGTGGATGCGTCCAGACGGCTTGCTGGCGGCTTATCGACTTCGCCCTGTGCAGTACTTGTATAGGCTGTCTTATCAGGCTTCTTTGTCGATCGGCGACGGGTACTGTAGCTTGGCGAGTCCTCCTCATAGCTAGCGTCAAAGTCGCAGTTCTGTCGTTGCAAGAAGTCTGGCTTGAGGACCTTGCGTGGCCCATGCACGAACAGGTCGTTGATGCCATAGTGCTGAATATGACCGCGACCGCCCTTCTGACCCGACCCTAGGCTGTTTGTGTGGCCTTTGATCTTAGATGTGAGCGATAATCGATACTTGGCAACCTTTGCCTGGACTTCGCGTTCGTCGACGTTGGGGATGTATCTGGGGACGAGCAGCTTTCGCAGAAACCGCTCCTGCGAGTCTTTGTCGGGGTAGATGCCAACTTCTCTGTCTATTGCCTCTAGGACATCAGGAAGAGGTGGCTCGCTCTTGGAGGTCTTTCCGTTCGCCATAGCGTAGTCTGATGCTTGTGATCTTAGGGGCGGAAATTGAGGGTGCGATGACTTCGAAGCCGGGCAAGTCGTGGCGTCAATGTCGCGTAGACTGGTGCGGGCAACAAGAAGAGAGTCAGAATGCACGAGCACGTGCTAGGAGAGGACGAAGAGACGTGCTCTGGACAAAGGTTGCGAGTGAGACAAATTGCCTTCATTGTGCGGCCTAAGCAGGCAGCAAGCGAGCATCCAACATTCACACACTATTGCCGACGATTAGCCATGCCAAGCTTTTGACTGCCGCTCTCGGTCGCGCATCTATTCGTCGGTGCGTCGCATCTGGAACATTCGACATCTTCTCGTCACTTCACTGTTAGTCGCGCACATTGGCTTTCGAACAACCTTTGACTGCTGCTCCTCGCTTCATCACAACAACACCAAGTCGGTGGGTAACAAACTCAAGAACTCGCACGCAACAAGTCGCACTAACAGTCCATCAGCCTACGATGAGCACCGTAGGTGGCAACAGCGCCGGGCATGGCGCCCGGAACGCCAACATCGACCATTATGACATCGAGATCGGCCTTGACTGGGGCACGTTCAAGTGGGTGGCTGCGTACGCATTATCCTTGCAGGGAGAACACGTCGTAACGCCCTCGCCCCTCATGATCTCAGACGTGAGCCATAAAGTGCGTATGATGGCTACCTGGGACCACCAAAACCGCTTCATCCACGGCTATGAGCTCCAAGGCTTGGCCAACAGAGACAGGAACATCTCGGACAGGATCATCGACCACTTCAAGCTCGGTCTGTCCGACAGTCCTGAAGTCTCTAGCATCAGGGCCAGAAATGAGAGAATCCTCGCCGACATTCCTGGAAGAGACTTCAATGCTCTGATCACCGAGCACATGCGAGCTGTCATTGCAGACATCAAACAATCCCTCCGCGATTCTGCTGAACTGAAGCTACGCTTCAACGAGGCCCAGCGCGACAAGCTACTCGACCGTTTGCTCGTGCGCATCACTGTCCCGCAGATGCGAGTCAAAGTGAAGAATGGAAGGCTCTCGCCCGATGTGAGACAGTCTTTGCTATCAACAGCATTGCTGGCTGCATTGAGATGAGCCTCCTTCCTGAGAACAATCTACCAAATTTGAGACATGCTGACCTTCGCCCTTTCTTCTCTAGGTGGGGTCCTGATGCTCGTCGGGCAATGCAGGCTGCCGCTCGTGGAGCAGGGCTCCAGATCGCGGTACTCGCCCGTGAGCCTCTGTGCGCGCTGGCATACCTCGTGAACAGGGCTGCTGACCGCTTTGGAAAGATTCTCAAAAAGGGCGACGTGATGGCTGTGATGGACCTGGGCTCAGGCACTGGCGATTTTGGTGCTTTCCTGCTTCGCGAGCTGCTGACCTCGTCGAGTCGCCTCGATATGACCGGACATGGCAGTAGTGGAGAACTGTGTGGCTCTTTTCGAGTGGATCAGAATCTCTATGAGGCGATCAAGAGGCGCGAAGGCCGGGATTGGGTTGTCAACTCTGTCTCTGCGCTCCAAGTAGCAGAGCGTGACTTTGAACGCCGCGCACTCATTGCGATTGAGGAGATCAAGCAGAACTTCAAAGAGACGGATGATGTGTGTTTTGGCATGATCAAAGGCATTGGTGCTGCTGCCGTACCAATCAGCTTCACAAAGGAGGAAATCATCACGGCTCTCGATGAAGTCATCGCCAGGATTTTCAGCGCCATGGACAAGCTCGTGTCAAAGCAGACGCCAAGTTTGATCCAGGTCACGGGCGGCTTCGCGAAGAGCTGGTATTTGATGAAGCAGATTCGCGAGAGATACAGCAGTGAGCGAACGGTAGTCGTGCGGCCAAACGACACCGACGTTGGCGCTTGCTTTCCAGTGGCTGTGGGCTCGCTGCTTCGATACGACAACATCACTATGCAGACTCTCCCATCGCAGTATGGCTACGCTTTGCTCCAGCGAGAGGTGTACCTCAAGGATGTACACACAGAATCGCGCGACGTCAGCAAGACCGGGAAGAGAACTTACCAGAAGCCATGGGTTCTGGGGAGCCCATACCAAAAGAATGTTGACATTGTCGAAGATCGCATCCTCAACATCGTGCCAAAGGGCACAGTCATGAAGCCAGGGGACCACGTCCTGAAGTTCAAGCGGAAGCTCGACTACTTCGTCCCGGTGGACAACCCTCGTATCAACGACGAGTTTGTCTATCTTGACAAGACTTTCCACGACCACGCTGCCTCTCGCGATCATGAGAAAGAGCAGCGCAACCTCAAGCCTGGTGAGCCGCAGTCGGCTGTGAAGCGGATCTTCCGTGACGGAGTCCACCACTGGGTCTCTCTCGACATTGCGCTACCAGAGGCGCAGATTCAGGGATTCAAGAAGACGAGGGCTGCAGATGGCAAGGACTATTACGAGCTTGAGGCTCGTGTCGTAGTTCGGCTTGTGTTGGAGGACATGCAGATTGACTTCGAGATTCTGAAGCCCACGAAATCTGGCAAGCGCAAGGCCAAGAAGGCGGACGACGAGAGAATGGAGGTTGACAGCGGTGACGAGCTTCTGGACGATGTGGCGTTCGTAGTGAGGGATAGAGTCTGGGATGGTGCTCACTCTGATTTCGCCCAGGCCTGAGGAAGTTGAGGAGTCAGATGGAAAGCCGTATATACATAGCGACACACAAACTCATGGGGAATGTCTTGATAGTGCAAAATCGAATGCTTGTCGTTCGAGAGCCAATAGCGTTTCCTTCTTCGAGTCTCAGGTTACAAGTGGTGTGAAAGTTGAAGAGGTGAGGTCCAATTTGACTCAGCCCCAGCGACTCAGGGGCCTTGGCGTGGGGATCCACCTCCGCAGTGGACTCCATCCGAGGTCCAGCACGTCCAAGATGCAAACATAAAGTCGTCAAAGATGTAGAGACTGAAAGGTAGGTCAGAACGTCTCAAGCTGACTCTGTATCAACATGAATTTCGAAATTCCACAAGACCTCCAGCGTTACCTGGACCGCCTCGACGACTTCATCGAGCGCGAGATCAAGCCACTCCAAGAGCAGGACGACAACCAGCGTTTCTTTGATCACCGCAGAGAACATGCGCGGACAGACTGGGACAAGGGAGGATTGCCGAGAGAGGAGTGGGAAGATTTGCTTCGTGAAGCAACTAGAAGAGCAGGCAAGGCAGGTTTCTACCGCTTCTCCTTGCCCAAAGAGTATGGCGGCCAGAATGAGCAGAGCGGACGGGGATCGAACTTGTGGATGGCCGTGATACGGGAGCATCTCGCCAGCAAAGGTCTTGGTCTCTTCAATGACCTGCAGAACGAGCACTCCGTCTGTGGCAACTTCCCAGACATCATCATGGTTCAGCACTTCGGAAACGAACAACAGAAAAAGGAGCTCATCCACGGCAGGTTGAATGGCAAGGTTCGGATCACCTTCGGACTGACGGAGCCATGGCATGGCAGCGATGCAACCTTCATGTCGACCAAGGCTAAGAGGCAGTCCGATGGCAGCTACGTTATCAATGGCGGGAAGATGTGGCAGACTGGCATGCACAAAGCAACCAATTGCTTCATATTCGCTCGTACTTCTGGCAAGGACGGCGACGCAAAGGGCGTGACATGCTTCAATGTCCCAAGCAACGCCCCTGGCTTGAAGGTTGAATCGTACGAATGGACGCTCAACATGCCGACTGACCATGCCACTGTCTCACTGACCGACGTCCGTGTACCTGAATCGGCCATCATTGGGCCTCTGGATGGTGGTCTTGCCATTGCACAGGCCTTTGTACACGAGAACCGGATCCGCCAGGCCGCTTCCTCTCTGGGCGCTGCCGTGTACTGTGTGAACCAAAGCGTAGAGTACGCTCGCAAACGCCAGCCATTCGGCAAGCCTCTCGCTACCAATCAAGCCATTCAATTTCCTCTTGTGGAGCTCGCCACCCAATGCGAGATGTTGAGGCAACTTATTCGCAAGACCGCCGTGGACATGGATACTATGCCTCATAGGGAGGTTGAGCAGAAAGTGAGCGACAAGGTGAGCATGTGCAACTACTGGGCGAACAGACTTTGCACCCAGGCAGCAGACCGGGCGATCCAGACCTTCGGCGGATGGGGCTACAGCCGCCACTACCCCTTCGAGCATATCTGGAGGCACCATCGACGTTACAGAATCACCGAGGGCAGCGAGGAGATACAAATGCGCAAGGTCGCAGGGTATCTCTTTGGTTTTACTGGGCCGAAAAAAGAACTGACGCCCGCGAAGCTGTAATGTAACCAGCGGTATGAACCATGAAAAAGCATTCATTCAGAGCGCGGGGAAATGCAAGAGTATGGATGTCAGGTTTCAGTCGATCAGTCTTGGCCCACGCGCGCGTAGTGGAGGCTCAGGCTTCTGCATCCCCTCACATCGACATGAAGTCCTCCCGTTGCACCCTCAAGTAACTCCGACTTGATCTGCAGGTGTGGTGATTCAGCCATGGTGCCCTACGATGCAGAACAATTCCTGAACGCCTCTTTTTGACCTCATCGATGGTCTACGCACCATCACACCAGGGCCCTTTTCTGGTCTAAGGTCCTCAACATGTTGTGCCCTTGAGATCCTACCAAAGCTTGATACCAAACTTTGTGAGTAGCTTCAATCCCTCGCCTATACGACGCAATGGCTCATGCAGGAACATATCTATTCGGTCTTCTGGAAGCCAAAGAACGGAACGAACCTCAATCTATTAGCTGATTTGGGCCATAGGATCGAAACGTGCACTGCATTCGTCCCAATTCGGAGCCCAGACGACCCGGAAGCTGAACGCAAATTCTACGCTATTCTGATCCTGGAAGGAGCTTGGCTTGGCAAAAATAGCCTCACCAGGCTAGTCGATGCATAGCTTTGCCCTCGAGTACCGAAGTAGCGTTGACCGCGAGTTGCTAACATCGCACCACTGTGGCTTTCCAATCTGCGCGGTACTTTCTATACCAGAAGAGGCGCCATACTAGAGAACAAAGTTCGAAAGGAACGAAACCGCATGAGAATGCCCGTGGCTTCATACTATTTCCGGTGTATTTTGAACCAGGCGTGCTTGAAGGCGTGGAAGCATGTTATTAAGTGACGTCTGGATTTCGAGGCGGAGATGGATCGGCTATGTTGCACTTGATATAAAAGGGGGAAGTCGCCTGTCTGCTTGGAGGGCCATCAAATAGCTCAAACAACACAATCAACAAGACAGTCGAGATCCTGCCAAACCTTCACGATGCAGCTCATACAGCTTGGCGCGACTACTGTTGGACTCCTTAGCCAGTTGGCTGCCTCCACAGCGATCCCCAATTGGCCCCCTCACGACCCTCATCACCAACCCTTGCCAACCGTCGACCTGGGATATGTGAAGCAACGAGCATCAGGCTTCAACGTAAGTCTGGCTTCAGCAGTCTGATTGGAACGTTGACTAACCTACAGGCGCAGGCTACTGGCAAGTATTACAACTTCACCAACATCGCCTTTGCCCAACCTCCGGTTGGCGACCTTCGCTTTGCAGCACCTCAGCCACCTAAATTCATCGCCGGTGTCCAAGATGGCAACGACAAGATCAACCCGACATGTCCTCAGGCATGGCCAATCTGGCTTTCCGAGACCTTCATGAACACCTCATCCGTGCCTAAGGGTCCCTCAGAAACAGAGGATTGCTTGTATCTAGATGTGCTCGTGCCCGAGAAGATCTTCAATCAGCGACAGGGGTGGGGCAGGAAAGCGCCTGTCTTGGTCTGGATCTACGGCGGTGGGTTTGTCATTGGCGCCAAGACACAGAATGGTGATGGAAGTGGATTGATTGCGGAGAGCACAAACAACCCGCAGGATGAGGGTGTCATTTTTGTAGCATTGAACTACAGAGTGAGTATTTGTAACCACCTCCTGGCCTTTTACCGCTGACAGGACTCATTAGCTTGGCGCCTTTGGCTGGCTTGGTGGTAGCGACTTTCAGAAGGAGGGCGGTGCTTCCAATGCTGGGCTTCTTGATCAACGCCTTGCACTTGAATGGGTTCAGCAGAATATCGGCAAATTTGGCGGCGACCCAGGCCGTGTCACTGTGATTGGGGAATCCGGTGGCGCTGCTTCTATCGGACAGCATTTAACCGCCGGCAAACAAGGACACAACTTTGCTGCTCGCAAGACGCCGTTCCAGCAAGCTATCTACCAAAGCCCTGTAAGTATAGTGGCTTTTTTTCGAGGAGCAAATCTGACTATCGGCAGGATCAAGGATCTCCATCGATTCCATCCGATGCTACTTTCAATACTCGATACCACGACTTCCTGAAGACCCTCAAAGTCAGTAACCTCCAAGAGGCTCGAGCTCTCAGCAGTGATGCGCTGTACGAAGCCAACAAAGCCACGGTTGAGATCTATCCTGGCGGAATGTTCACAACGTTTGCACTCTCTATCGACGGCTCGTACGTTCTTGGCAACATCAATGATGGTCTCAATGCCGGTCGCTATGATCGTAACGTCAAGACTATGACTTCCTACAACGCTGATGAGGTACGTTCGCGTCAACAACATGATCATTTTAAGATTCTTGCTGATGAACATACAGGGCGAGCTCTTCACCTTCACCCTTGATACTCCACCGACCTCCGACAACTTCTCCTTCCCAGCCTACGTGAAATTCCTCTACCCATCCGCCTCCCCGAACGACATCAACCACATCTCCAACGATCTCTACCCTCTCTCGGCAAACTCGGGCCAGGAATACGATCGAACCTCGACCTTCAACGCCGACGTCTTCATCGTCTGCAACGCCTACGCCCTACAAAATGCATACAACAACCAAGCATTCGCCTACGAGTTCTCCGTCCCACCAGCGTGGCATATCCAGGATATCTCGTACACGCTGTTCAATGGACACATCTCGCCTGGCTTACCTCTTATTCCGGCGATCGCTGTGGACATGCAGACTTACTTCACCAACTTTGCCATGCATGGAAACCCCAACCAGCGAGGTCTGACTGCTATGCCCGTCTTCGGTAACCAGGGCAACATGCTCAACTTGACGACGGATGGGTATAAGGTTGTGAACGAGCCAGCGAGGATGGAGAGGTGCAAATTCTGGGAGAAGTATAATGTTTAGAGAGCCATCTGGCGGTACAGTAAATGTGATGATGAATGTTGGATGTTTCGATTGTAACGACAACTGTAAATAGCTTGTATATATATGTAATCCCTATATCCTTGACCCTGTGTGCGGCCCGAGCTGCCCAGGACGACAGCTGCCGAGTGAGTGTGGATCCTGCCCTGTTTCGCCTGGCATGCTGCCAACTTCACCTCGTGACCTCTACAACATCTTGATCACCATTAGGCAACATCGCAAAAACAAAACATTGAAGAATCATACGAGCAGAAAGAATGGCCTCATCCACAGCCCTCTACGACGAAATCCTCGACCTCGAAGAGGAAACCTGGAAAGCCCTCCAACGGCAAGGTTCCGATCTGCTGCCTTTCCTCACCCGAGACTGCATCATGCAGTTCCCGATGGGGCTGAAAGTTACATCTCGAACAGAGCCTTCGGTGCAAGACATATTGCATTCGCCGGCGTTTGTGCCGTGGAAGACGTTCAGACTGTCGAAGGTGGATGTCACGCCGGTGGGATCGGAGGGCGCTGTTATTAGCTATAGGGCGATTGCTACGCGGCCGCCGGCGGCGAAGGAGGATACGCAGGATTTCGATTTCGATGCGTTGTGTTCGAGTGTGTGGCGATTTGAGAATGGGAAGTGGATGGTGAGTTCGAGACCGGGCCTGAGATGCCGAGATGGGGTTCTGATGTCTTTGCAGATGTGTTTCCATCAGCAGACTATGTCTGTTTGAATGGTGGAGGCTCTTGGCGAGGCGAAGATCTTCGAATGGGACAATTTGTACCGGAGAAACAAGGCGTCTACGAGGTGGCGACGTGGTGCGTTTGCAGTGGTTTTGGTCTCTGGCGAGGCGAGTTCGTTTTTATCTTTGGGCGCAATATGTAACATGACAAGGTCCATCTGCCTGGCCCATTCTTTCGAAAATATCTCGATAGTCGGCGAAGGGGGTTGACGAAGAGCTGTAAGTAAATTCGGTAAAAATCGTGCCGACACTTGAAGCCCAAGTTCTCGATGAGGCGCTGCGGCAATTGAGACGTTGTCTCAGCTATTCTCAGTTATGGTCTCTTTCTCGTCGAATTCAGTTCGTACACGACAGAGAGCAGAAGCTCATGTGAAGCTCCGCAGACCTACTTTCTTCACAAGCTACACGGGCTCCTTCCTCACTGTTGTCGACTTCCTCGACCTCACCTCACCTGCAACCTTCCATCCGCCTCCACCTTCAACATCACAACATCACAAAAACGCAGTCTACAAATCCAACACGTTGACCTTCACATACACACAAGAGAATCAAGATGGCCGCCGAATCAGAGACCAACTCCCTCACCATGAAGTTGCTCGCCCTAGCCAACTACTGCGAAGGACCAAAGGCGCAAGAGATCAAGAACGTAATCGCCCAGCTCCCCATGGCCGCGTACAAAGAACGCACCTCTGCCGATAGTGAGATCGCTCGCCTGCGCCAGGAGAACTCCAATCTCAAGCAGCGACTTTTCCTAGAAGCACTCGCAGTCCACCAGCCCTCACGCCCATCAACGCCACGTTCAAGCTGGAAGGAGCGAGAGTCCGCACGTACCGCCCCATCGACGAATAGCTCGGTAACTTCTCGACACGATAGCAGTTATGGATCATTCTATCCACCACCACCTCCACTTCCTAAGGAGCTGTTCCCAGAGACCTGGCAGCCTCAAGCCAAGCGGATGAAGACAGAGGCACCATCGCCAACGCGGAAGAGGCCTCGACCAATATGTACCGGCTGCTTCCAAGTCGCCGGTGCATGTGATGGTAGATCGGTGTGTAGCGTCTGCCGTACTCGTGGCTATCGATGCGAGTACAATGAGTGCTGGGATGGCAACTACTGCGCCGACATGAAGTGCACACGACTTCATCCGGAGCAGTGGAGTGGCAACGAGGAGCCGAGGCGTGTCGTCAAGGGCAAGGGACGGTCATCGTAATAGTTCGAGTAAGTGCAACCTCCATACATCTGCCGGGCCTACATTAAGAAGTCTTGGGTCGTGACACTTTGATAGGCACGGGAGGTGGTGGGCTAGTCGAAATAGTCTCGCGAGGTGGTAATACATATGCAGTGCCAGTAGTCGCTGCGCCTGGTGGTGGAAGATAACCATAGATATTCTAGAAGAACTCTTCGATAGTCGGGAGTCGTCAAGATGGGTCGTAGTTGGCTCCGAATCAGGGGTGATCCCGCGAGATGGGTGAATGAATCGAACTTTTGTACAAGTCACGGCCCTGCTTCTCAAGCTCATCCTTTCATATTTTGTGTACACTTGTCACTCATCCAAACTTCGAGAATTGCCCTGGTGATGGGATTTTGATGTTCACGAGGCCTAGCGGTGGTCATCAGGAGGGAAAGCGTGCCACGGGGTGAACTTGCAAGGGGACAAACTTCTCGCTTCTCACCCCGAGTCCAGATCATCCCCACGTCACAACGCAGCTTGACGACTGCCAAGGACCAACCATTCGCATCTGACCTGTGGCCGTTGCGAACGTGCGCCACACGATAGGAGAGGTGCAGCTATGGCTACTTCTCCTGTCGCGAACAATAGCGACTCCCGTCCCAAAGGCGCCCGTCGAGAAGCCACCGCACCGTCGATTCTCACCATGAACGGCCATTTCGGCGGTGCTGGGGACGACCTCTCACCGGAAGACTACAAACATGGCGTCCAGATCATCAACGAGGACAAGCAGTTCAACGAGAATCTGCCGCAGTACCTGCAGTTGGAGAACATCATCCGAGCCGGTTTCAACTACCACATCATCTCCGTCTTCGGCAGCCAAAGTACGGGAAAGAGCACGCTGTTGAATTACCTGTTCGGCACCAGTTTTGGTGTTATGAGCGAGCAGGAGAGGCGGCAGACAACCAAGGGAATATGGATGTCAAAGAACAAGAAGGAGCATTCTGGCGGTGAGGGAAAGGCGATGGCGGAGAATATCCTGGTCATGGACGTGGAGGGTACCGATGGGCGCGAAAGAGGGGAGGATCAAGACTTCGAGCGCAAGAGTGCGCTTTTTGCTCTGGCTACGAGTGAGGTCTTGATTGTCAATATCTGGGAACATCAGGTTGGACTGTACCAGGGAGCAAATATGGGGCTGCTCAAGACTGTGTTCGAGGTCAATCTGCAGCTCTTCCTCAAGGACTCGAAGAGCGTGCCGCGTAGCTTGCTGTTCTTCGTGATTCGAGATCACCTGGGAACCACACCTCTCGAGAACCTCAAGCAAACCCTCACACAGGACCTGTCAAGAATATGGGGCTCGCTCTCGAAGCCACAAGGTTTGGAGAAGAGCAGGATTGAGGACTACTTCGACTTCGCATTCGTCGCACTGCCGCACAAGATCCTCCAGCCAGAGAAGTTCGAGCAAGAGGTGCAGAGGTTGGGGACAAGGTTCAGAGAAGGCTACAAAGATCCAAAGAGGGCAGGCTTGGTTGACGAGACCGCAGAGCCAGTGCTGCTCCCCGAATACCATCGCCGGATACCAGCGGACGGCTTTCCCATGTACGCCGAGGGTGTGTGGGAGCAGATCGACAGCAACAAGGACTTGGATCTTCCTACCCAGCAGGAGTTGTTGGCCCAGTTCAGATGCGACGAGATTTCCAAGGAGGTACTCATCCCATTCGACGAGGTCATCACGCCTTTGGAAGAAGAACAGGCCAGTTCTGTAGCCGCTGGAAAGCCAAGTGTGATTGCGAAGCTCGGTCTCACCATGATCGCTGCTAGGAAACTCGCACTTGGCAGCTTCGAGGAGGAGGCTAGCCGCTACCACAAGGGTGTCTACAAGAGAAAGCAGGCGGAACTGGAAAGCAAGATCGATGGCAGACTCAAGGCCTTGTTCCTCGGTCAACTCAGCGCTGCGCACAAGAGCGGCGTCAACGAATTCTCAGAAGCCGTCAGCAGCGCAGTCAAGGCGGGCCAGAAGAGGGATTCCAGCTACGATTTCTCAGAGATTGTGCAAACCGAAAAGAAGAAAGCCCTCGAACGCTACGAGACCGAAGCAAAGGCCTCGCTGGTTGAAGGTACGCCTTGGAGCGACTACAAACAGCAATTCAACCTTTACCAGAAGGACCTCGACGACGTCAGTGCCCGCTTGAGAAAAGACGAGATGAGGCGGCTTGCTACGCGAAGCGAGCGGTGGGTGCGCAACCGACTTAGTGAAAAGATTGGCGTGGAGTTCAACAAGCTCGGATCAGGTCGTGCCGGCTCAGGTGCCCCAGCTGAGGGAGAGAAGCCTAAGACGGAGAAGGAGCTCTGGGATCGCGTTTGGAGCGTGTTCACTGAGGTTGTCGCCGATGCTGAGTCCAGCTTCACCAAGAGAGCTCGCAGCTTTGACGCCAGCCCCGAAGAAGTCGAGGTTGGTCTTTGGCGGCTCAGGCGGAAGTCTTGGGGTGCGCTGCGCGACAAGATCGACGAAGAGCTCATGGAGGGCAACCTTTTGTTGAAGCTTCGCGAGAACTTCGAAGACAAGTTTCGATACGATGAGGAGGGAGTTCCCAGGATATGGCGCCCTACGGACGACATCGAGGGCTTGTATACTCGTGCGAGGGAAAGCACTCTTACCCTCATCCCATTGCTTTCGAAGTTCAAGCTCTCTGGAACATCTGCTCCTCCACCTTTGGATGCATGGATTGGCGAGCCACCCAGCACTGTGACGCCCGCCGATGAGGAGGATCTGCATCCTATCGGTGGTGTTGATACAGAAGAAGGCAAGACTTTGGACGATGAGATGACTATGATCAGCGATGCAAGGCAACAAGATCTGGGGACGAGGTTCAAGAAGACCGCTGATGGAGTATACGTCGAAGCCAAGCGCAGTGCGATTGGTGGTGTCACGTCAGTGCCAATCTATTTCTATGGACTTTTGCTGGCTCTTGGGTGGAATGAGCTCGTGACTGGTAAGGACGACATGTTCACAGGCGTGAATTCGTTTGCTAACATCCTCACAGTACTCCGAAACCCTGTCTACTTCATCCTTTTAATATTGCTTGGTGCTGGCGCCTATGTCACGTACACACTGAACTTGTGGGGACCCATGTTGCGGATGACGAACGCTGCCAGCCAGCAAGGATTGGAAATCTTCAGAGAGAAGCTCAGGGAGTTCTTGGAGTCTTCTGAAACAGGACGACAGGCGATTGGGATGAGCCAGAAGGCTGGGAGCTCGTACAGGTGAGTGGGAATTACATCCAAGTGATGAGTGCAACACTGACATTAGCGATTAGTTTGGACTCATTGAACAGCAACGGTACGACAAGGGCAAAGGCCAAGAAGGACGATGATGAGGTTGATGAAATTTGACACAGCGTAGCCTTTGCATAGCGGCGACCTAGCATTGATATCCTTGGGATAGACTGTATGACACGCTGTATCTCACTCCTGAACCATTCGTAGTACTAGTGTCCATCGTGCAGTCCCAGCCAATTGTTTGTGCCTCAGGCATTTATAAGCTCGGACCAGCCACATTCGCGACGCTCCGCTTGGGCTTGATGCTTCGCGTACTCCTGCATCACTCCAGCGTTGAAACACCACCTATAATTCACCATACGCCCCTCTTCATCCCAAATCGACTCGATAATCTGATTCACTGCGTTTACGCGACCGGGTACTCAAATCCTCGCACGTGAGGAGGAGACTGCGACAGGCCGGAAAGAGGCCGGTAGAACATCTGAAGCCGCGCAGGTTGGGAGCAGCACGCGATCACAATGGACTCAAACTTTGCGGACGAGGACTCCCGCGCGCCTGGCGAAGCCTCGGATGAGATGATTCAGCAAGAGAACGAGGCGACCGAGGCCAAGCAAGAATCGCAGGACCAGGACACGTCAATGGTTGAGGACACAGATGAGACGGCTATCAAGCAGCAGTCCGCAGAAGGCGATGCTGCACCAGTGTCAGACAATCCGCTCGATGCGCCGGAAGCGCCAGCCCCGGAGGCTGCAGAAGACGGAGGTGAAGATGAGGAAATGGCCGATACCAAAGACGGGACACCAGCGGTCGACCCTGCGCCCACGATCACGAAGACCGCAGCCGAGCAGAGTGCGCGATCGCATCTGATTGATCAGAACCATGCTATCATTCTGCCTTCGTACAGCGCTTGGTTTGATATGCACGAGATTCACAACATCGAGCGCAAGGCGCTGCCAGAGTTCTTCAACAATCGCAACAGGAGCAAGACCCCAGCCGTGTACAAGGACTACCGAGACTTCATGGTCAACACGTACAGACTGAATCCTTCGGAGTATCTGACTGTGACGGCGTGTCGCCGAAATTTGGCTGGAGATGTCTGTGCTATCATGAGAGTGCATGCGTTTTTGGAGCAGTGGGGTCTTATTAACTACCAGGTGCGTGTTCACCGGTGCCTCTATCATTTCATAACTGACACAGAATCCAGATCGATCCAGATACGCGACCTTCCAACATTGGTCCTCCATTCACAGGTCATTTCCGAATCACAGCAGATACGCCTCGAGGTCTCCAGCCACACCAACCTGCACCCGGAAGTACCGTTACTCCTGGTAAGCCTCACGCTGGCACCGAACGATTAGCATCTGCTGGCAAAGCAGACCTCAACCTTGAAGTACGAAGAAATATCTACGATGACAAGGGCAAAGACGTTACCCCGGCGAAGACTGAGGGCGAGGCGAACGGCGAAGCAAAGAGTCTGGAAGAGAGCTTGAAACAAGACGGCAAGCAGTACTTCTGCTACTCTTGCGGAAAGGACTGCACCCGCGTGCGATACCACAACTCCAAGAACCCACCTGCGAGCGCCGCAACACCAAAGCCGAACAAGGAGCAGCGATACGATCTGTGCCCACTGTGCTTCCAGGAAGGCCGGTTCCCAAGCTCCACCACTGCTGCAGACTACACGAAGCTCGAGAACGAACGATACAGGAGCGTTGGAGATAAGGAAGCATCATGGACCGACTCAGAGCTCCTGCTCCTGCTCGAAGGTCTCGAAATGTTCGATGACAACTGGGAGTCCGTCGCTGACCACGTCGGCTCGAGGACGCGAGAAGAATGTGTGCTCAAGTTCTTGCAGCTCGAGATTGAAGACAAGTACCTCGAAGAAGTGCCCGCAGCGAATGGAAGCTCGACTGCGACCTCAGATCTTGCATACCTTTCAGGCGGTCGACTACCCTACAGCCAATTTGACAACCCCGTCATGTCAGTTATGGGCTTCTTGGCTGGTCTCGCAGACCCTGCGACCACCGCCAGAGCCGCTGGCAAGAGCGTCGAGGAGATGCGCAAGACCCTCAAGCAGCGCATCGACAAAGAGGCTGAGCCTGGAGCGGAGAAGGAGGGCGACAAGGAGAAGGAGAAGGAGAAAGAAGGCAGCAGCGACCCTGCTGCGCAAGTCAAAGGGGAGACCGAAGACCAAGGCGACAGCATGGATGTTGATGACACGACCTCGCTTGCGACCCGAGAACCGCCTACCTCGCACGATCTCCCAACGACTGCTCTTTCACTCACCGCCGCCCGCGCCGCCGCCCTGGCTTCACATACCGAGCGCCAGCTCACCAACCAAGTCTCAGCAGCCGTCAACCTCCAACTGCAGAAGCTCGAACTCAAGCTTCAACAATTCAGCGAGATGGAATCGCTTCTCCAAGCTGAACGCCGCGAAGTCGAGCGCATGCGACAACGTCTCTTCCTCGACCGTCTGCAATTCCGGAAACGCGTCAGGGAGACCGAGGCCAAGCTGGCGGGCATGAAGATCCAGCCTCCTGCGGGCGAGAAGCTCGCCATGGGCGCTGAAGATGGCGGTGCGCCTGGCGAGGGTGCCGAGCCGTACCAAGAGGATATGGATGGGTTCATGAAGCATGAGATTTAGATGGCGCGGTTTGAGGGAATTGGCGTTTTAGTTCGGGGGTCAGAGACTTTTGGTGGTGGCGTCGTGACTGTGGAAAAGAGCAAGCAAGCAGCTGTCTCTAGCTGTATAAGGCGTGGGCAACCGAGTATGAGGAGTTTCTTGAAAGCGACTTTGCCTCTCGGGTGATAGGTCTTGTAGAACAGAAAGTAACACTACGAATTTTGTTTAAAAAAGCCTCTCAAAAGTACTTTCTCAAATCTTTCGATCTTCTAGTGTTAAGCAGACGCAGCTTCTAGATCCTCCTCAACAGGCTCCGCAGGCCTCAACTCATGTTCGCTCCACGCCTCCTCGACATTGCTCTTCAACCACATGCCCTTATTGGCGAACCCCTCAATATGCTCGCCCTGATCCTCTGCCACCTGCAACACCTCCCAACAGCGCTCATCGTGAGCTTTGGCCAGTGCCACCGCGAGCATTTCCAATGTGCCGAATCGAGGGATCCAGCCCAGGGGCTGCATGTCTGCCAAGTGTCTGTATGCCCAGTCGAGCATTTCGAGACCTCTGGCTCGTTCGGACGCGCTTGATTCCGGGAGGTGAGCGGATGCTCTGACTTGTCGCAGGACGTACTTTGCGGCTTCGGTGAAGACGAGGATGAGCCGGTCGTAGGTGAGCGATGTTGGGACGATGCGGAGCGCTAGGAGTTCCGAGACGAGGAAAGAGGCTTGTTGGTCATCTGGTGGGTTTGCGACGCGGCAGCCCTTGAGAAGCAGGTTGAAAGTGTCGATGTTGGCGAAGGATTTCTGGGCGCCTTGACTGATGGGCGCGAAGGTGTGGATGAGCTTGTAGAGCTTCATTGCTTCGGCGAGGTTTCGCTGTTCGACGTGGCATTCGATGAGGAGGTTGAGGACCGCGATGGGCATCTTGCGGTCTTGCTCATGCAGGGAGCGGAGGGTTGCGAGGGCTGATTTGGCGAGTTCCGGCTTGTCGCGGAGGTAGAGGAAGAGGGGCCGGGTTTCTGTGACGGTGGGTTCTAGTTTCTCCATGGGCATGATTGTAAGGATGCTGATGGCTCGTTCGAGATCGGGAGGATCGGTGCTGAGATAAGTCTGGATCAGGAGTTCGTAGTGGATGGGTTGGAATGCGGTTCCTCGTTTGCTGAGGTGGGCGAAGACTTCTGTGGCTAGCACTGCGTCGCCAACACGCGCAGCCGTCGCGAGGACGTTCAGACATACCCCCGATGAAGGGTTGAGATAGCCCTGGTTTACATGGCTACTCCATACGAGGGTAGTCGCGTCGTAATGCCGACAATCGCTGGCCTTGTCCAGAAAGTACGACCACAGTGTGCGGCTGACGGTCTGCTCGTTCGAATCATAACGCGTCCGCATTATTCGGTAGGCTTCGTCGATCTCGCCAGCGTCGCAGAGCATGTAGACGGCCATATCCCAGAGCCAGCTGTCAACGTTCATCGTCCCTCTCATCTCATCCAGCCGTTGAAGTGCCTGCTCAAATAACCCCTCCCTTAGCAGTCCCACAGCCACATCGTGTGCCCCTTCATCAGACAGTTGAAACCACCTTTGTTGCATATAGTTCAGAATATCGGTCCTCAGCAAATGATCGACGTGTATTGACAACACTTTCAACACAGCATGACAAGTGCTGACGTCCGGCATCAATCCCTCTGCCTGCATCTCTTCCAGGTATTCTGCCGCACGCCATGCCGCGCCGAACGTGTTGTGTGTATTGCTCAGTATGAGAGCATTGTACAATTGTGCACTTGGCTTTTCTTTCCTCTCTTTCACCAGATACTCTGCGATCGATCGGCATAGCTTCGTTTGGCCATAGACGGCACTGGTATGGAGTCGTCCGTATAAGAAAGGAACTGTCTCCTGGTCGAAGTGGATTGTTGGCTCTTCGATGGTAGTGTTCGCCAGCTCGTTTAGCTGGCGCTTCTTGGATCTTGCTGGAGGGATGTATTTCGCAACATCATGTTTATCAGCAGCATTGATAGGGGCTTGAGTTGTTGGTCGGTTGTAGTAGCGATTCCTTGACAGAGGCTTGCGAATCTGAAGACATGGTCTCGTCGTTACCGTGGGGCGGGTCAGGAAGCGCGAGGCTCGGGCGAGAGTTGCTGGTGACCACGAGGGACACAGGCATTGCCATAGCGGGTCAATTGCAGCTTTCGACGACTGCATGCCTCTGGCGAGGCTGTCGCATTTGAGGTTTGGTTAAAGTCGAAGTGCTGCGCGGGAAGTGGGGCTATCCACGGGAGCGCTAAACTTTAAATTTCACGACCATTCTCACATGCGAACTCAAACTGCCATCCCCTAAATTTTCCTACATCTTCGGCTTTGCTATGTCGGGCGAATCTGCCCTCTCAAGACAGGCAGATACAGGGCTGTGCAGAGACAGACTCGATCGGCATACCTTTATCGAAGCATTGAAGAACAATGAGTGAGAAGCGAATGCTGTCATAGTATCCCAAATTACTGGTTCGGCAACTTCAGCGCCATCTTTCGACCTCACTTCCGGGGGGCGTGGGTGAGCTTCAGATATGTCCATTGATCATTCTGTGCGTCGTTACGACCTTGATTCCATGCATATACCATGCGTCCCAAACTCCTCCGCTATGCATCCTTAAAGCCACAGACCTCGGCTCCATTCGAAAGATCATTCTGTCCGCTCAAACTCCCTGGCGATATCAAACACCTTCCCGTCCGTCCCCGAGGCACCCAGCAGCGTCACCCCGAACGGCAGCTTTTCCCCACTGCTGCTCTGATACATCGACGCAGGCACAGCAATACCACATAGATCCAGCACATTGCCGAAATGCGTAAAATACCCCAGCTTCGCATTCAACGCAACAGGGTCAGCGTCCATCTCCGCCACCGTAGGATGCGTCACCGTCGTGGGCACAAGCAACACATCGATATCTTGGAAGATCTTTGCTGCCTCGCGCGTATATTGTGCTTGTTTGTGTTGGTCCTGGAAGACCTGCCAGGGCTTGACTGGCTTGTTCAGCGCGGCGGTGTACAGCTCCTTGGTAGCTGGCTGGAACGTATGGACGTTGTTGGCGATGAACTCGGGTCCTATGCTTGCTATGCGTTCTTGTACTAGGGAGGCTTCGTAGAGAAGGTTGCTACCTTCTTCGAAGGGCGTCCAGTTGACTTCTTGAGGGACGCCGCCGGCTCGTTTTAGTCGGTCGATTGAGGATGAGAATTGTTGTTGATAGGTTTCGTCGCAGTATTCCAGTGCGGCAGCCGGTGGCACACCGAATTTGAATCCTCCTGCTTTGACGCCACGCAAATCTGCGTGCCAGAGAGCAAACGACTGTTGCGGCTTTGCGTAGGGGTCGTCTAGGTCGGGGCCGTGATCGACTGCAAGCCAGACTTTCCGGGCCTCTTCGACGGTGGGCGCCATAATCGTGATTGTATCGAGGCTCTTGCAAGCTGGGACGAGGCCTTTCGCACTGAAGGTGCCTTTTGTGGGCTTGAAGCCTGTGATACCGTTGTACGCGGCAGGCACTCGTCCTGAGCCTGCGGTGTCTGTTGCAAGTGTGAATGAGACGAGTCCTGCTGCGACCGCGACGGCGGATCCAGACGATGAGCCTCCTGATATATAGTTGTTGCCATAGATGCTTCGGGGTGTGCCGTAGGGTGATCTGCAGCCTGATAGGCCTGTGGCAAGTTGGTCGAGGTTCGTCTTGCCCACGAAGATGCCACCGGCTGCGATGATTGCGTCGACGACCTTGGCGCTCTCCTTTGGGGTGTATACATAGGCCTCGGTGCTGGCGGTTGTAGGCACGCCGGCGACGTCGATGTTGTCTTTTACTGCGAAGGGGACGCCGTAGAGCTCTGGCTTCGGTAGGCCCGCAAATCGAGTTTCCACAGCTTGTGCGGCTTTGAGAAGGTCGTCTGCGCTCTGCACATAAATCCACACCGCAGGGTCTTTCTTCTTGTATTCTTCAATCCGTAATGTGATCTCTTTGACAATGTCCGAAGGCCGCACCTGTCCACTTTTGTACTGATCTCGAAGGCCTTGTAGCGAAATATCTCCGACAAATCCTGGTGGAGTTGCCGGTGGAGTCTGAGTCTGCACAGGAGCATGCTTCACAAACTCGGACGAGTTACCAACGAAGCCAAAAAGTCCATCGTAGGAGCATAGCATATCCAGAGTGCTAGTGTAGAAAGGCTGATAGAATCCATCCGTTAGATCGTCCAAGATGCAGAACTCGAACCCTCGATCCGCACATTCTCTTGCCGTGGTGTTGACGCAGCATTCTGTCGTAACTCCAGCGAACAGCAAATGCGTGATTCCTCGAGCAAGGAGCGATCGGTGGAGGGTTGTGTCCCACATAGAGCCTTTGCCAGGTTTGTCGATGACTACCTCGCCGGGGATGGGTTTGAGCTCGTCGATGATGTCGTGGCCGTACTCGCCGCGAACAAGTAGTCGTCCCATTGGACCTTGGTCTCCAATACCCATGGTATGATGACCGCTTGGAGCAGAGATTTGTCGCAGTTTCTTGGAAGGTGGTAGATCGGATAGATCTGGTTTGTGGCCTTCTCGAGTATGGACAACTGTGAGGAAGTAGTCATATTAGCCATTAGGCTCTAGAAAATTTCGTATCTCTGTACGTACCATAAAGACCCATAGCTCTCGCCGTTTCAAGCGCACGTTGACACCTGGGCACAATATCCCTGACTTTCTTGAAGATCTCATCATTGCCGCACTGAATCGTTCCAAAGCCATTGTAATCCACAAAATCTCGCTGCATATCGATAATGATCAGTGCGGTCGATTCTGGCCGGAACTTGAAGGCATACGGCCGCGCTGAAGGCAGCTCCATGACGGATGAAGACATATTGATGATGGTGTACGAAAGGGTAAGAAGACGAGCTCGAAAAGAGGAGTCGTGGCTGTTAAAACAGGGCGCCTATTTCTCCACCTACCTTTTGGAAAAGATGATCAGATCTCAGGTACTTACTTACCTCACGACTCCCCGCGGCCGCCGCAGGGCTCTGAAGGGTCCTGGCGACACGTGAGGGTGCATACGGCGTGTCGTGTGGCAGCGTTGATAAGGGAGGCCCGCCGCGCGAAGGTGGAGTTCGACAGCCCGGCCGTCGGCGATTGCTGAGTGAGTGAATGTGTGGCCGTGCGCGGCCGCGGGCTAGAACTTAGGGCCAAGACTCGACTTCTTCCCGACACCATCCCTACGCGTCTCTGTCAACGGCCTTGATGGTGAGCCGCGGGCAATGACTGCAATCATAGAGACGAGGCATCGCTGTGCCATTGCTACGAGCCACCAGATACGCCGGCCGCGATCCCGATTGCCAGCCACGGTCCCACCAGACACGATGAATTGACCAAACAAGCAATAACGACACGCCCAGTGCTGAAAGACTCGAATTGCATAGCTATCAAGATATACCGCCTTCAACTCACGCCGCCGCCGCGGGCGCCTGGACGAAAGACTTGCTCTCCGCCTCCTCCTTGCTAAGCCTCGACCTCGCCAGTCGCTGCCAGACATAGTCCCCCGCGACGATTGGCTCGTACGCTGCCTCGCCCGTCTCACCGACGCAAGTCGGCAGAGGATGCAAGACGGTATCGTAGCTCGGACCAAAGAAGAAAGGAATCGAGTAGCGCTCGCAGCTCGCATGCACGCGGTGTACCGTCGAGATAAACACGTCGTTGGACCAGCGACTCAGCATGTCCCCGATGTTCACGACGAATGTCCCTGGGACGGGAGGCGCTTGGATCCATTGGCCTTCGGCGTTGAGGATCTGTAGTGCTGGTTGAGACCCTTGGCAGAGTATCGTGAAGGCCTCGATGTCTGTGTGCGCGCCGATCCCGAGTGCGTCTGGCTGGGACGGATCTTGTACTGGGTACTTGAGCAGTCTGAGCATGGCGCCTGGTTTCGAGACCGATTTGTCGAAGTGATCGGCCGGGAGCTCCAGGACCTTTGCGAACAGCCGCACCATGCGTCTGGCCAGCGTCAGGACTTCGCCATAATAGGCAGCTACGCTGTCTTTGAATCCAGGCATCGATGGCCAGGCGTTCGGGCCTTGCATTGGGGTTTCATTCGCAGCATCTATCTCGAGTCAGCGAGTTGGAACCTCGTTACCTTGCGCGTGGGGTTTACCTTTCGACTCTTCCCGAGCTTCGTTATCTTGCGTCGGGTCCAGGTCTGCCTCATACCCACAGTTGAAGGCTTCATTCAAGTCTGCCTTCTTCGTTTCGTCGGTACGGACCTCAGCCATGGGCTCATACCCCCTCAAGATGGACGACTTCTTGTAATGTATTTCCGATTTCGTATCAAGGGGCTGATCGAAAAACTCCTTCGCCGTTGCGAAGATTTGATCGATCGTTCCTTGGGGCACATCATGATCCTGAGAGAACCACCGGTAAGCATCCACACAATCTCTCTCAAGGGCCAACATACCTTGATATAGAAGAACCCAACCCTCGTACACGCATCCCTCAACTGCTCAATAATCCGTTCTTCAGGGGCACGCAGAGAAATCGTCGGAATCTCATCAAAATCCGCCTTCCTCACGGTATTGCCCGCCAACTGCCTCTTCCGGCCAGAGAACGAAGTAAACTGTCTCTTGATTAGTCAACCACATATGCAAGTACCATGTTCTCTCCATCTACCTGCTCCATTCGCAACTCTCGTCACGTGCTGTCGACCTAAATATCTCTGGTGAGGAACAAGCGAACTGGCATACAAGGCTTGAACTCTAAACGTCCGAACAGAACGAATAGACTTTGAAAAGCAATGCAACAAATAAACAGTCGCAGCCATTCCTGCAAAGCTATGTGTATCTCTAATGCTCCATCTGCATGCTCCGTGTGCCATCTGCCGTGGCCGCCGGCGGCGAGAGACGCCCAGATCGGCGTAGGGTATCTCCAGGAACTCTGATAAGACCTGCCACTCCCACGCCATCGGCAAGGATTCGCTGACTTTCGAGGGTAAGATTTTGTGGGGAATCTATCTCTGTCTCTTTGCCTCGTGGTATGTGGAGGCTAGAGTGTTGCGATAACAAGCATGGCAAACGATGTATCGAGTTGAAGGTGCATAAGTACAGCGATCTTTCTCTCTCGGATTCGAGTTTGGATTTCATCGTCAATCTCTCAACTATCCCGCATAACCCACGACCTGCTGGGCCATCGCAACGATGACTGCCTCTACAGTCGTTCGTCAACGTCTCGAGACGGTCAAGACCAATCTCAAAGCGAAAACCAAGCCCTCGGGATGGATTTTGCCCAAACAGTCCACCTCCTTCTCCGACAAGGGCACCTACTCCAATATTGACATGGACGTGACACCCGAGGAGCGTAGAACCTGGACGTCGCTCACAATATTCGGTTTCTGGATATCGGATTCTCTCAACGCTCAGGGCTGGATGGCACCAGCATCCATCATCGCCCTGGGTCTAACCTGGCGCGAGGCGATTTACTCGATCATCCTAGGCCTCTCCATCACCGCGATCCCACTCGTGCTGAACGGCGCCATCGGAGCGCATCTACACGTCCCCTTCCCTGTAGCAGTGCGCTCCTCCTTCGGCTTCTTCTTCGCGCGCTTCGCCGTCATCGTTCGCATGATCACCGCGCTCTTCTGGCACGCCATCCAGACGTACACAGGGTCGACAGCCATGACGCAGATCATCCGGGCGATCTGGCCGAGTTATCTCAATATCCCCAACCATCTCCCGGCGTCAGCGGGGATTACGAGCCAGCAGTTGCTGTCGCATTTCATCTTTTGGAGTGTGCAGTTTCCGATTTTGCTGATCCCGCCACATAAGCTGAAGTGGTTCTTTGTCTTCAAGGTGGTTGTTACGGTTACGGCGAGTGTTGGCACGGTCGTGGCGATGACGGTGAAGGCGGGTGGTTCGGGTGATATCTGGAATCAGGAGTACCAGGTCCATGGCTCGGAGCGGTCGTGGCTGATTCTGGCCAGTATGATGTCCGTGGCGGGCGGCTGGGCGACAATGGCTACCAACGTGCCCGACTTCACCAGATACCTCAAAAACCCGCGGGGCGTGTACTGGCAGGGATTCTTCCTCCCTTTCATCGCGACCATGCTGGGCATCTTCGGTATCATCTCCTGCTCAGCGGCCAAGGTCGTCTACGGCGAATACATATGGGATCCTTTGACTCTCGCCTCCAAGTGGGAAGGACCAGCTGGACGCTGCGGTGCCTTCTTCGTTGGCTTCTGCTGGGTCGTGGCCCAGATCGGAACGAACTTGTCCGCCAACGTCATCTCCTACGCCAACGACATGGTCAGCCTGTTCCCGAAGTACATCAGCATCCGTCGTGGTGTCATCTTCGCCACGATCATCGCTGGCTGGGCCATGGTGCCTTGGAAGATTGTGTCGAGCGCGCAGTCCTTGCTGACATTCATGGCTGGGCTGGCAATCTTCCTCGCACCCATCTCTGCTATCCTGGCTTGCGATTACTGGCTGGTCAAGCGACGCCACATTGATGTTCCAAGTCTGTATCGTCGCAACAAGCGATACCACTACTGGCACGGCTTCAACTGGCGAGCAGCGCTGGCCTTCCTCGTCAGCGTGACTCCCAACATCCCTGGTCTCGCCCAAGCAGTCAATCCAGATATCAAGCTGTCGGCTGGAATTGTCCATCTTTACGACATCAACTACATCTATGGCCTTGTCAACGCCGCAGTCCTCTATTACGCCGTGTCGTATTTCTTCCCGGCCAAGGAGACTCTCCTCCCAGAAAGCATCTACGACGATGACCAGGTCGTCGAAGGCGTGGAGTACGATGAAGATGGAGAGAAGCTGCCGAACAAGGAAGAGGTCGAGATCTCAGTCGAACCAAGGAAGCACAGCAGGGAGCTTTATGATGTCTAACGATGATGATAATGTATTCGATATTTCCTTGAAAAGCAAGATACCTCCAGTTTTGTAGATTAGCTGAGTCCAGATAGCCATGTACCATCGAGGTCACTCTGAAATTGTGAAAACATCGCGTCCGTGTCGGGGAAGATCGAGTTGTCAAGCGCGCTGTAGTCACCATGGAAAGCTCCATAAGGTATATTCCCGTTCTCCACCATGTTGTTCGGCATCCACTGGGTCTGATGTTGTTCTGGCGAAGCCTCCGCTGCCTGAGGTAGGAAGCCGACGGAAGCAGGACTCGTCATGTTGGAGCCGGGGTCGAAGGGTTGGGATGTGATCCGAATCGAGTGATTGATAAGGGCGAGAGCTTGCTTCATGAAGCTTGCGCCGGCCTCGCTGTTAACCTTGAGGGCCCATTTGAACTCCTTGAGCTTTCTAGAGTAGAATGCTTTCTCCTCTTCGCTCTGAGCGGTAGTCTCGAGCACTTGACCGAAAGCGTGGATGAGGGCACAGCATTTTGCCGATGCGAAGTACCAGAATGAGGCTAGGTGTTGGGCCTGGAGGCGCTGCACAAAGTCGGTGGCGTTGACGAATCTTTCATTGGCGGCAGCTCTACAGGCGTGTGCTGCTGTTGGGTTGGGAAGCTCCGTGCTCACGAGGGTCCGAATGAGACGTCGATGAAGGCAGACTTCGACCATCAAGTAACAGAGTCGTAGATAACCGACAGAAGACAGCTTCATCGAGGCAGCCGTGTCCATCTTCAGCGACTCGGGTAGCGTTGAGAACCAATCCTTAAGTCTGATCTGCAGTGGCTTGACCTGCTCGAGAAGCAATGTGAGTTTGTCTGGAGTACTGTCAATCCTTCGCCTTGCCCGTGACGAAAAGACAAGACGCAGAATCTCCGAGAGGATGACTGATAAGTGAGCCATATGGGTGAAGACTAGCCGCCCTCTCACCACTTCGCTGCTGCCTTCCTGATCGTCCTCTATGGTCTCGGGAAAGTCGTCCTCGGATAGATCTTGCACGTCCCAGTCGTCGTGTATGATAAGTGATGGCCGGCTTTCCAGAAGAGCACTCCACTTGTCTTGCATGAATAACGCCCAGCCAATTCTCCTTCTCAACCCAATCTCCCAGTCTGGTATATCCCAATACGAACAATCCAGGTGGAGACCGAGGCTGTGGGCAAGATTGACGAGCTGTACGGTCAAGCGATCTCGCCGCTCGTTAGGGACAGCCCCCATGAAAGCTTTTTGGTACTGAGATAAGAGTAATCCGGCCTGCAGGGTGGAGAGCTTCGGGCGACGCATCGTATTCTGTAGAGCGTTGAAGGCCAGGGTCTGGAGTGCTACCGCATCAATAGGCCGGGCTTTCTGCAGCGATTCGCTGTAGCTCCAGTATCCTGAAGCCAGGAGATATACCGCAGCGAGCAAGGGTGGGGAAAACTCTCGATACGAGCGCTCATACTTCTCGAGGAATCTAGCAGCAAGTCAGCATGATGAAGAAATCGACACACGCTCTCCGTTGAGATGATCCGTGGCAATGTCGATCTAATCGCACTATGGCCGCCACATCTCAAATGAACGGATGCTCTACATGACTTACACATCTTTGTGCAGAACTGGAAAGCTAGGATGGACGATTCTGAAGTACAGTTCTACCAGTTCTGCCCCATGTCCCTGAGCCGTGTTTTCAATCTCGTCAATGTCGGTACGCTCCTGGTCCCAGCCTGACGTTGACGCATCCGGAATGATTCGGAAAGCTGCGAGAGGATGCACGAATCTCACATAGTCTGCGGAAGGCTTGTTAGATTCGTGGGCGCTGTTGTCCCTCACATCGGTAGGCAGGCCACTATAGACGTCTGGGATGGCATTGGGTCCCACGTATTCCGAGTGGTGGCGATTCTGCAAGCCGAGAGTGCGCTTCAATAAAGACGGGCCCGGTAGAGTATCGTACTCCTCGACTCCTGTGCCCGGCTTGATCAGGATCGTCCGACTTCTCTTCGAAGGAGACTGTGCGTCTGTCGTGCCACTGGGAAGGGTTCGCTTCCGTGGTTGGGGAGCTTCGAGATAGAGACATTCTTGATTGTGGAAGGCGCACAGAACACATACGGTTTGGCCCTCTTCGGTCACGCATTTGGACTTGCGTCGTCGACACGCATCGCATGGCCGGCTCCGTTTGGTGGTGCCGTTAGCTGCATGATCAGGCCCCGTGCGTGGGATTTTGGCCGTGGTGGTGGTCATGGTGTCATGTTTGGCGAAGGTCGCACGTCGACTCCCGTACAGGCAGCTCCAGACTTGAGGACATGTGCGGCATCCAGGGTTCCACGTGGTGAGCTGATGCAACTTGGGGGATGCACCGGGTTTATGAGTTGAGTGACTTGAGTGACCTCGTCGTGCTGCCGATAAGATGGCTACATTCGCCAAAACAAGTCGCGAGCTTCACCGCCAAGCGTGTTGTTTCGTGGTCTTGTCAAGCAGTGCCATGCCATCCAATTTGTTCCCCTTCCATGAGTCGAGCTGTTCTCTTTCTGTATCCAGCCAAATATTGGGAGCCTACGAATTGCTGGAAGCAGGGTTGCATGAATGTAGGTGAAGTGATTGTGCCCACCACTTTTGGTGGCTGGACGTCACTGAGGCTTTCTGTCCCCTTCGGCGACACTTTCCTCTTTCTACTCGCGCAACAACATATGAACAGCATCTTACCTGTGCAGCATGGTGTGCCGTACGTCTAATCGCCGTCACTCCGTTGCAGCTCATGCTGTGAATTGGATTTTGGGACGAATCGTGAAGGCACCATCACCATAACTCGTCGTTTTTGGCGACAGCAATCGTGGTCGCGTCGTCTCGCCCACGCGATGCTCGTCCGAGCAATGCTGCTTTGATGGCACTTGGCGAGTTATGTGTGTGAGTGCTCACTTCTGGTGAAATGGATTGTTACAATGGCCTTGACATCAGAGGAGTCCGGACCGCCTTGAACGCAGGAAAGCGTTCCTGGGAGGATGTGCTGCCTGAGGCACCAACATAGCGTCCCATCGCACTTATCAAACGAGGAATGCGATGCCCTATTCCTACTATTCTGCAGAGTGGATGCCTTCTCATACGTCCGGCTCGGTCGTTTTCCTGGACGACACAGCCAAAGTCCAACGAAGGAAGTCGATGCTTGTCACCAACAAGCCGCAATCACCACGGCAGATCTCGCATCCACCACGTTGTGTCACATCGCATTAGGAGTGGCAATGCGGCTGAACTTCCGAAATGCTGATGGGACCATATTGTGGTGACCATGTCGTGGTGCTCATAGGCTGGAGAGTGTCTCATACAGGCGGCCGCCCCATTGGCCTTGAAAACGTGTGCATTGGTGTTTTGTGTGAAGCAGGAGGGTCCACTGAAGGATTCGGCACTAGTCGCGCCGCAAGTGAATGACTTGCTCCTTGATCGTCTGCAGCGGGTATTTCTTTGAGCTTGCCGGGAGCACAATCTTTGGGATGGACCTTCTGGGATTACTTCATCCGTCCGCGTACAGTCTCTCCGAGAATAATGGACTTTAGCTTGCCAGCGTTTTCGACAGGTCCGATTCGCTCAAACCCTTGCTAGCGAAGGGAGTGGATTTCAAGAGTAGCTCTCCGACGCACAGAGAGGCTGTACAATTCATCTCATTATCCCGACAACTTCACAACCTACCGTGCTCGTCGTGAGAGGCACAGGCTGTGGACCACCAACATTCTTCCAGGGTGGATCAAACACGAGAGACATCAAGAACTTCCCTGCCACGCTTATCACGCCCAACTACGCCGCCCGAAGAAAACCAGTCAAGCGCTCCATCGACACCACAGTCCCCTCCATCGCGCTCGAGAGAGAGAACTCCCTTCACCAGAATACAAATATGGCCGCCGCGCGCGATGAAGGGCAGGTGAACCATCAACCCATGAAGTTCACGCGCATCTTCCTCAGCAACCCTCGTCTCGCGCTCGAATACCCCCTCCTCCTCGCCGCGGCCATAGGAGAGCTCATCCCCTTCGTGCTCCTGATAATCAACCTCTCCTCCTACCTCAACGATGCAGCTTTCCCTCCTAGCCTTCGCGGCAACCTCCTTTGCGCTGCCCAGCTCATCATCTACGAATTCGCGATTGACCGAGACCAACTCACCCGATCGCTGGGCGCACTACGACCTCACCCGGCCGTTCAACAGCACGGCGCTCAATGAGACCGGGCCCCTGGAGAAGCGCCGGCAGATCGGGGTGTGCGAAGCTATCGTGACTGCGTCCTCTTGTGTGGTGCTCATCAACACCGCGGGCAATGGGTGGCTAGTTGAGTATGTGAACCATCTTTACCCTTCCCCTATCCCCACGAAAACGAGTCCTACCATGCCACCGAATCGTCGTCCGAGCATGGCGAGAGCCGAACTTATCGCGCGATGAATAGCGCTAATGTGAGGAATAGCTTCGTCAACAACGTCGGCAACCTAATGTACGACCGCGCGCACTCTGACTTCGCCTGCAACGTGGAGACAGGCGCCTACAGAGAACTGCAATTCAAGTTCCAAGCCTACGGGGGAGATTGCAGCACCACGGCGCAGCGAGACACCATCAAGGGCGGGATCGAAAATCACTTGAAGACGGTCGATGGGGGCAAGATTTGCGCTACGGAGTGCTTGAAGTTGGATCATGGCGGCTCGTGTGCGGGTTATCTTCTCGTTGGGCCGGTGAAGTCTTTTGATTCTACGAAGTATTGTGGTCCGGATCTCGACTTCTCGGGGTGTTCGTCTGGCGGTCAAGCAGCGTTTGGGTAGCGTGGTCGGAGGTGCGATATGGGGGATGAGGGGGTAGACTGGACCGGAAGGGGGAGAGGCTGGGAAGTGTATTCGCTGCGTACCTTCCCAAATCCTGATTCTGCTCAAATTGCAAGATCCCTCCCCATTCCCGGGGATCAGTCTCATAAAAGCAACCAAACATACAGTTCAAACTCAGTCGGGCGAGAAACCGGGGCAGCGGATGGCACGTCGTTCTTGCGTCTTCACAGAATACCCTCGTTGTATCACTTGAAGCCTCACTTGCACTTTATCTTGATCTTCACTAGTAGACTCACTTTTCCTTCACTTCATTATCAAGTTCCATCTATCCATTGATCTTCGAAGGGTTGTTCTAAACGCGAAGTATCCAACGCAACAACTCGCCCTCCCACTACACCAGTCGCGCCTGGATACGCAAAGCCACCCGTCAGACTAAGATACAACACGTCCTCATCCCATCTAGTCCTTCCGAACTGAAGCGCAGTAGGCCCAGCAATAAGCGTATCGTTAGGACCTCCTGCCAACACGACTGCATCGCTTGGACTGTCCACCGTGCTCGCTCGAACGACTTGATTGCCCGAATTTGTGGCAAGCCAGACAGTGCCTGATCTGCCGAGGGTGATACCGTCGGCGCCTTGAGGAGCGTCAGCGTTGGTCGGCCAGGCGGGTTTGTCCAAAAGGACTTCGAAGGCCGCCGCTGCGGTGCCGTTCTTGTGGATGGGAATTCTGCCGAATACGGGCTCACCGCCGTTGAAGGTGGCGTATAGAGTCAGTTGGTTGTTTTCGTAGGACGTGGCTAGACCGTTGATGTCTGCGCCGCCTTGGTTTGGGAAGGAGGCGCTGGAGATGGCGGTGGAATATGTCCCGGTGGCGATGTCGAAGGAGCCGACTCGGGCGTTCGATGCGTCGGTGACGGCTAGGAGGATGAGGCTGGAGTTTGTGATGCTGGTGACGCCGTTGATGGAGAAGACGCTTGGGATGGGGGCGACTCTTTGGATGTGAGGTTGCGATGAAGGTCTCCGTCCTCTGTCATTGCGCTTGTTCCGCCATCTACCCCAAGCTGACCAAGAAACATGATCATTTCCCCTTCTCCCATTGAAATCGACCGTCCATATTGCCCAACTGCCAAGGCCCTCGCTCAGGTCAGAGAGGGTAAAGTTCCCCACAGCCACAGCGAACGCATCGTGCTCAACTTCAGCAATGCCTAGTGCCGATGCTGCGGCCGGAAACCTGTACAAGAGCGTGGCAGTCTCGCGGACGGGATCAACCTGCCATACCTCGGGCGAGTTGAGGATCGTGGCGAGGATCATTCCGTTGGAGCGAATGGCCAGATTCTCCACTGCGGTATTGTTCGGCCATTGGTATATCGTTCGAATGGGAGATCCGGTGTTCGATGCTGTAAGAGAACTTGGAGGAGGGTTGCAGTATGCATCTTGAGGGAACGAAAGAGAACAGAGGTACCACCAGAGGAAGAAGCTGGAACGAGGAATCATGACTTTCTTGGGCCCGTGTCAAGTCCCGCAGCTCTGCGTTCTTGAAGTGAGGAGCAGTACTCACCTCGAGGGTGTAGGAAGCCATGGTATTTCAACCAATGCATCGAGAACATCTCTACCTTCGGGGCGTTGACTGTGCTCAGTCATCACGACATACTGACACCGTCTCCTAAGCTTTGCCCAGGACTCTGTGGCTTTTTGCAGCGAGAGAGCCACGGTTAGTGGCTTCTTGAGTGCACTGTGCGGGTTGGTATAGGCCACGAGGTCTTCCAAGGCCTTCGATATTTGCCCAACCGTACCTCTTGGCGCGATGCACCGCATCGAGTGAACTTGCCAAGGACCACGGAGATACAGGAGGAGAAGGACGACGAGGAGGAGGTCATGGAGGCTATCACGGGCGAGATAGCAGCACCACTGTACAGAGGAATGCTATCCAAGGGAGGGATTGAGAACCACTCGGAGCTGGATCATGGAGCTGGCTACGGTCCAGTCTTTCGATTCCAGTAAATGCTGCGGCCCAGATCTCATTCTCTGGGTGGTCTGCTGGCGGCAGGCAGCCCGTAGTCAGCATCATCGCCGGTATAACGCTGATAACGAGTAGTTGGGCTTTGAGGTGTGTTAGTACTGTGCCAAGTCCTCACTCGAACCTTGACTTGGGTGTTTGGCCCCTTCTCTGACTGAGTACATGTATCGGAGTTGACCCGTGGCGATCCTCGTCAGCAAGTATCATCCTTTGGTCCAGTCCCGAAGATGTCGACCTGTCAAGACGGGACGAGGTGATGACTGGTGAAGTTCGGCCTCCCTATCGTCCAATCCTTCCTTGCCACGTGATCCTAATCCCAGGCGGCGAGCGCGTCAACGCTAGGGCTCAAAGCATCGAACGAGTGCCGATCGTGTCATCGCAAGTTGATGAGCAGCAACAAGCTCGCACAGCCACGCCCTCGATCTGGGCATGACCATCACCAGCAGCAGCAGCAACGAGGCCAACGAGGCCGCCCGGAGATGCCTGGCCCAGCGTGCACTCTCCCTCAATGACACATAGCCACGTCGCCGTATCGATACACGCAGCGGTGTCGCCGGGCGGAGCGAGAAGAGAACCCCACAGCCGTTCTGCCTGCCTTCCCGACTGCTGCACAGCTGCATGCAACGCACGAGGCCGGCGAACCACTCATGCAGGTGATGCAGGTTGAGCTGTGGCGCTGGCCGTGATACCACACCGGTACATGCACTCTCAGTACTGTACGCCCTCACCGCGTCCGCTACCAGACAGCGCCCCTCTGTCCCCTCTCGCCGCCGTCCCGGCCTAGTCGCTGCTCAGTCCACGCCTGCCATAGGACCGTCCATCCGTGACTGCCTGCTCGATCCTTCAGCCTCACTTTGGCAGCAGCAGCGGCAGCAGCAGATGTGACGAGTACAAAAACTGTTCCGGCCGCTGATGAGCCGCCTCTTCATTCCTTGTCTCACTCACTACTACCGCTCTTTCTCACATGCTCCCGAGCTATTTGCCACTGAAACATCGTTGAAAGACCACTCTTGCATATGCAAAGCTACCACATCCATTCTTACAGCTCTCCCACCAGTCTCACTACTCTAGAACACGGCTGCATCTATGAGCCAACAAGCTGCCACTGACACGTCACCACCGCCAAACACATCTTCCGTAGGCGAGCCGTCAATCCTTACGCCTGCGTCAACTCCGTCTGACACACCTCAGAGAACGAGTTCTGTGCCAATCACGGCTTACCGTACAGAGATCCACTCCAAAATGGACGAGAAGCCTCAAGACCAGACGGCCGCCGACTCGGAGAGGACAGAGGTTGAAGGCACTGCCACTGTTGCGGACGAGGAGCCAGCAAAGACATCTCTCTCCAAGAAGAAGAGCAAGTGCTACAAACCCAAGCACAAGAAGAAGTCCAAGGCTGTGAAGAAGTCGCACAATCGAAAGTCTGCACGTGATTCAGACTCGGACTCGAGCGATCATGATGAGTCTGAATCAGAAGAGGTGGACTCCGATGACAGTTCGTCGGATGAGGAAGTGAAGAAGAAGAAGTCCAAGGCAAAGCAGTCCAGGAAGGCAAAGGATAAGAAGCGGAGAAAGAGCAAGAAGTACGAGTCAGACAGCGAGAGCGAGGAATCGGACAGTGACGACAGCGAAAGCTCGTCAGAAGAGGAGATCAGCAAGAAGAAGAAGAGAAGTGCGAAGAAGTCGAAGCGGGTCGAGACAGAGTCTGAAGATGCTGCGTCGGATGACGAAGATGAGAAGGATGTTTCAGCCCTTGAGGTCCAGGTCAGGGATCTCATGGCTAAGATTACCGAGATGAAGACCAGCCCCAAATCGACCAAATCGAAGCGGCGACGATCAAGTACAAAGTCCTCAAAGAGCGTCAAGCAGAAATCGAAGAAGGGCGATGCACACCAGTACAAGCGAGTGGATCAGCTGTGGGATTCGACCATCCACAATTACAAGCTTAAGGAGAGTGCTGAAGATGACGAAGGCGAGTTCGCAGAGTTCGCCTTCCTTGTGCGGCGACGTTTCGATTGGGAGAACAAGTATCAGAATACTGTCATTGACATCAAGTCGAAGCAGCTCCGTGCCGTCCTTGCGGATGTCATGAAAGACTGCAAGAGCGTGAGTTTGGAGGCTGAAGAGCCAACTATCGACCCCAACCTTCTGTTCCTGTACCTGGAGGATCTGCGAACCTACTACAAGAAGACGGTAAAAGCAAAGGTCAAGGCAGAGAAGAAGAAGAAGCTCATCAAGAAGTTGGAGCAACAGAGGGCTCTTTGCAAGACGTTGGTCAGCTACATCGACGACGACTACGCTGAAACTAAGAAGACACTTTACCCACTTCTTGAAGCTGGCAACATCACCTTCGACCTGCTTTGGGCGCTCTTCACTCCCAACGACATCGCCATCACATCCTGCTATGGGGCTTGGGACGAACCTCGCTGCTTCAAGGTCGACTACGCCATGAAGTACCAGACGATGACTCGAGGTGAATGGTACTGCATAGAAGGCAAGTACTTGGAATACGACGGCAAGGGCTTCGGACTGGGCGACTTCGAAGTGGACATTGAATCATTCAAGGGTCCACGCAAGATCACCAGTCTTTCTGCTTACCCTTTGAAATATCACAAGAATCCTGAAGGCATCAAGAAGCAGATCATCCAGCGAGGACAGCAGTTCGTCGAAATGGAAGGCATGGAGTACAAGTTCCACAAGGGCTTGGCTTTCATGAAGAAGAAGAAGCAGGTTCTCAAGATCAACATCAACGGTCGTGTGATGATTGATCCAGCTACCTTCAGGAGAGTCAACCCCAACTACCCGATCTCAGTCATCAAGCCAAAGGATGCCGACGATCTGTTCAGTGACAGCGAAGAAGACGACGACTGCTCTTGCTGTCAGCCGGACTCTGACAGCGAAGAAGCATTGGGCGGCAATGAAGAGCTTCAGAACGATGGCAGTGGAGACAGCAAGGGACCAAAGTACAAGTACAAGTGGCTTGAGGATGGCTCTGGCGGTTCACACTTCGTTGCTGTGGAGGTTGATGAGAATGGCGAGCCTCTACGACCGGAACAGCTTGACAAGTTCGAGAATCCAGAGACCAAGAAGCGAACCTACACCGAGGAACAGCTTTTGCTCACTTCGCCGGTGGTACTTGGATTTGCATTCTCCGAGAAGCTCTGGCTGGAGTTCTCGCTCTCAGGTGTTCATGATATTGTTTGGAACGACGAAGCTTTCAGCTCTCTTGTGCTTGAGGGTGACAAGAAGAGTACCGTCCGCGCCTTGGTCGAGAGTCACAAGTTCCACGCTGTTCAAGCAATTGACGACGTCGTCCAAGGAAAGGGCAAGGGTCTTGTCTTCGTTCTTCATGGGCCTCCAGGAACAGGCAAGACTCTTACCGCAGAGGGTATCTCCGAACTGCTTCGATGTCCTCTGTACATCGTTTCGGCCGGTGAGCTTGGCACAGATCCTGCTCGCCTTGAGCAAGAGCTGCAGAAGATTCTTGACATCGCTCATTCTTGGGGTGCGCTGCTGTTGCTCGATGAGGCCGACGTTTTCTTGGAGAGACGTGAAGCTCACGACATTCACCGCAACGCCCTCGTCTCCATCTTCTTGCGTCTGCTGGAGTACTTCCAAGGCATCCTCTTCCTGACGACCAACAGAGTCGAAACCTTCGATGACGCGTTCTCATCCAGAATCCACGTGGCTCTCCGCTACGAGGAGCTTAGCCCCAAGGCCAAGAAGGAAGTCTGGAAGAACTTCATCAAGAGAGTTGCGCTGCAAGAAGGTGCCAAGGTCGCCAACTTCAGCGAAGAAGACTTCACCGTGCTGTCCCGACACCGCATCAACGGTCGCCAGATCAAGAACATGGTGCGCACTGCTCAAGCTTTGGCACTGAATGAAGGCTCAGAGCTCACCATGACTCACATTCGTCGTGTCTTGGACGTGGCGGAGTCCTTCGATCGCGATCTGAAGGGTGGTACTGGATACCTCGATGCCATGAGGAGCTACACGTGAGGAAGTTACGACAGTTCGACATGAAATGAGACCGGTTCGATTTACTGCTTTGACTCGAATCTCACAGGAATTGGAATCACTTGTTCAGTGATGGGTGACGACCGGATTCATCGCCACACATCACGCCACTCAACTCATTACTTATACGTTCCGACACGAATGACCTGCACAAAAGGATGGATTATACCAAACACAAAATGTGTTTCTTTTGGATAATAGGCAAATGGGATCGATCAGCGTCTGGAGTTCTGGTCAAGCCCCTACATCCGGTTCTTTCTCGGGCATCGTACAGTCCTTTGAAGCATTGCTTACACAGTACAGAACTCATTGGTGCAGCAGAGGCAGCCGCAGTTGGAGAATAATGCCAAATTGACTGCGGCAGGCAGAGCAGGTGGTGTTTACATAGGCACAGGCATCTGGTAATCATGACTTGACTGACTTGATCGCTTTTCTGGTCTTTCATCTTCTCCCTCCCACCAACCCTCCCCTAATTGACGCATATCCATCAACATGTCCATCTCAAGGCTGAGCCCTCGTCGCTTGCCCAACAGATTCTACACCACGATACTCATCAGCCCCAATCCAACCCAACCTCCCCCCACCTACCATCTCAAAGGAAAATTACTCACCAGGCGTATGCACCACAACCCTCGCTCCATTGACCCCCACCGCATACCCAATCCCCACACCCACGGCCAAACTCATCGCCATAACCAACACGACCACGACCCAAAACGTCTTGGACCTCCGAAACGCCGACCGCCGCCTCGTCGAGCCGTAGTCTGGGTCGCTGCGCGGGATCGTGTAGTCATGGGGGTGTTGTTGTTGTTGTTGTTGGAAGGAGACGACGCGCGAGGTGGGTTTGGGTTTGGCGTCGGTGGTGTAGACGGTGCTTGGGGGGCGGAGGGGGAGGGGGAGCGAGGCGAGTTCGGGGGCGTCGGAGTCGCGGCGGGTGTAGCGTTTTGTGTTGTTGGTGGGGGAGGGGGTGAGGTCCATTTTTGATGGTAGTTGTTGTGTGGTGTGGTGTGGTGTGGTGTGGTCGTTGTTGGAGGAGTGGGTGGTTGTTTCGTGGTTGAGGTGATGTTGATGGGAGTTGGGGATGGGGCTTTAGGGGGGATTGGGTTTTCGCATTGCATGGTGGAGGAGAGGACAGGGAGGTTGGGGCTGTTGGGGCATGGCGTGGTTGCTTGAGTTTACAGGCTAGGGGATATGGCAGACGTAGGAGATGGTGATTCGAGATGGCTCTGCTTTGTGGAAGGTCATGTCGACGAGCAGAAGAAGCCAGACTGGAACAAATCTTCAATCAATGGAAATAGCTTGATGAAGAATATAGTCTTGACTCGATGGACAGCGGCGGTGTCTGTCTTCGGTGAGCTCGCTAAATGTATAATCGTGTGCGTGATCGTGTGAGCAATATAACGCAGACATGAGTCCCTGGTCGAGTTGAAGGATATCGAAGTCAAAGCACCGGAGAGCGGGCCGACTCGGCTTCTGATTCGTTACCGATCGGGCGCGAAGGAACAGGAAGCTTCCGAAGGGGAGCTCGGGACGGTGGAGCTTTGTGTCACTTGGGGGTGTGGGAAGTGTCGCTTCTTCATCGAATGCATCACTGGCAGTCCTGGAAGGGCTTGATGGAAAAGCCATCATGTCAAGAACCTTCACACGGAATGAGACAACAAGTCGATTGTGTCGTCTCACTACAGACGAGGCTGAAGATGCCGAGCCGCCCCCAAAAGCATAAACGCTCTACTTGGGCGATCTAGCCAGCGGTCGTCCAGCCAGCCCGCCAGCCAGCCATCAGGGCGCGAGACTCGCTCTTGTTCTTGGCACCTGACCTCCCTTGGTCAAGCACCGCGGATGCCACAATGTACGAACCTCTGTCTCACCGACCACGTTGTCACGTCCCACTCATGGCCTTCCTTCCCTTCGCTCCGTCACTATGACCAGTTACAAACTCCTCGAGAATGGAGAGCCGGCGTTGGAGACCACGGAATTCGATCTCCAACACGAGGATGCCTCGCCCCCGCTGAGCAAAAGCAAAAAGCGATTTCTCGAGTTGCAACAATCCGTCAAAGATTTCTTGGGTTTCTCTGGCGAGCGGAAGGGCAACTTTCGAGATCGCGTGCCTGCCTGGCTGGCTCCTTTTTGCGATTGCTGGACCCTGACGTTCGTCTTTGGTGGGATTTTCGTTGCTATACTCATCGTTCTCGTCGTGGTCAACGCATTCAGTGGAGACGAGCCTCGAGATGATATCCTCAAATACATTGATCCTTTGATTGGGACTGGACCTGGTGGTCATGTCTTTGCTGGAGCTACGTTGCCGTTTGGCATGGCCAAGCCCGTGGCAGATGTTTCTGGGGAGAAGATGGGTGGTTTTGCATCGGATCGATCGCAGGTTACTGGATTTTCTCATCTTCATGACTCTGGCACTGGTGGCTCGCCGTCGATGGTGGGTCAAGACATTGCATCCAAAACCAATCAGAAACATACCTCTCGCTAACAAGCAACAGGGCAACTTTCCCATATTTGTGCAGCCATCCTGTCCGAACATCACCGAATGTAAAATGCAAAAACATCCTCGAAAGACGCATTATATACCGGCATCTGTCTCGGCGCGAGTGGGCTACTTTGGCATCCAACTTGAATCTGGCCTCCGTGCCGAGATGACAGCTTCAGATCGGGTAGCACTATACCGATTCTCTTTCGTTAACGGCACCAGCGTCGAAGACCCAGTCATCATGGCCGATGCAAGCGACTTGCCCAGCTCGAGTGGACCACGCGACCTCTTCGTGGATGCAGAGACTGGGCGCATGACAGCTCAAGGCGAGTTCAGTCCTTCGTTTGGCAAGGGCAAGTACTCCATATACATGTGCACTGATGTCAAAGGCGCACAGTTGCAGCATGTCGGGGTGTTCAATGCCACGGTCTGGCCGAATCATACTGCTACATCCGAGCAACCGAATTATTGGGCTACAGCACAGGGAGTCTATGTGAGGTTTAAGGATGTGACGCCTACTGATAAGATCTACGCTCGAGTAGGAATGTCGTGGCTGAGCATCGAGCGAGCATGTCAGAATGCTGAGCGAGAGATCAAGGACTGGGACTTCGAGCGCCTGGTGAAGAACGCTGAGAAGGCCTGGACGAAGAAGCTGGCTCCTATCAAGCTTGACTCCACCGGTGTTGAGGAGCAACATCTGAGGAATTTCTGGTCAGGTGTCTATCGAGCTTTCATCTCGCCGCAAGACTATACTGGGGAGAATCCGCTCTGGAACTCGACGGAGCCGTACTACGATTCTTGGTACTGCATCTGGGATACCTTCCGAGGCGTCCATCCCTTCTACATGCTCGTGGATACCGTCTCGCAATCACGAATGGTGCGCTCGTTGATTGACATCTACAAGCATCTTGGCTGGCTTCCCGATGTAAGTCGTCACTCTCTCTTCCCTAATATGATACGGTACTGAGTGTTATCGATAGTGTCGTATGTCTTTCTGCAAAGGCCTCACGCAAGGTGGCTCCAATGCCGATGTTGTCATTGTCGATTCGTACATCAAGAAGCTTAAGGGCGTCAATTGGGAAGACGCATATGCTGCTATCGTTAAGGATGCAGAGGAGCAACCCCCAAATTGGGACATTGAAGGCCGAGGAGGCTTGGCTAGCTGGAAGAGCTTGGGTTACATTCCTTATCAAGATGATGACAAGGGCGGGATGCGCACAAGATCCGTCTCGCGTACTGTGGAGGTGAGTAAGAAATGAGATAGACGTTCTCGCTGGGTTACTGACATCGATGTAGTACGCATATAACGATTTCTGCATTGCCGAAATGGCCAACAGCACCGGCCGTAAAGAAGACTACGAGAAGTATGCCCAGCGAGCCAACAATTGGATCAATGTCTACGACGAGAACCTCGAATCCATGGGCTTCAAGGGTTTCCCGCAACCACGACTCGCCAATCGCACTTTCGTCTTTCAGAACGCCACACTGTGCTCAAGCCTGAACAACTTCGATGGCTGCTATCTAAACATGGGTGGTCACGAGACCTACGAAGGTTCCCCTTGGCTCTACCTCTTCTACGTTCCTGGCGACATGGCCGGCCTAGTAAAGCTCTTAGGAGGACGAGATAAGTATCTCGATCGACTGCACAAGCTCCACAACAGCGGCGTGCTCTACATGGGCGATGAGCAAGCCTTCCTCACCGCGTTCTTGTACCACTTCGCCGGCCGGCCTGGCCTTTCCGCAAAGGAGACCCATCGCTACATCCCCTCCATGTTCAACGACACCATCGCCGGCATCCCCGGAAACGACGACAGCGGCTCCATGGGAACATTCGTCTTCTTCAGCATGTTGGGGATCTTCCCCTCGGCAGGCCAGAGCGTCTACTTCATCATCCCTCCAGTAAGTCCAACAACACCCCCGCCCCCAGAAAAACAATTCGCTAACTATCTCCACCTCCCAGTTCTTCCCCAGCATCAGCATCACAAACCCCCAAACCGGCCAAACCGCCACGATCCGCAACGTCAACTTCGACCCCACCTACAAGAAAATCTACATCCAATCTGCGAAACTCAACGGGAAGACGTGGACGAAGAATTGGCTCGATCATAGCTTCTTTTTGAATGGAGGGACGTTGGAGCTGGTGCTGGGGGAGGTGGAGAGTGAATGGGGCACGAAGGAGGGGGATTTACCGCCTAGCTTGTCGACGACAGGGTTGTTTTTTGGGTGACGACAGGACTCTATAATATTTTCTTTGGTTCGGACATTTCTTACCATCTACTTTCGTCGATGTGGAGGTAGTGTGCCGTGGCGAGAGGCAGGTCCATCGACTCCGTGAGCTGTTCAGTTCTGCAACTCCTACTTCACATGTCGTGCTTCTGGGGACTGGAGGCGAATGCATCGATTATTCCCGGAAGAGCAAGATTCGCACCGTGGCGAAAGAATCTTGTCGAAGGACATGTTTTCAGTGCTGTGGAAGCAAACATTCACTCACGTCGTCCGCCACATCAGATCCACCCTAGATAGATGCCAGGCACATGTTCACGTCTCCTCTTCCACAGGCCCTGTCAAGCATAAGCCCTCAAGTCGTACCCAAAAAGCCAAATCCACGAAAAGAAAGAGACGACCATCCTGGAGAGATAAAACAGCTATTCGCTCTTTCAACATGGCTATTCGTAATCATTCATCACAGGAGGACAGACGGAGAGAGAGAGAAAACATCCCCACACATGGGTATACCATACCACCCCTTCCCTTCCCATCCCATTCAACAAAGCTTCCGACTCTGGGGTCATCGATCTCCACCCATCCCATCCCATGCCGCATGCCATACAACCAAACCACGACCAAAAAAAAAAAACTCCTACATGCGCCTCCTTCAATGACTGGATTCCATGTCTTTGCTAGTAAAACGAATGCTTTCGAGATCATGACTCGCTCCTAGGCCGTGTCCGTGTCGAACTCCGCCCTCGCCCCGCCTCGACGTCGCCCATGGCGGCTTCGTAGGTGGGTATCGGTGGATCGGTGTTGTATATAAGAGGTTCGTATTCCTCGTTCTGGGGAGGCACGCGGCTGGCGCGGGGGGTGGTGTCCGAGTCTTCTTCCTCGGGACTTCCATATTCCGGGGGAGGGTGGTCGGCGGGTTCGAGTGGTAGGCCGGGGTTGACCAGTACTTGACTGCTGGCGGCTTCGCTCGTTCCTTCTCCGGCGTCGTCGTCTTCGTTAGAGTCCACGAGGTTGAGTTGGGCGAGCGAGATGTCTGTCGGCGATCTCTCCGGTCCAGGACTTCGTGTCGGTCGCCCTTGTAACCGAACCTGGGCACTACTCGTTCGACCGTGTCCAGGGATCCACGCTTGTCCTTCTCGGACGCCTTCCCTGCCACCCTCGAGCAAGATGCTTCCAGCTTCACTGCCATATGGAGGCGGAGGAGCCAGACTTCCAGTCATCGGTGCCAGGCCCCATTTCTTGACGTTTGCTTCAATGAAAACAAACCCCATCTGTCCAAAGTTGACGTGAATGTTGCAAGGGCCGTTGGCCCCAACAGTAGGGAAGAAGTTGTGTAGTTTCAACCCATGCGCCACGTCTTCCAATTTCTTGCCATTTCTGGTGAAAAAGATCGTCCCGGTCCGCGGCCTGTACCCGACTCCGATAACATCTCCCTGTACATAAGGCGGCCCATAGCTTGTAGAGCTAAAGGGCTGCTGAAACCTGCGGTGTCCCGTAGATTGATACGCAATCGAGTATTTGTGCAATCCCGGCAATCTGAACAACGGATAAGGCTTCGTCGTGAGGCCAATACTGACCAGCGTCGAATCCGGCTTGTCGTATAGTTTCGCTTCCCAGTAGTACACCTCGTTCTGTTTGGGTATGGGTAGGTTGCTCTGTACACTGCACTCCGAATCAAAGAACTCAATCTCCGTCCTGGCCTCCACGAAGCAATTTGCAATTTCCAATTCCGGCTCAAACTCCCATGCTGAAACGCCTTTTTCTTGGATCGCTAAGAATTGTGATAATGATATGTCGGTTTGGACGGATTCCGGCGGGTTGGCTTGCACGAATGCTGTATCCTGTTAACACACACTTCCTTATCAATCCATCATGCGTATCTGTCCCTACCTTTCGCCCTAAAATATTCCGTCCTCTGCCTCTCGTCCATCTCCGCCAGCGCCTCCTCCTCTTCCCTCAAAAACGACTGCTCATCATCAAACTCGCCCGGCCGACTAATGCGATCCAGGAAGATCCGTCCCCGGCTCGTGTATCGGAAGAAGTACACAATGGCGATAATCAACCCCACCAGCGCAGCCGAGCCAAAGGCAGACAACATGCCTATGAGAATCCCCTTCCCGGTCGAGCCCAAGCCGATGGTGTTGGCGTTCGGCCGCTGATACTCCTGCCAGCCGGTCTTGTCGCCGAATCTACGCCATTGTGGCCCGTTGTTGCCGACTCGCCATTGCACGCCGTTGCCTTGGGCGGCTACGTGGACCTCGGGGACTTGGGTCGTGTGAGGGGTGTAGGAAGTCGCCAGGGTCGACGGGTAGCCGTATCCATCGCCATCGCGGAGCGCAGACTGCGCCATCGGCGGGGAATGTGTGCGCAGTGCTGGAAGGTGGGTGTTGTTCACAGTCGCACGCTGGCGATGTGGTTATCGGGGCACGGCGGCGCCAAAACAAAGTCTCGCAGCAGATGGAGCAGCAAGGCTTCTCTTGTCCCGGTGACGGAGTGGGCCTTGGGTATTGTGGGCTGCGTCAGGAGATATATCGTCGTCGCGGGCCGTCGTCACGGTGGAGGGGGATTGTGTTTGCGTGTAGTCGTGTGAGGGTGGACGTGGAAGTGATGGATGATGTTTGCCTTGCGGGCGCTCCCTCCGCCGACGAGGACGACTGCGAGGACTGGGTGACGAGGTACTGCTGGGTCTGGGCGCAAGCGATGATGACGCCGGGCCGCACCAATCACATGCCGACGGGAAGCTGCCGCCCGCGCGCAACGTTCCCGGCTCCAGCCTTCGCAACGATCCAGATCACTGCAACTGTTTCACCCACCATGCACCACTGCTACTACATTTAGCCTGTCACGCCTGTGCGATGAAACCAAGGCTGAACCTCAGCCATTGTTGTGCGATATCAATATCAACGATGCAATTGACTCAGACAACGACTGTTGCCCGACCGTGCCGCGACCAGCAACCACATCAGGAGACATTGGGCTGGGGAGCTGACTCGCCTGGAACTCCCGGCCATTGGTGCTGAACGACAATCTCGCGGCTCCCTTTGATGATAGTCCGAGGACAGCGAGGTTTGGTTCAGCATGGTGGATGTTCCCACCGTTCGGCGACGAAAGACACAGCCTTCAAGGACTTTGTCCTACTGCTGTACGCAGGCGGCGTCTCGTTCGACTGCGCCTCTTCCTCTGAAGCTACTGCTCCATACTGTAGAACCCCTGTTTCCACCCAAAGATCGTGATGAGAGACGGCGAAGGACACAGCATCAATGGCAATATGTTGATTCAGCCAGTCGTCTACTATCTACAAGCACCGGAAGCCACGATGCCCTCAGCTTCCAATGCGCGCCGAGTACTGCTCCAGCTCCATATGATCATCCACCGCACATACCATCATTGTCATGCCTTCGTACTGAGAATGCCTCTCCTTGGTGCAATAATGCCTTCCGCTTCCCCACCTCACCCAATGTCCATATAAACACACCCATCATCCATCTCTCGTCATAACTCACTCGCGTGTGGTATCGGAAACCATAGCAACATCCACCGCCCAAATGCACTTCTTCGCGCCCTCCCAACCCAAGTCGCTATTTTGGAAAGAATCTAACTAACGCCACGCCGTGAGATCTCTCTTTTCTCCCTCTGCTGCCTATTGCACACAGATGATGCTATGCTGAAAAAACTGAACGCTGGACTGTGACGCTTTCTCCGGTCGTCGTAAGGCGCTGGGCCCCGAAAGCCGCTATCTAGATTGGTATCTTAAGCACAAAAAACAGCAAAAGTAAGAAAAGCAACTCGCAAGGTGACACCAGGGCTGGTGTATGGTGTTTTGATGACCTGCCTGCCCGAATCAAATCTGCACCAAAGCTGGTACCGTCTGCTAGAAGGTGTACAGCTGGCGCAGCGCTTGCTCTTGCATTGGCGGGAGGTTGTGCAGGTAGTTGTCGAAGTTTTCTCCTATCATCTGCTTGTACTGAGCCAGCACACGCTCGAAGCCATGCAGAGGGCCGTCGTCTTGCATTCCGGTCAAGAATACGCCAGGAGCGTTCGCCATTTCGGTGAGGAAGTCGATGAGGCACGATTCGAGTGCCTGAGGGTTGTCGAGGACGACATTGACGAAGCCTTTATAAGCGTGGCCCTTCTCGTCAGTCCAGCCCACTTTCTGCATTGATTGGAGAAATGGTGGTGCAAAGTTGGCGAGATGCGGTGCCAGTTGCTTGTGACAGCCGATGCCCAGTCGACCCAACGCAATCGCTGCGTTCTCGTTCAGAGACTCTGGCACATCCTTGCTGAACATTATGAAGGCAAGTCTGGTCAAGAGCTCCTCGACGAATGGATTCATGCCTTCTTTTTGTCGCATGGCAATTTCACCACACGACCAGCAAGTATTGTTAATCACTCTGAAGGCCGTCTCTGGGTCATCGGTAGTCTGGCTAAGGTCCAGTTGTGCAATGAGGATCTTCATAAGCTCAGGCAGGTACGGCTGGAGCTGAGAGAAGATGTAGATGGCACAATCGCCCAGCAGTGCGTAGGCAGATTGCCTCACATCGTTGTTGCCGTCCCTCATGCAGTAAGCCAGGAGCTCGAACATGTTTGGCTGTGCAGTGGCAGCAAGTTCAGTGCTTCGGGCCTCGTCAAGAGCTTGGATGATGCTGCTCAGAAGGTCTAGACTCGTGACCAGGAAATCTTTGTCGGGCGTGTCGAGATATGACTGCTCCGCAGCCATGCCGTCTTCCAAGTTATGCTGGATGAGCTTGATGCAGCGCATGAAGAGCGGTTGTGCGTACGGTGCAAACTCTTGACCAAGAGCTGTCGCCACGAAGGACAGACACTCGAGCAGTGGGAACATCTCTCTGGACTGATCCTGGACCTTTTGCCAGCGTTCGATCATGGCCGGCATGAGAAGCGTAACGTTCTCTGGCTTTGCCAACGTTGGCGATGCATGCTCTGCGAGTGTTTGGACGCAGTCGTAAAGGATGTACATGTTCTTGTCCTTATACTTGTTGAAGCACTTCACGAACTGTTGGAGTATGACTGTGCAGTATGGAGCAAGCTCTTTGCCTGCCTTCTCTTCCAGCGAGGCGAATGCAGATGCTGCAGATTCTTGAACCTTCTTGTTGTTGTCGAGCATTCGCTGCAGCAGTCCTTCCATGATGGGTTCGAAGAATTGCTGCTTCGGCGCGTTGTTGTCGTGTGCAGCCCACTCGGCGTATCGACTCAGCGACCAGCAAGTGATCTGCCGTACCACAGGCATCTGGTCTTGCAAAAGGGAGAGCAAATACGGTATGAGCTCTGAAAGGTGTGGAGCGATGTCATCCATGCAACCCGGACCGATGGCTCCCAGAGTGAGAACGGCTGCTTCACGATTCGGCCAATCCTTGTGCTTGAGGTTCTCGATCAGCCAAGGCAACACCTCCTTGAACACAGCACCATGGTAGAAGCCGGCGAGACTATCGAGCGACGCTGCCGAGCACTTGCGCAGGTTCCACTCTTCTTCGGGATCGATCTCGTCGAAGTCATCGTCGTCCTCGATTTCACCATCGCTCAGATCATCTTCGTATGCGAAGCCATTTGCTGTAGGCTTGGCCTGACCATTGGCGTCTGTTGCTCCAGCATCTGTGCGAGAAGTTTTCGAGGTAGCGAACTGGGGCTTGATGTCCTTGGCTTCATCTTCGACCTCAGCATCTTCATTCTCGCTTTCCAGCCGGACTTGGTCATCCTCGCTGTAGATCATGCAGTCCAGGAGCACGGGAACGATCTTGCTAAGGTACGGTCCTAGGGCTCCTTTCAGCGAGCCGTTGCTGCTTGCTTCGAAGAAGAATTCTGCCGCGTCTAGTGCCAACTCCTGGTTCTGAGCGTCTTTCTGTTGTGAGAGCGTGTAGTTAACAATGCCTTCAACATGAGGAACGAGCACTTCTGGTAGTGCGTCGGCCAGCAGAGCGAATGATCGACATACGAATCGACGCACGTCATCGTTGTTGTCGGTGGCGAGGCGAACGATTTCAGGAAGGATCTCGTTGACATTCTCTCGAACAGTCAAAGCGATGGGCTCGGTCAGGAAGACGTTGATGGTGGCCAGAGCTCGTCCACGCACTTTTGCATTCTCGCTTCGGGTGAACTCGACGAGCTTCGGTAGAAGATATGCCAGCGGTCGCTGTGTCTGGTATTCTTGGTCGAGTGCTCTTCGGTTGTCTTCGCAGATCTTGAACAGGGCGCCCATAGCACCATCCTGAGCTTCAGGTGAAGTATGACCAGACTCGTTCGCTACCAGAGCGACGAGATCTGGAAGTACCTGCGGCCATCCAAGAATGCCGCCCTGTCGTACCACCTCCGTGACGACATTCCCAATGTAGTTGCGGATCTGTGTGTTCCGATCTTGCAGGCCGTGTAGGACGTGCGATTTGATATACGTCTTGCTTGCCTCCGGTATCGACCTGAAGGAGATTTTGACGTTGTTTTTGAGCATAATGGCTGCCGCGCTTCGAGTTGCATGGTATGTGTCGGGGCTCATGCCATTGACTGGATCTGGGGTGACGCAGAGGTAGACCAGGTAGTTGTTCATGTCTGGGTTGGCCTTTGCTGAACGCAGCATCTGCTCGGCCTGCTTCTGTGCTTGAACGTCATGGCCACTGAGAGAGTCGCGGAGGCATTTGGCCAGCTGGGTGAGGGCCTGCGGCTCCGGCTGCCACGCCATGATGGTGAGAGTTGTGATGTGTGTCGACTGATCGTTTTTGGCGGTGGGTGCGCGAAGAGGCGTAGCGTGTAGTATGGGAGGTGGATACGGCGTATTATATCAAGGGCTGGGGGAGGTCAGCGACTGTGTGGCGCGAAGTGGTCGAGGGCGTGCGGTGCGAGCGCAGGAAGGTGTGACTGACGCAGTAATGCTCAGTTGTGAACGACCAGCCAAAAGCGCTCATGGTCGCCCCATAGCAGGCCTGGGAGGGAGGTTCTTTGGGCAGGGCGCTTTCGTTCTGGCAGCAGCGGGGCCGGTGGGAGTGCGATGCGGCGAGGGCGCCAGACACGGGACGTTGCAGGGGCCGTAACAGAGATTTTGCTGCCAAATACAGTCGAGCAGTGTGAGAGCAGCGGCGCAGATCGAACGTCGCACAGCGGAGCAGTTGTAGTGTCGCGGCGAGGCCACGGCAAGATTCTTTTCATTGCTTTCACGGCGGAATGGCAGCCCCAGCCGTTGCCCTTCCAAACCCTGCTCGCTAGCGCTACCGACTTCCGAAGACCTCACCTCTTCTTCACTTCGCCACTCTTGCTGCAAATTATCACAAGACAGGCTGTCTGTTCTTCCTGCTGTCAAATTTTCGCTCGTGACTGGCTGCTACTTGGTACGACGTGGCGTCGGTGGCTTGGACCAGGCTCTTGTGTCGCTCTTCGACTCTCACAGGCAAACGAAGTGACTGTTTCCAAATATACATATTTCAACCACGTCCCGAAGGTCAGTATAACGCTTCCGTGCGACTATATCATGAGAAAGGAGACATCTCGAATGTCAGAACTTCGTCAGGTTACTCAACGTAATTCAAGATCTCTTCTTGTCACAATTTGTTTGCTACTTGTTCGTTCCGCATGGAAGGCTTCTGCGCAAAGCGATGCAACTTCTTTGTAGCACATACCTTGGACATATTACAGTACATGGCGAGTCCCCTGAGAAGGCTTGGGAATGTCAGCACATAACTTCAACTCACACCTCAAGCACATTGCAAATTTGTAGTGACGTCCAATCCAACGTGGAGACATGTGCTTGACGGGCACGTGCAGCTGAAAGCGTGCGTTACGGTCCTGTACTACGAGGCTAATGTAAGGGCCCCTTCACACCGTTCTGTTGATTCTGTGCTGATTTTGACGTCATCGAGAAGACCACTACGACGAAGTCCCCATCGCATGTCTTGCATGGGCAATCCCCTCTTCATCCCATTGCCACCGCCGGGAAAGCCTGACAAGAGCCACTCTTCTCACCAGGCCCCTTCATCTGTAGCCATTCGGCGTACGTTTGATTGCATCAGCCTTGCTTGTGCTACGTGCTCCAAGCAAGGTCAATCATTCCAAAAGCGGGCACGGCGAATTTGAGCGACGTCCAATCTGGCAGTTCTCTTCCAAATCGATTGTTGATCCTCCTTTTCGTCAAAAGAGCAACGCAATCTGCGGCTGTGTGATGGGCGCCACACAATGTTGACCAGCATCCGGTTCAAGATGTAGCCGGCTATCATCTTCCCACTTTGCGTTCGACAGTGAATAGCACGCTGACATCTGTGGTGATTGTAACCTGATCCGCGACTATGTGATTTGAGGTGCTGACCTGCCCTCCCATCTCCGTTGGCCAGTCCTCAACATCCCATTCAAATCCTTGGATAGTAATTGAAGCTCTGCCGTACAAAGGGAGGATTCCCACATTCGGGGTAATAAGACCGCTTTTCAGTGGTGTATGTATGGCTGTTGTTCCCCGTCGCAACACAATGCTGATGCTGGCCTCAGAAAAGAGCCAGAAAGTAAGCTCCGGATGGTTGAGTCTTTGCTCTCGGTACATCTCATGTAGAAGTCCTATACCTTGATCGACGCGTCCGGCTATACTACCAAGGATGAGAATGTTTTGAGTATTCGGCTTCTGCTCAACAGTCTTCTTGATGGCTTTCTGGAAATCAGTGCTGTACTGGTCTGGGTCGAGACTGATTGAAGTTCCGATCTGCTCATATTGTTCCCGGACATGACGCTCCAAAGAGTCCAGATCACCATGTATAGCGTTTGGAGGAGAAGACTTGAGGGCTTCCACAGCTTCTTGGTCGGAGAACTCGTTGACGAGGAGATCGTGTAGTCGATTGGCTCCGCCGTCTGCACAAACGACGTAGCCTGCATGATTATACAAGCGTTTGAAGAAGGTATAGTCACTGATTGGCGTGTTCAAAACGATCAGTGCTGTTGAAGCCTTGTCTGCAGTATCGCCCACGCTGGCTTCAAGATATCGTGTTGGCCAGAATGTCGACACTGGCTGAAATCCGTGTCCATTGACAACGCCATTCTGCCTTTCTATTAGCACCAGAACACTTTAAGTTCTACACCTTGGGTATCAATTCCGTACCTCCATGTTCAACGTATGTCGCAGCTTTCCGAGATTTGATGTCAAGATCGATATCTTTACCTAGATAGATCGGCGTCTGGTTCACAATGTGCACGGACTCGGCATGACGCGCAGGAGCAGGCGCGAGACGGGACGGAAAAGGATCGGTCCGAAAGAGTTCGCGGCTGATTTCAAAGCGCTCTGGAAAGTCAAGTCGTCTCCATCACACAAGTCTACATTTTCTTATTTCCTTGGTGTGCATTGAGAATGTTTCGACCGGCGTTTCGGGCAGCGACGGCAGCGCGCGCAATTCCAAAGGCGCCGACTGGAAGACGATTCGCAAGCACCTCCGCATCAAAATCTGGAACCTGGCGAGGGGCTGCATTAAGATGGGGTGCAGCAGGCGCGATCGTCTACTACTATAACACATCGACGGTGTTCGCAGAAGAACCTCATTGTGAGTAGGAAAGGGGGATAAGTCGAGCGTCCGGTGGCTGACGAGGAGCAGATGCAGTCCATGCGCCATTGGAAACGCCACACGATTCGGAGAACTACAGCACTGTCGACTCAATAGCAGAGCGAAGAAGAGCACGAGCACGGTCGACACTACAGCAACCACAGGAACAGAGCATAGCGCAGGAGCCGCAGCCTAACAGCAACGAGCAGGTGGCAGTGGCGGATGGTGGAGCGGCAGGCTTAGAAGAGGAAGCAGAGCAACAAGGAGCTTTCAATGAAGAGACCGGAGAGATCAACTGGGATTGTCCTTGTCTGGGCGGGATGGCGTACGGTCCATGTGGTGAACAGTTCAGGGCGGCTTTCAGCTGTTTCGTGTACTCGAAGGAGGACCTCAAGGGAGTGGACTGCATCGAGCACTTCAAGACAATGCAAAATTGCTTCAGAGAGCACCCAGAGCTTTATGGATCTGAACTGGACGAGGAGGAAGTCGATGCTCAGATTGCAGCGGACGGACAACAGCCAGCGGACTCACAACCAGCGCCAGCTCCTGCTCCAGCAGCAAAGGAGACCGCAGAGCCTGAGCAGCAGCCCGTAAAGGCAGACACGGAACCGATCAAGAGTGCCAACTCATCAACGGATAAGTCTGAAGAGGTAGTACCCAAGCCCTGGCATGACGGCCGCTAAAGCAACACCGCAAAGTGATTGCGAGATGCCCCAGGAGAAGCCATGAGTCTCGGGTGATCGACAGCGGCCTTGAGGCCATGGTTGAGTCTTATACCATGGAAAGATGTGTTTCCAGCATCAACGATAAAATCGCTGTAGCAATAGATGTAGCAATAGCTGTACAAAATGGCATGCTCTCAGCTCAGGCCTTTGTGCCTCAGGCAACGACTGCCTTCGCATGTGATTTCCTGCTTACTGTTTTTCCACCTGAAAAGTGAATACCCAGATGTCACTTCTCGCAGTCACTCGATTAAGCTTTTGGTGCCTCCAGGTTAGGTTGCCGCCTTTTCGGTGAATCTTCGCCTTTATCTCTCGCTGGGCGCGGTGACGCTTTTTCAACCTTCGCAGCAACCACAACTTCGAGACACCACTCGACCCTCTGCACTTCCTTCTTAACCCGCCTCCACCCACTCTTCCTTCTCTTCTCCACCGACACACGCTTTTCCGACTGCACATCGCCAGTCTTCAGCAGCATCCACAGCACATTAATCAGCACTGCACGCACCGGCAGCACCTCCGACACACCGCGACAGCCAGCCTGAGGCTCGCCACGCTTCTGCACAGCTGAACACCGGAGAGCTGCCTGGTAGCGGCCCGCGACAGCAGCTACTGCTCTTCTGTTTCTTCTGAGTCGCACACCACACACGCGCTCGCTCACTCCGCATCACCCACCTCCTCCTCCTCGTCGCCCGCCATGTCGAAGGCACCGAGCACGGCTAAGCAGCCGGCACCCCCCATGCCAACCAACAAGGACGACATCAACGGCACGTGGAACTTCCTCGAATGGGGCGTCGAGCGCATCATGTACAGCCTGAGCGACGGCGTCGACCTCAAGACCTATATGTCGCTCTACACCTCCATCCACAACTTCTGTACCGCTCAAAAGGCCGTCGGCACTCAAGCGTCCGCCAACCTCAACGCCAACCACCGCGGCGCCCACCTACTCGGAGAGGATCTGTACCACCGCCTCAACGACTACCTGAAGCGCCACCTCGTGGGAGTACACGCAGAGATGGTCAAGCACGCCGACGAGGCGTTGCTGACTTTCTACATCAAGGAGTGGAAGCGGTACACCCAGGCCGGCATGTACAACAACCATCTCTTCCGCTACCTCAATCGTCACTGGGTGAAGCGTGAGATGGACGAGGGTAAGAAGGACGTCTTTGATATCTACACCCTTCACCTGGTACGCTGGAAGGAGGACATGTTCGGCACCACCCAGAATGCAGTCATGGACGCCGTGCTGCGTATGGTCGAGAAGCAGCGCAACGGGGAGACCATCGAGCAGTCCAAGATCAAGGACGTGGTTCAGTCGTTTGTCTCGCTCGGTATCGACGACGCCGACAGCACCAAGACCACCCTCGATGTCTACCGCCAGTACTTCGAGAAGCCATACCTTGAGGCCACATCCGCATACTACGAGAAGGAATCGCAGCAGTTCCTGGCAGAGAACTCCGTGGTTGACTATATGAAGAAAGCTGAGCGGAGACTTGACGAAGAGAAGGAGCGTGTCCCACTCTACCTTCTTCCAGAGATCATGCAGCCACTCATGAAATGCTGTGAGAACGCCCTGATTGCCAAGCATGCTGCCACCCTTCGAGACGAGTTCCAGATTCTTCTTGATAATGACCGCGAGGATGACATGGCTCGCATGTACAAGCTGCTCGCCCGGATACCAGAAGGTCTCGATCCACTTCGCACCCGTTTCGAGACGCACGTTCGCCAAGCTGGCCACCTCGCCATCGAGAAGGTTGCAGAGCAAGGCGAGAGCCTCGACCCCAAGGCATACATCGACGCATTGCTGGAGGTCCACACTCAGTACGCTGCTCTGGTTCAGAACGCTTTCATGGGCGAGTCTGAGTTCGTTCGCTCCCTCGACAACGCATGCCGCGAGTATGTCAACCGTAACAAGGTCTGCGCCAAGAACTCGAGTAGATCTCCTGAACTCCTTGCGAAGCACGCCGACAACGTCCTCAAGCGCTCGACCAAGGCAACCGAGGAGGACGACATGGAGAAGATGCTCAACCAGGTCATGACTATCTTCAAGTACATCGAAGACAAGGATGTATTCCAGAAGTTCTACAGCAGACATCTGGCCAAGCGTCTTGTCAACGGTACTTCTGCCTCTGGAGACGCCGAGACCTCGATGATCTCCAAGCTCAAGGATGCCTCGGGCTTCGAATACACCAACAAGTTGCAGCGCATGTTCCAAGACATGCAGACTTCTCGTGACTTGAACAACGACTACGAAGAGTGGGTGTCGCAGAACATCGATAAGGAAGATCGCAAGGACGAGGTGGATGCCTACTACCAGATCCTCGGTACTGGCTTCTGGCCCCTGCAGCCTCCCAGCACACCGTTCGCGGCGCCAAACACCATCATCAAGACCTACGAGCGCTTCCAAACCTTCTACAGCAACAAGCACGGTGGTCGCAAGCTGACTTGGCTGTGGCACTTGTGCAAGGGTGAGATTCGTGCCAACTACGTCAAGATGAACAAGGTGCCGTACACGTTTCAGGTCTCTACCTACCAAATGGCCATCCTTCTGCTCTTCAACGACACGGACTCCGTTGCGTACGAGGACATGGCTGGTATGACTTCTCTTAACAAAGAGACTCTGGACCCATCCATCGGCATCATGCTCAAGGCCAAGGTCCTCACCGCCAACCCAGCAAACGCACCCACCGCTGATGGTACCGTCTACTCTCTCAACTACGGCTTCAAGAACAAGAAGCTCAAGGTCAACTTGAACATCGGCATCAAGTCTGAGCAGAAGCAGGAGGTTGAGGATACCCATAAGACGATCGAGGAGGACCGCAAGATGCTCATGCAGGTAAGTCTTCACATTTTTCTTTTCACCAACACCAGCTTTTTACGATGCTAACTTCAATAGTCTGCCATCGTCCGCATCATGAAGTCTCGCCAGAAGATGAAGCATGCTCAGCTTGTCTCGGAGACCATTGGGCAGATCAAGAACCGCTTCTCCCCCAAGGTGTCTGACATCAAGAAGTGCATCGACATTCTTCTCGAGAAGGAATACCTGGAGCGCCTCGATGGTGATGAACTGGGCTATCTTGCATAAGGTAAATTACTTTCCTCTTTTCTTCCTCCTATCACAGCGGCGTTTGGTGTACGGCGGGGCGGCATCGACGGGCAGCAGCGGCGGCAGCAGCAGCCGACAGATGAGTGCATGGCTTTCTACGGCATCATGGATTGCAACGACTGGACTGGAAGGATGCTCTTTAGCAAGGCGTGGGCGTTCTGAGCTGCTACTTGGCACGCAACTGGATGGTGATTAGAGGCCAGCACTAAGGTGCAGCCGTGGCTCTGACTTAAGGGTTGGCATGACACGAAAATGAGACAGTATGAAAGTTTCCAAAGTGTAGATGTTGTTCCATTCTCTTATAGATGTACCTTTACTTCATCAAAGGCCAGGCATGTGACAACGACCTGCGCCGTGATGCTCAGCCGCAAGAGGGTCCAAGCACTGGCCAATGAGAGTTTGTCCAGCCCGCGCGCATGAATTGAAGATACGTTGTGAACCTGGAGACGGTACCTACCTACATGCACTCCGAGCTTGCAAATCACATCTGCCAATATGTATGTCTGAGACTCGTCTGACTGCCTTGTGCTATTAACTGATGATGTCTCCCAGGGCGCCGCTCGTGGATAGAGCCGAGATCAAGTCGGCCTCGCTGCACAACCCACTCTCCATCTTCCTCCACGCCTACATCTGGCCCTTCCTCTTCCTCTGGCCCGCCTTCTTCAGCGTCTACCTCTCCGCCGAGAGCTATGACAAGTACATCAACGGCCAAGAATGGACGTTCGTCTTCTCCGGCACCATCGTCACGCTGCAATCTCTCCTCTGGCTCATGACCTTCTGGGACGTCAACCTCCGCGCCTGGTTTACCGCGACTCGAGCGAAGAGCGTGCAGGATGCCTCGCTTATCAAAGTGATTCCTGAAGCGAACGCCGGCGCGAGTGAGATCTGTGAGATCAAGAAAGAGAGGGTTGCTGGGAGGGAGAATGTCAGTTTTCTGTTTCAGAAGAGACGGTTCTTGTATGATGAGAAGAAGGGCACTTTTGCGCCTCTGGTGTACAACATCGACCAGGAGCCAAAGCCTTTGATCAAGGACTTCCAGCAGTCGAAGGGTCTGGAGAAGAAGGCGGATATCGAGAGGTTGCAGCAATACTACGGACAGAACATCTTTGATATTCCGGTGCCCACGTTCACGGAGCTCTTCAAAGAGCACGCCGTTGCGCCGTTCTTCGTCTTCCAGATCTTCTGTGTCGGACTTTGGATGCTGGACGAGTACTGGTACTACTCGCTCTTCACTCTGTTCATGCTTGTGGTCTTTGAATCTACGGTCGTGTGGCAACGCCAGAGGACTCTCAAGGAGTTCCGAGGAATGAGCATCAAGCCGTACGATGTCTGGGTATATCGCGAGAAGAAGTGGACTGAAGTTCAGAGCGATGCTCTCCTTCCTGGAGATCTTGTGTCAGTTGGCCGTACCAAGGAAGATTCCGGCGTGGCATGTGATATGCTTCTGGTTGAGGGCAGCGCCATCGTAAACGAGGCTATGCTTTCGGGAGAGAGTACGCCAGTGCTCAAGGACTCGATCCAACTGCGACCTGCGGAAGCAAGCATCGAGCCAGAAGGATTGGACAAGAACACTCTTCTTTGGGGAGGAACCAAGGTTCTTCAGGTACAGCATGGTAATGCTTCTGAGGACGCACCTGATACCATCCCTCAAGCTGCTTCTGGCGTGCCACCAGCACCGGATAAGGGATCTCTGGCCATTGTGATCAAGACTGGTTTCGAAACCAACCAGGGTGCCTTGGTCCGGACGATGATCTACTCTACCGAACGTGTCAGCGCCAACAACGTGGAAGCTCTTCTCTTCATCCTGTTCCTCTGTGTCTTCGCAATCGCTGCTTCCTGGTACGTCTGGGTTGAGGGTGTCAAACAGGACCGCAAGAGATCGAAGCTGCTCCTTGATTGTGTGCTCATCATCACATCTGTCGTCCCGCCAGAACTTCCTATGGAACTCAGCTTGGCCGTGAACACTAGTCTTGCAGCTCTGAGCAAGTACGCGATCTTCTGCACCGAGCCATTCCGGATTCCTTTTGCCGGACGTGTGGACATCGCTTGTTTCGATAAGACTGGTACTCTGACCGGGGAGGACCTTGTGGTCGATGGTATTGCTGGACTCTTCTTGGGAAGAACCGACGCAAAGACAGAAGCGGACGGCGCACAGAGTCAGCTCACACGAGTCAGTGATTCTGGATTGGAGACTACCTTGACGCTCGCGACCGCCCATGCTCTCGTCAAACTTGAAGAGGGCGATGTAGTCGGTGAGCCCATGGAGAAGGCTACTCTTGAATCTCTGGGATGGACTCTTGGCAAGAACGATACTCTCACGGGCAAGACTGGCGGCAACCTGGTACAGATTAAGCGCCGATTCCAGTTCTCCTCTGCCTTGAAGAGACAGAGCTCTGTGGCCACAGCTGTAACGACGGATCGTCAGACCGGCAAGAAGACCAAGGGCACCTTCGTTGGTGTGAAGGGTGCGCCGGAGACCATTCGCAAGATGCTTGTCACAGTGCCACCGAAGTATGAGGAGACGTACAAGTACTTCAGCCGAAACGGTGCTCGTGTGCTTGCTCTGGGCTACAAGTTCCTCTCCACGAATGACGAAATCTCACAGAAGAAGGTCAACGACATGAAGCGTGAGGATGCTGAGTGCGAGCTTCACTTTGCTGGATTCCTGATCTTACAATGCCCCCTCAAGGACGATGCCATCAAGGCGGTCCGCATGTTGAACGAGAGCAGCCATCGTGTGGTCATGATCACCGGAGACAACCCGCTCACTGCTGTACATGTCGCGAGACAGGTCGAGATTGTGGACCGAGACGTTCTCATCCTTGATGCACCTGAGAACGACGACAGCGGCGAGAAGCTGGTTTGGAGAAGCGTTGATGATAAGACCAACATTCCTGTCGATGCCGCCAAAGATCTCGACCCTGAGATTCTCAAGTCCAAAGATCTCTGCGTTACTGGCTACGGTCTTTCGAAGTTCAAGGACCAGAAAGCATGGCATTCGCTTCTGCGTCACACCTGGGTGTATGCTCGTGTCTCACCTAAGCAAAAGGAAGAAATTCTGCTTGGCTTGAAGGAGCAAGGCTACACGACACTCATGGCCGGAGATGGCACGAACGACGTCGGCGCTTTGAAGCAAGCACACGTTGGTGTCGCTCTTCTCAACGGTACCAAGGAAGATCTCGACAAGATCAGCAAACACTTCCGCGAGACCAAGATGAAGGAGATCTACGAGAAGCAGAAAGCCATGATGCAGAGATTCAACCAGCCAGACCCACCCGTACCTGCTCAGATCGCCCATCTTTACCCGCCAGGCCCAAGGAACCCGCACCACGAGAAGGCCATGGAGCGTGAGGCAACAACAAAGTCTCAAATTGCTGCTTTGAAGGAAGCCGAGCAGAATGGGAACGCCGACGTTCAGAAGTACACTCCTCCACCGCAGCCTGTTGTAGAGAAGACGCCTCAAGAGATCAAGAAGGAGAAGGCACAGAACGCTGCTAGCCAAATGGCCGAGAAGTTCTCCATGTCCATGCTTGAGGAAGAGCTGAACGCCGATGAACCTCCAACGATCAAGCTCGGTGACGCCTCAGTCGCTGCGCCCTTCACTAGCAAGCTCGCAAACGTTGTCGCCATTCCCAACATCATCCGACAAGGACGATGCACACTCGTGGCCACCATTCAGATGTACAAGATTCTTGCGCTCAACTGCTTGATCAGTGCTTACAGTTTGAGTGTGCTCTACCTCGACGGCATCAAGTTCGGAGATGGACAGGTGACGATCAGCGGTATGCTCATGAGTGTGTGCTTCTTGAGCATTTCTCGTGCAAAGGTAAGTCTGAAACGCTCGTCAGGCTCGATTGATGCTAACATGTTCCTAGCCTGTCGAACAACTCTCCAAGGAGCGACCACAGAACAACATCTGGAACTGGTACATCATCCCATCCGTTCTCGGCCAATTCGCAGTCCACATTGCCACCCTCATCTACATTTCCGACTTCGTCCACAAGTTTGAAGCCAAGAAGGATCGCAGCGAGATCGATCTCGAAGGCGAATTCGAGCCATCGCTTCTCAACTCGGCTATCTACCTCCTCCAGCTGATCCAGCAAATCTCTACCTTCGCCATCAACTACCAAGGTCGCCCCTTCCGTGAATCCATCAAGGAGAACAAGGGCATGTACTGGGGCATCGTGCTCGTCACCGCCGTGGCCTTCTCCTGCGCGACCGAATTCGTCCCCGAGATCAACGAGCAGCTCAAGCTCGTGCCCTTCGAGAATGATTTCAAGATCACCCTGTGCGTTCTTATGATCCTGGACTACGTCGGCTGCTGGTCTGTGGAGAAGATCCTCAAGATGCTCTTCAGCGACTACAAGCCCAAGGACATTGCCGTCAGGAGACCGGATCAGTTGAAGCGCGAACAAGAGCGTTTGAGGATTGAGCAGGAGAAGGCGGATCGGGCGAAGGAGGTTGCCGCGGGCAAGGCTTGAGTTGCGCCGAGTGAGGGTATTGTTGAGTAGAGAATTATACAGTTGAATATAGATTTCGTTCGCTTTGGTCGACTTCTTCTTTCTCTCTCTTCTGGTTGGGGTCCTACGTCGATTCACGTGTTCTTTCACATGCAAGCTGCCGCGGGAGGCTGCTTGCTGAGCTAGCTGATGTGCGGGAGCTTGCTGTATGGAGAGCAAACGATGGAAGTTCTTTGACCGTTCTGGGTACAAGAGTTGGTGTTGCTACTGGATGCTCGGGCTTTGCATCACTTACCTACTCAACAGATACCTACCGGCACGATGGAGGATATTGAGGAGACGCTGAAGAAGATGGAACTGGCAGGTAGCGCAGAAGGGCATGGTGAGAGGAAGGGTGCTGGGGACAAGAGCACGGAAACGGGGCACGAGGCAGGTTTAGAGAATGACGGGGTTGAGGGGAAGGATGACGAGGAAGAGGACAAGACTGCGGTGGCTGGGCTTGGTGGTGTTCTCAAGGGCGATGAAGATGGAAAGAAGCTTGCTGGAGATGATGAGAAGGGCGAAGAGAAGGAGCACGGAGCTGTAGTCGAGGACGATGAGGATGAGCATGAGCATAAGACTGTTGTCAAGAATGACGGGAATGAGAAGATTGTTAAAGAGGAGGATGAGGCTGGTATCAAGGACGGCGAAGACGCAACCGACAAGCATGGCATTGCGTACGGCTTACTTACCCTGCCTTTGAGTGCCTTGCTGACTATTGATAGTGAACCCCAGCCCCTGGCTGGCCCGTCTGCTATAGAGGCTGCCACGGGTGATGAGAATGTCGAGGACCTAAGCGACGCTGAATTTCCCACTGAAGCACTTCCCCAAGACCGGTGCGAAGCAGACAGCGACTTGGACTACGAGCACAATCCCGTGAAGGATACACATAAGCCCATGTAAGTGAAATGAAACAAGCTCCTGCCAATGGTCCTGCTACGTTCGACGCTGACTTCTGTAGGCCTTCCAATGTGGATCCGGCGCTGGGTATCCGCTTCATGAGTAAGACCAAGACAGCTTCCAAGCACGGTCTCCACATCATCAAGAAGCGTCCGAAGAGTGTCTACGAGAATGTCACCTTCATCGACTGCAAGTTCCAAGCCACTGGCACCACCACCTTCCTCGACTGCCAACTGCGCAACGTCACATTCGAGGACTGCCGATTCAAGAACGTCAACCGCTTCGACGACATGATTGCTACCAATACAGAATTCCACGGAGTCAAGTTCGATGGCTACTGGAACGACAAGACATATGACGGCGACGTCGTCGTTCACCAGCCCGAGTTACATCAGCGCCCTTTGGCTCCCAGGCAGCCTCCTCCACCGGTTTGGGACGACCGGGACCCACGTTTGGACGAATTCTTCCACTATAACTCGCTCCTTGAGCGTGTCAGGCAGCCGGCTGGCCTCAAAATCGAGGGCGGTGAGCATGAGTTCTACTACCTCGTCAACTTCCTGGCTTGCACTTTCGATGCGAAGAATCCGACTGTCTTCAAGAATTGTGCTCTTCAACAGGTGACGTTCAAAAACTGCCACTTCTCTGGCAGGTAGGTGCATCCCTCCCTCCTTTTCACAAGTCATGCAACACCCCTTGCTGCTTTACCAAGGAACCACCACACGACAGCGTCAAGACCGCTTGGAAACGGACGCTGACCTTCCATGCAACAGTCGCTTCGTGAATTACTACGCGTTCGGCCTGAAAGTCAACGAATGTACATTCCACGACTCTAAATTCGTCAACGTGGAGTGAGAGGACGATGAAGAGCTGGAGGAGAAGCGATATAGTGGGGAGGAGGTCAGATACTACGGCCTTCCTCAGCGGTTGAAGGATGATTTCATGGAGCTATCGAAGCTGAAGGCGAAGCATGAGGAAGAGCTCGCGAAGAAGAAGAAGACTGAGGAGGAGAGCAAGCAGGTGGAGAACACTAAGGAGGAGGGCAGCAAGGAGGAGGGCGCGGAGAGCAGCGAAAAGGCTGCCGCCGACAGTGGCGAACAGGAGCAACAGCAGGAGCCCGTTGGTGACGAGAGTGAGTGGAACTTCGACACTATGGGAAAGGGCAAAAGCAAGGCTGCTGGATCTGAGAACGAGTCGAAGTAGTCCCTTGACGTAGTATCATGCCCATCACGCATCAGAGCGTACGGCCCCTGAAGCCCACGCGACTTAGGACGATTCGAAACGTATCGGCGGTTGGCACGACGGGAGCTTGGTGCGAGCGAGGCATCCTCGTAGCAACCAGAACGATAGAGCTCGCCTTCTTTCTTTCAATTCAATGTGAGCGTCTTTCACATGCAAGCGCGGAAAATCGGCTGCTTAGCTCCTTGGCGCACATCAGAGCGCTCTTTCCGCTTCAAACAGCGAACTTCGACGCGACCTCTCCATCACAACACACCACACACAACGTGCTATCGCTGTCTCGACGACCTAGTCGACGTTGGCAGCATGGAGAACGACATCAGGAAGCTGTTGGATCGACTTCTGCTCAACCCGCGCACAGAGGGCGATGAGCCTACTAACTCCACCTCACCTGTCGCCGCCACTGAATACGACGCCGCCGCCGCCGCCGCCGATAGCGAGGGAGACTCAGGATCTGATCTAGATGGTGGTGCTGACCTGGGCAACCTCACAGATGACGATCGCGCGGGTGATAGCGGCGTGCTCGTTCCTGCATTGTGAGTAACCTCTTCCCCATACCATTCTCGATTACTGACGTACAACCAGACCATCAAGGCCATCCAACGTCGGCGAGCTTCCAGATGTCTGCTTCAAGAAATGCGACGAACTCATCTTCCCCCCTGAGCATGGCCTCACGATCTCCACTGAAGGCCGGTACACTCGCTACTTCTGTCTCACCTTCATCGACTGCCAATTCGAGAGCAGCGGCATGACCACTTTCGCTGGTTGCCAGCTCAACTTTGTCACCTTCGAAGGCTGCACCTTCAAAGGCGTCAATCAATTCATCAACATCATCGGCGACGGTCTCTGCTACACCAAGTGCACGTTCGACAATCACTGGGAGACAAACCTCAGACACGACTCTAACATTCACCTGGTCAGTCTCACTTTCGAGGGCACCCGGCACAACGGCTACCTCGACCAGAGCGAAGCGGACTGGAGGAGCGACCTGGTTAAAGAGCAGGAGCGCGAGTTTGACAGCTGGTCGAAGCACCCTCGTGTACCTGGGGTAATACACACCGAGGACGAGGATGGCATATGGAAGTCGGGTGGGCGCGGTCTCATGCTCAAAGATAACCGTGAGCACGAGCTCTACCGCGAGGTCTACTTCATCAACTGCACCTTTGACGCTAGCAAGCCCACCATTTTCGACAATTGTGTGCTTGATGCTGTTACCTTCAAGAACGGCTCCTTCTCGGGCAGGTAAGTCATCACTCCATACTCCTCGTCCGCAAGCTTAGTCCTGGTGCTTTGAACACTCCGTGGACTTCTTGTGTCTAAGTCTACGACCAAGGCTAACACTCACTTAGTCGCTTCGAGAACTTCTACGCCAAGGGCCTCAAAGCCACCAACTGCACCTTCAACGACTGCCAGTACGTCAACGTAGCGCGACCAGACCATGAGGTGCTCAACGGTCTGAAACGCAGTGGAACTCGTAATATCGGCGAATCAATGCCTTCACGACTGACCGAGAAGCTGCGAGAAAAGCGGACCCAGAAGCCGTGGAGTCTGACGGATGTCGAAGAGACGCATAACGCGCATTACACATACAAGCCGGCGAAGGGCATCGAGATCAAGGAGAACAGCGGAGAACAGCGGCCTTGCCGCACCGCACCAGAAGAAGGAGAACCAGCCACCAGGCAACCCACCAAAGGAGTGGGATGTGGCCACCATGGGCAAGGGAAAAGGCAGAGCCGACGCACCTGGCGATGATTCGAAGCAGTCTGCCAGCTCTACGCCAATCAGTCGAAGCAGTCCGTCAGCTCTACGCCAGACGCACCAGCTGATACCCCAGCTCCTGCGGTCGCTCGCACCATCTTCAAGACTTTCAACTTCGAGGAGGACCCTGAGACCCGCGAAGAGAAGGACGTGACTGATATGGACCTGCATTCGGTGACGCGTGGTTCACGTCGACGTCAGCGTTATCGTCAGTACAGAATTCCCGGAGTTCCTCATCAATACTCTATCGATGGGCAGAATGGAGGGAAGTGAATGCGGTGGATTGTGGGATGATCAACAAGGACTGATTCTGTGGGATCGGACTGAAGTTGAGTGCGAGAAAGAGTGTGGATGGCGAGAACCGAAATGTTCGAGTAGTCTTGTGCACGAAATGATGAGGGCTGCTCAGCAGCAATGTCTCGAAAAATGTCCTCCTTCGTGACATGCCTTAGGATACTCAAGCGTCTTCGTGGTTGCCGTCGTGACGTTCGTGCCGTTCCAACGCAGGGGTTTATCGATGCTCCTTGCGCTAGGCACATCTCATCTTTACTGACATGCACGGAAAGACCGAGGAGCACAGGAGACGGGAGGCGGAAGGACGAACGTATGGTATGGCAGTAAGACTGTTGACTTATCAGCCATACAAATGCTTGTTGTCATATACTTCAAGAGCCTAGAAAAGGCCACCATGCCGCTTCAAATGCTCAACGAGCCTACCCACGTCCAAAGCCAAACCATCCCTTCTTCTGAGCTGGTTGTGCCGGCTTCTCCTCAACCCCATTGGCCACAGGCTTCTCTGCGACCTGAGGCTTCTCGACTGTTCTGCCAGGATATTCAATGTAATTGAAAGCGACGTCCAGGAACATTGGCTTGACAGGGACTGGCTCGATCTTGGGTGGGTAGGTGACTAGATTCTTCAAGTCGACTTTGGTACCCGGGGATGGGTAGTCGTTGAGTCGCTGGACAATTGGTGCGGCTGAAGTCATATTCTTCTCGGCTGCAATTGCTGAGTTGTCTTGCAGGGCGTGCATCTCCACGAGAGCGTGCATGCGTGAGCAGAGGGAGTCGATGTGGGTGCTTAGCTTCTCGAAGACAGCGGGCTGGATGTCTAGGGTTGGTGGCGAGTCCTCTGAGCTGCCAGAGCTGGAGGCAGGTGGAGGTTGCGACACTAGATCTTGGGCTCGTTTGAGGAGCGCCAGCGCGTTCAGGTGGTTGCTGAGCAAGCTATGCGAGAACGAGATGTTCAAACACTTCAGCGCGCGGAAGTAGTTGGCTTTTGCGTCTAGTTCCTTCACGAACTTCTCGTCTCGCACGGCTCCTCGCAGATCTTTGATCGAGTTGATGCTTTGGATGGTCGAGTCGTACAGTACTGTTCTCTCCCGTAACCGAGCCAGCTTGCGACCCCTCGGCTCTTCCTTCTCGACCTGCTCAGTCTCCCCTTTTCGTGATCGCTTATGCCTCTGCTGATTTTGCGCCTCAAATGTGATTCCATCGTTGTTGCCTATCAGCACACGATTTCGGCCCACGCGCCATGAGACCAGGTCGTAGTTGACGGACAGGCTTGTGACGCGGAGATTCTGCATTCGTGGATCGCTCTCGTCTACGCGTTCCTTTTCCAGTTCGTCGGTGGCTCTCTTGGTTGCGTCCGCTGCATCTTGCGAGGCGATCAAGACATCGTCGTATGCAGCAGCCTTGTCACGCGTTGATGCATCTTGGTTCGCAGACAGATACGCTTTTAGCTTGGACTCTGCCAATGCCACGTTTGCCAGAGCTTGTCCAATCGATGCGTCGACAATTTCGGCTTTTCGTCCTCTCCAATTGACACTGCTTGGTACGTCCAAAGGCGAGTCCTCCTGTTCAGCCTCGTTCTTCGGAGCCGGCTTGTCCTTCAGAGCGTACGGATCCAGCTTCTCAACAGCCTGTGCAAGCTCCTTGTCATCCTTTGGAAAGTGTCGCTTTGCGACTGTAGGGACTGCAATGGTTCGTGAGATATGAGCTTGATACGCTGCATATCGAATGGTCGGATCGATTGTGCTGGCCAAGATCTCTCTGTACACCTCCTTCTTCTCTTTCTCAAGCAGAGCAGCATAAATCACTCTGGCTTGAGAGAAGTTCTGAAGACAGGCCTGCCATCGCTTCTCACTCTGCTGTGCATCCTTCCCTCGCTGGCCTTCCGATTGCTTCTCGAACTCCTCTGATCCTGCCAAAGATGCCTGATATGCCTGCGCCTCCAACACGTCCTGTTCATTTGACTTTGCAACATCTCTGCTCTTTAATACATCCACCAGCTCGCGGGCTACCTTCGCAGCTTTGCTCAGTCGAGAAATGATATGGCTACGAGTTGATCCAGTGATTCCCTTGCTGTCCTCGCTATGGGTCGCCTTCATGTGCATCGCATGCGCCCAAGCACGCTCGGAAGTGAGCAGCAGGAGATGGACGAACTCATGATTGCTCCCGATATCGTCTGCGGTGACTGGCTTCGCAGCGAATTTCTCCTTCTTGGCCGTTGCTCGTCCTAATCGCTTGCGTGTTGATAGGAGCTGTCGCGAGAGCTGGGCGCGGTATGAGTTGTAGTCGCCGAGGAGGAGCGCCTCGCGGTGAGTCGCGACGAATTGGGTGATATCCATGGCGGTAGACTTTGGCAGTGGCAGTGAAAAGTCGAGCATGAGCTGCGATGAAATGAGGTGGGCTGTGGTCCTGTGGGGCAGAAATTGTGGCCTGAGGCATCAAGTTTGGACTTCACCCGCTGCCGAATGGCTATCTATTTCGCCGACAACATCAAGATTGAAGTCTAACGCTTGTATGCCCTCACAGAGCTCATGATGGGCCTTGTATTTTCCATCATTCAAGCCAATTTCTTCCTTTCCTCGCTCTCCTCGCTTCATGGACTGTTCGGCACAACATGAGCCTCCATAAACACCTTTCTTTCTTTCGGCCTCGTCAACGGCGAAGCGTCCAAGAACTGCGAAATCTGCCCATCCGTAAACCGATACAACTTCGCCGAGCCTCTCTGTGGCATACCCAAGAGCTCCAACTCCCATTGGTCAATATGTTCTCCCGTGAACAGCCTTGCCGAATCGATCTTGATGGCATCTTCAGTCTCTCTGGTGTTGTTCTCTCCATCGAGGAGGTCGCGAATGTCGTCCATGGTATCCTCTTCGTGGATCACTAGCCAACTGTCTCGGCGGAAGGAAATGTTCTTGAGCTTCCCATCGGCCTTGCAATGGCTGACGCAACGAAGTGCGATGTCGATGCCTTTATGCGGCCATTTGGTGAGTCCGAGACCGTGTTCTGCTGAGTCGTACTTGTTGAAGCAGTAGGTAGGCAAGAAAGGCATACCGGTGCGTAAGTTGCCCCAGTCCTCGGCGACATGTTGCTTGAGCTTGCTCTTGAATTTGATCATTGACCATCTTTCCCCTCGAAGGCATGAAGAGGCCAGTGTAGAACGCAAGATTGATATCGCTGAACTTTACTTGATTTTACTTCTCTGATTAATTGGAATCGCCGATGCAGAGCTCCTTGAATTCGAAGGCATGCGCTCTGGTGAACTTGATCGTCTTGAAGTCGTTGTCGAACCATACCAGCAACGGCCAGCAATACACAGGACCCAGCGATCTCCCACCTCTCCTATTTCGTGTACTCTAGGTTCGCTTTGCTCAGTAATGGCTATGTTGCCAATACGGAGACATTCAGCTTGCTCTGCGCTCCGACGCTCTGTAATCGATCTTGCGGCCGGTCTGCCTTCGCCGGCGCAATGGTCACATCACACATCAACTTCCATCTTCTGGCCAGCGATCCCAAAAACATCCCCTATCTCAGCGAGTCTCGGGGTGCCGTCCAGCGGCATCGCGCTCCAAGGAACGCTGGGGATCTCGAGAGAAGCGGCCAAGGCTACCACCAACTCATTGCCCTTGTTGGCGCCCTTCACGCCAGGGGTGAACACTCTATCCTTGGCAACTTCCGCAGCTGCATTACAAATACCACCTCAAGCACCAGCACCAGCACCCGCACCCGCAGGAGCGGTAAGTCGCGTCGGTGTTGTCAAGCAGTCGTCAGCGCCGTGCTTTCATTCTGCACCTTCGTCTTCGATCAGGAAATCGGATGAATCAAAACTGTCTGACACCACAAGAACGAGACAAGACCGGAGACAAGACGTGACTGTCGCGAGGTTGCATACCCTTCGCTTTGAGCGGGATTTTCTCGAGAGGATACGTCGACGGGACCAGCAAGCCAACGTTCGATAGCATGGCCGGGCTTGTTCTCTTGGGGATGGTCTCGTCGAAGTGAAGTCGGATCAGCGCCTTCGGTTGGTGAGATCGCTGCACTGCGTTGCGCTCGACCTTGGAGAGAGGGCTTTGTCTCGAGGGAATCTTGTTGGCGCTTTTCTCCTCATTTTGTGACGTGCAAAAACGAACACAAGAAGAGACATCGAAGAGAAGATCCACCTACCGTGTGGCACAGTTGCGCTTCTTCTCTATTGTTGTCAGCTTTGTTGTGACGATGGGGCTCGTGCCACTGTTGTTTCCGGATTGGGAAAGCCTCACATGGTGAAATGTCATTCACTCAACTCACATCTTCCTCCATAGTAATCTCTCATACTATGCAGAGGCATGTCGTACCAGTGCATTCCTCATAGTGCTAGTCGTGGGCATAGATCAACATGTATGTCAACCAATACAGCAAATCTACTGTTCTTCCTCCTTCTTCTGTCCCTGCCCCGTAAAAGCACCTCCAAGCCCAGAGCCCAGGTTATATCCCGTCTTGCCAACACCAGCAACGGTCGAATAGCCCTGCATAGCAAATCAGCACAGGAGTTATAAAACTCAACACACTCAAAGACTCACCGCATTCCCAACAGTGTCCCCAGCATCCTTCACCGCACCACCGAGCGACCCCAACGTGCCCGTAGCAGCATTGGTGGCATAGTCGACCGCTTGTCCCGCATAACCGTGCGTACTCTCAGGCAGTCTGTCCTTCACCATGCCATGGGCACTGTCTGCAGTGCCCTGGACGTAGCCCTGTCCTTGCTGATGGACGCTATCGCCCGTGTCACGAACGTAATCAGCAGTCGATTGCTGATACTGGCCCGCCGTCTCCTGCGCAGAAGAAGCGTAACCCTGCGCTTTCTCCCCGTATTGCGAAGCCATGTCTTGTGCCTTTTGCTGGTAGTCTCCGGCGGTATTCTGGGCGTTCTCGAGCGTGGATTGGGCGTAGTTGGAGGCTTGCTCGCCATACGACTGTGCTTGGCCTGTTGCGCCAGAAGTCGTCTCTTGTGCAGACTGGGCTACTTGCTCGCCGGTCTGCTGGGCCGACTTGCCGGCTTCTTGTCCTGCCTGCTGGGTTGCTTTGCCTGCGCTCTGGGCGGCGCCTTGGGCCTGTTGAGAGGCGTTCTGTGCCTGGGCTTGAGCATCTCCTCCCGGTTGTTGGCCCTGCGAGCCTGGGAAGAGCTCGATCTTGACTGCTGAGTTGTCTAGGACGCGCATGGTGAGGATGTTATGGATGTAGTGGATTGAGGTAGTTACGAATGTGTTTCAGAGAGACGGGCAGAGAATTAAGAATATGGAACTGGCAAGTAAATAATACTTCTTACCTCCTACAATACGTAGCGCTCCCACTCATCGTCGTCCAACCTGTGGCATTCGTTCGCTCAACGTGCACGGCAGCCATTCCAGCATGACGCAGCCACACCTCACAAGACATGTCAAGCAGGTCTGATACGGTGGCGCTGAACTCTATCGCGCTCGATCACAGCAACTCGAATGGGCAAATGCGAAGGACGAGCGAGGCGCGTCTGATGTCGAATCGTTCCCAAGATTTGGACGTCACTGTGGGGCCAGGGTCTGGATCGAGTGCGATTTGGCGTGAATGATTGCCTGAGGCAGTAATATTCGGAGCACACGCCGCGGACCCTACGCCTTCTTCCTCCTCTTTCCACCACCGCTACCGCCTTCAGCACCATCGGCCCAGCTCTTCCTCTTCCTGCCCTCCCGCTTCCAGAAGTCATCTCGCTCACGCTTCTCACGCTCCTTTCTCTTCTCGTCATTCTCTGCGACCTTGGCACGGTACGGTTGCCGTCTTTCCTCCTGTTTCTGGCGACGCTTCTCGATCTTCTCGTTCCTCAAAGTCATGACTTGTTGCATGAGTCTACGTGCAACCTTCTCCTCACCGCCAACAACAACAGCACGCTTCGATGTATACGTATCCTTCTTTTGCGGCTTCATCTGTGTGATCTGAGACTTGTATGGTAGATCCGCCTGCAGCTTGCGAGGTACGCGAAGAGGGTTGAAATGACGCTCTTGACGCTCCACTGGCCTGTATGTGCTATTCTTCTCTTTTGGTGTTGGAATGTTCTGTGCAGCACGGACCTGACCAGTCAGACGCATGCCTTCCCACGAGTCTGCCGAACCTCCTTCCAAAAGATTGGTGACAGGGTTGTAGAAGCGATGAGGCTTGACAGGATACCAAGCTCGAAGGATTATGATGTCGCTCATCAAGACCTTGTCTTCAAAGGTAGCCCTGAAGCAGCCCTCAGGCTTGGAGAGTGCCTTCTTGATCTGACCTCGGATGCCAGAGACGGTCTTGATGCCAGCGCCTTCAAACTTGGCAATCTCAAGGGCCGAACCAAACATATCTTTGATGAATGCGGTGTTTTTGAAGATCTTGTAGGGATGACCCGTCAGCTTCAGCTTCTTCACAATCTCAGTGCCTTCGTCCACGTTCAGCACGACACCGGTAGCTGCTATTCGAAAGCCAGGATTCTTGTTTGAGAAGTTTTGCACGCAACAGAAACCGGTGTTTGGAGCCGCCAAAGGACCGTAGAACGTGCCAAAGCAGTGCATATGCTCTGGCGTATACTTGAGCATCCTGTTCCTCGTCCGTGAGTCGCTGATGCTGTAGACTGGAGTCGATTGGAATCGCCGCCAACCCAGCGAGAAAATGAGTGGGTCGTTCGTCTTCAGGATCTTCTTGTGCCATCTGTGGCGCTTGATCCGAACCTGGACAAATCCGAATCGTTCTTCAGTAGGCTGCAAGCCACCGATCAGGAGCGGGAACCTCGAATCGAAGTTCTCGGTGAACTCGCAAGGTACGGATGAGAGGATGAGACGAGCATACGTGCCAGCTCGGAAACCCTCAGCACGTACCCGGGAGGCTTCATCCAGTGCCTCGAATTCGCTCCTGTTGATTTCTTGCTGCTTTTGAAGCAAGGCTTTTTGGGCATCATACCACTCATCCTCGCCATACTCTTGCTCTTCGGCCTTTCCATTGGCTTCGCGGTTGGTGTTTTTAGGATTGAGAAAGCCTTCACGGTCTTCCTCCTCGAAACGCAACTTCAGCTCCTCCTTCTTCCGAGCGTTCTTTTCTCGCTCGTCTTCGATGGTCTCTTCAGCTGCGCCATGGCTCTCCCCTGCCTCCAAATCCTCAAACTCGCCATCACCCTCATCTTCATCGTCGGCGATGCCTTCGAACTCATCATCTTCTCTGTCGCCCAGTTCTTCACCGTTAGCGCCTGTTAGACGTGTGGATGCAAAGCGCTGTCTTAATGCTTCCACGTTGTCTTCATCAGTCCACTTCTGTTCCAGTTCTTCGTAGTCAAATTCGGGAATCATTCGATCATCGTCTTGTTCGATGGATCCAGGTCGTCTCCTCTTGAAGAAGTCATCATCTTGCTCCTCGGCATCTCTGTCATCTCCCCTCTCGTCTTCGCCTCGCCACTTCTTCACGATATCCGCAGTCGACAGCATATCATTGTAGATCATCTTCGCCAACTCGGCGACCCGGTATGGCTGTCTTCGGCCTTGCAAGTCTTTGGCACGTTGCGACAAGTTGCTCTTCCAGCGGGCAGCACCGTCATCATCCTCATCCTCATCCTCATCGGCTTCTGAGTCGTCTTCAAGGTCCTGGTCAGATACCGATGAAAGGAAGCCCAAGTCACTGTCGGAATCTGCAAATGCAACGTCGCCATCGACTTCGCGATCCTTGTCCTTACGAGATCGACCCAGCTTCTCTGGAGCTTGCTGCAACGTGTCCAGGTCAGCATCATCGTCTGTATCGGCACTGGCAAAGCCCTCATCCTCGACGTCTTCATCATCCTGATCATCCCGCTCTACAACGGTTGGCTTCCTTGCGCTGCGCCGACCCGTATCGTGCCTTTCCTCGTCGTCCAGTTGCCGCAGCCTCTCGCCTCGATCAAACAGCGCAATGCCCTGATCGTCTTCTCCAAGCAACTTCCGCTCTCCTTGAAGTCCGACGACCATTTGCTCGCCGAGACCTCTCTCCTCGTCGTCTTCCTCAGCATCGAACGTGTTGCTTTTGACATCGATGTACACTGCATCCTTGTCCACCAGGACACCTCCAACATCGCTCATCGGAGCATAGATGAGTTTCTGCTTGTCGCCGAGTCTCCTTCTCTTTTTCGTCCCTTCTTTCTTTTCCTGCTCTTGCGTGAAGTAAGGCGTGGGACATGGATCTGGCAGCTTCTCGACTCGTTCTACTTTCAGATCCCCAATACCAGGGACATGAACTCTTGCATCGTTCGAAGGAAAGTTGGTACCTCGCAGGTAGCCATATAATGCTATGGTTCGATCGCATTTCGCATCCTTTTCGACAGTGGTTGGAGGGGTGATATCGAGCATCCGGTCGGCCAGAGCATAGGGGTGGGAATTGCGCCACACCAGCGGTCGCGGATTCTTCATGACACTGAGGAAGCGCGACAGGTTCAGTACTTCTCGATCGGGATATCTGCCGTTGATCACACCGGAGAGATAGAAAAGCTTCGCTCCCTGATAGAGCTCCGACCAGAAACGGTGCTTCAGTCTCTTCTTTTGGGCCTTGAGGGTATCTTGCTTCCGGAAGAGGTCCAAGTGGGTGAGAATCCCAAACACGTTACCTGGCATACCAGTGCTGCTCAGGACAGACAAGAATTCCATGGTTTCCATCTCGAAGCCATAGTTACCGTCGATCATGAGCAGTACGATATCCACCACCTTTGCTAGGTCGACCGCAGCAGCAAGGCTGTCGCTCGGGCATTCCATGATCGTGAGTCGCCGTCTCTTGCCCGTCACGACTGTAATTGGTCCAGTAGGATCTGTAACAGTCTGCTTCGTGTATCGTCGTACCAAGCTCTTTATCAGTGTCGTCTTTCCCACACCGGGAGGTCCAACGACTCCGACAACCAGAGGTGGAGCCTCCTCTGGAAGTCTATCGACCAAGGGAACATGCAGTCTCTTTTCCTTAACATCGTGGCTCCTCGCCGCCTGCTTTGCCAATCGTCCTGGTGCTGCGTAGGCGAATGCCTTTGGGTTCGGCTGGCTCTTGTCTTTGCCCTTCTTCTCCTTAGTCGGGCGATGCGCCCGATGGGTCTGTTCTTCACCCGCCATGCTGCTGCTCGTCCTCCTGCTACATGGAAGAGAACGAAGTCGACGCCAAGATTTCGCGGGTTCTCAGAAAATCTCGAGCTCGGATCACAAACCTTATCTCGGCGAACGGCGACGGATCGCGGCTAGAGCCGGTTCTGTCGCGTGCCACCATCCCTGCACGCGATGACGAAACGTTCGAAGCCCGCATGTGAGAGCATGAAGCTGCGTCCGTCTTCCAGGCTTCGACATTCAACTCCAACTTCCACTGCAAAACATTCATCTCGTCCACCAATACGTTCAATCCAATCCCTCAAGCTGCACCCTTTCATACGACGATTCTCTTCGATTCGATCTTTCAAAATGCCTTACAAGATCAACGTATGACCTCCACTGCCTAGCACGAAGCACATCGCTGACTGAGTATTAGGTTTCCTTGAAGAAGGATGCCGATGCTGCGCAGCTTGACCAGTACGTACTGTTGCGTTGACTTGATCTAGTAGCGTGCTAACATAGCCCAGAGCCAAGAAGCAGGTCTCTGACCAAGGCGGAAAAGTCGTCAACGAGTACAAGTTGGTCAAGGGCTTCACGTACGCATATGCTCCATTCGTGTTGAAACAGATCCTGACGCTCTACAGTGCTGAATTCCCAGACGACAAGGTCCACTCTCTGCAGTCCAACGACCATGTGAATGTAGAGGCGGACAGCAAGGTCACGACGCAATAAAGGACACGAGCTGCCATGAAGATGGGGTATCATGAGTTACGAGTATAGACGACTCAAATAAAACATAACGTCTCCATGACACGCAATGACAACCCTCTATGCTGGATAAAGATATGTGACCTTCTCAGTCTCATGTGTCAGATCCGTCGATGATCTACTACTGACTGGTCCATTAATTCTCCTCTTCGGCCTTTCGAGTCTCCTCGCAACAGGAGCTCGCATGTCCAGCATATTCATCAATGGCCCTTAGCACAAGGCTTATGCACTTTTCAGCCCTGCCTTGACCCTGCTCTTGAGCTCACTATGCTGCTGCATGCGAGGTAGGCGTTTCGCATGTTCCGCAGGTGACGGCGGCAGCCACTCTTCCAACTTTCAGTTAAGTGATGCAGTTCACCCTGTCGAAAAGACGGGACGGGTGTCTGGCTTGCATTCTGACAGCCTCGTCTGTGATTCTCCATCGCATTATCCTTCCAACAGTACTCCCCAACTTCACACCTCCCCATTACCCCTTCCCAGACTGACATCCCCCCCTCTGACTTGCCGATCACTCCTCCCAACGTCAAAGCCCACCATCCTATCCCCATCCGCATCCTCAAAAACGAACTCTTCCCCACTAACACTCCCCCTCCTACTCCCTGTCGCATCAATCACAACCATGCGCCGGGGCACAATAAAGGACGTAATCGCATTGGATATTCGGTCTCGTAGTGAGCTCGTGTGTTCTGATATCGATCCGAGCGGGAGGTATTGGCCGTATCGATTGCGTTGATGTCGAATTATAGGGGCAATGACGAAGGCGCCGATTACGTAGATTGCGAGGGCGATGAGGGCCGGGATGAAGATGATCTGTGGTTGGTTAGCAGCAGAACCTCTACTTGGCTTCAACAACTGACCTTGAAGACGTCGAAGAACCCCATGTTGAATAACGAGTGGATCCGTGGATTGGGTCGATGGAGTTGCTTTGAGAAGCCAAGGTGGCTTACGCGGCGGTCTTACTATGCGGTCTGGTGCCTTGACGTTGCGATTGCCGACCGACAGTAGAGAAACGAATGTGTATTAGCAATAAAGATTATAAGAGATGCAATACTTTGAGAATGGATGTGAAGTGCATGCCTGTCGAAGTTGGTCCCAAAGAGCTGTGTAAATACAGTGAGTCCGTGCACAGCGCTAGTATAACGGTATCGACTTCATCGCATCAGATCCTGCCTCCTTTTCACATCTCGAACTCGCGACCGAATTCATCCTTGTTTCCTGCCACTTACCTTCAAGCCTGACGATCTGAACGCTTCTATCCGCTAGGGATCAAGGAATGTGCGCCGGCAAGGCGAATGATCTGATCTGTAAGCCTCGACCATGGACGCTTATAGGCGAGTGAACCCTACGATGAGGAAAAGAAACCACGACATAAACTTCATCGTCCACTGAAGCGCTTATCACGTATATACCAACACCTTGAAAGACTAGTCTTTGGCGAAGACATTACAACCTACATTCAACAACACATTCTGGGCGCAAAATCACTTTTCGAAGCTATTCTCATCCACAACGCCTGCACCAAGTACTGCCGACCTTAGAGGTGACATTTCAGATGATACGGGAACCCGGCAACAGGTTTGCTCCAGACCGTATTACTCGCACAAGAATCCGGATCGTATCCTTCAGCCTGGAAGATCTTCTGGATCTGGCGACGGCGGATTCCCGTGTTGGACCCTTCGAACACCGGCAGACAGATGGCATCATTCATCATGAGACCATATGGCTGGTCGGTATCATAGGATGTCACACCAACGGCTTGCATCGCTTCCAGGACACATTGAATGGCTGTCTCTGAACCGTACACTTTTGCTTGGTAGGCTAGCTCTGCCTCACCTGTGATGTCCAGGTAATGGCAGGCCTTCCACGTGAGATATCGGGTCGTCTCCATTCTCATTTTCATGCTGATGAGAAAGTCGGCGACGCTCTGGTACTGAATCGTGGGACGTGAACCGCCTCGTTTGTCAGTGGTGACAATCTTCAAAGTGTGAATGAAGCAGGATCTCATGAGGCCCGCCGCTCCAGCGCCGACCAAGGCTGCGGACTCCGTGAAGGCGGCTACGTTGACCATGGCGCCTTTCCCAGGCATAGCAAGGATGTTCTTGGTCGGAACACGGAAGTTGGTGAAATGAGTTCGAGGGCCAGAGTGCGCACGGAATCCGTGTGTCTCGATATCGACGCCGACGCGAAAGCAGTCGCGGTTTCTTGGGTCGTGAAACTGCTCGCGCGTGATGACCACGATGCCAATGGTATCCATGGGCGCCGCTTGGGATCCGAAGCGACATACGAGACATATAAGTTCTGGTCCTTTGAAGTCCCACTACGAAGACGTTAGCAATGGGATCCATTCGAGCTATGGGCAGTACTAACTCCACCGCTACTGGAAGCCCAAATCTTGCCTCCGTTGATGACAACCTCATTACCTTGAACCTTTGCGAACGTCTGGACTCCTTGGCCGCCTTCGTTCTGAAGCCAGTTCGCAGAGCCCGTAGGCTCCGAAAACCCCAGCGCCGCAAGCGGTGTTCCCTTACAGGTCAAAAATGGGGCGAGGAACCTCTTCTTCTGCTCGTCATTTCCACTAAGACGCTTTAGCAGGAACATTCAGCAACGTCGCTTGTTAAGAAATACTCACTACATGAAAATAGGAGAAAGACCCAACCCCGTCACCAGCCACGTAATCGGCAGGCTAGAATCCTGCGCAAAGAACTCCTCGCACACCAAGGCTACATCCACGAGACTCTTCCGCGTGCCGCCAAACTCCTCTGGGATTTGTATTTTGATCCAGCCGCCTTCGATCATCGCGCGGTAGGCGTCCTTGGTGGCACGAAACCGCTCGAATTGCGTGGGAAGCTTGAGATATTCCGCTCGACATGGCGCGAGGACGTCTTCAGCGAACTTGCGAGCGGCCGATTTGAGGGCGGCCTGTGAAGGGGACAGTGTGAAGTCGATGGGCATCGTGACAGAGGATGTGTCGTTGGTTGCCGCGTGGGCTAGGAAAGTTGGACTGGGAATCGATACTCTGGACCGGACTTCTTACAAATGGCATCGATGCATCGTGGTGTGAGATGAGGTACTATATACTTGCTTGCCAGTGGGACACTGCTTTGCTGGTATCGTTTACCCATCTGCCCGATTCGACTCAAAGGAACCCCATCGCTCGAAACCTCGACGCATCTCCTCATCTCGGGCACGGAGGGTCAGCGCGAAAGGCAGGAGTACGATTGGTGAGACACACTCCTTATCTGCGTATTGGATGTCAGAGCCTTGTCCGATCCGATGCTCTGGACAAGTCTACACAGCTTTCAGAGTCGACGGGGTAATGCCAAGACCGTCACATGTTTTGCATATGTCACCAAACCCCCCATCTCGTTCTGAAAGTGTTCAACGCCTTTGGTTCTTCTGGGATGCATATCTCCACGGTCGACTAGGCGTCGCTGGATCTTATCAGTACAGCTAAAAGCAGAGCTGCAAGGCTGGACAAGAACTTAGCTCCCTTGCAGAGAAGCAGGCCACGGCCCTGCCGAACACGAAAGTCTGATATGGTTTCGAACCCTTCCCTATAAGAATGTCGCGACAGGTGACGATGAACACGCCCAACGCCGATGGAATGGATTTGTTGGGACAACAGCGTTCGACTGTTTTCTCTCCTACACCTGCGACCCCTGTTCCCGCAAAATCTGCTTCCAGCCCTCATTCTCCACCGCCCGGATGGGACTGCCCCCAATCTTCATGACCGGCGAATGCTGAAATGTCTCCCAGTTGTGGCATTTGAGCGTTTGCTCCATGCTTGTCTTGACCTCTGCTGTGCCTCGGTCGATCATTTCTTTCTCGTACTCGTTCACAGCTTCCTTCAGACTCACTTCGCCTTTCGAGTGTTGTACGAGTCTGGAAACGAGCTCTTTGGCGTCGCGGATACAGTTATTCAGACCCTGGCCTCGATGGAACGTCATGGCGTGTGCTGCGTCGCCGACTAGTGTCGTTCGACCTGAGTGGTTGTCCCAGGGTACTGGTATCCAGACAGACACTCGGTCGCTAGGGATGATAAGACGCCAGGGGTCTTCGTCGGCGTCAAGTCCTGCAGTGGTTGTGTGCTCACCATTCCGTCCAAAGAACCCATCCGTCACAGTAACATCCGCATCACCAAGCCATTCCAAAGCCTCGCGCTTCGGACTCGCCCAATCCCTCGTCAAATCCTGCAAATCCCTCAACGAATGCGGTGGTTCAGGATCCTCCTTATCCGGACTCAACTCAGGCGGCCAAGTGAGCGTGATCTGGAAACTCCATGTCTCCGGCCTTTTGGGATCGGGAACGCCCTGCATCGTCATGAGGAAGAACATGCCCTTGGGGTGAATGCCGTGGTCGACGAAATGGCGAAGTTTCGAGCGGATGAAGATGGCGTGCTCGGGGTTGCGGTAGCGGACGTTGAAGTTGGCCATGTAGACGGGGAGAGGTTTTGGTTCTGCGAGGGGGCCGAGGAGGGAACGACGGACGATTGAGCCGCCGCCGTCGGCGCCGATGAGGAGGGTTCCTGTTTCTGAGGCGCCGTTTTGGAAGAATGCTGTTACTGTTCCGTCGTTGCCAAATTCTATCCTCTCCAACTTATGATCGTACTATGCAATCGTCAAAAGAACTCCTATCTCACCTCAGCTCACCACCAAAACACCTACCTTAACATCCACCCCCTCCCCAAGCAACCTCCTCAACGCCTTCCTCGCGACCCTCCTGCCCCCAGGACTAGGCACGACCTTAATCGTACTCCCATCCCTCCCATTCGTAACCGTCATATTCTCCACCGGCTGCGCCTTGTAGACTGGATCGACCTGCGCTTCCGGTAATCGATCCACCAGCTCCACAGGCAATAAATAGGGAAGGTAGTCTGCAGACCAGAAGTACGCCATTCCCCAGTCGCGGGAACGACCGGCCGTGGACTCTTTTTCGTAGATGGTGTAGGGGATGTGGTGTTTTTGGAGGCCTTGGGCGAGGAGGAGGCCGCAGATTCCTGGGGTTTGGTTAATTGTCTTGTATTATTTTGTGGTGGGATAGACTTGCCTGCGCCGATGATGATAACATGAGGCTCCTTTTCAGCAGTGCCATTGGATCGAGCCATATTGGATTAAACAAAAGGGTCTTTTTCAAAACAGAAAGGATTAAGCGTTGTCATCATTTTGAAGTATGTCCATGTTGCTCGAGGTATCCACCAGGCACGAAGGTCCACTTTTATCCTGTAGTGGACCTCATGTATGCAGGGTCTTCGGCAGGCGTATGCTCGGGAAAGAAGGCATATGGCCTGGTACATCATTGAACCAGGACATTTCGAAGAAGCCGAAGTCTTTTGACTACTCACAACAAGTAGGGCAAGAGGAACGCAAGAATGCTGTCTACTCCAAGATTGGGTTCTTTGATTTATACCATATGCTCGCTAGATCGTCTATACCCATGCTTGTCGTCTTTGACGCTTTCCGAATGATCCTGTCGCTCATTTTCTTCATGAAGTTCGATTTCAGTCGTCTTCCTAATCCCTCCGAACCCACCATACACCACGCTATTGTTTCTACTAGACGGATCCTGTTCAGAGATTTGATCCAGCGTGCCTTCATGCTTCTCCGACTGACTCCATGGCTCACTGTGCTTCGAACTGTCGATAGTCCTGAGCCCTGTGCTCATCGTGTTCACGCTGCTGATTACATAGCCAGTGCGAGGACCAGGATCGCGTGACCTTTCCGCGAACCATGGGATGAGTTTGTTGAGGATTGGCCGGAGGAGTGGCAAGCAGGCGCATATGATGCCCACGTTTGTTTCCACGGCGGTCCATTTAAGGGTTGCGCTGCCAGTGTATGTGGAGTCTTTGCCTGTTGCGCCAGTCTTCAGGGTCGTCATTCGTACAATCGTGACCACGCAGACACTATGAATCGTCAGTACAGAATACAAAAGTCATTTGTGGCTTGTGACTTACAAAGCTCCCAGTAGGAAGATTCCCATCAGCACATACTTCTGCCGTTTCGTGATCTTCATCAGTCCATTGATCAGCGGTATGGGTAGCGCGAGAATCATGATATCCGTGAGCATGTTCAACGTCGCGTACGTATACCACCAGGGAATCGTCTCAACGCAGTGGCCCTTCAAGGACTTGTCCCAGCTATACTGAATCGGGGTGCAAGAGAATATGCCCACGATGAAGGTCGCAACGAACGTAACGACAACGAGTGTCATCAAGATGCGCATCCACAGTCGAAAGCTGAGTCCGTATGCTTTGATGGCAGGTGTATCACAGAAGACCCGCTGGTACATGAGTAGAATTGATATCTTCGTCGGCCATGTGACCAGCTTGTAGCAAATCTGGCAGATGTAGAAGTACTGCGTAAGTCAGTAAGAAGATCCTCCGGTATATTGAGGTTGGGGCATTTACATATAGCGCAAGCTTGAGGTTCCGGCTCGAGATGTCTCCCATGTGTCGACCGTATCCATAATGTACCGAGATGGATGCAATGACGGCCTGGACGATTGATGCTACCTGATGTCTTGTTAGTATCTCTTGCTCAATAACATTGTACACGGTCGTTCTGACCATAGCAAACCCAATAGCCAAGTCATCCCACCCTACCAACCGCCTCGAAATGCGGATCCAGAAACGAAGACATACAAACACCCCAGAAGTCGCTGTAAAGGCTGCGAAAAATGCAATCAAAGAAGGTCCCTGATTCTGAGACGGATTCGAGACCAGCGGAGCCATGATCAAGGACGCGGGAGCTTCGCACTCAGACAAACAGACTCGTGGCGAGCCCCATCGTCCGAGGACGAAGAAATACGAGACAAAAGCAAGGAGTAGTCTCAAACTTGAAAGGCGTCAGTTGCATCGACCTTGGTTGTGCGTGTGCTTCCCAGCAGTCTGGATAGTAGGTAGGGGATTTGAGAAAAACCCTCAGAGCAACCTGAGTGTGCTACAAAGAGCATAAACTCCCGCGCGGGTTGCTCGATTGCTTGTGGCATCTTCTGGTACTCGGCTATCGCTGACAGGTGAGAGGTGCAACAACTGCACTGGCCGTACGAGGATAGCGCAGATCCCTTCTCACCGCGGTTTGGAGCAAGCGCAGGATCGTGGGACGACATCCCGATGCCTCGGAGCGGCTCGGATGTGTTGGAGTTGGTGCCGCCAAGCGCGATGTGCGCTGTGATAACGTGCTTGGAAACGGGTGGTAGTGTGTTGCTCTGCGGGAATTATTGATTGCACGCCGGGGCTTTGGATATTGTGGCTGGCACTGGATCCCTCAATATGTACAGCCTCGCCATTCTATTCAGCCACCAATCCTTGAAGCAACGGCTACAGGTGTGAGGAGTCTGCAGTACAGAGGGTGCACCAGAATTTGGCACCGCTGTGGGAGCACAAGCTGTTGTGCCGACCATCTCAACTCAAAGCAGCACAGCGAGTGGATCCTGCAGCAGCTCGGTTCCGCACTCGGCGCTGATCGTCGGCGGTCGAGGAGCGACGAGCCCTTCCTTCAGCGTCGCAGAATTGGGCAATGTCTGCGAGACCGTAGAAGCATTGTATGTTGTTGATGATGTTTGTCCAGCACGATATCGGCTTGGAAGTGTCGTCGACGTCAAAATAAGCTCGACGGCATCGACGGCAAGCCGGTGCGCCACGACGAGCCGAAGTGCTTGCGGGAGCAGGCTCCCTGTCCCCAGTCTTCCTCCTCACCCACGACTCGAACAGCCGGCCGGCGCATTTGCCGTGTCTGGTGCATTGCAGGCCGTCGACTTCTCGCAGGCCATTGGCAGCGCGGAATTCTAGCACTAGGCCGACAGCTGCCTCCCGCTGGCTAGCATGGCGGAGGCGTGGCAACCTGCATTGCATGCGGTGCCCTGCCTTCGCTCCATTCAATGCCTTCTCAAGGGCTGTATTACCCAACTGCCGTGAGAGAGCTATCTCGTACAGGACTGAGAGTGAAAGAGATTGAAAAACGTACAAAGCAGCAGTGATTGAGTTTGATACAGGCTCTGAAACCTTTTCGAACTCTCGTCTGGCATTTCCAGAAGCATTCGACGGCACCAAAAGATGACGGAGGCGCTGCCTGTGCCTCTTCCTGTCGAGGTCGAGAAACAGAAGATTCAATCGTCGCTTCATTCCGACTCCTCGCCTCAGCTGGAATATGACCCGGAGATTGAGAAGCGAGTGATCAGGAAATGCGACCTTCGAGTCGTCCCTCCCACTCTTGTGCTCTTCGCTCTATCGTTTCTCGACCGAGTTCGTCCAACATGGCCCATGCCTGAGATTTTCACTGACCTTCTCAGGTAAACATCGGCAATGCACGCATCCAAGGCCTCACCAAAGACCTCAACATGGTCGGGACAGATTACAATGTCGCCCTGCTGATATTATTCGTCCCATTCATCCTGTTCGAGATCCCCTCAAACCTTATCATGAAGAAGATGAAGCCGAGCACGTGGCTTAGTGTGCTTCTATTCGGCTGTGGTACGTCGATCCATTCGAATGGGTAATTCTTGACGATGCGCTGACAGGGAGCTGTCAGGAATCATGAACATGTGCATGGGGTTTGTGCGAACGTATGGCGAATTGGTCGGTGTGCGGTTCTTGCTGGGTCTCTTCGAGGCTGGTACCGGTCCGGGCTCGATCTACCTTATCGCCATGTACTACCGACGATATGAGCTACCCTGGCGAATCTCATGGTGGTACACCTCTGGCATTGTGGCTGGAGCCTTCGGTGGATTGCTGGCCTATGCCATTGCACATATGGACGGGCTTCAAGGGTACAGTGGTTGGAGATGGTGAGTACCCGTTCAACACCATAGAATAGAAGACTAGTTGCTAACACTATGAATAGGATCTTCATCATCGAGGGAGCAGTCACAGCAGCAGTCGGCATTCTCATGAAGTTCTGGCTCGTAGACTGGCCCGAAGATGCAACATTCCTGACCCCCGAAGAGAAAGCTGTCATGCTAGCAAGACTATCCCGAGACCGTGCAGAAGAAGCCCGAATGGATCGATGGAACACCAAACGAGTCTTCAAAGACTGGAAAGTCTACGTCGGGTAAGCTATCGCCATGCTGGATGCTTCAGCAAATCTCCTCTCACATCGAGACTCCTCGCGTACCCTCCTCAACATCCGATCCTATTGCTAATGACTTCACAGCACCCTCATGTTCTTCGGCATAGTCAACACAAACTACAGCACCAACTTCTTCATCCCCACCATCCTGGTCGAAATGGGCTACAAAGCCGTCGAAGCCCAAGTCTACACCATCCCCATCTACGCCGTCGCCGCCGTCTTCTGCCTCTCGCTCTGCTACCTCTCCGACCGCCTCAAGCACCGCTTCGCCTTCATCCTCTTCGGCGTCCTCCTCGGCTTCATCGGCTACGTCATCCTCCTCACGCAACAAGGCCTCCCCGTCGGCGCCAAGTACTTCGCGCTCTTCACCCTCGTGACGTGCGGGTATATCGTGCAGCCCATCTCGGTGTCGTGGCTCATGAATAATGTCGGGGGACATTATAAACGCGCTTTCGCATCTGCTGCGCAGATTGGTTGGGGGAATGCGGGTGGGATCGTCGCTTCGAATATTTATATCACGTCTGAGGCGCCGTTTTACAAGACGGGGTATGGTGTGAGTATTGCCCTGCTGCTCTTCACGGGCGTCATGAGCGGCGTGATGTTCTGGGGTCTGGTCCTGGAAAACAGGAAACGCGCGAGAGGGGAGCGGGATTATCGATTGCAGGGCGAGGATGCGGATAATCTGGGTGATGATGATCCGAGGTTCAAGTTTGCTTATTAGAATCGATATGAGATGCTGATGGTAGAGTTGGTTAGATAGTCGATGGGAAGAATGAGGTATGAAACACGTTCGCTGATGAACAGGGTTGTTGATCTTCTGAATACTTCTCGACCCCTATCTGCACCTCCACACAGCATAAGAATGCATCTAAGATCCTTCTTCCGCGCTGCTAGCCACCACCCTCAACACATCCACTCAGAAGAAGCGAAACCCCACAGGACTCCTCGCTCCCAACGCTGCAAAAAAGACGGGAGTCTTCAACCCACAACAGCAAGAACAGCGGCAGCGGTCATGGAGTTGTTTCAAAACAAAACACATTACGATATATACAATCGTCGACTTCATTCGAATTCAAACAAAAACGCGTAGGATATCTTCCTTCCTTTCCTGTCACTCCTCGCTAGCGGTCCTCTTACTTTCAGACGCCGTGGGCGAAGGTGGGACGACGATCGTCGTCGGCGTGGGTAATTGCTGCTCGCCAGAGTCCCTTTGGCTCTCACTATCTTTGTCGCCGTCCTCTTGCGGTTTCGAATCAGCACCCTCGCCTTCCTCGGTGATGGTGCTGTGGGCGTTCGTATCGGTGCTCGTCCCAGCTCCTCGTCTTCGGGCCCGCCTTTGCGCTCGTTCGTCGTTGGCGCTTTCTCTTCGTCTGCGGATGCGGAGGGAGTCGTCTCTGCCTGGGGCTTCGCCGTCTTCGCCATCGCCCCGAAGACCCTGCAGCATCGATGCGGCGCGGTCTGCAATGTCTTCGCCCTCCGAGACGCCGCCCTCGGCTGAGGCTCCCCCATCTGAATCGTTGGTCTTGGCAGGCGTGAGAAGGCCTGTTTCGTCCGCAATGTTCTCCCCAGTCTCGGGAATTTTCTGGCCTGAGGCGACTCGTACCTGGTGTCGATCCTTGAGACGCGCTCGCCTTCTTCGGTCTCGAGTATCCCTCGTTTGGGGTGCGGCTGCTCGCAGCTTCTCCATCAAGGCGTCCATGGCTCCAGTCGATGGACTTGGCGGCGCGTCTCCTACCGTGGCCATTGTAGCGCCGTTTGGCTTCTGTCCTTGAAGCTGTTTACGACGGATGTTCTCCTCATTTCGACGCCACTGTTCCTCAAGGATAAGATTCTTCTCGTGGGATTTCTAAACGAACAGTCAGCTGATATTCTCCTGGCAGGCATATGAAATGAATCGATAAACTTACCTTGTATTCGTTCAAGAAATTAGCGAGCTTGCCGAAGAATTCTCGCCTTGAGTTTTCGTCCTTGTTGTCGTCGCCAAAGTAAGTCAAAATGTCGTCGTAGACCCTGTTCATCTCCTCAAGGTAGAGCTGCATTTGTTCGGCCTTGCGGCGGGCTTCTTTCATGGACCTTTGCACAATCTGGCTGACCCGATCCTCTGGGTGGAATCTCTTCGGATCGCTCAGGTTACCTGCGTCGAGCGAAGATTGTACGTTGGTGATGTTGTCAATGTACTTCTTCGCGTCTTGTTGCAACTGTTCGATGTTCATCTTCTGCGTACCGAGAACACCAGCGATGTCGTCTGCGAAGCCTTCGTACTGAGGATACTGCTTGCGAACCACGCGCTCGACGTAGTCCATAAGAGTGGATTCGTTATTCGTGTCCTTGACCATACCCAACCGTGCTAGAGATGATAGCTTGAACCCAACGGCCTGCTTGTTGGAGTCGTTCATGTAGTTACCAATGTCCAGGATCAATCCAAACACTGGCATCAGCTTGACCGAATCTCGGAGCGCTTCCGAGACTTCTACAACCTGCTTCAGCTTGCCAGAAATCTCGTCGTACTCGGGCTCGTAATTCCTCGTAAGAGCGAGTGCTCGTATTCTGGCCTTCCAATAGTGATGCAGCTCATAAGCCGTGTACAAATATATCTGATCTTCGCGGGTGAGTTCATTGGGGTCCTGCTCGCGAGCAGTTTTCATCGCATCAGGTCCAGTCCAGTCCTTGGAGTAAGGGGCCAGGAGCTTAGCAACATTGTCAGGAATCGTGCACAGATGTTCCTGTTGCAAAAAGTCCATCACGGTGCTGTTGTCCAAGATTTCACGATCGCAGTGAATGATCATGCGCGAGATCTCATCAGCATCCAAATTCGAGAACTTGGCCAGACTGATTTGCATCGTATGCATGAGATCTCGGCCAATGACCTGCTTCTTGTCGCTCTTAGCTTTGCTGCTGGTCTTGCCAATCTGCTTGATCTCCTTGGCCATGAAGAGCTTCTCGATCTCGTCGAGAATACCCTTCTTCGACAGCTCTTGGTACTTCTCTTCCTTCTGTTCCGAAGTAGGAGTGTGCGAAGCCCACATGGTGATTTCCGGCGAGTCGACCTTCTCCCAGTGAAGAGCCTTGAGCTTTTTCTTTGGACGCGGCGCAACCGGACCGATCGAGCCGGGAGCACCAGTATATATGGGTTTCGGCAAGAAGCCACCCTTGTTGGCTCCAGGAAGCGGCGGAGCACCTGGTGGCGGAGGCGGCGGCGGAGGAGCAGGCGCATCGCTCGAAAACCCTGGCATTGGCGGAGGAGGCGGTGGAGGTGGAGCATCGTTTGAGAATCCTGGCATGGGCGGTGGAGGAGGCGGTGCAGCACCATCGAATCCGGGCATCGGTGGCGGAGGAGGTGCATCAGGGCCATCAAACTTGTCCTTGGGCTGCTCGGCACCGTCGCTGCTGGTCGGTGTCTTGGGGCTTTCACTCTCCAAACTTGGATGACTAGGCCCAGTGGTGATACCATCGCCCTCGTCGTCGCTGCCGTCAATACGTTGAGTCTTGCTGGTGAGCTCCGAGAGCATGCCTTGCTGTGCATGAGCAATAGAACTGGGCATCTTCGGCCGTTTCATCTCAACCAGCCTTGGCTTCTCGTAGACGATGTCTTCATCTCCGATATCAGTCTCCTCGTCCTCAGTGACCGACGCTTCCGGATCAAACTTGCTAGCAACCGGTTTTCGCTGGATAGCGCTCTTCGTCCTGCGCGCAGTGCCAAGGTATTGCATTTGAGCATCCAAACCGTCTGGCTCCAGACCAGCACCCTCCATCTTCTCGCGCAGCTCTCTAAGCTTGTCACTTGGATTGAACTGTTGCCATACCTTGCCCTCTAGTTTCGCTTGAGTCTTAGCACGCTCCAGTTGCATCTCCAAACGATCCATGAGCCTTTCGCGGTCGAGAATGCCCTGCATCGCGGCAGGATCTGTCTGCTCGCCGTTCTTGCCCTTGTTCGCACTGGATGCGGCGATATCTTGGGCATCTTTCAGCATGAGGTACAGCTCTCTGGTCTCGAGCTCGTTGCGTTGCAGCTCCTGTGCTCGCACACGTTGGAGCTCTGCCAATTCTGCTTTGAATGCTTCTGCTTGTCGTTGTTGGAGATCAATGATACTGGCTTGCTCCGCAAGCTGCTTGTGTAATTTGGCAACGAGACCCTCTGCTCCAAGGTCGACCTGATATTTCATCTCATCTCGCTCAGCAATTGCGGCATCGGCAATGAGCTTGGCCTCATCAGCTGCTTCCCTTGCCTGACGGGCTTCAGAATCGGTATAGAGCTTGTCCATCAAACTCTGCACCGAGAAATTGAGGGATTGCTTCAAGTCCATGTCCGGTAGCCTTCGATCCATGGCCACGTACGAGAGCATGCTCTCCACGAGCTGGAAGAGTTTCAGCCGATCCTCGCCTTCATTGTCTCTGATGAGCAGAAGATGTTGTAGAGCAGACAAGAAGTAGTCGCCTTCTTTGCTCCCTGCAAGTCTTTGCTGAATAGCCTCAACGATGTGGACAGGATCGTTCATATCCTTGCCCTCGCCTTCCATGCTCTCATGCATGGAACTGCCCTCCCGCTCTTGAAGGTCTTCATAGTCGATCGCCTCGTTTGTCCGGTAGTGTTCGATTTGCTTGTCGATAACTTCGTACTGGAAGTCTTCCATCTTCGTGAGGATGCGCTTGAGGCCACAGGCCACAAACTGCGCGCGAAGATGGCATCGTAGGTGGAGGTCTTTCTCAGGGGCGTCCACAATGATGTTGACCAGGAATAGAGATGCAACGGCGTACTCCATGAGCAGGTTCTCCATACCAATGCCACCACTTCGAACCTCGTCCGACGCACCCACCAGCGAGCCCATCTTGCCGCGGCCATCGACCGTGACTTCAACGATACGCATCCAAGCGTCAAATCGACCGTTCTCGTTCTGCTGAGCTTTGAGATGGTCCAGACACTGCAAGACCTTGATATGACCCTGCCCGTTCGCCCAATGGCACAGGAAAGTGAGAAGTTCAGATACAAGTTTTCTTGTGTTCAATCGTGGTGAAGTCAACGAACTGGCCAATGCCATAACAATGGTATCATGTTGCAATGCATTGTCGGCGCCGTATTTGTTGTTCATCAATGCCTTCAGGCACTTGACGATATCATATTCGCGGTCAAGGTCTCGTTCTGACGTAGAGCCGCCCACAGGTGCAGGTCCTGAGCCTTGTCGTCTATTGAGCTTCGCGAGGGCGTTTGTGAGAGCAATCTGGCCTTGTGCTTCGACAAACGACTTGACCCATGCGATCGGCTGCGTCCGGAGACTCACAGACAAGCTTTGCAACTGTTTGGGTGTGATGGTGTTCTCCAGTATCTTCTTGACGTACCATTCTGGACTCCCCTCTTCGTCAAAGCGGCCAATCATGTTGGTACCGTCGATGCTGACCATTGTGTTCCGCGCCATGTTTCTCTTCTTCTGCTCTCCCTGCCATTCCGCAAGTCTATCTTGGTGCACCAGAGTCCACTTCTTGTTGATTGGGTAGGCCTCCATTTGTCTTCGCGCTTGCTCAGGTAAACTCTTCCAACCACGCTTGTGCATCAATTCCATAAACTCCTTTTCAATGACTTTGTCGTCCTTGGGTCGATGCAACTGGAAGTTTTCAGGCGAGAACGAGGATGTACTGGAGAATGCGGAAGGGTTATGGGCGTTGAGGAAATGGTGGTGTCTTTCCTTTTCCCGCGTAGTCGATTGTACAAGCTGGGGCAGATGGGCGTAGTCTGATTGATTCCCGAATGACGCCTGGCTTGCATTTGGCTGGAGATAATGCCTTCGATCATGCGACGAAGTTGATCTTATGCTGCCATGGTCACTTGAGCTTCGCGACTGCGCATAGCCTCCATTCAGGGTCGTAGCGTCGGACTCGAACGAGCGCGCAGTACCTCCTCTGGTACTGCCATGTGTAGGAGGTCTAGGAGGTAGCGCGCTGCCATCGAAAGCAGGATACTGGTGGAAGTCGCCGCCGCCTTTGTTCAGGTGGTGTGGCAGCGGTTCGCGGCGCGAGACTGGCCTGTCCGCGTGGTCGACATGCACGGGGGGCTTATTGTCCTTGGGCATAGCATCGTATGGTATGCTGGTGATAACGCCCGCTTGCATGGCTAGCCCCTCCTGCCCAGTCTGGCCATTCTTGCCTGCCATGTACTCATCCTGGTCTATGGTCGACGTCGAGCTGCGGTGCGAGTGTCGCGAGGCCGTCTCTGGCATCGGCGGTGCATCATTGCCCTTCTCTTTCTTGTGGCGGGAGAACAAAGACTTGCCTCCACTGGACTGCCGCGACGCTTTGTCGCTCGAGAACATGCTGTCGCCTCCTGCTCGTGCTGGGGCCGCCGGCGCTCAAGGCGCGTCCGCTGCTGCGCGTGGCCAGTCTGCGGGCGGGTGCTCCTTTCCACAAATGCTTGGTATATTTGTCCTCCTCTGATACTCTTCCAAGCCCTTCGCTATGGCTTTCGCACGTGCTGGACGCTGTGCCAACCCCGGTGGCTCGCCTGAGGTTGGTGGTCCACGCCGCCGGATCGGGTAAGACAAGTCGTCGTCCGGGCAGTTGGGCAGAGAGTATGGGATGGGATGGCGGCGACGTTGTAACAGTAGGTGGTGGCAGTGGTGGTGCCGACGGTTCTCCGCAGGTTTCGTTTCGGTCGTGAGTCGCGGAGGCGTCCTTGGGTCAAAGCGTGCGATCTCGACACGCCCCCGGTTCAGGTTGCGGCTCCCAGACTGTTGGCCAGCTTCTCCTGACGACTTCGGAAAGCGCGCCGAGCCAAACCTTCGCTGTTCTCGCTGCAGGATCGCCTCGGACATTAATTTGCCGCCAGCAGCCAGAGATCACGAGGGGAGAGAATAGGGGAGAGGCTGTGAAAAATTGATGGAGTTTGATGAGTCTGCAGAGCGAATACTTCTCCCAGCAATTATTGTTCTCATTACTTTCGACTCCGGCCACCCCTCGCTTGCCCCATGCAGCTTATCACCGTGGCCAACGCACCGTGCACTGCTGCGTCCGTTCACATGAAAGACCTCTACCTTATACTACGTCGCATACGAGGATATGTAGTACTGCAGCATCGGTCAGCCTCGAAATATCATCGGTACGAACAGGCGGCTTACCGTCAACACCGAATCTCCTCCGCCTGGCTCGTCGCCGTTGAGGAACACATAAAGTATCAGCGCATGCTCGTGGCAGAAGCATGCAATTACCCTACCACCAAGCCTGCCCACGCTGAGCACGCGACCCCAGTCTCTGCCTTCGACCCTGACTGTCGCCCAGCCTTCTTCGCTTTGCCCTGAAGAGTCACCCACGGCCTTCATTCGTGTGCTCGGGTGGTTTGCCAGTCCTTCTTCTCCGTCCACGACCTGCGAAGGGTCTAGCTCGGGGTTTTCGAGCCCTGTCCAGAGACTGTTGATGCGCATGGCATCGGTATTGAGTACGAGTCGCAGACAGCCGTGCATGTTGCCACTGAGCTCCAGCTTCGGCCCAGAAACAGCGCTGCCAAAACCACTTTTTGATGCACCTTTGGTCGTCATTGCGAGCTTGGTGAAGCGGTCACTGATGCCTTTGAGTTGCATTAAATTCGGCAGCACGATATGAACATCGGGCTCTCGACATCGAGGTTCGTGCAAGCCTTCAACGGAAGCTGGTGCGAGAACCCTGACAGGAACGTCTTGAGTGACAAGAGTTTCTCGATCTTGTCTCGCCCCGAAGAAGTCGACGCTCTCTTCGCGAAACTCTTCGCCAGTCCCGAAGCCAGTGCTGTTAGGCTCGTCGGAACTCGCGTGACCGTTGGTGCCAGGCGGGGCGCTGCTGCTCATCGTCTGAGTTGTGATAGTGACAGAAAGTAGAGGAATGTTGTCCTTTTTCGTAAGGCGAATGTTGGCTGCAACTGCATTCTGGGCGCTTTTCAACGCTCTCTGCAGAGGTGCAAGTGGGACTTCGAGATTGATGGTGTTGTCCGGCGCCGCTGACTGTATTGTGTACGTCTCGAATATCGTGTCGATTGATAGAACTGACCATACTTGGGTGCCTTGTTCGGGAATGACTGTAAAACGGACATCTTTCTCATCCAATCTGACCCAGGCGATGTGACCAAGTGTGGCTAGAGATGCAGTAAACTTGGTGAAGGTGTGGATGTTCTGGATACTCGCCCTGAACCGCATCGTGGGCGGCGTCTACCGTTGCTGGTCCTCAAACGTCAGCGGTCGCATATTGTTGCTGCAATCACCATGCCTGCTTGACGCGTTGCGCAGATGCAGATGGCGCGGTTCTTGAGAGATGTCGCGATGGAAATTGATGTTGAAGTCGAGAGTTTCGTGAAGATTCAAGCCTGGAAAGTCACTGACGCGAAATCACGTGTTAGGTCTTCGAACATTCAGTCTTTGGAATTGAGATATCTTCTTTGGCTCGTTAACATTATTATCTACACTGGGCATCGTTTCAAATAAACGAAACATCTCTCGCCACTATGAAGGATAGTTCAAGGCGAAAACCTCCCGAATCTCCTCCCGGCTTCGTCCTGCAGCAACTGCTAGTTGCAGCAAGATTCTGGCCTTTTGAGGGTTGTAGAACCCACCAGCAATCATGTAGTCGCCTGGAGAGACGAACCCTTCCGCCGACCTGCGGCTTGAGACCAGCGGTATGCTCGTGGTATTGTATATCGTCTCCAGAACCTCTGATGCCGCACTGGAAACCCCACCAGCACCCATTCCCGCCACAACTAGTCCTTCTGCGCCCAGCAAGATCGCCCCTTGGAAGAGTCCTGGGTCCATGTCCTGGTGGGCGTACAATACATCGATCTTTGGAAGAGCGGTAGTATTGGTCAGGTCAAAGTTGACCAGTCCAACAGGCTTCGCCGGCTCGTAGTAAAAGTATGGCACTTGGTTGATAAAGAATCCCAACTGACCAGCCTCGGCGCTGTAAAACGTGTCCAGAGAGTTGGCATGGTTCTTCGTGGTCACATAGGCACTGCCGATTCGATCGTTGAGCGTAATCATCGTTCCTCTTCCCCGAGCTTTCGGTGAACTCGCTAAAGTCACAGCCTGCAGCAAGTTGAGAGGTCCATCAGCGCTCAGTGCTGTTGCAGGACGCATGGCTCCCACCATGACGACTGCTTTGGTCGAATTGATCGTCATTTCTAGAAAGAACGCTGTCTCTTCCAGGCTGTCGGTGCCATGGGTGATGACCACTCCAGATATTTCTGGCTTCGCAAGTTCGGCTTGCACCATCGAATACAACTTAAGCAGGATGGTACTGTTTATAGAAGGGCTGCCGACGTTGCTGATTTGATAGCCTTGGATGTTTGCGATGTTTAGTATCTCCGGAACCGCATCGATTAGATCTTCAACTCCTAGTCCGACGCTATATCCCACGGTCTGCGTATTGGTCGTTCCTTGACTGGCAATCGTGCCTCCAGTCGCAAAGATTGTCACATTAGGGAGGCTTGCGTTCTGAGGCGTTGATACATCTTGACGAGTGAGTACGTATGGTGTAATCGGCGAGGCCAAGGTTGTGGCTGCGAGCAGCAGGAGGCCGTTGATGGCGATCATATTGAGGAGGATGCCTTGCTGCTGCCGGTTCAAGTGCGAGCGCAGTCGTTTTATAGGTAGGCCTGCTGCCGGCCATCTTCGCCAAGTGATATGGATCTGGCTGCAAAGTCGATATCACTTGGCAGTGTCCGCTGTTTCTCGTAAGTGTTGCGCACAACTGGGCAGAGCAATCAATTTTCTTTTGCAATTCCTCAATCGTCGAGGTTGTTAGAATGCCGCCTCCTGATAGCCAGTTTCTCAACTAGGCTTCTCACATTGATTCTTTAAAGCTAAAATTGGAAGATGCACTCGTTTAATCATTTGTCAACACATGTGTATAAAGTCAACTCTGGCCGACGGCGGGCAGATATCTCTATCGGCTCGGGCAAGCTAGAGGTGAAGTTGGCCAGTTTTGCATCCTACGGTCGCCGTATCTTCGGCTCATTAGTGCTCTTGGCTAGACATCACTAACCTATAGCCAGCTCCATTACTGTTCTGATGTCCAATCAGTTGAATGTGTCCAGCGAAGTGATGTCTCCGGCATGGAGAATATCTGGACGAAACAGCGTGATGTTCGTCGTGGCCATGACTCGTGAGGTTTAATTCGATGATTCAAGAGATGCTGGAAGGTGCGCACTCGTGCATATGCCTTTCCACAAGACTGGTGAATGTAGAAGAATGATGGAGGTGAACGTCCAGTCGCGTGTTGATTTCTGGCGGCGACGCACGTGCCGTCGCGCTAGGCCGCACTTTCCCCAGATTTACGGGTGCTCCCGCTGCGTCATCGCACAGATCAACCTGCATGCATCCAGCGCGACATTCAACTGTCGCCTGTGCCATCAAACCAAACATCCATCCTCCCATCACACACACATCTCGACGAAGTCGCATCGCACTGCACTGCACTCCGTCTTCCGCTCCTTTTGCGCCGTCGCCATGGCGGGCTTGAAGCGTCGGTCGACCCGCCAGGCCGCCGTTCGCAAGCGATCCATCTACGCCGAGCCAGATACCGACGACGACTTCGAGGTCGACAGCGAAGCAGACTACGAACCTGAACCCGATGTCGAAGAGACCGCGCCACCGCCAAAGAAGCGCAAAGTCACCACACGACACAAACCGCAGACTCGAAGCAGAGCGAAGAGCAAGCCGGCGAACAAGACGGTCAGATCTGTCTTCAAGATTGGCAAGCCTCGCAAGGCGAACAGCAGCAAGGATGTCGCGGCCTCGAAAAAGGAATTCGCAGGCCCCAGCGATCATCGCATACCTAAGTGGGCATCGCTGCCGGTCGATATCCTCAGAGACATCTTCATCTTCGCATCATACCCACTTCACGAGGGAACCACAGAGTCGGGCAACAACGTCTCGTGGCTCATCAAGTCGGCCTTGACGTGTCGCGCATTTGCGCTTCCTGCTCTTGAAGCCTACTATCAATCACCGGCGATGTTGACTTCGCTACATCCACATCACCTGCTGGATCTTTTGCGCATGCCCAAGGACAAGCGCTGGGTTGACTACAGCGTCAAGATCAAGACCCTGTCTATCGATGTACGGAGGCTAGCCTACGTCGCTCACAACAAACCATCATTCGACCTTTGTCCGCTCGTTGCAGAGCTTCCCCAACTACAACACATGGAGATTCTACATCCCATGTATCTACCTCCTTACCGCCCTTTCAAGATTCAACGTTGGACCTTCCCCGCCACCGAGCTGTTTCAGACGATGGAGCGCCACGACATACGCCTCAAGAGTTGGAGATGGTCGCGAGACATGATTCCAAAGAACGCATTTCTTGATCTGTATGGAATGATGACGACCGCGCATCAGAGCAAGGTCTTCAGCCGACTCGATCGTTTGGTAGTCTGTGGCTTCAATTACGAGGATAGTTCTGAGCCTAAGGCGCCAGAAGGTTCAGATGGTATTTATTGCAAACTTTACGACCTGGATAATGCTAATCCAGCTACAGAAGCTATTGCGACACCACCAGGGCTTGCGACTTCGATACAGAAGCTACCTGCCATTCAGGACCTGACCTTCATATCCTGCGACATCATCATGGAGAAGTTCCTACAGCGCCTGCCACAAAACCTCCAGCGACTCGAATTGAGCAACTGTCTTGAGATCACCAGCGACATGATGCGCGCCTTTTTTAACACATCGGGCGCGCAACTCAAGGAGCTGGTTCTAAATCACAATGCTGCTCTCAACCTCAGCTTTCTTCAAGCGCTCAAAGTGTCGTGCCCACGGCTTGAGGTCCTCAAGGTCGACTTGCACTACTACAGCGAGAGATTTACCATCAACGATGCGACCGCACTCTACGACGAGCTCCTACCAGAAGATGAGGTACCAACGTGGCCGTCAACTTTGCGGCATCTGGAGATCGTACATGCTCAGAAGTGGTCACCTGAATCGGCTCAAAACCTCTTCCGTTCGTTGATTGACAGCGCGCCGGAGTTACTTGACTTGCGCAGTCTTGTACTACAAGCACACATCAACATCCCATGGCGTGATCGAGTCGGCTTTCGCGACCAGTGGATAGAACGACTCCGTCGTGTCTATCTTCGCAGAGAGATAGAGCCAGCTAAGAATCTCGGATCTATTCGCCAGTACAAGTTATGGAAGCAGGCGCAAGGCCTTGACAATGTCGAGAGTATGGACGAACTGGGCCATGACAACCAAGCTGATGCGGCCCGCATAACCCGGACGATGTCCCACGTTCAGGTGTCTACCCACAAGTCGAGTGGTGATACGGAAGCATACTCTGACTCCGATGTACCACCTGCCGCAGCACATGGCCAGCCTCGACGCAGCAAGCGCGTGGCAGAGACGCAAGTCAGTCAAGCATCCAAGTCCAACAGCCCGTCACCAGAGTCGGACGAAGAATCCGAGAGTGAGGAAGAAGAATGGCGCAAGCAGCCAGAGAAGTTCATTCAGGGTCTCTGCCAGCTGGTCGATATTCGCATCGACAATCAGCGTCCACGCGAGAACCAATGGACCGAAGGCGATTTCCTCGATAGCGAAGTCAGCGGCGATGAGGATTGGCAGGAAGGTGCTGAGTTTGAGGAGGAGACGTATGCGTGGTGAATTCCAACAGCAAGGGGAGTGAAGCTCAAGAGATCATGTTTAGGGGAGTAGTAAGTGGCTGTGACGGATGTGTTTTGATACCCTGACGACTGTGCGATTCGGAAGCACCGCGATGATAGTTCATGTAAGACCGTAGCGGCCGCTTGAGTGGCTGGGCAATGAGAAAGCTTGTCCCTCGTGGCAGTATTGTGAGAGACGAGGTCACGGCGGCCTCACAGCAGCGTCTGGTGATGTTGGGGGCTGTGCAGTGCTTCCAGGACTTCGCACGCAGGGCTTTTTAGACTTTCATGCACGGCCTGCACGAGCCACGTGTGAAATCCTTCGGCTTAGCTCACCTCAACCCACCTCACCTCCAATCAACCCCCATCACCACCATTGATGCGACAAGTCTATGAGACCAATTGCGGTTGCGTACAGGAACGCGATTGCGCACAATTGTCCCGAGAGCCGGTTGCTTACCCGTCAGATTACGTCCTCGCGGCCATGGACTAGGACAAGGACTCTCACTGCCTGGAGGACCCCTTACGGGAGACGGCCAATACCATCGAGAAACCACCCACACAGACGGATAGGCACCGACCAGAATGCTGGGCCTCAGCTCCCGACTATATACGCCCTGTCATCGGCACCTGGCCGCGCTGCGATTGCGGTGATTCGAGTCTCGGGCCCGGATTGCTTGGATGTGTATCATAGATTATGTCCAGGGAGGAAGATTCCCAAGGCGCGTACGGCAGCTGTGAGGACGCTGTATGAGCCTGGCAGTGACGGATCGCGAGATTCTGTATTGGACTCCAACGCTCTTGTCCTGTACTTTCCTGCGCCGAAGACGGTCACGGGAGAAGATGTGCTCGAGTTACATGTCCATGGAGGCCCTGCTATTGTCAAGGCTGTGCTATCAGCGATATCGAAGTGCTCTAATGGAGGTCTGAACAAGATACGCTATGCTGAGCCTGGCGAGTTCACAAGGCGGGCTTTCATGAATAATCGCATAGACCTCACGCAAGTTGAGGCACTGGGAGATACTCTTTCGGCGGATACTGAGCAGCAACGTCGTCTTTCAGTTCGTGGAACTGCTGGTGTAATTGCGAAGCAGTACGAGGCGTGGAGGCAGCAGCTTCTGTATGCTCGAGGAGAGCTAGAAGCGCTGATCGATTTCAGTGAAGATCAGCATTTTGATGAGAGTCCTGCTGAGCTGTGTGCTTCTGTGGCAGCACAAGTCAAAGTACTGAAGAGATCACTACAAGTGCACAGCAAGAATGCCGTTCGAGGTGAACTCCTCAGACACGGCATCAGCGTCTCACTCCTGGGAGCACCCAATGCCGGCAAAAGCTCATTGCTCAATCGCATCATCGGCCGTGAAGCAGCCATTGTCAGCCAAGAAGCTGGAACAACTCGCGACGTAGTCGAAGTAGGACTCGACCTAGGAGGCTATTTCTGTCGCTTCGGCGACACTGCTGGCCTTCGACAAGCCATCCATACCGCTACTCAAGCGCCATCAAGCGGTCAAAAGCACCCCCCAGATATGATTAATCAAATCGAAATAGAAGGCATGCGGCGCGCCAAGCAGCGAGCCGCTGACAGCGACCTGGTCGTGGTGGTGCTCAGCTTCGAAGAAGAAGTCAACAACGATTCGGACCGACAGTCACAAGCGACGCTGAACCTCGACGCAGAGGTGTGCGCCGTAGCGAGAGAGCTGATGCAGGGAGGTAGTCGAGCGGACAATGTCATCCTGGTCATCAACAAGAGCGACTTGGCACGTGATGCGGCCACGCGAGAGCGTGCGCTGCAGCAGGTGCAGGATAAAATGCCCGAAGTTGGAAGGCAGTCTGTCCACCTGTTGTCTTGTCTGGCAGACGATGCGGTGCTGCTGCAGCAGTCATCAGCAGAAGATGATGACCCGGGAGGCATTCAACGATTCCTCCGAGGCTTGATCGGGCAGTTTGGGAAGCTGACTGCAGCCTTGACCCCGGATGGCGCTGATGCGGCTGCAGCTGTAGCGTCTTCGTCTGCTGGGTCTCCTGCAGCTCTGAGCACATCGACTACAGCTCCTCCAACTTCAACTGCTGCTGCCGAGCCCGATCTTTCGATTTGGCAGGAATCGCTGGGTGCCAGCGAACGACACCGCGTACTTCTCGATGCGTGCATCACCCATCTCGATGCATTCCTCGCCGAGACGGATCCCGGGCCAAGTCAGCAGCAGTCTAGCGATGATGCAGAAGCAGACATCGTCGTCGCAGCAGAACACCTCCGCTCCGCAGCCGACTATCTCGCCAAAATCACCGGCAAAGGCGAATCCGGCGATGTGGAGGAAGTGCTCGGGGTAGTCTTTGAGAAGTTTTGCGTGGGGAAGTGAATGATTAAAAAGCCTCCCAGTTGTTTAGTCCCTACTATGGAACATGTTTTGCTGCTGCGATAAAGAATTGCCGCCCGGGCATCGCTGCCCATGTGATAGAATCCCGTCTAGAGATGAAAGTGTAGAACGCCTGTAAATGCCATCCATGTCCGTGTCCATGCAGATCCCAACTCCCGTGTAAATGCCGCCAAAAACAAAAGACTCCATGTAAATGCCTTCAGAGAAACTCCTCGTAAATGCTATGCCTTTCCAACACACAAGTCTATCCCCGAAGAAAGACAAAAAGGTAATAAGAAAACTCCCATCGCTAAAAACGCTGCATCAATGCTCATCCGCTCAGAACGCTATCATCGGGTTTCTTCTCATGCCATGTCGATTCGATCCAAAAAGGTTCCGTGCAGTGTCGTTTTTTGCCGTAGCGATTAAGAATGTTGTATGCGTTCGAAGAAGGGAATGTCGATTATAAGGGATAGGAGAAAGACCAGGAGGGCCACGGTGGAGACTTGCTCCTCGGTGGTGTCGATCATTGTCCAGCAATAGAATCGGAAGGATGATGTGAGATGGTGTTTTAGTTGTAGCCTCTGTGAGAAAAGTTTGTTAGTCAAGTCGTTTGAGGAAGGTTTGGTGCTTGGGGATGGGAATGGCTTACCCTCTGCCGTCGTCACCCGCGCGTTGGTGTTGTTGCTGGAGAGTGAACATTGTTGCTTGTTGATGTTCTTGTTGTTGGTGGTAGTTGGTCGTGGTGTTGATTGAGAGATACGAGATCTTTTCTTGTGTGTTGTTGATGATAATGGTCCCGTGGCAATGTAGAAAGATTGCTTCTGAGGTCCTCTGGAATACGAAAAGGGGAGCTTCTTAGTTGTAGCCACCGCGACCCATTTTGACTTGATTTGACTTTGAAGAAAGAAAAAGTAGAGTAAAGAAATCGGGGTTGGAGTTGACGGTTAAGAAAATGGGGGCCAGAGATTGACAGTAGGAGATAATAAAAACGATCTGAGGCGTACTGTTGGTGCTGATTGATCGGTCGTCGATGTACCCGTCGGCTGATTGGGTAGTAGTAGGAAACTCTGTTGCTGATGACTTTGCTGGAGGGACCGTGCCGAAGAAAGGAAGCAGTAAAGTAAAAAGGAAAACTTTGAACTGGGTGTGGGAGGATTGCTGTTGTTGTTGCTGATGAGATGAGGAGAAGAGAGGGTTGCATCGTTGGTTCCAACGGCTCCCTATATAGCCAACAGCCCTCTCTCACAGACGGATTTCGCGGGATGATGGGTGGTGGTGAGAAGGGAAGGAAGGGGACCGCCAGGAACACTGCCCTTGCACATCCACCACCACGCATGTGCAGCAGCAGAAGCATGTCATACCGTTCGGGGGCTACGCTACGCTACGGATGCTTCGCGTGGGAATGGGCAGGCCATGGCATGGCCGCCAGGTATGACTATTCCTATTCCTATTCCCGTACCTGCAGCAGCAGGAGGAGAATCCGTCGCGGCTGCTGCTGCTACGACGAGCAGTGCGACTCTCGTCTCTCTCAGCCAAAATGTCATGGCCTCGAGCTAGACTAGCAGCCTCCGTCGTGCAGCGAATCGGTACTGCGAGGCTTTGCGGCGAGCAGAGAGCCAGAGAGACGACGTCTTACACGACATGCCTGTTGCAGACATACACTTTCGGCCACGCACCCGAAATAGTCACTCGCCTTGCCGCATGCGGCCCTAGCGCTGCACAGCCCGCCGCAACGCCAAAAGCCGCCTTTTCACACCTCTCACACCACCACTCTCTCTTCAGCCCCCACCCCACGCCCGACTCCGACGACGACTATGGATGGACTGTACCTGCGAGACTACGGCTGCGTCTGTCATCTGCTGCTGCTAGTATTCGCATTTGCTATTCCAAGTCGCGGTGAAGGATTCCGGCGCCCGCGGCGCTGGTAGCCTCCGGGACATGCCATCCACACAGCATCCCTACCGAGCGACCCAAACCACGGCCGCTTGCAGAGTCGATCTTCGAAGTGCGTAGGGCTGTATGCATGGCTTCCACGAGGTCGACTGTGCTGGCCGCCATGACGGGACGGGTAAACGGTGCATCGTCGACTCCTGTTCGTCGACACTCCTTCGTTCGTTCGCCTAAGAGGCACCCCTGGACCAATCACTCTCATCCTCTTGACGTTTGACTCATCACCTTGCGTACCTGTACGCATGTTATCTTGCAGCGGCACCAACTCCCCAAGAAGGACACCGGCAAATGCATGCCTTCATGGGAATAGGATTCGACTTGCACTAGGATCATGACGATGCCGCGCAGACCGCAGACCAAGGACACCCGATCGTCGAATCCATCTGGTACGACTATGTACGCGAGAGATGCCATATTTGCGTTTCATTTTGGTCGTACACCAGGGCTCAGAGCAAGAGCAAAACCGCACATCGTACAGACATGCTCGGCCGTCGACTTGGCGGCCGAAAGTGACAGATTCGTACAGCTTTGCGCATGAACGAAGGCAACGACTTTCTCGCTCTACGAACGAGCAATATTCCCCCACGCAAACGACAGGCAGACAGCGACACGGCACAGCAAGAACTAACAAACGCGTGTCGTCACCAAAGTCTTATCTCCATAACGGCAGCAAAGTAATCCCCATACCTCTCGCCTACCACCAATTGGAATCGCATCCTATCTCTTGCCGAATACGTCCACGCATATGTAATGTCTTGAACAAAATCGGCCAACAACAACAAACACCTCGGGGGCCGCCCTTCCAGCAGGATCAGCAAGCCTCGCGCCGCCGCACGTGTAACCACGAATCCTTTCCCATGCACAATGCAACAGATCCACACACCCACGCAAGAGCACCAACAAATCAGAGACCCACCATATCCTGCCCTGCCACCTGACTGATGGGGCTGAAAATTATTGAAATCATTCGCCTTTTCTTCACTGTCATCTGCGCGAAATGCTTGACAAAACCTCACCACGGAGCGCTCATGCATAGGCCGGCGATATTAGGGCTCGATACCGCTGACTGTCATTGGCAGGTACACCAACAGATCTATCTATTCCATCCGGTTGAACCGATTCCTCAATCATCCACGTGGTACAAAGACGCGGGATGGAGGCTGAAACTGGGTCGTTGTCTGCGTAGGGCTGATACACTTTCTGCATTACTGACTATGAGACAGGTGTCATGAGTATACAGACCGGTCAAGCAGATCCTCACGAATCCTGACTACACATAGCGGGCGTCGGAGTGGATGCGCCTCACCTTCACGTGTAACAAGCCCGAAACCAATGGCTTGGGTCAGGATCCACCTTCAGCTTCCGCAGCCAGGAACGAAGTCGAAAGTCGTACAAAGAAGAGGTATCATTGCTTTATGAAAGACATGCGTTACACATTCGGCATTGCTCGCATCGTCAAGCCTCCACATCCGTCATTACAACAACGCATCTATTTCTTTTCTCGCTGGCCGTATGCCTTGGTGGCGTAGTCACCCTTGTGCACGATCAAATCCTCGGGCCTGTAGTCCTGGCGACCGGAGAAGTATGAGTCCAAGATGGCCTTGGTACCGGCGGCGTAGCGCTTCTGGGCGTCGAGCGAGGTACCGGACATGTGTGGAACAGTGGCGTTGCCGCCGCCCCAGGTGGTGTACGAGGCGTAGCGGAGTGGGTGGTCCTTGGGTGCTGGCTGTGGGAACCAGACGTCACCACCGTAACCACGGAGCTGACCAGACTTGAGAGCCTCAGCGACATCCTCCTTGACGACAATGGCACCACGGGCGGTGTTGACGAGCCAAGAGCCTGCTATTGTTAGCACTAACATCAGTCCAACGGTATCGATCTGGACTCACCCTTCTTCATCTTGGAGATGAGCTCCTTGTTGAACAGGCCGCGGGTCTTCTCGTGGAGTGGGCAGTTGATGGTGACAACGTCACACTGGGCCAACATCTCCTCAAGGTTCTCAACTCTTCGGCAACCAATCTCCTTCTCCTTCTCTGCCGACAATGGCTGGTAGTCGAAGTAGAGGAGCTCCTTGCAGTCGAATGGCTTCAGGCGGCGGAGCACACGTTCACCGATACGGCCGACAGCGACGGTACCGACGACCTTGTCCTCGAGGTCGTACTCGTTCTTGGCGACCTCGGCGACGTTCCAGTCACCGCGGGCGATCTGTTCATGGGCTGGGACGAAGTTGCGGACGAGGACGAGGATGGTCATGACCACGTGCTCGGCGACGGAGACGACGTTGGAGCCGGTGACCTCAGCAACGGTGATACCGCCATTGGTCTTGTTGGCAGCGTTGAGGTCGACGTGGTCGGAACCGATACCAGCGGTGACGGCAAGCTTGAGGTTCTTCGCCTTGGCGAGACGCTCAGCAGTCAGGTAACCTGGGTGGAAGCTGTACAGACTGTCAATGCTGATTCTGTCTTGTGCCTAGGTAGTGTGCCTTACGGAGTGGTGATGATGACCTCGGCGTCGACGAGCTCCTGGTCAAACTTGCTGTTCTCGCCCTCCTTGTCGGAGGTGGTGACGAGAGTGTGGCCCTGGTCCTCAATCCACTTCCTCAGACCAAGCTCGTTCTCAGTCGTGCCCAGCAGCTGAGGCTCCTGCTTGGCGTGCTCGTGGCCCTGCGAGCGTTTCCATTAGCAACTGCAACGCACTCGATTCGCTGGTCTGCTCGGCTGGATGCAGGACTTACATCGTACAAAACGAGGAGAACCTTGCCCTGTCGTGACGAAGTCGCAGTCAGCGTTCTGACCCCTCCCAAGCTGGTTGTCCTGGCGAGCGAAGCCCCGCGTTGCGCGAAGGCGGCCGTGGCTCTCTGCGAGAGCAGGGAGCCGGCAGGGCGTGCAGCACGCAGGGCGGAGCGGGCAAATACCATTGTGAAAAGGAGTGTCCCTCTGGTGCCTGAGAAGAGAGGGCTTTCGTTATCGTGCGACGGAGGCGTGTGGTTCTATGTAGGTAGCTCGGTAGCTTTGGGGGACCTCGAGGCGGAGAGCTCTGCGATGATGAAAGTGTGTTAGCGGCATGCAGCTTCCTCCATCAAACCGATGGACGGGCTGTGAGCGGAACCTGAAGGCAAGTGAGATCAGCGGATGCGGGGGAGACTTGCCGTTACGTCGTGCTTGCGTTGGCGGGATGTCGACTAAACGATCAATACAACAACTCGTCGTCGAGCTGGATAAGGCGGGCGAGCTGTCTTCCTATATACCCAATGCTAAGCCTCGAATAGCTGGGTGGAGCTGCAAGGAAAAGCTCTGCCATCAGATGGTCACGACGCTTGTTGCGTTGTATTCGCTCGAGCGCGCCGTTGTGACGATGCTTCCTGCGAACCCCACTTCCAACTTGCCTCTCAGAAGCCTTCCAGCAGCAGTTCCGACCTTGTTGTCCCAATCTAATCACAATCCTTGACTACAACGACTGACCCGGCAGCAGCAAGAAGCGGGGTCCACCCAAGCGCAACAGCAGTGAGCAGCGCCCAGCGCTGGGCTAGTGTTCTCGAACGCTCGCAGGATGTATTGCGGAAGAGCAAGTCTCGGATGAGAGCAACCACGTTCAGGTTCGACGACTGGGGCCAGCCTTCGCCGTTTTGCCTGACCTGGAGAAAGCTTCCTAAACTCTAGCGGCCTGCGGCCATGCAAGTCCAAAAAGGCAATTCTTTCGTTTGTACGAAACGAGGCAAGCCAAGCCTGCACGATTTGACATTTCGCGTTCGATGATCGATTCTGTCTCGGTGCAGCGGAGCTTTTTGGTCGGGTCGACAGACTTTGAACGGACTTCTAATTATGTTTGCCAACTCCCGTGTTCGTCGTATGGGTGAAGAGAGTCTATACACTCTGATCTCGTCGGGGTATAGCAATGCCGGACCTGCAGTAGTGCAGACTCGGTGGAACGCCGGGTGCTGCTACCGTTTTCGGGGCGATTTGGCATCTTTTCACGACAACGTCAACATGATGATGTTGACGACCGACCATGAAACCACTCAAAGAGACGCAACCTGGCCTCTCGTCTCGCACCCGACGGTGGTTTCGAATCATTCGCCAAGCTTCCATAAGCCTTGTGGGGAATTGTGGGAGCCGCAAAACATCCCTACGCACTTCACGCCGTCGGCCACTGAAATGGGAGCCAGTTGCCGCAGTCTTCCGCAGACAAGTGTCGATTGTGCGGTGGCTTCGAGATTTTGCTGTGTTGCGATCATTACGAGTAGCTGTGTGATGTAAGCACCGTTCAGTTGCCCACAAAATGGAGCTACACAACAACGGCGATATCTCTGAGAAGGACCGGATGCTGGACTGGCTCGGGTAAGGGACCCGATCCGTTACGGCATCCTGCCGAGTCGTAAGCCTTCGCGTTTGGTGATCCAGCAATTGTGCAACTCTTGAGGTCGGGGCTGCTTTCCGGGTGCATTCTGCGATGGCCACAGAATACCGCAGCTTCCGCCATCACGAAGACATGTCGTAGTCAGTCATCTGCCGTGTTGAAGCGAGCTGGCTTTGTCGCCGCTGTTGTCAGAGGTATAGCAAGTTTGTCAAAGCGGGATGGTTATCGTAAACAACGTCAACGTTGACATAACACCTCGGGAGTAGTTGAGTGAGTGACTGAATGTTCGTCACGGAGCCGAGTCCGCTCGCGTTCTCGCATTGCAATTGACAGGATTCAGGCTGTCAAGTAAGGCACCCTGTTCAACCCCTCGCTTATTCATGCTGCTCGTGCCGCGAAAAGGGAAAGTTTGAAGTCGAATAGATACCCTAGCTCGATTCTAGGGGACGCCTGTAAGGGTTCTGAGAAGCCAGCAGGACCACGCGGTCAGTGCCTCCGTGCTGCGTTTGACTCCCGTACTGCGGCGAGGCCTCTGCAAGAAAGCTCATGGATGGCATTGACGTGGCTGCAGATGGGCGAAAGATGAAGTGAGCCAGATACCGGCCGTGCTTCGCCTGGTAGTGGTGCATGTAAAATGCAACTCTGCTTCATCAGGCGTGCATGTCGGTGTGAGAAAGGGACACGGAGCTGGGGACTTGCGACTGAGCCACAGAATGGCTGAGAATGGCTGAAAGCCACGTGCAACGAGGCGTGCAACAATCGCCAGCGGGCAGCTCTGGACCCAGATCTTGTCACGCACACCAAGTAACTGCTACACTCAGGTAGCCACCACACACCATGTCGTCCTACCTGAGCAACCTGCTCACCCACACCACCTCGAAATACAACTCGCTGCGCCGGACGCTGCTCTCCAGCGAAGACGACGGCGACACTGAGGACGATACCCACATCTGCCGAGTGCTGCGCGCATACTACACCGAGAAAGGACGGCCATTCCCACCATGGTTGCCAGCAGACCCCAACGACCGACGAGCAGTGACCCCGCAGCCGTACACGCAGAACTCTGGGTACTTCACCAGCGCCGGAGGGAAGAGTCAATACGCAGCAGTGCAAAATTCAGGCGGCAGTAACAGAGGGAGTCTGAGTGATCTATGGGATGCTCCTTCAGGTGGTCAGACAAGTGGTCCAATGCAACCGCAGAGTCTACGAAATGCGAGAAGACCTGTAGCACCTGCTCAAGGCAGTAGCAGCACTCTGGCGCCTCCACAAGCCAGACCGTTACCTTCACAAAGAGCAGGCAGCTACCAGAGCATGGCACCACAACCACCTTCGAGTCGACCTGGAAGTGCTGTCGATCCCAGTCCGCCGGCAAGCAGCGGTGGTGGATCAGCGCAAGAGAGGCTTAAGGCGAGGCTGTGGGGTGGAAATCGAAGTGCAAGTCCGCTGCCAGGCCAAGGTGCGAATCAATGTCCAGGTCAGAACCCATATGACCAGGCCGGTACGAGTGGTGGGAATCCGTACGACAGCGGTGGGCGGCGATACGGGAGGTGATGAATCAGCCTGGCCGGAGCGGACAGACAAGTTGATGCTACTCTGTTTGGCCGGCAAAGACGGGATTCTACATCCAGCAGTGCACGGCTCCATCACCATTCAGCTTTGGTGTCTTCGTCAACACCTGAGAGGCGAAATCATGGCTGAGCGGCCTGTTCACGACATTTCCAAAGAACCTACGGACGGATGCACCAGAGCTCTTTACATGCTGTGGTACTACCTCCAACAACAATACTATTATACCCTCTCGAATGGCAGTCCTAATGTATCCCGCATCATCAGAGCATTGGCCCTTCTTCCAATGCTTGCTGTGATTCCAAGCTTCACGCTAAAATGTCACCTTGAAGCCACCTTCACTTCACATGCCGCACGCAACACACGCAAAATGTCGTGCTCTTCAGGCTGTGCGAATAACAAGTGCTGTTTCATCAAACACACTTTTGCAGCTGGTCGCTAGGAGCTCATCGGCAAGAGCTATATAGGTCTAGGTCACCTCATTTGGATTTAGCTTCGAGGGTACCTCGATTGTCATGGAGAAGCTTGAGCACGCCATAGACCATCTGCAAACACCATTGGCGATCAGCACATCTCACGACCCGGAAACACCACAATGTTCGACGGTCGCACAGGAGTTGCAGATCCCGAGGCTGGCATATTGCTTGAGAGCTGCGTGTATAAAGGCAGCTAGGTGACATCGTTTCGCGCTGCGCGATTTCGCTACAGCAACTCATTCAAAATGTCGAAACGAGAGTACACCGACCCAAGCGTCTACAACACCCACCACGAACGGTTCCAGCGCGCTGGACTGCCAACGACTCAACAGGGATGGGTCCAGCGTGCCAAAGAAGTCGCATCCATTCTGGCGGAGGATGCTGCCAAGCGAGACATTGAGAACAAGTCACCTCGCGCTGAGGTTGCCATGCTGAAGTCTGCTGGCTTGTTGAAGACTCTTGGGCCAGCCAAGTATGGCGGTGGTAACCAAAGCTGGGAGACTGGATACAAGGTCATTCGTGAAGTCGCCAAGGGTGATGGATCGTTGGGCATGTTGCTGGGATACCACTTGCTCTGGTCTACGACTGCCAATGTCGTTGGTACGGAGGAACAGCATGACAGCGTGCAACAGGTCATCATTGAGAACAACTACTTCGTCGGTGGAGCTGTCAACCCGAGAGACAGCGACCTCAAGATCTCTTCTGACGGGGACGAGATTGTGTTCAATGGCCACAAGAACTTCAACACAGGAGGTGTGGTATCGGACTTGACTGTCCTGGAGGGGGTGCTAGACAACACTGAAGACCACATCTTCACGTTCGTCAAGACCGAACAGCCCGGCATCATCTTCGCGCACAACTGGGACAACGTAGGCCTGCGTCTGAGTGAATCGGGCAGCGTCAAGATCGACAACGTTCGCGTGCCATGGACTGATGCGCTGGGTTGGGACCCCGTCAGCAAGCGACCGGTCCAAGACGTCCTCGGAATCCCGTTCGCATCAATGCTCTTGCCCACGATCCAGCTGGTCTTCAGCAACTTCTACCTAGGCATCGCGCAGGGCGCTTTAGGTGCTGCATCTCACTACACCGTCAATGGCACACGTGCTTGGCCATATGGCGGAGATAACAAGGAAAAAGCTGTCGACGAGTGGTACATTCTCGAGCGCTACGGCGAGTGGCGCGCACACGTTGCAGCCGCAGATGCACTGGCAGATCGTGCTGGAGCTGAGATTGCCAACATCTATCGCGAAGCGGGACAGTACGGCTCATCCTTGGACCAGCAACTTCTCAAGGAGCACGTCAATCCCAACTACAGCCTGAGCAAGGTGGACGTCAACGGCGCCCTGAACAAGATCAACCCACCTTACGCTATTACTACCGCCACGAGCTTCCAGAACATCGGAGCCGAGTCAGGAGCCAACGGTGCCACCACGAACGGCTATTCGAATGGCTACACCAATGGCCACAAGCAAGGCAGTAACCGCAGCGCCATCACTGCGCTCCGCCGTGGAGAGGTGGCAGCCTTTGTTGCTCACGCCAAGGTCGTGACCACGGACACGGGCTTGAAGGTCACCAGCGGCATCTTCGAAACGCTCGGTGCCCGGGCGACTGGCAAGAAGTATGGTTTTGACAAGTACTGGAGGGACATCCGCACGCACTCGCTACATGATCCTGTGGCGTACAAGAAGAGGGAGGTCGGCAGATACCAGCTGTTGGGAGAGATTCCAGAGCCGACTTGGTACACGTAGACTATTGAAAGTAGCTAATGTATTGAACAAGAAGTTTTTCGTCTGCACGTGGTTCCTGATACCTACTATCGAATCGTCTCATTGAATGAGGTAGCCTCAGTTTTGGCCCCCAACTTTCACTCACCTCACGCGTCATGTCTCCTGCTTGTGGCTCAGCGCGGGGCAACAGCTACAAAGACAGGCGCAGTCCTGCTGCGAGTCCTCGAAACAACCCACCATGTGACTGCGGCCTCGAGGCTGTGACAGATGCCACCGATCCTTTTACACGCCCGCCAAAGCCTTAACAATACCTCTTCCACCATGCCGTCCACCCCTCCGCCGACAGACGCTTCTGCCGACCCTCCCAGCCCGCCATCGCCCACGGCCAGCTTCTACGACATGAGCGACGAAGACGAGACCGAGTATAGCACCGTGAGACATAGCAAGAGCACGAAAGGCGTCAAGCTATTGTATGCCAAGAGCAAGGTCTACGTCCATCCGACACCCAGCGCAAAGGACAATGTCGCGGGCTTTGTGGCGTTGGTCCAGCAGAAGCCTGAAGGGTCAGAGGCGCCGACGACGCCTGGAAGTAGCAGTGGACGAACGAGGCCGCGATCGGATTTACTGATTTCATGGGTTCCGGAGAATGGATTGGGAGATGTCACGGAGAAGTATACCAAGGTCGAGATGGCGAATGTCGACACTGAGAGCCCGCCCAAGCAATCGTTCCTTGTTCCAAGGCCACCGGTTGTTACGTCGCACAGCTCCAGCCTGGGCACATACGCGTTTGCGATCCCAGTCAGTGAGATCTTCAGCATCCTCGTCCGCCCGCCTAGCACGGGATGGTGGTTCGGCAGCATCGTCATCAACTCCCGTTCAGGCGACAGCTTCCCACCGCTCTTCTTCCACGACTCTGAGTGCCAGTCTACGATCGATCAGCGTAAGAAGCTGCAGCGCGAGAACTTCAGCATCGAGGGCAAAGCTGGGGGAATGTTCTGGGGTGGCGATCAGGTGTTGGAGTGGTTGAAGAGATACGTGACCATTGAACGATCTGTGCAAGAGCCGAGTATCTACCTGGTTGATCCGAATGAGGCTGATAAGTTGTCTTTTGGGAGTGGCGGGAAGCCTACGTCGGATAATGTGAGGAATGTGCTGGAGGGCAAGCCGAAAGATCATCCGTCAAATTCGAAGAGGAACAGCAATGGCAATCAAGGAGAGCAAGTCTTGAATGTGCTCAAGCAGGCGCGTTGGAACTTTATGGAGAAGATGGCTCAGGTCACGACGTTCACGAGACGGACGGCGCAGGCGGTGGCGGAGAACAAGAATCTGCCGCCCCAAGTTCGACGTTTGATGCAGAATCCCCAAGTGCAGACAGTGTCAGACGAGTTTGACTCGGCGAGACTTTATCTTGCACGATGGGCGATGGGTATTGCTGAGCAATCGGAGCGTGAGAGGAATCAGCGGATATGGACGGCCAAGGATATTCTGGAAGTCGAGGATAGCGAGCTGGGCCAGTTTGAGCTGCTTGATGCAGACGCCCAAGGGCTGAGCCTTGCAGACAAGAGGAAGCCTGTGACACTGGAAGAGTGGAACAGCTTCTTCAATTCAAGGACAGGACGAGTGGAGAAGACGTCTGACGAGATCAAGGAACGAGTGTTCCATGGTGGTCTTTCTACTGAAGACGGTGTAAGAAAGGAGGCATGGTTGTTCTTGCTTGGTGTTTACGAGTGGGACAGCACGAAAGAGGAGCGTCATGCGAAGATGGACAGTCTGAGAGACGAGTACATTCGTCTCAAAGGTGCCTGGTGGGAGCGGATGGTCGATGAGACTGGTACTCTGGAAGAGCGGGAGTGGTGGAAGGAGCAGAAGATGCGAATAGGTACGTCTCACAACCTCTGCGATACTATCACTGCTGCTGATGCCTTTGCTGACCGTGCCATTCATGGCCAAATAGAAAAGGATGTCCATCGCACTGATCGACATCTGCCCATCTTCGCGGGCGAAGATATCCCTCACCCTGACCCAGACAGTCCGTTCGCAGAGTCTGGTACCAATGTCCATCTGGAGCAGATGAAGGATATGCTTCTGACATACAACGAATACAACCGCGACCTCGGCTACGTTCAGGGCATGAGCGACTTGCTGGCACCTATCTATGCTGTCGAGCAAGATGACGCCGTTGCGTTTTGGGGCTTCACCAAATTCATGGAACGAATGGAGCGAAACTTTCTGCGGGATCAATCTGGCATGAGATTGCAGCTAACGACGCTCGATCAGCTTGTGCAGATACTCGACCCGAAGCTGTACGAGCACCTCGAGAAGCTGGACAGCACCAACTTCTTTTTCTTCTTCCGCATGCTTCTGGTCTGGTTCAAGCGGGAGTTTGAATTTGAGGATATCCTGCGTATGTGGGAAGGGCTCTGGACCGATTACTTGTCCTCAAACTTCCATCTATTCATCGCAGCCGCGATCCTTGAGAAGCATCGAAATGTCATCATGGACCACTTGAAGGGCTTCGATGAAGTGCTGAAGTACGTCAACGAACTCTCGGGTACGATTGACTTGTACTCGACCCTCGTCAGAGCCGAAGCGCTCTTCAGGAGATTCCAACGCATGGTCGAGGCGATTGACAAGAAGTCCAACTTCCCGATACCATCGGCTCGACAGAGACTTCCACAGCCGCCATCACCCACTGCTGCTCGGCCGGGTAGCGATGGCAGACCCAGACAGGGCAGCAGCTCCAGCATCGGTAACGCGAGCGGAAGTACCAGACGACCTTCACAAGGCACGGCTCAGACATCGGGCCGAGAAAGGACTGTTGGCGATCACATCGCGGCTGGCATTGGAGCGGAGAAGGAGAGAGTGATTACGCCTGAACTTCGCAGTTTGTTGAGTCGGGATGTGCCTAAGCTTGATAAGACGGAGGTTCAAGCTCACGGTGGTGGTGTTGGAAGTTAGATGACGAGACGAGCGAACTGGAGTAGTTACGATGGACTATATGACTTGATGGCATGCGATGAGTTACGGCGTTGAGGTTGGATGTAGAGGTATGTGGACATGAGGGTTACTAGCATTTACTCGCGCACAGAATGCGACGGATGAAGGATGGGGGCGCCAGTTCGACTCAATTTGATTTTTTCCTCAAGAGTGACGCATGTTCTAAGAGTCGCCGTTCACCAGTGGGGAGAGGATTTCTGATATTCACTTCAAGTGAAGTTTCAAGCTTTTACATGTGACAAGCGCGCTAAAACTCAAATAGGCTCAACCTCAGTCTTCCTCGACAACCACACCACCCAACAACCTCGCAACTCTAAAAAAATACACAATACAAGTCAGCAACATGGATGCCTTTGATCAAACGCAGCACATCGCGCAGCATATCGCCAGCAGCAGCAGAGTCGTTGTCGCTCCTCATTCTCGCGGCGCAAGACTCTTGCTCGAAAACCCCGACGACAGCGATCTCATCGACTTCGAGGAAGATGACGACGTACAACAACTCGAGCCAGTCCCCGAAATCCTCACCTCCGACGACCTCGAACCCATCCAAACCCCCTGGTCTCCCCTCGGCGTCGGCGAGCACGAGTTCAGCAACATGCACACCACCCCCGGCTACTCACCCGAAACCTCCCCGACCCCATGGACAGGAACAGTGACGGAACCCCCCACCTTTCCCCAATAACACGAACTCACCCTCCTCTGCAACCCCTCCCCTCCTGTCCCCAATGCCCACCGCGTCACAATCACCGCCACCTTCTACACCACCTTCCACGCCCTCCTCTCCAACGCCCAAACCCGCACCTCAGGGCTCCAGGGAACCTTCCAATTCTCCTACGACATCACGCCGTCCTCTACGACCTGGGAGGACTTTATGCGGGGATTCTGGCAGCAAGCTTTAGCTCATGAACTACCTGAGAGGATTAGTGTGGAGGGTAGGGGGAGGCCGCTCTTGACGGTGTGGATTAGTGCGAAGGTTGTGGAGGAGGAGAGGGGGCTGTTTGGGGGGAGGAAAAGGAAGGAGAGGGTTGTGGTTTTGGAGAGGGAGGGGTGGAGGGAGGGGGTGAGGAGGGTTTTGGAGGGTGGGGTGAGGGAGGTTTGGGTTAGGTATTGTTTGATGGATGGGGAGGGGAGAGTCGGTGTTGAGGGGAGGGAGAGGGAGAGGGAGGTTGGGAGGAGGCGGTTGGGGCAGGGGGAGGGCGAGGGGTCGAGGGCGAGGGCTATGTAGATTTGGATGGCGGGTACTGTGATGGGGCTGTGAGGATGGTGGGGATGGGGTTTGGTGTGTTAAGTTTGGAGGGAGATGAAGGATGTAGTGACTACGGCAAGGGGCGGTGCTTGGACTGATCATCACTTCGTTGCTTTTGGATGGTTGGCTTGTAGTCGTAGAGACACTGAACATTACCGCAATGGACCACATCACAGGGAAATCCTTTCTACTAGAAACCTCCGGACTCTCGACTCGTTACCCCCGTCAGCGAGACCTCGAGCACCGATGATGATGATGACTCAGTCTCCAGCAATCTCTATCGCTCAACCGACGCTCTGCCTCGATTCCAATGTCTTCTGCGAGGTTTGCTGACGAGCTGCAAATCAGAGCTGCGTTTTCTGAGACTTTGTGTTCTTCTCCATCATTTCGAGCTTATGTGTCTGATGACCGTCGATGAGACTTCATCGTGAGGAGGCTGTATTATGGAAACGGAGCGAGCATGTAATTGGAAGGTTTCATTCGTATTCTCATGACTTCATAATCTCCCCGGACTCCCTTCGTCACGTTGTTTCCTTCATCCCGGCCCAAGCCTAGCTCGCACCGCATTCTTCAGCTGCAGCACTGTCGCGGCTGTCAAAGGTGGAGCGATTCCCTGTCGCGCCAAATCCTGATAGTTTGCCACTACGAAGCGCATGATATCGATGGGCTTGAGATGTCGCATGATGTGCAGCATAATCTCGGCCGGCATGCGTAGTAGAGGGAACAGTGCTGGGATCTGTGTCTGTGTCGTGATGTAGATCACTCGTGGCCTTGATAGCGCTGGCGCCAGGCCGTACGAGTGGAGAAGTGGGTAGTTGGCGAATGCGAAGTTGATGAAGGACTCTGCTGGCAAGTAGTCGACGATATCCAGAATCAATTCTGAGGGTAGGGAGTAGAATGGATGACGAGGCTGCGTGGTCGTTGCCAATTGTTGGCTGTTGGTTGCTGACGACGAAGCTGCGCCATCGACTTGATCATCGCCATTGGACTCAGCAGTCGATTGATCTGGTACGTCTTCGCTTGCCATGATTCTTCAATCTGCGTGCTGCTTGTGCTGCTCGGTTTTCAACAAGCTGGCAATCTTGTCTGAGACGAACCAAGCGACAACGGCTAGGACGATGATGTAGGCCGCCGTGGAAAGCAGAGAGACCGGAAGAACGTTTGCCAGATAGGGGTCCAGAATGATGTCGACGTCCACAGGTTCAGGGTGCTGCATCAAAGTCTTGTTGGTGGTGAAGTAGTCGGCGGCAGCTTGAACGTGAAGGAACAAGATAGTCCCAGTTGAGTATTCAGGCTTCAATGCGTTGTCTTCGGCTGGGGGTTGTGAAACTTGCAACTCGGCAAATCCGGCCAGGCTCTGAATCAGATATGGAGAATCGAACACATGCGAGATGTTGTAGACGTTCAGCCAGAACTCCGTCGGTTGCTGTGTTGGGAGTCAGCTGACATGAAAGTTTAAGAGTAGGCGTTGTTGCCTGGTCTAAGAACACACAATAGCAGCCCAGCAAATGCGAACCTCGTACCGCTGTCCTTCGTTTAAGCCTCGTAGCAGATACCAGGAATCAAGGCCTCTGGCAGCTTCTTCGCTAGGAAAGGCGACGTTGAGTGATCTCCGCAGTTTGGAGTGGCTGTAAGTGAGGGTGTCGAGATTCAGAGCATCCAGCTGTGGCTCTGCATCGGGGAGAGTGATGGCAGACGGGGCGATGAAGATGGTCTTTTCTGTGTTTGCAAGAGCTGCAGTCGCAAACAGAAGCGCGGTTGGGATGTACCAAGCCAGAGGTCTCATGGTGGTGGAGGCGGCGGCGTACGAGGGCAGCAAGTCACTAGGCAGTGGTGCATTCTCACATGCACGGAGGGGAGTGAATGTGAATTGATTGACGGCTCAGTGGATGTTTATTCAATTCTTGATGAGACTTTGAGTCGTCGTCGCCGTCACAAGCTGGCCAGCGGGAAACAGCGACGGCGCGCTGCGAGTGGTCGCCGTTGACACGCTAACGTCGGCGGGCGGCCGTACCCCTGCCAAAGCCCAAAGTCTAATCGGCACCCACAAACAAGCAGCGCACTTTCTCCCCGCTGCCAAACACACGCGCCTGCAACCACTCGAGGACAACACTTCCTCCCACCGCCATCTCTCCCATCGCCGACCGTCAAGAGACACCCTACCATCCACTCCATCCACTCGATCTCCGCCCACCATGCGTGAAGTCATTAGCTTGAACGGTATGTTTACTCCTATTCAGGGCCCGCGCGCCTTGACCGCCATATTGGGCCTCGCCGTTGAGATTGAGCCGTATACTGACTTTTCACGCGTGTAGTCGGCCAGGCCGGTTGCCAAATCGCCAACAGCTGCTGGGAGGTCAGTACCATCACATTAAGAGCAGGATGCAAGGGCATGGAGAGAGCAGACGGGGAAATATGGGTGCCTGAAGACATTGAGACTGACATGACCCTGGTATAGCTCTACTGCCTCGAGCACGGCATTCAGGTAAGAGGACACACATTCAACATGAAGTGAAGCGAATGCTGACAATTGCAACAGCCAGACGGTTACCTCACTGAGGAGCGCAAGGCCGCCGACGACGACCATGGCTTCTCTACCTTCTTCTCCGAGACCGGTATGCCACCAAAACCCAATTGCATATCGACATGAGCTGACACCTTCAAGGCCAGGGCAAGTACGTCCCACGCACCATCTACGCCGATCTCGAGCCCAATGTCGTCGACGAGGTCCGCACCGGCACCTACCGCTCCCTCTTCCACCCAGAGCAGATGATCACTGGCAAGGAGGATGCGTCCAACAACTACGCTCGTGGCCACTACACCGTCGGCAAGGAGCTTATCGACCAGGTCTTGGACAAGGTCCGACAGGTGGCCGACAACTGCTCTGGTCTTCAGGGTTTCCTTGTCTTCCACAGCTTCGGTGGTGGTACTGGATCTGGTTTCGGTGCCCTCCTGATGGAGCGCCTGTCGGTCGACTACGGCAAGAAGTGCAAGCTGGAGTTCTGCGTCTACCCAGCCCCTCAGGTCGCCACCTCGGTCGTCGAGCCATACAATTCGATCCTCACTACCCACACCACCCTCGAGCACAGCGACTGCTCGTTCATGGTCGACAACGAGGCCATCTACGACATCTGCCGCCGCAACCTCGGCATTGAGCGTCCAAACTACGAGAACCTGAACCGCCTGATCGCTCAGGTCGTCTCTTCCATCACCGCCTCTCTCCGCTTCGACGGCTCCCTCAACGTCGACTTGAACGAGTTCCAGACCAACCTGGTGCCCTACCCACGTATCCACTTCCCACTGGTTGCCTACGCTCCAATTGTCTCCGCGGCCAAGGCTGCCCATGAGGCCAACAGCGTGCAGGAGATCAGCATGTCCTGCTTCGAGCCCAACAGCCAGATGGTCAAGTGTGACCCCCGCAACGGCAAGTACATGGCCACTTGCCTGCTTTACCGTGGCGATGTCGTCCCCAAGGACGTCCACCAGGCCGTTGCCACCCTCAAGACCAAGCGCACCATCCAGTTCGTCGACTGGTGCCCAACTGGGTTCAAGATCGGTATCTGCTACCAGCCACCACAGATGGTGCCAAACGGCGATCTCGCCAAGGTCAACCGCGCCGTCTGCATGCTGTCCAACACCACCGCCATCGCCGAGGCCTGGTCTGCTCTCTCCCACAAGTTCGACCTCATGTACAGCAAGCGTGCCTTCGTTCACTGGTACGTTGGTGAGGGTATGGAGGAGGGTGAGTTCTCTGAGGCTCGTGAGGACTTGGCTGCCCTCGAACGCGACTATGAGGAAGTCGCTGCCGACTCCGCTGAGGGCGAGGAGGGTGCCGAGGCTGAATACTAGGCGCGATGATAGCAAGCAGGGACAGCCAGGCGTGAGAAGCTGTTCACCAGGACTGGCGCGGTTTGGAGTGCAGGCATGCTTTGTCTTGTATCAGAATCGCCGGTAGCGCGTGGAGGAATACCCACGAGTATGGGCTAGCAGAGAGTAATGCTGGCGAGAAGACGAAGCGTTGTGTTTCCTTGTCTTTGCTTTTGTCGAAAGTTGAGCGATAACCAATTCCCCCAATCCTTGTCCAGACTCACGATGTACCTGACGTCCCGAGAACATGAACCCTCGTCCCAACTCTCACGTGCGCGTAATAAACGCCCTCTTCGCGGCAGTCCACTGTTCCACTTCCCGCTAGCTCGTTTCGCTTGGACGATGCAACCACACAGCCACCACAGCGAAACGCTATCCTCGAGTCACTGGGTGCCGGGGATCGACTCCCAGGCTCAGCTTCCACGGCGCTGCGAGAGGTCAACTAGCACTGGGTATGCCGTCAGACGACGTCTCTGCATAAGCCCAGCCCAGCCAGCGGTGGGTGGGTATCGGAGAGACAGGAAAGGACAAGAGCGTGGGAGGAACGAGCTTCTCCCGGCAATTTGTATCATCAAGCTGCCAATCGTCTTTTTGCGAGTAAATATAGCGACGATTCCCCAAAACCTTGACCACTACCTCTTTTCTCCTCTCACCATCGCGTTGCGACCTGATCGCACCACCACACCTTCCCGGACCTTTGCCGGCTCCTCGACATCGCCAACTTCGCTTGGGCGCATACTTATCCCCAAACAGCAACGCAGGACCGCAACTCGCAAAGACGCGAGCGCATCGCAAAAGAACGGACGGCGTGGCAAGAGACGTCAATCACAATGGCGGAGCCAAGTACGCCTGACGCTGGACCCGACCATGCACCGCCTTCTCTGCCGCCCGGATGGTGCGTCTAATCCAACTGTCATATACTGCACGCTCGTCCTCTTTACTCCTCCATTTCCCATCGTCGTCGTCGTCCACATCTTGCGCTTGGCACTGACGTAGCTGGTGTCGATTGAAGGATTGCGCAGTGGGACGCCAAGTGAGTCTTGACATCTGATCAGCAGCATGCGAGGGCGGCGCGGGTATCATTGTTGAATGCGAATTGCGACCCCGCTCTGGCTGATGTCCCTTCTTTCTTTGACATTCCACTAACAACTCGCGACAGATCGAGAAAATACTACTACGTGCAAATCAGTACCGGCGAATCGACCTGGGACGTACCGACGATGAGCGCACACGGAGTTCCTACGCCTGGCGGCACGCCTGCCAACCAGAACCCATACTCAGCACCAGGAGAGGAAGGCACGCGAGGTGCAGACGGACAAGAGGGCGATAGGAGCTTGGGAGTAGGTTAATACGAACGCATGAGGATGAACAGTGAGGTTGACATTATTCTGCAGGGCTCCTTGTTGAACTCAGTCCTGAGCGGCAAGCAGTCGAATTCATCTGGTGGTGGCATTGGAGGTTTGGCATCGTCGTTTTTGGGCGGATCTTCCTCTTCGCACGGTGGAAGCTCTCAGCATGGCAGTTCAAGCGGTCTCGGTGGAATGGCTCAGTCATTCCTGGGCGGCTCTTCATCGTCTCATGGCGGCTCAAGTGGACAACATGGGAGCTCTGGTGGTGGACTAGGCGGCATGGCACAGTCGTTCCTCGGCGGATCTTCTTCGTCTCACGGAGGCTCAAGCGGACAACATGGCTCTTCGCAGCAGTCAGGTGGCAGCCACTCAAGCGGTGGATTGGGTTCGCTGGGAGCTATGGCGGGCAGTTTCTTGGGAGGACACAACAAACCTCACGGCAGTGGCCAGAACCCATACGGCTACTCTCGGAACCAGTCGTCGGGCGGCACGTATCAGGGCCAGGCTCCTCCGGCGTCATACCAACCAGCAGGCTCGCATTCGCAAACCCACTCCCAGAGCCATACACCAACTCCTGGATATGGCGGCCAGAGCGGAGGCTACAATCAGCCACCTGGTCAGCAGCAGCAGCACCATCAGCCTGGGCAACCTGGAGCTCCAGCAGGTGGCTATGGGCCTCAGAGCGGAGCGTACCATCCTCAAGGCCAGCAAGGGTACGGGCAGCAGTCACAGTACGGCTCGCAACCTCCAAGCCAGCAGCCCACTCCACACAACCAATACGGCCAGCAGCAGCAACAGGGATCATACAACCAATACCCACCACCTCCACCAGGTGGTCCTCAATATGGTCAACAAGGGGGCAACTACGGTGGTCAAAGCTACGATCAGCACAGCGGGTACGGCGGACAGCAGCAACATCAACAGCATCAACAGCAGCAGCAATATGGTGGACAACAATCGTTCCCACCACCGCCAGCTGGAGGGCCGCCGCATGATCAGTCCAATCAGTACCAACCATACAACCAGGGCTATGGAGGTCAACAAGGTGGATATGGCCACCAGCAAGGCGGCTACAACAGCCAATATCAGTCTCCGCCGCCAAACCCCGGCTGGAGATAGAATCGGCTGTAGGTGATGAGGAAGGGAGGCAGATCCACTACCCACAAAACGGCTTAAGGGACTGGAGCTGTGAGAGACAGGAGTTTTGTGCTTTTGCTGCGTTGGAAGTGGTTATGCATGGCGAGATAGGCACGGGCTACGGGAATGAGACTGTGATTGTGTTTTCTTGGACCATGAGACCTCGTGCTTTCATGACTCGTAAATAGCTCTGCACGTGAAAGAAACACTTGACCCAACGTTCCTTCCTTTGCTGGCGTCATGGTGGCACGTGGACGCGGGCTGGTGGCCAAAAGAATTGGCCACGCGAACCCTTCCCGCAACCAAAGCACAAGCGACAAGGTCACTTTGTAGACGCCGCCTCGCGAACCTCACCAGCAACCGACTGCTCGACTATTTGCGTGCGCCGTCCGCATCTCCATCACGCAAACACCTCCGCGCCGACACCACCACCTTCAACGAGTCAGCGCTTCGACTGTCCGCCACTGCACCTGACACCGACACCCTTCACCGCGAAGAAACGCAAGCAGCGCTATCGCCGCACCCTCTCCAGCAACCATGAACCCCGAGTAGTGAGTCGCCAATGAATGCTTTGCGGCGCGCTGCTCTATGTGCTGATGTCCTTGACCTGCAGAGTCTCGCCCTTTCGTACCGTCTTCCACGATCGCAGGCCCGTCAGCAGCTAGAAGGAGGATACCTGGAGACTGGAGCATTTGCTGGCTTATACCTACCGGACTCGACCTACACCTGGAGAGAAAGACACATACGATACCAAGGATCGAGACACCAAAGACTGCCATTGCCATTTGCCCTGCCGACATGCCACGACGAAGCCTAGCCAGCTGCCATGCCGCCGCTGGAGCCTACACATGATCTGCGCCGTGACGTGAAGAGATCGAGTTTCGTGTATACTGACTCTGCTATCTCAGGTACGACTACCTCTTCAAGCTCCTGCTTATCGGAGACTCTGGCGTCGGAAAGTCTTGCTTGCTCCTTCGGTTCGCCGACGACACCTACACCGAGAGCTACATCTCGACCATCGGTGTCGACTTCGTACGTTCCCCAACGACGCCATCACCCTCGCCCAGTCGCTAACAACCCAACAGAAGATCCGCACCATCGAGCTCGACGGCAAGACGGTCAAGCTCCAGATCGTATGTACACATCCATTTGAAAGAGATAGACTTGGGGCTGACAAGGAGAACAGTGGGACACCGCCGGTCAAGAGCGCTTCCGTACCATCACCTCCTCCTACTACCGCGGTGCCCACGGCATCTGCGTCGTCTACGATGTCACCGACATGGACTCCTTCAACAACGTGAAGCAGTGGCTGCAGGAGATCGACCGCTACGCGACGGAGGGAGTGAACAAGCTCCTCGTGGGCAACAAGAGCGATATGTCGGACAAGAAGGTCGTTGAGTACACAGTCGCCAAGGTACGTTATCACGACAGATGGAATGGGCAAAGTGATGGCATACTGATTGGAAATGCAGGAGTTCGCCGATAGCTTGGGCATCCCATTCCTCGAGACCTCGGCCAAGAACGCAAGCAACGTCGAGCAAGCGTTCTTGACGATGGCCCGCCAGATCAAGGAGCGCATGGGCAACACGACCGTCAACAACAAGCCAACGGTCCAGGTCGGTCAAGGCTCGAACGTGCAGTCGGGCAGTGCCGGTGGCTGCTGTTAAGCGGGAGATGGGTTTGAAGACGTAGAGGATATGTCTGAGCCAAGTCTGCTGCTTATGGGTTTCGTCGGGTTGGATGAAGCGTTTGCGAAGGGACTTGTTGTTTTCCAGGCGTTTGATGCATGATGCTAGAAGCTCCGGGTTTAGAGAGACATTTGTTCTTGTTTCTGGGCGCAAGGCATACCCGTGGATGAATAGCTCTCTTCACCCCCAGAAATTGAAGATGCGCATAATGAATGAGAGACCACCGCCACAAGTACTACATCACGACGGCGGTGTTTTTACAGTCACATCGAGCGCGTGAAAGGCAGCTTCACATAGCCAGCGGTGTTTCATGGGATGGTGAACGTTTGAACTCGTACTACTGACAGCCATGTTTCATCTCCCATATCAATACTTCATCGTTTTGTTGGCAGCCACGCTCGTGAAGTATGTGTTGTTGCCCTTGCACCTCGTATCGAGTTGCGAGCACAGACCAACGGACCCCGACCTCACCTTTCACGCCTCGCGCGAACGCGTTGAGCATCTCCACAACAAAGAACTTCCACATCGCCTGCCATTTCCACTCTCCTGTCGAATACACGCTCTGGTCCATTGCGTTGCGTGATTCTTGCCCCACCCTCACAACTTTAGCGATCAAAATAGGTGAATTGCGACACCAGAGGACAATTCGAGAGTCGCAAAACTGCCATTCGACAAGACCCAGCGAGACATTGACCTGCAGAAGAACCGGGCAGGCTGCAGAATCTTGTCGTCTAGGCGACGTGCAGGTGCAAACGGCGGCTGATCCCGGCGCTCTCGAGACTCCCCATGATCACATGAAATAAATCCTTCAGTATGATCACCAACATCATCGACTTGCATCACGTGCCAGTAGGCCCGTGGTCGCAATAAAATGGACAACCGACACAGGAATTTCGCCGGCAAAGCATTACTTTATCGCACTATCGACAGTCCCAAGTGGCGGGTGTTTTTGCGCCGCAACGTGAGAGACGCCCTTGACAGTCACGAGCGGGATCTGGCGCGAGAGCAGCAGTCTGATGCGACAGTCACGCCGAAGTGTGAGGACAGGGAAGACAGTACACAGCCTGAATGGGAGCCGCCGAGTGATCGCATGATGGAGCCTTTGTTAGAGTATCAGAAACCTACCCTGCGGATCAGTGCGCTGCATTTGAGGCATCCCCAAGAGCCTCCGCGACCTCGCAACAACGATGAACCGTCCTGGTTGCGGCAATCTGACTCCTTCATCCGGCCGTGTCAGGTGCGTGTTTCGACGTGGGATCGGCGAGTCGGCAACACGATCATGTACAACGAGCCTCGCCACGCTCGTATTGTCGGACGCGACAATAGCAACGGTCGGGTGACTTTCGACGTCTTCATCTTAGACCCTTTCAACATACCCATCGAGCAGATTTCCTGCCCGACACCGAGTTTTACCGGCAAAGGACCGTGGGAGCGGAGACTCGAGGAGAGCTGTGTCTTGGAGTGTGACGTCCAATTTCAAGACTCCAAGTCAACAGCTGAATTCCTCAACCTGGTCGAAGGTCGTCCTTTGAACGAGTACCACACAGCAGCAGCAAACGAGGGCATTGTGAAGATCAAGTGGAGCAATCTTCCGCAAGTGCCAAAGGACGGCGAGCTACTTCAAATGAAGCGAGCCAAAGGACACAAATCTCTCGACATGGAATACGGAGCCGAAATCACCATGGGCTGGAACGAGCGCACAGATATGCCTTTTACGAGACACAGCAAAGCAGTTCGCGCCAGGAGAGAAGAGCTGCGCCAGCTGCCGACGCCAGTCTCTGAGGATCTCGAAGCTGGCCGCAACAAGTACACGATCAAGTACTCCTTCCGTGGTAGCGCTTTCGAGGTGCGCACCTTTTTGAGTGAGAATCTCAAGTGCATATTCTGCCTACAGGGAGGTGAGCATACGTCATTTGACAGGCTCTTGCTGCACTACCATAACCATCACGATCATTTCAACTTCGAGGTGGAGCACCGTCCGCAGGCCGTGAAGGCAATCCGCATCACTCACGCAGACGATGAATACCTTGAGCGAGAGTTCGGATGGGTAGCACCTCGACGGGCATTTGACATCAACGGCCATCTCAACGGCACTGATGACTGGACGAGCATGATGTTCGAGAAGAGAGAGGGACCACAAGGGACACCTCGGCAGAGGAAAGAGAAGTTCGCAGCGAGGCCAGCAGCTGGCAAGTCACCATCGACGAACAAGTCGCGTCAGAACAAGGTCCCGGGCCTGAAGCTCGCGAATCCGAAGAGAAAGTTCACCGAGCCAGAACAGGTCGAAGACCTCGTCCCGCAAGTGCGCAAGAAGAACAAGGTCCCACATGTACCTGGCGTCGTCTTCTATCGCACCACATCAAAGCAGATACTCAAGCCTGGCGACGAGATCAGCGACAGCGACGAAGATGTAGACGACACCTGGATGAAGCAGACCCAGCGACACGATCTGAAGAAGATGGGCGAGGACGGCATCTCGCTGGACTTCAACGAGCTGTTTAATAGGCAACTCGACGAAGAGCAGCCAATGTCTGATACGCTAACCAGTGATGCAATCGTGCGGTTCGCGCGGAGATGGGTTGACTTGCTCAAAGATCCGAAGTGGAAGGAGAAGTTCCAGGCGAAGTTGACGCAGCTGGAGACGAGGCGCATCTTGCGGGAAGAGACGGTGAAGTATTGTATGGATCTGGTAGAGGCTGCCCAAAAGAAGGACGCAGCGGAGGAGACGTCCAGGGGAACGTCTGGAACGCCTCAACGACAAGGCGCCAACACGGCGAACACGCCTTCACGAGTGATCACTCCCGCGCCGAAGAACTCCAACTACTCGGGTAAGGTTCGAATGAGGTGGCTCGAAGGTGCACTGCGGTTGACAGATGAACAAGGTGTACCACAAGTATCAGGACCGGCTGACAAGAACCCCACCCCTACAGGCGTACACGACACCACCACTGCGGGAAAGGCAGCCGCTCCGACGATGAGATCTCGGCCTCTGCCCAAGCCTTGCGTTTGCGGAACTAATATTATGGGCAAGATGGGCACGATTGCGTGTGCGAATGTGAAGTGTCCGACGGAGGGGTTTCATATGGCTTGTGTGGGGTTGGAGAATAGGTCTTGGGATTGGAGGTGTGGGGAGTGTTCTTCTTCGTGAAATGGAGTGGCGTTTATGGGCGGGAGGGAGGGACGACTGCTTTTCAGCGTGGTGGGTGTAACTTCTATCATAGCGAGGACGTTTTTGTGTAATGAGGCTGGGAAGGATGACTGAATACCCGACGAGCAGCATTTGAAGCTGGAGCGCGCAGACGCGCTCATGCAAATGCGGTATCGAATGGATCTCAATCAATCAATCATCATCTTCCATCAACTCTGCCAACTCAGCCTCCTCCTCAGCCGTAAGCAAACCCTCCTTCTTCTCCCCCTCATCTCCCGCCTTATTCCCCCTCGCCACCTCCTCCAGATACTTCTCCATCTCCCCCCTCTCCAAACTCCACACCCGCACCGTCCCATCAATACTCACACTCACCACCTCTCTCCTCCCGCCCCGGCTCGCCAACCCCGTAATCTCCTCGAAATGCCCACTGTACGTACACACCAACGCCCCGCTGCTCATCTCCCACACCCTCACCTCCTCATCCCTGCACGCCGTCACGACCAGCCCGAGGTCCTCGAAGGGTAGCACGTCGCGGACGAAATCCGGGTGTTGCAGCGTCGTATCGGCTTCCCAGCCTCGCGAGCGGATCAGGTGTTTAGCAGTCTTATCCGCCGACGCAGTCCAGAGATCCCCATCCCCATCGAAGCGCAGCGCATAAACACTCGTCTCATGCGCGAGGATCGGCTCCTCCCCCTCCAATTCATATGCTTTCTCGAGCGAGATATACCACCTCCGGATCTCGCGGTCCGAGGAGGCGCTGAAGAGCGTGAAGGAGTCGGCGGTGAGGCTCTCCGGGTCGATGGCGAGGTTCTGGAGCGCTTTGGTGTGGCCTTTGAGTTTGTGGAGGGGTTTGGAGGTGGTGAGGTTCCAGAGGATGATGGTGGCGTCGGCGCTGCCGGAGAGGAGGAGGGGGGTGGAGGAGAGGGTCACCGGGAGGAGGCATTTGATGAAGTCGGTGTGGGAGGTGAGGGTTTGGATGGAAGGGGAGGCGGAAGGGCAGATGGCGTAGATGGTTTTGTCCCAGGAGCCGGTGTAGATCGTCTTGTTGTCGGGGCCGATGGCGACGCAGGTTAAGGGCGCGGTTCCTTGGGTGAAGATGCGTTCAAGTTTGCCTGTCTGTCGTTCATCTCATTTCAGCACTGCGTTTTTCATGAAAGTTCTTGAGCGATGCTCTCACCTACATCTAACGCTACACGCTTAACTTCACCTGCTGCTTCGGCGGTGTACACGCCTCCTTGTCGATCGTCGCATACGGCGAGGATTTTGGAGGGCAGTTTGATTGGGTTGCCATGCTTGTTTTTGGACTTGGCGGCTTTTCGTTCGGTCGTGGCGAGGGCTTCGGAGGTTTGGAAGAAGTGGCCGGCGTCGTTGGATCGAGACATGGTTTCTTTTTGTTTTTCCCTCTCTTCTTTTCAGTCTCCTCCTTCTGTGGCTTCCTACTTTGGAAATGTGCTTCGAGTTTGCTTGAGTCGAGATGTTCCTCACGACTTGGATGTTGTTGGCTTGGCCTAATTGATGGGCTCTCGGAGAATCTGATCGCTCTCAATAGACTTGTCGTTTGCCCTCTTTATCCCACAGTTCCACGAAAGACTTGATAACTTCTGGCGAGATATGTGTCGTCGAAGAACTCATACGTGTGCCGATTTGGAACGCTAGCTACAAGCCGGGACTAGCGGGTTACGGGAAGGGCCGTTGGACTAACCTCTTAAGTAGTAGCGTATTGTTCTGCCAAAACATCACCCGGCGAGGTACTTTCACCTCATGGATACTGGGACTATGTGAAGTATTTCACTCGATAATCCGTCAACTGAAATTGCTAGTTCCTTGTAGACCTTCATATAAAGCCTCTGCTTCAACCCGTGTCGAGACCACCTTCGCCCTTGCCTTCAGCCGAATTACCAATCAGACCGTGCATGCTTCTCGAAGTAGCGGTGATCCTCGCGAAAGATGAATACACGGCGGTTGATATTGACCAGGCTGGGCACGATCAGATCTCCGAGACTTTGGGAAAACGCCGTGAGATCATGATCTTGTCATGTTTGGTACAGTATTGCCAGGAGGATTGAGTGACAGGGACTTTGAACCGGGCAGAGTTTGGTGGCCCATTAAATGCTTCATACAAGGATTTGCATGAATTCAGCCGTAAGGTTGCTTTGGAATGGGAAACTCACAATGCCTATGTACAGCGTTTTTGTGGAGACGACAGATCTCCTGCGTGCGGTTTGAAGACAGAAAAGTATGCTCCAAAACGACTCGAAGGAAACGATGATCGAGTGACTTGGGCCAAAGACTGCAGTGAGCTTCGCAGATGCAAGGAGCTTATAGCGAAGATGGGGTGGGTGTGAGTACGCAGAGTGAATGTGAGGAGGGGAAGTAGATGTTAGTAGGTGAAGTGAAGGTGAATCGTATTGGGAAGAACCAACGATCTTGTAAGGTCAGTGTCCCAGTTCGAAAGCATAGCATACAGGCCTGACTTGAAGGCAGACAGCAGCGTCGCTCAAGGACTCGGATGTATCAAATCTGCATTTGCTGCCCGCCTCAGGAGTGCCTGCAATGAGAATCATCAGACACCTGTCATACAGCAGCGGTTGCTTCTTCAACGACGATATCGTGCGCGATGTACTTCGCTGCCGCTGTATCTGTACGTGTTTCGCTTGCGTGTCAATTATAGAGCTGGCAGTGTAGACAATGTGAAGGGAAGTGCTGGTGGTCATGCTTAGGTGTTGTTGTCACTGACATATCGGTAGCGGCGTTCATATTGATATGCAAACGCGGCGCAATGCGACCGTCGGCTCAACATACCATCGCGCATTAAAAGTTGAGCGTCATGGCGCGTGCATGGTGGGGGGACAACAAGAGCAGGCAAAGAGCGACGACGTTGTTCGATCGAATGCGACCGGTGGAAGACACCAAGTCGATATTGCGCAGGCAAACAGCGACAACCTCGTTGGACCGAATGCGACGTGTGAAACGCCAAATTAACTTCAAGCAGGCAGGCGGCGACGACATACCCGGATCGAAAGCGACGGGACAAGAAGCATGACGTCGGCACTCAAGGGCTCAAAGTATTATAATCCCTCCCAAAGCCCCTCCAGTACATATTACCAATCAGTCACCAGATGAAGCGTGGCTGAGTGGTAGTATGGTGGTTAACGGCAACCATCACCACACCGCGCGATTCGAAGCATCCAAATGAAGCGAGTTCGAATCCCCGGCGTAGGTGTAAACCGCCATCTTAGGATGTAAAATAAAAGATAAATCAGTTGAATGAAATTGATTTTCTCTAAGCCTTCCCAGGGGTTTCTCCCCGGTGCTTGTCAAGCGGGAAAGGGAAGTTCTTTTTGCTTTTTTGTTTTGACTTGGGGGTTGGGAGGTTGAGTTGTGGGAGGGCAAAGGGAGTTTCGTTTCATTTTTGATTTTTGCGTGGACTTGGTATCGATCGTGCAATTACCTGCACCTGAAGGACTTTGTCTAGGTATTCATTCCATCCAATATCGATCGAGTCCATTCTTCTTTCGCTCGTTTGCCTTCCACGTATCCCAGCCCTGCCAGCGCCTCCTTCTTATTGACGTCGAGACTCATGACCAGGTTGAGCGCGGGCGAGTGCTCGTAGAAGAGCATCGTATCTCTTGGACGACTTCATTTTCCCAAACGAGGAATTTGCCCTTATCATCCTCGACTTGGCTTGCCACGTCCAAGACAGCGGCTTTCCTCCGTGGGAGGCCTGAAATGCTGACAGTACATTGTTCACGTTGTATGACCATGCTGCATAGCCGAAGCGCACCACGGGCTGAAATAGTGTACTTCTCTCACAAGAAAGGATAAGGCGTCCACCTCTTTGGGCGTGGTATAGCCGGCACGGCAACACGAGTCCGGCCCGGCCGCGGCGATGCTTCAGCACATGTGAATTCGATTCTTCAGCACCGGTAGAGTTCCGCATTGAGACAATACATATAAAACAGAGCCATCAAGGTGCTTCAAATCAAATCAGGCTAACATCTGACAATATCGCAGAGACTCAACAATGGTAAACTCCACTTCCCCGTTCCAGCAACCCAATCTCGCGAGGTTCAACATCGATTTTCCAGATGATGACTTCCTGGTCGCCGCATTGGAGTACACGAAACAACATACGTCTGCGCCGACCGTCAACCACTGCCTTCGAAGTGCTGCCTTCGCTCTCCTGGCGGCCAGTAAAGTCCCGCCCTTCGCAAGCGCAGACAAGAAGCTCGTGGTCCTGGCTTGTTTGATGCATGATCTGGGGTGGCAAGGACGTGGCGTCACCAACACCTTGATTTCCAAGGAGAAGCGTTTCGAAGTCGACGGCGCGGATCTAGGCAGGACTTGGATGCGAGACAACATTGTGGCTGGATCCGGTGTGAGTTGGGGACAGAGGGAGGAGCAACTCCTTTGGGACGCCATTGCTCTTCACACGACACCATCGATTGGTAAATACAAGGAAGCCGAGGTCGCAGTGGTCGGGCTGGGCATTGCTGCCGACTTCCTGGGGCACAAGATGCCCGGCGGGTTGTTCACCTTTGAGCAGCAGAAGGCGATCGTGGATGCTTTCCCAAGACTCGGGTTCGCGGATGAACTCAAGCACGTTATGTGTGGCCTATGCAGGGACAAGCCTGAGACGACGTACGATAACTTCGTGTCGGAGTTTGGGAGGACCTATGGTATCGACGGGAAGGGTGGTGGCAAGGAGGAGTATCAGAAAGCTCTCGAGTCGCACTCGTTCCTGAATGGGTTGTTCCAGACTCTGAAGTTCAATGAGGAAGAGGAGGCGAAGAGCGCGTAGAGTTCGACTTGAATTCGATTGAAGAGATATCGTTTTCGTTAGCACTTGGGCTTTCCCTTTGGGCAATTAGACTTGCAAATATAGCTACCGGTGCTCTTTTTCACACCTTTCATGCCTTAAGCTCCACTTCCGCAACCTTCTGAACCCACTCAACCATCTTATCAGGCACACTCAAGAACGGGCTATGGCCGCTCTTCACTTGAGTGACATGTACCGTCCCGCCCTCCGCTCGGGCAGCCTTGGTCATGGCTTCCTGTTGCGCGAACGGCATCCCTTGGTCTTCGGTGCAGGCTAAATACGACATCGGTACATGCCGCCACGCTTCATAGAACACTAGCGGTCCTCTTGGAACTGCCATCGGTTGTATTCGAGCAGTCCAGTAGGCAGCATCCTCGGCCGGCAAGTCGTTGTAGAACAACTTGGTAGGGTCATCGGGTAGAAACGTTGGCTCGGTTTCCTGATTACCTTGTGAGCCTCCATGCTTACGAGAAGTAGTTGCCAATCTCTTGTTCGTGACAGGACATCAATGCTACACTTACGCTGAAGATCCACCAGCTTCCGTCCAACGGCGGCACATCTTTGAACGCCCCCTTCTCAACAATCGGAGGGATCATGGCCGCAATCAATCCAAGACCCAGGACCTTCCCCTTATGATTCTTTGCGTCGTCACCAACCAACCCTTCCAAGGCTCCATTTGCTTTGAGCCCACCGTTACTGTGTCCAAAGACGATGACGTCCTCGCCGTTCGAGAGGCTGTCTGCAACAAGGTCGTGAACTATTTGGATATCGTCATCGGCTGTCTTGATGGCGGCTTGCTTGCCAATGGAAGGCAGGTCGGGAACGTGGCATTTGTAGCCAGCGATTTCGAGGGGTGTTCGAACCAGGTCCAAGCATGATGGATCATGCCATCCTCCGTGGACGAAGACCAGCGTAGGCTTTGACATTGCAGCTTATTATTTATGTTGCCAAATGAGGTCCGGTGAGGCGAGAAGTGGCGTTGGTATTATCCTTAGCAGGCTCACTTCGTCAGCAAAGTGGTCATCCAAGGTTGTTCTGTCGTTCCGCGATGAGACAATGTTCACGAGAGGAGGAATCAGCGATACTGCCGTGCAATAACACCTCGACGTCTCCTTACAAGTGGTTGTTCTTCAGGATCTGCCCTATCTGGCGAATCCTTCGAACTTCTTAGCAACACCGCATCGCGCAGAAGTCTAGCGATCAAGACAGCGGAGGCTCAGCTTGGTCCTGATTTCAGCTTTCGGTGCGAGCATCGCAATGACTCGGAATCGTGGCATGCTCTATGATAGCCGTATTACATCGGAGTAGACAGTCTCTGCCTCATGTACCCGCAGCGCATTGTGTGCTTTGTAAGATGATTTGGAGAAATCTGAGGCTGAAGGTTGTGAGAACTGACGAGGTGACGTTGGGCGATGAAAGCGAATACGAGATGCAAGCATTCGCGTATTCTTTAACGCGTCCCCTTGCCCCCATCAACTACACCATCAACTTATCACAACTGCTAGCAGGCCCAATATCGCTTCATCTCATTCATATTAGCGCCTCGGTCGCCGATTCTCATGATATCACTCCCCAACGATGCATTGGTTCCAAACGAAAGAGCTGGATTTCAAGAGCTGGTATGGCTACATATGGCTCTGCCATTGAGAATAGAAAGAGACGGACATTGATCACCAATTCTTTTCTATTTGCCGCCAGTATAAGACGGAGTCTAGCAACACGATATACCCCTAATTCAAGAACTTGACAGTCTCCTTGAGAGGAAGCTTGTCAGGTCGGTTGGGGTGGTCCTGCGCCTTACCGCCAAAGACCAAGTACGCCTTCGCATTCCACTCCGATGGCAGATCGAACTGCTTCTTGACCGCATCGTCCACGCCTGGAATGGCATACTGATGCTGTAAGCTGGCGCCAAAGCCCTCGAGCTCGAGTGCAGTCCAGAGCGTGATCTGATGCATGGCAGAAGTGTGCTCTGAGAACTGTGGGAAGGCATCGGCGAAATCGGCGAACTTCTCTTGCATGACCTTCACGGATGCTTGGTTTTCGTAGAAGGCGATCTACAAAGACAGTCAGCGGGCAGAAACAGCATTTACATGGGGTGTATGCGTACGGTGCCGTAGCCGTTTCGGAATCCCTGAAGGCGGCCCTCGTTGCGCTTCCAGTCCTCCTCGCCCTTGTACTTCAAGATGATGGCCTTGGTGGCCTCGCTCACGGCGTCCCAGAACTTCTTGTGCTGCTCGCCGAGAACGACAAGGACTCGAGTGCTTTGGCTGTTGAACGAGGACGGGGTAGTGAGGATCGTCTCATTGACGAGTTCCTCGATCCGCGAGTCTGGGATTGGCGACTTGTCGTTGATTCCGTACACCGTACGGCGATACTTGACCGCGTCGAGGTAGGTCGAGGAAGAAACTGGTGCGGCAGACATCTTGCGTAGGGAAATTGGTGGTTTACGGTGAGTGGTGTGTTGTTCGAAGGTCAGTCTGTATGGAGAAGAAACGGTCCAGGTTCGTTCTCAGAATTAATAGCTATTCGCATTGGGCGTGCTCACTAACAAAGGGTTGCGCGAGAGCCGAGCCGACAGTCGGCGAAGTCCAAAGTCTTCGGCGAAATCGTGCTCCCATAATCAGTTCGGCGAAATTCCACACTTGCATGTGGGGGACCAAAAACAGCAGTAGCCGCATTCATGCATTTAATCGTCTTGTCCGGTATGTGGTATCTCTTGCGCTACTAATGAAAAGATGGTAGTACTAATTCGCGCGGCCCTTCTTTGGTCCGATGCTCGCAACAGGCGGCAGTACGAACATCGCTACCGAACTGCAAGATTGATCAGTCAGAGCCCTAAGAGGCGACAAGGAGCCCATCCTTTTGGTCAGAATGAGTGCGATGCCTCAGCGATGGTGCGTCGTGGCTGGGCCATCACACGAGCAATCGGCCATTTGGAGCAGCAATTAGGCGTTCCTGCTTGCATCGCACGCAATCCGGGTTCAAAGCCACCCTCCACAACAAGGATTCTCCAGTGGCCTAAACCTTCGCTCTCGTAGGGACTGTAGAAGTAGTAGGACTTGTAGGAGTTCGTAGGACTTACAGGACTTGTAGGACTTGCAGGAGTTCGTAGTTGTAGGCTTCTAAAATCTTAACGTTGACGCTCCCTCAGACCGCCATCCGGGCCCGAATTATGCGCTGCTGAGATGGTATGGACAGCTTCGTCGCGCTGGATCACTCTTTGTAAGGTTGAAGGCAAAAGATGCAAGTATATCTTCTCGCCGTCTCGGATACCTTATTTGTCGTCACAGGGCTTCCTGCTCCAACAGTCCCAACTGTCGAAGACGGAAAATGGTTGCTGGCTCGATGGCACTTGACCGATACCATTCTGGACATCTCCGTCCAAGAATTTTGGTGACCGTATTCAACGGTAGGTCTTCAAACAGGAGCATGGCAACCACCAACATTCGTTGTTTCGAGATTGACGAAATGTGTCTTACATACTCTTTTATCTTGGACGTTTTGGGGTGAAACGATCCTCTCGGCCGAGAGTGCTCGGAGGCGCCCTCCGAGAGTCGACCCTTCCGTTGTCGTGAAAAGTCCAACTTTGCATCATCGACCACCATGGTTTTTGGCTCTCTTCGCTGGTTCAGCCAAGTAGAGAGTACAACAGACGAGCAATGACGAATCCCAGAGGAACTCGTTCCGGAACGCTCTTCCGACAAGGCTTCTGCTCAGCCCAACATCTTGAAGGGCTCCAATGACGCCAGCAAGCACTGGACAGAACTCAGACTTCAGCTCCGGTGCCACAGAGTGGTAAACCGAGCCAGTAGATTCTCTTTCCTGCGATACTAGTCTGAGCATTTCGTGACCTAACTTGGTCCGAGGATTTAAGACTCAGGCAAGTCCGAAGGTTTGAAGATGCCATTGACAGCTGGGGCGGATTTTGGCTATATAGAAATCCGGATGGCTCAGGTCAAGGAGACCGCGGACGCCAGGTATAAATACACCAGGTGTCTGCCAGTTGGAATTGAAGTACACAGCAGCAACAACATCTCCAGACGAACAATCTTCTAGACCAACCACCATGTCTTCCTCCATGCGAACGATTCTCATCATTGGTTAGCATCCAACAAAACCCTCTCCTCTCATTACAACCTTCGCTAACAACGCCTAGGCGGCACCTCAGGCATCGGCGAGGCGTTCGCCAAACGATGGCACTCCGCAGGCAAGAAACTCGTCCTCACCGGCCGGCGCGAAGCACGCCTCAAAGAACTCGAGGCTGAACTCCCCGGAACGAGGACCTACGCCTTCGACATCACCGATCTGAAAGCCGTCCCAGGCCACGTCAAAGCACTCTTCGAGAAAAACCCAGACATCGACACCGTGTGGATCAACAGCGGCAAGGGCAACCTGTACTCCATCAAGGACCCGTCGTCGTTCCCTGACGAAGCGGTCATCGATGAGATCAACACCAACATCACCGGACCTATGATCATCGCCCGCCACACAATTCCCAAATTGTTGGCGAAGAGCACGCCGACGAACTTCTTGATCACTAGCTCAGGCCTTGGGTACGCTCCTAATGGGACCTTTCCCACGTACCCGCCCGGCAAGGCCTTCATTCACCACTACATGGCGGGAATCCGCGGTGCGTTGAAGGACACAAATGTCAATGTCATCGAGATCGTCCCGCCTATGGTCCGGACGGACTTCCACCAGCAGTACAGCGAAGTCTCGAAGGGTATTCCATGCATGAGCCTCGAGGATTTCGTCAATGATACGTTCAAGCAGCTGGATGGCAACAAGGCGGAGGATTTGAAGGAGGTGGCCGCTGGGTCGGCGCAGGAACGTGTGGATTTCTGGAGAGCGGGGCCGGGGAAGTATATGGAGAAGATGAAGATCCCGGGTTGAGCTCTTGTAGTCGTAGGCCTTCGACTCTCCGGCCATACAAGCAGACATACGATTATTGGCGGCGGCTGCTGCGGAAAAGTCCGGGATCGGCTTTAGTTTATAGAGTATGTTGTCACACATAAATGAAGCGCCTGTAATCGAGAAGGTTCTCATCTTATTCCATCTCATCGGGCATGTTGTCAGCCGGCCATCGGTCCACCTGTGTTCGCCCAAGAGTTGAAGCTGTCCTGCAGAAACACACTAGCAAGATCTGGCTCCAGTAAATCCGATGGCAATCCACTGCCCCAATCAATGTTCATATCGTCCAGGTTAGAGAATGATGAGGCCGTGGTTTCACCTGGCAAGAGATCAAATGCATCAAGATCGCCGAGCTCCTGGTCAATGCCTGGTAAAGCGTTGTCTTGATCCATTGCTTGTGTCTGTTGATGTTGGCTCTGGTTGTCTGATCTGTTTGCTGTGCCCATGGCCGAAAATCCAGAAGCGAGTGGTGGTTGAGTCGGTTGTGCATCAGGTCCAATAGTGCTTCCCGGCCGTTGTGAATTGTCGTCGCTGGATTGAATCAAATATGAATGCTTCTTGGCGCAGAGATGTCAGGTCAAGTGCCTCTTCGTCAATCTGAATTCAAATATCAGTCGATGGCTTACCTGCTGGTGTCGGCGCTTGATCATGGTCCTGAGCAGACCGCGGAGGAATCTTTCAGTCTGTGCAACTCTAGACCCGCCGCGAGAGGCCATGCCCCGGATGTTGTCGAAGCCGCGTCGAATGGCCGCTTTATTTCGATTATGGTCAGGCAGAACCGCTGCTGCGTCTTCGGGTGTAGGAACCCCAAGAGCACCGAAAAGTACGCAAAGAGAGTTGAATACGACTGCGCGAAATATTAGTAAACGCACATGCAAGCCGAAGGAGAGCTTGGAATCCTGACTCACAGTGAAGGTTCCACCACCATGCACCAGTCATCTTTAGTGGTCGATTGGCATCGATGGTCTCAATTTGCAATTGAGCCATTTGGACGCAGATACTGGCACTCACACGTGCGAGCTGAATGTCGACGCGAGTCGCACGAGCACTGGAGGAAGCGGTAGTAGTACTGCACTGTCCCTCATGCTGTGACGGTTCTCCGTTTGCATTATTAGAAGGGTCGGATCCCAACAGTCCTCTGCTAGATGCCTGCAAATAGGTTGTAGGGTGCCGTCCTGCAGCATTAGGCGGCCATGATGCATCCACTTGATCCTGCAAGAGGAACAACACACTTTGACGATGTAGCAAAATGCGCATACCGAGGAATCGAAGCTTCAAGACAACTTTGTGGAGGCGTAGAATGTGCGGGAGGGATGGCGATGTTTCGTCCAAGTTTTCTAGTGAGAAAGCAAGATGTGGCGGGAGATTGCGATGCCACTCTAGTAATAGAGCGTCAAGCTCAAATATGGCGTTGAGCTGCGTGATGGTATAGTGAGCGTCGTACGATTGAGAGTATGGCACCCTACTCGTCAAAGGTGATGGCGCTAATTGGGATCTGGGCGGAAGGACCGCGAAAATCTCGTCCATGATGCGGTACAGTTTCACTGTATTTACGAAGAAAGCGTTGACAGACGAAACATCGCTCGGCTGCGCCTTGTCTTCCTTGAGGAATCTATCGTCTGTTGATGAGAGCAGTTCCCGATTTCGGGTGGGTCGTGGCATATGGGCTATGCCGAAAGGGCGTCCATAGACCATGCTCGAAAGTCTGCAGTTATACGTTAGCTCGGATGTGTGATGGCGAGGCTGGGAAAAGAGATCCAAAAACCGACCGATCGAACGAGAAGCACGCCCACCAAAGGCGCTTGCAAATCTCCTTATCGAGCGTCGACAGCGATGACGATTGCCTGTCATCGCCTTCAGCTATTCGGTCCAAGCCCAAGCCTTGGGACATGCGCGTTGCAATACCAATGGCCATCCAATGCTCGTTCGTACGTAAAGTGCCTTGCTGATACTGCGCCGCCAAGAGCAAGACCTGCACCATAGGTACGCTACAAAGTCGGTGGGAGTTGGCAATGACAAAGCCATTGGCTCTCAAGTAGAACTTCTGGCCCACATCATACACATTCGGCAATGGGGCGTCATCGCTTGTGTCGTACAGTTCGCACGCGATGGCAAAGATGAGGTTCAACTGTGCGAGCCACATTGGATTCAGTGGTTCATCCGAAAGCCAGGTGTCTTGGAATTGTTGCCGGATACGTTTCTCGACCAAGAAAGGCCAGGTGGGGAGAATGATCGAGAAGTATCTCTCAAGCAATGCGGAGGCAATGTAACGCTGAGGTAAGTAGCTGAGGCTCGACCCATCCATGTACGACTTGAGTGCGGAGATGCAATCGTCGGTGTTACTGTGGACGGGATTTTCCATGTTCCAGATATTGCTGGAACCAGCCGCAGTAGAAGCACCGCTTTCACCAACTTGTTGAGATCGAGACATAGTAGAGGGCGACGGCTGCGAAGGGTCTACGGCTCTGACATTTCTCCCATCATCCTCTGAAGCAGTCAAGTTGCGGGCGAAACGGAAGGTGGAGGCATCCTCGAACCCGGTGTTGCTGACATGCGAGTCATTTGGCGACACGTACTCAACCATTCCATCAATGATAGGAAGCGCTGCCCCATCATCCAGGTCGTGATCTTCCTCGTCACTAACGAGTGGCGAAGAAGTAGATGCAACGGCGGGCCCGTCTTTGGTGCGATCGTTGATCACTTTGGCCGAGCCGGACGGACCAGCATGAGCACTAGCGCTGGCACTGGCTCCCATATCAGGTAGGTACAGGATCCCATCACGCGCGTTTTTGTGAGTGGCTTGATCTTGAGAAGTTACGTTGGGAACATGTTGTTGTTGGTCCACGTTGATGGCCAACCGCTGTTCGTACTCTTTCAGCTTGGCTTCCAGATCATCTACATGTCTGCCATCTCGAGCAGGCTATCAGTAATGTCTCAGTAAAGCATCCTTGACGGCATACATGGAGTAGTACCCGCCACAGAAGGGACGGGGCGGCTGATCTCGAGCTCTTACCTTTGCGAGCAAGTGGCTCTTCGATATGCGGGAGGATAAACACATGCCTTGCCTCCGCTGACGCATGTAGAGCACGCCGGCCGAGCCGCATCGCATCGTACCTTGCGTTGCTTGCACTCCGCACATGCCTGGTGCGCCGGATCTACTCGCCGACGCTTGCGTCGTGGCCCTTGACCTCCGTCGCTCTCGTCCATGATGGTCGGCTACAGGATGCGATAGACATCAGATGAGAATGGTATGGTGCATGACCGCCAACACCAACGTGATGTATATATTGCACTCCAGTATGGAGGGCATGCTCAATACGGCATGGATGGGACTTGGACTGACGTTGCCTCTAGTCGCACGCACCACCAAGCACTATACCCTTTAGAGGTTCGGGGGCGGGAAGGATCGGGACGGCGCCCACAAGAACAGACTTTGCCACGGCTAAAGAACATCACCCTTCTCCTACACCAACGTGTACATCTTTTCTTCGAACATGGTCCTTTGACAACAATCTACCAGCTCGTCATCCATGATCCCACGAACGTAGACCAAGCCCATGAAATGCCAAGCATTGGCTCCATTCCGACGCACGATCATCGGATAGCGACTGCCAAATGGAAGAACAACCTCATCATCGTTGACGATATCCGGCGGTCCAACCCCAAGAAAGCCAGCCTTGGTGATGAAGAAAGCAGCTTCCTTAAAACACTCGGTCAGGTGCATGGACGCGAACAACATGGCTCGAAACGACCGCAAGATTTCGCCAATGAAGTCTGCAAGCGAGCTGTCGTTGTCGTTTTCAATCTTCTCGAGGCGTTTGAACGCGCCGGGTGCGCTCTCACGCAAGGATTTGGCGTTCCATGGTCTGATAAGCCTGTCCCATTCTTTGAAAAGTGCAAGCACCGCACCGGTGCTAATGGGACCCTCGGCGATCTTCTGTGCGATCTTCTGGGTTGATGAAGGAGTGGCGGGAGTTGCTCCCAGACGTCCATACGCACCAGAGCAGTATTTGATGAAGTCAAAGACCCTTCTCTCCGACTCGCTGAGTGCCTTCCGATCCAGGAACGCCATCAGCTTGTTGGTGTGCGAGCCCAGCATGGTCTGAGAGATCGTATGAAAAGCATTGCTTGTCGCCGAATGTGGATCGTCCAATTGGGTTACAGAGCCGATCGTGTCGAATTTCAGACCGGCCAAATTCAGCCGCTGGCAGCGATCATCGACAGACCAGGAAGCCGTTTTGCCAGGCTGGAGCGTGGTCCAGCCTCTCCAGCTGTCGTCCTGTCTGAAAATGGCAGAAGTCACACAGGATGCAATCGCTGCGAGCATTTTGGCATTCCTTTCCACAAGACCTTTGCCCAGCTTCAACTGGAATTGGAAAGCAGAGAATTTCGGTGGCCTATATTTCGTCGATTCGCCCTTCTGTCGGAAGGTGAAGTCCACTGCCCACGAGGGATAGTCTCGTGGTGTTGATGGACCTCTAGACACCAATCCCAATATCGCCAGGGTGCCACTTGCTTCAATGTCTGCAATCGTAGCTTTCGAAAACACGGTCGATTCCGGAGCGTCGTGGTCACGGCATATCAAATTCTGCTGCTTTTCAGGCAACGAGGTGACAATGCTGAATACCTTGTCTTGCGGGTTCTCTGTCTCGGTATTCCGCAGCAAGAATGCCATTGAGAGAAAGCTGCGCTTGAAATTCAGCTCCCTCATTATCGTCATCATAATCAAATGCGAGGCACTATCGCCCGACTTGCCATCACCGAAGAAGTAGAGCACAGGAATCATGTCGAATACCAGCGAAGGCAGCATATTGCCAATCAGATCATCGAAGGCGATCCTTTCGCGTCCCAGAAGTGCCACTGGATCTTTCCATGCCAGAGCATACTCCTCAAGCACCCAGGACCTCGTCCACCAAGGACTGACATACTCGTTGCTGGTGCTGATGGCGCGAGCAACATCTTGGGACTGTTTCTTGAGTTTGCGGAGAGCCCACAAGCTAGCCTCCTTTTCTGACCGAACGAATGAAAGATCCACACCAGGACTGGGCTCTCCTAGCCATACCAGCACGTTGCGAGCTTGCCCATAGATCTTAGCAAGCAGTCTAAGCTGTGGCGTCTTCTCGTCTTTGTTCTGCTGGTCGATGCAAATCTGGTCCACCCACAATCGACACTCTCCGGTTGGCTGTCTGAGATTGCGAAGGGCCTTGGCCAGATTCGGTGTTATCTTGTAGTCGTCGATGCCGTTCACGCAAATCTTTTCGGGCTCTTCGCCATGGCCCCAAACGTACGATAGAGCATCGTAGTTGGCTGCTGCGTGGGATGCTTCGTCGGTTATAGGTTTTAAATCATGTCTGACCAATCTGCAGACTATTGGATCACTGACAGCTCCGTGAAGCAGATCCAACAGCCGCGTCTGTCGCTGTGGATCGATTGGTATGCTCTTGTGCACTTTCGATGGCTGTTGCCGCCCTTGATCTGCGGTAAAGCTTGTCTTCTCCAAGGACATGTCTCGCTCGTGTAAAGAAAATTTGGACTATTTGCACGAAAAACGTTTTTCAGGCCCCGTTATCAATCGCAAAAGCAACTCTGGCAAAGTTCAAGGCCGCAAGTCTGTGACCAAAAGCGCCTTTGAGGCTCAGCTCGGACAGTGCCAAGCTCTTCTCGCGACTTCATCGCTCGATCTTTGTGGAGCCTGCATGGATTATTTGCCAATTAAAACAATCAACCGGCAGCCTGCAGCACATTTTACAAGACCGGTAGCTGGTGTGTGTGGATTGCAGTATAGCTGAGCCTTGACTACGCTGATCCAGTGCAGGATAAGGACTAACAGCGTCCGGCCCAGCCTCGTGAGTCTGGATATCGATTGGACTATCGGGTACAGGCGGCGAATGTTTTCCTCGCTTGGACATATGATATGAGTCCGCAGGAGGTGCGAATGAGTGCTCCGCAGTTAAACAATGGCATCAGAGCCCGAGCCACTCCTCTCGTCCTTGGAAAACTCGAGCAGCTCTCCTCCTCAAGCGACCTGATGCCATCGAACAATTTTTTCCAGGGGACGGCCCCTTCGCTTCAAGCCCAATGGTCCAACCCCAGCGACATCTTCACAATCCTCATGATCATTGGAGGCGACACGGTGCATGCAGCTCTCGCACAAGTGTGCGCAGGTCCAATCCCCAATCTGGCGCCGGCATCTTTCTCTTTCGGCTGTGTCTCCTATGCAGTATCTGCCATGCGTTCTGCAGTCGGTCACCACCGTCTGATGCCCGCACCTGATTTCGCCTGCAAGATTATCAACTTGAATACCGGCTATGCGCGTACCAATCATTCATGGATCCTTTCCCGTTTGCTTCGCGACTTCGAGTACTGGTGTGGCGATGCGTGCAAGGAGTCGAAACGGGAGAAGATCCATGAGATGAAGCGAAAAGGCAAGGGTGACCAGAGGCCATTACGCATCAGCTTCTGGTCCTGTATGAACGAGTCACACATCTTGGAAGGCCGCGGTGATCGGGCTTACTGGATTGGCATCCTCGTTAGCTTGGTCCAGATCGGAATCTCCACCATTCCCTGGGCTTTATGGAACGAATGGAGCATCTGCCTTTTTACGATTGCCGGCACCGTGCTGGCATATTGCAATGGACTGTCCTCGCAATGGTCTGAGGAAAAAAGTGGCAATCGGGCGCTTAGCCATCGACAGCGATTTTGCTTGACAGTCGGCAATGGAGTCGATGAGGCCATTGTAATCGAATGCGAGAAAGGCTCGGTCAACTTAGAGGCCTTGGCTGGTCCTCAAGTCGTTGTCAGCCACCCGCTTTGGACTAGGACTTGGACGTTCATCCTTGCCTTCTTATGGATTGTCTTTTTGGTTTCAGTCGCAGGCTGGCAGCAGCATACGTGGTTCCTGATCGGAGTTGGAATAAGCGGGATGATACACAACACTCTTGTCTCCGGGATGCCAAGGACGCCATCAGCATGGGGGCTTCAACTTGAGCTACGTGAGGTCTTCATTGCAGACAAGACGATGGAGACTTTGGTGAGCTTGGAGGAATACAGTCCAGGCGCTGGGCGTGTGATGCTGGCCGAATTCTTCCCTGGTGATCTCTGGCCTCGCGAGGAGCGATTCTGGAAGTACGCACGACGTCGCGAGATGGCACGTAAAAGAGACCGACATGACCCTGAACCATGGGCTATGCCACCCTTGCGTCGGCCAGACGGGCGTTCAAATGACGATGACATACCAGAGGTCGGGCCATACCGAGCGGCAGAGAAGGTTCGCCCTCAGCTTGATTCAGCGCAGAGTACTTATCGGCCTTTGCAAAGGGACATGGCTTGAAGATAGATGAATCGTTCCAGTGTACTAGTAGTCAGTGCACCAAGGCTGGCGAGTGTCGGACAATGCGAGTGAATAGCTAGCGAGTCGTGGAATGAAGCATCTTGTTCATCAACGTCTCGTTCGGAGACAAGAAGTTCGTGCTCATGGCCATACTCGAGCATACTTTGATGTAGTACAATGCCGGACCACCAGCTCCCTGCTGCATGCACTACAATTTTAGGATCTCATGTATGTGATTTGCTCGGAGTAGACCACCGAGTACAGAACATGACACTTTCGACATGCTCGGACCCCTTTTCCGAGGCCAGGGGAACGTCACTACATGCCACTGGACCCGAAAGACGAATCTCATTCGGCCTCCCTAAGACGTACGGCTCTTTGCAATATTACTGAGCACGAACGTCAGGATCAGTTAACCCAGTACGATGTCAGCAAAGTGAAGATCGGTCAGCGTGCGAGCGTTGAGAATCTAACAGCATTCGAATATACGTGGATATGTAGAAGGAACGTTGTTCTCCTGATCCTTCTTTCCTCATCTAGACTTCGTCTCGAGTCGTCTAATAACAATGAGTGCAAGCAGCAGGCTAGAGCACAACAGCCAGATCAGAACCAATCCTCCACGATACGACAAATCTTCTTACGACTGACTGACCTTGCTATGAATAGCCTTCGCAGCAGCGGCAAAGCAAGCCGCATCGTTGATAGGATCTACCCAGAATATCAGGACCAGCCCTACGAGGAGGATATCCATCCCACTCACCGAGTTCCTCCTGCGCCGCTGCGGCGGCACAGATTACCAGCGATGGTGCGAGAGCAAGTAGGCATGCTGGGTTCTGTGTCAGCTTGGTGATTGCGGTTGTGCTGTGGAGTGTAGGTTCACGAACGGCGGACATGGCATCCAAAGATGCTAAGTTTGGAGACGGTTTCGTTGGCGACTTGGACGAAGTTGACGATGGGGTCTGCAGATGATGGTGCGGTTTGAGCGATGGCGAGGGCTGGGAGGCCGAGAGGGAAGAGGGTGGAGAATTTCATTTTGAGATTTTACGTAGGCTGAAGGGGAATGTGCGAGAGGAAATCGATGTATGGTGAGAACGCAGGTAGGGTGTTGGGTTGAAGTTTTATATGTACTGATCTTGCCGCTGAAGATTCGCCCAGATCGTTTTTGGTGATCGTGTTGGTTCTTAAGTCGCTTCTTCTGCAATGTGACCAGATTCTGCAACGAACCGATGCGCCTGCGACGTTGCCAGACACCATTCATGTGTACCCATATTGCTCATTGACCTCGTCCTTCGCTCTCAAGTCATCGCACGTGGACCATTCGAATGGTCGACGAAGGGCTTCCTATGGATAGCAGTCATTGCTCTCGGATGAGCTGACGACGCATTTCGGTCCTTTATCGAAGGTTGCCAGTCGAACGCGACGCTGATGGCCATGTCGTTGGTGGAATAACAGTGCAGACCACATTATCCCAGACAAGCTTCACCAAGCTTTTGCGAAGCTCATAGCCAAGGAGCCTTAGTATGATCCTATTGATCAGGGTCTGGAGTTAGTCTGCATTGGACCGAGACCTTCAAGGTCTGCTAGAGGTTGGGTCGAATTGAGGCATTTGCTTGCCAATGGGAGGTCGGCATGTACGAGGAAGTGGAAGTTAAATCGCAACTACCCCTAGCCCCGTGGCAAATCCCGTCAGTAGCCGGGGACCTTCCTCATGCCTCTTGTTGGACTTGGAGGTTGCGGTATCTTCTTGCCAAGCGGAAAATTACTGACAGACGTACCTATTTGGGATAAGAGGCTCACCAATGGGCCGTCGACAGCTGGTAGTGCTAGCGAGTTTAGCCAACGGGATCAAACACTTGCGCGAGCAAGGCGAATCATCGCAGGTAGACCAGCCTGTCGTCGCAGCGTTGCATTGTCCCTGTGGTATTCTTGACATGCGTTTGATGTATCTCGATCCGTAGGCTTTGTCTGCTATGCGACTCTCATGGCCGTTTGAGGTCGCAGTGAGCATGTTTGTCGCTCCAAGCCTTTCCAATCTGGACCAGAGCGGAAACACATCGGTTCTCATAGGCGGAAGATCTCGAAGTACTGGAGGTAATGTCAGTAGTCGCGCATCTGTCTCGAGTCTCGGCGTTGCTCCTATCCTCAGAGACCACGATGGTGAGAACATAAAAGGCCAGGCTCGTCACCTTCTTCAGCTCCTTTCATCAGCAACTTCAATCTCAAGCACCTCGATCAAGGCCAAGATTGCCTCAATCATCAAACACAATGCAGTTCTCAAGGCTCGTTCTGCTGGCTCTTCCAGCCATCTCACTCGCGGCACCAGCTGTGGTTGCTCGCCAGGATGACACCCAGTCGAGCGTCGTCATCGAGAACTTCGTTGCCAATGCCAACAGCACCATCAGTCAATTGAGCATTTTGCAATGCAATATCAAAGGTTTGAATCGTCCTTCTAGATGACTTGCTCGCTGTCGCCTGATGCTGACATACGTGTAGGATGCGTTGAGGCTCTTGCACCTCTTCTCGCTGCGTGCGCCATTGCTGCGGCTACCGAGGGTAGAGGTGAGATAGAAGCGCTCGTTCATGTCTTTTCTAGAGGTGACGTGGCTGATTCTTGAGACGCAGATACCGCGAAGGACGCTACTTGCGTGGCCGATGCTTACCAGGACCTCAGCCCCAGCAAGAAGGTAGGCCATTCCAAAGACACGCGGGCTGAACCAGATTGAGGACAGATCTGACAAGTGTTGCAGCCAGCCGAGTGCAACCATTGCTACAAGTAGGCGTGAGCCGACGCAGGGATGGAGAGCATCGAGAGACATCGATCGGTGCCAAAATAGTTCGCAACCTAGTCAGAGTCCACATAATGCTCCATTCTGATCATTCTTTACCGCTTCACAGTCAGCTTTTGATTTCTCCGTTGTTTCGTTGAGATTCCTCATGTACTGCTCGAAGGACGGATGATCGAGCAAGTGCCAAAAACCGGTATTCGCAGTTGCTGCATGCAAATCATATGCGAACCTCGAGGAACATAGGAGTATGATTAGTGCTCTTGTCGCCTTCAACATTCAAATCAGCGGGAAAATTGCGAGAGCAATACCTTTGCACAGAGAGGAACGTGAAGCCCAACCACGGATGAGGTTTGGGCCAAGAATACGGAAGACCATACATAAATTCCTAGCCCAGCGGAAAGAACTCCGACCCACGTGACGCGACGGCTCTCTCGGTCTCCGCTCAGCACTCCCGCACCTCCACCAGTTCTCTCCAATCCAATCCCAAACCCTCCCATCTCCCGTCAGACGCAAATCACAGATCGAACGCACGACCTGCATCTTGGCATCATCGAAGCTCTTGCTCCGCCGCACCGCCACGAGGGCCAAGATGCCGCTTTCATTGGCAAGCTTGCCCGTGTTGCCCACCTTGCGACCAACGACGGCTTGCTCTCGAACCGCGGAGTGGGTCATATAGCTGAGAAGGACGACGTGCCGCGATGGAGATAAGGAATGCGGTGGCGTTTGGCACTCACGAGGACACCACGGTTTCTCAAGGATTTGGCATGCAGGACACGTCTTGAAAGTCTCTACTAATAATCATCATCTGGCTGTAAGCAGAGGAGTTTCGATCCTTTCTTTCTTACTCGATTTGTTATACTTCTCTTCTCTTGTCTCGTGTGTGGCGATATATATCTTTTGTTTGAAACCCATCAAGAGTACCACCTCCATCCCCAGAATCAAACACCCCACTACCTACGCAACAAAGCCGAAATCTCAGCTACTACAACCAAAATGACAACCCTCCAACCCACCACCACCACCACCCAACAAACCCCCCGCCCCTCCACCGAAACCGACCGCCGACACCTCCTCTCCCCCTCGGGCGCAACCTCCCTCCTGTCCTCCACCCAAACCACCCCCCGCGCCTCCCTCGAAAACCCCCCACAACTCCGCCGCGGAACCCTCGCCGACCCGTCCACAACCCAACACCCCTACCGCGGTTTCCCCTCGGAAGCCGCCTACCTCGCCGCCTTCAACGAGTGGGCCGAGAGCAAGAAGTACGTCCAGCACGATACGAACCTGGTGGGGTTCTATGGCGAGACGACGATGCAGGAGTATGCGGCGCGGCCGAGGCAGGAGTTTGGATTGAGTAAGCGGTGGAGGGAGAGGAAGGCGAAGAAGGAGGCGAGGAGGGCGAGTGCGGTTTGAGATGATGATTTCAGGTTGTGGAATAGATGGCGTTGAGGGATGTGTGTATGAGAATGACGACAGACATGTTCAATGAGAATAAACAGAATGAAAGAGGCTTTGAAGATCATATCGCCGAGTATCTGCCATTTGCACTGCATCCTAGCACGTCTCTGGTGCTCTATCATACAGTATGAGTACATGCCGTGAGGCTGCCATCTCTCAAACCTGCCTGCGCCAACGCTAATGCATTTCATTTTATCCCTCCAGTTCGCCGTCCCAAAACCATGCCGACCCATACACATTACGCCTATCGGTACCGTCATGACCATGCCTCGATATTTTATACTCCTGCCGCTCCGTGGTGCATCGCTTGTGTGCTACACATGCATGCGCGCAAAGCTGCTCGAGGTAACATTAGCATCGTCTGAATCTGCTTCATCTTCTTCTTCTTGGTACTTCTCCGTGAAAACTTTGCGTAAGTCTTGTCTGGAGACGGTGCCTTCGTCGTCTTTGGTCATGTACTCCCAGCACATGAACTGCCAGTTGAGTTCCTTGCGCCAGCAGAGACCGTAGCCGAGGCCGACAGGACCCGAGTCGTTTCTAACCATCTCAGAGGTCAAGCCACCTGTCTTGGGCATGCGTTGCTTGAAGATGACACGACCGACTCTGCTGTGGACCAACGCCATCGAGCACATGATGCACGGCTCGTGGGTGAGGTAGATCTCGAGTCGGAGGCAGAGGTACCCATCTGGCTTGAGGTTGTCGCGCTCGAAGTACTCCTTCTCGAGTGCGGTGATGGGAAGGTCGGAGAAGAAAGCGTCGCGAGCGTTGGTGTCATGCTCGAGACCACCCTTGGTGAAGTTGTTTTCCGCTTTGGCGGCGGCTTTGGTGACTGTCTGTGATGCACAACGTAAGCGCTTGCGACCAACCATACCGACGGCTCTCATGACAGCGTGGCCCATCATGTTGCCCTTGCAGCAGGCATCTGATGGATCGTTGGCGACGGCATTGGCTTGTGGCTTGTAACGGGCATCTCCGGCAACGGCAATGATTTCGGTCCGGCCTTCGACACGCTCGACGATGACACATCCTGGACCAGCGCCGATACCTTGTCGCTTGGTCTCATCGCCAGCGGTCTCCGCGAGTTTGAATGCTGCCTCGACGCCGATGTTCTCACTCTCTGGATTCTGCAATTCGTCCTCAGCCTTTCTAATGCTGGACGGGTGAGCACCGAATGGGTTGGTCTTGCGGTAGAATGTTGGCCAGTAATCTTCAGACCACTCTTCTGCTTGCGACTGGCTTGTCGGGGCCAAGCGAGGAACGGTGATTTCCTTGATCTCGAGTGGGTATGCCCAGGAGTCGGCGGATGAGCAGAAAGGGGTGTGTTCAGAAAGGACTTCGTGCAGTCGTGCAACATCTACGACCTTGGTGGGGCAGACAAGGAGGTGGAGGGTGGACGGGCGCGCGTTGGCTCGCGATCGGTTGGGGTTGGAGTATTCCCAGGAGGTGGTCGCGGGTGCCTGCATGACAGACAGTGGCGTGGATTCCCAGGCACGGGGAACAGAGTACATCTCTTTGACGAGATCGCGCTTGCCGAGGACATGGCCGGGGAGGTACTTGGGCTTTGCGAAGCGACGGAGGTGTTGCAGGTCGATGTCGTCCTGGCCGGGGATGTTGTCCTTGATGACTCTGATACAAGGTTAGCAAGCAGTTGAAGATGCAAATGGTGCTGACCATACCTCAGGATCCCTTCAGCATGCTTACTAGGCAGCTCAACGGTCCAAACTTGGATGGTTTCGTTGCCGAGACGGCACTCTTCTTTGGTCTTGAGATGCACCATGTGTCGCTTGGCGACGGCATCGTCGACGATCTTGGAGTCGCGGCGGAGGGCGGCCATGAGTGCGGTGATGTTGGTGGAGCGGAGGACGAGGTTGAGGACATAGCGGAAGAGGACAGCAAGCGCCGCAAACAGCGTCGCTTTATTCACGCCCTCGGCGAGGAAAGAGCGCAACGCCCTCCCCAGCAACGCCATCTTCGCAGGCGCACTTTGGGAAAGAACAGTGAAGGCTCGGCCAATAAAATATACCGTCTCCAGGTCGCCAAGCAAAAAGTGGGGCGGTCGCGTCGCGTAATCCCTGCCCGGTCAAACGCTGCTTCGACTTCACCTCGCTCGCCCGTTGCATAGCCTCACCATGGGCCTGTCGATGCTGCCGGACGAGCTGCTGCTGTCGCTGTCGGACCAGTGGCCGTGCCGAGATGCTCAAGTGAAGCAGCTGGCGGCGCTGCTGTCGGTGAGTGAATCGAATGTCTCGGAAGGAATTCACGTACTGAGAAGCAGCAGCCAACACTTCCAAGCCCTTCCACACTGGTGGTGTACGGTCCTCGCGCGAGCGGCAAGAGTGGAATGGTCAAGTCGTATCTGGAGAAGAGTGGTCTGGATCATGCGGTGGTTCGATGTCGGGAATGTGTCACGGGACGCCACTTGCTGGAGAAGATCGTCAGTGAGGTGTTCGATGCCTTGCATTCTCAGCATGTGAACGGCGATGTGGAAGCGCCGCCGGGACGATGCGAGAACCTCAGCTCATTGTCTGTGCACCTGCAGAGGCTGCTCGAGAGACGACAAAAGTTTGTGCTCGTTCTCGACGGCGTGGATAAGCAACGAGAAGCCCCACCGACTCTGCTACCGGCGTTGGCACGCTTGGGTGAGGCGATACCTCAACTCACTGTAATACTCACTGTGCGGAATCCACCACCTCGATTTCTTCATCATGTCGGCGTACCGCATCTTCACTTTCCACCATACGGACGAACTCAGTCAATTCACATTGTGTCTCGCAAGCCTCCAGACATCTTCCTGGAAGCTCCTCCCGACGATATGGACTACGATGACGAGACGCACGAAGAGGATAAAGCATGGCTATGGCCACGGTTCTGCGCCGCTGTGTGGGATTCACTGGCTCAAAATGCAGCTCGGGATCTCGCGGCGTTTCAAGAAGCATGCCACAGGCTGTGGAGACCATTCGTTGCCCCTGTCATTAAGGGTGATTTTGGTACGCGGGACTTCAGCCGCTTGGTGGTTGCGCAGAGACGGTTATTTCAGGACGAGAGTGTTCTGCTTGACTCTATTATAACAACGACGAACGGCGCTGCCGTGCTCTCGAAGAGCAAGACTCACGAGTTGCCTTACTATGCCAAATGGCTGCTAGTCGCTGCGTACCTGGCGTCGTTCAATCCCACCAAGCTTGACGCACTCTACTTCATGAAAAGTACGGAGAAGAAGCGTCGCAAGAAAGGAGGCGGGGTTGCCCGTTCTGGGGGTAGACCAAGCCAGGTCAGGAAGATTCCTCGACACCTGCTAGCGGCATCAGCATTTACACTCGATCGTCTGCTTGCAATCATGCATGCGATCCTGCCTGATGACATTCGAACGACGATCGACATTTACAAACAGATAGCGACGCTGTCCAGTCTTCGTCTACTTGTCCGCGCTGGAGGTATCGGCGGCAGCGATCCTCTCGAGCCAGGAGGAAAGTGGAGAGTCGGACCAATGGTGACTTGGGAGCATGTTCAGAGCATTGCGAGGAGCATCGACTTCAACTTGACGGACTACGTTGCCGAGTGAAGAACATACGACATGATGAGTACTTGGCCTCGCTCTCTCAATAAAAGATACCTTGAAAGTACTTGACCAGCTCCGCCACGGCATCCTTGCTCAAAGACGTCACTGTCCCTATCCACCCATCTGGCCTCAACACCACAACTCCGCCTGAACTTGCATCGATTCCATACCTCTGATACGCATTCTGCTTGCTGTCGTCGAAATATGCTCTGCCGAGCGGATCATGACCCAATACCTCCCAAGTGGATGGTGCTGTGGAATTGAGTATGGTCAAAAACTCTACCGATTCTGCAAACCATGTCAGCACTCATCGACTTACGCATCGATTCGAATGATCTCACTATTTGCTCGCAATGTGATCAATGCTGTCGATTGGAGAGCGGCAGCATGGAACTCAGATTCTTTCGTCAGAGCTGTATCACCTGCAAACACCACGACATGGAACATAGCAGAGTTTCGTGTCTGCTGTATCAGTCTCGTCTTCTCAAATGTACCTGGCGTCACAAGATCAATGTCTGGTCCTCTTTGCCCCGGTGAAAGCGCGCCTCTCTGCGAGCCAGTCCGATTCAGAGAGTTACTCTCTTCGAGATCATAGAATATCCCTAGACCAGAGCTGAAAGATGCCGCCTCAGCCATGATGTCTCCAAGTATGGCATTGACATCTGTGTTTGGATCGCCGGACCAGTTCTCTGGCAAGCGATTGGTCATCAATCGGCTGATATCCTTGTCATACTGGATGAGTCTCTGCACATTGGGCAGTCGCTCCGCCTGATATGTCCGGAGCAGATCGAAGTCTGCTGCTCCACGCAGTACAAGGCTCAGCTTCCATGCCAGGTTGACACTATCGTGAATGCCAGTGTTCATGCCCTGGGCTGCTCCGCTGCTATGTGTGTGGCAAGCATCTCCTGCCAAGAACACGCAGTCTTTGACGAAGAAACTTTCTGCAATCCGCTGGCCGACTGAGTAGATCGTCCACCAGTCGACACACTCGATCTCCAGGTCGAATGGTTTCACAGCGGCTTTGGCCTCCTTCACGGCGGCAGCTTCATCAAACACTTCGTATGAGTTCGCATGCTTTTCCGTGAAGGCATATCCAATCCGAGTTCTTCCACGGTCCAGACCCACCCAGAGCACATTGCCGTGTGTCGGAGATTCTATTGCGCAGTATGTTCTTGGTTTTGGCACGTTGGTCTTGACCAGACCATCGATTCGAACCCATTTGTCTGCGCTTGTGCTGCCTTGGAATGGAATCTGCAGCATGCGCCGAACCGAGGAGTGTCCGCCATCGCATCCGACAAGGAACTTGCACTTGATCTTCGAGTCCTGTCCAGTCTTTTCATTCTTGAGAGTAGCGGTCACTTTGTGACAAAGTGCAGGAGCTGTCTCGTCAACGACAACATCAAGCAGGCTGAAAGGGGCCTCCACTTCGATACCATGCTCCCTTAGTGCCTCTCGAAAGACATCCTCCTGATACTTCTGTCGCAGCACCAATGCAAAATCCCAAGCAGTATCACTCATCGACGTCTCCATAAAGCTCCATCCCCGACCTTTGACTTCTTCACCTTTCGAGTTGTACGTGACAGTATTTCGGCAGGCGAAGCATTGTTGGGCTAGTCTTTCGGCGAGGCCAAGTTGATCGAGCAGCTCGCTTGTTCTCGGGAAAAGGGTGATCGCTCGACCGTATGCTTGCTGAGATGTGGCTTTCTCGTTCTTGTCGATGATGGCGACTGAGACGCCACCGAATTTGGCCAGTTGGAAGGCAGTGACAAGACCAACAGGCCCGGCGCCAACGATGAGGACGTCGACTTTCCGAGTCTCTTCTGCCATTGCCGGTGAATCGAGTCAATGGAGATGATGTCGAAGAAGTCTTTAGAAAAGGTTCGATCGCAACAGCGGGTTACCGGGCAACATGTACAGGCATCATAATCGTGTCTGATGGTCCAAAACGTGCGTTACTGCGTTTCCCACCTATCTAGAATCCGTCAGACCTCGAGTACACCAGCCGGTTCAATGATGTGTCGAGAATTGGTACCTGCAGCTTCACTGATAAGACGCCGATAGGCAGAGCTGATCGTACAGCTTCCTCCGGCGAACAATCTATTACAAGCTATCGATAGCACAGCACCGTGTAACCGCAACGACACTTGACTTCAATTGAGCCAGTTACATGTGATTTTGACCATGGCGGAGCAGGTCTTCGATCTTTTGATTATCAATGGTGTCGTCGTCACCACCGATGAGACCAGAGAAGTTGATATTGCTGTGATTGGGGAGAAGATAGCTGCTGTTGAAGATCGTGGCAGCTTTAAGAATGCTCAGGCAAAGAAGATTATCGATGCTGAAGGCGGGTGGGTGATGCCTGGTGGGATTGTGAGTGCAATGACCATCGAATGAGACTACAATATGCTGACCGAGCGACTTAGGACGCACATGTAAAACTGATCGAGAAGCAATCGATAATTGTAAGTCTAATCATATGCAGGTCCACCTCCAAGAACCACAACTCTTCGGCAAAGGCTCCAGCTGCGACACATTCGAGACAGGTACCAGATCAGCCATATGCGGCGGTACGACAACAATCATAGCATTCGCCCCTCAATCCAAAACCGAAAACAGCCTCCTCGACGCCCTCGCCCGAACGTACGCCAAAGCCGAAGGAACATGCTACTCAGACTACTCTTTCCACCTCCTCGTCGGCAACCCATCTGAACAAGCATTGTCCGAATTTCCCATCCTGCGCTCCAAAGGCATCTCCTCCCTGAAAATCTACATGACCTACGAAGCGCTGCAACTCTCCGACTACCAAATCCTCGACGTCCTCTTCGAAGCCCGCCGACACCGAATCACCACCCTCATCCACGCGGAGAACAACGACCTCATCCTCTGGATGACGCGCAAACTCGAAGAACGCAACCTCCTCGCCCCCAAATACCACGCCACCTCGCACCCCCCACTCGCCGAAATCGAAGCCACCTACCGCGCCATCTGCCTCTCGGAGTTCATCGACGTCCCCATCCTCCTCGTGCACGTCTCCTCCCCCACCGCCGCCGAAACCATCCGCGCCGCGCAGACCGAGCGGAACCTCCCCATCTACGCCGAAACCTGCCCGCAGTACCTCTTCCTCACCAAACACGACCTCGACAAACCCGGCTTCGAAGGCGCCCGCTGCGTCTGCTCCCCTCCTCCCCGCGACTCCCCCGCGGACCACGCCGCCCTCTGGCGCGGCCTCTCCAACGGCACCTTCACAATCCTCAGCTCAGACCACTGCCCCTTCCTCTACGACGACACCACGACCGGAAAGAAAACCTGCATCACCGCCCAGCACCCCCAGGGACACTTCAAATACATCCCCAACGGCATCCCCGGCGTCGAAACCCGCCTCCCCCTCATCCTCTCCGCCCTCACAACCTCCCCCTCCCTCCTCCCCCTCCAAAAATTCGTCCAAACAACCTCCACCAACCCAGCCAAACTCTACGGCCTCTACCCCCGCAAAGGCGCCCTCCTCCCGGGCGGCGTCTCGGACGCAGACCTCGTCATATGGTACCCCCCGCCGGGCCTGGAGCCTTTCGAGCTGAGGAATGAGATGCTGCATCATGCGTGTGATTATACGCCTTATGAGGGCAAGGTTGTGCGGCAGTGGGCGCGGTGGACGGTTTTGAGGGGGAGGGTGGTGTGGGAGAGGGATGGGGTGGGACTTGTGGGGAGGAAGGGGGAGGGAGTGTTTGTGGAGAGGGGGGGGAGTTCGTTGCGGGGGAGGGTGAGGGGGGAGGAGTGGGAGGTTAGGGGGTTTTGATGAGTTTGATGATGATTGGGGGTTTTGGGTAGGTAGTTAGTTGTTGTTCTTGAAAGGTTTTTTTTAAAGGGTTTGATTTGATTTTGACGCTTGCTGCTGTACAGATTATATATTTTTACATTTCTTCATCTTTTGGGTATCATTTCCTCCCTTGTGACTTTGATAGTGCTCACCAATGCCAACCCCAACCCCCTACAGACCTATATTACTCAAACCCTCGCCTCCATCGCAATCTCTTTTTGCACCCACTTCTCCAACCCACCCCTCGCAATAATCTCCTGCACATTCGGCGGCAACTCGCCCACCTTCTGCGTCCACGACTCCCCACCTTCGCCCTCCTGAATCACAACCTGACTCCTCCTCACATCCCATGTAAACGTCCAGCCCGTCCGTACGGTAAGTGGCTTCTCGACTGGCTTGCTTTCAGGCGCAGGCGGAGGCGAGTCTAAGCTCTGGCTGTTCTGCGAGGGCTCAGTAATCGGTTTCTTTCCCGCTTGGCCAGTCGCAGCGGGTGCGTTGTCGTTGAAGGCGGATCGAAGTCTCTCGATGAGTTTGGGGACTTCGACGCCCATCAAGGCGTTGTTGATAGAATTCCTGCTGAAGATGTTGCCGAAGCTGCCGGAGACGACGAGTGGTAAACCTTTGGCGAGGATCGCAGTCGCGGCTTGTTCTCTTGACGAGCCGCAGCCGAAGTTGAAGCCGGAGACGAGGATGTCGCCTGGTTTGGCGATCTTGGCGAAGTTGGTGTCGTAGTTCTCCATTACGACTGTGGCCATCTTGGCGGGGTCTGAGCTGAAGGCATCGTCGTAGGTATATTTGCCGGGATAAATCGCATCGGTGTTGACGTTGTCGGCATTGCACCAGACAATTTCGCCAACCACCTTTTCTGGGAAGCCAGGTAGAATTTCGGTCAGTCCAGTAGACGCCTCTTCCTGTGGCTCGTTTGGAGGTTGAGAAGACGAAGAACGCGCTAGCCTACTCTCTCCCTCTTGGATGACGCCTTCTGCCTGCTGAATGAGCTTGTCCAGTGCATCCTCAATCGAGATCATGCGATCCTCTTCCCGCACACCATCACCAACACCGCGGTTCACACCCGTCCATTCAGCGGGCTTTTCGTACCAGCCTGGACCAGCAATCTTGCCTTGCAGAGCACTGGCGGCGACGACCTCGGGGCTGGCAAGGTAAGCCTTGGCGTCTGTGCTGCCCATACGTCCTTTGAAGTTGCGGTTGCTGGCTGAGATACCGACCTCGCCAGGCTCGAGAAGTCCAGTTCCAAGACCAATACAAGGACCACAGCCAGATGGGAGAGGCTCAGCGCCAGCGTCGAGAAGTGCTTGCCAGTCGCCTGATTCTTCAGCAGCTTGCTGTTCTGGGAGGGAAGCTGCAGCGATGTAAAACTTGACACCTTCGGCAATCTTTGGGACTTTACCATCGACATCTGCTTGTTGCTTAAACACCTTGGCGGCTGCTTCGAGATCTGATCGCCTTGAATTGGTACAAGAAACGAGGTATGCCTTGTTAACTTTGATGTCTTGCGCTTCGAGCTCATTCAAAGGTGTGGCCACCTTGACCGAGTTCGGACCAGAGACGTAAGGCGAGAGACTTGAAAGATCCAGATACAGCTCCTTGGCGTAAGTAGCACCTTTGTCCGCCGTGAGTGGGTTTGCGAAAAGTTCATCCAATCTCTCGTGGTTGAAACGTTCTGTAGTCAAGCTTGACGTCTCAGAAGGCGACTTGTACATGCTCGCCTCCGTAGCCTTGTATCGCAACCAGCCTCTAAGGACATCGTCGATTGGAAAAAGACCAGAAAGAGCGCCCCATTCGGTCGTCATATTGGCAATGGCAAGTCGATCGTCCACGGGTAGACTCCTCATCGTGTTCGTCGATCCAGTAAACTCAATAGCATGATTCAAGACCTCGTCGTTGTTAAACAACCCACATAAAGCGACAATGACATCCTTTCCAGTCACCCCCTCTGGTAATATACCGGTAAAAGTGACCTTCGCGATCGGAGGAATCTGCCACCATGTCCTGCCCGTTGCCCAAATACTCGCAGCATCAGTTCTGACCACAGGCGTCCCCAGACACGCAACACCGCCATACATATTCGAGTGACTATCACTGGCCACAGCCATAGTCCCAGGCCAAGCATATCCCTCTTCAACCATAATCTGATGTCCAATACCACGTCCCGCCGGATAGAAGTCCACGCCATTCGACTTGGCAAACGACTCAATCTGCTGGTACTTCTTGAGGTTCTTCTCGCTCTTGTTCTGCACATCGTGATCCAACGTCATCACCACCTGCTTGTTGTCGTGGATCTTGGTCGCGCCGATGCTCATGAACTTGGTCGCGACGGGCCAGGAGTTGTCGTGGGTCATGCAGTGGTGCGGTGAGAGGGTGACGTAGTCGCCGGACTTGACGAACTTGCCATCGGGAAGGCCTTGCGAGTAGCGCTGGACGATCTTTTCGGTCAAGGTCTGGGGAGTGGTTGATGTTGATGGTGGTGTGCTGAGGATGTCAGGAGGAGCATTTTGGAGCTGGGAGGAGAAGGCTTCGGTGACTTCGGCGAGGCGCGCAGGACGGGAGTGGGAGATGTATCGTGGGCGGTGGTGGAGGTGTGTCGTTGCTAGGAGGCATCTTGATGGAGTGATGAGAGGTCTTGGTCGTGTGAGAGTGGTCTACTTAGTGATTAGCTTTGATGGGGAATTGATTGAGAATGACATACACATCTTGCGAGTCTCTGCAGACTCCTGGCGACACCCGCCCTCAAAGCAGCCATGGTCGGCGTGAACAGGCTGTCTATTGGCAGACACTCATTCAATGTGTGAGTGTTGATGCAGCAGAGCCAATGATGGTCGAGGTAATTGGCGTGCAACAAATTCGACCCAAGGCGGGCGATGTCGGCGGGTCGGTCATCGAAGTTTGGCTGGAGACGAAACACCACCGCAATGGCGTCGTGACTCAAATGATGTCAAGCCAAGTATAACAAGGAAAACACCACCTCGCAATCCTTCGCTTCTAACTACCAACACCATTCAAGACTATTCACAATGCCATCCCGCGATCAAATCCACTACTTCGGTGCCGGCCCCGCGCCTCTGCCAACGCCAGTGCTGGAAGAAGCCTCCAAAGTCCTCCTCAACTACAACGACTCTGGCGTGGGCATCACCGAAATCTCCCACCGCAGTGCAGACGCCAACGCCATCCTCGCCGCGACTCAACAAGCTTTGCGTCAATTGCTCGACATCCCCGAGTCAGATGGTCCGGATGGCTACCAGATCCTCTTCCTCCAGGGTGGCGGCAGTGGGGAGTTCAGTGCGGTCGTCTTGAACATGGTCAGCGCCTGGGTGGGCGGGAAGTTGAAGGAGGTCGGCGGCGATGAGGCCAAGCTGGCGGAAGTGGTGAAGAACCAGCTCAAGTTGGACTACTTCGTCACTGGATCCTGGTCCCTCAAAGCCTCCCAAGAAGCCGCCAGACTCGTCGGAGGCGAGCACGTCAACATCGTGACAGACTCCAGAAAACACCGCGACGGCAAGTTCGGCGTCATCCCAGTGCAATCCACCTGGACCGCCACCGCAGACAACGCCTCAACCGCCCTGACATACTACTGCGACAACGAAACCGTCGATGGGGTGGAATTCCAATCCACGCCCACAGGCCACAACCTCGTCGCGGACATGAGCTCCAACTTCCTCTCCCGCCCCGTCGAAGTCTCCAAACACGCCGCCATCTTCGGCGGCGCGCAGAAGAACGTCGGCACCACGGGCATCACCATCGCCATCATCTCCAACCGCATCCTCCCTCCCCACGCCGAACTCGCCAAGCCAGAACTCCTCCGCAAGCTGGGCCTACCCGTCGGACCCGTCGTGCTGGACTGGCCCACCATCGCCAAGAACAACAGCCTGTACAACACCCTCCCCATCTTCGACGTCTGGATCGCAGGCAAAGTCATGGAGCGTCTGTTGCAGATCCATCCTACCTCTTCCGGGCCCAAGATCGCCGGCCAGCAGGCTGAGAGTGATAAGAAGTCGCAATTGCTGTACTCGACTCTCGACAGCAATAGCAATGTCTACCACGTCGTACCTGATAAGAGCGTCCGCAGCAGGATGAACATCTGCTTCCGTGTCAAGGGTGGAGACGATGCTGCTGAGAAGGCCTTTTTGAAGGGTGCTGAGGAGAGGGGTCTGCTGGGGTTGAAGGGGCACCGCAGTGTTGGTGGTATTCGTATCAGCAATTACAATGCTGTGCCTGTGGCGGCCGCGGAGAAGTTGGCGAAATATTTGCAGGACTATGCCAAGCAGGCGTAAATCGAAAGGCACTGTGAGAGTGAAGTGATGATTTAGCGAGGAGTTTTTGGAAGCAAAAGTGGATGATTCAACTCATATGTTAGAATTTGGAAAAGGAACAGGAAAAGGATGTGGGTAGAAGTGGTGGTCAACCACCACAGCAGAACAACGATCACAAAACCAAGAAAGCCAGCGAGGCTCCCAATCAATTCGTCAATCATATATCCCCCATCCATCTTCTCTCTCCTACAACTTATGCCTCTTCTCCCCACTTGCCACCTTCCGAAACTCCTCCTGCGGAATCCCCCTCATAAAAACCTCCAACCCGCCAAAAATCTCCTTCACCCCCTGCGCATCGTACAAATCCCTCTCGGGCGCCTTGATCATCGCCTTGATCTTGACCAACGAATTCGACACCAAATGCTCCCCCAGCCGATTATCCACCTCCTCCAGCACCAACTCCAAGAATTTCGAAGACTCATTCGGTTGCGTGGGGAACGTCTTATTAACGAACCCGCACTGCACGAGTTCGTCACAGGAGATCTTTTTGCTCATCAGCAGGGCTTCGTGGCCGCGGGCGGGTCCAAGACGGTTCAGCATCGCGCGCGAGGAGAGGCCTTCTGCGACGAGGCCCAGCGAGGTGAAGGGGCAGAGGAGGTAGGTGTGGGGCGCGGCGTAGACGAAGTCGGACATTCCGACCAAGGCGGCGGCGATGCCTACGACGGGGCCGTTGAGCGCGGCGACGAGGATTTTGCGGTGCGAGTAGAAGGCTTGGGTGATGTTGAGGTTGTAGGCGGCGAAGGATTGGAGCCATTGTTTGTATTGGTCGGAGGCGGGGCCTTTGTTTTGGCCGGCGGCGGAGACGTCGGCGCCTCTATACCCATCGAAAGTAAGTTAGATGGAGAACTGGAGATATATGTGTGTGTGAGTGGTGTGAAGCTCACGCGCTAAAGAACCTCCCGGTGCCGGTCAGGACGGTGATGAAGACGTCATCGCGGCCGTCGACGTGGCGCATGAGCTGGGAGAGGTGGAAGAAGAGGTCTTGGTTCAGGGCGCCGAGTTTCTTGGGTTGGTTGATGGTGATGATGGCGACGCGGCCGCGGATGTCGAGCTTGACCTCGTCGATGGGTTTGGGTGCGGCGTCCATGTTTGCTTGGTATGTATATCTAGATTAGTGTAGATGTTGGTGTTTGTGATATAGTAGTAGAGAGTCGTATATGAGAGATGATTGAGCTCCTACAGTGTGTGTAGAGGTGGTGATATTACCGATCCTCTCGAGTCGAAGCAGCTGACATTCGGCAAGCTAGAGGTGGATGAGGTGAACTTGAACTCCGGCCGAGGATGAAGTCGAGGGGAGCTCTCAATGCTCATCACGTGCCAACGCGAGGATGTCGGCCTTTCGCATCCTTCTCGGCCGACCCGACGTCAACGTTGACCAGTAGATATACCCTTACATATACTCTCCAACAATCAATCACATCAACAACCCCCATCAACATGTTCCTCTTCAAACACGGCAGCCGGCGCGCCGTCCAAGCCATCCAAACACACACCACCCAACGCTTCGCCTCCAAAATCTCCATCCCCTTCCAACCACCCCCGGTCCCCATCATCGAAAAATGTCCCTCCCCAACCTGCCTATGCAGAGAACCCCCGTCAGGCCTCGACATCGAAAGAGAACAAAACATCAACGGATCCATGGCAGCATACGCCGAGCAAGTCCTCATCAGCACAGGCAGAGACGACTGGAAGAGCCGGACAGAAGATGAAGAGGATGCGGTGTTGGTCAATCAGCTGAAGAAGAACCTCACGCGGGGTGGGAAGTTTGTCGATGTGCGTGGGATTCTACACACCCTCGTGGTTGCTCGGTGGAGCTTCAAGACTGACGAGAGATGTTATCTGCATATAGCCCTACCACAACATCTTGATCACAAACTCCTCTTTCCCTCCCACACCTTCAACAAGAAGATCCACCCCCAACCCAGGCAAAGACCCCTCCTCCAGCACAAGCACAACAGACTCAGCCTCCGCCTTCCTCCTCCCCTCCTTCCAATACATCCCCTCCATCCCCACGACCAACCCATCCTCCATCGAAACCTTCATCAAAGCCTTCCTCCTCCCCCCAAAACTCCACAACGCCCACTCCCGCCTCAACCGCGCCGAACAAAACATCCTCCTCCGCGAGGCAGAACTCCAAGCCCAATTCCCCGGCGCGCGCGACGTCGACGAGATCCTGATCCTCATCTGCGGACACGGCGGCCGGGACGATCGATGCGGGAAACTAGGCCCCCTCCTACGCGAAGAATTCCAGGAGAAACTGCAACGACAGAACATCCCCCTTTCGCACTCGCCACCGCCTCTCGAGGCTGAAGTCGTCGACACGGCTGTGGAAGGGTACGTCCCCACTGCGCGAGTGGGGTTGATCTCGCATATCGGGGGACACAAGTGGGCGGGGAATGTGATTGTGTATATCCCGCCGAGTTTCGAGCGGAATTCCCTCGCGGGCAAGGGGATTTGGTATGGACGGGTGGGACCGGAGCATGTAGAGGGGATTGTGCAGAAGACGGTGTTGGAGGGGAAGGTGATTAAGGAGTTGTTCAGGGGTGGGATTGATAGGAGTGGGGAGATTATACGCTTGTGATGATGATAGAACATCACCTCTCTGTACATTGCTGTCGATAGAGTATAGATATATACAAAACTTCACTCAATCCCTCCACCCCTCCACAAGCACCACCGGCCCTTTATACACCTTCCTCGCCCTCACCACCCAATCCACCCCCGCAAAAAGCGCCACAGCCACAAACATAACCACACTCCAATTAAAATCCACCGCGCTCGGATCAAAACTATTCGGCCAAAAACACCAAAAAAACGCAAAACTCGCATAGCACAATCCCCCACCATTCACCAGCACCCCCCAGCGTCCGAGACTCCACCGCGCGCGCGGCAAAAGCTCCGGGTGGTAGATGCGGCGGTAGAGCACGCAGCTGATGGAGACCATGTAGGTGATCATGAGGGAGACGAGGTTTAAGGAGATGATGGCGTTGAAGGCGACGTCGGAGCCGAAGTTTATCAGGGAGAGGACGAAGGTGACGGCGCAGGTTGTTATTATGGCGTTGGCGGGGACTTCGAGGGTGGGGTGCACGTGGGCGATCCAGGCGGAGAAGGGAAGGCCGGCGTCTCGTGCGAAGGACCAGGTTTGGCGGCTGGTGGAGAGGTTGTAGCTCAGCGTGCCGGCGAAGATGAGGATTACGACGATGGAGGAGAGGGCGTTTACGGCGGGGAGGGAGAAGCTGGGGTGGGGTGTTAGTGGGTGGGTGTGGTTTTGTGGTGGGTGGGGGTTTGGGGAGTACGTACGCGTTGCGGAAGACGTAGAGGAAGGGATAGCCTGTGTCGTCGTTGAGTGCTCCCTCGAGATCCACGATGCTGAAGAGGAAGGAGATGAGGAAGACGATTCCCAGGCCGCCGTTCATGAGGTACGATCCCAGCATGGCCTTCGGGACGGTGACGCTGGCGTCCTTGATCTCTTCCGACATATGTGCCGCAGCATCAGAGCAGATACAAGCGTAAACCGCGGAGATCTGTCCAACCATAAGTGAAAGACCCATCGAGCTCCACCCGCCGCCATTGTAGAACTGCGTAAAGACGACTTCGGCCGAATTGCGAGGCGCTAGAACCCAGAGACAGACGATGATGGTGAGGAAGCCGAAGACGTGCAGGATCAGCATGAGGTTTTGGAAGACAGGCATGGCGTTTCCCATGTAGACGTTTGCGAAGAGCACGATGAGCGTGATTCCCCAGACGCAGAGGGTGCCTTGCCATCTCGTGCCGGAGTACTCTGGGTTGTTCACGTAGGCCATTGATTGGATGAGCGTGCCGACGAGAAAGGGTCCACTGGCCGTGCCTGCTTGCCAGCTCAGGGTACTCATCCAGCCGGTGAAGTAGGAGAGGAGTTTTTGGTATTTCGGTGGCGAGAATTCTGACACCCAATGGTACTGCCCTATTCGACGTCAGCAAACGTCCCGAAATGCAGGTCAGTTCTATTGCATACCACCACTGGTAGGCGCCATACTCGCCATCTCCGCCAGACTAATCACCACGAGCGAGAACCCCGCAAAAGTCCAAACATAACTCCACAACAACCCAGCCAGCCCTCCATCCGTAAGTCCTTGCGTCGAAGCCGCCAGCAAAACCTCCCACGTCCCCTGCAAAATCACAGTAAAAGCCAGCGTCGACAAAGGTCGAAAATTCCGCCTGAGCTCCTGCGTCTTGCCCATACGCTTCATGTCTTTCTTATCATGCTTCGTGAACCCACGGTCCTCCTGTCGCGAGTTTCTGAGATGGCCATGGTAATCATCGTCCTGCGCTTCTCCATCGTCGACTATGCGATCGAAACCATTGAGTTCGTGCGAGGTGGTGGAGGTTTGCGTCTTGTTGCTGAGGATGGCATCTTCCGGTGCGGCTGCGGGCTGGCGAGCTGAAGAAGATGACGAGGAGGATGGCATCACTCCTCACCGTAGCGCAAAGGAAAACAGGTGAAGTGAAGACGAAAGGCGCAAAGAGAGAAACGGCGTCTCCCTTACCTACCGTCCCGCCGCGCCGCCCTCTCGGCAAACGCCCTGTACCGCAGCACAGAGACGCAGTGTACCTATGCAGCAGCAGCAAACCAAGCTCCGACGCAAAATGCATGCCTCAGCCGGGAGGATTACTGGAGTCAGCATGGTACGGCGTGGCATCGCAGTCAGCCAAGCACGTTGGCGAGGCCGTCATTGGTGGCCATGGGCTGCACGACGCCACCAGATTGAGTGCTTGCTTCGAAACGATGGGGGGAGGGGGAGCGCGACGAGCGAAGAAGGTGGCAGACGTGGGTCTATGCCTGTTGTCTGGACCCAATCAGTGGCGTCCGCGGCAGTTGTCCCGCTGGGGAGCTAGAGGGTTTCCGGAACTCACTGCCGACGACATCTCGTCGACTTTCACGGTCGATTGAACTGCTGGTTGGTAAAGGCGGCTTTGTGTGTCGATAGAACACACAACTGGCTTGTCTCAACTATAATTCTGAGGTCTCCACCACTGACTTGGGCAAATTTACCCCCATCGGGCTCGTGGCGACCGTGAGAATGGCACGGCATCGTGGCAAGATGGAACGTCGGTGGAAGGCCCATTCTATGCTTTCAAGACCTCGATGTTCCCATCCGGGCACAATGGCTTCTTCTTGAGTCACAAAATATCGTCCGGCTGCTCTATGATCTCCGCCGAAACCATGTGATCCGTGATCTGGCTCACGATCCGAACAAGCCTCACATCCCGGCTCCTGCTTGTGACTGGATTGCTTTTCGATCGCAGAAATGCCCATTCGAGTGAAGGGTGCGTTCTCATCTGCCACATCTCAGCGAGTCCAGTCTGAATCTTGCGGCTCTCTTCTCGAAGTCCGATGAGAGAGGTATGAAGATCCCCCCGACACTGTGATGCACAGACAAGGGTTGATTGATACGTCCTGCCGGTTGCAAGCTCGAACATGCTGGTGAGCGAGCCAAAAAGAAAGATTTGTCGCAGTGGGAAATTTTCTGAGCTTCCAAGTCCCCTCGTCGCGCAAATTCAAGAAAGGCAATGACCTCATATCAACAACCGCTGTCTGGAATCGAAGTCGAACCCGCATCATTTGATAAGCGAATGAACGGCACATGTACCATGCCATCCTTATGTGCCAACGCTACTGCCATTTTCAGAAAACATGACCTCATATCGAACAGTCGCCTCCAGAGATCGAAACGATTGAACGGCAAAGTAAAAATGTTCCGACAATGCTGCGACGAAAGTTCAAAAATATCATCCTCATACTGGTAGCGTCATCCACGGATCGAACCCTCGACCCTTAAAGGGAAAAAAATATCAAAAAGAACTGTATCCGAATTTTTTGGATACAGAGAAAACCCAGAATGAACCAAGTTTATCTTTTGATTTTTGCCGCCGCCCAAGAGAAAGGAGAACTAGCTCCCTGCTTAGTGAGGGAATACTAGAGAGGACACAATTGAAGAACCGGGCCTAATCATTCTTTGGTTCTGTGGTCACTCTTTTCCTAAGTAATTTCTACGGTTTTACACCTTGACTGCCGGTGGGCGCTGTATAGTCGCGCCTTGACATCCAGACCACTAAACCATTGACGCGAAGTCTTTTGATTTGTTGAATGGTGAGGGGTCTAGTTGGAATGGAACTATAATGCCTTGAATTTGGTCCGCGGTTTTGCCGGTCGCTAGGCCGCTTCCTTGGACCCTTTCCTACCTTACGACCTACGACAGCTTCATCTTGCGCTCCTATGTCACGACAATTGCCACTGTGACTCGTTATTCTTCTTCAAAGCAAGCCGACACGGGGCATCGTTCTCAAAGGAGACAAGCAAACGAATCACGATGGATATTGGATCGCCCACGCTCACCTCTTGGGGCTCCTCACGCGTCGAGTTGGTCGCATTCTCGAATTGAGGCAAGTCTGCTTCCTTTCCAGGCCCTCCAGGTCCACCTTCAACGGCCGATGCATCATCTTCTACGTTTTGTCCGCTTTCCAAACTCGAGGACAGTATTCAAGAATCGATGAAGGCGCGTCCATTGTTCCCACCTCATGGTTGCTGGGGTTGATCATCGTGTCCTCGAATGGAACCTCATGCAGAAGACCGTCGCTGCTATAACGCCTGCCTATCGCATAACACTTCAGATCAAACTCCCTCTATTGGCGGGTTGATGCACACTACGACGCACATGAAGGACGATGGCTCTGTAGAAAGGCTCCTTTTCATTATACATCACCCTCAGCACTTGCTTTACGAGTTTCGTAGCAACACCGTCAGCTTTGCGAATACATGATCAACAGCGCCTACGCCTTCGCTGGCCACGCCGCCCGAGACTTGACCTACTTTGCGCGATTCGCCACGAGAGACTACCATACCTGCCGGCAGAAAAGATGGATACACCTGAAGCGATCTTCGCCAGTCGACAATTGCCAGCAAAGGCCAGTGTCAGCACACAAAACACGAGACTCTATGTCACTTCGAAGAGACTATTTCGAAAGGGCAGAGGCAAGATAGCCAGCACCAGTGGTACAGAGCAACAAAGCCCACGAACGAGCCACTACCCAAGCCACGAGCATTGCAAGGCAGCGTCAAGACGTGTCAACTCCATTTACCCTCGCATTCTGTCACGGAGCCATTGCAACGCCAAACTTCCTGACAGCTCATGCAGTGTATCAAACGAATCACCGCGGAAGTTCATATTGGTTGCGATATGCTAGTGTTCGAAGTGAAATATGGAGTGTGATCCTCGATGATACATACATGCCTCAGGCCACCAACGACTCGCTTATTCATCGCGCGTCCGTGCGTTGACCTCCTTTTCCGTGCCAACTTCCTTGCCTCCGTCATCTTGTCCTCATCGACATCAATACACAGACTTTTTCATCCACCTGAGCGACCGCTTCAAATTGATTCATACCTGGGAAAATGTTCGTACGCCAAGGAGCACTTCCTCAACACGCCGGATCTGAGCGTGCAGCTCCACATCATCACTGGCACGATGTCGTGATATGAAGCCACATCGTCCACCTACAAAGGATACCTGAATCGTCGTTGAGGGACATTGCTCTACTCTTATTTTTCTGCTCCTTTAGGAAAGACGTCAAATGGATGTGCTATCCACTGTCCACGAGGAACATCTGTCGATCCATTACCCCGAGACGAGGCGTCCGGCTCCCATCCCGAGCTCGCAGGCGGGGTGTATTGGTTTCTACATCACTCAATAATGATGTCTTGAAGAGCAAACAAGTATTTTCCATTTGTTCTGATCTGTTCATGCCTTTCGTCTTCACAATACACTTTCTCAATTCGACATTGTTCCTCCAACATGACTAGCCTCTCAACCAAACTCGCCGAACGCGAAGCAGTAGGCAATCCAATCCAAGTCGGATTGATTGGTGCTGGGAAGTTTGGTTCTATGTTCATATCACAATCACATCGCACGCCTGGGATGAGATTGGCATGTATCGCGGATCTCTCAGTCGAGCGAGCACAGGCGGCTCTCAAACGTACGGGCTACCCACAGGAGAAGTACGACGCTACTGGATCTTTATCGATCGAAGATGGCATAAAAGTCGGCAAAACGACCATCACGCAAGACTCGGCAGCTATGATAGCCACTTCCGGAATTGACGTTGTTTTAGAGATTACTGGGAGCCCTGCAGCAGGTATTCGACACGCCTTGTTATGCTGCGAACACAAGAAGCATATCGTTATGATCAACGTCGAAGCCGACGTTCTGGCTGGCCCACTGCTGGCCCGCAAAGCGAAGGAAGCCGGCATAATCTATTCCATGGCGTATGGTGACCAACCTGCTTTGATTGCTGAGCTCGTCGACTGGGCTCGAACGGCAGGCTTCAACGTGGTATGCGCTGGCAAAGGAACGAAGCACCTGCCCGAATACCACTACTCCACGCCAGATACTGTTTGGGATCACTATGGCTTCACCAAGGAGCAACTTGCAAGTGGAGACTTTAATAAGACCATGTTCAATAGTTTCCTTGATGGAACCAAGTCAGCTTTAGAGATGGCTGCCGTTGCTAACGGTTGTGATCTCTCGCCTCCTAGCGACGGCTTGCTGTTCCCTCCCTGTGGCAGGCAAGATCTCCCTCGATCATTAAGACCGAAGACCGATGGGGGACTTTTAGAGAAGAAGGGTACCGTGGAAGTTGTAAGCTGTGTAGAGGTTGATGGACGACCCACGTTCAACGATCTGCGATGGGGAGTATATGTTGTCATAGAAGGTAAGCCGTGACAAAGTTCATGGCGGAGAGACCAACTCGCTGACAATGCTGTAGCCCCTGGGGAGTATCAAAAGGAATGTTTCAAGCAATACGGACTTGAGACGGACAGCACCGGAAAGGTAAGGGCCTCTTCTTTAGCATTTGAAATCTATGCTGACCGTTCACAGTATGCCGCTCAATACAAGCCATATCATCTCATAGGCCTCGAGCTCGGCGTCTCAGTAGCAACCATAATGTGCCGCGGCGAACCAACAGGCCAAACAAAGACCTGGGCTGGAGATGTTGTTGCTACCGCAAAGCGAGATCTGAAGGCTGGAGAGAAGCTCGATGGCGAAGGTGGCTTCACCGTCTACGGAAAGCTTATTCCTGCTGAAGAATCTTTGAAAATCGAGGGTCTACCGATTGGCTTGGCACACGGTTTCGTGTTGAAGAATGATGTGAAAAAGGGTCAGGGGCTCAGTTGGCAAGACGTCGAGTATAGCGAGAACGCACAGGCTGTTGCGGTGCGTAGGGAGATGGAGAAATTGTTCAGGAAGGAATTGTACGGAAAGGCTAATGGAGTGAATGGTTCTTGAAAGGTGCGTGTACGAGCTTCCCTCGAAATCTCACGGATGCTGTGCCCAGTCTCTTTGGATATCGAGCTCACACGTACTGACAGCTTGCTGCTTCAGTAGTTTCGATCAACGCCATGGGCCTGTTGCACATGTCATGTGCTCCAACGTTGACCTACGGAACGGCTTAATAAACATATCCTTGGCCGTCATGACAGTCGAGGTCTCTCGTCCGTAACATAGACTCTGGCCAGTCACCAACTTGTAACAGAGACTTCTCGCTTTCGTAAAAGCCTGGGGTTTGAGCTCATAAGCTCTGGTTCCCTACCATTTCCCCCAGACGCTTGGGTTACTTCGCTAGGTACTCCCAGCCGTTCATTACCCTGGTTTTATCGTGGCCTACCATTGACTAAACAGGATCCAGGATGGCCTTGATATCTCCGGCTGACTTCTTGAAGGTGATAGGCTACACATGCATTCTTCGGACGCACGCTATCTACCGCACATCTCCGTCTACGAGTTTACGACCATCAAACCATACCCGCTGGATTGTTGCATTGAAAGATGAAGCTCCTTTTATGCCTCACGGCAACGGCACAGCACGATCCGTTCGCTGGGTAAGATCAACTATGTTGCTGCATCTCCACCAACACTAGGGTGCTTGGTCAGGGCCGGCCATTCGAGAAATGTATATGCTCACGCACGACAAGGAAGTAGGCTGATGGATAATGATACCCCTTGGCCTCTCGAGGCTACAAAGGCTGGCTGGCCGCAACTCAGACACCGCCAACGCTCTCCTGCTCTTCTGAAAGCCATGGCTATCTCCCCACAGACCTTGGCCCTCCTGGCGAGCATCGTCGTCATCGCAGGATTTCTGCTCTACCGATCTCTCTTGCCAAAGCCGATTCCAGTGCGTTGATTATGAACTGCCCGGAAGTAATTATTGCTTACGTTGTTTAGGGCATCCCATACAACAAGGACTCTGCTCGAAGCCTTCTAGGCGACGCTCCAGATGTTGGAAGGCATCATGCCAAAACACACGAGATCCTTTCCTTCTTGACCCAAAGGCTGCAGGAGCCAAACAGTCCAATTTGTCAAGTGTGGTTGAGGCCTTCTATGAGACCTTGGGTGGTGATCTCGGACGGGAGAGAGTAAGCCTTGCAGATGGATATAAGTGGAAAGATACCGAAGCTGAGTTCCAAAATCAGAGCAACCGACATCATGACACGGCGCAGTCGAGAGTTCGATCGCTCCAACTTCTTCCGCGATTTCTTCGAGGCGTTGATCCCACACCATCAGTCTATCATGCCTACGAATGACCAGTGGAGGTACAATAGACGACTGGTACGCGCAATAAACCATCATATGTTGGCTTTCCAGCTGACAACAAGTCGTAGATGGCCGATGCAATGTCATCCCCCTTCTTAAACAACGTGGCTTCCCATAGGGTGCACGAAAGCACCTCAGATCTGCTCTCACTCCTCCGTGAAAAGATTAGGCTCGCCCCAAACCACGTCTTCAACATGTACAAAGACCTACAATTCTGCACCATGGACGTCATATGGGCTGCCACCTTTGGCACGGAGCTGGGTATCTCCAAATCACAGGCGGAGCATCTGTCTCGGTTGAATCAGGTCGAACTCCCCAGCACACCCGATAGTCTTGTGCAATTCCCGGAGAACGAACTGCCTGAGGTCTGGTACATGTTGGCACGAATGATTGGGAGCTGTGAGGTCGTCATGACTTCGCCTTTGGGAAGATGGCACCATCGTACGTACTCAATCATCCGAACAACCTCACCCTGACTAACGGCCTGCTCCAGTATTCATGATCAAGTTCTACCCAAGCATGCGTCGAGCACTCGCTCTCCGCGACAAACTCAGCAGCAGCAAACTCTGCGAAGCCTGGAAAACGTTCGCGGACGGAGACGCCACCAAGGAAGGCGACAAAGTCCGCTGCGTCGTCGACATGATCGTCGAACGCGAAAGCATCCTCGCCAAGAAGCAAGGAAGAGAGCCAGATCGAAAGTCCAAGTATCTCTTCGATGAGATGGCCGGCTTCTTGAATGCTGGATACGAGACCACTTCCACGGCCTTGGCTTGGGGATTCAAGTATCTCATGGTGTATCAAGACGTGCAGGAGAAGTTGCGAGACAGCTTGCGGAGTGCTCATGAGAATGCGGCTGCGCAGGGTATCCAGCCTTCTGCGGAGGCGATCGCGAAGGTCCATGTTCCTTACTTGGAGGCGTTCATGGAAGAGTCGATGCGGCATTCGGCTCTCGTATCCGTGAATATAAGGGTGGCAACAATGGACACTGAAGTCCTAGGCCACAGGATACCAAAAGTGAGTTATGGTTATCTTCAAACTCCATTCCAAGTCGCTGACACCTGCACAGGGAACAGACGTGTGGATGCTGGTAAGTCGATTGCTCATCACCAACTATCTTATGTCCCTTCCACTGACACGCGCCAGACCAACGGACCAAGCTACCGCTCGCCGGCCCTCTCCATCGACGAAAACAAACGTAGTCAATCGAGCAGAGACTTCAAAGGCGACTGCGATAGATGGAGCAAGCACGACGACCTCGATCAGTTACGTCCAGAGCGTTGGCTATTCCAGAATGAAAAGGGGGAGACAGAGTTCGACTCGAGGGCTGCGCCTATGCGTATCTTTGGGGCGGGGGTCAGGGGTTGCTACGGTGAGTAGAAATCCTTCCTCCAGGTTCATCTTGCAGACGTTGTTGTAGATGAAGACTGATGAGTTGAGACAGGCAAGAAGCTGGCCTACCTCGAGATGCGCGTGATCTACACCTTACTCGTCTGGAACTTTCACTTCGACAAGATCCCCGACACGCTGCTGGATTGGAAGGCCCAGGATATCATCACGCATGCTCCGCAGAATGTTCGGGTGAAATTGAGAGAATTGAAGATGTCCTGAGCACTTTCATGCACTCTTCGAGCATTTGGATGCTGCATTGCTTTTACAAATGTTCAATCGCTCATATAACCGCCATGAAACAACTCATATACCATCACCGAATCACGCCCTCCGGCGCCTGATACTCAAAAACCGCATTCTCCCCCGGCGGCCTCGGCATCAACGGCTCCGCCACCTCCTCCCACAACGCATGCCTCTCACACATCCACCTCGTGTTCTCCATGGCGTACTCCGGCTGGCGCTTGAAAAACAATCCGTCCCTCGCCAGCTCAATCGTCTGCCCCGTCAGTTTCCCATCGCCCAGAATCATATCGAAAGCCTGCAACGCCCGGTCCATGGGCGTGAGGCCGGAGCGGTCCCATTTGACCAGCACTTCTGCTGGCATGATGTTCGTTTCGATGAGGGCTGGGTTGAGGGTGTTGATTGTGATGTTGTCCTTTGCGTAGACGGGGGCGAGGGAGCGGATGAGGCCCACGAGGGCGTGTTTAGATGCGGAGTATTGCGGGATGGCGTGGTTCGGGTAGAGGCCTAGGGAGCTCGAAGTGGCGACGATGCGGCCGCCGGGTTTGCTGTTCTTTTCGCTGAAGAAGTGCCGCGCGAGGTGGATGCCTTGCATCACGGCTAGGAGGTTCACTTCCACGCATCGGATGTTGAGGGGTTTCGGTAGGCCGGTGCTTTCGTCGATTTCCAGGTCTTTGTACAGGCTATCTAGGTCTCCTATCCCGGCGTTGGCAAAGAAGAGATCGAGGCGGTTGCCGCCCCATTCGAAGGTTTGCACGAATGCTTTGGCTTGGGAGTCGTAGTCCGTGACGTCGGCGTGGAGGGCGAGACAATGGTCGGATCCTAATCTTGCAGCTTGCTCGGTTGCTCGTTCTTTGACGATGTCGGCTATAGCGACTTTGTAGCCGTGGAACTGGATTAGGTGTTCGGCGACGGCAAGACCTATCCCGGAGCCGCCGCCGGTGATGAGGGCTATTGGAGTCGACATTTGGCGATTAGTAGTGTGCGATGCGTCGACGTTGCAGTTTCGAGAAGGTGTTTAAGGCTTGATCTCGCATGGGTTCCGAACAGCATCAAATCCTGGACCCACTTGGCTGCAATTCCCTTGGAGCGGGGATAATGCTAGAGCTGAACAGAGTTGCGGAGCTCGGGTTCAGCATACTCGGCACTGCCGCTTAATGCTCGAACAACGTGTCCATTCGCCCGTGGGAGCGCGTTTGTAACAGCCAAAGAGAGGTAGGAAATGCGAGTCATTGAAACATTCACTTACCGCGCAGGTGTCACGAGGCGAAGCTTGCTGTGAGAAATTACCGCGTTAGGAAGGTACAGACTAAAGCTTGGGCAATGACTAAGACGATGGGAACGCGGGCTTGGCTGGGGATATATGTTTGAGCTGAAAGCTGAAAGAGAGTGTTGAATCGTTTCTTTGACGTTCGTCTCAATACCTACTTTGAAATAACAATTGAGAAGACCATGTCGACATCAGACGAAGGAGCAATCATCGCTCTCAAGGAGGCTCGCGAAGGCCTGGCCCAGGGTGGCATTCCCGTCGGCTCAGCCATCATCAGTCCAGAGGGGAAAGTCCTTGGAAGAGGCCGTAACATGAGGTAGACCACAAAATCAACCAACAAAGAGACGTCAGACTAACCTCGCTTCAGAGTCCAGAATGGCAGTCCAATCCTCCATGTAACATCTTCACCTCTGAATGCGACATGCCGCAAACACTAACCCACCCTCAGGGCGAAACCGCCGCCTTCGACTCCGCGCGCACCCTCGACATGAAAGACTTCGCCGGCGCGACAATCTACACGACGCTCTCGCCCTGCCCCATGTGCGCCGGCGCGATGATCCTCTTCGGGATCCAAAAAGTAGTGATCGGGGAGAATACTCACATGAGTGGAAGGGAGGAGCTTTTGCGATCTCACGGGATGGAGGTGGTGGTGTTGGATGATCAGGCGTGTAAGGATGTTTTGGATGAGTTTATTCAGCGGTGGCCCAAGAAGTGGGAGTTTTGAGTGAGGGGTTGTTGAGTTGAGTGGAGTTGAGTTGAGTGAGTGATGAGTAGTTAGCGGTGGCGTTGGTAAGAGGTGTACGGCTGAAGAAAAGATGGTTGTCTGAGGAATGCTGCTATGAGTGTATTAGCAGACTATCTGGCCAGAGATGGCCAACGTATGTAAGATAGACAGATGGTCTCGTCCAATGCGGGGTTTGTGTTCTCATTCCATCGTGGTCCGAACCCCCCACAGCAGACTTCGTAATAGTTGATGAGAGCTCAAACAAGCTCTTCCGTTGCCGATTCCAATAATATCCTGAAGTCATCCACGATGCACGTTCAAAGTTTAACCTCCTTCCTCTTTCTTCCTCGAATTCACGGGACCGGGAATGCCTTCTTGATTGTGTTTACGATGGCGCGATGGCGGTCTTCATCGTACCCTGCAAAGTATTAGCATTGTCCCACGACATGTATCCTCAACCTTCCGCTCAAAGTCGAAGGCGGAATACAGAACGGTCGTTCTCCATCAACCCAAGAGCGACCACGCTTCGGTTTGCACTCTAGGCCGGCCACATGGCTTGCGAGTATTGGGGATGACCATTCGACTTCGAGCGGATTACCCAGGGTAGTGGCGTCACGTACACTTGTCCTGTTCAATCATTTCCACTCGCTCTTCAGTCCAGACCGCCTCTCCCTTAGAGTTGTCCCAGCCTCCTTTGCCAGCAACATACTGGCAACGTTCGATCTCGAGCACGAAGCTGAAAGTCTGAGATGGACGTAGCCAGCTCCACACGTCAATCATCCACTTTTGTTCTTCGAGCGCAGCGGCATCTTCCTCATCGTGGCCTGCGATGTAGTCCAGCTTCTTGTTGTGTTCGGCCGTCAGGTAATCTTCCACAACCAGTTTCAAGGACTTCAAGCGAAGATCCTTCTTTAGGTAGCCGGCGAGGAAGCTGAAAGGCTTGGCTTCACGCCGGAACAGGCTTTTGAGAGCACCAATCGAAGCTCCAATGTATTCAGTCGAGAGACACTTGGTAGCCAGGAGGCATCGACTGCACGTGGACGAGGGTGGAGGAAAAAAGGCCCTGCAGTTGGCTGGAGGCTCAGCAACGATGGGCTGCTCAAGAGCGGCGATGCTTCTTCCCAGATAATTCGGCAGGTCTGTAAGACAGCCAAATGCAGCTCGTTGTCGCTGGGCTCCTTGTAGAATATTCCCCCAGTGGACAGGATGCGAATTTCAGCAGGCTTGACGAGATATTCGTAGATCTCGAGGCGCATCTCCTCGGGAAGCTCGAGCAGGTGGCTCTTTTGCGACGGCATTGTGATCGGATATGCAAGGTGCGTCGAAGTCCGTATAGCGTTGACCTGTTGGACGAGGCGCCGACGAGGAGGTGGCTGCTGTTCAGTGTTCGAGTTGTGGCCGGTGTTGCGGCACTTATTGTGGCGACGACAAGTTTGGCGAACGGCTTTACTTCGGTTCGACAAAAGTGGCAGGCACGAGCATCTATTCACTGCTCACTCTTTCACTGCAGGCTTTCGGCCAGGTATACGAGGCAACGCTGGCATCTTCACCTGCGTGCCCAGATTCTGCACTTGTGCCACAGCATCCCCAAGCAACACCCGGATGGCACCCTCCAGCCTTCGATCTTGCTTCCTACGCAAATACCACAGCACGATAGCCAGTATGACCGTATCCGCCACAACGAGCTGGACAGCCCACCAGGACAGCCTCAACACCCAGCCGAGGAAGCTGTGTTTTCTCTGGTAGCTGAAGTATCGCCTTGATTCCAGCTGCTCCCGCAGCGCCGCGACTTCGGTGGTGAGCTTGATGAGGGAGGACTCGATTCGTTTCCGCCAGCGATTGTCGGCAGGGGAAGACTGAGGCCTCGGTGGTGCCACGAAGCGGTCTCCCGTTCTATTTCCACCAGCCTCGGAGCTGTCCTGAAGATCGGCCTCATCGATCTGAGATATGGGCGCATCCACAAACTCTTCCCTTTCTTCGTCTGCTGCCTCATCTTCATCGGCCTGCGATACGGGCGAGAGCACCCTCAACCCTTTGCCCTTGTCTCTCCCACTATTCTCAAGAGCAGCAGCCGAGGAGCTGATGCCTCCGTTGTTGCCCGAACTTCCAGACTGCAGGTAGTCTCTCCGCTCAATCACCTGAAGTGGAGAAGAGTGCTCCGAGCTCGAATGCTGCGAGTTGTTCTTTATCTGATCCCAGACAAACTCCAGCTCCTCTACAAGTTCTCTAGCTTCAGGCGTGGTCGAAGCATACTGGTGCATAGTCTCGATCAGCTTTTCAATGTACCGTCTCTTCCCCTCGGTCCTACTCAGCCCTTCATTCGCCTTCCACGCATCCCACTTCTCTTGCTCTTTCTTGACCTGATCCGGCGATGAGCCTGGAGATGGCGATCCTGGTCGATCGGCTATGAGAGCGACGTCGCCTTCCATGGATTGTTTGTACAAGCCATAGAGGGCCAGCCGGTCGGCTGATGGCGGCTTCTGAGAGCCAGGTCTGATCTTATTCACGGTATTGAGCGCATGGCCAAAGACTCGGTCGACGGAGTCGGCCATCGTTTGTCTACCTGCCTCCTCTCTTGCCCCTCTGATCACACCACGTCCAGGACTCTATCTCTTTCTTCCGATCAAGTGATATCAGCTCGGCTTCAGCTGACCATATTACAACGCTTGGTAAGACCGGAGATTGCGGAAGATATCGTACACCATGGCGAAATACAGCAGAGATGGAGAGAGAGGAAACATGTCGCGTGAAAGAGGGTATTCGGTGGTATCATAGTCGGGCAGCACATGCAGGGATTCTCCATCCACTATCCTCCAGGTCGGCTGCAGACAACCGCGGCAGTCCACTTTTGACTTTCACTCACGGGCCAAACTTTCATTGCACCGATCAGGCTTAGACCTTGTTGCATGTGCAGGCATACACACGACATGGAGGTTGAACGCATATCACCAACTGCACGGCATCTCATTCTGGTCTATCTCATTCAAAGTGCCACGATTACCCGTTGAGCTGCCATGCCATGCAAGGTGGCTGCACGTCCACCCAACGCCCGCCGCCTCGCAGATGACAGCCGTGTCAGTACTGGCAGTCAGCATGGGTCATGAGAAGCACCAAGGACTCATATACAGGACAAGAAACAGCGTCCATACCATCAACTGACCACATGACTATCAGAGACGGCCTTCCTTCGACGGTGATATCTGATCTGGGAGATGCTCGGCCCAGGTATACGCTCGGCACGCTGTCCCGGCGGAAAAATGACCTGCATATCCGCCCTACCAGATCTTTTCACGCGCCAGTGGCCCACCGCCGCCTCTTTTCAGTGCGAAAAAATAGAGCCCTTTCTTGCGCTCTCTTTACGGCCAAAGCGACTTACCCGCCGCACCTTGGCCGAGGTCGCCGAAAGGGCCTTTACCTCGTTCCATTCCAATTCTAGCCAATTGCGCGGAGAGGAGCTGAGGGGACTGCTTGATATGGCTCCTCTTCACTTTTTAACAGTGTCCGACGTCGGCGTGCGGTGACGATGAAGTGCAGTCACTTTGCCCGTTTCCCACTGATAGCACTTTCTGCATTGGCTGCCGTGGCCAACTGATCCTGGAAGTGGAAGCGACGACCTTGCTGTACGGGTTGCATCTTCAACCGCCGAATAGAAGGGCTGTTGACTCAGATTCTTTTGGATGAGGCTTTTACTCTCGTCTTGTCTTCTTGTCTTTGCAGTTCTCTCTCTTTGATTACTGAGAGCTGCTATTCATGTGCGGCTTATGCAAGACAAAAATTCACATCCCTAAGCACTCACCCTCGTACCACACCTCACTTGCACAACCGCCACACATGAGACATTCTTTCCAACATGGATAACGAAAAGAACCGCCCCACCGAACCCATCGAAGACCCCGACGTCAAACCAATCTCCATCAAATCCAAGACCGAAGACGAAGAACCTACCAATCACTCCATCTCCAACTCCAAACAATTCCCAAAAGGTCCCACCTATCTCGAACAAGAAGAGCACGACATCGAAAGCCAACGACCCAGTCTCCACCCCGTCCAATCCCACGTCTCCACCCACGATGCCGTCCACCAGGATCACGACCAGCACTATGAACAAGGGGACGAGATCTACGACCGTTTTAGTCGATCGCACAAGGTGATGATTGTGTGTATCATGAGCTTTTGCTCGTTGCTGGCGCCGATCTCTTCGACGAGTATTTTGGCCGCTTCGCCGGAGGTCGTGGCTACTTATAGTAAGTCATGTCGGATTTGGGTCCGTCTATGAAATGAGTCCTTTGCTTGTCTATGGCGTGCTGTCTGTAGAGATGCGATGCTTGGTCAATTGCACCATTCGAAGAGAGCAGCTCCTATCATGAACTCGACCACCCCCAGGCTGACCATCATTCGAACAGACACCACCGGCACAATCTTCAACATCTCCAACGCGCTGTACATGCTCTTCATGGGCATCTCCCCCCTCTTCTACGGCCCAATAGGACAGACGTACGGCAGGAAATGGACCCTCTCCGCCTCAGCAATAACCTTCACGGCCTTCAGCGTGGGCTCCGCACTGGCTCCCAATCTGGCGGCATACTTTGTCTTTCGAATGTTGACGGCGTTTCAAGGCACGGCTTTCCTGATCATCGGAGGTACTGTCATTGGCGACATCTATAGGCCGGTGGAGCGTGGCACTGCTTACGGTTGGGTGAGTCTTGATGGTGGAGAGTAGGGTATGAAGTGTGTGAGCTGATTCTTGTTTTCTGAATAGTTCATGTCAGGGACCCTCATTGGGCCTGCTATGGGTCCGTTCATTGGCGGTTAGCATACCCCTTACCATACCACCACTACAGCTAAACTGACAAGACACCGTACTCAGGTATCATCGTCACCTACGCATCCTGGCGGGACATCTTCTGGCTCCAAGTCGCCATGTCCGGCGCAGCCACGCTCATGGTCATATTCCTCCTACCTGAGACCATCCACCGACGACGAAGCGACGAGCTGAAAGGCCTCTCTCGAGCACAGAAGGTCAAGACCCTCTGGAGCTGGATCAACCCTGCGCGAGTCGTCATCCTGTTCAAGTACCCCAATCTCATCGTCATTGGTTTGGCGTCGAGCAGCTTGGTCTGGAATATGTACTCCCTTTTGACACCTATCAGGTATGTCGTCCTTACCTCTCACATCGCCTGCGTATTCGTACTTGCTCTACCAAGTATGAAGCCTCTCCGACTCACCTTCATCCTAGATACGTCCTCAACCCACGCTTCCACCTGACTAGTCCTATCCAATCCGGCCTCTTCTACCTCGCGCCAGGAGCAGGCTACCTCGTCGGCACCCTCTTCGGCGGCCGCTGGGCCGACCGCGTCGTCAAGAAATGGATCCGCATCCGCGGCGGCAAACGCATAGCCGAAGACCGCCTGCACTCCGCCCTCGTAAGTCCTCCGAAACCCCACCCCCCCAACCCCAACCATCACCTCCCCTCCTAACAATGTACCCAAGACAGCAATGGGCCTCGTCATCCCGGCCTCCATGCTCATCTACGGCTGGTCGATCGAAAAATCCGTCGGCGGCATCCCCCTCCCCGTCATCGCCATGTTCACCCAAGGCATCGCGCAGCTCTTCTGCTTTCCCTCCCTCAACACCTACTGTCTCGACGTGATGCAGTCGCGCTCCAGCGAGGTCGTCGCAGGGAATTACTTCATGCGCTACCTCTTCGGCGCCGCGGGGAGCGCCGCGGTCCTGCCGATTGTCGATGCGATTGGCGTGGGCTGGTTCAGTACGATTTCGGCGGCGTTCGTGGCCGTTGCGGCGGCGGGGGTGTGGGCGACGACGGTTTGGGGGAGGGGGTGGAGGGAGCGGGTTGATGGGGTTAGTGAGGGGGAGAACTAAACGAAGAGAAGTGTGAGGTGTGTCTCTCGTACAGCAGCTTGAGGTTAGCGGGAGTTGTGGTGATGGTTCGTTTTGACTGACAGTGCGACTTGATCGCACGTGGGACGAGGATTGGCCATGTCGGCGTCCTTTGATCACATTTTTGCTTTCTAAAAACAAACATGATACCCCCAGTCTCTGCATCATCGTCATTCATTTCTATTCCTTCTGGACCGCACTTCATGCTTCCGTACAAGTACACCGTCGTAGAGATAAAACCTTTGATCATCACATGCGCCATATGAACAACAACCACAGTCTATGCAAATTTTTCATCAAACCATCACAAACAAACCCAAAAATCAAACTCGCTCGCTCGTAGATTCCCTCGTTCAAAAAACTCCACGCTATTGTTCCTGAGGTTTGATCAATTTTGTGAGATCCGCAAAACGGTAGTCCTCCACCACCGTCTCCCAGTCGTCGCGCAGTAAGCCATACGTTTCATTGTCGTAGCCCTCGGGCTTCCGCGGGTTGAGCGCCCAGTAGCCCCAATCCGCATCAGTTTCCTCCAGAATCTTCATCAGATTGTCCCAGTAGTGGTGGTCGGAGTCGCTGGCGCCGTGCGGTGCTCCAAATTCGCCCACCCAGACGGGTGCGGTGTTGCCTCGTAGTAAAAAGGCCCAGTTCTTGTCCATGTCCAGTGCGAAGGATGGGTATGCACGCTTGCCGTACGGGACGAGCGTCGACCAGCCACTCCACGCGTACACGTGGCTGCTGTAGACGACCCGATCGGGAACCGTGAGCTTCACAGGCCGTGTGCGGGCTCCAGAACAGTCGTTGGCGGAGGAAATGCCTTCGATGAACATGAGCCAGTTTGGCTGCATGGCCAGCAATGCTTCGCTGGCTTTTTCGGCGGCGGTGGCCCACATGTTCCAGGTCATCGTCCCCCAAAGCCCGCGTGGCTCGTTGCGTAAGTCTGCACCGATGACCAGGGGGTTGTCGAGGAAAGGCTCCATAATGATTTTCCAGTGGTCGATCCAGGTCTCGGTGGTCTGCTTGATCTTGCAGATAGGCCCGTAGTGGTCGTTCTTCCAGCTGGAATCACACAGATTCTTGCCGTCGCACCAGTGGGCGTTCGTAATGTGATTGTTAGGAATCACTGCAAGGCCAATGTCTGTCATGGCCTTGACACATGCGTTGAACACGTCCAGTGCACGGGGGCCTTGTAGTTCATCAGATCGCTTGAGACTGTCGTGATGCAGTTCGTAGCCATCCAGAAGATCCAGATTTGCCGAAATGACCTCTGGCGGTACGATCGGATTTTCGATCACCATCTGGTCAGAGTATGGAAACCGCACTGAGTTGAATCCCATGCGCTTGATAGTCGCGGCGATTTCGTCACGATGGCGGAAGTCGAGTCCACCGGGAACGAAGAAGATATCACTCGCTCCATACCAATTGATGGAGGCCAGTTTGACCCTCTCGCCGTTAGCATCGACAATATGCCTCCCGGCCGTCCTCAACGGCGGAGCCCATGGCAGCTTGTCCTCGGTGATGTTCCAGTTCTGCTTGAGAACGATCTGATGCTGAGCGCGGGCCCGGTTGAATTTGGCTTCACCTGTTGGCGCCGATTGTAAGCTGTAGAAGACGATGATGCATATGACGAGGACGCTCAAGAAGAAGCCCGTCCGGCGAAGCATCGTCGGCGCCGTCCTGCGGTGTTGGGGGAGGGAATGGAGATTGGTAGCGAAGGCAGCAGAAAGGAAGGCTATGGGGAAGAGCAACATAGTGGGCACGCGCGCGCCGGGCGGCGGATCTAGTATTACTAGGAATGGATGATGAGAAATGGGCGAGTGGGAATGATCGGTGGTGGACAGGTTCCGCTGAGTCCGGGCTGAATGCCTGTCTGAGAGGTACATGTGCGCTGACAGGGCTTTGCCAAGGCCGTAGATCTGCGAGGGCGCTGCAGGAAGCACACGAGCTCTTACCTGTGTGGTCGTCGTGTGGGCGCGCTGTGGGCGCTGCGTCTGGCATGGCGGGCAATGGGTTGAATGTACGGCCTCTGTCGAGAGAGACGTACTGCACGGGAGGGGTGGCCGACAGCAGGGTCGGATAGTCGATGCCAAAGAGGAACAATTGATGGCCGGATTATGTCGTGTGCTCACTCAGACGCTCTGCGAGGATGACGGGCGAAAAGCCAAAGGCCGGAAAGCTCGGGAAGCTCCTTCGATATGCGGCACCGGCTACATCACTGGCGCTGAGGGCGGACAAGCAGCGCGCTGGCACTGCGGCGTCCGAGGCCATGGCTGTGCGACTGCATAGCACTAATTGTCTGAGAACGGCAGAAAGAGCCCGGTGGCCGCATGTCGTCGCGCTGGAGCGGCGTTGGTGGTGGATTGTACGCGGATTGTGTTGGTGGATTGGGCGTTGTTGTTTCCCGGATGCCGGAGCAAAGAAGACTGCGCTCACCAACACGCGACCAAAGCGACCCGGATGCGCGGTATCAGCACGGTCCGGCCCCGCGAACCAACCAAGGCCACGCCCTCGACTGTACCACGCTCGCTTCCACTTCGCGCTCACGAGAGCCCTTGCTGAGATTGGGATCATGTCCCGACGACGTCTGTGAAAGAGCACGTGTCCGCGGACAGAGACAAGCTTCTTGTCGCGCGAGGTTCTTGGGAGAGCTTGCTTGGATGCACAAGAGCACCGGAAGAGCTTGGGACGTGGGATGGATAACCCAGCCGCTGTCCATGCATATCACACTGTGGACACTGATCGCGTGCTGTGTGTGCATAGCTCTTCCGGATGCCTACGGATATCAATGGACGACTTCGACGAGCACCGGATACACTGCATAGACTGCATAGACTTCCAGGCTATGTCTACCTGTCCACGCGGCCTCATGAGGCAACTGCTCCGCGAAGAGGCTGGCGTCTATGGATTACTTAGCAGGGAACTCTTGCTTGTCAGTGGCATCTCTACCGACTACCGGTGCTATTAAGGTGTACTGACAGTTGACCACATTCTATGCTGAAAGGGGACCACCAACGCCAACGCTACCCGTACAGTAAAGGTAAGGGAATCCCATTCACTCATCTCAACTCCCCTTGATCTTGTCCTCCTCCCGATCACTCGCAATCGAGGCCTTTTCGCTCTTGTCATGAGCCATCTCTTCATCCACCACGATCCCTTTGTCATGAACGCTCGCCTCTGTCACTGCTGAAGCATGGCCCTTCTCTGCTTCATCGGGCCCTGATACTGCCTCTGCGTCTTGTTTAGCAGCCTGCTGTTCCTCCTTCCTCACCAGACCCTTGTCCTTGATCACTGCGGACAGCAGCAGCGCAATGCCTGCTATGGGCACGCAGAAGATGAAGACCGCCCGGCTGGCATCGCTATAAGCATCGACAATGGCGATTCGATCCGCGGGAGAAAAGCCACTCAGATTCGGCACGGCAAAGGTCCTCTCCGACACATACCGCAACCTCTGAGGCAACGAAGACTTCAGTACGTTCGCCAGGATGGCTGACGAGACCGCGAGACCAATTGCACCTCCTGAACTTCGGAAGAAGTTTCTGTTCGACGTCGCCACCGCCCTCTGCGCCTTCGGACAATGTGCTTGCAGCGCAACCAGCGTCGGCTGGAAAGTAAGACCAGTCCCAACACCAATGAAGATCTCGAACAACGCAATGAGGCCGAGACTGATGTCCTTGCCAGCCATGATGAACAAGCCGGCTCCCAAAGTCCAGCATCCGAAGCCAGCCCAGATGACTTCCCCGTAGCGGTTGAACTTCGACATATAAAGTCCGCCAGATATCGATGCCAACGATTGTGACCCGACCATAGGAAGCTGCAGGCAAGCTGAGATGAGCGCGCTTTTCCCTCGGACGTTCTGGAAGTACAGCGGCAGGAAGTACAGGTACGTCTGGTAGGACATCCCGAGGAGCAAGGATTGGGCCATCATCGCAGCAACAGATGGACTCTTGAACATCGACAGCGGCATCATCGGTAGCTTGGCCCATTTCCATTCCACGAGCAAGAAAGCGATAAAGCAGACCACTCCAACCACAAGCATGGCGATGACCATCGGCGAGTTCCAGGGCGTATCCGCATGTCCACCGCTCGAGACAGGGATCAAGAGCAAGATGATGGCCGCAGTCCCCAAAAACAACCCAAGTAAATCGATCTTCGCCAACGTCTCCCTCAGGTTCAACTTAGGCATATTGGTGGGCAACCACCTCCAACTCGCCACAAACGCCACCATGCACAACGGCGCAAGGAGATAAAACAATCCCCTCCAAGTCGTGTGCACCGCGAACCCGGCCGCGATCAAAGGACCCGCCGCATTGCCCATTCCAACCATAAACCCCAAGATTCCTTGATACTTCCCCCTCTCCTTCAGGGTGACGACATCACTGACAATCATCATGCTGAGACTCGTAATGCCCGCGTTGGCAACTCCAGCCAAACCTCGAAAGATATACAGCATCGTGGAATTGACGCTCAGACCGCAGGCCAAATCCGTCAAACTCAGCAGCACGAGTGCAGAGAGCATGATGTTCTTCCTCCCGAAGAGATCGCTCAGCCGGCCGTACAGAACCTGGAAGACGGTATTCGCGATCAAAGCGGACGTCCCGGCCCACGAAATCGACGAGGCGGCGTTCAAATCCCGGGCTATGTCGGGGAGGAGGACTCCTATACCGTTCTGATCGATGAAGCAGACCATGAGGGCCGTGGCCATGATGACGAAGACGAGGATGAGCTGGCCCTTCGGGAGGAGTTGAGTCTGGTCGTGGAGGTTGGCTTCGGCATTTTGTTGTTTTTCGTTCGCCATGGCTGCTGCTGCTGCTATCGAAAGGGGTGGTGGTAGTGGATCATGCAAGGCAGATCAAGATATTCTATGACTGATTACGGATCGGAAAGAGAAAGAGAGGGAAAGAATAAGAAGAAAGTAGGCGCAGTCAAGAAAAAATATGTGTTTCAGAATAGCTTACACCTCAACAAGCACCGACGACGAGCTTCGGCGATTTGGGCTGGGCCAACAAAACCGTCGTATCAGCAAGCACGTATTAATATAGGCGACCCGGACGCGCACTCGTTCAACCAGAAGGAAAGCAGGCAGGCGCCCTCTTTTCCCTCCTTCAACAAACCCTTCGTGCTGCAAACACGTGCCGAACACCCGAAATTTTGCCTGGGACTTGCGAAGAAGTGGAATCTTTCTAGCGCCGACACCGGCACTCGCTCGCCTCCTCTGGTCTCGACGACTCAGATCTTTATCCGCGCTGCTGGAGGATGAGATAGGGCGAGATGGGGACGTTTGGCCGGCCCCAACATTTCGGGAAGGTGGGTGAATTGTGGAGTCGAGATTCGGGATTTGGCGGTGATTTTTGGATTGGGAAGGGCCGAGGGGCGTATATAAATATATGTTTGGGTGCGAGTGTATGTATATTTTGATTGTTCTGGTTGAGGGGGAATGTTTCGTCTCCGGGGCCTGCGAGTTGGATGAGCTTTTCGGAGGATATGGAAGAGCTGGGTCTTGTGCATGAGATTGGAGGACTGGCGACTCAATACCTTCGATCTCAAGTGCATACACAACTACCACAAACATAAATCCCACCCCTTCTCAGCCATCAAATCCGACCATTCATACGACCGCGCACGATGCGGAACCCCCAACTTCTGCCTCAAATGCAACCTCTCCTCCCTCGCGACATCCGACTCCCCATCCCGCCTCACCCACAACTCCACCAACAACTCCCTCGCCCTCTTCGCATTCTCCCGTCCATGCTGCCTCTTCATCGTGTCCAACACCGCCAGCACCTGCTCCCTCATCTCCCCCGAACCCGCGAAACAGCCGATGATGAACGCCGGCTGCAGCAGCGCCATGGCCGGGGACGAGTGGTCGCGGAATTTGATCTTCTGGACGCAGTGCATGGCGCTCGCGAGCGCTTCTTGGACGTGGTCGCTGTCGACGTCGTGGCCTAGTAACCGCAGCTGAACCTGTGAGAGCGTGATGTGGTAGTACGCCTGGTTCAGCAGGGCGAATTCTTCGTGCTCGGTCAGTTCGGTCGCGGATTCGACTTCTTCTTTCAGAGCGGCGAGGTCCTCCAGGATGACTTCGCTTTGCTTGACTAGGGCGTTGATGCGGTCCATCAGTGAGGCCCAGAGACTTTCCATGTCGATGTCTTGGCCCGTTGAGGCGTGTTCGAGATGGAGAAGAGCCGTCATGTCGGCGGCGACTTGCTCGATGTCGTGCAGTGTGTGGAGGATTGCGGCTGAGAAGCCCAGTTCTTCGTCGAAGTAATCACACGATGAGAAGTGGAACGGACTGGAACACACAGGCTTCACCTTCGCATGTGTAGGCAGGCAGAAAATCAACGCGAGCCGCTGCATCGTCTGCCCGAGTTTTCGGAGGTGTTCTCGTTCCAGCGTCCCTTCCAGGGTAGGTTTCTCCAAAACCGCCATCGCGCCTTGAAGATGCGCTCGCCACGAATGCGCCTTCTCACCGCCCGAAATAATCTCCTTCATACAGAGCAGCAGAGCCGTCGTCGCGAAGACGTTCTCCGACGTCTCGTCGTGGTTGACTTTCTGCCGTCTTAAATGCCCCACGGCCATCGATTCCCAGTAATCAATCTCACTCGCATCCGTCTCTAATCCCAGTGACGTCCGATGGGTCATAGACACACACAAAATAGCTGCCACGAGATGGAAGCTCCATGTCGTATCCAGCGCAAGGGGCAGAATCGCCGAGCAGAGACTATGGTGGGATTTGATATCCAAGAACGAAATCGAGCAGGTGGTGTTTGCGAAATGCGCAACGAGAGAACGATGTCGAGTTGAGAGCCAGGGGAGCCAATTCACAGTTCCCGGTAGTCCTGGGAGAGCTTGCAGTGATGTGGCGTCGTCGTCGCTTGAGGAAGAATTACTCGCAGGCGGTGAGACGACTCCATTACGAACTTGCGCTCGTCGTGCTCTCGCGTTCGCTCGTTTCGACGTTCCAGTGATCCAGCCTAAGGTCCTCTCATACGAGCATTCTTTCCCATCGGTCACACATGTTTCGCAGGCCGGTTTCTGCTCCCCGCATCTTCGGTGGAGACGTCGACATTCGTTGCAGCCGTTTCTGGATCTTCGGATCTTGTTATCTCCTGTCTTTGCCGTCATGTCGTCTGAAAGCTCAAGATGTGTGAGAGAGTGTTATGAGGGTGTAGCTGGGGAAGAACATAGTATGTCATCGGCAGCTACCGAGAGCGAGGTTTGGTAAGCTGCCCAGCCATGTGCACGTGAATGAATGATTATACATAATCCTGGCCAGGTCTCGACCTGCGTATGCCAAGGACTTAGCCTGCGAATATCAGAGCACAGTCGACAGCTTGCACAGGTGTGCATGTAGGGCATTACTATCACTATGCTTCTCGCAATGGCTTCCAATAGACATCGCTCTCCTCCACCACAACGGCATCCAAGCCTTCCACCGGCCCTAGGATTTCAACATCCTTCTGACTCCCCTGCAGAACTTGCCGACAAGGCATAGCCATAGTCATATTCTCCTCATTCCCCTGCCCTGTCAGCGCCGCCAATTGCGTCTCAGCAGCGGCATACACAATCCGGCCTATATTCGCCCAATAGCAAGTGCTCGCACACATAGCGCACGGCTCCCAGGTTGAATACAAGGTGCATTTCCAGAGATACTCCTGAGTGTAGTGGGATGCTGCGAGACGAGCGAGGCTTGATTCGGCGTGGTTGACGTGGTCGATTGATTGATGAGTGAGGAGGACCGTTTCGTTGTCTGGGCCGATCAGGGCGGCGGAGAAGGGTCTTTTGCCCATTGTTAAGGCGCGGCGTTGGACTACGAGGCAGGCTTCGATGCCGGCTTTGATTTGTGCATCTGTTGGCCGAGGCGGGCGAGGTGGGAAAATGTTGTGAGGTTTCATCGCTACAGGTTCGTGGCCAGATGTCCAGAGGGCAAGCTATCCGTCAGTCGAAGCAGTGATTAGTTCAGGAAACCAAGTTGAATGTCATAGGAGTATGCTTGACATTGGCTATTGATCATTAGCTCTAGCTGTGATTCGGATGACGCCGTACTCCGCAATTCCTTATCTGCCTTCAAGTCAGTCTGGAAAGCTGGTCACAATGTTGAATAGCATCGCAACTTACGAGAGCTCTACCTTTTACATGTTGCACGCTACCCACTGCGGTCGATGCTCAAGGTTTCTTGGCTGCATCCAAGTCAACCTCCACCACAATCTTTCCCTTCGCCCTGCCAGTCTTCATTCTCTCGAATGCCGTTGGCGCGTCCTCGAACTTGAACTTGGCATCGAAAACTGGCTTGACTTGGCCGCTCTCGAACCACTTGCCAATTTGTCCCAGCTGCTCCTCCGACGGTGCGGCAAAGATTTGTGAAAGCTGCCGAAAGTTAGTAAGTCTTTATTCCACTCATAATCATGCTTCAAGTCAGAACATGATTGGAAGGTATTTCGATGCACACCTTTCGCTTTCCACCTCCAAGAATTCCTGGTCTCATCCATGCGGACAAGAGTTCGCCAAAGAAGCCAAACGAGATTGTGGCGCCCACAAGAACATAGACTGCGCTTGGGGTGGTGAACTCATGTGCTTTCCAGTACAGCTTCAAGTCATGGCCAACATTGTCGACGACATGGTCGTACTTTCTCCCGCTTGACTTCAGCGCAGTGAGAACATCCGACGTCCTGTAATCGATCACTTCATCTGCGCCGAGGCTCTTGCAGAGATCAACGTTCGGTGTCGAGCATGTCGTGGTGACATAGCAACCCTTGGCTTTGGCGAACTGAATGCCGAAGACGCCCGTGCCACCGCTGCCACCATTGATGAACACGTTGCTTCCCTCTTTGACTTGCGGCACGATCGACTGGTAGGCCGTAAGTCCAGCAACATTGACGGTGGCTCCCCAGGTTGGGTCAACCCTTGGTGGCAATGAGGCCACTCCTGACTTGCCTGCGACCGCGTACTGCGCGAGAGCACCGCCAATCAAGCCGTTACCTGCAGCGCCAAATACAATCTGGCCTGGTTTGAGAGGAGAACCATCGGCCGGCTGGACAATCTTGCCGACAAAGTCAAGGCCCGGGGTTACTGGCTTAGGGAGGAAGAAGCGGGTGACTAGCGGGACTTCGGCGGGCTTGTAGTCAACTGTGCTTGCAGGTCAGCAGGTTGTTTCTTAAGAACTTGGGCATCACCACTCACCTGGATTGAGCGCTGCTGCAATAACTTGTACTAAATGCTGGTCAGGCTTTCGCTTAGGGAGAGGAGCGGCAGGGTTGAGCTTCAAATTCTTTTCAATGCCTCCCTGTGTTGACGTGAACTGCCAGGCCTTCATCTGGGATGGAACGTTGCCTTCTGCCATCTTGCGGAGGCTGATGCTGGTAAGCGTGATGTGGTTATTGAGGACTGCCGTCTGATACTTCGAGGTGGCAGCACGACGTGCGAATATTGGCCTGAGGACGCGGCTTGTCTATTGCGCCGCCGCGGTCGTGAAGACGGATATAGCGCCAATGGTTCTGCCGGAATTTTCGGCGGGATGGCAAGGTCTGAAGCAGATATCAACCGGGCGAAGCTGCTTTTGAATAATGTATCAAGGGTGTTGCTGGCGCCTGCGTCGATTGCATCATGTCTTTCGTACCCGCCATTTTGCTTTAGCCCCATGCATGAGGTGCGCGCCATTTTGATTGGCTGGCTGCCACTACAGTCGTATTCTGTACAGATGGCATCGCGTCCAAGCCTTACCTCAATTGACAATGAGGTTAGTGTGCTCAGAAGAACAGACACTCCGCACCCTATGACAGAACATTGGATTGGAAGTGGCTAATCCTCATCTAGGGCATTCCCAAACCGGCGTAGTCAAGGCGGCTGTAACCGCCAACGGCATAAAGGGCAATCCTAAACTCCGCGTGGTGGGCCCCTTAATATCGTCTTCGGGTTTGGACAGCTATCTGATGCGACGAATCACTTGAAGAGATATAAAGACCGAGAAGAATCTCACCCTGGAGTGGCTACGAAGATAGCACCAAGAGAGGTAGAAAATGTCCTAGAAGAGCCGGATGAGGAAGTTGATCCACTGAATCTTATATTACTACAAGATTATCATTACGAAAGCCCTTTTCTCGCACCACCCTTTGCTATTGTCATAAACCGAAGCTCATTCACCCGTATCCTGCATTTAAAGGTTGACTGGAGAAGTATTAGAATGGCCGGATAGAAGGATTGGAGTCAGTCAAACTTACTAGGAACGCAAGAGACGTTGATGTTGAGGGTGCCGTCCTGGTTGGTTGGGCAGCAGAAGGTGTTACCGGCTGGGCACTGGTTGTCAAGAGCTGCGATTGTTTGTTAGCATGGCCGCATTCATCAGATTACAGCTTTTGGAGCACGTACCAGACAGCAGAGACACCTGGTCAAGCAGACAGCTACCACCAAGGACGTTGCCGAGAGTGCCCGAGTCGGCGCTGTTAGTGACACAGCAGGAGATCTCAGAGCCCTGGGCGCAGGTGTTGCTGCTGGAGCCGCTGGAGCCGCTGGAGCCAGAGTCGCCGTAGGGAGCGGCGAGGACGGTGGCAGCGAAGGCCGAGATAGCGAGGATGGTGAACTGCATTTTGAAGCGAGTGGATTGGTTGACTGAAATGTCGAAAGAGATGATGTTTGTTGGCTAGGAGGTTGTGTTTCTGTGATGGGCTGATGAGGATTGAATTGGCGGGATGAGATGGGTTTACTTATACTGTTTGGAGGACTCCTTGCTCAACAACAAAGGCGCGTCTCATGGCACGATCGCGAGCATTTGGTGGATGGCCGCTGGTGTTGGATTGGACTTTCGACGCGTTCTATGGCTTCGAGAGTGCTCATGGCCAGACGGTTCAGCTAGAATCTTGGTAAAGGAATATGAGAAACGTCTACCGGACTTCGATGGCAGCCATGTGCGGATCCTGCTCCTAAGCGTTGTTTGCGGAGTAGGTTAGCGCTTTATTGAGCCACAGGGGAGTGCTGAATGGAATTTGATCGACAAGCTCGCAGCCTGATATGCTAGTGCACCGCTGGCTTCACTGGAAGTACACGTGCGTTGCGACCCATAGTTTGAAACACATCTTGTATCGCCAATTTAACCTCTGGGGCAACATCTCCGTTTTCATCGCCTGGTCGCTCGGTCGTACGTTGACAGCATGGAGATGTCTCAGCCCCACGAAATCGTTCAATGCGTAAACGTAGAACAAGGCGTTTATTTTAGGAAAACACAACAAGCCAAGGCCGTGTCTCTCCATGAGAACCAAGGTGACTATTAAAATGGATCAAAGCGTTGCAGATTGACCAGATCTACCTCATGGTTCTGGTCGTGGAGATCCGAGGGTGTTCAGTATTCTCTCCGCCAATTCCACGGTCCAGAAATAGGTCCCTCAATCTGGACTCGTCTTTTGGAACATCGCAATACTCCAAGGTACGATTGCTTGCCATTGTATTCTCGAGCGTGTTGACGACAAACAACGCGTGCCAAAAGCTCCTCGAACACATCAGGGGCTCCAATGAAGGTGAACATCCCGTTCGGTCTCGAGAGCAGTGACCTGACCTTGCAGTGCCAGCTCCTCAATCTCGTCGAATCATTCAGTCGAGGTGCTTTTCCAGCTCGATAGTGTCGGAGACGACGCTTTTGACAATTCGTGGGGTAGGTGTGCTCACCTTTTGTCATGCTCGGGTGGCAAGAAGTGGACAATGTCGATATCATGTTTGAGTCCGATTCTTTTTGGGTACGAGCGCTACATAGCTTCGTTCCGCCCAAGCTTGTACTATCGTCCGCTGCGTGTGTCAGTGGTGCATGGCGCTCTAATCATTGAGTCCAGGGCTAGGAATAGTATAACCGTGAACTTGATTTAGTTGAAAGAGTTGACTCCTTCATCCAAGGTGGATTGTGGCTTGCCGTACTATCTGGCACATCAAAATTGTAGGTAGAAACCTCTCCATCCGGTTTCCATCTTTCATGGGCGAATTTCTCACTCTGCAATCAACTTTCGATGTGTCAGCACAAATGCATCGGTCCATGGCGGGAACTACTGCACTACTAATGCGTTGCAGCGGAGATCGTCTTCTCTGTCACGCATTCTAATGACAGCCCTGGTATCGTTTGCGAGCTGACGACTGTTTCCTCCGGTCACGATTGAGTGGCAAAGTTAGAACTTTTGTTTCTGCGTACACATCACCAAGACAACAATTACCCCGAATGCCTCTGTTTCAAGGCTACTGCGGTCGCGGCACTCATAGATCGCGCACTGAATGCAAGTCTGGAGCTTCATCCATTTCCCAGGCTCGGTACTTGTCCGAGGACTACCACGACACTCTCCAGGCCTCGCCGTCAGCACTATTACAACCTTTGATTCAACCATTCCGTCGCTAAACACAACGGGGTGTTGTTGCGGCGCTGACATTGGCTTCAGCCTTCAGACTTTCATGCAGGGTATTTTTGCCAACACGGAGACTTGGAACACAGCAGGGCCATGTTGGCCGAAAGAGAGTTTCAGCGGCCCTTACGGTTGTTTCTTGAACGTCTGCTGCTTTCTTTCGTTCTTTCATTATCGCATAGGCTTGTCTTTACTTTGTCACGATGTCGTTCTCATTATATCTTTTCATATTTGCTTCTCTTTCGAAAGCCGTGTCTGCTTCGGCTTTCAATGAAAGATCAACGACGTCTATCTCGTCTGTCACAAGTGCACAATGGTCTTCACTGAACACTAGTGTCAACGGGAGACTCCATGCTGGATACCCATATGCCAAGCCTTGTTACAGTTTCTACAATGGCAGGCCCAGTCCGCCCAACGCTGGCCAATGTTCTGCGGTTGTGAGTGGATACGATGAAGAAGTCCCTATCGCATCCAACTTCGGAGCCTACATGAACGAGAATTGGGCAGGCTGTCAAGCAAAAGCACAGAGCTGCGCCCTCGATTTCTTGAAGCCAGACGACCCAAGCTACTTCTCTACACCACACAACTGCTTCCAGGGAAGCGTTCCGAACTACTACATTGATGTGCGGGAAGTCTCGGATGTACAAGCAGCTCTGAAGTTCGCGGACTCTACTGGTGTACCACTCGTCATTAAGAATGCAGGCCATGACTACAAGGGTCGATCCAGCGCTCCAAACTCACTGGCTTTATGGATGCATAATGTTCAACCTCCTCTCATTCGAGATCGAGAATTCACACCTGAAAGTTGTCCATCGTCTGCTGGCGACTCTGTTACGATGGGGACCGGACAGGGCTTTGGAGGTAAGCATTCAGATTCGTAAGGTCATCCATGGTCTTGCTGATCTGACATTCCAAGATCTCTACGACTTTGCAGAAGCCAACAACATCACTCTCCTTGGTGGCTCCAGCTCAACCGTAGCGGCCGCTGGTGGCTGGGTTGCAGGCGGAGGACATGGTGCACTTTCCCCCTTGTACGGACTTGCGGTAGACAACGCATTGCAGCTGAAGGCCGTTCTTCCAAATGGCACATACGTCACTGCGAACAGATGCCAGAATCGAGATATATTCTATGCTCTACGAGGTGGCGGGGGGAGTACCTTCGGAGTGACGATGGAGATGACAATGCAGGCACACCCGCAGGTAAGTCTTGCAGCAAGTGGACGACTTAACGTATCGAGGCTGACCTGGGAAGGTAACCGTACAAGTGGCCTTGGTGCGATTCACATCCCAAGATCTTGGCCCTGTCAACGACTTGATCTCCATCTGCACGCAAAACGGCGCTCGATGGAACAATGAACGTTGGGGAGGCTACATTTTCCCAGGAGCCGCAGGTGCCCAAACGACCTTCTTCTTCGTGAATCCAGTCCTCACGCATGCTCAAGCCGTGGAGAGCATGAGACCAATAACCGACTTCGCAACATCCCTGGGCAACATCACCACATTGAACCTCGTCATCACACAACCCTCCTTCCCCGAGGTCTTCAAGACATTCATTTTACCAGGCGCAGAAGCAGTGGGCCTCAGCGAAACAATAGCATCGCGGCTCATCCCTCTGAGTCTCATGGAGACTCCAGCTGGCCAACAAACCCTCGCCGAAGCCATCGTCAAAGCCGGAGATATCCTCGCCAACGGCGTCCAAAACAACAACACTGAATCCCTCCTCCAAATCCTCGCCGTTGGTCCGGGAAACTTCAAGCCCGATGGAACGAGCTCAGTCACTCCCGCATGGTACCAAGCAGGCTGGCATATCATCGCCGGACAGGGCTTCCCCAATAACGCCAACTACAGCACCATTCAGAAAGCCTTCCAAACTGTACATGAATCAGCGCAGGTTCTGCGAGACATCACGCCTGGCTCAGGGGCTTATCAGAACGAAGCGGATGTGTTCGAGCCACATCCGGAGCAGTCATTCTGGGGGTGTGAGAATTATTTGAGATTGTCGATCTTGAAGAGACAGATTGATCCGAAGAATCTTTTGACGTGCTGGGGGTGTATTGGGTGGGATAGGGGGGATCCTAGGTATGGTTGTTATCCGACTCTGAACTGAGCCTGATCTACCCCTCCCTATAGAAAGCAACGTCTTTGCAGCCTAGGTAGCAGAGAACGGAGAACCAGCGACCTTGCGTCGATTCTTCAGAACCCCTGCCTCCACGTCCTATACAACACATCGTCCACAAGCAGATCCACCTCCACCCCAACCGCACTCTTCGCCGTCAACGTATAATTCGAGCAGATATATCCCGCGTCCCTCGCTGGGTCACCCTGGTGGAACGCCAACGTCCCATACACAGCTTCAGAGGGCGTATAGCTGACATCGTAATCAAAGTCCTTCTCCGGTCCATTAATTACAGAACCCGTCGGCACACACTTCGCAGTCACATGGATGTTGCAAGGTGCAGGGACTAGCTGGGAGGCGTGCAGGGCGCAGGCGCAGTGGAAAGAGTAGAGATTCCCAAGGGGGTACTGCCATGGACCGCCGGGCTCTGTGCCGTTCGTGTAGCCGAAAGTGACGATCCCTTTCTTACCGGAGGCGAGACGAGCGAAGTTCGGTAGCGAGTAGGGGTGGACGTGAGGGATGGATGGAGTGGTGCTGTCAACGTTTACGGTCTCGAAGTTGTGCCAGTCGGCGGATTTGTAGATGCCTACGGGTTGGTTAGGTGGGAGGTCGTCGAACTGGAAGACGGCTTAGAGAAGAATGAATGGGCAAGGGAGGAGATGAGGAGTTACCGTAGCGTTGAAGGGGGAGCATTGGATGCGGCCACTGCTGGCGATCTGGCTGCCGCAGACGTCGCATTCCCATTGTGGGATGTTGAAGGTCGAACAGTAGGAGAGGGCTGTGGCTAGAGAGGCGAACAGGCTGAGAGACACTGTCGCGAGTGCGAACTTGGAGTTCATCATCTTGAATGTGATCGGCTGAAGGTAGCTAATGGTGGACAGCAAGACTTATATCTCAAAGCATGCGGCGCCCGCCATTTTAGACGGCTCACGTACTAGTGAGCAAAAGTTGCGTTCTTGAGATGATCCTCACAGAGGCGCCATTTGCTTTCACTCCCACTTTGGAAAGCTATGGATCGAATCCCCGTGCTATTGGGCGGCGAACGATCCTTTCGTGAAAAGGGCCGAGGCAGTCTTCCCCTCTCGAAGAGCACCACGTTCGTATTCGAGGTCTTCATGGCTTGTATCTAGTTACGTCTCTGCACAGTGACAAGCTTTCGCTTGTTGTTGCTAAGCATGTCGTATGCACGAGAGCTGCAGCTTCTTTTTAGGGACAGCAGACACGTGATTTGTGGGTCTGCCTCTTTCGCGATGAGGAAAGTGCTAGTGAGTACTTTCGGTTTGCTCTCAGGCATTGATGCTATGAGCAATGCTTCATGTGTTTGTTGAGATGATAGATCGATAGCAGATGGAGCAAACTTCGACTCGGCATGTTGTCATATATTGGTCGGCAAAGCTGGCACCACACGGTGAGACGTCTTTTTCGGTAAGGTCTCACTAAAAGATCTAACTCACACCATCTCCACTCCAAATTGATAACTTTTCCGTGGACGATCCTCGACCAAAGATCATGCCACCAGGTGACCAGATCGAAATGCAACCAGTGGGTTCGAAGAGCACAGCGGCATCTTCAGCAACAGCCAATGACGCAAAAACTCCTATGGCAGCTCGTTCGCAAGTACGTAACAGAGAAGAACCAGACCGAGTCGACAACGCCGTATGCCGATCCTGCAAAGACAAGACAAACTCGAAAGGTCGACTGATGACGCTCTGCAACTGCGAGGGCGCCAATAAACTCGTACATTGCGAATGCGCACTGCAAACGATCCTCCATTCCATCAAACTGAAATGCAACATCTGCAAGACGGAGTTGGCAATGTCGCAGGTTCGTCGGCGTCAGACGCCAGGTCAGGGAGCGCAGGACTCCAAAGGAAATTATGCAACCGCTACGGCCACACACCAAGCTCGGACTGGAGAGGGCATACGGCCAGGAGACGGCGCTAATGAAAGAGCGCTTTGGTTGCGGATCTTGATCAAGACGTTGAAGATTGCTGGCGCGGTGTGCAAGTGCGTGTTCTACCCTCCGCAGCCAGACTGGGATGAGCTTCCGCCCCGGAGGCCTGTCACTCCAGTCCGAACTGGCGGCAAGACCTCGCCGAAGGGTTCCTTATAGCTTGCCATTCTTGCTTGGCGATCCGGTCTTCGAGAATTGTTTCGCTTCTCGGATGAAGCGTTCAGACAGTCGAATGCCATCGATGCTCTTGTCATCGCGGTGTTCTCGCTCATACACCACTCGATCCTTCCAAGCCTTCAGATCAGGACCAAGCCATTCAGTGATAGCTTGTGCACAGGCTGTAGGAACCTCAAAAGGACACAAGTGGCCAGCATTCTTCAAAAGTGCTTTGGCGACTTTCCCTTCTTTTGCGCCTCCGCTGCCACCAATAGCTATGCCCGTCCGAGCAACATTCTGGTCGTGGGACTGAGAAGAAGCGGCAGTATACTGAGGGAAGACAAACAGCACGTCTGGTCGAATGCGAGGTAGCATCTCCATGGCTTCGAGACCCTCTGGTCGATAGAAGGGACGTCCGGCGGGGTCGGCGTCAGGATACTTAATCCAATCAGTCTTGCTCTTGGTTCCGTCTTCATTTCCCTCATCAAGCTGTGTCCTGCCGTAGCTCCATGCTTCGTTGGCTTTCGTCGTGCGCAATGTGACTTTTCCCGGCTCAGGACAGAGTAACGTAGGAGTACCCCTCAGTCCGAACTCCATCCACCTTTGAAAAGCACGTTCATCCCAGTTCTTGAACGCTTTCTTGAATCCTTTCTGAGCCACTTCGCGCGAAGGAAACAAATCTGGCTTTGTAGCTGCCATCGGGATAAGACGCTGGCCAGTGGCCATAGTGTCCATGCCCAAAATCGGGTCAAGTAGAACCAGCGATGAGAACAGTCGAGGATGCATGCAGCTGAGGCGTATAAGAGCCGCACCACCTATCGAATGGCCAACACCAACGATTGGCGGGATCATGTGTTCCCGGAATACGTTCGTCATGTGCAGAATATCTCGCGCGTAATCTGAAAACGATGGATCGTCTCCTAGTGTTTGCTCGTTGAGCACGCCGCTAGCATTCTGGTTGCTTGCGTCTGCAATCCAGATTGATCGAATTCGAAAGCCGTGGGAGTCAGAAAGAGCAAGCATATCATCCCACAGCGGTTCGTAGAGCTCCTTGGGGAAGCTGGTTGCGTGCAGGCCGATGATTGTGACATCGCCATCCCGGGGATTCTGGTTTGCAAGAGGAATGTATTGCTTCGCTTCGAGGCGTTGGATATCGCTGTCGCCATGCCTCGTCGCTCCTGGATAGTGCCGGATGTGTTGGGCATCGAAAATGTGCGTCTTCACGGCGAAGTGGGAGGCTGACATTGCCGCGGTCATTATATTTCTTTTGCGAAGGCTAGGTATGCCCTGACAAGGGTAATACTCTGCTCTGGAGAGAAGCAGGTAGCGTCTTCATATCGAGGTCTCTCGCAGGTTTCGCTCGCAATATGCCCTAACAGTTTGACGTGGTCTTGGGATCATGCCACATAGGCTGGGATGAGCTGTTTGGTTCAGGTGGCTGGGAAGTCTCGTGCCTGGATGCTTGGCGCATCCTTGCGAAGACCGAACCCTAACAAGCTCTTGTTAGCTCATCAGTCGCAGAAGATACCCAAACCGACTGGTATGTTGCTTCATAACCGATATGGACAGGATCGATTCAGATCGCTGAGTGAATTGTGAGACGTCGCCGCTGCATCCGAGAGATACATATGCAAGATCTGTCTTGGAAGTACCAACAACCACATGATATTTGGCAATTGTCAACGTCATGAGCAATAACCGCAATTCACGATACTCGAAAGCCTTTAGTCTTGCTTGATAGTCCATTTTTGACAAGCCTCGAACAAGTTCTTGAGTTCGGATGGCACATACTCCATGATCAGCGCAAATCCTTCCTTGCTACTCTGATGGAACATCTGCAATGTGGTCATGAAGTAGAAGTCAGCGTAGCAGGGCTGGCTACCCAAGAGGAAAGGCCCTTCGTCCACTTTGTGAGCCTTCAGAACCCGTGAGCATTCCTCAAATGCAGGCTTGGCTGCGACAAAGTGAGGTACAGGATCTTTGCTCTTGTCGAAAGCCACCTCAACAGTCATACCAAAGCGTCTAGCCCGGTCGGTTTTGAACCACTCCAGGTCTTCCAGTGATACCACTTCAGTGGCGTAAGGCATTAGAGGGACGGCGAGCGCCATGAAGACCTTTCCCATGGCACCATGGGCCTCCTCCTCGAGTTTCGGGTTGAGCCTGAAAGAAGGGCTTGGATAGCGATATTCAAGCTCTTTGGCTATGGCCGCTGAGTCCATGACATACGTGCCATCGGGGAAACGGACTGTTGGCACGCTGAATTCGGACCAACTGCCTGGAGGGTGCGGTTCCACGCCGCTGACGGAGATTCTTAGCATTTGATGACAGAGACCTTGTCAACACATACAAAGACTTGATGGTCTCTTGAAGACGAATGTATGGAATCCATTCGGTCTTGTACGGGACGCCCTTGAAGTTCAATGCGAGCCTGGCTTTACGTATTGACACACGTTGGTCAACATGTTCCCCCAATATCTCCTACTCTGGTTGTAGCAAGACACTTACTCTTCCACACATTGCCGGACCAGCTTCGACAAGGCGCCTGGCTTGGCAGGTCGTAGAGAATGATTTCCTGAGACATTATCGAGTTGTCCTTGATACGAAAAGCTCGACAATTTCACAAAATTGGGTGAGATGAAGGAAGAGAGCGCTCAGTCACCCGGCCAATGTTGTTGAGACACTGACAGCACTCGTCCGAACAGGGCGTTCGAAAGGGTGTAATGTGCGAGCGGGAGTGTCCGACAGCACCATATGTAGGGTTCTAGTTTTCCTCATCCATATCTTGTTGACCGTTATCGAGATGGTGCTCTTTTAGAACTCAAAGGACGGCGTTGTGTCGAATAGAGAGGTCGTCGCGACGCAGGCTTGGAGGGTCGGAAAAGGATGGGCAGGATGTACGCTTGTGCCGCCATATGCGTGACGAGCTTGTACACGCGTTCACGCCTGCTGAGGTTTCGCTTTTTCGGGAGCAAAGATTTCCAAAGGCGACTCGCACCAATCTTTCGTCCATTGTTGACAAGTTGTTGCAAGGGACCTTCACGCGAAAGTGACACGACCGTGAAGTTCCGACTGTCCTCTGATCCGTGCGTGCTGGGCGTTTTGACCTCACCTCACCTGCTCATCTGCTCACCTTCTCTCTCTCCTCTTCTCGTCCCGATCACAAAGCAAAGCAATTTGCTGATTGACTCTGAGATACGCCTTGCGAGCATTAGTTGCATTTGAGTCGTCTTTACCAAGACTCTGATCCAAAGGAAGCCTACTTTGAAGCCCGCCCTGAGCCAGGGCATCACAGCAGCATCTGAGCGGAAAGATGTCATATCAACCTATTTCGGCCATCCTAAGACTGGAGGATACGACATGTACTGGGACTATGGTCCACTGACGTCTCAGCCGAAGTTCCGTCTTGCTTCTTGTCATGGTGGAGACATGCAAGTCCAATGCTATGGACACTGGAAAGGATGCCTCGTCGATGAGAGGGAGCTTTTCTTACGTCGATTTTAAATATGGGAGGCCACCATGTCTTCGTACACCGTGATTGTCAAGGGAGTATTGAGTTACCCTGACAAGTGTTTCCCGCGTGGCAGAAGGGACATGTTCGAGGTGGAATGGTATCCACATTCCAGGCACAGCAACAATGTTATCCTCAGACCCCTTTTCATCTGCTGGCTTGGCCTGCTTTTGACCTTGAGAGACCTGTAACAGAACATTTTCCAGAACCATGCGCAAGTTGGCGATTAACACAGCAATGTTACTGGCGCTGGCCTCAACAGCGGCAGGACAATCTCGTAAGTTTTACGTACACCAGTCTCGGATTCTGTACATCGCTAACTTTCACCAAAGAGGTTGTGATGACGATCGCTGTGCCGTAGGTTGAGGAACCAGACATGACCTGTGAAAGAGCTAACTCGATTTCAGATACTGTCCGACCTATTCTTCATCACTAGCACCGTACTCGTCTATACTACCTGACTACTCCAGCAGCGCCTTGAGCTATGGCTCCATGATACCGCCAGTATCACAGACAGCAAATACAGGAGCATCGATTTCGCAATCGCCATCAGCCGTACAACTTTCTACATCGTCTTCCTCGAGCATAGCTTCACCATCTTCGACTTCCTACATCGATCGATACGGACAAGTGTATGAGCTATACACGAACACTGGCATCAGTGGCAATACAATCGAAGCAGAGCCAGAACGGATAAGAAGACGACAGGCGAGCGGACCATCGTTGGGCTCGACTCTTGAACTTTGCCTAGAAGACTGCAGCGCCACTGCTCAATGTCAAGCAACATCGTATCTGGGAACAAGCTGCTTGTTATACTCTTCAGTCCGCGGGTCAACATTCCTCCTCGGCGGTGTAGCTGGATTCAATGTTGCACGCTTCAACGGGTTTGCGAACGACACAGGGGATCTGTCAACGTCTTCGACAAGCTCTGTACTTCGATCTTCCGGCACAACCTCGATAGATGCGACTGCGGTGAGCAGCCTGAGTAGCACCAGCACTGACATCTCATACTACTCAACAACGACTGCCCGCGGCGCTACGAGTGGGTCTGCTGAAGCTTCGACCAGACGTCCTTCAAGCAGAGCAAGTACGCAAAATCCCAGCTCCTATACTTCGAAGGTGTCCGTGACCTCCACGGCTGTATCAAAAGTCTCTAAAGCGTCAGATGTTGTTATCTCCACCGCAGTCGTCACGCCGATTCCTGCCTCTTCATCGACAAACTCGGAACTTTCTTGGACGCCAACAGATATCACCTCTAGCTCTACTTCGGCACGTGCATCAGCGTCTTCGTTCCAGCCGTCGACTTCCCGTGATGCACTGAGTTCAAACTCAATTCCATCGAACTCTGCCGATCTCTTCAGTTCATCTGCAGCTAGCTCAACTCTCGCTGGAAGCTCTTCTACAACAACGTTTGAAGATGCATCGCAAACATCGGCGTCGACACAAGATGCGGAACCTTCGCCTGAGCGATCGTCGACTGCAATCGGTGGCACAGAATGGTCGTCTGGAAGCGTCACGGTCAGACCTTTTTCTTCGACAACGCCGTCTTCAACGTCAAGCGAAACGACACCTGGGTCAACAACTTCTTACAGCTCGGTAGGGATGTCCAGAAACTCCTCTGCAATGTCTCCTGGCAGTACCTCTCTGGCGGCGATGTCATCGTCGCCCTCGGTGTCTACTCCAAGCCCAGCCACTTTGAGCACATCATCCACACAATGGACCTCAGTGACGCCAAGCACTGCTGGACCGACCATGCTCTCAAGTTACCTCAGCAGCCTATACGCTTCCTCAGACTCGACCACTCTTACGAGCAGCATATCGATTACAACATCAAGTAGAAGCACGAGTGCAGCCGCATCCAGCAGTCAGGCGAGGTCGTCGTCTCGATTCTCATCCTCGCGGACCATCCTGTCCACCGAAGCACTCCTTCAGTTCAGCTCGGCATCCTTGTCCGCGTATGCCTCACCATCTTCCGCAACAGCGGCAGCTCCTTTAGCAACACCTGTTCAGAAGAACGGCAAGCGTGGCCTGGCATACACAAACGCCTCGTTCACACTACCGTACTCCCTCTCCGGGCAGAACTCCCGAGTGTCATGGGGCTACAACTGGTACTACTCACGCTATACCGATAACGTCAACACCACGAACCCAGCAATTCGTTTCATTCCCCTCCTCTTCAACGATGCCGAAGACGTCATGTCCGTCTGGCCTGAAAAGGCCCAAGCAGCAATCGACAACGGGGCAGATGCCCTGATGTCGTTCAATGAGCCTGATGTCTGCTATCCCGGCTCGGCCTGCATGACAGTCAATCAGTCCGTCACCGCATACAGAAAAGCAATGCAACCTTTTGCAGGCAAGATCCGTCTCGGTGCCCCAGCAGTCACAGACGGCGGAGCGCCCATAGGTCTGACCTATCTAAGCGAGTTCATGGGCAACTGCACCGACTGCACCGTCGACTTCATCAACATCCACTGGTACAACAACGTCTACGCTTTCAGCTACTTGCAATACTACGTCCAGCAAGCATACAAGCAATTCGGTCTCCCCATCTGGATCACCGAGTTCGGCATCGACGGGAGCGGTGGTACGGATGCTCAGTATCAGGCTTTCCTGCAGCAGGCGTTGCCGTGGCTGGATGCCGTGCCGTATGTCGAGCGCTATGCTTGGTTCTTGGATGCCCCGGGATACCTGATAAATGCGAATGGGAGTGAACTGAGTGCCCAAGGAATGATCTATAATTCTTATACTGCTGCTTGTCCGAACTGGAATAACACTGATGGGCATTGTTAGATAGGTCGGATAGGAGATAGATTACGGTGTTTGTTCACATTCTCTCGGGATCTGGACCTTGATGTTGTTCGTTTCTCATTATCTGACGAGTTGATCGATCGCTCTTCTAGCTGATTCGTCTTCACATCGCATGCGGCCGCAACGAATACCGCCCGTCATCGTTACGGCCAATGACAAACGTGGGAGCCGGCGCTGGAGAAGCGCTTCCAGACGAGTCTGCACTGAACCAAGTCGGCACGCTCAGCCGATTCTGCTGCGAACCCGACAACCTCTTCTTCCTAGGCGGATGCGGTACTTGCGCCTCCAACTGCGCCTCCGCCGTCTTGCACGCAACTATCCTCCCACTCGAGTCCATAGTATACGTGTCTGACCCATCATCTTCACCCATGTCTCTTTCCCAGTCGTCCCATTCGTTCATGCGGTCGTAGGGGTGTTGGGCGGCTTGTCGTCGTTCTTTGTTATCGAGGTTGGACAGTTCGGCGACGCTGTGGATAGGCTTTTTGCCTAGAGAGGTACTTGGGTGAGAGGCGACTGTTTCAGACGATTCTCCTATGAAGCGTGGAGCGACGTGGCGGAAGAAGAGGCGCAGGATGGGGAGGCAGCCGCATATGATTACGAGGTTGGCTTCGATACAGCTGGTCGCACGTCAGCTTTGAGGTAGTCATGCTTGAAAGTAAGACTCACATCCAGATGGCGGGAGTGCTGATGGCCCAAGTCGTGTCTGTTGCTGTAACCATCGGTGGAAGTAGTGATAGTCTGACGAGGCTGGTCACCAAGGTACTGAGTTCCGGGAGTCAGCAACAGGTCCTTACAATCGAAGAGCGTGCTCACAGTGATCCAATGCCAAACATCAAGATCAGCCCAACCTTCTGAATGATTGGAACGTGCAGTTTGATGATCATCGGAATAGGTAATACAAGGAGTATCACATCCGTTGCTGCGTTAAGGCCAGCAGTCGCGAGGTAGAGTTGTCCTTTGTTGACGCATGAGCCAACGGTAATCGTAATGTCCCAGTTCTTATCCAGCGGCGTGCAAGCGAAGACGAGAGCGAGACCCAGGGCAATGCTGTAGCTGATGATGAATGCCATCACGGCATAGACAGCGTATTTGAACCATCGCTCCACGGAGAGCTTTCAGTAGAACAGAAGCAGAGATAGCTTCGCCAGGGCCATCAGGGGGATGTATAATATCGAGCATACTGAGATGAGCTGGCTGCTGTCAGCGGGAGGAGTCGTCAGGTATAAGTCAAAGGTCATACAAGAACAGCCAGATTGACATGTCCAGTCGTGAGGTTCCACATATGTACGCCAATGTACTCGACGGCCCAGAGCCCTGCAGAGTACTATCAGACAAGACGAAGCTGGAAGAATTCGAGGGGCGATGACTTACAGACGACCATTATCTGAAGGCCAATCGAGAGCATCTTGTACCTGGTCAGTAAGATCATAACGAAATGGCGCACAAGGATCGACCCAGGCGAACAACATGGCAACTGCTCAACAGTCAGCTTTAGATGACCTATTCTCTGTCTGGATCTCTTACCATCGTCCACGCCAAAATTGCGAGCGAGATGTGCTTTTGTATACACCCGTAATATTATGAACAACGTCGACACGACCATACCAACGATTGAAATCGTGATGCCAGCATTGATATGCTTCGTCTCTGGCGGGTTGATCAGGTCCTGAGTGTATCCAGGCGGAGCAGTAGCCGCTGGCAAGTCAGCCAATCTGGTGGAAGACATTGTCGTCGCTCTCGTCCAGCGGGGGCGACGCCGTCAATGCTGTGTTATCGCTTTGTCCTCATAGACTGTGCTCGAACACGCAAAGAGTAGACCGAGTCAACGAAGACACATTTCGAGATGTCGCGATTACCCTTGACCGAGGTCGCAGTAGAGCAGCACATGATCCATTGCCTAGATTCTCCAAGGACCTGGGTCGATGCAATCACTGGCATGGCACAGACGATACGACTTTCCTAGTAGGGTTCATCTCGAACGTCCTGCATTGGGCATTGTTCCTGCAGCAACATGCTTGGATAAGGTGCATAAGCGATCCGACAGACAGTCGTAGGATGCACCGTTGTAAAGGGCCGTCGCCGTGCCTGTCGATCAGCGGTGTTGGATTTGTGGGCGTCTGGAGAAGGAGGCGAGCAGGCTCGAGCGGCTCAACGACAATAATGTATTCTGGGTCTTGGGTCGAAACCTATGCTCGTTTTGTCGATGACGGGGAGACACGCGTGCTCGTGGACTGCGGCACCTCCACTTGAATAAGTCTTTTAGCCTCGTGAACAGAATCCTTCAAATTAACGAGTGGATCCGGACAATGGCTCCAGCAGCTCCCTCTTTTCTTCTCGCAACATCCAATTCGAAACTCCTTTTGTTGTGTTCGTAAGAATGGAGCTTCCATCAGACGGCGATGACAAACATTCAAAGCCACCTGTTGATCCGAGTGGCATCGTGTTGTGAAGCACGTGGAGGTCGCTATCAGTGGTCTAACTTGACCCCTGTGAGTCGTGCGAGGCGACACTTCGGTGGTTGGGCTTTGCAACAACACGATTGGGCATGGCCTGGACACTTGAACTTCCAAAGCCTGTCTTCGCTTGGAAACCCACAAGCCGAATTGGCACGAACACCGTTGATCGAAATCATGGACATGGTGCAGACGGCGTATTGAAGCGTTGGCCGACATGGAGCGCGCCGCAACAGAATGATGCACGAGCACCGACGTCAGGGATCGAGCCTGTAGTTTGCCTCGCATCTGACTTCCACACTCTTGCGTGAGCCTTGCTTTCGTTGGGTCACCGTTCGTTTTGGAAAGATGAGGCTTCTTGCTGCCGCAGCATTTGCAGGCCTGAGCGTGGCTGCCGAGCAACAACAAGCTAGCCACTGCGTATGCATTCTCATGGACGGAGTAATGCAGCGCTTGCTGACGATGTTTCATAGTGCGAGGCTTTGAGGAATGCAGGTCTGGGTGAGCGGATACTGGAGCCGGACCATGAATCCTTCAGTGCTCGCCTCGACAACTACTTCTCCCAAAGCGCAAAGCTGTCGCCACACTGCTTTCTACAGCCCCAGAATGCTCAAGAGGTATCTCAAGCTGTGACAGCGCTCGTAGAGGCGAACAAGACCACACCATGCGAGTTCGCAGTTCGAAGTGGTGGCCATATGCATTTTGCCGGTGCGGCTGGTACTGATAAAGGAGTCACGATTGATCTTCATCAGATGTCATCTGTCGTGCATCATCCGAGCAACGACACAGTCTCAGTCATGCCAGGCGCTGTATGGGGTGATGTATACAAGGCTCTCGACAAACTTGGTGTAATGGTCGTGGGAGGCCGCTCATATACGGTCGGAGTTGGCGGTTTGGTCATTGGAGGTGGCAACTCTTACTACGCTGCACGCAAGGGGCTTGTTTGCGATAATGTGGCCCAGTTCGAAGTCGTGTTGGCGGATGGTAGCATTGTGACTGCTAATCAAAACGGGCACAGTGACCTTTTTCAGGCACTGAAAGGCGGCTCCACGAACTTTGGAATCGTCACTCGCTTCGACTTGATGTCATTCGAAGAAGGCAATGTCTTTGGAGGCTTGGTCCTGTATCCAGAGACCACGCACGAGGAGCAATTCGACGCCCTGCTCAACTTCGGCGACAAAATCCAGGAAGACCCCTTCGGCTCTGCGATCGTGATAAGTGTTTACATGTCAGCAATGAAAGTCCCACTCTTCATGAATGCGTACGACTATACCGAGCCCGTCGACCGACCAGCTGTATTCCAGGAATTCTTCGCCATTCAAGGCAACATCTCAGATACCACAGGAATCAGGAACATGACCTCACTCGCCGAAGAGCTCGAACAGCCCAAAAGTCATCGGATTCAGTTCAGTACGCTGACATTCAAGAACGACATTCGAGTCTTGAAGAAAGCGCACGAGTTGTTCAAGCAGACCATCGCAAGCCTCGAAGAAAAGGCGAAATTTGACTTCAAGGTTCTTGCGCTGTATCAGCCTGTCCCGACACTGTTTGCGGAGCACGGCAAAGCCAACGGAGGAAATGTCCTGGGTCTTGATCGGTTTGACGAGACTCTTATTAGTAAGTGCAACATGTAACGCTGTCGAATGACCCGGCTGCTAAACGATATTGATTGCAGTGTATGAATCATACTTCGCCTGGGAAGACTCCAAGGAAGATGAGCTGTTCGAAAGCCATGCACAGAAGCTGCGAGACGACATCTCGGAATATGCAGCAAGTGTCGGTGCTGATAATCCTTTCATCTACCTGGACTATGCAGACATTAGCCAGAGACCATTAGAGAGCTATGGCTCTAAGAACGTGGCAAAGATACGTGCCGCTGCAGCAAAGTATGACCCAGAGGGGGTGTTTCAACATATGATGCCAGGTGGCTTCAAGATCTCACAGGTTCGTTGAAAGCCCACTTGCAGAGACTGCAAACATTCTGATCGATTTGAAGGTTGACCCTAGAATGGGTGTTGTCCCTGACAAGCCTCGACATGATGAGCTATAATCGATACTTGCGACGTTGATGGCGAAAGCGATAATGCTTCGGCGCCAGCAGATGCAAGTGCTGTGACAAGCACTTGAAGACACTACCACCACTTTCGGTCAAACCAGGCGACCTCGCGGTCGGCACTCGCTGTGCCGCGTGCTCATTCGAATGACACGAAGTCGATCTTTGTTGCTTGATGAAAGCCAAGTCTTCCGTTCCAAGGCATAACCTCATTTCTTGTTCCACTCCTGCAGGAGAACTGCAACGACTGCCACTTTCATCTGAGATCTGGCTCCATCATCCACGGGGCCAGCTTGATGTTGTTTGGCTCCGTGTGTACATGCAGCGGCTTCTTGGTAGTCCTCGATGCTGGCGCCTTGGCAACCTTTTTGGGAGCCTTACTTAGAGCAGGCACAATCCGTCGTGCTTGATGCATCTCGTCTCTGGCAAAAAGCTGCACGGCTCGTAGGTGGGTGTCTTTGCCGTTTTGGTGGTTCTCAAGGATTTTGACCTGGACCAGAAATGCTCGGAGCGCAGGCCGTTTGCTCCAGTCGACTTCTTTTACTCCCTCATCTGAAGTGTTCTCATCATCGTCTTCGATAGGTCCTACCTCGCTGAAGTCGACATCGATCCAGCCCGTCGGTTGTTCAAAGCTCATTTCTGCGAATTGTTGGATATCGTGGACGCCCATTCCAGCTAGAAACTGGATTTTGGTCGGAGTGTAGGATTCATCGTTTACGAAGTCCAAGAAGATCCTCATGTGAACAATCGAAACCAGTTTGAAGAAGTGGATGCTCAACAAGTGTGGCTGTGGGCCATCCGACTGCCAGTAGAGCGTAGTATCGGGCGATCGCAAGGCGGCGACGCCATTCCCGGGTTTGGCAGTGCTGACAGTCCATGAAGCTAACGACGAAATTTCCTTCAATCCAGGGGGCGGAAAGGGCGCGTCGTCGAAATCGATGCCATCTGTGGCACATGACTCTTAGCCTACTGCGCGTAAGACACCATTAGAAAGAATTTCTACCTTGAACCTCTTCATCTTCGTCTGCCTCGCCATCATCCTCGACTTCTTCCTCTTCGGCCACCTCCGCGGTTTGTTGTGCTGGAAGGTCGAGCTCGTCGCTGGGGATGTCGATGTCGGTCATGTCCACGACAGCCACCCGCTGATTGCGCGGATTCCCATGGTTTCTGTTCGCCATTTCGAAGCAATCAAGGCCGCCGCATGACGAGGTTGTAAGCACAGTGGATGCAATAGCCCGACGTGATATGCATGAGGAGAGGTCGTTGGAAACAGCCACGGATGTGGTTGCTGGGTCGGAGCGGCCCGTGACTAGCGTGTTTGCACGTACTACTTCCACAGAGTCCTCTCCCACTCCGAAGCAGCTTTCACAACTCTGGCACCCTTTCACGATTCACGCACATGCGGCGTCACCCATCGGCACGCCTTGCTATATATCAATCTGTTATATCACCTTTCAGCGACAAGGTCTATCCATCAACGACTGCATGACGACCCAGCCTCCAACCATGCCCAGGGGTCTGCACCTTATCCTGCGACACGGTCCTGGATAGGCCCTCGTCCATAACGTGTGCCGACTGTGATAGGCAAACATGCTCTTCAAAAAGCCCTGCAATCTGGTCTAAGAGAGTTCACAGCACATGGCCGCTTTGTGAACGCCATAGATCATTCACCAACCTGCTGCACAGCACCACTACGGCCGGACTTGGTCGACTTCACGTTTTGGGCAATCACGGCAGATATAGGCATTGATGCTGAGCCATTTTTGGGTCCTATCGGAAGCATGTCGTGGGATGCAGAGATCTTCAGAGTTTGTCGCAAACAACCACATCTGACTCGCATGGTGCTTCTGGCCGCGTGATTCTGCGCCCAAGACCGAGCTTCTTGGAAAGGCTCCGTCAATGAGGAAGAGTTTTCCGGTGGCCTTCACCGGCTATATGCTATTATTGACACAAAACGCACGCCAGGCAGTGCCATTACGTTGGAAGTATGTTCTAGGTCACTTTCAACTGACTACGAGGGACTCTAGAAGACACGCAGTCAGCCGTCACATCTGCCCCCGGTGCGGCGATGCCGGTAAGTCGCTAGGCCGCTGACTCTGGATGTGACCCCGTTGCACTTGCCACTGAAGGACTGACATGCCTCCTTGTGGGCGTGCTGGCCGCTCTACTTGAGCTCCTTGGGGCACTTGCTCAGCAAGCACGACTTCTGTTCTACCTGTCTTTACGGAGCCAGCGTTCATGATTCCTAGCCATGTCGACTTTCAGCGGAGCCAACCCTGGTGACGCCCGTAATGGCATCTTCGCGGCGGCAGCGCTGTTCCTCAGTTGCGTCTGGGTCACGATTTCTCTTCGAATTTGGGTTCGAGTGACAATCATAAGGAGCCTGGGTTGGGACGATGCCACATTAATCTTTGCTGCTGTAAGCCATTACTCTCAAGCCCTCATGGTGATTGATTCTAACTAGGATCAGATAATCTTCACTGGATACTGTGTCGTTGAGATCATGATCGAGACAGTTGGAGGTGCTCCTCACGCGCAGAACCTGGGTCTTTCAGAGCTCTCGCGACTGGTAGCTGTGAGACTCAGAAAAATCTATTGATCATCATTCACTGATACTTTGCAGCTCACCGTGGCCAGCTTTGATCTATACATCACAGCGATGGTGTTCCTCAAAATATCACTGGGAATCTTTTACCTGCGGTTCGTTATAAGAACATGGGAGAAATACGCGGTGTACAGCACGATCATCATAAGCACCGCGTATGGTGTTTTCCTATTCTTCATTGCACTACTCAACTGCGGGAACCCCTCGAAATACTTGGAGAACGAGCTCAAGGGAATATGCATGCCGAACAACGCAATATACCCGATACAGCTTGCGGGCGCCTTGGTCAACGCATGCACAGACTGGGTGCTAGCCATTATGCCAATATACATCCTGGTGAAGGGAACGATGCCGCTACGTGTCAAGATCAGTGCAGGAGTGGTCCTGTTGTTAGGCTGCACCGGCAGTGTGATATCCTTGGTCCGGATCCAATACATGAAGGGACTTTTGCCTGGCCCGAACTTCTTCAACACGTCGATAGATCTATGCATCTGGTCGATCATCGAATGCGGGCTTGGGATTTCAGCAGCTGCAGCCGCTACCTTACGACCATTGTTCCGAAGCCTCAGAGAACACACCAACGGATACATGAGTTACGGTCGATCGAGGTCAGCCATGGGTTCAGTCAATCAGACACGGTTCACTGATACCATGTTCGGCGACTGGGGCTTTGAACCTCCGCAACATGAGCAAGAGCTGCGTGCTTCCAGAAGCAGAAGTCATATCAGCATCACGCCGATTTTGAAGAACTCACGAGTGATGAGCAAAATGGGCATCACGAGGGAGACAATCGCAGAGCAAGGCTCCCAGTTGATGTCATCTCCAGTGGCCACTGCGAACCAACCGACCCGTCAAAAGAGCAGGAGACTACAGAGTAGACTGAGTCGAATTGAACACACTACGCAACCACAACGCCCCGAAATGGTTCGCCAGCTGAGTGTGAGGGAGAAGGGCATCTCTCGGCCTGTCCCACACATATTCAGTCAAGCTGCACCGCCGACACCAACGGGCGAACACCAGCAAGAGCTTATCAGAATCGACCATCGTCGGAATGGGTCTCCGAACTGGGTGCCAAAGACGAAGCGAACGCCAGACCGATCGTCGAACCCCTATTTCGACTCGCCGAACCCATATCGCTATTCAACACCAACGTCACCTTATGAAGGACGACCATTCTAAGCATGCTGGAGCGGCCACTTGTAAAACGAATGACGAGGTTGAAGTTCACAGCATTCAACAGCAGCAGCGTGCGACCACGACTTGGCGAAACGTCGAATCGTTCGCTACAAGAATGACGGCCAACTGCAGATTTCCGCTTGTTTGTAATAATATCACAACGTGTACATGTTGTATGGATAATCAAGGCGTCCAAGGGTTGATCGAGCATCTCTAGCACATAACGAACTTTTCACAGAACCTCACGTCTTCACTCTTCATTTTCCACCACCATCAAATGCCAAGACCTCACCGACGACACATACGAGTACGCCCTAAAAGACATCTCAAAAGCTCATTCGCCAACAAGACTGTTACCAGGATTTTGAGAGCGCAGCAGTAACAGATCTACGAGCGTACATACGATCGATGTGATGATGTCGACGAAAGGTCCCTTGCGCCATGTCTCGCTGATTCAAGACGCGGCTCCGAAGACATCTTAACAGGATCGTATTGAAACGCTTCCGGTGGCGAGATGCAAGAGGCGAGGAGAGGCACGAGTCAAATTCCGAATCGCATATCGTCAAGGTCTAGAAAGGGTTCCTGGCCGTGGCTGGCGGTCGCTTCAGTTCTCCAGATCTGGTTGTAGGCTGAGCTTGGATGTTTCAGGTCCATGTCCTGAAGGTTTTTGATAGTGCAACGAAGGTTGTCGATCTGCAGGTGGTCGTTTCTCTTCCGCATGAAGACAACAGGTTGAGCAGCTTCTGTACTTCTTTCGATTGCTCTTCGACGTTACTAGCTAAAATTGAGATTCTATGGTGCTGCTTCATCATGAGCATGCGAAGTGTTCAACGACAGCCTCTCTCAGTATCATTGACACGTTGATCCATTCTCACAAGCCAACCTTCCCAAGAAAGTCCAACTTGCCAAGCGGAACGCCCTCCTTCCGCAAGATGTCGTACGCCGTCGTGGTATGGAAGTAGACTGTCCAACGTCAGTATTCGCCGCCCCAGCTATCCCAAACAACATAGTAAATCTCACCATTAACCATAATAAACTCCTGCACAAACGACAAGCCCGTAAACTCCCAAGGATCCCGTCCAGGTGGACCGAACGAGACCTCCTTCGATGCCTTGCCCTCCAACTGCTCCTGACTGACACCGCTCAACAGCTTCTGGATCTCGTCGATCTGCTGGAACATGCCGTTGTAGGTGTCGACGACGGGGATGTCGGTGGGTGCTGGCGCTCCGGGGATGTCCATTCGGCTGAACAAGTAGATGACCATGCGGTAGACGGTCTGCACTTGGAAGGGCAAGGGCTGCATGTCTTCGATGATGCGGGATTTGACGAGGGCGGAAGTTGCGATTTTGTTTTCGTTGCACCATTGTTCGCCTTTTTGCAAGCAGTGCTTGAGCTGTTGGACGCGTTTGGTGAAGATGGGGATAGTGACGTCGTAGAAGGAGATCTCAGACATGTTGACAGAGTGTGTGAGTTTGAGGGTGAAGTGAGATGTGGACAGCTGTGCTGAAAGCTTCTCAATTGAAAGTGTTGTGTGAGCGAATGGAAAGAGATATCGAAGGAGCAGGAAGCTTTCTTTATAGGCTGGGGGCCCTACCTCCGACAAGCAAGCATCCCAAAGGAGCAAGTCCCTAAGAATGAACGATTTTTGGAATCAAAGGACAAGCAAGACTGGTGAGACTAGTCAGCCGGACATAGATAGAGTTGGCCTGAGCCGAAACTCCCAGGTCTGTTCCGACTAGTAAGTCCGCAAGGCAATCGTAGAGTCCATGAATGTCTCTTTGCCGGAAATGATGTGTTGTGTCGTAGAATAGAAAGATCCCTTTGCTAGACGCTTCCAACGACTTTGGATGACTTTCCAGAGGTCCATGAGCGCTGTGTTGGTCTTCTCTCGCTCAACATTCATACAAGAATATCGATTGGAAGCATTGAATAGAAAGGACCTGACCGCCTCGGACTCGGATACCCGGTCCACTGTTCGAGGATGCAAGGGGCAAAGCGTGTACGGCATCTTTCCGGTGGGCAACATGTGACGATTCTTGTCAAGCAGATCGTCGCGTCGGTCGACGCGTGCTGCAGAGCCATTGGTACGTCCCTCGAGGGTCGTTTAGATGTTTTGTAAGCGATATTGATGGTTCCAGTTTGGGTTGTTGTGTGCGAACAGGACGAAGCTGTCAAGAACGCGAGACCGCAAGTTTGGAGGAGCAATTTGAGCGCGAGTCATGCAACATCTCCAGAATCCAAGTTTAACTCGTCCTTGAACCTCAGAATCACCACACACGAACAGCGATAGCCTCTGATCACCATGGACGACCCCATGGACGACATCGACAGACAGGAGGAGTCCGAAGAGGAAGCATACGACGAAAACGCCGACGAAGACTTCAACCCGGAAGCCGCAGAGGTCGAGGCCGAGCAGTCGTCCTCAGACGAAGAACCCGAAGAGAAAGACACAACGAAGAAGGGCAAGAGACCGAAGAAGCGAAAAGCAGACGCAGATGGCGAAGTCTTGAATGCAGAACTCGACTCGGGCGACGAAGCGACGATCCAAGAGCGGAAACGCAAGAAACGGCGGAAAGAAGAGGAAGACGCCGCAGCCGCGCGAGATGAAGACAGCGGTGGCGAGGGAGGGTTCATTCGGACTCGCGCACAGCGGATCGTGGAAAAGGAAGAGCGGAAGAACCGTAAACGTGCGCGAGACGGGCAGGTCACCATCAACGTGGAGCAAGTGTGGAAAGACCTCAGCAGCGCACCCATAGGACGCGCGACGATCGCTGCACCACCACCAGAGACCACGGATGTCGACGAAGACGCAGACGGCAACAAAGAGAACGTACAAGACGAGGGTGATCCCAACGAACTCATAACCATCAAACGCCGAATAGAATTCGCGGGCGAAATCACAGAGGTCGAGGAGAAACACCCCCGTGGCTCGAAAGAAGCCCAAAAATACCTCGCCGAGCACCCCGAAGCGGATCCCAAACATCCCAAACACACCGCGAATCTCGACCCGTCTGGACTGCAAAGACCGCTCAAGAGACCTTCGATTTTCGAACCAAACCCAGCGGGGAATGTGAAGGGCGTGGCGCCGGAGAAGTTGCGACGACATGCGCCTACGAAGACCGAGGGGCTCATGTCGCAGAAGTTGGCGGAGATGAAGAAGAATGCGCAGAAGATGAGTACAGTGCAGAAGAGTCAGTTGGATTGGAAGGGCTTTGTGGATAAGGAGGGTCTGAGGGATGAGTTGGATGAGTATGGGAAGAGTAAGAGGGGCTTTTTGGCGAGGGAGGCGTTCTTGGATCGTGCGGCGGGGGCTAGGGAGCAGGCTGCGAGGGATGCGAGGTCGAGGTTGTAAGAAGTGGGAAGCCGTGTGGGTTGGTGATGCGCAGTTGTGTCGAACCAGTATTGTCATGAGCGGTATGGTCATTGCGTTTGAGATACCCCTGTAGTCGATCGTGGATCGTTGATACGCGAGTGGAAATTCGGACTTGTGTGCGTCTTCACGTGATGCGGCTTTCATGTGAATGTGCCCGCCTTTTTGAATGTCTGGTTTGATATTCGTGTCAAGCCGTTAAGTACAGCCCTATGCACTCGACCAAGCGCGCGAAAAAGTAAAGCAGGTGGCACGTCTCTACCATGACCTGCCTATCGAGGGGACATTGGAGCCATGCCTGGCCGCAACCAACCAACACCTTCCATCCATGCTGTAAAGAATCATCCGAGCCCGCCGTCTATCTGTTGCTCTTGGCCACACGCTCCAACTCGTCCTTCTTCTTGATGGCGTAGCTGTTGCTGCTACCCTTGGCAGCGTTGATGAGCTCCTCAGCCAAGCACTCGGCAATGCTCTTGATGTTGCGGAAAGCGGCCTCGCGGGCACCGATGGTGAGGAGAGCGATGGCCTGGTTGACGCGGCGGAGAGGGGACACATCGACGGCCTGGCGACGAACGGTACCTGCGCTACCGATACGGGTGCTGTCTTCGCGGGGACCGCAGTTGACGATGGCATCGACGGCGATCTGGATGGGGTTCTGGTCGGTCATGATGTGGATCTGAAGCGATTGTTAATGTTTGTGGGTGTGTAGCGAATTTCGTTTCCACGCACAATCTCGAAGGAGTGAGCCACAATGCGGACAGCCATGAGCTTCTTTCCGTTGTTGCGGCCGTTCATCATGAGCGAGTTGGTGAGGCGCTCAATGATGGGGCATTGCGCCTTGCGGAAGCGCTTGACGGCGTACCGACCAGCGGAGTGGGAGATGTAGACCGGCTGCCGGATCTGGATGTAGTCGCTGTTGTACCATATCAGCCATCTGCGCTGCCACCTCAATGTTTCCTATCTCGCGATTCATTCCGCACGTACGTGAGAGAGATGTCCCTAATCTCGACGTCCTCGTAGCTCCACTTGTTGAAGAGCTTGGTCGAGCCGATCTCGTTGGTGACATCCTTTGGCAGGACTGGGTAGGCCTGGACGGCCTCGACTTCGACCTCGCCGTCAGACATGATTGCTGGAATGTGCTGATGGGTGTGATATCAACGTCCAGCGAGACCAGTTGGGCGGTGTTGGCGGTGGTGGGTGTGCTGGATGGTCAGTCTGCGCCTGGTCGTCGAGAGGTGTCGTTACGGCTCAACGTCAGTTTGGAATTTGGGTGCGAGGAGCTCTTGGCAAAGCCGGGCTGACATAAGTCTTGGGCAGGGCTGTTTTGGCAAACTTCGCCCGCACGGCAGCGAGGACTCATCGGCTGGTTACGTTCACGCCTTTTCCACAACCATCTCACCGGGTCAACGAATGACACTACCCTCCTGAACATTCATCCCCATTACTAGTAAGCCATCTAAGCAGCTTGGAGTGCAATTCGCAGCGCAGTCGCTTGTGAAAAGTCGGAGACATAGCACTTCCATTACGGTATAGGACGTTCTACTTTGACCGGAACACCAAGGGTACTGCCTCGAAACAGCGTGGTCCGCAAACATTCTCTCTTCTCAGCTTCAGCAGATGCATGCTGCAGGCCGTCAATCATCACCAATGATCGCTTCTTCCATCACCGTGGCCCGGACAGAAAATCACACTACTCGCCAATATCACTTGAGAATCTGAAAAGGAAATTCAGACGAGATAAGTAATACATGTCTGCTGAGCCGCACGCGTTTCAAATGATGTCGATGGACATAGGGCACCTTGAAAGCAGAACATCACTGGCGGATACACGGCCCTGGAATCTGCCTCTGCACCAAGGACCACCGTCCAGCCTTTAGAGTTCTCCTGACCAAGCTTTGAGGACCGATGAGGTACATCCTGCGGATCCGACGATCGCTTCGTCCTTCGCACACTAGCCCTATATATGTAAGATCGCGAGTGACTAACTGTAACCGAACGTGATGAGAGCACTCCTTCAGCCTGGATATATCTTGGGAGGGGTCAAGGATCCCTGGGCGACATTATTAGCAGACTTACCAAAGTATCGACCGCGCTGACATCAGGCGTGTCTGTCTTCGACCTTCAACAACTTGCTCTCGAGCGCCGTTGCTCGACACCTGTGGCAGTTGAAATTTGAGGATTAGAACTGAAGTCTGGCGGTGTCAATATCATGGCGAACGAAAAAGAAACAGCTACGACCGCGCAAAAGCCAATGGATGTCATCATTGTGAGTGTTTTCTTGGAGCTTCACTGCCAACAGGTCTGACTTTCGCGTTCTGCAGATTGGCGGCTCATGCGCCGGCCTCATGTCTGGAATTCTCTTGAAACGAAAAGGTCACAACGTGCGCATTCTAGAAGTGGCCGTATCATCCGAACGCGAAGCACTGGCAGCGGGTATTGGCCTTCAGCGGGACGTGAAGAGCTTCTTCGAGGTCGAAGATGTGCTGAGGCCGAAGCCATTGGGCGTTGTCAATCCTGGCTTCAGAGTACTGGACGAGAAAATGGACGTGAAGTATCAGCTTCCTGTCAGCCTCAATTTGACCTCTTGGGATGCGGTGTACTATCGCCTACGTGCCAACTTTGACGGCTACTCCAACTTATACAACCCTGAATTGCCGCCTCACGCGCGCGATGCCAAGGAGGGAAGCGTCGAGTTCATCACGGGCAAGAAGGCGCTGAAAGTCGAAGACGTCAAAGGCAGGATGACGGTCTTTGCTGAAGACGTCCGGACTAAGGACAAGACGGAGTACACTGGCGATCTGGTCATCGCAGCAGACGGCACGAACAGCACCATCCGGCGACAGCTGATGCCACGCCTTCAACGTGAAGAACCAGGCTATGTTATCTGGCGAGGCACCATCCCCACCAAGAATCTGTCCCAAGATATACTGGACAAGATCGAGAACAAGCCACTGGTCTGCCCTTACAAGCACAACTACCTTGTGATGTAACCATCCCCAAGCCATTACCACGCTTCCACACATACTAACTCTTCACAGCTACACCATCCCCGGCGAAAAGGGCTCCCTCGAACCAGGCCAACGCGAAATCAACTTCGCCTGGTACTTCTGGCCCAAAGACCTCTCGCTCAAAGACATCATGACCGACGTCGACGGCCACCACCACCGCACCACAATCCCCAAAGGCAAAATGCGCCCCTCCATCTGGCAATACCAAATCGCCCAAGCCCGCCGCACGCTCAACCCCACCATCGCCACGCTGGTCGAGAGCACCCCCGCCCCCTTCGTCAGCGTCGTCTCCTCCATCGCGGCGCCCAAAGCCGCCTTCTTCAACAACCGCCTCTTCCTCGTTGGCGACGCCTTATGCCAACCCCAGCCCAACATCGGCATGGGCACGACCCTCGGCGCGTACACGCTCACCTTGCTCGTCAACCAAGTCATCTGCCCCAGCGACGGCAAACCGCCCCTCGACCCCGACAACGTCGCCGAGTGGGAGACTAAAGTCCTGCAGGAGTGCGATGTCACGCGCTGTCGCAGCGTGGCGTTTGCGAGCTGGTATCTGAACACATGGCCGAAGATTGCAGTGTACTATCTCAGGTATTATTTTAAGCTGTATTGGCAGTATTGGTTTGGCAGGAGGACGAGGGTGTTTACATCCATTGGTAGTAGTAGGTAAAACCAAGATATGTCTCCTGTCCCTGCAATCTAATCTCGTATCTCATGCCTCCGCAGCCGAAGAGAAATCAGCCTCAGGCCTTCCATCCATGACTGAGTACTATCTGGAGCATTGGAGACCCGAACATCCGTCAGTCAGCAACGGTACTTATTAGTAACCACGGCAACATCTACAGGGTACATACAAGTACCTCTAAGTTGTAACCTCCCCAGACGGACAACATGTAAGCCGGACAACGGCAAAACATCACAGCCAGCCCTTTTCAACAGCATCTGAAACACCAAGGCGGGAGAATAAGGTGGAGTGCGTCGCAATGCAAGGCCGGCAGTGGGTGGGCAGAACGGTGTGAGGACAGCAATAGCATGTACCAGCCATCTCTGCATTGCCGACGACAGGGGTACGTGGCGATGCCTGCGTGGTGTGGGTGTGGCTCGAGTCGAAGAGCTTTCGGCAGTGAGATGTACATGTACATCGCAGAGGTTGCCATTTCGGACATGCGTTGCGAGCGGAGGCGAGCGTGAGGAAGACGGAGGAAACGCAGGGAGTCATTCGACAGATTATCGGTTGTTATTCTTCCCGATCGAAGGGTTCTCTGTCTAAACAAACGAGACAAGATGCGCTAATCATCCTCTCCACACAAAACACAACAAAGTAGACCCCAAACGCGAGCCTATTCCCTTGATAAAAACGCCGGTCGACGATCTTGGTCGACTATGATTTGCACATTGATGGGTATCCTGTGGTGCTGCTATGCAGCTAGTAGAGAGATTGGTTTACGTCGACTTTGCGTGCAGCGTTGTCGAGTTTGGCCAGTAGTACGGTGAGTCCAGAGTCGACAGGTGCATGGGCAGCAGAGAAGTAGTCGGTAGAGGCAGCAGTAGAGTAAGGCAGGCGAGTAGGCGATTCGATGAGCAGGTCGACAGGGTCAGGACCGGTAGGTAAATCCTGAACAACATAGGCGTTGACGCCGTTGTAGTTCTGGTTGTTGTTGAAGTTCATCGAGTTGAAATTGTTGAGGTTGAGTTTGGAGAAATCGTTCTCGGGGATCATAGCGAGGCCGATTTGCTGCTGCTCTGATTGCGATTGCGATGGGACCTGGAGTTGAGAGGCGTCGAAGTTCAGAAACTCGGGCTTCATGTCTGCCTGAGACTGCTGCTGGGGCTGAGCTTGCTGCGGTTGAGGAGTTGGGGCGACGGATGTCTGCTGTTGCTGCTGCTGTTGTTGTTGCTGACGGTGTTGCTGAAGTTGAGGAGGCATCAACACAGATGGATCTTTACTGATGTCATTGATGAACGGAGTGAACGCTGGGTGGCGGAGCAGAGTCTCGATGAGGCCACGGTAGCGTTCATTCTCGTGCATCAGCGCTTGGTTCTCTTGGCGAAGGCTGCTGCTCTCTTGAGCCTTCATGGCAACTTCGCCTTCGAGCTGGCCGATGTATTCTGGGATAGAGTTAGTATCATGCTGGGTAAAGCAACGCGACGTGGTGTCTTACCCTTTCTCCTCGAGCGGAAAGCACGAGCGGAGACCTTGTTCCGGAGCTGGCGGCGTTCCTTGCTGGAGAGCTTCTTGCCCTCTTCAGATGCAAGCAGACGCTCATCCTCATCCATCTCCTCTTCGTCCTTCTTCATGCGAGCAATGTGTGGCAGGCTGTCATTTGGCGAGCCCTCATCATCCGCGGCCTGCGCGGAGCTGTTCTGGCGCATCTGGTTCAAGAGACGGGAGATGGACTCTTCGACATGTGGCTCACTAGTGTGCGATGCACGCTTGCCATTGCCATGTGTTTGCTGCGAACCTTGGCTGCTCTGATTTTGCGAAGCATTGGCGGCTTGGCGGTACTGGGCCTGCTGGGCTTGCAGTTTCATCTGACGTTGCTGAACAGCCGCAGCCGCAGCAGCCTTTTGCATCGCAGCCTGCTGCGCCTGCTGAGAGTGCATGCCAGGCCAAAGACGACCGACGTTGCTCTGTGGCTCTTCGTGGCCGCCGACGTTGTTGGGGTTGACGTAGTTGTCGGAGGGACCGTCGTTGGATGGGAAGAACATGGGAGGCATCGGCTGGGTGCTGTTGAAGTCGACGCTCATGTCGGCGTCCATGTCGATACCAGAGTTCCATCCGAAGCCCGAGTTGAATCCCATCTCGTCGATGCCTGAGTTGAAGCCCTCGAAGTTGTTCATAGGCATGTTGGACATGCTGCCGACCGGCAGGCCGACCTGTTGCTTGAACTGGCCATAGTCGTGGCTAGGGCCATTGAACTGCTGTCGCTCCTCCTTTTCGAACGGCGAGAGCGCGTCGGCGCGCGACGATGTGGCCGTGGCAGGCGAGGGCTGGTTGCCGCCTTGGTTGAAGTCGAAGAACGAGTCCATGTCGAAGTTTTCGGTCTTTAGTTGTGGAGTTGGTCGACTTCCCATTGAGTTGTAGCGGGTCTGTGCCATCCAAAGGTGACGGAAGTGCGGCTCGAGGGAGTTTGATGCCTGAGCAGGTGGTTTTGAGGAGATGCTTGGTCGCGACCCCTCAGCTGCAGGCAACGTCGCTGGCTTACGCGGCTGCTTGTACACAGTGCTGAGGCCGCAAATGAGGAATTTGGGCGCCTAGAATTGGTTGGATGGTCGTAACGAGTGTGTGCTTGGTGGTGGTGTAGTTTTGGAGAGAGTCGTGATGGGTGTGGTGGAGATGTTGTTGTTGGAAAGGAGATGGAGAGGAAGATTGAGCGTCGCCAGGGCCGCCAAACCTCACCCTTGGAAGGAGGCTGTGCCGTGCCTTCCATGATGGCGCCCTGGTCTCGTCAAGGTTTCGGAAACGAGCCAATCACGCGGGGCCGTTCCCAGGGTCGGCGGAGACAAACGCCGATGGAATAATTTTGGAAGTGACGTCGAACGCACTCGCACAACGCGCACAAGGCTGATTCTTCCCGGCGGATGGCCTTCCTCCAGCACACCCGCCCGGCACGTTTCAACTGCACTCACACGCACCTCGTGCAGCACCCAAGAGCCTCTGCCCTCGCCATCTCTCACTGACAGCCGCTCTCATGCGCCTCCGAGCCCACGTCAGATCTTCACACGATTCTCCTCGACCCTCGAGCACACGCCACGAACTTCAAATCTCTGCCGGTGGTCCACTGGAACCGAGTGACAGACGCGGTATGGCCAGGCGCTGCGAAACAGCTAAACAATGTCCGCGGTGGTCGGCCGAAGCATTGGAGAATGCTAGCAAGCGCGAATGAACTACCTAACCTTGAACGAGAGCCACACCGCGCGTTCTAGAATGCAGTATATCGTGCGAACGGCCGGAGCATGTGGCGCGCGTTAGCACTGAGAACTGCGCTCTCCGTCATCACGCTGCATGGCGCCGGTATATCCATCTCAGGACGAAACTCGGATGCCTCGTTTTGCTCATTTTTCATATCTCTTGCTGGTTTGCACCAAGTACCGCCGCAGTCGCCATACCCAATCCACCCAGCACCCACAGACACCACGCCAAACCGGCAGCTTCCGCCTCGCCCGCTTGTTCCTGCTGCTGTGGCCACAAGCTTTGATCCTCTTCAGCTCGACCAGCATCAGGTCTCCTTATTGCTTCATTCGTTGACAGGAGGGACGTCCACGGCCTGAGCTTTGAGAAACCGTCTTGCCATTGGCCTTGACCTGAAGCACCCGCTGCGTGATCTGCACGTGAATACCGTCCTCTACTAGCGCTCCGCCCAGTCTCTTGCGCGTCTTGACGGATCTTGGCGTGTTTGCTCGTCCGTGAGGATTGTCGAATGGTGCTTCGAGTTGATCGAGCCTTATGGGATCTGGCTTCCACCTCCAGGTCCTCTCCACCTTCCAATTCCGGGAAGACACTACATCGAATCATGTCTCGGGCCTCTGTTGAACTGAAGGCCGACCAAGAGCATAGGACGGCAGCCGACAGTAGCACGTCCCATCCCAAAGCATTGATCCACGGATGCTCTCCTAGAATCTCGAAGACTGAGGCGCCCACGTACTTGTCCTCCTGGACGCCCGCATCCGATTCGTTTCGCCATGGTACGAACCAATTAAGCTGTCTCGGCCATCCATTGAAACGCCCCAGCCAACTGTCCTCGTTCACCTCCGCAAAGGCGAAGTAGGTACTCGTGGCGTGAAGGATCATGGAGAAGACAGATAGAGCATACCAGAACTGCTTCATCTTCAGTCTCGCCGACCTTTTTGCAATCTAAAACGGTTCCATTAGCGAGCAAAATTATGATTCACGACTTCGTCCACGACTTACGACCGCCTTCGACACAACTACGACCAGAGGTATGGCGGTCAAAAGCGTCTGCACTGCTGTGAAGACGACGTATGTGCCGGGAGGCCACCGCTTCCTGCTTTTCTCGTCCCAGACCAGCGCGAGAGGCACGATGATAACCAATATGCCTTCTGGAAGGGTAGAGAGCACCACGGGGATAGACTTCAAGTACGCGATGGACTTTTTGGCTCGTCTCGGATGCGACAGCAGCAACGCGAAGAACAAGCACTGCGCACCCGCGAGACTTGTCGTATATCCAAGCCACGTGAACTCGAAGGCTATCCAGCGATCGATATTGCGATCGGTGCCTGGAAGACGACAAATTAACAGGCTGGCGATGTTAGGGACATGCTTTGACTTACACTGGATTCGCACGTATATGCTCCACGCCATCCAACGCATGAACCACTGCCGTGTCCACCACAAGCTCCTCGAATTCTCAGCTAACAACTTGAAGTATCCCCATACACTTGCAGTCCGGCTCGAATCGTCCGGTGCGTGAGGAAAGACTTGTGAGAGTGTACGAGGGAACTTGGCGTAGAAATGCGGATGCAGGCCTTGATCAACCAGGCGCTTCAAAAATCCAGGCAAGTACTTCCTCACTGTGGATTCAGTGACCCACTCCTCTCCTCTCTCCTTTTCGCCCAACAACTCAAAAAACTCAAGCTTCAACTGTCGATGCTCATACCGCAAGAAATTGACCAAGAGCGTGATGACCACAGCCGAAAAGATAAATACTTCAACGCCTTCCAACGAACCTTGCGCGATGTCCGAGGATGCCTCTTCTCTTCCTCTGCAGCCAACTTCGCATCCTCCATGAACCTGCTGAAGATGTCAAGCAAGGCGACCAAAGTCACGCCGTGCACTCCGAGAGCGAGAAGATTGTCGAGATACGTGTTGCCGGTTTGGAAGAGCGGATCCATCCACAGAACATGAAGAACAGCGGGTAGAGTCGTCCAGATAGGATGCCAGAGTGTGCAAACGCCCGTCCAGATGAGGCCGCGGAAAATCCCTAATGTTGCCGCGATTGCCATCCATAAGGCGATTTCGACGATTTCGCGTAATGAAGGCATGGCGACGGCGATGGGATTATGGAGTCCTGGCTACGGAAAGCGTACGGGGTGAGTGTAACTACAAGTGAACTGTTGTGTTTGGAGATTTCTACTAATCTACCCCTGTAATCTACCCCTGGAATGTCGGTATGCGCATGCACGCTGCATTCCAATGCAGTGGCCCGCTTCGATGACCGCAATCTCCAAAGACCTTTCCAAGAACACCAATCGCTTTTTTCGCTAGAAGCACAAATTTTGGGTATCTCGTCTCGTCATCAAAAGAACACAAGGCCGGAAATCAACGCCAATTCGTTCTCCGACCGCCGCTCTCTGCTCAATCAATCAACCCACACGCACTTGCTCGCTGTGAGTTTCCGATACTCCTCGCTCTGCACGTACGGCAGCCACACGTTGTGGTAGGCCTGCATCTTGACCTCCTTGATCGCCTCGTCGAACACTGTCAGATCCATTCCTGGAGGAGCATCAGGTTCCTTGTCGATCGTAGCACCTTCGACCTCCATGCCGATATTCTCCTTCGCCGTCATGAGGCGGTCGGTGGTATCTGCTGGCAAGACTTGGATCTTCTTGACTGCCTCGGATGCGTTGATTGGGACTTCGGCCATAGCCTTCTGCGTGACGAGGCGAGAGGACCTGTCGTTGAGACGGAACTCATCCCCTTCCCAAGGCGTAGCAGAGCGTGAATTGGCCATATCAGGCGTGCCACAACCAATCGTCCTACCGTCACTGTCCACCGTCGCGAACGACACATCCCCCGTCTCCCCATCCACCCACCTCGCCCACCGAAACATCTCCCCCAACCCCCTCCGTCTCTGCGGATGGATATTCACCGGAAAATCCGCACTCTCATCCACCAACGAATCGTAAATCAACGCCGCGTGCGCGTAGCACTTGACGCGGTCTGCGCGCTGGTCTTGGCTGGCGGTGTTCCAGTCGTGGAGGGGGCCCGTCCATTGGAATCTCCAGACGATGGTGGCGTGGAGGAAGAGGATCAGCTCGGCGTTAAGGAGGGTCGTGGCGAAGGTGGTTAGAAGGTCTGGGTGGAGGAGGAGGGTGCCGATCATGTCGGGGAGGGTGGTGTTGGGGAATTTGGGGTTTCTGGGGGACGACTCGATGGATTTGGGCGAATCATCTGGGGAGTCGGTGGAGGTTTCTGACGACTTGTCGTCGCTTGCCTTGCTCTTGGTGTCGTCCTCCTCCGATCCAGCACGCTGCTCGAGACGTAGAACTGCCGCTGAAGAGACCGCACAGCATTGTCGGAACTTGGCAGGTGGGCTGAGTGATGTATCTGTAGCTATCCCGTGCTGTGTGCGTGAAGTCGTGTAGCCAACAGAGAGGATCGAGGGTTGAAGAAGTCGTTTGAGGTGTTCGAGTTGCTGGGAAGCCCACGTGCGGAAACGTGTGAGATCGTGGAGCTAGTGTGCGGAGACAGATGACGCTAGTCTCGTGTGCTAAGAAGGGAAGGAGCGACTTGCCGGCGTTTGCATGTGAAACCCACCACCCACCACCTCACATTACTCTACAGTTGTATTTTTAGTATTTTGCTGTACTCTTTTAATCTATTAAAACAGTTTTCGTCTAAACGTTCCTTCTAATCTATTTGGTATCTCTATCTGTTTTGTCGACTTCACAGCAAGCAGTGCTTTCTAACAAGCACTCTAAACTCTTTTACAAAATTCTCTACCCTTCTTCTTCAAACAGTGTATTGTCCTTTTCGAAAGTCGCTCACATATACTGGACGTGGCCAATCTCATAGCAATAATCTCTATTCTGATTTTGTTGAACTGTAGAATTCTTTGGTTACATGCAGTGGTCAGGGTTAACATCGCCTCTTGGTGCTCCCCACCATCTAGGAAATGGCGTGGTCTTTCCACTCGCGCCGTAGACTGCAAATGACAGCACGAGGATGATAATCTGAGCTCCGCCATCCAATCCTGCACCGACGACGTAGTTGTACTTGTTGAAAATCTCTGGGTGGCGTTTGCGGAGGTACATTTGCGTGAAAACGCCAACGGCGAGGGCAGTCGAAAGATACGATGTCTGTCCGTAGTATGCGCTTCCGGCGTAAGTCATAATCAAAGCGGTGTTGAGCGGCCATGACCGGACCATTGGCGAAAATCGGCTGATGACAGCATGTATCATGGGTAGTGCCAGACCAATGATAATGCCTATGGGAACAATGAAGTAGCGCGACGAGGCGCTGTACACGTCCTTGGCCAGTGCCCAGGTGATTGCCTGCGTGTTTAAGCTCTGCAGAAAAGATCCGCTCCAGATTTGGTTGCCTTGGGGACTTAGAAGGATCTCCCGTTGATTGGTCACAATGATGGTCATGACTATGTAGTTGAACGCGGCGCCTAGGAGAGTGGCGTAGATCTGCGTGCTGAACATGACACGAGGGGGAATCTTGGTGTACTGACCGACTTTGAGCCAGTTCGCCAAATTCACCGCAAGCAGGATGACCTGGTGGCTCCAGCTCGCAAAGTAAAGTCCAGCTAGAGGTCGACCCGGCTGCACTACTCCTGCTACCATTTTCGAAAGCTGGTTGGTGCTGACGCCGGTTCCATACAGGGCGTAGAGGATCATCGAGAATGGGGCGAGGAAGGCGCCAAGAGCAAGGGCAACGAGGTAAGCCCACCACTCAAGGGTAGTTTCGCCACGAGTGTTGGCGATCAGTCCAGCGATGAAACACAAGGCAAAAAGCGCGCCGTACCACCACGTAGGAACCTCTTTGTACTTGAGCATGGCCTGGAAGTGAGGATCGGGCTGAGATCGGTCGCGGGCTTGCCTCCATGCCAGCATCATGTCTTTACGGTAAAACATGAGGACATGTGTGACAAGGGCACCGATGGCCACGTTTTGTGTGAAAAAGCCCCAGACCGTAGACGAGGTCAAGCGAGGGCTACCAATGCTGAAGAACTTCGAGTAGTCAACGAAGCCCTGGGCGTTGAGAATAGATGTGACGGGATATTGCGCGCCGGAACTGGTGTAAAGGGCTGTCGACATGAATGGGAGGCCAGTCTCTTTGGATCCCCAAGCGTTCCCGTAGTACAGAGCTAGCATGAAGATGTAGAACAGGACTGTTCCAATGCCAAAGTTCAGCAGCAGTTTGGGAGGGAAGGCCATGTATTGACTTTGAATGTATTGCCAGTCAAGACCGAAGTTGAGAATTCCTACGCCTTGGTTTGACGATGAGCCTCCGAAGATCTTTCCAAAGATCGAGCGAACTGTCGTTGGAGCCCGAATTGAAGCCACGCAAAATATTGACACTCCACTCAGCCACGTGAACATGTATGCTGGGAACAGTTCCCACACGGCGGCGCTGAGTATCGCGATCCCGAAAGCATAGAGGACTTTGCGGTTGACATGGCGGTTGTAGTGTAGGCCTTGGAATAAAATCACCTGAGGCAGGGAGCCCCAATATACCATCTCAGACGGGTAGACGACCAAGGGCCGAAGAAGGCCAGCGACTACGAAGCCACAGAGAGAGATTGAAAAAGTCCCCATTACCACCGTCAACGCTTGAACGCTGCGGTTGTAGTACAATCTCTCAATGGCATATATCTCCACTCCGGAAAGCCCGTTGTTGCCAGAGCTGGCAATAAGGCTGGCAACAACGTGTTCCTTGATGCCAAAGGGTTGGCCACTGTTCATGAAGCGTAGTATTGCTGATACTTTCGAAGACCTGCTGAATCGATCTGGGCGAGGAGTCAAGCGAGCCCATGCTTCTCCGCATACAAAGATGATAATCTGGAGGAAGGTCGCCGAGACGCTGATGCCACTGGTCGGCTTGAACTGGTATAGCATGGTAATGATGCTCGCCAACAGCGTGAAGACAGTCCCTAGGACAATAGATCGGAAAGTGAAGCTGGGATCACCATCGTCACGATCGGAGATGAGGAAGCGCGAAACATCAAGGCCTTTTTTTTGGTCAGATTGTGCCACTCCGTGTGTCTTCTAAGCTTACCATTGCGTATAACGGGATACTCATTCTTCACCTCGACATCGTCTAGGGATTCCAGTATGGTTGGCTGTCCATCGTCGAGCGCCTTAGCAACCATCACGGCGCCTGTTTTGTCTTTCTTGGTTGCGTTGCTGGGCACATGGCCGCCGGCGGAGTGCTCTGTGTCGAACATTTCTCTCGTCTGCGCACGCTGGCGACTGGATTTCTAGCAGGAGAGTGTCCCGTTGGCTTTATGCTCTGCAACAGCAGCCCAGAAGTTATATGAGAGCTTGATTTGCGCGTTAGTGCTTGGGAATGGCGTGAAGCACGCCATCTGACTTGAATTTGCGTTCTGTACCCACTCCTCGTATTAGTAGCACGACTACTGCGAGCGGGATTCGACAATGTAGCACTCGTCTTGCTCTCCGTATAGTATTCCTCCGATGCAGCACGCTAGTCAAGGCGTAGACTACCGCTAAAGAGACCGCATCGCTAAAGAGTCCGCATAGTCCGCATAGTAACGTGCAGTCGAGGCCATTGGCAGACGAATTCGTAACTGTGCTACGCTTTGAGTACCCGGGTGCGCAGTTCGAGAAAGAAGAAGCTATTTCAAGATGTTTCGATAAAGAAGCTCCACGTGCGAGAAGACGTGCGAGATTCTGGAGCTAGCTTGGGAGGCCGATAACGCTAGCCTCTCGTGCTAAGAAGGGAAGGTGCGACTTGCCGGCGTTTGCATGTGAAACCCGTATCACTTTGCAGGAACTTGAGCAGACACCAAATGTCTCGGAGGACTTCACCATTTGCTTAGTCGTCTATCAAATGCTGTATTTGTATTCTTTGCCAAACTTACTTTGTCAACCCAGTAAAGTCCAGGCGTCCGACTTGTAGTCTCAACGTAGAGAGGATGTAGCGTAATGAATGCGACGTTACAAGACGGGTACTCGATCTCTAAATACAGTCACTGCACTCTCGCTCACATCTGGAGACAGCGAGTAATACGACTGCGCCTCTTCATCAGTCTACATTGCTCATGCAAACAGCTGCCGAGCTCGTCTGTACCCCTACAAGAGAAGAGAGAATCTCACGCAAATACCGCGCAGGCAGACTCAAATGCGCTACGTCCTCAACGAGATGCAACGTCGCCCAGGGCATTCGAGCGGCGGCCTTCTCCGCCATCGCCACGGGGACATTGACATGCAACCTCCCGTGCCAAATCTCCAGACGTCCTTTGAAGTCCAAGTCACTGAGCTGGAACTTCCAATCGTCGTACAGTCCTGCTTCCCAAGCACTATGGATACTGCTTTGTCGGAAGGCCTCCCGCGTGGCGGCGATGACTTGAGCGCGGAGGACTTCGTCTTGCAAGACCTCGGCGTCCGCTGCGGGACGATCAGGCGCAGACATCGCTTTCATGAATGCGTCGACGAAGCGTTCAGGGTGCTCGGTCTCTCGTGCCAGGTCGCCCATCTCCCAATCCAAAAGGAAGGCTACAACACCCTGGAGCCATGAGACCGACGCAGTCTTCAGCAAGAACCACGTGGCCCAGCGCATACCCGCCGTTCCGAGATCAAAAGGCCAGGCGGAGCATACCACAGCGGCGTTGATAATCCGCTCGGGAATCTCCTTGAGGCAGGCGAAGACGTACGGACCTCCGCCGCTGACGCCCAGCAGATGGAACTTCTCCAGGCCGAGATGGTCGGCGAGCTCGGCGACGTCTTTGGGCCAGTCGAGGAGTATCCGCCCTGGACGCGGGGTGGATAGACCGAAGCCTGGTCGGTCGATGGAAATGATGCGCAGGTTTACTCGAGTGACATGAGAGGCGGCGGCGGCGGCTTCGAGTCGAGAGCCGGGGAGGCCGTGGAAGTAGAATGCGGTGGATGTGGATTGATTTGGGTGGCAAACTCCATAGGTCTCGTACGCAAGCGTTCTACCATCTGATAAGACCAGTGTGAATGTGTTGCTCTTGCTCGGTGTCATGGTTGAACGTGATGGACGAAGAGTTGGAGACGAGGGAATGTTGGTATATGTAAGTCCCCAACACCCTTCTACGATGTGCACATCAAGATGGCGCAATCATCAAGTCGATTCGAACGTACAGCTTCTCTGGATCGTCAAGCACACCACCGTCTCAGCCATGGACGAAGACTTAACGATCTTCTAATTCCCCAAGAGAGAAAGAAGGCGCTAAGCTCCAAACTAAAAGTAAACTGAAGTGAACTTCCCCCAAGTGGATCCCCCTCCCGCCCCTCAACCAATAGGCACCCGTCCCGAAAACCTGCTCATCACGTGAGTCAACCGGATGAATACTTGGACCGTAGCAGTGTTCGGATTGGGAAAGTCGAGACTCCTGCTTTTATCGGATTGGGTGCTTTTGGTTTTGGTTCCAGGGCGATGTGCTATGGTTGTCCGCTTTGTATGACGGGGCGAGGGACTTGACGGGCCTGGCGGTGGAATGACTTGGTTTGGATGAGGTAGGGCTGGGTTGGTTGGGGGAGGGTATAAGTAGGGAGGTTGTATTTGGGTGGGAGTTTGATCTTTTCAGACACTTCAACCATTACGCTCACTCCGACTTAATCTCTTCTCTTCTCGTCAAAATGGTCACTGTAGCCCTCGCAGGCGCCACGACAGGCTTCGGCCTCACCATCCTCCGTACGTTCCTGCACCTCAACAAAGGCGAACACAAAATCGTTCTGCTCTCTCGCTCCCCTCAACCAGCGCTCTCTGCTCGCGGCATCGACGTCCGCCCCGTAGACTACACCTCCCACGCGCAACTCGTGCAAGCCCTGCAAGGCGTGCACACCCTCCTCTCCGTCATCGGCGGCTCTCTCCAGGGCCTGCTTGACTCGCAACTCGCGCTCATCGACGCAGCCAAAGAAGCCGGCATCAAACGCTTCGCGCCAAGCGAGTACGCTGGGAACGGCTACGAGGGCGTGGATCTGTACCAGCCGAAAGCGGTCGTATGGGAGGCGACGCAGAAGTCTGGATTGGAGTATACGCGGTTTGGATGTGGCTTGTTCATGTCTGTGCTTGCGACAGGGACGCCGAAGGGGAGGACGGAGGTTGGGGAGAGGGAGGGAGTGGCGACCGGGGAGGAAGAGGCGCTTGCTGGGTTGAGGCCGTGGAATTTCGTGGTGAATGTTAAGGCGGGGACGGCGGACTTTGCGGGCGATGGGAGTGCGCCGACAGTTTTGACTGAGATGCGGGATGTTGCGAGGTTTGTTTGGGAGGCGCTGAGTTTGGAAAAGTGGGAGCCTGATATGGGTATGCGAGGCGATGTGAAATCTTTCCGGGAACTCGTGCAAATCCTGGAGAAAGTCCAGGGCCGGAAGTTCCTCTCACAGGACAACAGCTTCGAGAAGTTGGAAGAGGAAGCCGAGGATCCAAGCAAGCGGTTCTACAACCAGGCTCGTATGGCGTTGGAGAAGGGCTGGGGCATGGTCGGCGACGATTTGAATCGCGCCTTTCCCAACGTCAAGCCAACGACGTGCGAGGAGTTCATCGAAAAGTGGTGGGGAGGCGTACAGCTCGGCGAGGCAAAATGGGAGGAGATGAAGTCGTTCAGCGAAGAAGACTTCTGATCGTAGCCAAATCTTAATCCAACGTGGGTATCATCAAACGCCGAAAAATTCTTTTTTCAGCAACACAAAAGTCTCTCTCTTCCAAACATCTTGCTGCAAGGACAGTCCTTGACGGTGGCAGGTCCTCCTTCTATGGGTCGGCACCAGCTCACGTAGACCCTCCCGCAGATATCACACCCCTCGAAGAAGACTTCGAGCGAACCATCTAGTCATGCAGCGCGCTCTGCGTTGTCCTTCTTTGGATCTAAGCAGTGAATCTCCAATGCGATGAGAATGCGTCCCTTATCAGCGTACGGCGTGCGGGCCACGTTCGCAGAGCCGAGATCTGGATCGTATAACCGCTTGATACCATTCTGCAGATCAACGGCAGTAAAGCCACGGAAAGCCTCACCATCGCGGACAGGCACGGGCATATCGGGCAGAGGCTCGCCATTCGCGTCCACTTGAGGCCGGGGTTCCATAGCATTCGGGGTCGTGAGTGCCGTGAAATGTGTAGCATGGACTCGGCACGCACAGCAGACACGAATAATTGGCGCATCCTGTCGCGGTCCTTTGAGGATGTTTCGAGCCTTGTGCAGCTCCATCATTCGTTTCCTGAACTGTGTGTTGACATCTGCATCTTCGAAGGCAGTGGGATTCCGCGCCATGTATTGTTGGAACTCCCTATCGCTGATCTGACCTCGATCAGGAGGCGTCCCTGGCAGGAAGACATGCCGCAGACCATCAATCACCTCGTCCAGCCGACTATCCTCACACCAGTTCTTGAGGTTGATCTCCGGTGGATGTTGATGTTGCCACTTGTTACTCCGAAACCGCACACCCAATTCCTTCAAATTCGGGAAATCCGCCTTCAAACTCCTCACTTCGTCCGTAGATGTCAGGTACGGCATCCATAACCGCATATCCTGCGCTTTGATATGGAGGCTCAGGTTCGTGATTTGACGTCCGTACATCGGCGAGGACGCAAATGCATGCACAAACATGTTCGCGTCTGACGGATGGTGAAACGTCAAGTTGTTGATCGTGTATAGTAAGGGCGCCGACTCGTCGTGGATGATCTTGCACGTCCGTAGCAATTGAGGCTGCAGGTCATACGAGCCCGATACTTCTCGCGGTCGCGGCCACTCGACCGGCATGCCGTCCTCCGCCGTGAGGCACATGGAGTATATCCTGTCTCTAATCTCCCTGGGTAGCTCAAACAGCAGCGAGTTGGCCACGCTCTCCGGGAGCTCAGGTATGTTGCTCAGCCCAACCGGCTCTTCCTTCTTCACGTCTGCCATCTCCAAGTCCTCTCCTTCTTCTGAGTACTCGCTCGTGCTGTTCAGCGTGCTCGTCCGTGTCGGCTGGCGGAAGTACGATACGCTCGTTTGTCTGCCTGCGGGGCCTTGTTGAATGCCTGGAGATTGGGCTATTAGGCTGCCGGCCTGACTGATGTAGGATAATGAGCGCGTGGACAGGACACTCTCGCGCCATTGAGTGGGGTCCATGGCAGAGGCAGGGGAAGATGTTGGGATTCAGTCTGCGGCGGCACAGGTGTAGGGCTTGTCGCTAATTGCGCGGGGGCAGGTTTGGAAATTCGGTGATCATGTGCGACGGTATCCGGATGGTGCGTCAAGTCGAGCGCATGGAGGTTTGAGGGTTTGTTGTTGGTGCTACTTCTCGTGTTCTCAAGTGAGGTCGGCGATCTTACGTCTTGGCAACTGCTGGCGAAAGGCTGAGGAGATGCGACACAAAGAGAAGCACACTCTTGATGTCATGCGCTTGTTTATATATAAGTGCAATGCTTCTTGTGGTAAGTTTGATTACATATACGACAATACTGATTCGACCCAGCAATCTCATTGCGCTAGACCCTCAATCCATACCGAACCTACATGGGAGAACTCGCGGGCGTCGGTGGTAATGAGGGCGACATAGCCATCTGATACCCTCCATCGAGCCCGTCTCCAAGTTGAAGAAACCACGGAAATGTCTCATCTGCAAGCGAAGGCAAATCCACCACCGCTGGCTTTGCCCTTTGCAATCCTGATATCTCTTCGTCTGCAGACTCCTCAGACTCTTCGGCCTGTTGAGTCTCAGGTTTACCGTCTCCCGCATTCTGTTCAGCATTCTCTTCCGCAATCTCTTCATTAACATCTCCAGCGTCCTCTCCAGCGTCCTCTCCAGCACCCTCCGCCACGCTCCCTCCTGGACTCCCTCCCCGACCCCATCCAGGAACGTCCACCGGCGAAGCAACCTACACATCCGCCGTCGACTCCCAAAGCGCCTTCGTCTTGCTCCATCCAGCAACAAGACCGCAAAGCCCCATCAATCCCATATTGAACCCCGGGAAACCACCCTCATTCAGCGCGGAAAAGTGGTAGCCGACCGGGAACCACGCAAATGGCACAATCAGCTCCGCGAACCACTTCGCATCGGTCTTGGAATCCTGGTCCCGTGTAGAGAGATCGTACTTCTCCGCCGAGCTGCGGTGAATGCGCTTGTTGCGCTCCAGCTGGGCCTCGCGGAGGAGTCTGACGAAGTCGCAGGAGAAGCCGAGTAGCCACGCGCGGTACGCGGTGAGGTAGATCGATGTAGCCTTGCCGCCATACTTCTGCGTCCATCTTTCAGTAAGTCCTGCTGGAAGGATCTTGGCCTCCGTAAGAAGCGCAACGTTTTCGCAGGCTTGGAACACGATGTACAAAGCACACTGCGCTACCGAAGTCGCGTACAGCACCTGATCTTGTCCCGGCTTCGGGCCTTGTGCCAACTGACGCGCCCAGGCGTACATGGGAAAGAGACCGAACAATCGAAGGGTGGTGCGGGCTGTGCCGAGCATGCTGCCGAGGTTCTGGATGGCGGACGTCTCGGCGGGTACGGCGGGCGTGACTTTGGGGAGGGTGGCATTGCGGTTGAGGAAGAGGTAGAGCTGGGCTTTGAGGGGCGCGGCTTTGGCGTCGAGGTGCGCGAGGAGGTAGAGCGTGTAGTTGAAGGTGGAGAGGAAGGTCGACAGGCCGCCGGGAGCAGCGAGGAGTCTGGTATCTCGTCAGGAGAAGCGATCTGTCGTTTTTGATAATACACACTTGTTCAGTCGTAGAATAATGCGGTCTGGAGTCGCCAACAGGCCCTTGACCTTGGGCGGCATCTTCTTCTCGACCTCCTTCGCAACTGACTTCTCGGAAGCTTGCTTGGGGACGTTCTGAGCACCGTCGGTCGGCGCGTTGGGTTGGCTGGCTGGATCAGACATGGTTATGGTTGGGCTACTCTTGCAGCTGTCAAAGCAAATCAAATACAGGGCAACTGCGCAAGCTACGGACTTGGTAAGACCCTCGAGTGGTAGCGAGCACCTCGCTATATCATCATCAACCTCGGCCATTCATCCGCGCTGGCATTAGAGCGGGCCGGCTGCTGATTCGCTCCACCGCAAATGTGGAGAAAGTTCACCGGCACGTGTTGCCCATGTCGATCGTTTGGGCCCGGCAAATGCTTCCGACGCTCCCTCCCTCCCTGCTGTCTCGTTGATATTCGTACAGTCTTTTCATCATTCGTTCCTCGTGCAACATACTGCCCCCCATGGACAGGAAGTCGCAAAGGCGTCCCTTGTAGTGATGGATCAATTCCAAGGTCTCCGTTCATGAGGTGAGATCGATCCTCATCTCAAGTAATCATTTGTCGCGTTCCCGGCATGATTAGTCGGAGGAGCCAAGTTGAAAGAAACTGCCTCGCCGGGACGGTCGTCGTGTCATAATCCTTCAGCATAAGTCCTCATCCTTGATAGATGATCTGTTCCGTCAGATCGTCTCCAGAATCGTTCATGTTCCCTCCTTGAACAACCCTTCCTCATCGAAATACTTCTCCTGCTGCCATGGAGGCCCGCCAACAGCTGTGTGGTAGTGGGAGCCAAAATACTCTTCAGAAGGAGTGACATGATCTCCAATGCCCCAGATCCTCAGGGTCCGTATGCCGTAAAGGTAGCACAGGTGCTTCATGCGAGCCGCCTCTCTGGACTCTTTCATCCGGCCCTCGGCTGCTTTCCGTGCTTGAATACGATTGAGCGAACCAAAGGCATGCTTGAGGGGCGTGTTGAACCGTAACGGCACGCATGGAGCGTCAGGGGATCCATGAGCGTATTCGATGCACATGGCAATATTTCGACTGACAGCCTCGTCTTCCTCCTGGACCGCGGGTAGATCCATGACGGACGCCATGTCGTTCGGCTCATTCGAGGGCAGAGAATAGTAGAATGATTGGATGAGTCCGCACAGTAACGATCGATAGGTCAAGTAGTGGATGGCCAGATCGAAGTGGTAATTCGACTTGAAGGTGTATGACTCGCTCAACACATTGGCAATGAGGTTGCTTTTCGTAGGGATGGCCATGGCACAATTCTCCACCACGGCCTTGACACCATCGCTGGCCTCGTAGAGCGATAACATGAGAGCCACGATGTTGAGTGTTTGCGGTCGGTTCTCGATCGAGTGGACGTGATCCCGCTGGAGGACGGCGAGTTGTGAGAGACGCACTAGTAGGTTCATGATTGTCGAGAGCGCTTCTGCGAATCCTTCACTCGCTCCATATTTCGACATGCACTTCAATGGAGGTATTTCTCTCGATAGAAATATGGAAGAACGGCTACAGACCATGGCATGGTCGACCTGCGATTATGTTAGAATCATGCCGCTACGCAAATCAGGATAAACTTACCTCTTCCAGAACGATGAGGTATAGAAGAGTCTCCTCTAGCTCGCTGTAGTTTTTGGCTTTGGAATAGGCCAATAGCTTCGCACACGCCTCCATGTGGACGTAGTAGGACCAAACTCCCGGAATCGCTCGAAAAAGCTACTGCTTGTCAGACTCCGCGGAAGAAGTGACGTGCAGATCTTACCTCTGCGACACAGAATAGGCCAGTCGTAATCAATACGTTGGTATGGTCAAGATCAGGAGTTCCACAGAGGGCATGTCGCAGAGTCGTCAATGCTGTAAGACCACGCTTTTGCGCGACTTGATCGTAACCGCAATCCCATTCATGTCTGTAGGTTGTATAGCTCTCCAATGTGAAGTCAATGGCACGATCAACCAGCGGATCGGAGCCGATGCGGGTCGTAACGCAGGAAACAAATCGATCCCACCAGGACCAGCTGGCCGAGCTCTCTCTGATCATCCCCGTCCATGCCGTCGCGAGTTGACTGTCGTCGCTTGACAAGAGTCGTGCGGCACACGTAAGATCAAGAGGTTTCCTTGCCGCGGCGAAGGTCAAGAATGTGCCACGCTTCGAAGGGCTGTAATGGGAGAGAGTCAATGGAGAGTCGGCCTCTTGCCGGAACACGCCTGTTGCGACCGTGAGTGGGTTACATCTCGCAAGAATTTGCGAGGGTATCACTGACTAAAGCAGCGTGTTCCTGTTGGATGACAAACGCCTTCCTCAAAGAAGGATGCCGCTTCGTAGGTGCAAGGTCTCCTCTTTATGGAACATGCACCGCAGGGGCGCTTCTGGTCGCACTGTAGTAGTCAAGTTACATTAGAATGTGTGATCATCCCACGGCCATGGTATTGCCCTGCTGTCTTACCTTCACTTTACGTAGCCGGCACGTGTCACACTTCCCTCGTTTAGTCATTTCTTGAATTGGATACGAGCACTCAAGACTCTTGGACGCCGGCCAGATGCAAACTGCCTTCCTTTAAGGAGCAAGTTCGACTTGACGGGACCGGTCACCGTTGTCCATTTGACGCTCAGCTAAATTGCCGCGGGCTTTCTGGACACTGAGGGCTCGTGTCCAGCTTCTGGCTGATCAACCGGCAAAGCATCTGTTGTCGCTACGGCCGACCGCATCTGGACCCTAAAGTACGGGACACGATCCTAAGTGCCGCCGGCAAGTGGCGGTGACTCGTGGTGACACACCACGAGGGAGGCAAGATGAGATAATTGGAATGAGGGCTGACCCAATCACACGGCAAGTGTCGAATAATCGGAAAGCTCCTATGAGAACAGCCAGGACCGCTCCGAGAGGATGGAGTGGTTGTCGTTGGAAAAATTCAGCCCTGAAGTCAAGCTAGCGAGCTGGAGTTCAAGTTAGCGCTATCGGGTAGGAGCCGTTCCGCACGAATCGCAGATCAATTGCCAAAGAAAGAAACAATTCGCGTTTTTGCCGCGATCCTTCGTAGGGCTGATCGTGTAACTTATTATAGGCTCGACTGCCTTTCAATCTCTTGCTTGACCTTTTGCCCTACAGGTTTTGTGGGGAGCAGAGCGCCACTTGATTGGATCTCGACAATGAGCACGATGTCTCTCTCCACGGTGCAGTGGACCACCTGCCCGTCGCGGAAGTTCATCTTCATCTATAGGTTTTAGTTTGTGCACCTTCTGTACAACTGGTACAACAGCGTGGAAGATTGCTCTCAGGTCACTGCGTATCGCTCGAGCTCTCCTTGGTAAGGCACGAGAACGACTATGCGGGAAGACTCATGATGAGTTGAGCAGTAGCATCTAACATCCGGTCTGCGGACGTGCCTCTTTCCCGTCCGCCGATTGACCTTCAACAGAACCCTTACTGTTATTCCGAGCTCGGGTGCAGCCGACTCCGCCGGCCAACTGTGTTTCACCACCAATACGAACCCAATCGATCGGACAACAGTCATTCCGAAGCACATCCAGCCCTCTTAGGACTACCACGTTTGTTTGCAATCGGGGAGCATCGATCAATCTATGCTTAGAAGATATATGATTGAACCGGTTTGGACTCGACGATTCCGTCTTGTTTTTGTTCAGGATCTGCGTAAAAGCGTCTGAAGCAGCAGGCATGCCAGCAAACTGGCCAAGTCGGTACGGACGAAAGGAGGATGAGGTTGCAGGACCTATTTTGTGCTGCGCAGGAATTATCGAAGTCGGACCAAAGTGCCAGCTCGTATGCGCATTCGCGATGGATCATTGATTCTCCTGAGTATCGCAGGATGAGGTCGGTGGCGCGCTCTGGACGAAGGATGGACTTTGTCATGCTTCAGTATGCTCTTCAAGGTTCTCGCAGACGTGTGAGTTGCAGCTGAATAAGGCACTCTGAGATGACCAACCCAAGAAGTTGCTGTGCAGCAATTTCTGTTGAAACATCACTAAGCCATCGGCAACGAGTTCGGTAGAGTCAAAAGGTGCATATGCACGGAGATCAGTGTCTAGTATGCGCGCTTCGTGGACCTTTGACATGATTTGCAGCATTGCCCATAGATATGATCTATGAACACGACCGGATGGAGGCCAGCTTAACGGTCCTGGATGGCAATCTTCGAGCCATCACGACAGATAATTTCATCCGTCACGATTCAGTCGTTATCGATCATGTAGAAGAAGAAGGCGAGCCTCTGGGTAATTGGCTCCGATCCAGGCTCGATGTCATTTGGGATCTTTTGTACGCTTTCGAAGAAAATCACAGTGCCGGTGCTGTGGCGCCGAGCTGCTCCCTTACAGATCCCTTCCGTCCTCGTATTCCGTAGTCCTTGATGATGGTGAATCAACGGAGTATCATACAAGATAAATCAAGATCAATTCTGATCGAAAGTAGATGGCTGTTTTCCAGTGTGTTGAACCTGAGGGCGTAACGTGACGTTCAGGATGCCTCAGGCATACAATCAACTTCACCCCGCCAACCGTTCTGTTGTTGGCTTTGGTCCCGCCGACTTCACACTACCACCACATCACTCGATGAAAAATGACCACTAACGCGACAGCATCGCCCCATGGCGACTACATTGCATACATGAAAAGCGGCTACCTCCTAAAACAAAGCATCCGTCGCCGAGAACCGACAACACAAAGCGCCTGCAAACTCCCACTGGACGCGAAAGTCTCCACGCTGAAATGGTCTGCCGACGGGAGTCAGATTTTGATCAATCATGACCGCGGACTACAAGTCGTGGACAGCAAACACCGCAGCAGCCGCGTGTTTCTTAAGAATGGCACTGGTGGACTCGGACGCGTCGTGACCGCAGACTTCATTGGGAATGAGCACTTGCTTGTCGTGTGGGAGTTTGGAAAGGCGAAGCTCTGGCATATGAACAGTGGCAAGGCGGTGGATCTACCAGATTTCAAGACGATGTGCGATGGGCAGACGTGGCAGGTTCGACCAGGGAATCGATCGCCTCCTCTGTTCGCGGTGCTCTCCAGAATCGGCGCAGAGGATCATCTGAGTCTGCATTTTCCATCTCTGAGACAGCCACCTCCACCATCGAAATTACCAACTATTGATGCTCAGAGCATATCCTGGTCGCCGGATGGAAGATGGCTTGCTGTGCTCGACGTACCCACAGCCAGCCAGAGTCTGCATATCTACACTCCAGACGGCCATCTTTTTCGATCATACCCGAGCGCGAAGGAAGCCGAACTAGGCTTGGGTATTAAGAGTATCGCTTGGTCCGCCGACGGTCGCGTTCTAGCTCTAACCAAGTTTGACGGCCTGGTCGAGCTTCTTAACACAAAGACCTTCACGCGAATCGCAATGATAGAACATAGCACGACCATCTATCAGCACGACGTGGAAAAAGAATATCGGGCCCCAGTATGGCAGGAGGCGGTGTCGGCGTCAAACGAACGATCATACACGCCACAGCAGCAGCCCTTCTCTCCGCCACTATCCAAAGCAAAAGCCGGGTCTGAGCCCCAAGATCTGGGAGTAGCGGAGATCTGCTTCAGTTGTGACGACAGCTATCTTGCCACTCGCGACTGCCGCATGCTCAATACCGTCTGGATATGGAACATGGCAACACTGGGCGCGCATGCCGTGCTAATACAGCATAGCAATGTCCGTCGACTCAAATGGCACCCAACTCGCCCTGACACGCTCATGGTAGATTGTGCCGAAGGCTTCGCACACATTTGGAACGTCTCGTCTCGAGAACCGCCGCTCCCAATCCCAACAGGCGGCCTCGCGAAAGCCAAGTTAACATGGCTCGAAGGTCCCACAGAAGCCAAGCCCATCATAATGGTGACAGAGCCCTCACGATTTCATCTCCTCTACCCAGAAGGTCAAGACGAGCTTTCAGATCCAATATCAAGACGACCCAGCGCCGACGAAAGCGAGCAATACGACGAGGGCAACAGCGAAGACTCCCTATTCCAAGTCTTGTCCGGACGAAAACCCTTGCCGCCGAAGACGCAGCCGTCGTATACGCAGATGGTGGATTTGGAGATGGAGGGCGAGGACGACCTCGATGGCGGTCTGGACGATACGTTCAGGGAGAAGAGGAAGGCCGTGCAGCAGGTCCCGATGGAGGTTGATCCTCTGGACGACAGTGAGATTTTCTAGTGGGCAGGAACATTTTGGATGACGGTGTTGAGATTGTTGTTAGCGTGATGATACCCGAATTGTATAGAGGAACGAGGAGCCAACGGCTAGACCGTGGTTTGAGGCAGGTATACGACTCTCAATCCGAGTTTGATCGTTCATGCGAATGTAATCAAGCCGCAGTCCTCTACCTATTCTTAGCAGAGAAGTCCGGCCTATAACCCACCGCGCCGCCCTTGGTCAACTCCCTCAAAGCCATCGTGGCATACTGGCTGCTGCCCAGTTGCATCTTGAGAACGACTGCAATCCGATCCTTCTCAGCAGTAGCGCCGTCCTCACTCTTGACCACCTCTCCAGCATCGCCATTCGCCGCCTTCTGAGCCTTCTGCAACCTCTCCAAATCCGTCTCCACCATCTGCTCTTCAGGCCCACTATAAGCCTTAACCTCGACCTCAACACCCTTGCCCAGCGGTCGAGACATCAGCTTGCGGTATCCACCGGGCAAAGAAATATCCTTCCAGGCACGGCGCATGTTGTGCGGATCGATTCCACCGCCGTTCTCGGACGCCATGAAGTCCGTGTAGAATTGGCCGATTACGTTCTTGGGGTACTCCACGTCGAAGCCAGGGAGTGGGAGGACGACGTCGAGGATGCTGAAGCGGCCGCTTTCTGCTTCGGTTTTGCTCAAGGGTCGGGCGCGCGTGATTAGGTCGTCGAGGTCTACGGCTGTTGCTGCTGCGGTGGCTGCCTCTTCTGTGCCGCTTGCTGTGGTTGCCGAGGGGTGGATGATGGGCTCGCCGTCCTCGTCGACTTCTTCAGAGTGAGATGCGTTGCCATTTGCAACACCTTCTTGCTGTTCTTTCTCGCCGACGACAACGAGATCGCCTTCGACGACTTTGTCTCCGAAAGTCTCCCAGCGCTTGCCGGCTACGGTGTTCCAGACGAAGCTCTGGTACGCGTGAACGTACATGAGCCTCAGTTGCCGCTGAATCGACATCAACGCTCCTTGGAAGTCATTCTCGTTGGGTCTTCGGCCAGTCTTTCTGTCACGCTTGCCGATGTGAGTGATGATGCCTCGCTCGGCGTTGAAGCGGCTTGGTAGTTCTGATAGCGCTTCGTTCGAGCTGCGATTCTTGAGGAAGTTGTGGATGGCAGTTGCTCGTGAGACATCGTCTTGAGGCACCTTGCGATCTTCCGACGACTCTTCCAGCAAAGATTCGTCGTACGACAGAAGAGAGTCAACGGCACCTTGGAGGTCGCCCTTCAGCATCTTCATGCCCACGATGTGGGTTCCTGTGCTGTACGTGCCGAATCTCTGGAGACCGTAGTAGTTCAGATAGCCGGAAGCGTGCAGGTTCTGTGCCGCAGTCTCGGCGATGCTCTTGGCGTGGTTCAATCTCTGTTCCATACTCCAACCAGGCTCTTCGCCGTCGAACCTTGCATCACGGAGCGTGAGCAAGAACTCGTTGCCAGACAGCATACCAAGCTCCAGGCCTTCCTTCTTGTACTCCCATGGACCACCAGCCTTCCATCCTCTGGCAATGCGATTCAAGCCCTCAATCCGGTGTCGGTGGACACGGTGGATGGCCACGCGCTGGACCGTAACACCTCTCCTGTCTTTCGTTCCTGCAAAGCTGACGTGCTTCATGTGCATCTTGAGTTGAGAGCCGATGAAGGACAGCACTTCCATCGTATCCTTATTCTCTTTGTACAAGCTGAAATGCAGGTACTCACCTCCTAGATCTGACCACTGCTGCTTGCCGCGCTGCCCTTCTCGACTGTTGCGGTCATTGCCATTGGCTTGCGAGGAGGACTTGGGCGGTGCAGCCTTGATGGAGATGACCGTGCCCGGACCAGATTGGTGTTCCTGCTCCTGCACAGTGATCGTCTCTAGCTTGGACTTGAAGATGCGACGGATGCACATGTGCGCTTCCGTCCGTTTTGACTTCTCAGCAAAAGGGTCTGAAGAGATCGCAGCATGGTCTCTAGCTTTGCGATCAGGAAACGCAACCACAGCAGCATATAGGTTGAGAATGGAGGATGTAGTCTTTTCGCCAAACACATTGTTGAGAGTTGACTTGTCTTCGTCTGAAATACTGGCGATTGCCTCTGCTTTTACAGCGTCAACAGAAGCGCTCGTAGTCTCAATCTCCGGCTTTGACGAAGCTGATGCCCCATTTGACTGCCCATTTGCTACTGCATCTTCAGCCTCTTTCTCAGCACCACCTGCAGCTGGGATTGCTTCATCTTCTCGCTGCTTTTTTCGCGACGCTTCACCGTCTTCCTCTCGCTTTCGCTTCTTGTCCTGTTCACCAAAGATTTCCGTGAGGTGTAGCGTTTCGCCGTTCGGTTGGATCTCGTTCACCAGGAAGTCGGTGTAACGTTGCTTCACCGTGCATCTGAACCCAGGCGCATCTGGACGAACGAAGACAGAGATTCCGACTGCGCGCTCCTGGGCGTCTTGCATCTCCGCGGCATCCTCGTTTGGATGTCGTATGGCGGCCATGATTGGCGCACGCAGATAGATTGTGTTTTTCGAGGCTATATCGGCCTTCCGAGATTTCTTGTCGAAGTCACAAGGGCTCCGTGTGAAGTGAAGAACTTCTTGCTTGGCAAGCTTCAAGCACGGGCCATTTTCAGGAGCCAGGTCCGGTCGACTTTGTCCCCTGATGAAGCGCAACATGCGCCTTTTCACATCACTTGAACACACTTCGTGTTACATCCCAATTGAGAGACGTGCTCGACGCAAACATATTGCTACCGGAGTTGTCTGGACATTGACCATGAGACCGCTTCTACTCCGTTCACTCTTCGAGCGAGGTGATCGTTGTGCGGCATCTGATGGAGATACAGGACTTGACCTTCGACATACTTAGAGTGTGAGCCGTCCTGGCGCCTTGTAACACTGCCAGAGGATGGATATATTGAGGCATTCCTTCGTTCAGAACCCCTTCATCGACGCTCTCACCAAGTGAGTTCACTGTGTTAGTCTCAAGAGGTGACATTTACTGTACTTCCCCTACTGCTGAAGTCGCTGGGAGACTCCTCACCGCTCTCTAAAAGCCATCTTGTTTTTCCCTCCATTTCTATTCAGAGACCATCAATATCTTCGAAAAAATGTTCTCCCATCTGCACCTGCATTCACCCGCCGCCTTTGCCCCACATGACGACACTTCATCCCACCTTCACGTTTTCTGCCAGCTGCACACAAACAGCAGCTGCAGGGTACAGCTCTAGATCTTCTACCACGGAACCAAAAACGTTTCTTTCTTCTCTACCACAAACCATTGACTTCAACCCTCAAATCAAACACGACCACCTCCTCAAACCACTAACATGTCGATTCCAACCAGCACCTCCGTCGTCGAGTCCGCGGTCATCAAGGCTCCCCTCTCCCACGTCTGGCACCACATCAAGCTCCAGGACTTCTCCAAGTTCTGGTCCGCCATCTCCAAGAGCGAGTACGTCAAGGGAGCGAATGAGGAGACAGACGTTGTCAAGTGGTCGTTCAAGGATGGCACTGTGCTGGAGGTGAAGCAGGAGGAGCACAGCGTAAGAGACATACTTGTGTGGTTTGGCATTGGGCGTGACTGATCAGAGGACAAACAGACCATCAATCACTACATCACCTACTCTGTCATCTCCTCCCAGCCTGAGCTCAGCTACTCCAGCGTCGTCAGCACCGTCCGTCTCTACCCGGTCACTTCTGGCGAGGCGGAGGGCAGCACCTTCGTTGAGTGGACTGGCAACTTCTCCAGCGATGCTGATGCTGGTAAGCAACGAGCATGTTGAGGAATGCATTGTGTCGATACTGACAAGGACCGCAGGTGTCATCCAGGACGCCAAGTTTAAGCGTCGTGAGGCTCTTGCCGACCTCGCCAAGGTTGCCGCGAAGAAGTAGACGGCAATTGAAAGGATGCCACATGCTGAAGATGTGTATGATATGAGCAAGCCATCAGCTGGGTGCTGATGCAGAAAGAGCATCACATTGTTGATTGCTTGACGAGACATGAAACACGAAGCTGGGAAAAGTATACCCAAAAGGCATTTGATTGCAATCCGCTGCAGCTGCAAATGCCAAACCGAGATTCACATTGTTCATCCTCGCCAGTCCCAATCGTCTTCTCGCCCTGCTATGCTGATACAATCAAGGGCTTTGGTTTGCTTGCACCTCAGTGATCGGTCTCGTGGAGGAAACAGCTCAACCCTTAACAACTTTCCTTTCCTCGTCCGGTCCTCCATCAGCTTGGCGCAGACTGCTGTAAGCTGACTCCAGCATTTGAAGTGCCTCTCCCAGCTTGCCCATATTCTCCACTGGCATACCTGCCATCAGTCGTTTCACGTGCCCCGCAGCATCGATGACCTTCTGGCGCGGCTCCTGGAGTTGCTCGTTCCTCGTAGACTGAAGCATGAGTTCTTGGATCTTCGCCCTCGCTTCTGAGAACCGGGCCTTCCTCTCTACGGCATACGCACGTAAATCACAATACTCGTCTTCGCCGATTTCCCGCATCCTCTCTGACTCCTGAAGCCTCTCTTTCAGGTCTCTGTTGGCGCTCATCTGCTTCTCAAGTTCTTCAGCTTTGATCTGTTCGTTGGCTATGGCTGTCTCGTATTGGTCCTTCAGGTGTGCGGCGGCTTGCTCCCAGTCCTCGAGACCATTGACGACTTTCTGTTTCTTGGAGGAGGAATTGCCAGCCGCTGCAGCCCTTGGCTTGCGTTTGGGTGGCATTGCTGTTCAAGAACCGTTCTTCGCTTTGAGCAGTAGTGTTTGCTCTCCCTTCGCTGGAGTGGGCTTGGTGGTTGCTTGCGAAGCTTGATGTTGGGTGTTGAGGAGGTCTTGCTTTTGACCCAAGATTCAGTACTGCGGTTGGACTTGAGTGGCTGTTGCAGACTGGTGACAGGCAGATTGGAGATTTGGACCCTGGTCACTGTTCCTGGTGTTCTTCTGTACTCAAGCAAAGGCAGGGTGTGACTGCATACCGGCAGCAGGCTTCAAGCCTGTGATCGGTGCACGGGCCTGGTCCAGCTTTTGAGTGAATGAAGCCATTGCTGCTTCAACCTCACTTTCGCAATGGCCACATGCCGCCAGTGAAGCTATCATGTGATAGTTTCTGCTTCACTCAGTCGGCAATGGCTACTTCACTTACGGTGCATTGCCTCAACTCACTTCGAGGGACATTTGTTGCTCTCCGCCCTCCTCTTGCTTCCAACAGCGTGACGCCTACCTCAACGAACGACTTCTACAACGACTAGCAAAGACATGTCGACGCCGTCACCAGTACCCTTGCCAGCTCGCCGTTCCGCTCGGATCGACTACACTTCCAACGGCCGCAACTACCTGTGCTCCGTCACAGGATGGCCGCGCGAGAAGCTCGACGAGTGGCTGACATCAAACAGTGTTCGCAGCCATCTTCAAATTTGGTATTGCCTCTGCGTCTCTAGCAAGCGTAGATTCAACGACGCAATTGAGTGGATCAACACTCGCGCCTTCTACGAAGAGGGTGACCTCGAGGAAGATCTGCTGTTGATGTGTCTGCAAGAGGGCAACATGAACGACGCCGACGGTAACGCAGTCGTTCCAATCAGTGCCTATGCCGACAACACTGTGGCCACTTCCAAGTGGATCACCCAAGAAGTCTGGGCCCGAGCGGCTTGGAGAGTTGTTCAGGATAACGCTGGTCCTGGTGAGGCATTCGAAAAGGCGATTCAGGAACATCCAGCGGCTGCGTACGCGCTCGCAATCGACATCCTGTGTCTCGCTTTCCATTCCATTGCGTACCGTGAGGCGGACTCGGTGTGGGAGGTATGCAGACGATGTTGAAACTGATCTCATGGCTTGCAACACACTTACTAATTCGATCTCAGGGAATCATCACCAACGGAGCGAACATGGACGCAACTCCACCGAGTCCTGAGGTCCAGAACGATTTCGATGTCGACTGCGAGAGCGACGTGGACATGGATGTTGATGTTGATCTCGAGGGCAACATTTCCAGCAATGAGGGCATGACCGACGACAACGGCTCAGACGACGATGCAGACTTCATAGAGGTGGCGGAGCCAGTCACTCCGAAGTCCAAGCGACCTACTCGCAAGAGTACCACTCCCAAGGCGCCGAAGAAGGAGGATGCTGAGATTGGTGAGAACATCGTCGTCGGGGTGAAGGGTTGGATGAATGACCTGTCGGAGGAAGATGAGATGCAGACTTGAGAATAGGACGAGTTCGTCCTGGGCGCTGGAAGTCTGTCATCTGATGGTTAGGGAGAGATGGGGCAGACATCGTCGCAACGCTGAATTGAACGCGTCATGATTCGAGCTTGAGTCTCCCTTCAAAATCCAGGTCGTACAAGCTCAATTTATTTTTCGTTACATTTCGATCAGAAGATGCAAAAAGATCAGAAGTTGACCACGTAGAAGTGGGAGTGGAGCGAGCAGGTCATCTATAGCGAAGTCTTGCGCAGCGAATTCTGCTGACTTTCCTAGCGCGTCTGAACGCGTCGTCCCTGCCACCAAGACGCACCGGCCATCTGCCGTCATCCCATCGATCAACTCTTCTCCTTCTTTGATCCCAGCAAACTACCTACTGCCATTCTGGAGACTCTCGCTACAGCACCACACACTCTCTCACATCTCACAAACTACTGCAACCAACAATGGCAGCCTCATCGCAACACATCCGCAAGCGGCAGTTCCAGCCTTCAACCCAGACCACGCTCAACTCCTACTTCAACCGCAACGCAGACGATGCCTCCCTTGAAAGATCCAGGTCACCGATGTCACCACCTCTACCAGCTGAGACCGAAGCATCACTCTTGAACGTCGGCATGAGGATACGCAAGTCCTTGCCGGAAGGATACAAGACACACAAGACGATCGGCCAAGCCGGGTTTCCTTTTCACAGCTCAGCACCATCGGCATCTTCGGCCCCAATACGGCCGCCACTGAGTCCCATGCGATCGAACGAGCTACAGCCATTCTGCGGGCTTCACAAGATAGGAGGATGGGCTGCTCAGGAGACACCTTTTTCGTCCGCACCACCGGCTATGCGAGGACAGCAAGAAGAGGACGATGATATGCCTGGACTTTCGACGTCCCAACACACTCTTCACTCCACGCAAAGTAGCTTTGCATCAGCTGTCGACTCGAAGAAACGCACTTTTGAAGATGGCTACGAGGATGATGCCGAGGACGCCATGGATGCGTTCTTTGACGAGGCGGAAGATGTCACTACAATCCCAGCCAAACCAGCTCAGTCCAGGCCAATGGCCAGGATGAAACCTACAGCTCGGAAGGCTGCACCGATAAACGCTGTGCGCATCTTTGGAGAAGACGATTTCGAGGAAGCGACCTTCTTGGTCCCGATGGAGGAGTAAGAGAGCAAGACACTTCTTTGTTCATCAGTTTGTATTTGCGATTGTACGGCGACCTCCGGCCATAGGTAGTTAGGAGTTGATTAGGATACCCAACGTGTAGTTTTTGAGGATTGGCCTCAGGCTTGTAGATATGGAAACGACTTTCTATCTGTTCCAACATACAATCTGTCTCCAATTTCTGTGTAGCAAGGAAATCCAACTCACATTGACATCTGGTTTTGGTGTCTTCATCAGATTTCATCGACTTCGTCCTCTTGAGCACGTGACTAAACGAGGGGTGTGGGCCTCTGATCGCAGTTGCCGTTTCGCTGGCAACGAAAAGGAGCGAGTAGAAATCTAATAATGAGCTTTTTCTCATCGGCTGCAATCTCCAATTTCAAGACCGCACACTCACTCTCTTTGCGACTTAATTAATCCCATACACTCCGGCGAAAGAACAGCTCGCCCACGACAATTCGCATCGGCGTGTGCTGAAGACAGGAATCAGACCCTGCGTCACAGCCCACCAAAGCGCGGCAGGCAGGCCCGACGACGCTGCATCAACAACCTGAAATCTTCGCTCGACCTTACCCGCGCATGACACCGTAGAGCAACGAAGCTCGCCGCTCTTCCGTCCACGCTACAATCCACCAGCCGCCCAGCATGGATGTCAACCAGGTCCTCACGGGCACCATCTCGCCTGGTAAGTTCAGAAACAGCCCCTACGCGCACTCAGGCGGCTCCGACGCCCTTGGCGCACATTGCGGTCAAGCAGGAGCAACGTACTGACTCTCTCGCAGACGCTGCCGTACGATCCGCCGCTGAGCAGCAGCTCTCACAGGCTGCTGAAGCAGACTTCGTAAGTCCCTCTGCCCTCACTCTGTTTGCTCCCTCCGAACATTCACTGACCGCATTCCGCAGCCCGGTTACCTCATTACCCTCTCACGTGAGCTCGCCAATGACCAGGCCGACTCCTCAGTGCGCATGGCCGCCGGCCTGGCACTCAAGAACTCCTTCTCCGCACGCGACTTTGCCCGTCTCCGCGAAGTGCAGCGGCGATGGCTCGAACAGATAGATCCGCAGGTCAAGCAGGAGGTGAAGGCTCTGTCCTTGCAAACGCTGGGATCAGCCGACTCGAGATCAGGACAGTCCGCAGCACAATTCATCTCCTCTATCGCCGCTATCGAACTCCCACGAGAGCAATGGCCCGAGCTCATGCCCACGTTGGTGGAGAACGTGGGCTCAGGCAGCGATTCCAAGAAGCAAGCATCTCTCACCACAATTGGGTTCATCTGCGAAGCCGACGACACAGACTTGCGCGACAGTCTTGCACAGCACAGCAACGCCATCCTCACAGCTGTCGTTCAGGGCGCGAGAAAAGAGGAGGCCAACAGCGACATTCGAAATGCCGCCATCACGGCGCTCGGCGACTCGCTCGAGTTTGTTAGGGTCAACTTCGAGAACGAGGGCGAGAGGAACTACATCATGCAGGTGATCTGTGAGGCAACTCAGGCAGAGGACATGCGCATCCAGCAGGGCGCTTACGGGTGCTTGAACCGCATCATGGGTCTTTACTACGAGAAGATGAGGTTCTACATGGAGAAGGCACTCTTTGGCTTGACCATTCAGGGCATGAAGAACGACGAAGAGGACGTTGCCAAGCTGGCTGTTGAGTTTTGGTGCACTGTTTGCGAGGAAGAGATCAGCATTGAGGACGACAACGCACAGGCCCAGGCCGAGGGCAGCGCCGAAATGCGACCTTACTTCAACTTCGCTCGCGTTGCCACACAGGAGGTCGTTCCAGTCCTCCTCGAGCTCTTGGCAAAGCAGGACGAAGATGCAGGAGACGATGAATACAACCTCTCGCGTGCCGCATACCAGTGCGTGCAGCTGTGGGCACAAGCGGTCGGCAGCCAGATCGTCCCACCAGTCCTCAGCTTCGTTGAGGGCAACCTTCGCAGCGACGACTGGCACTACCGAGACGCCGCTGTATCCGCGTTTGGCGCGATCATGGAGGGTCCAGACGAGAAGGTGCTTGATCCTCTCGTCAAGCAGGCTCTCCCTGTCCTGATCAGCATGATGAACGACCAGTCGATCCAGGTCAGAGATTCTGCTGCCTTTGCTCTTGGACGCATCTGCGAGGCTGTTTCGGATTCCATCGACCCGCAAGAACACCTGCAGCCTCTGATCTCGGCACTCTTCCAAGGACTTGCCTCGCACCCAAAGATGGCAAGCTCTTGCTGCTGGGCTCTCATGAACCTGGCAGACAGGTTTGCAGGCGAGCCAGGCTGCCATACTAACGCTCTCTCGCAACACTTCCAAGCCAGCGCGCAACACCTGCTCCAGCTTACCGAGTCAACCACTGACAACATGCTTCGCACTGCTGCCTATGAAGTCCTCAACGCCTTCGTCACGAACGCAGCCCACGACTCTGTTCAGATGGTCGCCAGTCTTAGCGACGTCATTATCGAGCGTCTCGAGAAGACCCTCCCAATGGTCTCCCAGGTCGTCTCGGTGGAGGACCGTCTTACGCTCGACGAGATGCAGACGTCCCTGACGTCGGTCGTCATGGCGATCATCGGGCGTCTTGAGGCAGAGATCGCACCGCAAGCCGACCGCATTATGCAGTTGTTGCTCAATCTCCTCGGGAACCTACCACCCAAGTCCAGTGTTCCAGACACCGTCTTTGCAACCATCGGCTCGCTTGCCAACGCGCTCGAAGGCGACTTCGAGAAGTACATGTCTTCATTCGAGCCATTCCTGCTCAATGCGCTCAACAACCAGGAGGAGCCACAGCTGTGCTCTGTCGCGATCGGCTTGGTGACTGACATTGCTCGTGCACTCGAGCAGAAGGTTCAGCCACACTGCGATGCCTTCATGAACAGTCTCCTCAACAACTTGAGGGTGAGTAACACTATCATTCACGATTAGAAAGCTGGTGCTGATATGTCTTCACAGAGTCCAACGTTGGGCAACCAATTCAAGCCTGCTATTCTGCAGTCGTTCGGCGACATTGCCCAGTCGATCGGCGGAGCCTTTGAGTCCTACCTTTCTGTCGTTGCTCAAGTGCTCCAGCAAGCCGCCGGAATTAGCACACAAGAGAACTCGTCCAACTTCGAGATGCTCGATTACATTGTTTCTCTGCGCGAGGGCATTATGGATGCATGGAGCGGCATCGTGATGGCTCTGAGGAGCTCTGGAAAGCGTGAGTGATTCGTAACTTGGTGAAAGCTTCAATGCTAACGTTGTGAGCAGAACAATTACTCCAGCCTTACGTCGAGTCCATCTTCCAGCTGTTGCACAGCGTCTATCAGGACCCCAACCGCACAGAGGCGCTTCTTCGATCTAGCATGGGTGTCGTTGGGTAAGTTTCGATACTGCATGCTTCATTGCATCCTTACTGATTGGTATGTCCAGTGATCTCTCCGAGGCATTCCCCAACGGCGAGTTCAGCAACCTCTTCCGCCAGGATTGGCTGACCTCAATGGCGCGCGAGACCCGTGCGAACAAGGAGTTCCAGCCACGCACCCAAGAGACTGCACGCTGGGCGCGCGAGCAGATTAAGCGGCAATCTGGTGAGACCTCCATTCCTTCTTATTTCATCCATCCAACAGCCTTGTCGCACAGCCCCCTCATGTGATGCTGAGGTTGACGTGGGCTTCGTGCTTGCGCTTGTGCTGTTTGAGATTCCCACAATATTATTACCAAACATACACTAACACCCCCAAAGCTCTGTCCGGAAACGTGCAGATGTCTTGAGCAGGCTATACCCATCACTCTGACACTTCAATTCCACATTGAATCATCAGAGCATCCACAGTGGTTCAGCTTCGCGCAGGAGCTAATGTCCCTGTCCAGCCCAGGAGGATGAGCAGCTGGCGACACGAGCGATGGCAGGACACGACGGCAGATTACACGCTATCGCTCGATGGGCCGACCCTGGAGGACCACACACCGCCATCGAGGAAAATATCCCCACTGCTCGCGCCGACAGCGTCCACTTGGCTTGGTGATGCTACGACTGGCCCGACATCAACCTCACCCCAAGTCCCCATCCCCTACCCTACCCTACCTTCACGACACCACCAACACCTCCCTGGACGAAGCACGACATCACGTACGACACACGGAATGCAGCCCCTGCACGAGACGCACCAGCACGCATCGATACCCACCACTTCTTGGCCCTTTGTCTGACACCGCAACGGAAAGCGATGATTTGAGCATGCGTAGCGAAATCGGCGGAGGTTTTTGGCGCGAGAACGAGACCGCGAAAAGAGGAAAATTGAGGAGATGGACCACACCCTGACCCACTCTTCAAAATCCAGCAGTCTGGCAAGATGCTGGAGGAATAGACCTGCAGACTCCACACGTTAATCACATCATACACGCAATCAATGCCCTTGCACGTGAAATGACCTGTCATTCTTACCTTATCGTGTCGTGATGCTATGATGCGATGGCGGATGTTTTGGAACTCACCATTTTTGATTATATTAACATGCTCTAGGAAGCTCCCTCACTCCACGCGTCCCACGAAGACGAGCCTTCGACTCACCTTCGGCCAAATCGACAGCGTACACACTCACCACGTGGCCACGCGCTCCCCCACCGGCCGTCGAACACATCTTCCGCACAGCTGCCGTGGCCGCGAGACGGAAACGCAAGTCTGAAGCTGAAGCTGAGCAAGGAAGCGACGATGAGACGAGTTCGAGCTCGAGACCTGGGGCTGGGATGCCGCCTATGGTGCGCTCTGAGTCGTTTATGGGGGGTTGTGCGGCTTGTGGGGATGGGGGGTTGTGTGCTGCTTGTGGTGGTGGGGAGGAGGAGGAAAAGAAGGGGGG